CCTAACCCTAACCCTAACCCTAACCCTAACCCTAACCCTAACCCTAACCCTAACCCTAACCCTAACCCTAACCCTAACCCTAACCCTAACCCTAAGCAGACCGAAGCGATAGGTGCTCTTGATACGCTAGGTTATCTATTGTATCAATTTGCTGACGTATCAATACACTAGCAAATTGATCCACTATGTTACCTATCGTATCAATTTACCTATTGTACCAAAATCGGCCTTGGCGGCTTACCATTTTGATACGCTAAGTAGCATAGCGCATCAATCTACTAGCGAATCAATACACTACTAAATTGATGCGATAGGTAACTTAGCGCATCAATTACTCTTATACACTACGTGTCCACAAATTGATACAATAGGTATTTTGATACACTGAGTTACTTATTGTATCAATTTCGCCCATGGATGCGATACGCAGCATTTTGATACGCTAAGTAGCTCAGCGCATCAATTCATCAGAGTATCAATTCGCTAGTAAATTGATGTGCTATGTTACTTAGCGTATCAAAGACACACAGCAGCCTGTGCAAATTGATGCGATAGAGACCTACCGTATCAATTTAATAGCGTATTGATGCGCTAAGTTGCCTATCGCATCAATTTACTAGTGTATGATTGGATGCATATCATTCCATTGCGCATCGTGAGTTGACTCAACACCCACCAAAACCACCTCCGGTCATTGCCATTCCCACGCCCATCATCGATGCTGTACCTGACTGCTCCCAGGGCGAGCCAGTGTTGACTGGCTCGAGCGTCATGCCAATGCGAAACCCTTCCAGCCGGTCCTTGTCTGCGTATCCACGCCCACTTCCCTCTGCTCCTGCTGACGACTCGGCCGTCGTTGCTGTGATAAGCTGGGTCTTGTCGTCGGAGTCGATGTCACTGGGCAGGACACGTGAGGCCTTTCTTTGGTAGCGAGCGCAACGATTGAGAAAGGACTTGAACCCAAGAGATTAGCTTATGAATCTACCAACGACCCGTCATCAATCTCACCTTGGGAAAGAGACCCTGGACGACAAACTCGGGCCGCTGTTGCGGATCTGCATTGCGGGGCTGTGGACGCGATCGATGTGCTGCGACTGTCCACATGCCGCCACGTGCCTCCAGAGCATTGAGCACATCGTCGAGCATGGCCTCGGCGTGATCAGACGGCTTAAATAGCTGCGCCAGGAGCTCGTTGTCCGTCTTGGAGCGGAGACAGGCCAACGTCTTTGCCAGGTCGTCGGCTGGGGAGCATGATTCCTCCGGCTCGGTCGTCAGAGGGGGCGACGTGAGGATCAGAGTGGCCCACTGCACAGGCACACCAGCAGCAGACTGGCTGTAGGGCAGATGTACACGCTGGGGAGGGTAGAAGAACTTGGACGATTTGATGCCTCGCGTGCCAAAGAGTAGACGCACAACGGCATGCATCCTGGTGCGTTCTCGACGGCCGACGAGTTCGCACAGTTCCGAGTCGTATATTGTGCGCAACCTGCCCGTCTTGCTGGCCTGCTTGCGAACCTCGGCCAGTGCCTCCAGACTCGTGACGTGCGGTATGCGGACCGCATGGAGCAGCTGCGTATCCCTGGGCACGCGCAGGTGGAGACGCTTGGTGAGCTTGGGTGGATGGAAACCGGGAGACGACTCCATAGTTGCCGGCCTGTCGCTACGATGCCAGGCCGAGGGCAGCCCTGCCCGCTCAAGCTGCCTGACATCGAGCCCATGACTGTTTGTCTGGTGGAGTACGAGCGTACCGAGGTTGTCCTGACCCGATGCGAGTGTTGTGGTAGAGAAATCGCCCCTGTCGACGAGCGTGTCCGTAAAGGAGTAGAGCGAGTCTGCGTCGGACATGTTCAAGACAGTGTTTACTGGTGATAACGATGGGATGGTGGCGGTCAAGATGGGTTTGCACTGCCTCGTGAGTATGGTAGCGTAAAGCGCTCCTCCGACCATGCGGTCGCACTGCCAATCAATGACGCACACAAGTAAGTTTAAAGCGCAATAGAAAATGTCTATTTCAGTTGCATTTACCCCACCGGACAAGGCACAATTGAGCCGATGACACAAAGTGGGGCAATCGGGCGATAGATCTCCGATAGGCCACGTGCCTGTCATTCATGTGAGCCAATTTGATGGCTCAAAAGAGCGAGGAAGCTGCACCATCTCTTGCCTCTTTTTCTTCGAGGGCATGAACGGGTCAATGCAGAATTAAGTCCTCATCGTTACTGTTACTGGCAGTTTTTGAACTCGCCAAAGTGCATCCTAGTGTAGTTGATCAATCGATTAGGGGTGAATACCTCTTGAAAGTCAACCATTTACATTTTCCAGTACTCAGCAATCGACACATGGCTGTGCAAGGAAACAGCGCAACGGCGCGCGGGCAGCCGTGTCAGAGACAAATTAGGTGCTAGTTTGGATACGTGACGGCAACGGCGGCAGCCGTGACGAAGCCCGCAAGCGAAAGCACGACGCGCACGTTGTGGAGCGAACCCCACCGCGCCATGAGCGAGTCGGCCTCGTCCTCGGAAACAAGGTCGGTCTTGCCCGCATTGGCGAGCTTCCGCAGCGCCATGAGGCGATCGTTGACGGGCGCAATGACAAGCACCGTGAACGGCGCGATGGAGACGTGCGTGACGCTTGCCGCAACGAGCAGGCGCTTGTTCCAGTCGCTCCAGTCGCCGCTGCTTGCAAGACAGCTTCCAGTGAGGCCCAGAGCGGCGCCAAACGCAAACAGCGGGCACCAGTGGCCAACGTCGTAGCTGTGGTTCCAGAGCGTCAGGCGCTGGGCGAGAGAGAGGTTGGCGGCGTCCGACGCCGGCTGGATGTGGGCGCCCTGCTTCCACTGGAAGTGCCGGTTGACCAGCAGCGGGTAGGCGAGCGTGAGACCTGTGTCCATGTCAGCCGTAGCCTGGTCACGCACTCGCCGCTGGCACTCACCCGAGGCTAGACCCGACGAGACGAGGCCGACAACGCCCAAGGCATCCGCGTAGCTTGGCTGCGTCGTCATGGTGGCAGTTGGAATGGTGGAGGTTGTGGGGACGTGAGCTTGTGGAAACTGAGGATACGTGCACTGCGATCTGGGCTTCATAAATAGCGTGCCACATCCGCGTCGGTCCGTACGCTATCGGCCTTCTCCGAGGAAACGCCGCGGACTTACGGCGACTCACCGGATTTTACTTTGGCTTCTCTGCAGTCGAGATCTGGCCCGATTTCACTTCTCAAGCATGCCGGCTTTCAATTGCCACGGTTCCACGGTGTCACAGTGCCAGCGCCAGTGGCGGCTCAGCCCCCCGACGTCGTGGCACCTTGCATGTGGACCGCGCACGAACGCCTCCGGCCGGAGAGTCATTGCAAACGTGATTGCAAACGTGCTCTGCAAAGCGCCCCGGCTGACGCTGTCCTGCACGCCAGGAACCTCCACCGGCAAGCCGCTGTCGGCATGCCGCTTCCCGCATTTGCTGCAAATTCTCCGGACGCTGTACAGAAGCTAAAGTGAGATCTTGTTGAGGATGATACCATCTTCTGCAGGAGATTTGCCTCGTGAAATCGCTTTACCTAAGATGATGGAGATTACATGACTAGTCGCGAAGTCCTTGGAATTAAATTGTCACGAAATATGACTATCGCCCGCGGATCCTAGCGAACGCAGCATTGATCGACGCACAGCCAAGAGGAGTGAGTGAGCGGGCTATAAAAAGCGCTTCCGATTTCTCGTTAAATCGCTCTTCATCTCTCGCGGCCCCCTTTCCCTCCAGAAGAAGAGCTTCCGCACATGTCTATGTACGCGGTACTCGGCACCACAGGCAACACAGGGCAATGCCTGCTCGAAGTCCTTCTGCAGAACCCTGGAACTAAAGTCAACGCATACTGCCGCTCAAAAGAGAAGCTGCTCGACCAGTCGTCTGCGGCGATCAAGGACGGTACGATCCGCATCTTCGAAGGGTCTCTGGGGGACATTGACCTCCTGACCGAGTGTCTACGTGGTACGCGTGCTGCCTTCCTAGTCGTTGCTGGAACGGGAAATATGTCTGGCTGTTGCATCGCTCGGGAGACCGCGCAACATGCTTTGACCGCCGTCAAACGCCTGAAAGTGCAAGATGAGCCCTTGCCCAAGCTCATTCTCCTTTCCTCGGCGTCTCTGGACCATGCATTGATGCCCAATGCGCCTCGATTCTTGCTCAAGATTCTCTGGGCCGCCTTTTCCAACAGGTATGAGGATATTCGCCAGGCCGAGGATCTTTTTCGCGCCCAGCACGATCTCGTCAGTTCGACTTTTGTGCGGCCTGGCGCTCTATCGCACGACACGCAGAAGGGGCACTGGTTGAGCACCAAGGTTGCCAAGGGACCATTGTCGTACATGGATCTGGCGGCTGGGATGATTGAAATTGCCCAGGACGATCGGTTCGACATGAAAGCCGTCGCAGTGAATCCGCGAGACAAAAATGTGGCCTTTCCCTGGCAGGCGCCAATGATGTTGATAAAAGGCCTTATTGTTCACTTTCTGCCCTGGACCTACTACTACCTCCAATAAATGCAACAGTCGTCCTGATCACAAATTCAACATCTTCATACCATGAACCTGCAAAAGTCCAAGATAGTCGAGTCTCGAACTCTCCAAATTGACGACAAGTCATGTATTGTACTGTAGTTACAAAGCCTAATGTCTTGCACGAACGGTCATTTGGCAACGTACCGAACAAAAAACACCAAGTACAACATAGTGCCAAGACTTTGTCTTGGAGTCTCTCTCAGTGCGGCAGACGTTGGAAGCTGGCGCAGTTGCAGCTTTCAAAACAGCGCGCGATCTGGAATCGCTTCTGCACGGCGATAATCGGCCTTCACGAGCAGATGGCGGAAAGGGTTGGCTGACGCGATAGCGACGCGACCTCAAGGCAATAGACGCATGAGGTCAGTGATGCGTCCCCAGACCCCGATCATCTACCATAGATCCTGCTGCACCGTCGCAAGACGCAAGTCCGGCGAATAAACCTCCCCTTCGATCAGCGGTGTGGACTACGACGAAATGAGCAGCGAGAGTCCCACGAGTGCGCTCGTTAAGGAAAGAGAGGGTAGAGTGATGGACGATGAATCTGTGCGCAGAGGAAGACCCTCCTGCAGCTTGTGGAGGCAGCTGGTGCTCGGCGTCCAGTAGAAAAACTTCGATCCTGGATCTCCTTCATCGGTGGGATCAGTGAAGTTTACGTTGTTCTTGATGCGAGCCTGAGGAGCAGGATTCCAGTCAGCGAACACAAAGCCAGAAAGCGGACATATACGTACAATGACGAGCAGGGTGTCGTTGAGCGTCACACTCATTGTCCCGTCACTCAGGGTGACATTCTGGCCCTGACTTTCCACTCCAGTGTAGGGCACCTGCGGACTCCAGACTGTCGGTTCAAACACCGTCTGGTTGGCTTGCACGGTTCGGTTGGGCGCTGCAGTATCGTAGAATGTCTGGTTGGAGTAAACCTCGTAGGCGTACGAGTCGTTGTAGCCTAGGAGCAAGGTCAGCCGAGAACGGGCGTCGCGGTACAAGCCAGACTCACGCTTAATTGGGTCGGGCTGCTTGGGATCTACTATGTAGTACAAGGCGGCCATCTGCAGCTCGTAGAAGTTGTCGGGCGATACATATTGTTGAGGTACCACGAGACGGTAGGTCAGCCTGCTGGGATCGCACTCCTCGTCGTTGGTGATGGAGATATTGAGTGACTGGACAGCAGCCACGGGCGCGCCCGGATCCTCGAAAAAGGGAGTGCCGGGGATCGTAGACAGGTTGCTGATCCTTTCACTGGGCATAGAGAGCCGCGAAGAGCCTGCCAAGGCGTTAGCGAGCGCACGAGGGCTGACCATGGCGGACGTACTGTGGTGGGTGAGTCCAAATCATGAGGCAGCACTCGATCGAGAGCCTGATCCTTCTGACCGCGAGGTCACCTTTCCCCACTTCCGAGTTCCGCGCAAGTTGCGATTTTTTTAGCGCAACACTGCCTTCCATTCGCGAATTCTTTCTTGCTCAGATGAAGACGGTGTTACTATTGCATTGCTTGGACATGCTCGTACATGACTGGAGAGTGACCCACGCAAAAGCTTGGCAAGCAATCATAGCCAGACGAGGTCACTCGGACGATTCAATGTCAGCAGCAAGCTTCTCGGCGATCGCAATGGCCGCAGCTTGGGGATGACAGCTGAGCACTTCAGGCATCACGCTGACATCGCACACGCGCAGTCCCTCGACACCTTTGACCATCAGACTGCCTGGCTCGACAGCTGCATCCCCGTCTGTGCCCATGGCGCATGTCGAGGCCATGTGCTGCACGCCAAAACCCCACTTGCGGATATGCTCGACGATGTCCTGCAGTAGAAAGAAGTCAGCATGAATCTACACGGGCCACGAGCCCACCCACCTTCTCAGCGATAGCTTGTGGATCAACAAAGTCGAACTCGTCACCGCCACGCTTGGCCAATCCGTCCTTCCATCCTCCCTTGCTGTCATCCCAGCCCGGCACACAGGCAGGCCCGATGTCGTAGGCGAGCTGCTCGCGCATGTGCTTGATGAGCGTCATCGCCAGCCGGATGGCAAGCACTAGCCGGCGCACATCGTCCTCCTCTTGCAGGGAGTTGGGCTCGACCTCGGGCAGGACAGACGGGTCAGGCGCCTTGATGTGAACGTGGCCGACCGAACGAGGCTTGACGAGGTAGACAAGTGCTGCCATGACGCCGTGCGAGCCACCAAGGCCATGAAACCGTGGCATATCCTCGGCTGCCCAGAAAGCCTCGAAGCTGATCTCGATGTCCGGGACGTCTTTGTGCGGATCAGTACCTTGCACGCGAAGCCTGCTCCCGGTATCTCCATCGTCCATCAGCTGAATCTGCTCCGTACTCAGGTAGGCGACGGTCTCCAGCGTTCCAGGAGTGGTAAACCAGCCCTTTCCATGGATGAAATAGTTCCAAGCTTGGCGTATAAGCGTGGGCAGCGCCGTCGCAGGAAGCACCATAGGCATGCACGAGTCTCGCATGGGCCCACGGAAATGCAACGGCACAGCGAGATGATCCTTGAAGTGTGCGCCAACGCCAGGCAGAGCTACCTTGACGGGAATCCTGAGGGGCTCGAAGACCTGCGGGGAACCCAGGCCTGAGCGCTGGAGTATGCAGGGCGAGAAAATTGCACCAGAAGACAGAATGACGTTGTCGCTTCGTGCATAGTATACCTTGCCTGTGACAATGGTCAGCGGTCCAGGAAAGCCGTTCGGTGCAACTTTGCAGACTGACCCTTGCTAGAGAACCAGACGCCAGTGGCCTTGTGCGCTTTGTTATCATCGTTCGGCCCCTCGATCTGCACCTTTTCCACACAGCTTTCCACGCACAGTGTCAGATTCTGTCGCGCCTTGAGCACATTGGAGGGCAAGTAAGCCATGCCCGCATGATGTCGCGATCCATTAGCTGTCTGGGAAGTCTGCAAGAAGAAGGCCCCCGTTGCCATCATGCCGCGCTCCGACATGCCGTAGTCCGAAGTAGGCACTCCGAGCGCGCCGGCAGCCTCGACGAATGGCTTGCTGAACCCAAAAAGCTGGGGCATGTCCCGCGTGGCCCATGGCCCCTCATATCCATACACGTCTGCTCTTTCTGTGCGCAATTCATGGCTGTGCGCCTGCGACCGCTTGAAGAAGGGCTCCAGGTCCGATCCAGTGTAGCCGGGAATGCCCCAAGAGTCAAAGTCGGCGTGACAACCGCGTGTGTAGAGAGTCGCATTCACTGCGCTGGAGCCACCCACTTGTCTAAAAAATGTGCCTGTCAGCCAGTCGGTTGAAGGGTCCTCATAGAGACTCACCGTCCAACTTGCACCGTGCTCGTACGTCCTCCCAGGCCTGGCTGAGGCGTGGTGCGTACGTGCGTGGCGTATCTTGCCTGAAATGCACGGGCGTTGCTGAGCAGAGGTATGCGCCCGACGACGTCAGCGAGATACGAGCCACGCTCGAGAACGAGGACCGAACGAGTACCCGACTCCGACAATCGGCTTGCGAGGACGCTGCCGGCCGTTCCGGCGCCCAGGACAATGTAATCGTAGGAAGGCGCATCGGGCGGGGGATCGAGGTCTTTTGTTACGATATCTGCTCCTGGCGCCAGGCCGGGTGCCAAGGCCGCACACCGAGCAGGCCCGACGTCGTGACGGGACGACAGCATCGAGGTCATGTCCTTGTCGGGGGGTATGGAGGGAGGAAAAGCTCGCCAGGAAGCACAATGCCAAACTTTATACAGCACGTCCTCTAAGACACCGCTCTTTACTAGCGCGCTTTCGAGACCTTGGCTTCTCGACTTTTGTTGCCCCTAGGCCAGTATATGCAGGGATCATGCGGTCAAGATTCTGAGACCCATTGGAGAAATCAAATACGTGGTTCGGAAAGAAGTGAGCTGAGGTTTAAGCTCGACCAAGTGCGGTGGAGTGGTCTGCGACACCTTCAAAAAAGAGTGTTTACAAGCTCGCCCGGAAGTGAAGAATAGCATCATGGCCTGAAATAACGGCGGATGACATCAAAACCACTCCGATAAGGGGGCGCGATTGTGCGGATGCTTTCGTTCCCGCGCCCACCAATGCTTGTGACCTGAGTAGAGCCTTGTGCCTCATTATACAAGCTCCATTTGTCGCCATCTTCCTGGGCTGCTGGGTGGCCGCAGTGGACAAAGTGGATTAGAGAGGTGTGCAGTGCGTCCACCACAGATGTCTTTCCAAATTTGCGAGGATCGTTGTCGGGTAAGAGAGTGGGAAAGTAGAAGGCCAAGTCTGAGCCGTGCTGCACACCCATTGCTTCTGAGGTGCCTGGGATCGGCTCTTGGAAAAGAAGACCCCAGACCTTGCTCCTGCTTGAATGAGAAGAAAAAGCAGAAAGGTAGTCCAGCCAGGCAGTGGTGTAGGTCGAGTCGGTGTCGATGGCAGAAAGGCGCTTGTATTGGCTTGGCTCTCCATACGTTGTGTTGCGACCATCGAAGGGGGCGCCCCGAGCGGGGTCGTTTGGGTACGCTGAGAGCATGTCCTCGACAATCTTTTTAGCCTGCTCCTCATCGAAGCGGTGAGCAGTGTTGATGAGGACTGCAGAAAGGAGGTGCTATCAGCGTGGCTCTGCCTGTTGCGGGATGTGGAACTAGCCAATGCGGCTCACTTTGCACGCCAAGAGCGGACGCCTCTTCATTGTCGGCCTTGAATCCAATCGCTGAGCTGGTTCCTTCGTCTCTGCATGAGGAGACGACGGTGGGAATGTCTGGGTAGCGCTTTGACGCGATCCTCTCAAATACATTTTCTGACACCAGGCCGCCCAGACTTGGTCCACTACCTTGCCATGCTTCTGTCGATACGTTGACCAGCTTCTGCGCATCGACCTTCTCCAAGCAGACCACGTTCTCGTTCACGGTGACGTTGGCTGGACATCCCGCTGCTTCTGCGACTGCGGCAATAATGTCGTCCATGGAGTGGGTCTCAGTTTGGAGGAAGGGTGCTGCGGTGGACGGCACACTGGCGAGCCAGATGGAGTGGAAGAGCTGCTCCTTTGCACTTGCAAAGAGGAGCTGATAGAGTGAAGACTGCGCACCTGCACTCTGCCCCACTGTCGTGGAAGGATTGTAAGACCTCGTTTCAGGGCACTAGATCCTCTTCTGAACTCGCACTCACTGAGCGTCACTCTGCTGGGGTCTCCTCCGAACGACGCAATATTGTCACGAACATATCGCAGTGCTTCTCGCTGATCGAGAAGACCCAAGTTGAAATCATCAGGCCTTGTGGAAGGATTCAGAAAGCCAAAGGGACCAAGTCGGTACTGAATAACGACTCCGAGAAAGGGCTTGTTTAAGTCGGTTGCCTTTTCCAACATGGGTCGCATGTCGTAGATAAAGCTTGCTCCGTTCAGGAAACCTCCTCCTGCGATAAATAAGAGCACAGGAAGCTGATCATCACACGTCTGGGCTTCATCGGGAACATAGACGTCCATCGTCAGGCAGTCCTCGCTCTGCGGTGCGATGGGCGCCGAGCCCAGGAGCTCCTTGAAACCCTCATCGTAAGGTGGTGGAATGTTGAAGTTTGTGCATGCAGGGCTATGTTGGGTAGCGTCTGTAGTCTGTTTGACGGTGCGAGTATCTTCCTCGGTGGGAACCGGCCTCTTGAAGCGCCCCGCACGGGCATACGGGATGCCGTAATACACCGTTGAACGGGTAGTGGGGTCATGCAGACCTCGATAGGCACCACTGGCGAGCGCGACACGGTGCAGCGATCTTGAGCTGTGAGAATCCTGTCCGGATGGAACGGGCGATGGGCTGACCTTGATACAAGAGAGACATGCAGCAAGACAGATAACGAAGATGAATCGCAGTGTCCTCATGGCTTGATAGAGGGTGTGGATGATTGGGTTGTCACTTGAATGGTGCAATTACCAAGTCTCCTGTCTACCTTCGCTCTTATATACCCTTCCACTCGCTCTTCTGCCTGCTTCTGAAATACGAATTCACTACATCAACCAAAGACTCTTCACCATTGCGAACCACCTGCAGCGCGAAATAAGACTCGGACATCGTGCGATGACGAGGGGCGGAAATATTGCGCGCTACCTAGCAGTACAGCACTAGGACAGTCTCGGAATTGACGCTCGGAATTGATGCGCGCGCAAAACCGCGCAATTTCATGCACTGGCCAGCTTGCCTTCCGCCCATGTCGTCGACCCTATGACATCTCTGATGGAGAAATGTCGAGACGACTTCAGCAGAGGAATCACAGTGAGCTTGGGGCTGTGAGGCAAATGATTCTGACCGATTCACACAGATCCCCTTCTCTCTCTGACCAGCAATGACGAGCGGCAAGCAAGCAGATGGGGCAAAGAGTAGAGGGCCTTACGCGAGAAGGATATGCTCACACTGCAGAAGCAGGAAGGTCAAGTGCCATCTCCCCGACCCACAGGCGGTGCGTCCGTCAGCAGATCCATTGGAGCAACACCTTTCCTGCAAAAGATGCATCGACAAGGCGCTGGACTGCATCATCGAGATGCCAGGAGCATCGTCTTCGACGCCAGCAAGCCAATCTTCAAGGGCTAGCCAGGCCCGGAGCGGCCAGGTGATCAGTGATCGGAAGCGCACCGCTTACGAAGATGGTGCGAGCGTCGACGCCGACGATAGCTTGGGCTCGAGCTCATCCGATGGCCATTCACCTGCCAGCATGTCCGACTTTCTCCTGGCCAACAACATAGACGGGGCAGACGCGGTTCTTCGCCCTGCCCCCGGCCCTGCACATCACTTTCAGCCCTCCAATGCACAGATCTTTGAGGCATCCATGCAACCCGTCTCTCTTCTCAGCCTCGTTTTGGCCCGTCAACCGCAGTCTTTGCGCCTCCTCCTCCACCTACCTCGCTCCCAGCAATGTCCTGCCCTAGGGTCTTTGATCGGTGCTGAGATGGTCAAAGCGCTGCACAAGAGGTGAGCGACGTTTTCCTCCACGCTAGAAAGCTGCTCATCGGAATTCTGCCACCGCACAGACTCTACTGGATCTATCTCTTCCGGCCCTATCTGCCCGACCTGGCCCACTTGCACCGGCTGCTGCCCAAGGCCAACGAGCATGGCGATCCCGCCTCCTTTCTCTTTGCCGTGCTGTGCCGCCTCGCTCTGGATGCACAGGCCGACAATGCTGCTGCAATCACCTGTGACAGCTCTTTGCACATCTATCTCCGCTCTGCCATCGCCCACCACGGAGAGGCAGTGCTGCTTGGTCTGCCCCGTCACTGTTATGCAGCCGCGGCCCTGGAGCTCCTCTATGCCTTCTACCCGACGGCGCTAGCAGCAAGCACAACGTCGGCAGCCGCCTCGCTCTGCTCAGAGACGCTCCTGCTTGCTGCAGAGCGCATTCTTGCGTCTGAGCACGTTGCCTCTCTTGTCCAGGAAGGGCCTCCGCTAGAAGCCATCAACTTTACGCTGCAGAAGCTCAGACTCGAGGTAGCCAGCGACGGACTCCCTCGACACCGTCAACTTCGGCTCAGTTGGACTGCCAGGGGCAATTGGGAGTGGGAGAGCTCTCTCGCAAGAGTCTCTTCACTCGGTGCCTTCCTAGATCTCGAACGGCACTGTGGTAGCCTGCTTCTGGCGCATAGTGCTGCCGCGTTGAAGGAGCAGGGCAATACTCTGCATCTTCTCTACTCCAAACGCGGCGACCTCGACCAGATGGACACCGTCGTGAGGCTGCATACCGAGAGCGATGCCAGGCTGCTTCAACAGCTGCATGTCGCCCTGTCGTCCTTCGGGGACTGCTTTGCAGCGGAGGCGGTCTCCAATGTGGCCATCTTGGAAGGGCACGTGAGACACAACAACGTCAGCGGCTATGCCATGTTCCTGGCTACACTCTCGGGAGCGGGTGCCAATCAAGAATCGGCCGTGTCCAAACACATCGTTGATCGGCTCAAAAGCCAACCATCGGGTCCCATCTCTTCTTTTCTTCAGCGGCACGGAGACCGGCGGACGGATGATTTGGCCAAGATTTTGACGGGATTCTGTGGCCTTTCCAGCCTCGAATCTCCTCAGGGCGCCACTGTGCTCTTCCAGCCGCCATCTGCCATCTCCCTCTGCGCAGAGATCATCTATGCCTGCAAAAACATCGTCGAGGTCAATGCAGCCAAGCTGACTGGCTGGTCAGGCTTGGATGACCACCTGGATCTGCATCTTGTCGCCTTCACTGAGAGCGCCAGCCGTCTTGAGCGTCTGTGCTCTGGTCTCGCTACAGCAAGTGCAGGTCTCGTCCGTAGCCTTCATACCATCTTGGTGAATTGGAGGCGGCAGGTAAATCGGCGGGAGCGCCAGCAGCAGACCGTTGTATTGCCTTCCTCTTCTTCTCCACATCCAGCTCGCCGGCAATCACTCAACACGCTCTCGTCGTCGACTGGCAGCGCTACAGTAGAAAGCGATCTGGGCTATCTTTCTCCTGCTGGGACAAGTGGCAGCAGCAGCTCACCGCTAGATGAATTCCTAGTGGACTGGAGTTCCTGGCCCCAGCTTGATCAGCTCACCGACTGGTCCGTCTCCTTTGGTGCCGACTGGTCTGTCCCTTTTGCTGGCGCTGGAGCAGAAGGGGGCTGATCACCAGGCCACCACATCTATCGCGCACTGCTTCCACTCACGGGCTTGCGATGTCCGCGGCACGAGGCAATCTCCCACGCGACCATCTCCATCCTGCCAGAGGCGGCGTCCATCCAAGGCACCGTACTCTTTTTCTAGGGAGCTAGTGCATCAGCCTGGTGTCTTCAGTAGCAGTGGAGCCTGAGCTGGTCATAGCGGCGTCTCCAATGGCGAGCATCAATGCACGGGATGAGCGAGTTGCAAAAGACAAAGGTCTAACTCGGTCAGGCCAGCTTAAGAAATGTAGCCAAGCCCTGAGGCTTTCAGCGTTTGCACATGGGCAATAGCAGAGAGCGCCTAGCCTTTGCAGCTAGCTAACATCCTTTGAAAGCATTCATTGCTGATGGTCAAAGTGCGCATTCTCACTGTCCAAAGCTGCCGAACAAGCATGCCTAATCAGACACATCGATGAGGGGCCCGCGCTTGACCATGAGCGACATGACCTCGTACAGAACATCGGCGGCCACCTGCTGCGTCACCTCGGCCTGGTTGTCGTACGGCGGGCTCACCTCGACGAGGTCGGCACCCACAATGTCGAGCCCCTCGAGGCCGCGGATGATAGTACGGAGCTCTCGGCTGGACCAACCACCCGTCTCGGGGGTGCCCGTGGCAGGCGCTGCCGAGGGATCCAGCACGTCGATGTCAATCGACAGGTAGACAGGGTTGCCCTCGACGGCCTTGCGAATGTTGTCGATGATGCCCTGGGTGCCGATCTGGTCGATGAGGCGGGCCTCGTTGAGCTGGAAGCCGGCCTCCTTGTCGACGCGGTAGTCGCTGGGGCCCGAGAGGGTGGTGCGGATGCCGGCATGCACTGAACTGCCGTTGCGGATGAGGCCCTCGCGAGCAGCGTGCCAAAAGTAGGTCCCGTGATTGATCGAGGCCGTCTTGCTTCGACCGGCGCCAAAGACGCTCGGCTGCCACGTGTCGAGGTGCGAGTCAAAGTGGATCACGGACACAGGCCCGTAGGCCGAGTTGATGGAGCGGAGAATGGGCAGCACGATGGTGTGGTCGCCGCCGAGGGTGATGATGCGCGGGTGCACCTTGCCCGTCTTGGTGTAGAGAGGCTTGGTGTGCGTCTTGCCGCTGGGTCCTTTTATGGTAGTCGCCTTGGCAGCCGTGTGAAGGAGCTTTTTGTGGCCCTTTGTCATCTGCTCGATCGCCATGTTGTTGTCGTACGGTGTCACGGGCACGTCGCCGCAGTCCACGATGCGGGCCCAGTCCTTGAAGGGATTGACGTCGAGGGCAACGTTGTAGCCGCCGTACAGAGTGAGGCGCCGGCTGCCCTGGCGGATGCCATTGGGCCCGAAGCGGGCGCCCGGGCGGAAGCTGGTGCCCGTGTCAAAGGGCGTGCCCACAAACGCAATGTCAAATGTGTTTCCGGGCTTGACGAGGTCTGTGTCGGGGATTGAGCCAGTCAAAGGTGAGAAGCAGGCTCCAAAGGGCAGGTGGGCAAACGTCGTGACGCCGCTGAAGATTGAGTCGGCCGTGGGCTCGCCGTCGCCGGGAATTAGCAGCGGCTCGGCGGCCTGGAGGGGAAAGGGGACGCTGCCACTGTGTGGTGCCGGCCCAGTCAGCGCGGAAACGTGCTCGCTTGAATTGTGCTGCAACACTCACTCCTCAGACGGAGCCCGATAGATTCCGTGGGCGTTGCGCATGTGGTCCTCATCAGCGTGGTCGCAGTCGCTGTGGTGGTGGCTGCTGAGCACATGCTGCTGCTCCGCCAGTGCGGCCGTCACCAGGGAGACGAGGATCCAGGCGTATGTGCGCATTGTCGGTCGTCGAGGAGAGCCAGGGAGTGTCGTGTGCCCCAACGCCTTTTGTGCTTCCCCGCATGTACGGCATCGCTTCGTTATCTTGTGGGAGTGACGTGCACAACGTAACGGCTGTACGTAATGTGAGCGTGACGTGCGCAACGTAACGGCTGTACGTAACGGCAAACGTCACGTCGCGTCCGAGCGTGCGATCGGAGATAAAAAAAGAAAGGCGAGGGCGAAGAAGAAGGCAATGGTGAAGGAGATGACCAGAGGCGAATAATCCAGACCAACACCATGACTGACATGGAGAGCACGCCGCTCCTCACAGCAGGGCGAGGACGTGGTGGTGGTGGTGTTCTGACCGAACTCAAGACGCTCTCCTCGACGGCACTGCCGACGTCACTGGGATACATGGTGCAGAACTCGATCCAGACCGTCAGCATCGCCGTCGTGTCGGCCTCGGGCACGGACAGGGAGCTGTCAGCAGCGGCACACGGATTCATGATTGCCATGGTGACTGCCTGGACCATTGCGCTGGGCGGTACCACGGCCTTTGACACCCTCGCTTCGGCCAGCTACACGCAGGCAAAGGCCTCGGGGGCGGCCGAGACAAAGGTCGGTGTGCTTCTCCAGCGCAACGTGATCGTCCTCCTCGCCCTCTACGCCCCCTGCGCCATTCTCTGGGCTCTGTCGGCTCCGGTGCTCATCCGGCTCGGGCAGCCAGAGGACGTGGCAGAAGAGATTCAGAAATTTCTGCGGGTGTTGGCTTTTGGTGCGCCCGGCTACATTCTCTTCGAGGTGGGTGATCTGGTACAGATGCAAGAGACGCGACAGCTGATCCTCCGCACGCCAGTCGGGCAAGAAGTTCTGTCTCGTCCAGGGTGGGTTTAGCCTCAATACTTCTTTTCCTTGGGCCCATGCTCATCAATCGTCGCAGGCTCGGGTGCGCCCACAAACGTCCTGATCCTCATGGCACCCGTCAACCTGCTCCTCAACCTCGTCTTTGTCCGCTGGCTTAACTTTGGTCTCCTCGGCTCGCCTATCGCCGTTTCTGTGACATACTACTCGTCAGCGCTGCTGCTGGCCGTCTATGTAAAGACCCGTGCTCGCGACACGCTTGGCAAGGCATGGGGAGGCTATGATCGAGAGGCCTGGCGGCCCGATGGCTGCCTCGCCATGCTCAAGCTCGCCCTTCCCGGCGTCCTGATGGTGGGCACCGAATGGGTGGCCTTTGAGATTGTTGCGCTGGTAGGTTTTCTGTCCTGAAAGTGCATGGTTTCGGAGCTGACACAGGTCGCAACAAAGGCAGCGGGCAATCTGCCAGCACCCTCGCTGGCCGCCCAGTCCGTTGTCATGACCTGTGACCAGATTCTCAATGTGAGTTTGCAAGTGCTCCACTTTGCCACGGCACATCCTCACGGACCTGTCCCGTAGACACTGCCGTTTGGGCTCGGGGTCGCAGCCTCGGCGAGGATCGGAAACCTGCTGGGGGACGCCATCGCCTCGGCAGCGAAGCCCGTGTCGGTGCGACGACTGCGCCTGGCCTCGCAGTCGGCCGCTTTGCTCGCCACCATCCTCGGTCTTGCCATTGCTGGCTTGCTCATGCTCTTTCGTCGAGACTTTGGCAAGCTGTTCTCCGACGAGCAGGCCACAATAGACCTCGTGGCAGAGGTGCTTCCCCTGGTGGCAGCCTTTCAGGTGGGTAGCCATTCGCCCTCCAGATGGGCAGCGCTCTAAGTGCCTGATCTCCCCTCAACTCCTAAATTCTGCTTCACAGGTCTTTGACGGATGGGCTGCCGCCAACGGAGGATCGCTCAGAGGCATGGGCAAGCAGCACCTGGGCGCCGCGGCCAACCTGGTCTCCTACTACCTCGTCGCACTGCCCTTTGGCATTTATCTTGCCTTTCAACGGGCGCAGGGGCTCAGAGGGCTCTGGATCGGCAACGCGTTTGCCCTGGGCCTCGTGGGCGCCGGCGAATGGCTTCTCGTCACTCTTACAAATTGGGACCGTGAAATTGTTCGTGCAGAGCAGAGGGCAGACGAGGGAAATATACATTGAAGGGACCTAGAGGCAAAATCACTACTCACAGTAATAAAGTCGTAGGGCATGCAAGCGGGGGATAAAAAGAACGAATTCAGCCTAGGACCAGTAGTTCCCCCGAGAAAGTGGTGGTAAGGAGCCATAGAAAGGATACTTGCCGAGACAAAGGCAGGCTCGAGATCGTGGAAAAGGTGTGCCAGGAGAGCGTCAATCTGGTCTGTGCCCGGCCCGGCGATCGAGGGCGCACTGTAATACTTGGCCGTGGTCCCATTTGAGAGGAGCTCCGAAACGAGCATGCGGGCGGCCTGGCGCTTGAACGTCGGCGGCTGTGCAAGCAGAAGCGAGAGCGAGTCTGTCTCCTCGGAACCCAGCGAGGACGAAGGACCGAGCGATGCAGGCGTCGTGGACGAGGCAGTGGTGTAGCTGGCTGTACCAGCGTCGTCGGCCGGTGATGAAAATACTTCGGAGAGAGTGGCTGACGACGACGACGACGACGCCTGCTCGGGCAGCAGACCCGGCAGGCCGCTGGACGAGCAAGGGAACTCGTCTAGCTCTGCGTCTACCAGAGCAAGGGACCGGACTGCCTCCCTGAGCTTCTCCACCTTGGCTCGCTCTGCTTCGAGCGCGGCCATCAGTGCGTCTGCATTGCCCACGGGGCTGCCCAAGCTGCCCTTGAAGAGGCTTACTTCAGCCTCGAGGCCCGTGACGCGCCGTCTCAAATCGTCGCGCTCTGCAGCCAGAATGTCATTTTGTGTCCGGAGCTCCTCCCCCGTCTGTTCGAGATTTTGGATGTAGACCTTGCGCCGCGAACGCAACAGTGCCTGAGCCTGCGCGTTGCGGCTTCTCGCCTTGCTGTTTGACATGGTCGCTGGTGGTAGAAGACAGAGCAAGGGTAAGGAGGGTCTCTTGTGGGGTTGATAGGCGATAGGCGATAAGCGATAAGCCACGTGCGTCCCGATTTCTTCTTTACGTTGCCAGGTACGTAACGGCTAAATTCTGCACCAATCGGCGTCGAGATAGAGTCGTGGTCACTTGCAAATGCTCGCGCTGCTTAGATGAGAGGTGAATGTGTGTTGAGATAGCGGGCTGGTTCCTGTGCCTATTCAAAAGCAGGCGTGCTGGACGAGGGATGGCGCAGGCACCTCCTCCCAAGCAACAAGGATGAGCGACAAGGCGAGCGAAAAGATCAAGACGGTGGTCAGCAACGATGCCTACGGCCAGCTCACGGCCGACGAGAGGCTCCTGGCCTCGCTGGGCTACAAGCAGGAGTTCCGACGCGAGTTCTCGACGTGGTCGACAATCTGCTACACGACGTCGGTCATGGGCGTCGTCGCGTCCTTCACCGCCACGCTCAACTTTCCTCTCGATGCAGCCGGCCACGTGGGCATCGTGTGGGCTTGGTTTGTCGGCTCCATCATGGTCTGGACCGTGGCGGCGTCGCTGGCCGAGCTGAGCAGCGCCATGCCCACCAGTGGAGGCCTCTACTATTTTTCCGCTCGCCTGGCTCCGTCCAAGTGGGCGCCCCTGGCATCCTGGTGGACGGGCTGGATGAATGTGACGGGGCAGGTGTCGCTGGTGTCCTCGATTGCCTACACGGCGGCACAATTCATCTACGCTGCTGCCCTCGTAGCCAATTCGTCCCTGTCGCTGTCCTTGGGCGAGCTCTACGCCATCTTTCTCGCCATTCTCGTCTTCATCGGTGGCCTCTGCATGACGGCGACGAAGCTCTTGGCCAAGCTGAATATCCTCTACCTGATTCTCAATGTGGGCACTGCGCTGGCCGTCATCATTGCCTTGGCCGCCACTGGTCCCCACGTCTCGGCGTCTGAAGCCTTTACTTTATTCGAAAACGGCGGCGGCTGGCCGAACAACGGCATGGCCTGGCTCCTCGGCCTGACCGCAGTCATGTGGACACACACAGGCTACGACTCGGGTGAGCGCAAATCGGGCGATACTGCATTGTTTCGTAGGATCCCACTGACACTCCGGCAGCGGTCCACATTGCTGAGGAGACGCTCAATGCATCTCGCGTCGTGCCAAAGGCCATCGTGGCGGCCGTCTTTACCACGTCTGTGACGGGATTCGCCCTCAGCATCGTCACGTCATTCGGCATCGCCGACGTCGTGGCAACGGGACAGTCGAGCCTTGGCGTTCCAATGGCCCAGGTCCTTCTCGATCACCTGGGCTCCAGGGGCATGCTTGCCCTCTTTGCGTTCATCATTGTCGTCCAGATCAACACGGCAGCCGCCCAACTCGTCGATGCATCGCGCGTTGTCTTTGCCTTTAGTCGCGATGGCGCCCTGCCCCTGTCTCGGTATTGGTCCCGGATCAACTCGCGGACAAAGACGCCGGTCCTGGCAACGATCTTCGTCGTCGTCTTTGCCGCCCTCTTTGGCCTCCTCACACTCCAGCCGGCTGCCGGGCTGGCGCTCTTTAGCTGTGCCGTCATCGCCCTCTACATCTCCTACTGCATCCCTATTGCTTTCAGGCTGTTCTCCTCCAGCTTCCAGCGTGGGGTGTGGCACCTCGGCCCCTTTTCGCGGCCCATTGCTGGTGTGGCCTGTGCATGGGTCGTCTTCATCACCATCAGTGAGTTGGGAGTGTTCCCGCCCAGCTGGCTGATGCTAATACTTTTCCAACAGTCCTGCTCTTTCCACAGCAGGTCAATCCCGGGATAGCCGACATGAACTGGGCGATCCTGATCTGTGGGTAGCTGTGCGAACCCGAGGCGCCCCACTCTTGACGCTGACTGACATTGAATTCGCTGCAGTGGGCGTCATCGCCCTTGGCTCCTCAGCATGGTGGCTCATCGATGCCCACCGTTGGTTCACTGGCCCTATTCGCACTGTAGACGAGCTTGATTCTTGAAGACAATAACCACAACCGTGGCCTTTGCTGAAAGTAGATTCACAAGTTGCAGACATGGCTCGGACCGACATTGAACCTGCCATGTGGCACGGCACATCCACCCAAGGCACTTCTTACACTAATTGAAACTTTTCTTGCGTGCCTGCGCGAAAGGTTTATCCAGAAGCAATCTCACCTGGCCTCAAATCTTGTCGAGCCCTGCTGTCGAAGCCAGAAGCAGCAGAATACACAAGCATACGGACGTCCACTACTGACAGAAGCTTCTGCATTGAATCAAGGCTACTGGCGACCTCTCTTGAAAGCATCGCCGTGCAATTCGATTACAGAAAGCGAAACCACGTCTCAATTTACACCCTTGACCGTGCCCGTGAGTAAGTGAGTATCTAAGGAGAGGTCGTCTGAGAGACAGACTCAAAGGTGAGGAAAGATGGAGAGCATTATACAGCAATGATACAAATGTGTCGTGGGCCACTGCGCCAATTTTGAAAAAGACAAGGCTGCTCTAGAGGACGCTCCAGCTGGCGCCGTTGACGACGCCCTGACTGAGTGGTGCCAGCTTCTTGAAGGCGGCCTTGCTGAGGTCAAAGTGGTTGCTGCCGCAGCTCTCGCAGTAGTCGACGACCTTGGCGTTGACGCTCTTTCCCCCCTTTCGGATGTTGATCCACTTGCCGCACATGCCCTTCTTGCGGCTCATGGGCAGCGCCACGACGTAGTCGGACGAGGAGACGGCCTTCTGTCCCGGGCAGGCTGGGTTGGCCATCGATTGCCCTGCGTACCACGTGAGCTGCAGCGAGCCCCGGGCGACGAGCTGCTCTGTGCTGGTCTCGCTTTCGAGCGTGACGGGGGCGGCAGAGGCGCTCAAGAGCAGCACGGAGGCGAGGCCGAGAAGAACAACCTGGAAAGAAGCACGCATCGTTGGGACTGTGTGAGGAAGAGGGACCTATGCTGGTTGAGCGAAGATGGCATCGAAGCGAGGCCGCCTTATATGCTGCATAGACGGTATTCAACATAGGGACACACCCGCGAGAACGTGAGGCCGGATGGTCCCCATTTCGACGTTGTGGCTTTCACTTAATCACTTCCCAGGGATTCTCTCCGCCAAGCGATCCTCCTGAAGTCTTCCCAAGCCAAATGCCGGAAAATAAAAGAGGGTCCTAGGCGGGAACGGAAAATTCGAATTTCGAAACCTGACTCTTGTGGCGTTCTGTTCGTCGAAGCACGTCGTCGATCATTTCACGCACGTGCAACGACCGAGGCTCTCTCTGAAGCGTGTCGCAGCGAGCGTGTATAAGCCTGGGCTGGTGCATCTCCATTTGAAATAGAGTCGATCTGTCTGCAAGTCACGTTGAATTACACTGGCCCAGCTGCTCTGCTCGCTATCCGCGCGACTGGAGGTGAGTGAGGGCTGCACTCGATCCGCTGAGGCTCTGGTCCGGGCCGTGCGTCAGGCTTTCTTGGCCACAAAGTCAGGGGAATGGGCTGAAGCAGGTCTTCTGCCGTGGAAATACGAGAGTGTCAGCGTCTATTTGATGGAAAAAAATGTAGATTAGAGAGCCATGAATGCGGAATATATACACAGTTGGGTAAGGACTAAGAGACGAGATGGTTGAGTCTGTTGCCCAGTTCGAGCTCGAGCCTCTGACGGCCGGAGTCGGTGCTGTGCAGTGCCGCGTTGTCCATGCGCAGCCCGTCGGGGTTGGTCCAGTCGTCGTCTCCGTCGTCCTCGTAAATCTCCGAGGCATCTCGGACGTTGGCCAGGACGGCCTGCCAAAAGTGCTCGCGGAGGAGGGCGTCGAGTGGTCGGACACTTGCATCATCGCCGCCTAGGTGGTCGAGGAGAAGGCGTCGACCGTGCCTTTCTCCGTCCCGAGTAAAATCAAAAATCTCGTAGCCACGATCGACGTCGACGGCAAAGCGATGGGCGTCAAAGGCAGCATGGTGATGTGCCAAGAGGAGGAGGCCATTCTGCACCGAATCAATCTTTGCGTCACCTTGGCTGGGCCCGGTGTCGGTAACGAGACTTGCGAACCTCTTTGCTCGCCACTGTATAACGTGCAGCGTGCAGCAATTTAGTAAGGTATGGGGACCGATCCCAAGAAGCGAGGGTGGGCAGCTCACGAGATCAAGGTGCGCCCTCGCGAAGATATGGCAGGCGTGGAACTCCTCCCAGCCTCCTTTGCTCTGCGCTGTAACGCCAGAGACGAGGCATCTTTGGTCTCGCTCGCGGATGCGTGATGTAAAGTTTGGACCACGCCGGCCCGTCTCTGAGAGATTAAAGCTCATAGTACGACGATGGTAGACCTTGTTGGTCTTGGCGTGCGTGACGGGACCCATGGTGGGGCGGTCCACAACGTCGAAGGTGCCGTAAGGCATCATCGCATCTTCCCCCATGGTCTCGTCGTGCTCTGCGACGGATGCCACGCACACGAGCTCGCTTGATTGCACGTTGGTGTTCTCGGACCTTCGAGGGAGCAAAGCCCAGTCCGAGGCTTGGCCGTCGCCAGTCGAAAAATGCCAACCGTGGTCGAGCCACGCCCGAAAAAACCTCTTCGACACATTGCCGTGCTGATAGAAGCCTGCTCCCCATAGTGTAAGGTCACTCTCCCACGCTGCGGGTAAGAGTAATTTCTTCAAGCTCACCAGCGATCTCTTCCTCGCCTGAAAATACGTGTATGTTTCGAGCGCGAACAACTCGCGGCATGGCGATGAGATGATGATCGTGGTTGAAAGATGGACGGGGACTGAACCCTGTCTCATGAAAAAGTCAAGGAGACGCGTCCTATTCCTTGATTAGGTAAGCTCATGGCATTGCGCAAGGAGACGTCTGGCTACATTGCTATTGCTGGCCCACTGCATGCGCAATCTTTCCCAATGGGAATGGGAGGCTGCCGGTGGAAGATTGATGGATCGTCTGCTGGATTCCCTCAAGGCCCGCGCGAAGGGGGTCTGACGAAGCTTAGTCGACTGGCCACCGTCGAAATGAGAGCGGACAAATGGCGCTGTCGAAAGAGGCACACGTCTTTGCCAGTGCATAGCGGGCCGCAAGCTCCTTTGGTGATGGGCACTTGCCGAGCATGCCTACGAGAAAGTCGATAGGGTGGCCTAGCATCGAGTGGACCACGCCAAAGGTGACTTCAGCCCCCCGGGGTGCGGGATCGAGGGCTGGCTGGGCAGGAGGGTGCGCACATGATCCTTGCTCACAGCCTGCACGCACGCATCTGCTGTCTCGAGCGATCCGTGACAGTCGAGAGCACGGTCGAGCGTGGGCCACTCCTCGTCCTCACGTGCATAGATGGCCTGAGCACCCATCGATCGCAGCATCTGCAGAGAGGAGCGCGCAGCACCTGACGTCCTGTCCCAATGCTGCAGAGCTGTGGAAGCGCTGTAATTGTACTTTCGCTATGGGGTTTAAGCTCGCTCTGACTCTGCGCCCGCTGTAATCATCTGCTCGTCTTGCCCTGCTCAGTCGCTAGGCGCCTTGCAAGGAATACGACAGGCCTGAGAAGCCGCCGATGCCCGGGATAGATTGACGCCTTGCCTCGACTGCCATCTTGCACTCGCTGGCAAATGGCCACACACTTGTTGCTTCCTCGAGCATCTCCTGGGCAGACCGCATCGTCTGCACCGACGACAGACGCATCCACTTTGCCTGCTGCGGCGTCGCAGACCTCATGTGCGGCCACACGAGGGCACTTGCGTCGCTTGCGCCCCGCTGACAGGTGCAGAGCTGGGGCACGCCGGGATTGGGGTGAGCAGCACCCACGCAGCCGGGCTTGGCCACGTGGGCCGTCAGGGCGATGGCCTTGGCAAAGACGGCTGCCACCTGGACACAGGCAAAGAACGGGCAGCAGTCGCGCACGCGCGGGACATGCGCAGAGGTGGCCGGCAACGGCAGCGACAGCGGCAGCTGGGCATCGCTTGCGACGGCGCGCTGGTCCATCGCCTCGATGAGACGGATGACGGCGTCGGCATTCTCGCTCATGCTTGTGATGGACCGGAGGAGCAGGCTGTGCTGCTCGTCGGCGTCGAAACTCTTCTCGCTCGACGCTGGCGCTGACTGCGAGGACATTGCGCCGTCGTCGTCGTCGTCGTCGTCGAGAGAGATGATCTCGTGGGGCGATGGCCCGGGCAGCCAGTACAGCCTATGGAGGCTCGTCTGGGCCGCATGGAGGGAGAGCAGGCCACGCATGGCAGCAAGCCGGGCCTTTGAGCGCTCGAGGTGAACGAGACCAGCGGCAGGCACGCCGTCGATTACCTCGACGAGCTCGTGAGTGGGCGCAACGAGGGCGCGAAGCATCGTCTCGAGCACCGAGAGCCGGGACTCGGCCTCTGCATTGGCCAGCCGCCGTACCTCGGGATCTACGGCCTCGGCGAGGACGGCCGAGGTGCGCGCGCGCAGGCGCCAGAAGCGGTCGGTGACGGCGTACCGCTCGCCCCACGTGGGCGGCAGCACCGCGGCGTCGAGGCTCAGCACCGTCGCATCCCGGGGCCCGCCCTGCGACGTGGCGGCAAAGATGATGGCGGTGCACTGGTGCAGCTCCCACCAGCTCTGCCGGTATGCGTTTGTCAGGCAGAGGCGGCAGGGGCTCGCCGTATCGCAGACAGCGACGGCGTCGAGGCACGAGGAGGCATTCGAGTGAGCCAGCAGCGACGCCAGCGCCAAACGGGGAGCGCCGTCTCGTCGGCGATGCGTGCGTGCAAATGTCCGGTCGCCGGCATCGATACGGTCCAGGCCAATGGCAGCAGCCACACGCGCACCCACACGCAGCACCTGGAGACATTCGGCGAGCCGGCTCGTGCCGTACGCGTACTTTGCCAGCACCGTCGTGGCCTCGACGAGGTGCAGGGCGCTCACGGCGTCGCTGCCGTCGTCGCACGGGGCAGTGTGCTCGTCAAAGAGGAGCTTTGCCTGCTGGTACAGGGAGTCGCACCCTTCTGGCCCCGAGCGCGCAGTCCGATGGCCGTACGCAGCGCACGCCAGCACGAGGCAGCGCCAGCCGGGTGAGGTGGAAGGGGAGGGACAAGAGGAGGAAAGGGCGGCGTCGCACAGACCGACTGCCGCCGCTGCCACACTCCACGGCAGCGGGTCTGAAGTGGCCAGGCGAAAGAAGCGCAGGCCGCTTGACACGTCAAGTGGCCCCTGCACACCCACGGCTAAGGGCGGCGTGAGGGAACTGTTTATCGCCAAAGAGGGCCCGCTGGTGGGCGGGATCAGATCGGCCCAGAAGCCGCTCATCTCAGCGTCGAGCTGCTGCAGGTCAACCGTCACTGGGTGAAGATCTGGCTCGGTAGCATACCACGGCGCGCAGGCAGCAGCGACATCCTGCTGTGTGGCTGTGGACGACGACGGCGGCGCCGCCAAGACCTGCTTGCGGGGCCTTCCGAACCGCCTGCTCTGCACCCAGACGCAGTCGAGGCCCAGGTTTCGACAGCGGAGGCAGGGCGAGCGGTCTTCTGCTGGCGATCGCTGGCACTTGTGCCGAGCTGCGCGGCAGGGCATGCATGCCAGCGCCGAGCGCTGTGCCGGCTTCTGCCCCGACATGTCGCTCCGTCCGACGTGGTGGTGACGCGAGCAGCCGTCGCACTTAGAAGTCATCGCACTCGAAAATCAGAATTTAGACTGAGTCTAAACGTGCAGGATCTTGAGTTCTCTCATGCAGGCTGCCACGGGCAAGGTTCAATTTAGAGTAATTCTGTCACTGCTACTACTGTACTAGCGAGTCATAGGACGAAGCTTATCGATGTCTTCCTTGGACCACCCGGAGTCCTGGAGAATGCGCAGCAGGATGCCCGTCTTGCCATCCACGTACTGGCCAATGTGCTCGTAGTCGTGCCTGGCCAGCTCCTGCTTGACTCGAGCGTACTCGTCGCGCACCTTTGCATCTTTGCGCAGTGCCTCTCGGACATCGAGGTGGTTGCGCAGGGCGCGGCAGCCGTTCAGCATCACATAGGTGTTCCTGCGCATCTCCTGTCCTGGTCCAGTGGAGCCACCCAGCGCGGCGTCTGCCTTGCCGTAGCCGGGCTGCCGGAACGCAAAGCGACCTGCAATGTCCATCTCGCCCAGGTCGAGGTAGCCACCCGGATTGACCATGACTCGGCGCGCGACCTCCAGCTCCTCGGGGCCAGACACGATGATGTCAATGTCGAGGACTGGCTTGGCTACCAGGCCTACCACGGACGTGCTTCCTACATGCTCGATGCCGACCAGGGGCACGCCGCGCAGTAGCTCCTCCAGCTCCGCCTTGACTCGCTGGAACTCCACGGGCCACTGCGGATTGTAGGGCTCCAAGTGGACGAGCATGGCTTGTGGGATGTGCTGGCGACGCAACTCGCTGATCGCAGCCCTTTTTGAGCGCGTCCGGTCTGGCTCCTGAAAGGGAAGCGGAACACCGCGACGCTCATAAGGGGTCCAGCAGCATGGTGGACAGATCACGTGAACAATGCGCGAAACTCCGAGTCATGGCAGCAGCGCGCTTCCTTCCCGTGTCTTATAGAGCAGACAGACAGGCAGACACCATCGACATGGCGCTGCCTCAGGGCGTGATAGAAGACGAGATCGAGGTCGTGGAAGTAGCCTGGGACGACCGGGAAGCGGTGCGGCTGCGGCAGATGCAGCGCGACGATATTGCTGGGGAATTCCCGCTCTCCAAGGAACCCGGCCCGCCGCCGTCGGTCAGCGACTGCCTCGTGTTCCTCATAGCCCGGCGGCGGGGTGAAGCACAGGCGCTGGCCGCGGGCGGGCTGCGCCGTGTAGACGATAAGCGTGCCGAGGTGAAGCGCATGTATGTCGTGCCCCAGTTCCGCGGCCGTCCTCTGCAGCTCGGCCAGAAGATCGTCGAGGCGCTGGAGCGTCGCGCCAGGCAACTGGGCTTCTCGCAGCTCTTGCTCGAGACGGGCACCTTCATGGCCGGGCCGCGCAAGTTCTACGAGCGGTGCGGCTACCAGCAGGACGAAGCCTTCCCGCCCTACCTCGACGCACCTCAGTCAGTCTTCTACGCCAAAGACATCTGAGAGCGCCTGCTTCCTGGCCTGGGCTGAGTCACTCGAGCACGCAACGATTCAATGCACATCTTCGGACATTTGATTGCACTCGAGAGTCTCAGTCTGAGTTTGGGTCTCGGTCTGAATGTGGGCTATAGTGATAGCTGGCGAATTCCGAATGACTAAGGGGAAATGTAGCCGGGCCAACTACTACGAGATATCTCATAGCGAGCGAGACGTTCACGGTGATTGCGGCTCTCTCGCATTCGTTGCTCCATCGCGTATTGATCGACAATAGACTTAAGCCTCTGCTCCTCGGGACCGCTTAGGTCGCCTTTCTGAGCGCGTATGGTTGCGTCACAGATAGAGGACTCGAGGTGGTGGTTGAGCACTACTGTCAGTGCCTGGTAGCACGTGTTGCACCACTCGTTCTTGCTTTTTTCTAGGCCCCTAAGGCATTCCTTGAGTGGTTTGAGGTGGTCTTTCTCAAGCTCGCTTCGCAGCTCCTTCTCAAGGAGGTCGAGCCTGTGTTTTAAGTTTGCCAGGCTGGGATCTTGGCTCGTGCTGGTGCTGGGATTGTGGCTCGTGCTGGCACTGCAGGACAGGCCATTGAGCCGTTTGTGGAGTCTGTGGATCTTCTTCCTGAGATCAAGAGCTTTCTCTTCTTTGAAAGGACGACAAGACCGCCTATAACTTGGATCCTCCGATGCCCTTTTCTCCAGTGCAGCCTCATGACTGTCGAGTTCATCTGGGAAGCGAATGGAGCAGTCGCTGACACGCCTCGCAGCTAGGCTCGATGGCACGGCGGCGGCCCTGCACGAGAAGGCCGCGGTCAGCAAAGAAACACTGCTTCTTGTCCAGAGTCGTTTCCCACCTGGCTGTCAGCGCAAGCGTAACTACGCCGAAGCAGAAAAGAAGGGCTGAGACGCGCATCGTAGACACGACTATGATGGTTGTGAGGAGAGGCTAGCCTGGGCAAAGTAGGGTGAAGTGGGTCGGCTGAGGCGTCCATTGGCGCGCAAGGCGTTGCGTACTCCGTTCGTGACAAGGTACGCCCCGGTCATATAGCGACGATATGTGTGATAATGCCTCCAGACGAGGCCTTCTCACCCCACCTCGATTCATCCCAGTCAGTCTAACACGCCAAGGACATCTGAATGCGCCTGACTTCTGGCATGGGTCACACGCGCACTCAGCAATGCAGGGCATATCTCCGAGCAATTCATTGCATAAAAGAGTCCGAGTCTGTGTCTAAGTCTGCTCCTGCCCACATCAATAGACACCAGTACCGGTTGACCATAGCCTTCATCCTCCGCTCTTCGGGGCCATTTAGGCGTCCTAAGCAAGCGCGTTTCACTTTGTTGAGCAAGGGTGCCTCGAGATGATCGGACACTACCTTCAGGGCCTTGTAGCACTTGTCACTCCCTTCCTGTTCGGTTTTGTCGTGTGCAAGACTATCTCTGAGTGCGATGATGTCGTCTCCCCCGAGCATGCGGAATAGCTCCTCCTTACGCAGGTCTAGCACACGCTTCGAGCGGATCAGCGTGCGGTCTTGGCTCGTGATGGTGCTTGGATGCTGGGTCGTGTTGGTGCTTGGATGATGGCTAGTGCTGGTGATGACGGACAAGTGCTCGATCTGTTTGTGAAGTTTGTGGACCTTGCGCATAAGGTCAAGAGTCTTCGCTTCTTTGACGGGAGGACGAGACACACAATTTGAAAAATCCTCTATCCTCCTTTTCAACGCAGAATCTTGAATGTCGAGCTCGCCTGGGAAGCGAGGAGGGGAGTCGCTGACATGCTGCGCAGCTAGGCTCGTTGGAACGGCGGCAACCCTGCACAAAAAGGCCGTGGTCAGCAAAGAAACAATGGCTCTTGTCCAGAATCGCCTCTCACCCGGCTGTCAGCGCAAGCGCAGCTACGCCAAAGGCAAAAGAGAAGCAAAGAAGTACTGAGACGCGCATCGTGGGCACGACTGTGATGGTTATGAGGAGGGAGAAGCCAGCCTAGGCGACGAGGGGTTTAAATGGGTTGGTTGAGGACGAAGCATGCTGTATGGAGCATCGCTCGGCGCGCAAGGCGTCGCGCACTTGACTCGTGACAGAGGACGCCCCGAGCGCAAGGCGTCGAGCACACGACTTGCGACAGAGGGCGCCTCGATCCTGCCGCGATAATAAGTCTAATTGGCTGGAGAACTTACTTTAGAGAGGCGTGGGCATTTTTGTATCAAACAAGTTGACCATTGTTGGCCCGCCAGGCGCTGCGCTCGAGCATTCTTGCCCCGGAGGCGTACGCCACTTCTGATGAGCAGGCCGTTGATGGCGCACCCGTGCACCGCGAGAGCGCCGCGGGTCATGCGCAAACACCAGCTTGTCCTGTCCGCCCTTGCAGACGATATCCGTGACGGCCAGCTGTGGTGGCCAAGGTCGTTGCTGCAGTCTGGGCTCTCTTGTAGGAGGTTTGCCCCGTGGCCATCCAAGGCGTGCACGTGTTAGCGCCCGGTGTCGTCGTCGCACTTCTGCAGGCAGGAGCCAGCGGCAACCTTGCCGCCGTCACGATGCCCGGGCACACAGGCACGCAGCAAAGCACATCTTCGAACAATTCATTGCGCTCAAGAGTCTGAGTCTGGGTTCGACTTTCAGTCTGAGTCTGAGTCTGAGTTTGAGTGTAAGTATGAGAAAGGGGAGTATCTGCGGTATTCCCGAAGGTCACGGATCTCTCGACCGTGACGACGGCGATCAAGGATCTCTCGACGGCGACGACGGCGATCAAGGATCTCTCCATCGCGAAGACGGCGATCAATGATCTCTCGACGGCGACGACGGCGATCAAGGATCTCTCGAGCGTGACGACGGCGATCAGGGATCTCTCGATCGTGACGACGTCTCCATTCCTCTCGTCGCTCTCGTCGTATCGTCTCGTATTGATCGACGACAGACTTTAGCCTCTGCTCCTCGGGACCGCTCAGATCGCCTTGGCGAGCGCGTGTGATTGCATCAGAGACAGAGGACTCGAGGCGATGGTTGAGCACTACTGTCAGTGCCTGGTAGCACTTGTTGCACCACTCGTTGTTGTTCTTTTCTAGGCCTTGAAGGCATTCCTGGAGTGGTTTGAGGTTTTTTTCCTCGAGCTCGCTTCGCAGCTCCCTCTCAAGGACGGCGAGATCTTTCTTTAACTTTACCAGCTCAGTATGTTGGCTGGCGCTGGAATCGTGGCTAGTGCTGGTGTTTGTATTGTGGCTCGTGCTGGCGCTGCAGGACATGAGATTGAGCTGTCCGTGGAGTATGTGGATGTGCTCCCTCACTCGAAGAGCATTCCATTCTTTGAAAGGATAACGAGGCAGCATAACCCGTGGATCGTGGTCCATCCTCTTTTCCAACGCAGCCTCTTGACCGTCGAGCTCGCCTGCGAAAAGAGGAGAGGAGTCGCTGACACGCCACGCAGCTGGACTCGCTGGCACGGGGGCGATACTGCATGAAGAAAGCGACGTGCTCAGCAAAGAACCACTCACTCTTGTCCAGAGACGTCTCTCACCTGGCTGTCAGCGCAAGCGTAACTACGCCGAAGCAGAAAAGAAGGGCTGAGACGCGCATCGTGGAGTAGAAAAGATTGTGGTGGTTGTAAGGAGAAAGAGGTCAGCCTATGCCGTGAGGGGTTTATCAAGGGTTGGCTGAGGACGAAGCGTGCTGGAAGGGGCGTCGCCCGGCGCGAGGCGTTACGAACTCGGTTTGTGGCAGAGGCCGCCCCGGTCATGCAGTGATGAGTCTGACAATGTCGGACGAGCCCTTCCCACTCTACATCTATGCATCCCAGTCCGACGTCTACCCCGAGCACGTCTGAAAGCGCCAGCCTCTTCCTGGCGACCGAGTCCGGGTCACACAGGCACGCAACAATGCACATCTTCGAACATTTCATTACACTCTGACAATATCTGAGTCTGAGTCTGAGTCTGAGTCTAACGTCAAGTCTACATCTGAGTCTGAGCCTAAGGCTAAGGTTGAATATGAGCCCGAGTTTACGTCTGGTCCATGCATTCGACGAATCCATTCTTGCCATTCGAGCTCTAGCTGTCGTACCTTCTCCGCGTACTGATGGACAAGAAGCATCATCCTCTGAACTGCGGGACCGCTAAAGTCTCCTTTGCGAGCGCTTTCCACTATGTCGCGAAAGGGCTTCTCGAGATGATCGGACGCTGCTTTCAAGGAACTGAAGCACTGGTCGCCCAATTCCCGTTCGGTTTGGGTGTCTTTAAGACACTTCCTGAGTGCGAGGATGTCTTTGTCCAGGAGGCTTTCGAGCAACTGCTCCTCACGCAAGCCGAGCTTGTCTTTTAAGCCCTTCAGCTTGACATCTTGGCTCGTGCTGGCGCTCGGCTCCTGGCTCGTGCTGGTGCTCGGCTCCTGGCTCGTGCTGGGGCTGGGATTATGGCTGGGGCTTGCGCTGATGGACAAGCGTCCGATCTTTTCGTGGAGTCTGTGGACCCGGCGCATGAGGGCAAGGGACTTCTGTTCTTTGACGGGAGGACGATGAGACAAATAATCTGAAAGACTCTTTGAAAGATTCTCATCCATCCTCTTTTCCATTGCAATGTATTGATTGTCGAGCTCGTCTGAGAGGCGAGGAGGTGATTTGCTGACACGCCACGCAGCTAGGCGCGATGGCACAGCCGCAACCCTGTACGAAAGCGCCGTGCTCAGCTGGAAAACAATTCCTCTTCTTTCTCCAAAGTCGCCACTCACCTGGCTGTCATCGCAAACGCAGCTATGCCGAGGCAGAATAGAAGGGCTGAGACGCGCATTGTAGACACGACCGTGATGGTTGGGAGGAGAAAGAGGCCAGACGAGGGATCAAATGGGTCGGCTGAGGACGAAGCGTGCTGTAAGGGGCGTCGTTCGGCGCGAGGCGTTGGTAACTCGGTTCGTGGCAGAGGCCGCCCCAGTCGTGCAGCGACGATGAGTCTGACAATGCGCGTCGAACGAGGCCTTACGACCCCTCCTCGATGCTCCCCAGTCAGTCTTCTACGCCAAGCACATCTAATGTGCCTGCCTCCTGCGGTGGGTCAGTCGAACACCCAGCGATACAATGCGCATTTTCGAAACATTCAATACAATCAGAGTCTGATTCTGACTCTCAGTCTGAGTCTGAGTCTGAGTCTGAGCTTGAGCTTGAGCTTGAGCTCGAGTCTGAGTCTGAGTCTGAGTTTGAGTCCGAGTCTGAGCTTGGGTATTTGTTCCAGTTCCGGTACATGTCTTGGCGTAGGCAGTAGCTGCAGCATCTCCAGGGTTTATTGGAACCTTCACCAATACAAGGGCCATCATAGATCCAATGATTAGCGAAATGTCGACAAGCATGATGCCTCTTTTGCTTTCGTTGCATCTTCACGTATTGATCGACGATAGACTTTAGCCCCTGCTCCTTGGGACCGCTCAGGTCGCCTTGGCGAGCGCGTGCGATTGCGTCACAGACAGAGGACTCGAGGCGGTGGTTGAGCGCTACTGTCAGTGTCTGGTAGCACACGTTGCTCCACTCGTTTTTGTTCTTTTCTAGGCCTTGAAGGCATTCCTGGAGTGGTTTGAGATGGTTGAGATGGTCTTTCCCGAGCTCTCTTCGCAGCTTCTTCTCGACCTCCTCGAGATTGTGCTTTAGCTCTGCCAGCTTAGTGTTTTGACTGGTGCTGGTGCTGGGATAGTTGCTCGTGCTGGCGCCGCAGGACAGTCGAATGAGCCGTTTGTGGAGTCTGTGGATCTTCTTCCTGAGATTGAGAGCATCCTTCTCTTCGTTGGGAGGAGGAGGCAGCCCACCCCATTGATCGTAGTCCATCCTCTTTTTCAGCCCAGCCTCTTGAGGAGAGGAGTCGCTGACACGCCACGCAGCTGGACTCGCTGGCACGGCGGCGATACTGCACGAAGAAAATGACGTGCTCAGCAAAGAGGCGATCGCTCTGGTTCAGATTCGCCGCTCACCTGGCTGTCAGGGCAAGCGCAGCTACGCTGAAGCAGAAAAGAGGTGCTGAGACACGCATCGTGGACACAACTGTTGATGTTTGTGAGGAGAGAGGGGCCGGCCTGGGGGACGAGGAATTGAGTGTGTCGGCTGAGGAAAAACCGTGTCGGTAGGGGCGTCGTTCGGCGCGCAAGGCGTTGTGAACTCGATTCGTGGCAGAGACCGCCCGGTCATACAGGGATAATGAGTCTGACAATGTCGGACGAATCCTTCCCACTCTACCTCGATCCACCACCCAATGAGTCTTCTACGCCAAAGACATCTGGATATACTTGGCTTCTGGGCTAGATCACTCGAGCACACAGCGATGCAAGACAAATCTTCGAACACTTCATCGCATTTAAGAGTCTGATCCCGTCTCTCGGTCTGAGACTGAGACTGAGTCTGAACATGAGCTTGAGTCTGAACTGGAGTCTGAGTCTGAGCTTGAGTCTGTGTTCCAGTGCCATTACTGGTCGGGGGGTTGGTAGTAGCTAGAGAATCTCCAAGGTTCAGGGGGACCTCGACGGTAACGACGTCTATCAATTTCCCAAGGGTCAGGGGAACCTCGACGGTAACGACGTCTATCAATTTCCCAAGGGTCAGGGGAACCTCGACGGTAACGATGTCTATCAATTCCCCAAGGATCAGAGACTTCTTGACGGTGATGACAATCATCAATGGTCCAAAGTTCAGGGTGATCTTGACGGTAATGACAATCATCAACTTTCCAAGGGTTGGCGAGACCTTGACGGTGACGACGGCTACCAGTTGTCCGAAGGTTCGAGTCAATTCGATGACGATAACGACGTTGTATTTCCTCTTGCCACTTCTTCGCGGATTCGTTGTAAATAGACTCTAACCTCTTCTCCTCGGGACCGCTCAAGTCGCCTTGGCGAGCACGTTCGATGGCATCACAGACAGGAGACTCGAGATGGCTGCGCACTACCGTCAGTGCCTGGTCGCACTTGTTGCACCAATCGTTGTTGTTCTTTTCTAGGTCTTGAAGGCAGTCCTGGAGTGGTTTGATGTGGTCTTTCTCGAGCTCTCTTCGCAGCTTCTTCTCGGCCTTCTCGAGATCGTGCTTTAATTTTGTCAGCCTAGGGTTTTGACTGGTGCTGGTGCTAGGACCGTGGCTGGTGCTGGGATCGTGGCTGGTGCTGGCAATTGTATCGTGGCTTGTGCTGGCGCTGCAGGACAGGCGATTGAGCTTCTTGTGGAGTCTGTGGACCTCCTTCCTGAGATTGAGAGCATGTTGTTCTTCGTAGGGAAAACGAGGCAGCCCATCCCGTGAATCGTAGTTCATCCTCTTTTTCAACACAGCCTCTTGACCTTCGAGCTCGCCTGCGAAAAGAGGAGGGGAGTCGTTGACACGCCACGCAGCAGGGCTCGCTGGCATGGCGACGGCGCTGCACGGGAAGGCCGTGGTCAGCAAAGGAACACTCTCGCTTGTCCAGAGTCGCCTCTTACCTGGCTGTCTGCGCAAGCGCAGCTAGACCGAAGAGGAAGAACAAGCAAAGAGGTGCTGAGACGCGCATCGTGGACACAGCTGTTGATAATTGCTGAGGAGAGAGAGAGAGGCCAGCCTGGATGACGAGTGGTTAAATGGATTGGCTGAGGACGAAGCGTGTCGGATGGGGCGTCGTTCGGCGCGCGAGGTGTTGTGAACTCGGTTCGTGGCAGAAGCCGCCCCGGTGACGCAGCGATGATGAGTCTGATTGTGCCGTCGTACGAGGGCTCCCCACCCTGCCTCGATGCGCCCCAGTCGGTAATCTAGACCAAGCACATCTGAAAGCGCTTGCACCTTCGTGGCGACGGAGGCCGGGTCACACAAACATGCAGCAATGCACATATTCGAACATTTCATTGCCCTCTAGAATCTGTGTCTCAGTATGCGTCTGGGACTGAGTCTACGTCCAAGTCTTAGTCCAAGTCTTTGTCTGGATCTGAATCTATTCCGGGGATTAGACGCCGCACATCGTTCTTTAGCTGTCGTAGCTTCTGCGCGTACTGTTCGACAACAGTCATCATCCTCTGCTCTTCGGGGCCACTAAGGTCTCCTTTGCGAGCGCGCTCCGCCGTCTTGCGCAAGGGTGCCTCGAGATGATGATACACTTTCTGCAGAGCCATGAAACACGAGTCACTCCATTCCACTTTGGTTTCGTCTTCTGCAAGACAATCCTTGAGTGCGATGGTGTGGTCTGCCGCGAGAGTGCGGATTAGCTTCTCCTCATGCAGGTCTCGCGCATTCGTCAAGCTCTTCAGCTCAGAGTCTTTGCTAGTGCTGGTGCTAGGATGCTGGCTCGTGCTGGTGCTTGGCTGCTGGCTCGTGCTGGCGCTGATGGACAAGTGCTCAATCTGTTCCTGGAGGCTGTGGATCTTGACCATGAGGGCAAGGGCCTCCATCTCTTTGACGGGAGGAGAATGGGCCAACCAATCTGAAAGCTTTTCTGAAAGACTCTTCTCCATCCTCTTTTCCAACGCAGAATCTTGACCGTCAAGCTCGCCTGCAAAGCGAGGAGGGGAGCCGCTGACACGCCGCGCAGCCAGGCTCGCTGGCACGGCGGCGATACTGCACGAAGAAAGCGACGTGCTCAGCAAAGAAGCACTCCCTCTTGTCCAAAGACATCTCTCACCTGGCAGTCATCGCAAGCGCAGCTACGCTGAAGCAGAAAAGAGGTGCTGAGACGCGCATCGTAGACACGACCGTGATGATTGTGAGAAGAGAGAGGCCAGACGAGGGATCAAATGGGTCGGCTGAGGACGAAGCGTGTTGGATTGGGGCGTCGCTCGGCACGCGAGGCGTCGCGCACTCGGCTCGCGACCGAAGTCACTCCGATCCTGCAGCGATGATGAGTTTCATGACGACGTGCAGCGATGATGAGTTTCATGACGACGTCAGAGAGGCGAGGACGTGTTTGTGACACGCAGGCAGACCGTTGTTGGCCCGCCCAGTGCTGGCGCCCCGGTTCTTTCACTGGGCCAATGCTGCCCCGGGCCGGTCTGCCCTTTCGATAAGCAAGGCGGTGTTGGCGCACTCAGTGCCACGAAAGCACCCCGGTTCCTGCGCAAAGACCAGTCTGCCCTGCCCTGCAGACAAACGTCCGTGACTGCCAGCTGTGGTGGCAGAGGCAGTCGCTCTAGTCTGGGGCCCTCTCGTGGGACAACAGCACGGTAGCCATCCTAGGGCGAGTACACGAGCGCCGTCGCGATTCTGCAAGCAGGAGCCGACGACATTCTTGCCGCCGTCTGAGAATGGGCTTAAAAGAGGAGCAGCTGCGACCACTTTCGCTCGCGCAGGACCTCGTGCCAGGTCGAGGTGCGCTGCGCTGAGGCCGACTGCCGCCACACATCCTCGACGAGCTCGACGCAGATTTCCGTGGCGCCGCAGTCGGCCTGCCGCCGCCAGTCGAGGAGCGTGGAGCGGCAGAGGGCCTGCTCGCGGGCATCGGTCACGTTGGTCGCCGCCTGGAGGTAGGACCAGATGAGGGCGCCGTCGGGGGCTCGGTCCTGCCAGCTCGCTGTCGGCGTCGAGGGGGGCACGTCAGCATGCGCATGCGAGGGCGAGTCTCGCGTCGCTGGACAGTCTTCGTCGTCGTCGTCGCCGTCGCGAGCGCCTGCGCGGCGCTGTCTGCGGTTGAGAAAGGCCATGACCCTGTTGATCTCGCCCGTGACGCGCGTGGTGTCGCCCAGGAGCGTCGTGGAAAAGTAGATGAGGACGCCGGCCTGGAGGACCTCAAAGATGGTGTAGCGCATCGCGGCAGCCTCAAACGTGTCCTGCCGGACCAGCTGTGGCCGGCAGGACCGGATCTGCAGCTCGATGCTCCTCGCCTCGGTCACGACGCTGTCCGACGAGACAAAGTTGATGATGTCTGCGCCTCGAGTGTAGGAGCGCTGCATGCTGTCCCTCGTCGACGTGGTCGCCGTCGTGTCGATCTGGCCCTGGAGCCGCTCGGAGAGGAGCACAATTCGTGAGACGGCATCAAGAAGGTCGATCGGCCACCCACACACGCACTGCGTGCACTCGAGCACCGACTCGGTCCCCGTCTCGGTCTCCCACGCGCGCACGGCGTCGAGCAGCGGACCTGAACGAGACGGGCCGGGGGCAAGCGAAAGCGTGCGCGAGAGCACGTACCACCAGAGCAGGACCCTGCAGAGGAAGCGAAAGGGCGAGCCAGGCCCCATGTCGAGGGCCGACGAGGAGGGAGGCGTGGCGATGAGGAGGAGCACCACATCCATCGCGCGATCGACGCACTCCTTTGTCTGTCGGCCGAGGCCGTTGTCAAACTGCTCGACGTGGCCGACGAGGATGGCCCCCGCGAGAATCTCGAGCGTCTGCAGCTCCGTCCGCTCGCAGGGTTCAAGCTCGACGAGGTGGAACCACTGCTTGAGGCACCTCGACAGGTGCGCATGCGCCAGCGCCCTCCGATTCACGGGTCCGACGAGGGAGAGCGAAATGAGGCCGACGGCCGTGACGAAGCTGACCGTCAGCGTGCTGCTCAGACACAACTCTCCAAACACTTTGCGCCAGACGTTGGCCTCTGCTGGGACGAGGTGGAAGGTCTGCAGGACAAAGTTGAAGACTGCCGTTTGTGTGTGTTTGTCAGTCGGAGTGGTACAGCGTGCATACATCGTCCCTTGACTCACAGCGTGACACTGCCTCGAGCTGCAAGGGTGTGGTGCAGATCCGCTGGATACGCTCCTGTAGAGTAGCCTCTGTATGCGACGCGTCTCCAGGATGGCAGCCGTTTGTGCCTATCGAATACGACCGTGTCTCTTGGCCATCTTGTCGATGCCCAAGCGACAAAAGCATTGCCGCGGGGCTCTCGTCGTGCATTTCGGTCGTCTGGTCGCAGTTCATCCAGTCAAGTGGACCTGCTGAGAGCTGCCGTGCCGAGGGGCTCTCGTCTGTCTCGTAGGAGCGCATCACCGAGGCGAGAAGGTGCTCAAAGTCTGACGTTGTCAGGTCCTGCGCGCCTGCCCTTCCCCCCCGGGGAGATAATGGCCGCACAGAGGCTGATGGAGTCGACACGGAGAGATTGGACGCAGAGGATGGCAGGCAATCTCGAGAGCTGTCCAATGTGGCATCGCCGCGACTCGACGCCGATGGACTTGTGCCGAGCCCCAGTACACGCGGCCTCATTTGCTGGGGATAGCCGGCGCATTGCCTTGTTTCCACCTCGCAGCGAACGCAGCTCGGCCTCCTCTCGTCGCACTTGACCTTGGCCGGGTCGGTCGGTCAGCCAAAGTCTTCTCACGCCGACCACGCTCCCGAACCCCTCACCTTGCGCCTCTTGCACGTCAGGCATCCGTTTCTGCTTCGCACCACTTTTTTGTGCCTCCGAACCTCGTCCATGATATTGCCGGGATGCGCGTCGATGAGATTGCGAGGATGCGTCGCATCTCGTCGCAATTGGATTTTCAAACACGTGGGGGGATGCGACCAGACGCTCAGAGCTACGATAAGGAATGGCATTGCGAAAACAAGATAGGAAAGCTACAGCTCCTCTGGTGGGCCCACGTAGTGGTGTCGGCCATAGCAGAACCAGGTCACGTTGCCGGCAAGGACAGCGGCGACGACGATGACGCTGGTGTAGTTCATCGAAACAGCTGTGACCGGGTAGGTGCTGGGAAGGCAGAGAAAAACAAGAATACACAGGGTAAAGATGACGGCTACGACGTTGCACAGGACGCCAAGAGGCTTTCCGAGGCTGAAGATGGGTTTTCGAGGCAGATGGGGACGCGCAAAGAGCATCAGAACAGCAACGACACTGTAGCTGAGCGCCAGCATGATGGCGGGTGAAGAAATGAAGCTGAAAAAGGCCGAAGTGGAGCCCCAGTAGATCAACGAGAGGCAGACTTGGATGGCAGCCACGAGCGCGGTGGCCATCGTCGGACAGCCCAGGCGATGGTTGGTGCCCGTAAAGATGGATGGGAGGCCACCCTGCTGAGCGTACTGCCGGACGATTCGGGACGCGGCCATGTTGACGTCGGAGATACTCAGGAAAAAGGGAAAGAGGAGGAGGAAGAGGAGAATGACGGTGCCGGCTTTTGAGTTTGTCTTGTCAAAGAGCACCTGCGCAAAGGGGAACCCAGTGGAAGAAGTGATAATCGATGTCGGGTCGACGGGGAGGGTGAAGCAGAGGACGATTGCGTAGATGAGGCCCACCACACCGTTCAGGCCCACGCCGGCCACCATGCCAAGGGCGATGCCGGTCTCGGGCGTGCGCATGTCTGCAGCAAAGTGCGAGACCGAGTCGTACGCGGTCGTCGACAGGGCGGCCTGACCGAGCGCAGCAACCCACGGGACAAAGTTATTGTTCCAGCCTAAGGCACGGTTAGGTGATCAGCACCCGTCTGATGAATGTTTTGGGCCAGGACAACCTACCACTTTCGTTGGCAATATCGACGAGAGCCTCTTTGCCCGTGTTGTAGTCACCGCGCGTCGTGATGAGGAGGACGAGAGTGACGACAAGGAAGCCTACCACGTTCCAGACCAGGCTGATCTTGTTGAGAATGCCGATTACACGAGCTCCGAATACACCCAGGGACGTGCAACAGAGGCAGACAAACATGCTGGATACTTTTGTCAGTGCGGTTCGCGCGGTCTGTGATTCTCCACTCACATGACGAGAGTCGTCTGCCAGCGGGTAATGACATAGTCTGGGTTGCATAGGTTGGCCATGGCCAGCGCGATCTGTGCCACGATAGTCTGGCCGGCCAGCCCGAGGAGCGTGTAGCCGATCATGATGAACCAGCCCACGTGGTAGGATATGGGCTTGCTCCAGCCCTTGGGGGCCAGATGGAAGCTCCACGTCTCCTGGTTTCCGTGCGGAAAGAGCGACGAAGCCTCTCCCAGGCTGGCCGCTGTGGCCAGGTTGCAGGTCACGCAGATCAAGAGACCAAAGAAGAGACTGTTGAGTCCCCCACTGGTGAGAGCGACGGCAATGCTACCACTGTAGGCGATCCAAGTGGCGACGACACAGTAGCCAATGGCGAGCGCATCGATGTTGGTAAGCTTCTTTCGCGGCGAGGAGGCAGACGCATCGTGTGGACTGAGGTACTCGACGGTGACCACATCACCGCCCTTCGGCGACATCTTTTGATCCTCGAGGCTCGACATGATTCGCTCGTAGGATCTGGGAGAGGTGGCGATGAGCTTCTTAAAGGGTGTGAGACCATCAGCCTTTATCGATGCGACGTGGGGGAGAAGGAGATAAACTTATCAGTGCCAGTGCTCGGAAAATGGTACGCGACTGGCATTGGAGAGTGATAGTGACAGCTGTGGCGTCGGAGCCTTTTCGCATCCTCGGATTAGACTAAATCGCTCAACTACCAATGAGATACACGGGACATGTCTAGGTTCCGACCTGTATCGTCCTCTCTGTTGACTATTGCATCGCATCAGGACCCGGTTATCTTCTGGGACAGGGGTCGTGTGACCCAATGCAAGGTCAAGAATGGGTCTTCGGTCTTATTCGGTGATCAGAGATGGATGGGTCGCAAGCCACGCAGCTTACCAGACCACGATTGGCAGTCCACTCATGAGACTCTGCAGCAAGTTGGCTGTTGAGACGAGTTCTAATGCTGTATTAGTCGTCGTACCCTGGAATAAGCATTGTGAGCCAGTTGGAGGCGCCAGTCCTTCAATGCATTTGATGCCTTCGACGACAGCATCTCCTTCTCGACTATGCAAGACGTTATGTCTGCGAGGCGGAGGCAATCGCCCGATGAAATTTTGCCTGCGAGAGGGCTAGGCCCGTCAAATCGTTATCAGGAGATATCTTAGGGTCCGGGGCCAGGTTTAGCCATGACTTTGGGCCATAGGGGCCTGGGCTTTCTGTCAGAGGGTTGCCATCACACCTCGCCCGCAAAATGCCTCAAATCCCTATCTAGCATGAGACTCAGTGAGAGTGGCACAATTCGCATTTCTCTTGTGATAAGGTCAAGGCCGATGTCGCAAAGATTTGCGGGGGCGTGTCGATGTCGTCGGCATGGTGCACAGCCAAGCGCAGGATGAATGGTTGCAGCCTGCCCAGCCGGCACGATAATCTGTGTGTGGAAGTCGGTTCCGCCGTCGGCTAAACGATCGTATCAATGCGAGGATCCGAGCGCTGCGAAAATGTCGCGTCGATAATCTAAGCGAAGATGCGCGCAATTCAAGACGTTTCGCCAAAGCGACGGGGGAAACTTATCAGCCCCCGCAGAAGCTATATAAGTGTGTCTGCATTTGGCCTCACCTCGAGGGAAGGGAAAAGTGCACAAAGCAGCAGCAACATGGCTCCCACAGCAACAGTCGACAAGCCAGAGGTGGTTAGCACCTCGAAGAAGGGCGATGCCTCTCTTCACCCACTCGATGAGCTGACCCCCGACGAGCACGAGACCACCGTCAGGGCCGTCAAGGAGAAGTGGCCCTCCTGCTGGTTCAAGTACGTGCAGCGCAAAGAGCCGAGCAAGGACGTTCTTGCGCCCTGGCTCGATGGCAAGTCGATCGCCAAGCCGCCTCGCGTGGCCGAGGTGTGCTTCATCATCCCACAGACGACAGAGATCCACATGTGCGACTACGTCTTTGCCACCGGCACGCTCGAGAACCACCTGCTGGCCGAGACGGGTGCCAAGGCACCGCTGGACATCAAGATGCTGGAAAAGTACGAGGAGCGGATCCTAGAGGCACCCGAAGTGGCGACGGCCCTCGAAGAGCTCGGACTGCCCCGCGACACAAAGGTGTGCGCCGACCCCTGGATCTACGGCGCCGACAGCGAAGGCGAGGAGCCGACGTACATGCAGTTCCTCATGTACCTGCGCCCTCCCGGGGCGGGCTCGGACCCCGACTCGTTCCACTATGCGTACCCGCTCCCGTTTGTCCCCGTCGTCGACATTCTTCTCGACCAAATCGTGCGGATCGACTGGGTCTTTACCGGCGACGACGCCGACGGCATGAAGCGCACGTGGAAGGACCGCTTCGACGTCTCGCACTACCGGGCAAACGAGTACATGCCGCACCTGCAGGAGGGCTACGTGGCCAGAAGCGACCTCAAGCCGCTGGTGGTGGAGCAGCCCGACGGTGCGTCATTCACCGTCCGAGGCCGCGAGATCCAGTGGCAAAAGTGGCAGATGCGCATCAGCTGGAACTGGCGCGAGGGCCTCGTCCTCCACGACGTGCGCTACGACGGCCGGTCGACGTTCTACCGCCTGAGCGTGTCGGAGATGACGGTGCCGTACGGCGATCCACGCCCCCCGCTCCACCGAAAGCAGGCCTTTGATCTGGGAGACGCCGGCGCCGGTGTCACGGCCAACTCGCTGGACCTCGGCTGCGACTGCCTGGGCCGGATTCACTACTTTGACGGCGACGTGGCCCTCTCGGACGGCCAGATACTCCGCCAGAAAAACGTCGTCTGCCTCCATGAGCAGGACATGGGCATCGGGATGAAACACACAAACTACCGCACCAACCGGCCGTTTGTCACGCGCAACCGCCAGCTGGTCCTGCAGACGATCATCACCGTGGCCAACTATGGTGGGTGTGATTTCTTAGTCCGCGGAGAGAGAGAGAGAGAGAGAGAGGCTGTGGGCTGACGCAGAGCGTATCCTCCACCAGAGTACATCTTCATGTGGTACTTTGATCAGGCGGGTGCCATCCACTTTGAGACGAGGGCCACAGGCGTTCTTTCTGTCTCGGCCATCGACGACGGCAAGATCTCGCCGTACGGCAACGTCGTCGCACCTGGTGTCCTGGGCACCAACCACCAGCACATCTTCTGCCTGCGCATCCACCCGCGCGTCGACGGCGACGGAAACACGCTCATCTACGAAGAGTCAAAGGCGATGCCGTTTGCCACGGCAGAGGACAAGGCCGTGAATCCGTTTGGCACGGGCTACGTAGTGGAAAAGACAAAGCTGGCCCACGAGGCATTTGCGGACCTCGACGCGACCAAGAACCGCACCTTCAAGATTGTGAATCCCAAGGTGACAAACGGCGTCAGCCAGCGCAACGTCGGCTTCAAGCTCCACATACCCGCCACCCAGCTGCTTCTCGCACACCCCGACTCAGTGGCAGCCAAGCGCGCCGCCTTTGCGCAGCACCACGTCTGGGTCACCCGGCATCGCGACGGCGACTACTGGGCTGCGGGCAAGTGGACCAACCAGTCCAACGGCAAGGCCGGCGGCGTCGGCGACATGGTCAAGAACAGGGCCTCGACGGACAACGAGGACATTGTCGTGTGGGCCGTCTTTGGCCTTACGCACAACCCACGCGTCGAGGACTTTCCCATCATGCCCGTGGAGAACACGATGCTGAGCCTGAAGCCGGCCGACTTCTTTGAGCGGAACCCGGCCATGGACGTGCCCGTCTCGATGCAGGCCATCAACCGGTCCGTGCTCCACGAGGTGTCGGCTTCTGCTCCCGCGCCCGCTTCCGCGCCTTGCTGCCGGTAGGGGCCGAGCACGAGCCTGTTTCCCATCGCCTTCTTCTCTTGGGCCACTGCATCCATTCCTCTGTGTAAATACTGTCGACGCAAGACCTGCCTTCTCCTCCTGAAATGCTTCATGTCATCCATCCTCTACTCTACTCAAAGTTCCCCCTCGGACACCGGGACGAGCAGCGACTAGCCAGAGATGCGCCCCGCAGCATCCTCCCGGCCGACGCAGGCTGGCGAGCCACGGAGCTTGTGCGCTTCGCCGCCTGATCTGAATTGCCGCCCTTTCCGACGCGTGTCTCGCACGAGACAAGCCCTGATTTTTGTCCCTCGGTCCCTTTTCGTGCGAAGTCGAGATTTAGGGTTAGCCAGATGAAGAGAGAGAGAGAGAGAGATTTGTGGGGTAAGAAAGAAGATGTCGGACAGCTTAAAAGGGCACGCACGATCCCTTTCCCACCGGTAGGGAACACCTGTAGACCTCATCAACTATGGCTCCCGCACCCACTGCGACGACTCTTGGCGGCGAGGGCACGACGTCGCACCGGCTCGCCACGACGGTGGCCGGCAATGGCGCCCACGAGGGCGCCTTCAAGGCCATGGTCGGCAACAAGGCCGGCGTCGCAAAGAACGCGGCGCGCTACGTGCTCGCGCCCGACGTCACTGCCGAGGCCTTTGAGGCCTTTATCGACGAGGCAAAGCAGGCCGTGGGCGCCGACAACGTCCATGTCAACCTCAGCGCCAGCATCGAGGACCACGAGCGGGGCGACTACCTCCACCAGCCCCGCTTCCACGACTTCTTCCCCATCGACGAGCTGGACAAGTACATGGCCAGCGCCGCCATCCAGCCGGCCAGCGTCGAGGAGGTCCAGGCGATTGTCCGGGCCGCCAACAAGCACGGCCAGCCGCTGGTGAGCAGAGGGAGAACCCCACGTGTTTGTAGTTTTCAGAGAGCTGACACCAGGGCCACGAACACACACAGCACACCGTCTCCATCGGCCGCAACCTCGGCTACGGCGGCTCGAGCCCGCGGCTGCGCGGGACGGCCATCCTGGACCTGAAGCGGATGAACAAGATCCTGGAGATCAACGAAAAGAGCGCCTATGCGCTCCTCGAGCCGGGCGTCTCGTACTTTGAGCTCTACGAGCACCTGCAAAAGACGGGCAGCAACCTCTGGGTCGACTGCCCCGACATTGGCTGGGGCTCCGTCGTGGGCAACGCGTGCGACCGCGGCGCCGGCTACACGCCCTACGGCGACCACTGGATGTTCCGCTCGGGGCTCGAGGTGGTGCTGCCCAACGGCGAGCTCGTCCGCACGGGCATGGGCGCCCTGCCGGACAACGACACCTGGCAGTGCTTCCCGTACGGCTTTGGCCCCTATCACGGTGTGTGTTCCTGCCCCTGCCTCTGCCTCTCTCATTTGCTCTGGCTGGAGCTGACCACGCATACAGACGGCATCTTTTCCCAGTCGAACCTGGGCATCGTGACCAAGATGGGCATCTGGCTGATGCCCAACCCGGGCGGATACGAGCCTTTCCTGATCACTGTGCCCCGCAAGGAGGACCTGGGCCCAATGATGGACATCATCGGCCAGCTGCGCGTGCGCATGGTCATCCAGAATGCACCCACGGTGCGCCACGTGCTCCTCGACGCCGCCTGTCTCAAGAGCAAGGCCCAGTGGACGGGCAGCGACACGGGCGCGCCGCTGGGCGAGGAGGAGATTGAAAAGATTGCAAGGGAGCTCAACCTCGGCTACTGGGGCTTCTATGGCGCCCTCTATGGGCCTGAGCCCGTCCGGCAGGGCATCTGGCAGGCCATCTGGGGCTCCTTCCAGCAGATTTCCGGGTGGGTCTTTTCTCTCTTATTCTCAGACGCAGCAATGTTTGCTGACTGGTGTATATCTCGCAGGGCCAAGTCCTTCTTTGAAAAGGACGTGGGGCCCGAGTCGATTCTGCACTCGCGCGCAAAGACGCTGGCCGGCATCCCCAACCTGCTCGAGCTCGACTGGATCAGCTGGCGCGAGAACGGGGCGCACAACTTCTTTTCGTGCGTGGTGATCCTCTTTCTTCTTCTTCTGGTCCAGGCAGGCCACTGATAGAGGCGACTCTTTCTACAGGCCCATCTCGGCCGTGACGGGCGAGGCAGCCGTGGCCCAGGTGCAGCTCGTCGAGGAAAAGGCGCGCAAGTACGGCTTTGACTTTATGAACACGCTCATCGTCGGCCTCCGCGAGCTGCACAACATCAACTGCCTCGTCTACAACCGCGAGAGCAAGGAGGAGCGTGACCGCATGCGCGCATGCATCCACGAGCTCATCGACGAGGCCGCCGCAAAGGGCTGGGGCGAGTACCGGACGGTGAGTGTGTGCGCGCGCGCGCGCGCGAGTCTCTCTGCGACCTCTCTTGTGAGACAACGGCTGACTGGCGACGGACCGCTCGATCGTCACGCAGCACAACGAGTTCATGGACCACGTCGCAGGCACGTACAACTTCAACAACGGCGCACTGGCCAAGCTCAACGACACGCTCAAGGACGCCCTCGACCCCAACGGCATCCTCGCGCCGGGCAAGTGCGGCGTGTGGCCCAAGCGGTACCGCGGCCGCAACCTGTGATCTGGCGTCGGTGCTTTCCTTCCACCACGCGCCAGGGTGCTCTGTCTCGCATAGTCCCGTGCAATTTGATGTGATTCCCAGCTCTGCCACTGAAGCATCGCGCATGCCCGTGCGAGGAGAGAGGACTCCAGTTCATGCACGTCTCTGGCATTGACAGCACAGGGTGAAACGCAGCAGCAAGGGTCCAAGTCAGGCAGCATGAAGTTTGTCACTCCCCCCTACATGCAAATAGAGAAGAAGTTCTAACTAGCAGAAGCCCTTGTCGATGAAGCGCTGGCCCGTCGCAACGAGGGCCTCCTCGGGCGTCTTGGGCGCCCAGCCGAGGGCACGTGCCTTTTCGTTGGACACGTCGCCCTGCTTGCCCAGGTTGTCGGCTGCTGCCTTGAGCTGGCCCGAGAAGCGGGCGCCGAAGCGGACGAACCAGTCTGGGAGCTCCCGCGTGGGCGTCCGGGACGCAGCCTGGCCCAGGCCCGAGCGCAGCGCGGCGCCGCACTCGAGCAGCGACATGGCCTGGGGCGCGGCCGTGGCGAGGTAGCGCTCGCCGTTGGCCTCGGGCCGCACCATGGCGAGCAGGAGGAGCGAGGCAACGTCGCGGACATCGACGATGCCAAAGCCGATGCGCGGCGCGAGGGGGATCTCGCCCTTGAGGAGCGCCTTGACAATGTCGCACGTCGTCGAGCCGTCCTCGGGCCGCATGGGGGGCCCAAACACGCCGACGGGGTTCACCGTCGCCAGCTCGAGTCCGCTGCCCTCGTCGCTCTTGACAAAGTCCCAGGCGGCCTGCTCGGCCAGCGTCTTGGACTTGACGTACGCCGACACGTGGGGCCCATCGACGTTGGTCCAGTCAGCCTCGGTGAATACGCCGGCCTCGCTGGGTGTGTTGCCATAGGCGACGGCGGCGACGGAGCTCGTCACGACGACGCGCGTGCATGTGCCGGTGCGCTTGGCCGCCCGCAGGACGCGCAGGGTGCCCTCGCGTGCCGGCCGGATCAGCTCCATCTCGTCCTTTGGCTGTGCGGCAGGAAAGGGCGAGGCGACGTGGAGGACGTAGCGTGCGCCGCGCGCCGCGTCGTCCCAGCCGGCATCGCTGAGCAGGTCCGCATGGGCGTACTCGATGGCCGTGTAGTCGAGCGAGGCGTCGTAGTCCTTGAGTGCGGCCTCGATCAGGCTGCGCTTGGCCTCGTTGCGGATCGTGGTGCGGACGCGGAAGCCCTGCTGCAGGGCCTGGTGCAGCGCATGGAGGCCGATGAACGACGAGCCGCCGGTGATGAGGACGAGATCAGACGAAGACGCCATGGTGTGGTGGTGGTGGTGGAGGGACAGACTGGCCTCAGCGCAGGTGCCGCCGGGGCCATCGTAAATGAAAACCCTCCGAATAGGAAAGATTGGTCCGGCCACTTGAGCGGCCCGAGCGGTTGCTCTTTCACTGAGTGGAGTTAGACTAAGAACACGTGTCTGTCGGTCGACTACCGGTAGGTAGTCCAAGGCGACGTCGACGCTGGCACCTCGGCGCACCTGTGCCTTGGTTCCGGTCTCGCAGGAAGGGCGCAACGACTGACGAGCAAGTCGGAGGCAGCTCTTCGAGAGCATCTCATCTCAGCATGATGGAGGCCTTCCTTGCGGGGGCTGGTCGATGGAGGCGCGCGAGTCAAGCTTGCTCATTTCTCGTTGCTGCTCCGTCATTCTGCCTTACTTGCAATCAGTAGTGGTGATGAGAGCGAGAGAAGCCAAGAGGCATAAGAGGCGGGCAGCAAAGGAGCGCGTACCACGCGGCTTGGTGTCATGCATTCGCCCCCAGGTCGACGGCTTGACAGAATTCATGCAACAACCCTGACGCGCGACACGGCTAGAAGTCAGACGAAAGCCTGCACGGCGCACACTGCCGTCAGCCCTGGCCCTACCATTTGCGCGACAGAGGCCCCTCTCTACGGCTTTTTGTACTCGGTTCTCTCTTTGGCTGTCTGTACTCGTTCGATGGAGGTTGGCCGCCCGACAAGATTGTTCACAAAGACTGCTAGGGTATACATGCACTGACGCCGACGGGGAGCAGCTTCCTCATCGCCAGCGGCCCTTGCCTCTGCGGACAAAGGCGCCGTCGCCCTCCTTTTCCGACTCGGGCATCGTCACAACCACCTCCATGTCCTCTGACTCGCTCTGGCCCGGGCGTGAGGCCGACGGGTGCTGCCGTTGCTGCTGCTGTTCCTGGTACAGGTAGCCGGCATCGCCCAGCACAGAGCCGAGCAGGGTATCGTTGATCGGCGACGAGTTTGTCTTGGCCGGGCTGTGCTGCGGTGAGAGATGCGACGACGACGTGCCCTGTCCTACCGCCGCAGGGTTGGGAGCCAGGGCGGCGGCGGCGAGGTCAGAGCCGTGGGAGCGGATGGTGGACCAGGAAGTGGCAAGGACAGAGAAGAGGAGAGAAGAGAAAATGTTAAAGTAGATGGCCCACGTCACCACCGTGGCCCCCGTGTCGGTGCCGATGGGGATGGTGGTGATGAGCATGATCTGGCACAGCACCGGCGGCACGAAGCTCATCAGCGTCGACTCGATGAAGAAGCGCAGGTGGCGCCACGCCTGCGAGCGGCGGTCCGTGTGCCGCTGGGAGAAGACGTAGGCGCGGTAGAGGAGCAGGCCTGTCCGCACATCGAGGTCAGACGTCTCTTCTTGTCCATCCATCCACGAGCAGACTCCACTCACCAGACGCATACACCGACGAGAGCAGCTGCAGGCCCACGTCCGACTCGCGGATCCAGGCGGGGTAGTTGTTGACGCCCTCGAGGTACTCGCTGTAGCTCAGGCCCCGGTGGGCGCGGACGACGTAGAAGTGGACGCCGACCCAGATCATGGCAATCGAGGGCCCGATGCGGAGAATCAGGAGGGCAATGTAGATGCCCAGCACCCACTTGCGCGTCCGCCCAGACCCAGAGCCCATCCACGCCGGGTAGACGGCCGAGAGCTTGAATGTCAGCGTCGAGTCCGACACGAGGGGCGAAAAGGTCGAGAGAAAGTCGAGGACGCTGGTGGAACGGGTGTCAGTCCAGAGTGGGGAAAAGAGAAGCAAGGAGCTACGAGGGAAGGAGGAGTGCGACGCGACCTGTCTACTCACGTCGACGTGCCAGCGAGCTGGATGTTGTCCTTGTCGAGGAGAAAGTTGCGGATGTGCAGCGTCGCATTGACGAGATTGATGAGCGAGTAGAGGGCGACGCAGAAGAAGGAGAGGCAGTTGATGGCAAAGAGCGGCGACCGCCGCGAGGCGCGCGTCGAAAACAGCAGATAGGCGATAAACAGGCCCAGCGTCGCGGAAAAGAGGGCGCCGCCCGTGGCCGAGAGCCGGCTGTAGCTGAGCATGCCCTTGGTGATGACGGCGAGGTCATCGTCTGTGAGGCCCGACATGTCTGCTTGCGGCGGCTGCTGTCGTCGTCGCCGTCGTCGCCGTCGTCTCCGTCGTGCTATGTGTCGTGGTGTGAGATTTGACAGAGGCCCCCGTCTGGCCGTGTTTCAAGGTCCGGCCCGCTAAGAAGGTGTCAAGACCGACGGAACGGGACAAAAGAAGGTTCACTCACGTACGGCTAAACTCGCGCGCGCGTTCACTTTAGAACCGACGCTACTACTCTACTACACTACTACTACTAGATGGAGAGTACGGGCCGATTTAAACGCAGGACGAGCTTGCTAGAGAAGTACGTGGCCCGTTGCTGCTTAGTCATGCAGAGGGCGGTTGCGTGTGCCTGAGTCGGCTCGGCGGAGCGAGCGTGCGCCTTGACTGGGGGCGTCTGTGTCCCTGTGTCGATATGGCCCGCCCTGACTGATGGTTGCAGGCTGGTGTGCCTCCAGCTCCGATGCGATGTAAGTAATTGCACCGTTGATCCATGCCCTTGCGTTCATCATCAGTCAGCTGGGGACCTGGAGAGTACGAGCACAGGGCGTGGGTCCATTCCAGCCGAGACAGTCGTCCCAGTCTTGTATATGAGAGGGAGAGGGTGAGCCTTCGCTCGTGCTGGGCCGTCAACTACGCGGCTCGCATAGATGGGGCGTCGCTCATAACTCGCTCGCACTGCCTGCTTTTGCATTTCTGAAATCTCCGAGCCGGTAAGCCCCAAGTCGGGGCGGCAGCTGAGCAGACTGGCACTGGTTGTCTTTGGTGAATCTCCTGACGTGGATAAAAGGGCGCTGTCCTTCCTCCTCTCCTCTCTTCTCTTGCGTTAAACACAAGATGGTGCATCCCAACATTGCCCTGTACCTCTCCGCCACCGTCTTCACCAGCCTGATCTGTGGCGACTTCGACTCCGAACCCGTCGATTACAATGCAGACGAAAAGAAAGCTCCTGGCAAGTTTGCTAGCAACGAGGCCCACATCATCGCCCTCTTGGTCACCTACACTATTCTGTGGGTCTTGACGAAGCTCATCACCCGCCGTCCTCGACATCAGGATCGAATTCAAACCCCTTCCTCCGCCTCTACCTCGGCACGCTCTGGTGGAGGCACTGACCTGGAGAGCGAAAGGAGCAAGATCCTGAAGCAGCTGGAACCGCTTTCCAACGCCTGCAGGCGGCCGACCTCGCGGCCGGTCTCGCGACCCAGGCTGCCCAGAAGTCTCGTGAAGCCCTGCCATGACGTGTTGGGTGAACGCATGAGGCTCATGTGCGACCTAATGGCGATGGAACAGAGCCAGGACGAGGACGCAGACGTGCGCAAGTATCTGCCCATTATCAAAGAGAGGGGTTTCCAGCCACAGCACTACGGCCTCAACCTCGCAGAGACGGCGCACGCCCTCCAAGCGCAAGGTTTGCCCCTTCAAAACCTGCAGCGGCACCAGGCTGCCCTGCGAGAGTGAACAGACTGGTTTTGTGTCCGAGAGAGGAAGCAACCTCTCTCTTAATGATGTTCTCATGAAATCAACTTAAACAAGTATACAGAAATTGGGTGAATGCAATAGAAGGCTCAAGCTCGGCTCTTCTGAGCCAATGTGCCGAAGAGCCGAGGAAGCACCATGCCCTTCCCGTTGAGGCAGAGGAGGACGGGAGCATGTCGGTGGGCGCCACACACAAGAAGGGAGTGCGATTGGGAGCGCACGCAAATATATGCAGGGCGTTACTCACTCCCAACCCATGTGCAGGCCGACACGAGGAGTCAGCGCAGGCACCAGCCGCGTTATCCACTCCCGCGTTATCCTCTCCCACTCGCTACTCCTGGATGGAATACACCCCGCCGCTTTTGCCGCTGGGCAGCGAGCTGCGCTGTGGACAGCACTGTCGCCCTCTCCTCGCCCAGCCCGTCAAGCCAAAATCATCAAAATGCCTCGCGGGAAATCTCTAGAGACGGGTCGCGAGAGTAGAGGCGACGCCTGCTATTCTCACTGCTGCCCCCAGCGCGCAGCGACGCAGGCAATCCGCCATCCCGGGGCAACCAATCTCGTTGTTGACGCGTTTCTGCAGGCCGGGCGCGCGCGTAGAGGTCCGGGGCACCGCCCGTGCTTCTACGTCAGCCTCACAAGTGTCCATTCGTCTTTGTTGTCCCTTTCGCATCTTGAGCTCATTCTGTCACTCACGGCAACAGATCCTCTGCTCACTCCCCTGCTGGTCATGACTGAAGGTGCGATGGCGGCAGGCCCAGCAGGTGCCAAACATCTATCGACTATCTATCACCGACAGGCTCTCCAGTGCGCACCTGTCAGCCTCGTTTGCATCGCCTCAGTCCAGGCCGGGGGTCGCGCCCCCCTCAGGAACTCGTCAACGCCATCGCGGGACCGAAGGGCGCCATTTACTATTTACAGTGCGTGCAAGAACACTGAGTGTGTTGTCGTCAACACGGCTCAAGCCCTCCCTGCCCGTGGGCGGCTGCACACCACGCTCTGCAGAAGCATTTGGCACTCGGCAATCTCTGCTTGTACGGGTGTTTTGGTGTCCACTGCAGAGACCGAGGCCACCTTGTGCGGGCATTCTGCTCCCATTCGGACCGCAGATAGCGACGAGGCGTATCCATCCTGTCCCCTCACTCGGACCGTGCTCCACAGAGGGGCTTCCTGCTCCCGTCCAGGCATCATTCAGCCCAAAGTCACCCGAAGCAGTCCTCCTCCCTGTCGTCTATAAGAAGGTGAGTCCACTCTGAGGGAGAGGCAAAGAGGTGGACTCGAAACGTGTTTCCAACAACCACTCAACAACAAAAGCCATCTCTCACAAATGCTCCCGTTCAAGAACTTCTCAGCGCTGGCCGCTGTGCTCTGGTGAGCTGTGCACGGCTCTACTTCTTCTTGCGTCTCCTCTTGCTGATGAGCCTCTTTCTCCCCACAGCCTTGTCGACGCCCTCGCGGGTGCTCACCTCACCTCGCCGTCGTCTTCCATCAACGCCGGCAACCTGACCCTCGACACTGCCGAAGAAGTGACTGTCTCTGCTGGCGGCGACACGTCCTCTCTTTCATTCGAACCTGACCTCGCCTCTATCAAGGACCGCACCGAAGCAGCCGAGGGCACGGTATCCACCACGATCCAGTCCTGGGGCCAGGTGCCCCAGGACTCCAAGCACGAGGTCACTCGCGGCCTCTTTGACCATCTTTCGGGTGACGACGACCATGCGGGCCTCGGCCTCTGGACCCATGCCCGTGTCTCGGATCCAGACATTAATGAGGACCAGCAGACGTTGCAGTCCCTTGGCATCGAGTGGACGTCCGAGCGCGACGATGCCTTCCAGCCCCTTGACCTGGAGCCAAGCCCCATTTCGTCGCCCTCTCCTGCCTACTGGACTGATGCCGAGGGTAGCAGCATCGACGGAGTCAGCAGCCTGGCCGATGACCACGAGCAGCTCCAGAAACGCATGCATCGTGCTCTCTCTTCCCAACGCCATCCCAGCCTGGCTCGTCGTCTTCCTCTTTATCGTTTCGAGCCGACCTCTGGTACTCCCTCAAATCACGAAGATTTACAACTGCTTCTCGCTGCGTTGGTACGGTACCGGGCCAACACTTGGGCAAAGGGAATGGGAGGCGTGATTCATTGTAGGCGCCACAATGCCATTAACGTCGTAAGTGCAGTCAACTCTCAAGGTATCTGGCGAGCCAAGAAGATGGCAGTTAATCTCGTCGATCTCTCCTTGCCTGTAAACAATTATACCGTGAGGCTGTTTGTGTCGGCGCAAGAGTTCCATATGATGTACAGCAGCCCCAGCCTTCAACTGCTGAGACAGTCGCTGCAAGATCGGTACAATTCGCCTTGGATCATCGCAGTCGTCAACTGCAACCAAAATGATGAGGAATCTGCCGTAAGAGACCTCCAGCACCCTGGGTGGGTAGCTCGTATCAAAGATTGGGAAGGAGACGAGTCGGTTGTCTTGATTAAAACGCCTCAGGCCATCTCTTCAGGAGATGCGCCGCCCTGGACATACAAGCCCGTGTCTCCCCTAGTGCACCACTACCAATCGCACCCGCCTTTGCGCATTGGTGGTCGCCTGCACACAGAAGGCAGCTTTCCGCCGATCCACCAATGGTCGCAGCCTCGCGGGCGCCCAAAACATCGCCTCGAGAAACTCAAGGGCGTGGCTTCTTCCTCCTCGACACCACCCCCCGGCAGGCCAGATATGCCAACAAGGCGGTACACCTTTTTCGAACACATTTCGAAGGACGCCAGCACCGGCTGTCGTGATCTCGCAGAGCTCGCTAAGGCCACGACTGCCTTCTTGGGTCGATGGCGACACAACATGAAGCCACACATCGTGTGCAGCTCCAAAGATGCCCACACTGTGGCGAACCAGCTGAACGACTTCGGTGTATGGATGGTCCACGCCTCCAATGATGAATTCGTCGAACTCATAAGGCCGCAGCATCCGTTTGCGATCACATACAACTCAATCATCCAGGGTGCAGACCATATGCAGCAGCTGACGAAGCTCCTCCACAGCGGTCCAGTGGAGTGGAACCATGCCACAATTGCGTGCGCTCACGGCTCCCTCTCCGACGAGGAGTACGACCGTCAGATCGGAGAGCTGAAGTCGAGGCTGGAGAAGGGCTTTCGAGAAGTCCAGTACAAAGACGGCTTGTTCAGCATCGCGGGACGGCTTTACCGACTGCCTCCAGAGTGTGTGCTCTCTCCGGCGGGGCATTGTGCGGCACCCATCCCCAGCCAAGGGCCCCAAAAGGCAGGCAAGAGACGCAAAGGCAAAAATGACGCGGCAGAGAGTGTCAGACGTCTCATCAGAGCCCACACCAGCCCAGCAAGCAGCCTCGGGAGCGGGTCCAGGACGCGCGAATCACAGGCAACAGGCTCAGATGTCCGTCTTCTGCCGCAGTCTGCGTTGCCGGATCCCCTCGAGAAGCTGATGGAGGCCGGGTCTTCTTCCAGTCAGGCTCCGTACATGCACGAGGACAAGGAGCAATACTTGCATCTGCTTCAGCCATACACGCCGCCGTACACCTTCTTCTACGGGCACGGTCAAGAACGTCACTTCGACACATCTTCGCAGCTCGTACAGTACGTAAACAGCCATCGGTTGATGAATGCTTACTACGGACAGCATGGACAGCACATTGTATGTTCAGGCTCTGATGCAGAACAGGTAGCCAAAGCTTTGCAGCAGGCAAATGTCTGGCTTGCCCAGGCGGACGGCTACAACCGGGTCAATATCCTCAAGCCTGTGAGACCTTTGATGGTCAGGTACGCGGATGAAAAGAAGAACATGGCTTTCGAGAGCGTCGAAGAGATACAAAAACACATCTCCTCCTTTGGCAACTGGGGAGATTGCGAAGATGTCTACGTCTTAAGCTCTACAACTATCGATCTCGAAGCTGCTGCGAAACAGCTCACAAGCCATCCCTACTATACCGCCAAGCTTGAAAAACTTGCAGGCTTTGGACCCGACGTTGTGCATATCACAAAGATCAATACCACGCCTCCTCCTCCTCAGGTGGAAGGGGTCGGCGAGGCCCCAGTGCAACACTCTCATTCTGACAAGCACAGCTCTACGTTCGCCCCCCGCCTCGATAAGCGCCCCCGCCTCGAGAAGCGCATGGAATCAGGCTCCTCCTTCCGACAAGCTTCACACGCTGACAGGGGCAAGGCACCGGCGCCACGTATGCTTGGAAGGTCCGTCAATTCTGGAAAAGCGCCCTACACCTTCTTCGACAACGGGAAGAAAATTGGATTTAACAAAAGGGACAAGCTCATAGCGTACACGGAAGCATACCGATTGAGTACACATTACTATGGGCAGCCTGGACAGTATATTGAGTGTTTGGGCGAAGGTGCATCCGACGTATCTGAGGCGTTGCGAGAAAGGGGAATCTGGAATGTCCAGCATGTTGGAAACCAAGTCGTTCTTGCCTCACCTGTGAAACCTTTTACGGTCAGGTACGTGAGCTTCAACGGGGGCAGTTGCGAGACAACAGCGATTCTTCCGTTCAAGTCTGTGGAAGAAATCATCAAACACATCGAGTCTGACAACTGGTCTTCTTGGAATGATCTCTACGTCTTCAGCTCCGAAGACACCGATGCTGCAGACTTGGCGAAACGACTCACGTGGAGGCCCTACTATCAGGCCATTGGGGGTGTCCAAGGGCCCCCGCAGCACCCTACAGCGCATGTATACAAGCTCAGCAGCAGTCCACTTCCTCGCCCTCTTGACGGCGGCGGCAGCTCGTCCCCACAGAGCTCGGAGCAGCACTCTGAATACAGCAAGCGCAGCTTGACGTCGGCCTCTCGCCTCGAGAAACGCATGGATTCGGGCTCCTTTCCGGGCTTCTCGCCACGTCGCTCCCCCCGTCTCAGAGACACAGGCAAGCAGCCAGACGAGGGCGGATTTTCTCCAGCGTCTCCCCGCCGCTCCCCCCGATTAAGTCCTAAAGACAAGGGCAAGCAGCCTGATATCTACTGGGACAGCGCGAAATATAGCCCTACCGATACCGAAAAGTACACATTCGTTTGCCCCATCAGAGACCTGACGCTCATTAGTGACGACTTGATTGCCATCATGGTGCAGACTATCGCGTACCGAAAGCACGAGTTCTTCCCCAGCTGGGCTCCGAAAGAGTCTGTGCGAATCTACTGTCCTCAGGAGGACGCAGCACAAGTCAAGGAGAAGATACTAGAAGCAAAGGTCTGGAACGCCAGCGTCAGGGGAAAGAAAGTCGTCAACCTTCTCCAACCGGTACACTCGTTCACGATACACACCGAACAGCTTTGGGGTTCTTATGGGAAGATCGAGCAAGTCATTGACGCACTAGACCAACAGTCAAACATGTGGAAAGAAGCCAGGATCGTGATGACCGGTTCAAAGATCCCGCAGACTGTTGCAGGAACGATCGCACATCGAACGGCTTGGGAGACCTCACTCCGCCTCAACCCCGCAGGAAGAACCAATGATGTAATTGTTCGTAAACGACGCGCACCGGTTCGTACCCAGAGAGTCGCGCAACCCGGTCCGACCACTTTCGCACCGTTGCCAACTATTGAAGGATTCTCATCCCCGTCTGGCGGGGGCTGGGAGGGCTACTTTCCGTCTGGATCCTCCTCCAGGGCTCCCACCGTCTCTTCATCGAGCGGGTGGTGGGGCGAGCAGCAGACTGACCACCCCACTTCAAGTACTCCAAGGACTCCCACAAGTGCGCTGTTGCCTGGCACGCCTCGTCGCAATCCCGAACGCCTAGGACGCCCTGCCCGTCCCCCCGCTCCGTACACTCTGCTAGCCGCAACCGTGCAGGGCAAGGTGATGCAGTACCGTTTTGAAAGCTTCCAAGAGCTCGTCACCGGTCTGGAAAAGTATCGTATCAGTGCCGAGTATTTCGGCCAGCGCGGGCAGGTGATTGTTTGTGTAAAGAAGGATGCGAACACTGTTGCGGAAAGCTTGAAAGAGCTCAAGCACGACGTCTGGAAGATAAAACCTGAAGCCGATGGCAGCAGACTTTTCCTCGAGGGTCCGCAGAAGAAATTTACGGTCAAGCTCAACAACGGAGTGACGTTTGCGGTTGGTTCACAAGACAAGGCGAACAAGTTCCTTAGAGATGATAGTGTGCACGGCTGGGACTACGGCTTCATCTACTGCCATGAGGCAGGAAAAGACTTCGCCCAAGTGGACGCTCTGGTACGAAGAACTTCCAACTATTGGAAGCCTCTTGCCTATTTCATTGGTGATGAAATGGTGTGCGCTGTCCAAAACCTTCATGGACCTGCCTGGGTCGGGAGCGAGTGTCCATACTGGAACGTAGACGGTCTGCCACCCGCAAGCAGAGAGAAGGAGCGCATACGATCTGCTTGTCCTCGGAAGTATCTGGAAAGACACCCTACCTTGTCACTTCCCTACGGAGGAGGACTGTCTCACGGCGGGGGACCGTCCCATGGTGGAGGACCATCGCACGATGAAGGACCATCGCACGGCGGAGGACCATCGCACGGCGGGGGACCATCGCACGGCGGGGGACCGTACTACGGCAGCGGATCGTCCCACGGTGGAGGAGGACCATCACAGGGCGAGGGGCCGTACTACGGCGGCGGAGGACCACCCTACGGTGGTGGAACCTCATTTGGCGGAGGACAGCCGTACGGCGGAGGGGGTCTGCAACGCCGTGGAGCACCTTTCGACGAGATCGGCGAGTTGCCTTCTCCCAGAACGGATGTTGTGGGCGAGGCCTCGGCACGGAGTCCAGTGCAGCACTCCCAACCTAACAAACTCAGCTCGACATCCGCTCCCCGACTGGAGAAGCGCATGGATTTGGAGCTCTCTCTGGGGTCTTCGCGCCGCTCTCCTCACTTCAGAGAAAGGGGCAAGCAGCCGGCGCCTTCCTCCGACGATCCAGATTCCAGGCCCCCGACCGCTTATACATTCACATGCCCCATCACAGATCTGAATTTGCAAAGCGAGGACTTGGATGACATCATAGCGCGAACAACCGCATACCGAAACCACAAAGACTTTCCCGGCTTGCTTGAGGCCGGGCGCGTCCGAGTCGACTGTCCTCAGGGCGACGCCGAAATAGTCAGGGACCGAATAAGAGGTGAAATGGTGTGGAACGCCGCCATGTTTGAAAGGAAAATCACTGTCGTAAGCCTCGGCAGGCCCATAATACCTTACACGATACGCTCAGAGCATTGGGATGCTTCTTTTCCAGGGATCGACAAGGTCATTGAAGCGCTCCGCAGATACCCATTCCAGTGGCAAGAAGTCAGAGTCATCATGACGGGCGATACTCAACCGGAGAATACTGCAGCTTACATCCGTAAGAGAACGGGCTGGACGACGGAACTCAAATTGAACACTTTGAGCAAGAGACATGATGTCCTTGTTAAGAAACAGCTCGCACCGGTTTTTGCTCAAGCAGACGAAGATCCGGGCCCGACCTCTACAGAGACTTTGCCAGACATTGACAGTCCGTACGCTCTACACACCACAACCCTGCAGGGCGAGGCGATGCGGTACCCATATTTTACTGTTAAAGCGCTCGTCCAAGGTGTGAAGGATTATCGTACCAGTAAGGAGTACTTCGGCCAGCCAGGGCTATCAGTCGTCTGTGCAAAGTGCGATGCATCGAAGGTCATGAAAAGTTTAGGCAAACTCAAGGTCTGGTTTGTAACAGAAGAAGCTGGCAGCTGCGAGAGCATGGTCTCCATCAGCTTGCAACCCCGCCGAAAATACACAATCAAGCTAAACACTGGAATATCGTTCGAATTTTCAGGGCTGAACGATGCGAGCAAGATCCTGAAAGAGGACATTCCAAGCGACTGGGACTATGGCTTCATTTTTAATCATGAAGAACTCGTCAGGGCTCAACGGGTACAAGGTCTGCTAGCGAAGATAGGCAAGATTTGGAAACCCCTTTCCCACTTCATTGGGACTGAAGAGGTGTGCGCTATCAAGAATTACAGAGGACCTGGCTGGGACGCGGGACGTAGGCCACACTGGGCAACATTCGGCCCGCAGACGTCAAGCACAGAGCGAGTCCTGGACCTGTTGGCTTGCCCCGGTGAATACAAGGATGAGGTGCTCTCCTACAGCGAGGGGCCATTCCACGACGGAGGACCATCCCACGGCGGGGGACCGTCCCAGGGTGGAGGACCATCCCACGGAGGAGGACCTTCCTACGGCGGAGGACCATTCCACGGCGAGGGGGCGTACTACGGCGGCGGATCGTCCCACGGCGGCGGAGGACCACCCTACGGTGGCGGATCCTCATTTGGCGGAGGACAGCCGTACGGCGGAGGGAGTCTGCAACGCCGTGAAGCACCTGTCGTCAAGATCGGCGAGACACCTTCTCCCAGAACGCAAGATGTTGGCGAGGCCTTGGAAAGGAGTCCAGTGCAGCACCCGCAGCTTGAGAAACGCAGCTCGCTGTCCGCCCCACCCCTCGAGAAGCGCATGGAGTTTGGGTCCTTTCCGGGATTCTCTCCGCATCGCTCCACCCAGTTGAGAGAAACGGGCAAGCAGCCAGCACAATCCTCCGACGACCCAGGCCCCAGTCCCGCTGCCACCCCTAGAGACTACGTATTCATTTGCTACTTGGGAGATCTGAATCTGAGAAGTAGCAACTTGGAGGAAATCATAACGCAAACAACCGCATACCGACAACACGAAAACTTCCCCGGCTTGGTTCGGCGTGGGTTTGTCCGCGTCGAGTGTCCTCAGGGCGATGCAAAAGAAGTCATGGACAGGATAAACGAGAAAGGGGTCTGGAAAGCCACCAAGCCGAGCAAATATAAAGTCAGCCTTTACGAAACCGAGGAGCCTTTCACGATACGCTCGAAACATTTGAATGCTTCTTTCAAGACCATCGAAAAGGTCGTTGCTGCGCTCGACAAAGAGCCAAGACTGTGGCAAGAGGCCAAGATCATGATAACGAGTGACGCGAGCGCGGAGGGTGTTGCAAGGAAGATCGAAAGATCTCTGGGTTTGGCGGTCTCCAGAAAGGTCAACAATTTGAAAACCAAAGAGGATGTCCACGTCGAGAATCGACCCGCGCCGGATCCTGCTCAAGAAGACAAACATCCGGGTCCGACTACCGCCAGAGCTTTGCCAGAAACTCGGCACTTGTCATCTGCGCCTGGCGGCTGGCGCCAGCACTACCAGTCTGGCTTCCCTTCCCAGGTTCATACCAACTCTCGACCAAGCGGCTGGGGCGAGCAGCTGACTAGTAAAAATTCAAGAACTCTCACAAGTGGCACGTCCTCTTTCAAGCGACGCAAACCCGAACACCTAGCTCTTCCTGCCCTTTCTGGTCGGGCCGTTCTGCACACCACGACTCTGCAGGGCCACGTGATGCGGTCCTCATATTCTACAATGGAAGAGCTTGCCAAAGGTTTGCAAATTTATCGCAGCAGTGCGGAGTACTTTGGCCAGTCCGGACAATTCATCGTCTGTGGGGAGCGCGATGCACGGCATGTCGTTTTGGCATTGAATCTGCAGGCGCTCTGGTCCGTGCGCAGTATATCTGACAGCCGCGATAACATGGTCTCCGTGTTCTTGGAACCCCGCCAAAAATACACAATCAAGCTTAACACTGGAGCGTCGTTTGTGTCTGCGGCACAGGATGATTCGGCTACAATCCTCAGAGAGCAAAGTGGGAACGACTGGGACTATGGCTTCATTTTCTACCATGAAGGCCCCCTGAGGGTTGAGCGAGTGAAAGGTCTGCGGAAGAGGATACCCAAGACCTGGACAACTCTTGCCCACTCCATTGGCGGTGAAGAGGTGTGCGCGGTCAAGAACTCGCAAGGACCTAGCTGGAAAGCGGGACTCAAGCCGCACTGGAAAAGACCTGGCCCGCAGACGTCAAGCACTGAGCAATTCCTGAACCTATTAGCTTGCCCCCGGGTATACGTGGAGGAAATGCTCCCCTATGGCGGAGGACAATCCCATGGCGGAGGACCATCCCAAGGTGGAGAAACGTACTATAGTGTTGGACCGTCCCGCGGGGTAGGACCGTACTATCGCGGAAAATCGTACTACGGCGGAGGAACACACTACGGCGGCGGAGGATCTTCCTACGGTGGGGGACCGTCGCAAGGCGGAGGACAACCGTACGGCGGAGGAAACCTGCACCGCCGTGAAGGGTCCGTCTTCAAAACGGGCGAGACGCCCCCTCGAACGGAAAGTGTTGGTGAGGTCTTCGAAAGGAGTTCAGTGCAGCACTCCCAACTTGACAAGCGTAGCTCGCTGTCCGCCCCGCCCCTCGAGAAGCGCATGGATTTGGAACTCTCTCTGGGGTCTTCACGAGAAAAGCGCAAGCAGCCCGCACCTTCCTCCGACGACCCAGGTTCCGGTCCCTCTGCCGCTTACAGATTCACATGCCCCATCACAGATCTGAATTTGCAAAGCGAGGACTTGGATGCCATCATAGCGCGAACAACCGCATACCGAAACCACAAAGATTTCCCCGGCTTGCTTGAGGCCGGGCGCGTCCGAGTCGACTGTCCTCAGGGCGACGCAATACAAGTCAGGGACACGATAAGAGAGAAAGGGGTGTGGTCCGGCGCCGTTCCAGGAACGTGGTTCGTCAATCTTAACGAACCCATCGAGCCCTTCACGGTACGCTCTGAACATTTTGATGGCTCTTTTGAAACCATAGATGCGGTCATTGCCGCGCTCCGCGAAGGAAGAGACAAGTGGGAAAAAGTCAAAATCGCGATAGCGAAGAAGGATATCGAGCCAACAACAGTCGAAAGGAGGATCAAAAATAGAACGTTTTGGAAGGTCAACTTGGAGCTCAACGCAATAGCCACAAAGTTTGATCTGAATGTTGAGAAACACGCACCGGATCCTGCTCAAGAAGACGAACATCTGGAATATACTGCTATCGAGAACATGCCAGAATTTGGCAGTCCGTACGTTCTGCACGCCAGAACCGTGCTGGGCAAGATGAAGTGGTACCCATATTTAACTATCGAAGCGCTTGTCGAAGGGATGCGAAACTACCGTACCAGTGAGGAATATTACGGCCAGCGCGGACAGTTCATCTTCTGTGCAGAGCGCGATGCACCGACCGTCGTCAAGGCATTGGACAAATTCAAAGTCTGGGTCGTGAAAAGTAAGCCTCGGCGCGACAATGGCATAGTGGCCATCCTGGCGCCCCGCCTAAAATACACGATCAAGCTCAACGATGGAGGAACGTTCGCGGCTGGGATGCAGGATGACACGAGAACAATCCTCGCTCAGAAAGCTGGGAAGGACTGGGACTATGGCTTTATATTCTCCCATGAAGTGGCAGAGAGGGACACCCGGGTGAGAGGTCTGCTCCGGAGGACAGCCAAAGAGTGGGCACCTCTTGTTCACTCTATTCAAGGAGAAGTGGTGTGCGCTGTCAAGAATTGGAAAGGACCAAGCTGGAAAGCGGGAAGTACGCCGCACTGGACAATACCCGTCCCGCAGACGTCCAGCCCCGAGCAAAACCTGGACCTCGAGCAAACCCGGGACTTACTAGCTTGCCCTAGGGAATACGTGGAGGAGAGAACCGCCTGTGGCGGGGGTCCATCTCACGGCGGAGGATCGTATTACGGCGGTGGATCATCCCACGATGGAGGACCATCTCACGGCGAGGAACCGCACTACTGCGGAGGAGGATCGTCCGATGGCGGTTGGGGCCTGAATCGCCGTGGAGTGTCTGTCGTCAAGACCGGCGGGACGCCTCCTCGAAAGGAAGTCGTTGGCGGGGCCTTGGAAAGGAGTCCAGTGCAGCACTCGCAGCTTGAGAAACGCAGCTCGCTGACCGTCCCTCGCCTTCAGAAGCGCATGGAATCGGGGTCCTCACCGCGTCGCCACCCCGTTTCGGGAGACAAGGGCAAGCAACCAGAAGAGGACAAGCGGCGAGACAAGGACAAGCGGCAAGGCAAAGGCAAACGCAGGGGCATTTCTATTTCCGGAGAAGCACTCTACCAGTTTGCCTGTCCCATTGACGATTTTTGTTTGACTAGTGATGATTTGACCGCAATTGTCCAGCAAACAACAGCGTATCGGCGAAGCCCACTCTTCCCAGGCTACGCCGGGGGCATAGCTTTCGTTTTGTGTCGGGAAGGCTATGCTGAGCAGGTCAGAGCAGCGATTGAAGATGCGGGAATCTGGACAGCCGCCGTAAGGGCTGTCAACAAAGTCAGTCTCGGTATGCCCACAGCGAAATTTACAGCAAAATTTGGCGAAAGTTCGTATCCCCTTGAAAGCGTGGAAGAAGTCCAGGAGACCCTCGCTGGGCACATCAAAGACTGGCAAACAGCCACCGTTCTGTTCTCATCGTACAAGCGTATCGAAGACGTCGTGGCTTCGCTTAATCGGTTTCCTACACTTTGGACCGCCGAAGCCGTGCCCAACGATACTACCAACCGCAGCAACGTCCTGGTTACAAGGACTTGGACTCGCGACCCGGAACATGAAGAATATCAAGGCGACCAGCCGACGTTGGACTCCCATAGTCGCTTTGGAAAGAGGTACAAATTTCATTGTCCAGATGCAAATTTTGCATTGGAAAGTAATAATTTGGACCTTATTGTCGCGCAAACATCATCATACCGGCGTAGTTTGGCTTACCAAGGCTTTGTCGGGAAGGCACTATATATCAAGTGTCCAAAGGGGCACGCCGATATGGTAAGAACAGCAATAGAAGGCAAGAAGCTCTGGCATGTAGGCATACAAGGTAATGTTCGCGTCAACATCCGTAGGCCTCTGCAGCCGTTCACGTTGAGGTTTGGGGATCACAGCATATTATGTGGCGATTTGAAGGATGTAAATAATGCTCTTAGCGACCACTTTGCAGAGTGGCATACAGCCATCGTGATCAACGACACCAGGAGACCCGCGGATAACATCGCATCTTCGCTCACCTCCGTTGCGCAAGGCTGGTATGCCATCACGAAATACAACCCTGAGTCCCGCCGCGAGGAGATTGAAGCAATCAAAAGTCAGCCCATAGTTCAAGCACACAGCGGTGAGCACCTGGATCCGACCGCTGCCGAGTCTTCGCAACCTCCTCAACACCAAAGTGGTTTTGATTACTCCCATCACCAAGGAAGGTACGAGTATCAGCAACATCATCAACAAGAAGGTTACGAGTACCAGCCGTATCCCCACACACAAGGCGGGTGGTACGAACGTCAGCATTCTTCACAACAGGGAGAGTATCAATCTTCTCCGGGCGGCTGGGAAGCTTTCAATCCACCTAGTCCCTTGCCCTCGACCACAAACAATTCGACATCCTCCGATGATAATGGAGAAGGCTGGAGCCCACATCAGACCGGCCTTTCAACTCCAAGAATGGATGTGCCTACTACTTCTTCGTCCGGTAAATCCGGCCGATCCAATCCTTTTCGCGAAGGACGTCCTCGCGGAGCCATTCGCTACACTCTACACACCAAGACTATTTCAGGAAATCCAAGGATCTACAAGTACGACAGCTTGGGTCGCCTCATCAATGGTCTCGGAGAGTACCGGATTAGAGAAGAGTACTTCGGCCAACACGGGCTCTACATTGAGTGTCCATTAGATTACTCTGAAACTTTACTTAACAAGTTGGAAGGCAAGGTCGACTGGAACGTACAGATTGCTGGACGCGACCGCATCGCTGTCATCGAGCCGACGATACCATTCACCATCAAGCTCAACAGTGGTATGTCGATCGTGGCATCCGAGATAGATCGGATTCCAGCGCTTATTGCGGCGGAGCACGAACCTTGGGAGTACGGCTTCATCTTCTACCACAAGGGAGATGTGGCGGACAGGGACATTACTCTTTGGAGCTTACTAGGCTCCTTAGAAGAATCGCAGTGGCGTCCCATCTTTCACGTGCTAGGTGAAGTAGCAACGGTAGTAGCTCTAAAGAACACCGCTAGCCCTGTCTGGGCTCAAGGAGAATGGCCATATTGGCAGCCAGCAAGAGAAGAGGGAAATCAGTCGAAAGAGAAACTACTGGCATGCCCTCATGAATTCATGCAGCAATCGTCCCACGGCGGGATGGAACGCATGGTGGAGGGACTCTCTCCGCGTCGTTCTCCTCGATTTCAGCAGCTGGACGAGGGCAGGCAGCTAGACAAGGGCAAGCAGCCGGCATTTTCCTTCCACGATCCCGTTCCCGCACAAGTAAGCTATAAGTTTTTTTGTCCCATCCGAGCTTTCAACTTGCAAAGTGAAGATCTGGGCTACATCATAGCCCGAATAAGGGCCTATCGGGAGCACGAAAAGTTTCCAGGCTTGACCGATAAGGCACCTTACATAGCGTGCTCGGCGCCCAACGCCGAATACGTCAGAGAAGAAGTGGAACGGTCGGGCGTGTGGATTGCCAGCACCGCAGGAGAAAGGCGCGTCAATCTTGCATCGCCGTCGAAACCCTTCACCCTAAAATTACATAGCGAAGTTTCGCCCGTACAAGAATTCTACGAGACCTTGGAGGGTGTAGTTGCAGCACTCATTAGAGACTCACATAGATGGAGCATCGCCATCATCTTGTTGCCACCCCAGATAGATTCTGCAGAGGCTGCAGACCACCTTGAACAACAATCTTCTTTCTGGAGTGTATCGACCAAGCACAACAAAAGGTCCAAAGGCGACGACATTGTAGTCACGAACTTGCAAGTCCCTGATCCGGTACATGGAGAAGACCCACATCTGATCGCTACCGATCCCTCCTTGATTTCGACCGCTATCAACCCCATCCAGCCATTCTACCATCCAGATTGGGCATCCTCGCCCGGCGGCTGGGGCACTGTCTTTGGGCTTGACCCATCGCACCAGGATCCTGCGGCTTTGACGTCCGTGGCTTGGGGCATGTCTCCACAAGCTGGTCAGAGCACAAGTACCCCTTCCACTCCGGGCTCTCGTCGTAATCCTCACCGCCAAGTTCGTCAAGGCCCGCCAAGTATCCACGCCTTCTACAATCCGTTGCCAAATGGCGAAATCGAGCAGACCCGATATCGAGACTTGAATCACCTCGGGCAGATCCTTAAAGATTACCGGCACAGTTCACGGTACTACGGCCAGAAGGGGCAATACATTACCTGTCCCGAGGGCATGGCCTCCGCCTATTTCTTGAGCATAGGCAGCAATGCGGAATGGCACTTGGACATGGCGGGAGACAGTCGCATCGCAATCATCGAACCCAAGCAGGCGTACACGCTCCACTTAAATGATGCACAGTCTCTTGCGTCGAATTCCCTTGAACAAGTAAGAGGGTTCCTCATGAACACTGCAGGAGACAGTTGGGATTATGGGTTCATTTACTGCCACAACAAAAAAATTATGGGAAGATTCCTCGAGCGTGCTCATAAGAGCTTCCCTCCGAGATTGGCTCCTGCGCTTCATCACACTGGTGAGGAGCACGTATTGGCACTACGAAATGCGGGAGGTCCAAGTTGGTCTAGGGGGGAGACACCAGTCTGGCACGGATTTGCACCGCCAGGTAGCCAATGCCCTCTTTTTTACCTCTCACCACAGCCCGGGGAAGGGCCCTCGGGGGGTCAAACTCACGATGGAGATCCCTCTCACCAGGGAGCCGGTAGCCGAGGATCTCGCGGGTCCCGTACTGGGAGACGTGTTCGTGGGCGTGGAGGGGGTACGTCGGACGACTAGAGGGTCGCGAAACAGGGACAAGTCGTCCGTTGTAGAGGTCCCTTTGGCTCTTTTCTGTTAGAACAAGACTACTCAGTGCTTCCAATGCCATGCTGATCGAGCTCTGTTTCTTGCCTGACGAGCCACTCCGCCAAATGAGGACGCTATAAGCGTGAACTTTACCTTCTTTTCAGCGCGCCTCTTCACCGTCCGTTTGCCCGGGAGCGAGTTTGCGGCAGAGTTGTGTCATTTGCTCGCGCCGGTAAGCTCAGAGTCTGCGCTTATTGCCTGCCCAGCCCGCCGCCTGACGTCACCGCAGAACCAGGGGCGCGGCAATGTGAAAAGCGAGCTGGGACAGAGTACCCTCGGCGAAAGAGGCGACCACTGTACAGTACACATATCAGAAGCTGAAATGTTGCTTCCTTACGCACCCCTCTGGCGAGAGGTCAGTGTGACAGGAGACGGGGACTCGCGTATGACGCCAATGCCTGCGCAAAGAAAGCGCTAGAGCGGCGCGTACTGCAGCAGGCGCTTGGCTTGGAGGATCGTTGGGCGGGGGCGACAGGTCTGCCCCGACGCCCCCTGAACGCTTTGATCTCTGCTGTGACCGAGGCTGACCGAAGCGAGGAGCAGTTGCTCTGCTGGTGAGAGCCGAGCAGCCTTTCAGCCTGTGGGTGAAGCGCTGTATGTCTTCAGATCAGATCCTCCCTGTTCTACACTGCTACCACCATCACTACATCAACGCTTTCGATCACTACTGTCTCGCCATCCCGCTCTCATGCTCTTCGTTGCACTCTTGCGCCTGGCATTCGTCGCCATTGTGGGGTAAGTGGGGCTTTCCAGAAAAGGTGCATCAGAGTGCTCAGTCTCGGTGCTTGCAGCTGCATGGACCCCGGCGCCGGCCCTTCGTCCCAGGAAGAGTGGCTCATACTGAGCGGCGAAGGCTGCAAGACCAAAATTTATTCAGACCTTGAAGACGCCGCGCGCCAGGTCGTTTTCCGCTGCGACTACATGTCGTGCAGCCAGCAGAAGATCTTTGGGTTTCTGGGCGACACGGCGAAGCAGCTTTTTCGAAACGAAGTCGAGAACATGCTGAACTCCGATGGGGAATCGTATCGAGCACAGAACGAGCACGAGCACGAGCACGAGCACACTTGGGAAAATTTCGACTGGGACGATGGCCCCAGCCGAGGCTTCGGACTCGTCCTCAGGTGCTGTGTGAAAGCGCACAGCAGAGCCTCGATGGCACCCAGCACCAGCACAGGAGTCGGCGAGCCACTGTACGCCATCACAATCGGACAAAATACGCTTTTGGGTCTCGCCTTTGACGACCTGCTTGCACATGCTTTGAGCGTATTGGACACCAACCAAATTGCCGAAATCGAGTGTCCAAAGAACGATGCTGGAGCAGTGTCCGAAGCGTTTTCCAATAAAAGGCTCTGGCGCTTCGAACTGAGGGGCGACTCCGCCCTGCACATCATGTCCAGTGGCCCGAGCTATAAGATCTTGGTGACAGGTGGAAGTTACAAGCCGCTTGAGTCTTGGCAGGATCTGCTGGAAGCGATCGACGAAAGCGTCCAAGAGCATGGGTTGGCCATTAAGCTACACGTCATCTGCCTGCGAGGAGATAATGCAAGAGTGACCGCCTACTTCATCAACAATGGCTGGCACGTAAGGCCAATCATTAACAAACAAAAGACGCAGGCCCTCACCCTCTCCATACCAAACCCGCACGAGGATCAGCAGCTAGTCAAGAGGCGGGACCCAGATTACAACTGCAAGGCCGAAAACGGCGAGCCACCGCTCAGAACCTCTAAGATGCCCGAAGTCTTGGTCTGGACCCTTAAGCTATACGAATTCGACGTGATGGAAGGCAACGTGGATTGCCATAAGGGAAACGCAAACACTTTGGCTGAACGAATACAGGATCAGGGATTATGGAACACCAAAGAAGTGAACGATTACGAGATCCATCTCAAAAGACAGCAAAAATTGCCCCATTACCTCGTCTCAAGCGGCACAAAGATGTTGCATCAGGGCAGCTGTTACGATGATGTCGTAGACTTCTTGGAAGGGAGGATCCACGAAGCCGTCGGACTTCTACATCTCTACGTCTTTTGTCCCCCTGGACAGCAGGAGACGCTGCGATCGGCGATCCAGAAAGCCGTGGAGCAGAGTCGCCTCAAAATCACTATCGAAGTAATGGGCGCTGCATCGCGCTCCAGACACGACCACGAAGCAGGCACCAGCCAATCAATCGAGCAAGACGAGCCAATCGACAAGGACTGGCTTCGACTGGGCCCGCCCTAATGTCAGAAAACGGCATTGGTCTGCGATGCTCGCTTCGGTCGCTGCACAACGCTCAACTCTAGATTTTTCAAAAGCTTGCCCGTCCGACGATGTAGCAGTAGATGATCACGAGAGGGTCTTTTGACGTGTATCCACTTCTTTCTCGCCTTCGAATCAGACTCTTCTGAAACTGAAACTGAGATGGATTGGACCGCGCAGACTCTGGCAATGCGCAGGTCAAGAGGCAGTTGCGCCTTGGCTTATTGATCCCACGGACCCCCGGCGAGTATGGCCACTCTCTTTGTCTCCTCGCGCTCCACTCTCTTCGTCCCCCGCCTCTCTTCCTGGCCTCGCGCCTGTCTCTGAGCAGACATCTCCGCAGCTCGTCTATCTCACCCGTGCTGTCTGCTGCAGCCGACTGTGCTGGGCCGCGCCCGCCATGGGGCTGCCGAAGCCGTAGGTGAGACTGCCCTCGGCATAGTCGACGCCGGGCTTTCTCTCAAACGTCGCCGGCCACTTTTGGCGTCTCTCGCTGTAGTATGCGTCGTGGTTGTCGCCGTCGGAGCGGGCATTGTACGTCGCATAGATGGCCGCCCTGGGCCGTGTCGAGGCATTGGGCCCCGAGCGGTGGGCGAGGAAGCTGCCAAAGATGAGGACGTCGCCCGGCTGCAGCGGCACGGCGAGCCAGCGCTGCGATGCCTCCCACGCCGCGTCGATGCAGTTGTTGGCGTCGAGCGGCACGGCCTGCAGATGGCTGCCCCCGACGACCTCGAGACACCCGTTTTCCAGCGTCGCCTCGTCGACGGCCATGTTGATGGTGAGGTGCTTCAGCGCGCCATTCTCCAGCTTGTAGGCGGGCGCGTCCGTGTGGGCATCAAAGCCGCCGGCCTGGGGCTCCTTGTAGTTGATCTTTTCTTTGAACAGCACCATGTCCTCGCCCTGGAGCTGGGCCAGGACACTGGTGAGCCGCGCGCCGCGAAAGAGCGACTGGAAGCCGTCGTGCTTTTGGGGGGGCCCTGGCAGTCAGCCTTTGTGCATCTCGCGAGGGGTGCGTCTCGAGAGAGCACACTCACATAATTGGCAAAATTCTCGGTCCGGCAGAGGCCCACGGTGCCGTCGGCTTTGGTCTCCTCGTAGGGCATCCACTTGCCGGGCACATTGGGCCAGCGCTGCACCTCGTCGGACCATGCCTTGATGGCCGCCTTGGAGTCGGCGTCGAGGAGGTCCGTGACGAGGAGGAAGCCCCGCTTGGCAAACGAGTCGCGCTGCTCGTCGCTGAGCGTGTACCGTTCGTCGAGAAACGTCGCAGTCGCAGCCATGTCTGCTCGATGGGGGCCGCTGTGTGATGCTTGCGTCGCCGGTGAACCCTCGTTAAATACGCGACCGTGCGAGAAAGCCACCGGACGGAAGGCCGAGCGGGGAGACTAGCCTGCGGCGCCGTGAAGCCCGCTCGATGGAGGCCCGATTCAAGGCAACCAGGCACAGGAAGCGACCGATAAGAGCCACTGCAACTAGTTTCAGCCAGGCAGGCAAAAGGGCAGTGGATTCTCGTCCGGCGAAAGAGCAGCCAAGTCCCTCGTCGGCAGAGGCGCCGGGGCCAACGGAGGGAAGTGCGCCCGGTTTCGAATCGCGCTACTACTACAGTTTGATTTCGTACAAGCAGGCCATGGAGACGATGCCCACGTTCCCTCCATTGCGTCGCGAGAAGAAGAAGAAGATGGAGATGCTCCGGCAGCGAAGCCCGTCGTTGAAGCGCAAGCATGCTTGGCTGCTCGTCGACGTGAAGGGAAGCTCGGGAAAAAGCTTAAGAAGAAGGCGCAAAACGACGACGATGGCCCCAGAAACGCCCAGGAACGCAGGGAAATGTCGGCCATCACCGTGTTCTGGAGCGGCATCGCGCTCCTCTCCGACGGCTACAATGCCCAGGCACTGTCGTCGGTCAACGTCATCCTGAGCAAGCAGTTCCCCCAAGACTTCACCTCCGTCTACCGCACGCGCCTGTCGACAGCGTATTATGTAGGGACGTGCCTGGGCGCCCTCTTCTTTGGCGGCTTCATCGACCGCCTCTCGAGAAAGGCCGGTGCCGTCACGTCGACGCTCCTCATGGTTCTTGGTGTGATTCTCTGCACGGCCGCCAACGGCACGTCGCCCCAGGGCCTCTTCTGGATGCTCATCGTCGCCCGGGGTGTCACGGGCGTCGGCGCTGGGGGAGAGTACCCGATCAGCACGACGATGGCGACCGAGTCGAGCGACGAGACGTCGCGGCTGCGGCGCATGCGCGGCCTCCTCGTCGGCCTCGTCGGCTGCACTGCCATTGACGCTGGCTTTGTCGTTGCCGGCATCACCCCGCTCATCGTCCTGGCCGCCTACGGCTACACGTCGACGACGCCGGTCAGCGAGACGCACGGCCTCAATGGCGTTTGGCGCATCGTCTTTGGCCTGGGCATCGTCGTGCCCCTCTCCATCCTCTATCTGCGCCTCAAGCTGGTGACGAGCACCGCCTTTGCGCGCCACGGCTCGCCCCAGCACCTCTCCAGCCCGCGCTTCTGGCTCGTCGTCGTGCGCACCTACTGGCGGCGCATCGTGGGCACATGCCTCTGCTGGGCCCTCTACGACGCCGTGTCGTACCCCTTTGGCCTCTTTACCTCGACGATCATCGACCAGCTCTCGGGCGGCCAGTCGACGCTGATCCGGTCCATCGGCTATGGCACCGTCATTAACCTGTTTTATATTCCCGGCTGCCTCGTGGGTTCCTTTGCCATGGACCGCCTGGGCCGCCGCAACACCCAGGCCACCTTTTTCCTCGTCCAGGCCGTCGTCGCCTTTGTCCTCGGCGGCGCCCTGGGCCCCATTTCGTCGATTTTCCCCCTCTTTGTCGTCCTCTACGGCCTCGTCCTGGCCCTGGGCGAGGCCGGCCCGGGCGTGGCGACGATTCTGATCAGCGCAGAGTCGTACCCGACGATGATCCGCGGCCAGATGGTCGGCCTCTCGGCTGCGTTTGGCAAGGCGGGCGCCGCCGTGGGCACGGTGGCCTTTGGCGCGATCCAGGACCGCCTGGGCGAGGGCAACGCGGGCACCCAGGGCGTCTTTCTCTGCGGCGCGGCCTTTTCCGTCGTCGGTGGCCTCCTGACGCTGGCCTGCATCCCCGTCATGACGGACAAGCTGCAGGACGAGGACGAGCGGTTCGAGGCGATCCTGGCCGCCAACGGCATCACCCTCGACCTGCCCCACCTGGCGCCGACGGCTGCGATGGCGACGGACCTGGCCGCGACGCGGAGCATCGACAAGGACGAAAAGGATGCGGCAGCCTTTGTGACGCTGTCCTGAGGGGGCACATCTGAGGGGGCCCTTCTTGTATTGTACTGAACCGCTCTGTGCTGTACATGTGCGCGACCAGAATCACACTTGTCTTGCCATTCTGGATGATATCCAGTGGAGCCAGGGCTTGGAGACAGCCGCATACAGACAGACAACCACTGCAGAAGTGGACCATATCACATGTGGGAACATTGCTAGATGAGAGGACTTCACGTGTGCGAACAGGCGGCGGTACAGAACACAATGTGGAAAGGAGACGGGTTCAGATTGCAAGGCGTGCTACACTAGCTCATCGTGGGCATGTTGACGCTGGCCCGGCTGCTCGTCGCATCGGCGCTGCGCCACAGGCTGGTGACAGTCTTGTTGTGGGTGTAGAAGTTGAGGGCGTGCTTGCCGTAGAAGCCATGGTCGCCGAGGACGGAGCCCTTGTTGCCGCTCCAGGCAAACATGGGCAGCGGCACAGGCACGGGCACATTGACGCCGATCTGGCCCACGTTGACGTCCTTTTCAAACTTGCGCGCCGTGGCTCTGTATTGGACACAGCGTGAGCAACGGCAAAAGCTGAAGAAACTAAAGAGACACTCACCCGCTGCGCGTAAAGATGGCACTGCCGTTGCCGTACTTGTTGCTGTTGATGATCTCCGTCGCCTCCTCGAGCGAGTCGGCATTGACGACGACGAGGGTAGGGCCAAAGATTTCCTGGTCGTAGGCCTGCATGCCCGGCCGGGCCTCGACGATCGAGGGCCCGACAAAGTTGCCCGCGGGGTACTCGTCGCTCTGGAAGTGGCGGCCGTCGAGGAGGATGCGGCCGCCCTCGGCCTCGACGGAGCCAGTGAGGGCGATGACGCGTTCGCGCGCCGCGGGTGAGATGAGCGGGCCGCTGAGAAATTAACAATATCAAACATGGTTGAGATGAGCCACGGTTGAGAGATGGATTTGCTAGGGCGAGGACGTCAACTCACAGATCAGCCTCGGGGTCGAAGCCACTGGTGACCCTGAGCTGCTTGGCGCGTGCAACGAGCTCGGCGATCCACTCGCGCGCCTCGCCGACGGCGACGACGACGCTGAGGGCCATGCAGCGCTGGCCGGCCGCACCAAAGGCAGCGCCCGCAATCGCGTTGAGCGCGTGCTCCTTGTTGGCGTCGGGCATCAGCACGGCGTGGTTCTTGGCGCCCAGGTTGGCCTGGACCCGCTTGCCGTTGGCGGTGCCGCGGTGGAAGATGTGGGCGCCGGCGCGGTCCGAGCCGACAAAGGAGATGGCGCGGATGCGCGCATCGTCGCAGATGGAATTAACAATGTCGACGGTGCCATTGACGACGTTGACGACGCCCTTGGGCATGCCCGCACGCTCGCACAGCTCGGCAATGATCATCGACGCGCCCGGGTCACGCTCCGAGGGCTTGAGCACGAGCGTGTTGCCCGTCACCGTGGCCATGGGGATCGACCAGAGCGGGATCATGGCGGGGAAGTTGAAGGGGCAGATGGCAGCGGTGACGCCGAGGGGCTCCTTGCGCACGTACGAGTCCATGTCCTTGGCCACCTCGAGGCGCTCCTCGAGGAGCGTCGAGGTGATGCCGCAGGCCGTCTCGACGACCTGGAGGCCGCGGAGCACGTCGCCCTTTGCGTCTGCGAATGTCTTGCCTCTGCGTGCTCGCTCGTGTCAGCTGCAGTCACAGAAAGAAACAAGCACGGTACGACGCCCACTCACTGCTCCAGGGTGATGCTGTTGGCAATGTCGTCCATGTGGTCGCGCAGCAGGGCCTGGAGCTTGAGCATGACGGCCTGGCGGCCCAGCAGGCTCGTCTCGCGCCAGCCGGGAAAGGCACGCGCAGCACTGGCCACGGCCTCGTCGAACTCGGCCGGCGTCGTCTCGGGCACACGGGTGAGCACCGTCTGGGTGGCCGGGTCGTGGACATCGACCCAGGCCTTGGTTGCGCTGTCGACGAAGCGGCCCTCGACGTAGTTCTTGGTGGTGCCGCCCGACGTCGAGGTGCCGCGCCACTTTGCCTCGACGTCCTGGGCGCGCGGCGTGGCCAGGGGGCCCAGTCCCGATGCCGGCGACTTTGACGAGGCGGCTGCGGCCGAAGCAGCGGCCGGCTGGGCCAGCCGGGCGACGGACGCCGTGTGGAAGGACTGCCCCACCAGCTTCGGGGCACGGCCCGCCACCAGAGAGATACGCCGCATCGAGTGCATCGTCGATTGTCTTGGTGGGTATGTGTGTATCAGAAGAAAGAAAGCAAGAAAAAGGGCCGATAGCCGACCACACTGTGGAGTGCGACCCTTCTTCTCCAGATTGATTGATAGAGTGGAGACGAAATGGGCCACGCGGCGCGGGGTCCTCGGCCTCGGGCGCGTGCGCGCGCACGGATCGCCTCTTGCGTGGAGTAGGCTACCGGTAAGCCATCGCAGTAGTGAGTGAGTGCAAGAAAGGAATTCTCAAGCGCCTGATGGAGGCAGGCGAGGACATGTCCGCCTACAAGGCCCGCCTCGTCGCCTCGCACATCGAGTCGCTGCTGGCGGCGCGTGCCGCAGGGTATAGCGCGGTGCGGCGTGGCGAGAGCACTGGCGGGAAGAGCACTGGCGGGAAGAGCACTGGGCGACCGCTGTTCGTGGGCATGCAGGGCCCCCAGGGCAGCGGCAAGACGACGACGACGGCTGCCGTCCAGCAGCGGCTCGCATCGCGGGGCAGGACATCGGCTGTCTTCAGCCTCGACGACCTGTATCTGCGCCATGCCGACCTCGTGGCCGTGGCCAAGGCGCACCCGGCCAATGCCCTGCTCCAGGGCCGTGGACAGCCGGGCACCCACGACGTCGAGCTGGGCACGTCTCTGCTCCGGTCCCTCGCGCGCATCAACGACCAGGCTGACGGCAATGGCAGCGAAGGGGCCAGCAAGGGCGACGGCAGCAGCGTGGTGCACCTGCCCTGCTTCGACAAGTCGCTCCACGCGGGCCAGGGCGACCGGGCGCCGAGCACGACATCGGTGCGCGCGCCCCTCGACGTCGTCATCGTCGAGGGCTGGTGCATGGGCTTCGTCGCCCGCGACCCCGCCGAGCTGAGCCGCCACTATCGCCAGCTACTCTCGACCAGCTCAGCCTCAGCCTCATCGTCGTCGCCGTCGTCGTCGTCGGCGCCGTCATTGCCATCGCAGTCGTCATCGCCATCGTACACGGCCAGACACCCGCTCGAGTCGCTCCTCGAGATCAACGAGCGGCTGCGGGGCTATGCCGAGGCGTGGTACGGCGACATCGACGCCTTTGTCCAGCTCCGGCCCGTGCGCCTCGATGACGTCTTTGCGTGGCGCCTCGAGGCGGAGCGCGCGATGCGGGCCCAGGGCAAGGGCGCCATGTCCGACGACGAGGTGCACGACTTTGTCGCAAGGTGAGTGAGCTCCTCTTTGCTCGATGTTGACGTGGTGCTTAGAGGCTGATTCGACGACGAGCACAGGTACATGCCCGGCTATGAGCTGTTTGGCGACGGCCTCGACGGGCCCGACATGCCGTGGGCAGGCAGCGGCCTCGCCATCGAGATCAATGCCGCGCGCGACGTCGTCTCGGTGCGCCACTTCTGACTGATGCCATGGCTTGAATACAAAAATGATGCATTGATACATTGCTTGTACACGGGCACTAAGTAGTATTTGATTACACGAGGAGATTCTATAGCCTTCCTTTCAGGGCTGGAGCGCAGCCAGGCATGCGTCGATGCGTGCGGCCGAGGCGTGCCTGCCCAGCACGGAGATGGCCTCGACGACTGTCGGGCCGGGGTGGCCGCCCATGAGGGCGAGGCGGAGGGGCCGCATGAGCCTCGCCTTGCCCTTCTGCTTTCTTTTTTTCTTCTTGTCTGTGCCACTCTCCTCACTTCCCTCTTGCTGAAGAGCGTCTGCCACCTGCTTCAGCGAGGCCTCGATGGCATCCCGAGACTCGTCGCCTTGCCGCAGCGCCTCGACGCAGCGGGAAAGCACAAGGACGACCTCGTCGCGTCCGAGGGCGTCGACGACGGCGCGTGCCTCGGCCGAGGTCCAGTCGGGCGCCTCGAGAAACACGGCCGCGGCGTCGACGAGCGCGGCGAGGCTGTCTGCCCGGGGCTGCAATCGCATTGGAGATGAGTTCAGTGGTCACGTGAGCATACAGAGAGCAGACCCACCGCGAGGATGTCGGCCATGAGGCCGACGCTGGCGTCGTCGAGCGCCACGCCCGCGCTGGGATTGCCTGCGCTCGACGCCGCAGCAGGCCAGCGCTGGGCCAGCATGGCGCGGAGCCGCTCGAGGGTGTGCTGCCTCGCGGGCGCGTGGGCCAGCTTGGCGGCGAGGTGCTGGCGGTTGAGGAAGTCGAGCTTGCCCATGTTGGGTGCCGCGCGCGAGTGGGTGATGCGGTCGAGGGAGAACTGGTGTTGGTGGTATTAGCAGTCTTGGCCTTAGAGCGAGGATGAGACACACTCACACCGTCGATCATGTCGGCCATGGAAAAGACTTCGCTGCCATCGCCCTCGCCGTCGCGATCGCCGCCATTGCCATCGCCCAGGCCGTGCCAGTTGAAGCCCATGAGGCCGACAAAGTTGACCAGCGCCTCGGGCTCGATGCCGCGGGCACGGTAGGACTCGACGTGGACATCGGCATGGCGCTTCGACAGCTTGCTCCCGTCGGGGTTGACGAGCAGCGGCAGGTGGGCAAAGCGCGGCGGCGCCCACTCCAGCGCCTCGTACAGGGCCAGGTGGAGCGGGAGCGAGGGCAGCCACTCCTCGCCGCGCAGCACGTGCGTGACGCCCATCTCGGCATCGTCGACGACGTTGGCGAGGTGGTAGGTGGGCCAGCCGTCGCTCTTGACGAGGACCGGGTCGTCGAGCAGCTCGTCGTAGGGAAAGGCCACGTCGCCGTAGACGAGGTCGCGGGCCCGTGTCTCGCGCTTGGGCCGCTGTGGTGACGATATCGGTCAGCAAAGCAAGTCAGAGTGACTGAGTGAGCGAGCAAGCAGCAGTTACCCCCTTACTCACCACCAGGCGCACCACGTGCTCGTGGCCCGCATCGATGAGCCGGCGTGCCTCGGCCTCGTCGGGCGGCAGGTAGCGCTCGCTGGCCACACGGGCACGCCGCGTGGCGACATCGTCGGGCACGGCCTTTGGTGGCCGAAAGTCGCGGTAGGCCCGGCCGGCGTCGAGGAGCCGCTGGGCGTGGGCGCGGTAGGTCGCCAGCCGGGCCGACTGCACGTAGCTGCCCGCCTGTCGACCCGCAGCGGGGCGATCGGGCCCCTCGTCGTAGTCGAGCCCGGCCCAGCGAAGGACGTCCTGCATGGCCTCGACGGCGCCGGGCACGAGCCGGGACTGGTCGGTGTCCTCGATGCGGAGGATCCAGCGGCCGCCGAAGCGGCGCGCAAAGAGGTGGTTGAAGAGCGCCGTGCGCAGGCCGCCCAGGTGCAGCTGGCCCGTCGGCGAGGGTGCGAAGCGGAGCACCGGTGTCGCCGCCGACGTCGATGTCCAGCGACACGACCAGCAGCAGCCCCGTCGCGGCACGGGCAGCCCGCGCCGCCAAGTCACCCCCACCAGCATGGTCTGTGTCTTTCTTCCTCTTCGTCGCGCTTTTTCTTTTTTAGAGCTCGTCGATCAGAGGAATCTTATATAAATACTTCAAAATATTAATACTTCTTGAAGCCAAGGCCATTTGAAATATCGAGGGCTGTAATTCGTCGAGCGCACGCGCCCCCCCTTTGCTTTTTTGCCACGAGGGCGGGCGAGCGAGCGTGCGAGAAACGCTCTTTCTTCGGTCTCAAACGGAAGAGGCGCTCAAACACACACACTCTTCCTACCCACGTCAACCACCGCAAACATGTCGAAGGTCCGCTCTGCGTTTATGAAGCACTGGTGAGCGAGAGGTCCTTTGTTGCTGTTGTGGTGAGCAGGCACTGACGCAGACGACGGCCCACAGGTACTCCGTCGAGGTGCTGCCCATCTATGTCATCACGGGCGCCGCCGCCGTCGGTGCGACCTGGGTGCGTCTCCTCTTCCCCTCTCTTTCCCTTTGAATGCAGTCCCCCCACTGACAAGTGAGATAACAGTACATGACCCGCCTCGCGCGCGGCCCCGACGTCGTCTGGGACCGCAAGAACAACCCGCAGCCGTGGCAGCACGTCGAGCCGGGCACCAACACCAAGCTCATGTCTGTCAACCAAAAATTCGACAAGCAGTACAAGCGCGACCGCCTCTAGTAGTGTCGTTAGACGTCTCGCCGCAGAAGGGCATCATACGCCCCAGGAGCGGTGGAGAGACAACACACACACAATGTAGCAGGAGGAAGTGTGGCAGAATGGATTTCATTCACCTCGGCGGGTTCTGGTGGTGGGCGCGCCTGATTGTAAGATTGCGTGTGGGTTCATGATGCAAGAGCTACAAGATGTCTGCGAGGCGCTTGGCCAGCGCGAGTCTGAGAATGTCGAGCCGCCGCGTGGATGCCTGGACGTCAAACACATCCCCTTTTCCTTCCTCCTCTTCTTCCCCTTCTTCCTCGTCCTCTTCCTCCTCTGCCTCTGCCTCCTCTACTAGCCCCTTTTGCCCTGCCTGTCCCTGACTCTGCCGCTGTCCCTGCGTCTTTGCCTGCCCTGCTGCCGTGCCGTTGGGCGAGGGCCCCACGAGGAGCCGCTGGAGCGGGCCCAGGTAGTGCCTGGCCAGGCGCTCGTGCCGGCTCGAGGCGGCCATGACGACGTCGAGGATGCGCAGGAGCTCCATCGTCTCGTCGTTTGTGAAGCCCTGTTGCTCGTCCTGTTCTTCTTCTTCTCCCTCTCCCTCTCCCTCGAGCCCGTCGGAGCCACGCATGAGCAGGGGGATGGCGTCGACGAGGAGCACGGCATAGAATGGCTGCGGGCAGCTGTCGCTCGACAGCATCTCAACCAGCAGCGCGCCTGCCTCGGCCGAGCGCCGGGCCGCATACAGACGGTGAAAGTCGCGGTACTGGGCCAGGAAGGCAAGCCGGGTCGAGAGCGCGAAGCCGAGCTGGGCATCTGCGTCGTCGTCGGCGGCGGCGGTGTCTGTGTCTATATCGCCATCGAGACCAGCGCCACCCGGCGCGAGGAGCGAGGGCGGCATGGCGTCGACGAGGGCGCAAAAGGCGTCTGCGCCGTCGCAGATGTACACGTCGAGGATGCGTGCGACGATGCGGCGGATGCCCCGTGCGTCGTCGGCACGCCGGCAAAAGGCGACGGCCTCGCCGTAGCGGCGGCGCGCGAGGAGCTGGCGTGCGACGCGGCTGCACACGCGCCGGGCCTCGCGCTCCATGCCGTGCTCGCGGCACGCCAGCAGCACCTCTTCGATGCGCGCCACCTCGTCGGATGCGCTGCGGCGGCGCTGTGCTTCCTCTCTCTCGCGGCGCACTTCTCCATCCTCCTCATCATCGTCCATCATCTCCTCGGCGCGACGCTGCTCGGCCTCGAGCTCGTCGATGGGTCTCGGCCGAGCCCGCGGGCGCGCCGCCACGGCGTGCGGGCCCACGAGGTCGATGGAGACGAGGATGGCGGCCATGCGCCGGCGTGTGCTGGCCCTGTCTGCCTCGCTGCCGTCGCACGTGGCGAGGTAGTCGATGGCCATGCGCCAGAGGCCCTGGTCGTCGAGGAGCGTCTCTGCATACACGGCCACGAGATGGTTGCGCTCGTGAGCAGCACCCTCGTCGAGCACACCCGCCTTGGCGACGAGGTCGGCCAGGTGGGCGGCCAGCCAGGGGTCCACACGCGTGGCTGCCTCGCAGGCCTTAGACACATCGCCGCGCGCCAGGGCCGCCTGCACGGCATCGCCCGGCCGTCGCGCCTCGTCGACAGAAAAGCGGCCCAGGATCGCAGCCATCGTCTCGGGCACGTCGTCACGCTTGAGTGCCGGCTGCACGAGCACGCCCCACGCACCCAGCGCCTCGGTCCAGTTCTCGCACGCCTCAAAGACGCGGTCGCGCACGCCGGCCATGAGCTCGACGAGGCAGCGGAACTGCGCCTCGAGCTCCAGCCGCTCGTCCTCGACGTCGTCGCCGTCGCCGTCGCCGTCCTCGTCGTCTGCGCCCCTGCTCTGGCCCAGCTCGCGCTCCATGTCGTCCATGTCGCCCTCGAGGCCGGCGAGGAGCGCGCGCACCTGGCCCAGCCAGCGCCGGTGTGCGGCCAGAAAGTCGTGCTCGAGCGCAAAAGAAGTCGAGCGCGGCAGGCTGGCAAGCAGCTTGGCCACACGGCTGGCCACACCCCGCAGCGCATGCGACGGGTGCGACGACGCGAGCGAGCCCAGCAGCGAGGCGGCCGTCGTGTGGAAGCCGCGGAGGACGCAGCGGAGGATGTAGTCCCAGTAGGAAGGGTGCTCGTACGGCACGGCCGCCTGCGCAATCGCCTGGCCGTCTTCGGTGCGCGGGGCGAAATCAAACGAGTTGAGCCAGTGGAGCACCTCCTCGCCCACCACGCCGGCGCCCCGGCCGTCGACGGGCAGGTACAGCGTCTCGGCCAGGTGGAGCGTCGTGTGGATCGACTGGCTGAGCTCGAGCTCGCGTTCCTCTTCTTCTTCTTCATCGTTGTCGTCGTAGTCTTCGCCTCCGCTTGTCCTCGCAGCGACGGCCTCCATGTACCGCCGGATCGCCTCGCGGTAGAGGCCGCTGATGCGGTGGTAGTACTGCAGCGTCTGCGCGGGCGGCACAAGGCCCGGCTTGCTCGCCCGCTTGCTCTCGGCTGCGATGCGCTGCAGCGACGAGAACACGGTGTACGTCTGCGCCAGGAGCTGGCCAGGGGAGGGCACGGTCAGCATCGTCGCAAGAGAGTGAGCACAGTCACGCGCTCACATCGATCTTGTCGTCGGTCGCCCAGTCGCCGGCGAACCAGCCCCGCAGGTTGGCTGTGGCTGTGGCTGTGGCCGTGGCTTGTGTGGCACTAGCACCACCGCGCTTCGAGGGCCCCTCGCCGGTGTCGATGGCCGACGGCGGGCGCGCAGCAGCAGCAGCAGCGACCATGTCTGTTATAGATCGAGCCTCTGTCAGACGAGAAGAAACGGCCGCCGTGGAGAGACGCGTTGATAAAAATAAAAATAAAAGTAAAGAAAAGTGAGACGAAGCCCCGGCCGAGAGAGAGAGGGAGAGTTGCGCGCATCCGTCTCGCACTTCTTCTTCCTCGTCGCATCACAATCTCCCGCTCGCGTCTTTAGTCAGGGGAACAAGCAACGAGGGCGAGCCGCAAGTAAGAAAAGGAGGCCGGGTCAGATCCAGAGGGCCAGCGTATTGGCGTTCGCATCTCGTCTCGGGAAAAAAGGAAGGCCAGCGAGGCGGGAAGGTGGCCCAGCATGTCGTCGAAACAAAAGGTGATGGTGCAGCCCATCAATGTCATCTTCCGCTACCTGCAGCAGCAGACGCGGGTGAGCCTCTGGCTCTATGACAACGAGGAGCTGCGCATCGAGGGCAAGATTGTGGTGCGTGTTGGCTGGCTTGCGATGAGAATAAAAGCAAGGCGCGTGGCTGACAGTGTCTGTGCAGGGCTTCGACGAGTTCATGAACGTCGTCATGGCCGAGGCCGAGGAGGTGCCGATCAAGAAGGAGTCGGCTGCGCAGCGAAAGACGCTGGGTGAGATGGTCCTGCTCGACGTGATTGGCATTGATTGACTCGACTGACTCTGAAGTGCTTCTGTGCCAGGACGCATCCTGCTCAAGGGAGACAACATTGTGAGATGCCCTGCGCAGACGCCTCCCATCAGAGACTGTCGCACTAACCTTGCCTTCCTCTTTTCTGCTGCAGACGCTCATCCAGCCCGCTCTGTAGCCGCGTCTTCTTCCCAGGCGCGCTGCCGGGCTCTGAAACTGTACACTAGTCGTAATCACACGAAGCTTCTTCTTTCATGCCGCTTCTCGGACCGTAGAGCCTGGTGTCCCATTCGCGCGCTTGACGCACCCACCGCACACTGGGGCGATTGATTTCCCTCTTTTTTTTTTTTTTTTTTTCCCTCCTGCAAATTTCATCTCGAGACTAAAGTTTCATTCATAAGACGCAGTTCCTCAACGCCAAAACCGCTCCTTGTTCCTGCCCCACGCACGCACGCAGGCACAGCTCAGCATAGCATAGCCGCCGCGGCCGCGAAAAAGACGCAGGCGGGGTGAACACAGCCGCACTGCGTCCGCTGCTCGGCCAGACGACATAGACAGGCGGACAGAGAGAGGGAGAAAGCGGGCCCGGGCGGCGCCTGTCGGACGAGAAATTTCAAAGATTGCGAGGGGAGATAGAGATACGACGACGGGGAAGCCGAGTTCAAGGCAGTTGGCAGGTCATTTGCCATAAGTTGATTGGCAAGGCGATTGGCGTGGCGATTGGAAGAATCGATTGACGAGGCGATTGGCAGGTTGATTGGCTGGGCGATCGGCGAGGCGAGGCGAGGCGAGGCAAGCGACTGATCGGCAAGCGAGGCGACAAGACAAGGAGGACCGAGCGTACACATGGCGTCCTGCTGCTGTCCCGCGCCTGCCGCGCTGCCGCCCAAGCGTGATGTCGACGTCGATGACACTGACGATCGCGAGCGAGTGATGGCGAAAGAGCAACAACAAGCAAGGAGAGTGGCTCCTGCGGCCATGAAGCAGGAGGCCGACGAGCACGAGCACGAGCACGAGCAAGAGCAGCAAGAGCGCGAGGCGGCAGGCCAGCAGCTGCTGCCGGTGCGCAAGGCATGCAACCTGTGCCGGTCGCGCAAGGTGCGCTGCGACCGCACGCCCCTCGATGCCGGTGGCTGCGCGCGGTGCCGGCGCGAGGGCGTCGAGTGCTGCTACGGTGCGTTGTCATCCTCCCTCCCCTTCCCTGCTCTGTTTGCTCTGCTCTGCTGACCAGATGGCGTGCGCATGGCTTCTTCTGCAGCGACGAGGGACCCCATCGGCCGGCCGCGCAAGAGGAAGCCGTCGAGGGACGCCGATGCATACGACTATGGCTATGCGGCGCTGCCCCCGCCATCGCTGGCAGGCAAGGCGGCCAAGCGCATGAGCCGATCCACGACACCCGTGGGTCTCGTCGCCTCGTCGTCGCCGCCTTCTTCCTCTACCTCCTCCTCCTCGTCCTCGATGCTGTCCTCGGCGATGGTGTCGAGCAAGAGCAGCAGCAGCGGCGGCTCTGACCACACCGTGACGCCCAGCTCCTCCATCGACGCACGCGGGCTAGGCCGCCGTCCAGCAGGAGCAGCAGGAGCAGCGACGGTGAGCACGATGGCGAGCACGACCGGCGACTCGCCCACGCTCGTCGACCTCGGCCTGGCGGCATTCCTGCAGAGCCTCGACACGCTGGAGCTGAATGCCGACGACGGCCTCACGCCCCACATGGTCCAGGGGCTCCACCACGCCAGCCTGCCGTCGCTCGGCGTGCCCGGCCTGGCGATGCAGCAGCAGCCGCAGCAGACAATGCCCGTTGATGATGGAGGAGTAGACTCGTCGCTCAGCTTCAGCTCGCTCTTTGACCCCCAGGTCAGCACCTCGTACGCCGTGCCCGCCGACCTGTCGTGGGCCGATCCGAGCTGGCTGCTCAACTCGGACCTCTTTCCCGCCGTGCCTGGCCCGCCCGGCCAGCCTGGCCAGCCTGGCACGCCTCTGCTGCCGTCGTCGTCGTCGTCGTCGCCGTCATCTGCGCAGTCGACCGCAGCCCCCTTTGCCGGCACGGCCATGCCGACGGCACCGTTGCTGGCTTCCACAACAACAGCAACCCCCGCCTGGCCAGACATGGCCTGGCCCCGCGGCACCGCACAGGGCATGGGCCAGGGCCAGCTGCGCACCCTCGACGGCCGCCTCATCCAGGATGCCGCTGCCGAGGCCAGCGCTGCCAACACCAGCCCAGCCAGCGGGGCAGCCAGCCAGCAGCGGGGCCCATGCCCAAAGACGGGCGAGGCCTCGTGCTGCTGCTCGGCGCCCTCGTCTGCCACTGCGCCCTCGTCTGCCACTGCGCCCGCCTCGTCTTCCTCGTCTTCCTCCTCCTCGTCGCGCGTCCACTGCGTGCCCAACCCCACGGGCAAGGGCTGCACCTGCCTCTGCGACGTCTCTGTCTCGCTCATCAACGTGCGCGCCACGCTCCGGGCTGCGCGCGACGACTCGCCTTCGGCCGAGGCAGGCGCCAGTAGTGCAGCCGGCACAGGCACAGGCACCGGCACAGACACAGACTTAGCCACGCATACATCCTCGTCCTCAGCCACGCACAGACCAACCTCGTCGTCGTCGACGACGCTCCAGCTCACGCTGAGCGCCTCGCAGGCCGTCGCAGCCCAGTGCGCATGCAGCGCCTCGTGCCCCACGTGCCGCTCTGACCCAAACACGTCCCTCTCGGCCTCGCTCCTCGTCTCGACGGCGCTCCAGATCTACGTCCGCGCCGTGCGCACCCTCCGCCAGGGCTTTGGCGGTGGTGGTGGTGGTGGCAGCGGCGCAGAGCCACACGACCAGTGGGACGTCAGCATCGGCGGCTACCGGCCCAAGCGCGACAATGCGCGCCGCATCGCCCTGTTTGCCATGAAGCTCGAGCTGCGCGACCTGCGCGACGCCATCGCCAAGGTCGCCCGCGCCGCTGCGCCCGAGACAGCGGTGACGGGCAGCTATACCAGCAGCAGCAGCAGCAGCAGCGCGGCAGAACTGCACGCGCTGCCGCACATGAACCCCATCGACCAGATCGTCATCCGCAAGCTCCACCTCCAGCTCGGCGACCTCCTCGCCACCGTCGAGGGCCTCGAGGAGCAGTTCTGATCTCTCATTCCACTGTAGCAATAGGACTCCCTTGTAGACCACCTCTCTTTCAATTTACTCTTTTTCCCGCCGTGTGTCTGTTTGCCTCCCTCTCTCCCCCCCTCTCTGGCCTGTCTCGCCGTCTGTATGCACCTGTCCGCAGTCTGTCTGCCCGTCCGCCTCTCTTCAGATGCAGGTCCTACGCTCTCCCCGTCGCCAGGAGCAGCCTCACCGTCAGTCTCATAATATTTCCCAAAGTAGGCTGGCACATCAGTCTCGCACCGTCTCTCAGAGGATGGCCGCATCAGTCTCATGCCGTCTCCGCGTGACAAATCAATGGACAGCATCGATTGCAGTTCTCGCTAGTGTACACATGCGCTCAGAGGAAAGGTGAAATGGCGCCGGCTGGTTCACTCGTCATCATCATCATCGTCGACCTGCACCGCAGCGGCGGCGAGGAGGTCGCGCTTCTGCTTGCGCACCTTGCGCGCCAGGCGCAGCGCCACCTCGAGGGGCGCCTCGCTGTCAGCAGCTTCATCGGCCAGGAAGCGCTGCACGGCCGAGAGATCGTTTGGCGCAAACTCGACGTCGGCGCGCCTCGCCTGGATCCACTGCGCATTCTGCGCCGCCTTGTCGAGCACGCCTCGCACCTGGCTGGTCCATGCTGCATTGCCGCCGCCGCCGCCGCCGGCCTGGGCCTTGGCAGCCGTCTTGAGGAGCCGGCGCAGCTGCACGGTGGGCGCGACAACGAGCTCGGGCAGGGCGATGCTGCGGGCCTGGCCGGCAAAGAACTCGAGGAGGAGGTGGGCGGCCTCGGCGGCGACCTGGTCGGCGTAGGTGCGCGTGCGCACGTAGTTGGCCGGCGCACGCAGCGTCACGTCCAAGTTGAGGGGCGCGAGCGTCGAGGGCTTGCTGCGCCGCTGCAGCTCGGGCGCATCAAAGACGTCGACGAGATAGGGCGCCAGGGGAATGTAGACGGCGGTGCGCTGGGCGAGGCGCAGGAGCGAGGCGACGACGTGGAAGCGAAAGGGAAAGTAGCGCGACGTGGGCAGGAGCCGGAGTGCGCCCGTGGCCACCTGGACGAGCGGGTAGAGGAGCGGCTGCATGGGCGACGGCGACGGGTCGTTGCGCTCGACGGCGCACGTCTGGCCGAGGACGAGGGCCCAGAAGTCGAGGCAGTGGAGAAACTGCCAGTTGTAGACGTGCTGAAACGACTCGCGCGTCTTGGCCTGCAGGCACGCACGCAGGTGGATGGCCAGCTGGCGGATGAACCCAAACGCATGCTCGTAGCTCGCGCCCAGGTCGAGCGCATACAGCTCCGAGGCCGAGTTCTTGAGCAGGTTGATGCTGTCGAGCGTGTGGATCGTCGTCGTCTTGCAGTTGCGCACCAGGCCGTGGTAGGCGCCGCGGAGGCAGACGTCGACGACGGTGGCGTCGCCCGCAGCAGCGATGCGCCGGATGGCGAGAAAGGCGGCGATGCGCACGTTGGGCGCCGCGCTGGACCACAGCTCGAGAAGGATCTTGATGTGCTCGCGGCACAGGCGCCGGTGCGGCACCAGGTAAGGGACCATGCGCACACTCTCGGACACGCACGCATACACCGTCGCCGGCTCCGGCAGCGTGCGCAGCAGCTTGTGCAGGCTCACAAAGTAGCTCTGCACCGAGCGCTGCAGCGCGCCGTACTTTTTGCCGTTTGTCGGCAGCTTGTACTTGCCCGAGCCCGGCGGCTGTTCGCGCGCAGGGATGTGGTGCTGCAGCACGACGGGCACGAACTTGAGCGTGGTGACGACGAGCTTGTTGAACACGGCGGCCTCGGTGACGACAAACGAGGGCCCTTGCTGCTGCCGCCGCTGCTGCTGCTTGGCCGCCTCGTCGGCCTCGTCGCCCATGTCGGCGGCGGCACGGAAGGCGAGGAGGAGCCGGCGAAAGGCGCGCAGCGAGTGCGTCTGCAGCATGCTCTTCTGCCACTGCCTCAGCATCTCCGACGTCACCACGGCTGCCCCGTCGTCGCTGGCCTTGTTCTTCTTTTTGCTTTTGCTGCTGGACTCAGCCTCGTCCATTTCCTCGTCCTCGTCCTCGTCCTCCCCGCCAAACTCGAGCAGGTCCCGGTCGTTCTCCTGCAGGTACTTGAAAAAATCCGGGTCGCTCTTGGCCAGCTTCTGCAGGTCCGCTGCATGCGTCTCTCCCTCGTCTGCGTCGGGTCAGCACGGCTCTCACGTCTCACAGCCAGATACGATTCGCAACACCCACCATCGGACAGCGCGTCAATGTCTTCCAGCTCTTCGTCGTCTTCCTCGTCATCTTCCCCATCCTCGTCATCGTCATCATCATCGTCCTCGTCCTCGTCGCTCGCCAGGCCCTGCTCAAAGCCGCCGCCGAGGAAGTCATCAACCGACATCTTGCCCTTGCCCTTGCCCTTGACATCGCGCCTCGGCACCTCGTCGTCGTCGTCGTCGTCCTCTCCCCCGCTCAGCCCCCGCCTGTCCTCCTGCTCTTCGTCATCGCCCCCGTCGCGCCTCGTCGTCGTCGCCGCCAGCCCTCGCTTGCGGTCCTTTTGCTGCTTCGACCGCTGGATCGCCGCCGACTTCTTCTTCCAGTCGCGCCGGTCCTTGATCGTCTGCTCCAGCTTGTTCTTGACAAATTTTTTGGTGCGCTTCTGCTGCTTGGCCATCGTGCCGTCTGCTCGAAGAAGAAGAAGTGCTGATGGACCGAGCCCGACGAGCTGTTCCAACCTTTTTTTTTATATATATATTTTTTTCTTCTTTGCTGAAATTTTTAGGCGCTGCCTTCGTTGCTTGCTCACGTGCAGAAATTCAAGCGCCCAACTGGAACAGGAGCCGTGCGCCAATGCTGCTCTTTCTATCAACGCAGCCAGCCGCCAGATCGAGTCCACCAGCCGCAAGATGGCGGCCGAGCGACGCAACATTCACGTCTTCTCAAAGGGAGAAGAAGTCGGCGGTGAGTGTCTGCTGCTAGTACGGAGCTGAAGTTCATGAAAGCTGAAGGAGATTCTTCTCCTCCGTCATAGGCATCTGGCAGCACGGAAACGTGTCCAAGAGGCGCTTTCGGGAGTGGCTCGACTATTGCTGGCACTTTGAAAGGGAGGGAAAGCCGGTCGCATGGAGCCTCGCCGAGCGATGCGAGCCTGGCAGCGTCCAGGAGCGAAGCGTCGTTGGCCCGACCTTGGACCGAACAACGGCCGACGAAGCAATGCCCACCGGCACTTTTGACGTGCTCACCGACGGTACGTGGGAGCCGGTCGACCACAGCAAGACGCCTCATCGTTATCATCCTCGCACGATTAGCTTGAACTCGTCGTCATCGAGCAGGAGGAATGCCACATTCGCCGACCGTATCCGTAAGAGGGACCAAAGGTGTCTAATCACCGGATTTGAGTCTAATCCCGGTGGACGGTCGAGGGCGCTGCAGGCCGCCCACATCTTTGCGAGGGCGCACCTCGATCGCGTGAGTGTATCACTGGCTCGTCGTTTGGATTGGTGTTTTGTTCTCACACCAAATCTCTCCCCTTGTCCAGTGGCGCGCCTGTGGGTTTGACCGCCTTGTTGAGGACACGGATCGCCACATCGGCAACGCCAAGATCGACTCGGTCCAGAATGGCTTGCTCCTCCGCGCCGATGTGCACAATAGGTTCGTTGATCATGAAATTGCCGTCGACGTCGACAACGGCTACGCCATTTACGACTTCAGCCGAGCTGGTTGGCAGCACGGCGAGCGCCTCGGTCTCGACCACCTCGAGCCGGGATCGAGTGAGAGGCCCCTCGACGCCCTCTTCCGCGATCACTTCTGGCAGGCCGTCCTGGCCAACGTCAGGGGTGCCGCCAAAGTGTACGACGACGAGCCGCAAGACGATTGGGCAAATCCCGACACGCTGTGCCTCGACAATGACGCCTTGCATAAGACCGACAAGGGCCGCCTCAGGCTCGAGCTGGAGCTGGGCAGCCGACTCAACCACCTCATTTCTTAGTTCGGAACAGCATTTCATTTGTACTGTACTGTACGCATATTTGTTTTATCCATAGAGACAGCCCACGGCCTAATGATATCCTTAGAGACGCCTCTGCTGGAGGGAGCACTGACAAGTGATTGAAGGAACACTGAGAATCGGGCTGACTTTCCCTCTCGGACTCTTTTCTTTTAGCCGTAATTCCGAGTCGTTGATAATCCTTCATTATAGGTCACGCCATGTGGCTTCAACATCGTGGCTTGCTCACATGAAGAAATCCAAGCGCCCGACTATAGGAACAGGAGCCGTGCGCCGCGCTCTCAGTCAACTCAGCCCGATCGAGTCCCACCAGCGGCAAGATGGCGGCGGCGCGACGCAACATTCACGTCTTCTCAAGGGGAGAAGAAATCGGCGGTGAGTATCTGCTGCCCTGCTCGCTAGCACAGAGCGCAAGTGGATGAGGGCTGAGGGAGATGCCCCTGTGTCATAGGCCTCTGGCAGCACGGAGACATGTCCAAGAGGCGCTTTCGCCAATGGCTCGGGCACTGCTGGCACTTCGAACTGGACGAAAAGCCCGTCGCGTGGAGCCTCGTCGAGCGACGTGAGCCTGGCAGCGTCCAGGAGCGACGCGTCGTGGTGGGCCCGGTTGGAGACGAAGCGGCCGACGAAGAAATGCCCACGGGCACCTTTGACGTCCTCAGCGATGGGGCCTGGCAGCCAGTCGACCATGTCGCAACGCCCCATCGGTATCATCGTCGCACGCTCAGCACGAGTTCGTCGGCGTCGTCAAGCACAACGAGTTCCACGTTCGCCAGCCGCGTTCGTGCGAGGGACCAGAGGTGTCTGATCACCGGAGAGACGCCTTTCAGCCCGACGGGTTGGGCGTCGTTGCAGGCCGCCCACATCTTTCCGAGAGCGCACCTCGAACGCGTGAGCAAAGTCAGAGGCCCTCCCTATGCTTTCTGCTGATGCAACGTGCTTGCTTCCCTTCTTCAGTGGCGAGCGTGTGGCTTTGGTGACCTTGTTGAGGACACGGATCGCCACATCATCGGCGAGGCCAAGATCGATTCGATCCAGAATGGCTTCCTCCTCCGCTCCGACGTGCACGACCATTTTGATGCTCACCACTTTGCCATCGACGTAGACGGCGGCTACACCATCTACGACTTCAGCCCCGCTGGTCGCATGCACGGCGCGCCCCTCGATCTCGACCACGTCGAACCGGGATCGAGTGAGAGGCCCCTCGACGCCCTCTTCCACGATCACTTCTGGCAGGCCGTCTTGGCCAATGTCAGGGGGGCCTCCGAAGTCGATCCCGACGACAAGCCAGAGGACGACTGGACGAATCCAGACATGCTACGCCTCGACAATGATGCACTGCACAAGACCGACAAGGGCCGCCTCAGGCTCGAGCTGGAGCTGGGCAGTCGTCTCAATCACCTTGTTTCCTAGTTCAAACAGCATTCCATTTGTACGCATAGTTTTATTTTTTACATAGAGACATCATCCCACGGCCTAATGATATCCATAGAGACACCGCGCCGGACTTGCGAAATTAATAGGACTGCATCCATGGTTTTACCGGCGGTTCTCCTCTCTTGGCTTGCCGCTGGGGCCTTGTTCCTTGCTCAAGAATCCGCCGCTTCGACACGGCTGCATTTTCGACCTCGCAAGCCGATCGAACCCTCGACGTGGGGGAAGAAAAGAAAGGGAGGATTAATGCGGGTAATCTCAATCTGAAGAGTGCATGGGAGGCTTGGACGTAGCGTGGGGAACCACTTCCCTTTGATGTCTATCCCCACTCTCTTCCCCTTCTTTGCGTCCCTTCATCTACACAAACGCTTGAGGCGACTGCATACGCCTCACAGCAGAACAGGACACGATGTCAGACGAGAAGCAAAAGGTCGCGTCGCCGCTGGCTGCGTCGCCAAAGGCTACGACGCCGACAAGCGAACAACGCGACAAGCTCGACAGCGGGGGAGCTCATAAGAAGAAAGACGAAGACGCCGACGATGGAGCGGAACATGCCGAAACAGGGCTGAAGAAGAAGGACGAGGAAGGATCGGGCCGGGTTGGGGGAGAACAGGTGCCGGTGGCCGGGCCGCGCCCTCGGGGAAGGCGCGTCACCACGATGACGGTCGACGTTGATGGCGCCGAAGACGTGCAGGTCGACACAATGCCAGGCGAGGTAGCAAAGGAGATCGAAAAGCTCAAGGTGCTTCCCGTAGAGGACCTCAAAGCCGAAGAACGTCGGCTGCTCCGCAAGGTGTGTCTGACTAGACTGCGTATGGATGAGGCAAACTGGCAGAGAACTCCTCACTTACCTCCCCCTTCCAGCTCGACATCCGATTGATGCCGACTCTGTTTGTGCTCCTCATCCTCAATTACCTCGACAGGAATGCTCTCGCCAGTGCACGCGTCCAAGGCATTGAAAAGGACCTCAGGATGAAGGGCACCGACTTCAGCGTGGGTCCATGACATCCCCTTGCCCTTGCCGATCACTGACCACGTTGCCCCTGCCAGACTGCCATCAGCATCCTATTCGTCGGGTACATCCTTGGCCAGCTGCCCGCTAACCTGATTCTCTCCCGCTCTCGCCCCTCTGTCTTTCTGGCGGGCTTCGTGGCCCTCTGGGGAGCTGTGTCGGCAACGACAGCAGCTGCAGACTCGTACGCGCACCTCGTCGTTATTCGCTTCTTTCTCGGCATCGTCGAGGCCCCTTACTTTCCAGGAGCGCTCTTCCTCCTTTCGTCGTGGTACACGAAGCGCGAAGTGGCGCTGCGCACTGCCCTTGTGAGTCATGAGTGCGAGAGAGAAGGTGCCACCCTGCTTGCGTCCTACTGAAACCCCCTTTCCCCAAAATAGCTCTATTCGGGCTCCTTGCTTGCAGGCGCCTTTTCTGGTCTCATTGCTGCCGGCATTCAGGCGGGGCTCGACGGAGCCCACGGTCTGCCAAGCTGGCGGTGGCTGTTCATCATCGAAGGTAGCATCACTGTCGGCGTCGCCCTCGTCGCCATCTTCATCCTGCCCGACTACCCTGCCACGACACGGTGGCTTTCGCCGAGAGAGAGAGCAGTCGCCCTGTACCGCCTCGAGACCGATGCGGGCGTGAGCGACCACACACCCAACAGCAGCCTGATGCGAAACCTCGTCCTGGCCCTCAAGGATCCGAATCTGTACCTGCTCAGCCTCGCTATGGTCTGCAAGACGACCGCAGCAGCTGTCACGCAGTTCATCCCCACCGTCGTGGCGACATTCGGCATGTCCAAGGTGGCGACGCTGCTCCTCACTGCACCGCCCTACATCTTCTCCATGATCATCTCGCTGCTGGTCTCGCGGCTGTCGGATCGGGTGCCCGAGCGGTGCGGCCACGTCTGCGTGCCCCTCGTCTTTGCACTGGTGGGCTTCATCATTGCAGCTTCCACGACGCAGACGGCGCCCCGCTATCTCTCCATCTTCCTCATGCTCGGCGGCATCTATGGCAGCTACAACGTCGCTCTGGCCTGGATTTCGTCCACTTTTCCTCGGCCAAAGGAGAAGCGCGCAGCAGCGTACGCCATCATCAATGGCCTCGCCAACCTGGCCCAAGTCTGGTCCCCTTACCTCTACCCGCAGTCCGATGGCCCGCGCTACATCAAGGCTTTTTCCGTAAACTCGGCCATGCTCTTCCTCTGCATCGTCTTCAGCCTCACCCTGCGCTTCTATCTGAAGCGGGCAAACGATCGCATGGACGAGAGGGCGGCACAGCTGCGCCAGGCCGGTGTCGCAGAGGAGGAGGACGATGAAGCGGAGGGCGATGCGGTTCTCAAGATTCGCTACCTCTTGTAACAAATTTCTCCCTCGTCTTCTTGATTTAACACACATTTGCATCCACTCGAACTCTTCCTTTCGCGAAACCGAACTTTCACACTGTGTTTAGCGAGAAAGGGGGGGCTCGAAACACGTACTCAGCTGCAAGCAAGTGCTACACAGTAGTGAAAAGGTGGAAAACTAACGACTGGGCTGAAGTTTGCGGGCTGAATCGCGGGCTGACCTGATTGGAGTGAGATACAGTTTTTTTGTCGGTTGGCGTTTGGCTGGTCAGACCCCCGCGGCTAGCTTCATGATGCCCCGAAAGGCTCGGGGAGCGTTCGGAGCGATGTCCAAGCATTTCTACATCTAAACAAGAAAACAGAGAAGCAAGTGGGTCGTGGTATAAAGTGTGAGCCATAGTCAATAAGCATGACGAGGGAGAGGAGGACAGTGAGAAACCGAAGTCATTCCGAAGGGGTGCTTAAGCCCCATGGTCAGGACAACGTTCAAGCCCCCGTCTTCTTTCCGGCGGTTGCGCATCGGAGGAAAAGCGCGCAATCGCTGCAACCGAGGACAGAGAAACGACCTCTGGCATGTACCCTTTCAGCCTGCGCCCTTGTGCACAAAGGTATATAAAGCCCGCCTTCTTTTCTGCTCCCTTCCCCTATTGTCCCACAAGAAGACACATCTATTCCTCTTCCTACTCTCATCAGGAGAGGAGGAAATGTTTCAGTCACGCCAGGTGCGGGCTGGCTTCGGAACTCTGCTGGCCTCGGTCTTGCTGTGAGTTATACACGTCCATCTCACTCCAGCGCGTTTGCTGACTCCTTTCTACACGCCTCTCAGTCTCACAGCTGCTTTCAGTGCTTTGGTCCCTGCAAGTGTTCTCCCTGGTGGAGACATTGGTAGGTATACCGTCACGAGCGTGGACAACACCGTCCGGACGCACTCTTCTACAGAAGGACAAGTCAATCTTCGCTTCGCTCCGTCCGAGGCTCACGTCCAAGCTCTCGATGAAAACCGAGTCGACGCGCGTTTCAAATCCTCGTCGGAGAACGAAGTCTCCTTTAATGAGACTTACGGGCACCAAGGCGACGACTTGCGCTGGCTGCAACGCTCTATCGAAAAATCGGTCGGACACGAGCAAGGATCCGAGCTACAGCCTTTGGCAAAAAGAGGTTGCTGTCAAAGTCATTCAGCGTCACCACAACTGCAATCGTCGTCGAGTTCGAGTCAGGGGACACACGACGCAGTGACAGGGATGGGCAAACAAAGTCAAGAAGGGGAAGCACAACAGCAATTATATCAGTTCCAGAAGGAATTTAAGTGGGGAGAACAAATGATGAATCTTCAAACCAGTAAGTGACGCGCTTTCGTTGGACAGGCGATCAGGCTGAGGACTGACATCATGTGCGCTTATTCGACGCAAAGTCGATGTCAATCTAGTTCTCGACGATACTCTCGCGGCTCATTTTGAAACCGAGCTCAGGTCTTTTGCTACCAAATCCAACTACAACGTCGTGAATTATAAGCAAGGGGGAATGTCTGTAAGTTGTCGCTTGGAGCCAGCCTTGAAGAGCCATGGCGAGACCAGTGGGTCCGGAGATCCTCCCCGGACGTCAATCTCGAAAGAAGCCACTTCGGAGAGCGAAGAAGTCTTTGAGAGGCCCACGGCTACCTCTGAATCGAGGACCGAAAAAAGAGCTCTTGACGCTTCAAAGAAAAGGGAAAGCGACATACACGACATTCGTTGCCTGTCTGAAAGGTCAAGCGGAGAGGAGCAAGGTATGTTCGGTCAGCAACATTTTGAGAAAAGGGGTTGCATGGGTAGCAAAGCGGCATTACCAAAGACACCATCGACGGAGAGACCATCAGTGCCACCGAAACAAGCGTCGTCGCCGGTGCCGTCAACGCCAACAGAGCCACTGGTACAAATGACATTTGATCCCAACGAAGCGCAAACGAAACTCCTTGTCGAGGAGGCCAAGGAGGATGCCCAGAAAGAATTTGACAAGTGGCATAAAGACTGTTTGGGTCGAAAGCTGAACGCATGCGAAAACTGTAGGTGTAGTTCTTTTTTGTTCGATCCGCGCAGCGAAGGAGTAGGCTGACATCCAAAGTCCGCCGCTCTGCGCAAAGATGCAGTGGTGGCGGCATTCAATGACGAGCATGCGGCGAAACATTTCGGACTTTTGTTTGAGAAATTTGTGCAGCAGCATAAAAATAAGGAGAAATTCGTTTTCAGGATCACTCCCAAATCGGGCGTGCACAAGGAACCTCACGGCGATTACGTGTACAGGCGTATTCTAGATCCCGTTGCAGGCGAGACCTCAGAGGCAAGCACGTCCGGCACGGCAGACAAAGCTTCAGCTTCTGGCGGACCTCCTTCGCGAGACAAGGCGAAAGTCAGGTTTGAGATCGAAGAGGTACATGAAAGGCGATCTCTCTCAGTAGTCGCAGAAATGAAGATATCAGCTTGTGGACGGAAGAATGGAAGATGCGCTCAAGATACAGACGAAAGTATCGAGCGTCCACAAATCTTTCTGCAAAGACGATCCTCGCGAGAAAAAAATTACTCACTACTCAAAGCGAAAAGAAGAGCTCTCGGCGCCTCAGGAAGTGGGCAAAGTGGCACCCACGATTCTCATTGCTTGGTTACAAGGTCAAGTGAAGAGGGCCAAGGCACGTTTGATCTGCAGCCTTTCGAAAAAAGAGGTTGCAAAAATAGCAAAGCGGCATCACCACGGTCACAGGCGTCATCGGCGTCTCCCGAGCCACCGGCGCAAACGTCAATCGGATCAGGCAGTGCGTTGGAGGCATCGGCGTCACTCCAGCAACCGGTGCAACTGTCATTCGTAGCAATTGATGCGTTTAACGAGGTGGATCTCACATTAGCGGCTTTGAACGAGCTCACAGCGGAACGCCAGCGGCGCCTCCAAGGTCAATTGAGTGCGGCTAGAGTGTGTAGGTGTAGTCCTTTCTTTCTCGGATCGACGACAGCAGAATAGAGCTGACTTGCTGTCTCCACCAGTCGGAAGCGCCGAATGGATCGCATTACTCGAAGGCTACGACGTAAAGAGAGCAAGCCATTTCGATCATGTGGTCAAGGATTTCGTGAAGAGGACTTATGGTACCAGCTTCCAACTTGAGACGAGCATTTACAGGCTTGTTGAAGGCCAAATTGAGTATCGGTGTCACGTGAATTTCGTTGCATCTCAGAGACCAAGAGCAGGCACGTTTGCCAAGGCACACTCTTTTCCAGTTCAGGGCGCAAGTAGTTCGCGAGAAAAGGAGAAGGTAGGCAGCTGGGGCACAGAGGAACAGGAGAAGAGAGACCTCTCCGTCGTATCAGAATCGAAGGGAGCACCTCATCCACAAGCCTTGCTGCAAAGGCGAGCCTGGCGAGGGAACAAGGATTCTCTCGAAAGGGAAAGGAGAGCTAATGGCACCTTTAACAAAGAGCCACTCAACATACACAATGATCATTGCTTAGGCGAGAAGTCAAAGGAAGAGCAACACGGTTCGCTCGAGCCGCGGCATCTCAGAAAAAGAGGTTGCCTCCATAGTAAATCGGCGTCACCTGACCGAGAACAAGGAGAACCCTTCCAAAAACCTTGGAATTCAGGTGAGCTGAACAAAGATGCCGAAGAGACGGCAGAGCGAGAGTTTCAGCATCACAAAGGAACCATTTCAAAAGATATGGACGACGGACGCGAAAGTAAGTGTACCACTCGGGCTGTGAGATTAGTAGTAGTTTAGGCAGCAGGAATGAGGGCTGAACACTGTCCTGACGAAGCGGAGCTCACAGTGCTGATAACCCACCGCGTAAACGATTTTCTCATGCCGCTATTTGAGGGACTTGTTTACGAGCATAATAAAAAAGCCCACGAGCATGATGAAGAAGCCAACAAGCATGATGAAGACGCCAACAAGATCTACAAAGTTTTCGCGGAATGGCGAGAAGGAGAAGGTTTCAAATACACGGTTAAAAAGGTAGAACAAGAGGCAAGCGAGTCCGTTGAAGGAGCGAGCGGATCCGGCACGGCACACGACTTCCCAGCTTCGGATGCACCTGTTTCGCAAGGCAAGAAGAAAGTAATAAAAACCTTATACGAGATTGACGAGGAGACCTGGGTGAGAAGGGCCCTTGCAGAAGGCTTTGAAACGAAGGAAGCAAATGGCTATCCTCAACATGAAGTTGGCAAGCATCCAACAGCCTTGCTGCAGAAGCGAGCCCTTCGGGCCTCCAACTCGGACGGGCGCTCAACGCGCCCTGCTTCGACTTCCACTGATTCGAACCGCAATCAGAAGGATAAGTCGTGCGGCGAGGAGCACGGAAGCAAGCAGCAGTCTTTGGAAAAAAGGGGCTGCGTCCAAAGTCGGACGACTTCTCCGCCCCGCGGCCAATCAACAACACCGCTTCAGCCAGGACAAAAGCTCCCGGATCTCAGCCCCATCGATTGGACAAAAGATCAGGATCAAGCTGCGGAGGGCTCCGTCAAAGACTTAGTCAATGACGATTACAAGCAAAGGCTTGAGGCATCAGTGAATGCGCGCCAAAGTAGTGAGTAGGCACGTTGGTGTCGAGTTTATGTACAAGAAAGTAAAGCTGAAAAGTGCTATCTGTTGCGCCCTGCCAAGTCGTCTTTGACCACGTATTCACCCTTGAACGGGAGGCACTTTATTTCGATGTTGAGGTTGAGGCCTTTTATGAGAATCACGAGAAACTCTACAAATTGGAAGGGAAGCAAATTGCCCAGCTTGACGGCGGGGATTGGTCTTATAAAAATCACATGGTCCTGCGAGAAGGAGAGGCAAGTGGGTCCGGGACGGCACACGAGCAACCTTCGTTGGCAAAAAGGGGGTTTACCCAGAGTAGACCGGTACCACCGCCTCCGAGTCAAACGGAGTTACCGAATCGTGGACAGAGTTCACCCGTCCGTCGAACGACGTCATCGGTCCATCGACGAGAATTGCCAGTCCGCCGGTCGGAGTCAGCAGTCGGTCCACAGACGCACAGACAGTCTAAAGAGTCGGAAGAGGTGCAAATGATTTCCGAAGCCGACGCTGCTGCCGATACGTTATTTACGGAAGAAGTCAGGCGCTCTCTCGAGGAGAAAATGAAGCATAGAACCACTTGTGAGTCTCCTTTTCCGTCAGAAATAAGTAGCAGAAGGAAAGTTGATCTATAGCCTCATTGCTCGGCGCAAAGTTCTATGGGGAGCAAGGCTCGAAAGCTCCTCCTTGGCAAAACGATTCGATCAGGAGCTTCGCCATCTGCTCAAGACTGATTACAAAGACTTCGAGTTTGTGTATCCGAAGGAAAAAAAATCCTTTGTTGGCATACTTCGCGGCCTTGACTATAGATGTCTTTTACGACCCCGCACAGGTAACAAACCTGTGGCAAGCGGTGCCGAGACAACATCAGGTATTACTTTGCCTGGCTCACAGAGGCAAGAAGGAGAGCCGTCAACCTCGTATTCTCCAGATCAGTGGAACAGGAGGTCCACCGCAGAAGCAAGTTCGAGCACGACCCGTGGACGGCACTGCGCCGTTCGAAATGGGGTCAAGTCCCACGCGCGTGCACCAGGCTCACCGTCATCCGAGGGCCGCAAATTTATCTCCGGTAGCCACGCGCGACTTTCCCCCGACCACCACCCGCTGCGCCACGACAGAGGTGCAGCACTGGGAAGCTCAGCAAAGAAGCCAGCCAGAAACGAGAAGGGGTTCGAAACGCGCTTCGCAAAGAGAGGGGCCTGTTGCTCGAGTGATACAGTGTCGGAGCCCGTGTCGGAGCCCGTGTCGGGGCCTGTGTGGCAGCCACCAGACCACTCAGTTGCTGGAACTGAGTCGGTCGGTGGACTCGACGACCCATTCGAAATCTGGAAGAGCCAAAATACACGGGAAATCAAGACCGCAATTGAGAATGCAAACCAGAATAAAGAGGGTACGTGGGTTGGCATCGTCAAAGAAGAGAGAGAGAGAGGAGCTGAAAGAGGTGATTCTTGCGTGCTCCAGCCATACTCAACGTGGAATCTCCGTTTGATGATCCAGAGACCACCAACAAATTCAGGACGGATGTCTGGTCCTGGGCCAGGAAAGAGCGATTCACAATCTTGAAGGAGCGCAAATCACGACGTACTGATCTTGGTCCTTATCGTTATAGGGCTACTTTACAGACGGACCCGTCGATGGACGCGACCTGTTCCGAAACGGCAGAAAGGCCTCGAGAAATGCCCCCTCTAGAGACGGACGACGAAGAAGAAGGAGAAAGTTCGACACAGGACCGATCGAAGGCTTGGGCCACGTCTCCCAGTCGAGCGACAAAGGGGAAAACAACACCTAGTCGGAGCTTGCGCAAGAGCAGGGGAGAGTAAAGGAGGCTCAGCAGGATCCAAGCTGGTCCATTTGCGAGGTAAGCCTTACAGGTCGCGCGCACAGCACTCGTCAAAGTGGCTGAGCAGGGTGGCAGAGTGCAGATTCGTAGTTACTTTGCTTCTTCCCCCACGACATCGCCTCGCAAGAGGTCCATCATGTATTCATTCTCTTTCTCGATCGCCTCTCATCGCTCGTGCCAGTCACGGTGAAATGCCATTTTAAATCCCGCCCTACGAAGAAAGAAAGCGCTGCAGGAGCGCCTCGAGGCTCGTCGGGCTAGTCGGCTGGTTCAGCGGCGAGTCGAAAATGTCTGGCCACTGCTCGAGGCCCGAGAGCGGTGGGCGAGGTGGCACGACGAGGTCAAAGTTGTCGAGCAGGCTCGCAAAGTGATCCGGAGGCAGGAGTGGCTCGTCGTGTCTCTGCGGCTGCTGTTGCTGCTGCTGCTGCTGCTGTTGCTCCCCTCCCCAGTCCTCGCTGACCTGAGTCTCATCTGCGAGGACGACCTGAGTACGGCCATGGGCTCCTTCCGTGACCCCCCTGCTCGAGGACAGGGGAAGCCGGACGACCATGCCGGTGCTCCTGCCTGCCAGGTTGGCCTCCTGCTCGGCCGCCTCGAGGGCCTTTGCGAGATCGGAGACGACTTTGTAGACGACGTGGTCGCGGTGGAGCCGCCGCTGGGCGTCGGTCAGGCGCTTGAGGACGGGCTTGATGGTGCGGAGGACCTGCTTGCTGCTGCAGCCCTCGAGCGAGGTGCCAAACAGGCCGTGGGCCTTGATGAGAAAGACGACGGCGGCAGCGGCGCGCGCATGGACGAAGCTGGCCAGCGTCTCAATGTCGCCGGGCTCCTCGACGAGGGCATGGAGCATCGCGTGGGCATGCCGGACGGCCTCGAGGCCCACCTTTCGGCGCTCGTGCACGAGCAGCGCTTCCTGCCCCGTCGCTCCCTGCTGCGCAAAGAGCGTCGGTCTCTCCCCAGGCGGCGCACGAAAGGCGGCCGAGTCGAGAAAGTGGACAGAGAAGTGGTAGAGCAGGGGCGAGGCATGCGCACCGCCAGACCAGCGCTGGAGGACATCGGAGAAGCGGTCGCGGAGCTTGAGGTATTCCCAGTCCAGCGCTCGATGTGGGTCCGTGTCTGTGAGGTCGATGACGTCGTGGAGAATCTGCCAGAGATTCACTTGGGCAATCAGGCTGCCGTCCTCGCCCACATCGCCGACCCGCCGCCGCCGGTCATCGAGCCACTCGTCGCAGCGCCGGACCACGGCGTGCTGCCGCGTCATCGGCGGTCGGCCGTACGGGATCGAACACTGGTGGTCGGCAACGTAGATGAGGTAGTAGAGCCGGGCCTCTTCGTAGGCCTCGTCAGTGTCACCCCGTGAGTCGGCCTCGCGCCTGTAGGCCTCATGGAAGCCGCGTTCCGTCGAGATGCGCACTGCCGTGCCGACAAGGATCCAGCTGACGTCAGGCAAGAAAGTGGCGCCCACGACAAGGGACCGAACGTCGTCCAGCGTCTGCTCGCGCGAGAAGGCCTGTGTCGAGGCCAGCCGGACGAATTCACGGTAGACGAGCGAATACATAGAGGGGCGGGAATGGAGCGCGGCAACGGAGAGCAGCGAGAGGAGCAGCAGCGACGAGCTCCGACGAATCCTGTCGACCAGTCCAGCCAGGTCTCCAGTCCCCGCAGACTGCCTCCCATATGCGCGCGAGACGATTCCACATACGCGCTCGTCCATGTGTGCGAGGTAGAAGCCCACTAGGTCGATAGCCACTTCCAGCGGCACGAGGCCCTGGGAGATGGCGTCGGTCTCGCGCTGCAGCCTCGCCCTGAGGGGCAGCACCGACGTTGGATCTCCCTGTGTAGTGCCCTCCTCTTCGGATCGGCCATTCTCACTCAGGCCTGCCTCTTCCTCTTCCCCTTCCTCTTCTTCCTCTTCTTCGTCCTCTTCCTCATCGCTAATGGCGCTCGATGAGCCTGTCACCGACACCCTTCGTCTCCGCCTCTTTCGAGGTGGTCTCTCGTCGTGCTCATCACCCTGCACCATGCCGACGCGCTGCACGAGTGCGCGCACCGTCTCCTCAAGCCTACTGATGCGCTCCTTGGCGTCGCGCCGAAAGGTGGCATCGTCGTCGAGGATGCTCTGCAGGCTCCGGTTGACCTTGCACGGCAGGCCACGCTTGGTGCACCGCACACACGTCTCGCGGCCCTCGTCGAATGTGCACCGGATCTTGACCTTGCGGCACGCCTCGCACGCCTTGACCTTGCGCGTGATGCCCGCCGCCGCCGCCGCTGCTGCAACAGCTGCTGCCGCTGGCGGACTCGTCGTCGCCGTCGTCGGCGCCATTGTCGCACCCCTCCCTCGTCGTTTGTTGCCGATCTATGTTGGGCGGGAGCCGTCTCGACGAGTCCGTGCGCGCAAAATTTCTTTTAGAGCTCAGGAATTGCACGCGGCGTGCAAAACGTGCAGATATTCAATCCCGCTTGGGCAAGTCATTCGGAACCTGGTCCATGGCCCGACCATCATTCACTGTCTCCCACTCGAGTGAAATGGCGTCAATGCATCTAGTTCAGAAGTTGTAAATTGTAGTTGTGATGGTCTCAAATCTATATGAGGTACGGGCATCCTCTCTTCCATTTTAGCTCGTGAAGCGGCTCTTGGCTCGGATCTTTGGGCCGTACTTGTAGAGAACAAATGGGACCGGAACCTAAGATAAGGGGAAACACTCAGCTCGACGCCCTTCTTGAAGGTGTAGAGAATTGTAGACGACTCACCATGAGGCAGTTGAGACCAGCGAGAAGCGCCACAGCGCCCGTGTTGCTGAGCCTGTGGGCCATCTGCACGGCAAAGAGGGGGAAACCGGCGGCGAAACAGCATCTCAACATGCTGTTGGCGCCCATGGCTGAGGCTGCGACGGGACGCCAATTTGCGACAGTGTAGCTGTACACAATTTTCATGTTAGGCACCACGACGACAGCAGACGATGCGGCGATTCATGAGAGGTCACAACGCACCTAAAGACAGAAAAGAAGACGTAGAGAACGCCAATGCCATATATGGTCGAGCCAATGATGGGGCCAATCCAGTGAACATTCTCGTAGGCCGTGAACGCAAAGATAAAGAGCCCCACAGGCGCGAGCAATGCGCCGGCCATGGCGGGCTGCAGACGAGCCTCGGGTGGGGGCATGCCCGTCTTCGGATCGGCGGCCGCTAGGAATCTGTTGCGCCAGAAAAACATGGAGCAGAAGCCAATAGCGTTGGCTACGAGCAAGCCCAAAAAGGAGAGGCCTTCTTGGTAGTCGTTGAAGCCATGCAGACCGAACACGAGAGCTGAGTTGGGTGCGATATTCTTAGCTATGTGTTGCTTGCCAGTCAGAACACACAACATACTCACGGAAAAACTCAAAGAAGAGGTAGATGATTCCCAGATGCAAAGCGCACCAAAGGCAGAGAATCGTCAGCATGGGCTCCAGTGCCAGAAGCATTGGAATCTTGGCCATGTTGACGCTGATGGTGTTTATAACTGATTGAGTTGCCATGTATTCTTCGTGGCTGGTTGTGTAGTCGTGCTGGCCACCAGACTCCCGACGCAGGCGTCGCGCCCGATTGACGAGGACGATGGGTCCATAGGTTTCAGGCGCAAAGAAGAAGATGGCGATGATGGCTAGGAACGACCAGATCGTCTGGACCCACAGTGTCCACCGCCATTGCGAAGAGAACTGCTTGATAAATCCACCGTAGACGGGCCCTTTTTAATTGGAGAAGAGGAAGGAAAGGACCTACGTCAGCATCTGAAGCAGACGAGAGCTACCAAAGTTATAACCCACCGAGGACCGGGCCGAGGAAAGTCATGCATGTGAATGCGGCCATCGGCAAGAATGTCTCCTTAGGCTTGAAGAGGTCCGAGACGGTGCCACCAGCGACGCTGAGAAAAGCGGAGCCGGCGAAGCCAGTGAGGAAGCGGAAGATGAAGAGGACGGGCAGGTTGTTGGCAAAAGCGACGGGAAAGCCGAGGAGGAAGAACGCAAGGAAAGAGATGAGGTAGATAGGCTGGGCAGCAATGTCAATCAGCGCTGCACGAGAAAGGCATGCGGGGGCTATTCTACTCACTCTTCGACCATAGAACTCGGACATGGGGGCGACAAGGAGGGGACCGAGGGCCAGACCAAGGACAAAGAGGGACAGGGACAGGATGGACACCTCAGGAGAGGCGTGCAGGTCCTTTTGGATGCCCTCATATGCCGATGCAATGACGGACGAGTCGCAGGTTACGTTGAGGCAGCTAAGATTGACGATACCGAGAATCGTGTATTTTTTCCACTTGGGGAAATTGAGCGGGTTGTCCCGATCATCGTCGCCATCCCATCCGACGTAACGATCCTCTTTTCCTTTAGAAGTGGAGGGGCTAGCAGCTGACTTTTCGACATCATCGCTGCGTGGAATGTCGCCCAGCGACGGGCGCTCGATATGTGTGCTATCCGAAGGCATGGCCAGAGAAGGCACCAATTACGAGGAGTGGTCTTGGTGATGCGTGGAAAAGAGAGAAAAGGAACAGATGCTCTTATTTATTTTGGTGAGCGCAACTCTTCAATAGCTCCGAACACTGGTGAGCAGAGAGCAGATCTGTACGAGAATGTAGGCTTCTATTTCTGCAGCTCACTTTTTGAACGGGACTAAGCCCAATTCCCGTGCTCCGCCTGCTCTTCTCCGACAATTTCGTCGGGAATCGACAGAGGGGTGTCGGAGACAGGTCCCACGTGTTGTTAATTCCGCACGTTCCGCGGGGTGCACCGATAGGGCTACTAATCATAACTCGTAAGTCCGAAGAGTCGATTGCTCACTCCCGCACCTTTCCTCCGACGGGATAAGAGTCATTTGCTGGGGTTCGTGTAAGATTGAGAAAGGAGCGAGAAGATGAGCGAAGCGGAGAAGGCAGCAGGCAACGCCGGCAGGAGCAGCAACAGCAGCGTGGCCAGCAATGGCGTGACCGCCAGCGTCCCGCGGAAACGGCATCGCAAGACAACGAGCTGTCAGTCGTGTCGTGAGCGGAGGAAAGCATGCGACGGCGTCGTCCCTTGCGGGCCTTGCATCAGCCGTCGAGTGGGCCACCTTTGCAAGTGGGGCGACGAACGAGACCGCATTGCCGGATCGCTTGCCGCGCCGCCCAATACTCCGAAGACGGATTCCACTCGTACAGCCACCGTGACTGGCATTACACTACCTCCTTCGACCCCCGCCTCAATATCAAAGAAGGACAGCGACGCGGGCGGGTTCAGTCGCCCGTCGGACCTGGCGAGCACGCTCGCACAGGCAGATCTGAGCACGACGGAAGATTGCCTTTCCAGCAAGGGCGCGGCGGATAGCCACCAAGTGAATCTCACGTCACGCCAGGCCCGCCATCTGATCGATGTCTTCCACCGACATGTCAGCTTCGGCGGCCTGTTGCTGGTTGACTATAGCGCTCTCTATGCCTGCTGCCCCCTTGACAGCGACGCCATAGCTCGCTCCCGTGGTGACGGCGATGTGCTGGCACTGCTCCTCTTTGTGTGTGCCTCGTCGCTCCACAGCCTGCCTCCCTCGCTGTCCATCTCGTTGGGCTTAGCAAGCCACTTTGAAGAGACGAATGATGTAGCGTCGGCATGGACTTACGAGGCCCTGGCCTTGCTCGAGGCCTGCGACGTGCATATGCACCCCACGCTTGCAGCAGTTCAGGCACTCATGGTGTATCAGTACAATCTTGTCCACCGTGGGAGGGCGTCACTGATGGTCTCCCAGCTTGACACCGTCATTCGCGCCGCGAGGGTACTGGGGCTCGACCGACTGGGCTCTCTCGACAATGACGAGCGAATTTGGCGTGAGGCCGATGCCCGGTCCCACCTCGTGGACGACGAAGAGAGGAGAGGAGCCCAGCTGCCGTCGCATGCAAGCGCCGATTGGGCCGCACAGACGCTCCGACGGCGCGACATGTGGGCCAGAGAGATTGGTCGCAGCCTGTGGTGCCTCCTTGTCAATCGAGACTGGGCAGCGTCTCGCCAGATGGGCAGCTACCTCATTCATCCCGGCAGCTTCACCACGGCCCCACCAAGAATGAGGGCAAAGCGTGGTGTGGGCGAGCACCGGGGCAAGCAGGACAGCGAGGACCCGTGGCAGTACATGCTGCCCGTCGCCGACATCCTCCGACGATTCCACGACATCTGTGCAGAAGCTGCGGCTGCCAGCCTCTCTGGCCGCATCTCCCACGACGCCATTCTCGGCCTCGATGCTGAGCTCGAGGCGATGTTGGCGCGGCGTCCAAATTGGCTGCGGCCCGAAGCGAACCCCACTGCGATGGGCTCCGATGATGTGACCGTTCTTGTCGACGCACGCGGCGTTGAGGTCAAGAGCCCCTTTATAGGCAGCATCATTTCGACGACGATCTGGCACCGGCTTTTCAGCATTGTAGGTCTTTTATTTCCTTCCTTTCTCTGCATTTTGCTTATTTCGAAGCTTACGCTTCTCCAAACCAAGCACCGGCCATTCTTGGCGCTTGGACTCAGCCAGCCGGAAAAATACGGACTGTCAGAGAGAAGGTCCTTTAGTAAGGCCATGCTGTTTCTTCAAGTCAGCCGGCAGAATAGCCAGGAAGGCATGCTCGTCGTCCACCAGTCTGTGGGTGTCTCTCCTCTCCTCTTCCACTGACGTCGAGGCTGATCTATAGATGCGCATATGTGCCCTCCTCAGGTCACCCTTTCGCGACTCCTCCAAGCAGCCCTCGTCATCATCACCCACCTGCTGCTGGGCAGCAGTGCTAGCGTCACAAACATGAAGCACTGCGACCCGGGCTGGCTTGACCCAATGCGTGTGCACGCCTATCTGTCCTACGTCATCACCACCTTCCACAGCACGGCGTACCAATCGAGCAAGCGTCAGACCGACAAGGTGGGTGCATCGCATTATACTTATGAGGGCGTCGCCGGACGCCTCGAATCCCTCGTGGGTGCCTGTGCGCGGCTCACGAGCGACGAGCGGCACCTCTATCCATCGGAAGCGAGCGCACAGAGAGCATCCCTCGCGGGAGGACTGTCTGCTACACAGGCGAATGACATCGACAACCACCTCTACCTCCTCGCGGACCCCTCCATGCATCCCCCTGCTGCACCACTCCCTGACCCCACGTCGACGGAGCGAAACAACACGACGGTGACGGCACCAGCGACCACGTCGGCTGCAGCGCTCGCTGCCTCGCTCTCGACTGTCGACAACAACCTCTGGGACGAGCTTTCGCGCATGCTTCAGGAGCCTGGCTATCTTTAGCCTCTCTTTCTTTCCTTGCTCTGGATCTACAATGTGAAAAGGGCGCACCCCTGGCAACCAGAGCTCTCGTCTGCGTCAATGTATTCTAGTGAGGCCGCTGCAATTTCTGAAATGGGCAGTCTGTTGTAAGGATACTGTGCTGTCGGATCTGTGAAGTGCTTCTGTCCTTCAACAACAGCGATCAGTCTTGAACATGTGAAAAGGAGCTGTCACTCTCACATGCCCCGGGACCAAAAAGCTGTAGGAACTGCGCTCCATGACTCGGGCGGAATCCCCGAATAACGTGTTGAAACCCCCCGCATCGATCACTCCACTCTCGGAAATTCGGCTTAGCCTCGGAGCCCTGACGAAAAGATGTCAAGCAGAGCGGACTCACGCATGGATCCTCGCATGACAGACGATAGACAAGAGATGGCTGCGCACGGTAGATGTCAAGCAGAGTCAGCTGCGCACGAGAGATGTCAAGCAGAGTGGACTGCCCACGAAAGTGTCAAGCAGAGAGGATAGCGCACGAGATTTAAAGCAAGCACAGAGGGCCCTCGCAATGCTTCTGCACGGTCCCCGCAAATCCTCAACATCATCGAATAGGACATCATCAACCCCCTTTCCAAAGTCATGGTACTCGGATATGGAGGCAAAAAGAACGCTGCGACGAGTGGCAGCGGCAGTGGCGATGCGCACGAGGCACAGATGATGGCGTCGCTGAGGCTGATGCACCAGCGCAGCCAGGCCCTCTACGAGACAATCAACGTCGACAAGCCGTCCGACCTGAGCATCCTGCGCTTAGGCGTGAGTCATTCTCCTCTTTCAACCGCTCTCGCTACAGCAAACTAGGTCGGTGTGCTGAACTGAACTTCAGTCCATCGGTGCGCGTTCCGAGGGCATCAGGCAGGCGGTCATGAGCGCCGCCTCGGACGTGCGCGCGACCAAGACGCTCAGCGCTGCGCAAGTCAACGAGATTACCTCTTTTGTCGCCAAGAACATGGTCGAGCTGATCGAGCGCTCCATGGAGCTGTCCAGGGGCTTACTCAGGGAGCGCTGCGAGAGCCTCGGCATGGGCTTCCCTACCGCCGTCAAGATGGCCCTGGCACGGCTCCGCGATGCGGTGAAGGACCTCAACGAGGCCCTCGAAGCCGCCTGTCCCGCCGAGCAGCTCGAGGAGGTCAAGGAGATTGATAAGCGGTGCCTGGACCCCGTTGTGGACACCATCAAGGCATACGCGTCGGTGCCTGCCGCTCCCGCTTGAGTCACTCATACACTAGTCGCACGTAATGATGATATTTCCCTGAAGATCCGATGATTTTAGACCAAAGTTGTGTGTCCACGTATGATTAGGATGCATCTATGAGTGAACAGAATGCCATCGGAGAAGGCGAAGAGAAGGCGAAGGGAATAGTGTAGGGAAAGTCATCACGCCGCAGACGAGGCAGTGGCCGACGCGAGCGGCGGGGCGCTCTCGGTGTGCGTCGTCTCTGCATTGCCCGACGTCGAGTAGGTGGAGGTGAGCTTGACCTTGCCCGTGGCGACGTCGAGGTGGTTGATGTGGCGCTTGAAAAAGGCGAGCGAGGCCTCGGGCTGGTAGAAGGGAACCTCGTGGCCGGCCTCGTAGATGCGGGCAAAGCTAAAGTTGCCGTACTGCCTCACCTCGCCGTACTGGGTCCCGTTGACGGTCAGGGGCGCGTAGCCGGCCTTTTTGAACTCGGCAGCATGCGAGTAGTTGAGGTTGAGGCTGATCTGCTCACCGCCGAACCAGTTGCCTGTGGCAGGGAAAGAAGCGCGCCGCCCGTGTCAGTGGAAAGGGCCGTCTGAGCAGAAAGACTTCTTGCTAGCCACTTACAGATGTAGTCGGCATCGCCATAGTAGAGGCCGACACGAACGCCCTTGGCGACGAGGTGCTCGAGGTCCTTGATGAGCGTTCCGTAGACGTAGTCGCCCGTGGTGTCGAACCCATAGTAGACCGGGGTGCTGGACGTCATGGTGTAGTTGACGTCGACGCCGAGTTTGTTCTGGACGTCGGACTGGTTGAGGTAGTTGACAAAGAACGTGGGCGGGTCCGGGTCGTTGTAGGGGTGTCGGATGTCGTAGACACCGCGCTCCTCGTTGGCGTAGTAGACGCCCTCGACCATGTTGCGGCACACCGCCGTGGCCTCTGCGCAGCTCGCCATGCCGATCCTCGTCGACCTGTCGAGGGCGTGGCAGGCGTCGATGGAGTCGAGGCAGCCGCCCGAGAGGACGAGGTTGAACTTCATGACGTCGTACGCCGTCTGGTTGACGAGCTCGATGCCGTAAGTGTTGTTCCGGGCGAACTCCGGGTACTGGGGCATCTGGATCCGGGCGTCGATGATGCCGTTGATGATGCCGAGCGAGTTCATGTCGAGGTGCACGCCCTTGGAGGAGCCGTTTGCGATCTTTTGGTTCTCGTCGTCAAAGTAGCGGTAGAAGGCCGGTCCGTAGTGGCCTGTTTCCGCACCGTCAGCATAGCTCTTATCTCTCGATAATAAAGGAACCCCAGCCTACGCACCTCCGTACGACTCTGTCCAGAGGTTGAACTTCTTTGACTTGACCTTGGCGTCAATGGCAGGCAGCTCCTGGATGAAGGCCTGGAGGATCTCCCAGGTGGCCTTTGCCGCCTTTTCCGTCGTGTCGACCTGGTACGGGTTCACCTGCGAGAAGCGGCCAAACATGGGGTCGGTGTCCGGGGTGGACTGGTTGACGACGTCGCCCGTGTTGAGGTCGAGGTAGCCCTCCTTTTTGTAGCCGTACGAGTAGCCGACGCCGGCGGGCTGCGAGAGAAAGAGCATGTTGCTCGCCTCGTTCCACGAGTACGGGTTCAGCTCGGCCTTGATGTCCTCGGTGATGTGGCACGGTCCCAGCTCTGCTCGGATCCGTCAGCTTCGACGGCGCCATTGATTTCAGACTGCGACAAGAAGCATGTTCTCTCACCCTGGAAGAGACCCAGCATCGAGTCGGAGCCCGGCCCACCGTTGAGCCAGAGAGTGAGGTCGGCATCCTTTGCGCCCTTGCGTGCCTCAAAGAACCAGAAGAACACATGGGTGTCCTCGTCCAGGTCGACGTAGCCGCTGTAGGAGCCGACGCCAGGCGTCGTCTCGCAGATGTCTGGCGACTTGTAGCGGATCTTGGAGCCGTTGGGGCCCGCGACGGTCTTGACGCCCTTTGGCTCGGCGGGGGCACCCCGCTGCTGCATGAGCAGCGTCGGGTCATCGACGATGCTGGGTCCGGGAAGCGCGAGTGCGCCGGCGCTGGCCAGCGACACGAGGCTGAGCCAGGAGGAGAGTCTGACCATGGCGAGAAGGGGGAAAGGGAAGGATGGAGGAGGAGGAGGAAGGGGGGTTGGGGAGAGAGAAGGAGGGAGGGTAAATAAGAGAGGATGCGGAACGAACCGATGCGTTATATTCTTTTGTGTACAGTCCCTGAGCTCATCTTGCCCAGGGGGTTGATTGCGCACGCTAGTTCCCCCCATCTCATCTCCTCGGCTTCTTGTCCGAGCGGGGGAGGCAGTCACCGATATTGGTTGGTCAGCCAACCAACAAGCTAAGGTAGGCACTGCCTTCTTCCTCTTTTGCTCTTTTCTCTCTCTCTCTTGCTCTCGCCTCACTGGCCGAGATAAACGTACAGAAAAACGCACTGTACAGTACACTAAGTTGTCTCTGTACGTGCGCGCGGTGCGATAGGGTCGCGCAAGTGGAGCGAAGATTAGAAGCGCAACTTCTTTAGCGCCACTTCTGTGTGTCTCTCTCTCACACACCCTTTTTTTTTTATCCTCTTTCCTTCTTTTTTTTTTTTTTAGCTTCTTCGGAATCGCTTCGGTCAGCCGACACATGCGCGTACTCAAAAAAAAAAAAAAGGCTCTGCCCCCTCGCCGGTGCCGGCCCAGGCGGGCGAGAAGCCGTCGTCCGGCCGGCCGTCTGCGCTGCACCGACCTCGTGGACGATAGCACCACTCCCTTTGTCCGCTGTCCGCTTTCCTCGAGGCTCGATTCGAGCCAGGGGAGAGAGATGCCGCCGTTCCCAACTAACCACGAGGTGAATGACGAGCACGCTGCGCACATTTGCGCACGGATTTGTAATTCAAAATCAGGCGTCATAGCAGAGGCAACTATATTATTGTCCCAGTGTGAAGGAAGATAGGAGAGAGGAGAGAGAAAGAGCTACTTGGCCTTGGGCAGCCGCTGGTGCAGGGCCAGCTTGCGGCTCGAGTGGCCAATGTAGACGGTCTTTGTGTCCGACGAGATGGCCCAGTCCTGCCGGGTGCTGTTCCAGTAGCTGAGGTCGCGGCGCGTGAGGTTGGCCTCGAATGTGCGCGTCTCGCCCGGCTGCATGTTGCAGAGGCGGTCGAAGCCGCGGAGGGCGACCTTGGCGTCGCGTGGGCCTTTGCCCAGGTTGACGTAGAGCTGCACGACGTCGTCGCCGACGACGTCGCCCACGTTGGTGACGTCGGCCGTGACGCGGAAGAGGACGTCGTACAGGCGCGGGTTGCCGCCTGGCGCGCCGCCAGCGCGGGGCAGCTCAAACGAGGAGCCGTTGCGGGCGCCGGCGGGCAGCCACGTGTCGGGGTCCGCGCCATAGTCGGGCGCGCCCGAGGCCGCCTTGAGGTCCGTCGTGTTGAGGAAGGGGTAGATAAACTGCCAGCCCTGGCGCGTAAAGTTGGCCGGGAACACATAGCTGTCGGCCTTGCCGACGTCGGTGCCACCCACGGTGGGTGCATCGGCGGTCCACCGGGCGCCAGACTCGTACGCGGGCGCATCGTAGTTCTGCTCGACTTGCAGGTTCGAGTACTTGAACTTGGTGTAGGAGAGCCCATAGCCGAACTCGTACACGGGCGTCTTGTTGTACTTGTCAAAGGCTCGGTAGTCGATGAAGGGGCCCTCGGCGTAGACGTCCTGAGGCGCCGCCTCGCCGTTGTTGGGCTTGTACAGCAGGTCGGTGCCGTAGTCCTGGCGCGTGGCACCCATGGTGAACGGCAGCTTGGCGGCCGGGTTCACGTCGCCGTAGAGGACATCGACGAGGGAGTTGCCCGACTGCTCGCCAGGCAGGCCGGCCCAGACGAGGGCCGTCACGTTGGGGTTGTCGTGGATGCCGTCGAGGAGGACGGGGCCCGTGGAGTGGACGACGACGATGGTGTTGTTGCACGAGGCAGTGACGTTGCGGACGAGCTGCTCGCCGCCGTGCCACAGCGTCAGATTCTGACGGTCGCCCTCGTTTCCATCGACGGAGATATAGCCCTCGCCCGAGTCGGCATTGACAAAGACGAGGGCGACCGAGGCCTGCTTGGCGAGGGCGGTGATCTCGTCGTAGGCGTAGTCGTCGAGGATGCCCTGGACGATGCCGTTGCCCTTGTCGAGGGAGCGCCTTGCAATGGCCGCGAGTGGGCTGACGAGATAGGGGAAGTTGGCCGATCCGGAACCCCAGCCGGCGGCGAGGGTGCCGTTGTCGCAGCCGCGGTCGCCGCAGCCATTGGGCCCGATGGGCGAGTCGCCAGCGTCGCTGCCAAAGACGGCGGTGAACTTCTCCTTGTCGGACAGCGGCAGCGTCTTGTTGACGTTCTTGAGGAGGACCGTCGAGCGCGCAGCCATGCGCCGAATCGCATGGCCGTGCTCTTGGCGCACATCGACGTGCTCGTTGATGAGGCCGTAGCCGAGCTGGGAGATGTAGTGCTGGTAGCCAAAGGTGTCGTAGGACCACGAGTTGAAGGTGATGGGAATCTGGTGCTTGTCGCGGCCCACGAGGTAGTAGGCGGCCATGATGCGCGTCGCCATGTCGTCGAGGCGCCAGAGGGGCATGGAGCCATTGAGGACGCCGATGGTGAGGTTGGCGCCGTAGAAGGCGTCGCCGGTGTCAAAGAGCGTGTCGCCGGGCATGGCCATGTCCAAGCCAGCCAGTGCGCCGCCGATGCCGGCATGCTGGGCCTGCCAGTCGCTCATGATGAAGCCCTGGAAGCCGAGCTCGCCCTTGAGCAGGTGGTTCATCGTGTAGCTGTTCTGGCACCCGTACGAGTTGTTGATCTGGGTGTAGGAGCACATGACCGAGGCCACGTTGGCCCGGACGGCGTCGGCAAACGGCCAGAGGTAGAGCTCGTGCATCGTGGCGTCGTCGATGTTGGAGCTGAGTGCCTCGGTGATGTTGTAGCCGTAGCCGGTGGCCTCGCCGACCTGGCGGAAGTGCTCCTGCTCGTTGAGGATAAAGTGCTTCATCGTCGCCATGACACCTTGCGACTGCATGCCCTTGACCGTCTCTGCGCCTGCGATGCCGCTCAGCACCGGGTCAGGGCTGAAGCCCTCGAAGCCGCGACCACCCTCGGGGCTCCTGCCCAGGGGCCCCACGACGGGCCCAAGCTGGACGTCGGCGCCCTTGTCGCGGAACTCGGCACCCATGGCCTGGCCGCGCTCGTACCAGAGCTTGCGGTCAAACGAGGCGGCGACGGTGCCGCCCGCAGGAAAGAGGGAGTTGTAGTCGCCGAAACGCATGCCCAGCGGCGAGTCCTGCATGCACAGCGACCGGAAGCCGAGACGGGGGATGGCGCCCGTCTGGCCGACGCACGACTCCGTCTGCCAGCCCGTGCCCGAGGTGAGGTTGACCTTTTCGGGAACGGTGAGCTGGGCGACAAAGTCGCGTGCGCGCGCATACGCCTCCTCCCACCCTCCACTTCCGTCCATCCACGGCGAGGGGTACTTTGGCGCCGACGTCGCGTTGAACTCGCCCACGGACACGCCCTCGTCGGCGAGCGAGGCGTAGTACGAGTTGGGAAACGGCGCGGCGGCCACGCTCTGGTCTGGGCCCGCCGCGGCCGCCGAGGTGCCGTTGTTGTTGTCGTCATTGCTGCTGCTCGCAGGCTGCGTCGCATTGACGGCCTCTTGGCGCGAGAACACGTCGGCGGCGGGCCCGCTCAGATCAACGACCTGGGCAGCAGCCGTCGCCGCCGAGACTGCGATGCCTGCAAGCGCGAGCGCCAGAAGCGCCCGCCATGTCTTGCTCGTCCCCGCCAGCAGCATTTCTTCTGGACAGCGCGCGATGGATGTTCTGAGGCAGGAAGGAGTGACCCCTCTTTCCTCTCTTGTTATATAAGGAACAAAACACAAAACACACACACACGCAAAGCCCAAAATAATTGGCCGGCCTTCCGGCGCAGTCGCCGTACTGCCTGTCTGTCTGTCTCCCTTTCCCCCCTTCTTTATTTTCTTTTTTTTCGACTGCTCGGGTTCGATCTTCCCCCGCATAGATTTCCCTCGCCTCGCGCGCTGCATGCAGGGCAGGGCAGGCCGTCAGTCGATTTTCTTTTCTCGTTTCTATTCTTTTCCTCTTTCCCCCCCCTTTCCGAGCGCGACATTCGTTTTTAGCGCGGCAAAAAGCACACGTACTGCACGTACTGCACTGCGAAAGGGGGAGGAGAAGCAGAAGCGAGTCATTGCTGCAGGGAAAGCACTACTAGCTGTACCAATGGAATCTCAGAGCGGGGCTCTCGCTTTCGCTTCGGGTGTGGGCAGCCGCGAGCCGCGAGTGCCTGAGCCGCTCGTGTGCAGCAGCAGCAGCAGCAGCAGCAGCAGCAGCTCGGCTTCTTGGCGCGCGAGTCTCGCCGGCCGGAGGAAGCTGCACCTCTAGCAGCTCCACCTTGGCTAGTGGTGTCAGCGTGGGGGGGTGATGCACCATTAAGCTCCGTGGGTCCGACCAACCAACCTGGCGATCCCCGCTCTGCAGCGCATTCTGCTCTCTCATCGTCTCAGACGCAAGACACAAGGAGCGCGGCGCACGGGCCCGCCGATCCGTGTCGCGTCGAGAAGTTGATTCTGCACGCTCATCAGGTCGCATCGACAGCTGCCATTCTCATCTCTCTATTCCATGCTCAGCAAAAATGACAGTCTATGGAAAGGAATTGCAGTGTAGTGTGCTCTCAGTCCTCGTCGTCTGCCTCGATGCCAGCCAGGAGCGCAAAGGCATTCGTCTTGGCCCTGGCAGCCCCTCGCCGTCGTCCGCCTGCGCCTCCTGCAGCAGCCGCAGCAGCAGCATTCGCGGCCTTGTCCTGCCTCTCCTTCTCGCGCTCGCGCTCCTTGGCCTCCTCCTTTTCCTTCTTCTTGCGCGCGGCGCGCTGGCGCTTGAGCGTCTCTGCGTCGATGCCCAGCAGGTCGTCGAGGCCCTGCAGGGCAGCCTCGAGGGCCTGGCGCTCTTCTTTTCGCATCTCGACGCCCTCGACGGCGTCGGCGGCCGCTGCTTGCTGCTGCTGCTGCTGCTGTTGATGTTTCTTCTCTCCGTCGGCCATGAGGGTGTGGAATGTGGGGCCGTGAAAGAGGGTGTGGGGCGCAGCGACGGAACTGGCAGCGTTGGCGGTCGTGACGGTGTGATCGTCGTCGTCGTTCTTGTCGCTGGCAAAGAGAAGGAGCGACTGTGCGAGCAAGTGCGAGGCCTCGGTGAGCAGCTGCCAGCTCGTGGCGAGGTGGATGGCGCGCGTCGAGGGAACAACGGCGGCCATCTCTTCAGAGGAAGAAACGGCACTTGCACCCTCGCTCGTCCAGCGCCGCCGCGCCACATAGGCGGTGCGGATGGCGACGGCGGCCTCGCGGCGCGTCCAGTTGGTCCGGCGCCGCGCAGGGTCGGTGCCGTGCTGCACAATGGCGTGGCGGAGCACGGCGACGGCGGGCCGCATCTCGGGCTGGGCCAGCGCGCGGATGGCGGGTGTACATGCGCCGTGGGCGTGCAGGTAGAGGTCGATGCGCACCGCGAGCGGGAGCAGCGCCGCCGGCGGTGGCTGCGGGTCGGCGAGCGGCGAGCCGCTGTCCGCGTCGGTGCCTGCTGCTACTTCCGCTGTCTTCGTCGCAGTAGTAGTGGCAGAAGCAGCAGCGGCGGCGGCACTCGCAGACGCGGCGCGGTGGCGGCCCAGCAGGTCGGCCAGCGACGGCGGCAGCGCATCGCCCTCGTTGTCGTCCCTGCCCTTGCCCTCGCCCTCGCCCTCGCCCTCGCCTTCGCCTTCGCCAGCGAGCATCTCCACCAGCGGCACGATGCGCACGAGCTGGCCTGCCAGGCGGTCGCCCCGCCGCACGTACTCGACGACGGCTGGCGGCGGCTTGACGGCCGGTTCTGCCGGAGCAAAGTGCATGTCCATGGCCGAGCCCGGCCGCGTGGGCAGGTTGTCGAAGTCTTCCTCTTCTTCAGCATCTTCTTCTTCTTCCTCCTCGCTCGTGTCCGTGTCGACGGATATGACTTCATCAGGGTCCTCGGACCCACTGTCGCCGTCGCCGTCGCCGTCGCGCGCTGCATCCACCTCGGGCTCGTCCATCGACTCGCGGGCCCACTGCATGCCCCACGCATCAAACAGCACGGCCCAGAGCCAGCGGCGGAGGCGCCGTGCCGCCGTCGCCTGGACGCTCGCCGCGTCGGGGTCCTCTGCAAAGAAGGTGGCGACAAAGACGCGCTGCGTCATGGCCTCGACGAGAATCGGCCGCAGCTGGCCGCGCATATAGGCCTGCCGGTACGCCGCGAGGGCCTGCTGCTGGCCGTCGCTGCCGCTTGGTCTCGGTCTCAGCGCAGGGATGAAGAAGCCGGCCGAGGGGCTGGCGAGGTAGGGCGCATCGGCGTGGGTCAGGAGTGAGTAGGTGGCCAGGCTGTCGATGATGCTGTCGGCGAGGGTGCGCCGTTCGCCCGTCGAGACGTAGCGCGACGCCGCAGCAGCCGCGGCAGGCGATGGCGCCGATGCGAGGGCGCCCTCGACGACGGCCTCGACGATGGCCCGCACGGGGTCTAGCGCACTACTGCTGCTGCTGCTGCTGTTGTTCGCCAATGCCGATGGACTGGCGATGGCGGCCGACTCGCGCGCAGTCACGGTGCGCTTCGAGGCTGAGGCCGTCGTGGGCGTCGCCGTGGCACTCGACGCACCCTCACTGCGCTCATCGATGCCTGCGGCCCGCCTCCTGCGCGCAGCAGCGAGCGCCGCGGGTGCGCCGCCGCCGACGACCTTGCTCCACTCGCTGCGCAGAATCGCGGCAGCGGCACTCACACGCTGCGGCCCAGGGGCCACATCACGGAAGAGGAGCGTCGACTGGAGCGCAGGCGTGTAGTCGTTGCCGCACAGGGCAGCAAAGAGCGGCATGAGGTTGGGCGGCAGCTGCAGCTGGCGCGCCAGGGCGTGGGCCGAGTAGGCCTGCACGTTGATGCAGCTCAGCTGCTCGCCGCCCTGCTCGAGCACCTCGGGCGACTCGGACGCACGGAGGCGCGACGACGGCGGGGGGACGCCATTATTGTTGAGCGCTGCTCCTACTCCTGCACCTCCCCTGCGCCGATCTCTCCTTCTGGACGGCACCTGCTCGAAGCCGTCGTCGCCTCCACCGGATGACGCTGCTGCTGCTGCTGCTGCTGCTGCCTCGGCCATGGCCTTTGCGCGTGCCTCTTCCTCGAGAGCAGCCTGCGCCGGGTCCTTCTCAAACACGTATTCGATGCGATCGAGGGGCAGGTATCCTTTCGAGGCAGCCCCGCGCGCGCAGAGGATAAAGTAGTCGGAGTCAATCGAGAGCGCGTAGCCGCGGCGCTCCTCGGCCAGCTCGGCGACGAGCCCGTCGGCCTCGGTCTGGGCAAAGACGATCTCGAGCGCCGCCGTCGACGTCACCCCACTGCCACTGCCGTTGCTATTTCCGGTGCCGTTGACTTTGATATTGCCCCTGCCTTTGCCATTGCTGCTGCTACTGCTGCTACTGCTGCTCCTTCTTCTCCTGCTGCCCCTCTTCCGCTTCCACGACTGCAGCGCGTCGATGGTGGCGGGGTAGATGAGCGGCGCAACGAGGCCGCAGTCGCACTGGAACCGCCTCGAGGTGCGCGAGGCCGGCGAGGCGCGCATGTAGGCCGCATTGGAGGCCACGACGCCACCGCGACGCGCGAGAATCGTCGGCAGCTTGGCCGGCAGCATCGGCCCGTCAAAGACAAAGACGGCATGGATTCCCGCGGCGTCCCAGGCGTCGAGCGTGGCGTGGAGAAAGGAGCGGTAACGCGCATAGTCGAGGCTGCGCACGCCATCGCCAAAGTGCGAGAGGTAGACGTGGAAGATGAAAGCCCAGCCGTCGACGACGAATGTGACTGGCCCTTGCTCCTGCATGTCCTCCTCCTCTGCTGCTGTCTCCTGCCCCTCCTCCTTGTTGCTGCTGCTGCCAGCCGAGAGCCGCACAGACGACGAGACAATCGACTCGATGGAGCGCACGTATGTCGTGAGCCACTTGACGCCCATTGCGAGAGAGAATAACAACAAGAAGCCCTGTCTCGTCTCGTCGCCAAGGCTGACTTGAGCGCCGCATTGGATTCAGCTTCTGGGAAAAAAAAAAAAAAAATGCAGAAAAACGTGGCCTCAGGCCTCCTCCACAGAAAATGTCAAGAAGAAGCCTCGGGCACGGCTAGTGAACCACCCGGATCGTGGGGCTGCGTGGGCTGCGTGGGCTGAATCCCGCTCACATATTCTTCCCTCTCTCTCTCACCACACACAGAAGTAGTGCCCAGCCCAGCCCAGCAAGCATGACAGACCGCCGTGTGATCCTGTATGGCTACCGCGAGTCGCCCTTCTACCGCAAGGCGCAGGTACTCCTGGCCCACTACGGCGTGCCGTACGACACGGTCAAGACGGCCATGATGCCGCCCCGGCCGATGCTCTCCGACGAGCTCGGCATCACCTACCGCCGCATCCCCGTCCTCGCCCTCGACGGCGAGCTGTACATCGACACGAGCGCCATCGCCCGCAAGCTCGAGGAGACATTCGGCGCCGGTCGCGACGCGTCGCTGCTGACCGTCCATGCGGAGCTGCAGCGGAGGCTCGTCTGTGCGTATGAATCCCTTCTTCTTCTTCCTTCTCTCCATGGCTGACTGACCTCCTCCTCCTGCTACAGTGCACTGGTCCGACAACGTCTTGTTTGGCCTCGCTGCGAGCCTGATTTCCGCCAAGGCGGTCACGCCCGAATTCATCAAGGACCGCCAGTCGTTCAACAACGGCCGGCCGACCATCGGGCGCGCGGATCCCGTGCAGGTGCATGCCTCGCTCGCTGCCTCGCTCCACTCCCTCGACGCCGCCCTGGCACAGAGCAGCACGGGCTGGACCATGGGCACGCGCACGCCCCAGTACGTCGACCTTGGCATCTACTTTATCCTCGACTATGTCCAGACGGGCCAGCGCAGCGCGCCGGACCTCCTGCCGCTGCCGGGCAAGTCGGGGGCTAGTCCGCCCCTGTTCCCCAACGTGCTCAAGTGGCTCGATGCAGCACGGCAGCACCTCAAGCAGCGCACCGCTGCGCTGCCTGCGCCCCGCGAACTGAACCCGACCGACGCCGCGCGCCACATCACCGCGACGGGCGCACGGGCCGCCGAGGCGGCAGGGCGTGCCCAGCAGGCTGTCTCGCGCGACGACCCCCTCGTCAAGGCCGGCCGGCTCGCCTTTGGCGACGACGTCTTGGTCGCGCCCACCGACGCAGGCAAGGTGGTGAGTCTCTCTTCCGGCCTCCTTCTTTCCCCGTGTGTTCACGGCAAGAGCATCCTTCTTCTCTACAGCCGCAAAAGGGCACCCTCTGCGCACTCTCTCCCACCGGCATCAGCATCCTCGTCGAGGCAGGCCCAAACTCTGGCAGAAAGCACGTTCTCACCCACTTCCCACGCACCAACTTCGGCGTCGTCCGGACGGCCGATGTGCCGCCGCCCTCTTCCAAGCTGTAGCAGCCAACAATATCGCTTTGGTAGAATGATGATGATGGAGGATACAAGTACATGTTTATTTCTTTTTGTTGTGTCTACTCCCAGTCCATGCCCTCAAAGGAGCCCTTGATCATCGACATGACCTGGGCCACAAAGGCCTCGAGGTGGAAGATGGCCTTGTTGCCCTGCCTGCACCTCAGCTCCTGTGTGTTCATCTCTCGTAAGTCATTGTTTCTGGAAAGAGTTCAAGTCGGACACCCACATAGAAGGCAGCCTTTTCGACGATGGACGACTTGAGGTCCTCGTCGCACTTGTCTACCAAGCAGTCGGTGAGCGTCTTCAGTACAAGACGGGCGGGGATGGCGTGGACGAGGAGCTCGTAGAGCTTGCCGCGGACAAAGAGGAGCCGCTCGGGCGACTGCTCCGACACGATGAGGTCGGCCGTCTTTGCGCAGAATGTCTCCCAGTCGGGCTTGGCAATCGATAGCGGGCCCGAGAGATCGTGGCTCTGCATGCGCAGGGCCTCGAGGACGAGGATGGCCTTGCGCAGGTTCCCGTTGGCGTCGGCGCAGATCTTGCCTGCCACGTCGTCGGGCAGGTGGAACTTCTCCTTCTTGGCCACGTACCGCAGCACCGTCGTCATCTATGAGAAAGAGAGCCTTCCATCGTCAGCTGCTGTCTTCATGCAAGGTAGGATGCAACGCCCACCTCGTCTGGGCTCGGCGCGCCGACGCGCATGAGGAGGCACCGCGACCGGATGGGGGCAATGATGCGCGACGTGCTCGTGGCGCACAGTACCAGGCGCAGGTTCGCCATGTACTTTTCCATCGTCCGACGCAGCGCCGACTGGGCGTCGCGCGAGAGCGAGTCGGCCTCGTTGATGATGACGACCTTGAAGCGGTGGCGCGCATTGGCGTCGACCTGCTGCGTCTGGGCAATGTCCTTGAGAATGTCCTGGATGATGATGCGGTCGTAGCCGCCTGCGTCGCTGGGCGTGAGTTCGATGTGGTAGTTGCTGCTCACGACGTTGACGTCGATCTTTCTCCGGCTCGGGTTCATGAAGACGCGCTGGTCGATTTTGAGCTGGCGTCCATCTATGTGTCAGTCTGTGGATGATGCTAGTCATCGAGCTGAGAGGAAAGTCACTCACCCGCTGAGCACCTGGCCCGTACAGCTCCCGCAGCAGACACATGATCCTCGTCTTTTTGCCTGCACCAGACGGTCCATAGAAGAGCATGTGAGGGAAGTCATCGTGGGCCGACTGAGCAAGAGACGAATTAGCTCCATTTCTCTCTTCTTTGCAGAGCGCAGACACCCACCAGCGACTTGAGGCGCTCGCTGAGCCCCTGGTGGTACTGCAGGTCGTCGAGCGCCTTTGGCCGGTACTTGTCGACGTAGAGCATCGTCGTCGAGTCGTCGTCGTCGCTGCTCTCTTACCCTGGCTCAATGCTTAAGCAACACTTTCACTTCCACTTCGCGACGCGCCTCTTCTCGTTCTGCGCGCGACACGTGGTCCGACCCTGTCGGCCCTTGTCAGATTTGATTTTGAACTTTCTTCCTCTTTCTTTTTTTTTTTTTTGAAAAAATAAAACTGGGCGAACGAACCAGTGCAGATCTGTCTAGCTGACTCGGAAGGAGGCGAGGAAGGATTCACTTGCAACCAAACACGAACAGGATGGAGAACGGACACTCGCAGGCATTTCACCGGGCGCCCGCCAGCGTGTCGCCGCCGACGGGCTTTGCACAGGGCCAGGGCAGCTTCTCGGGCATGATGGCTGCCGGGCAAACGCATGCGCGACAGGGCTCCATGAGCCTCTCGCCACAATCTCCGCCGGGCAGCAGCACAGCGGCCGCTGTGAATGGCGTCCTCAGCGCCCGCTCGCGTGCCGTCTCGATCCCCGGCCACAGCGCAGCGCAGGTGCCCAAGATGCTGACGCCGTTTGACATGGGCGACATCCGGATCCTGCTCCTGGAAAACGTCAGCCAGGGCGCCGTCGACATGCTCCGCCAGCAGGGCTACCAGGTCGACTTCCACAAGGGTGCCTGGAGCGAGGAGGAGCTGTGCGAAAAGATTCACAACTACCACGCGATTGGCATCCGCAGCAAGACGAAGCTGACGGCCAAGGTGTTCCGCAAGGCGCCCAAGGTGAGTGGGTGGCGTCGACCTTTCTGCCTTTCTGTCCCGCTGCTAAACAGGAGTACCACAGCTCCTCGTCGTCGGCTGCTTCTGCATCGGCACCAACCAGGTCGACCTCACGGCAGCAGCAAAAGCCGGTGTTGCCGTCTTCAACTCGCCGTTTGCCAACTCGCGCTCCGTGGCTGAGCTCGTCATTGGCGAGATGATTGCCCTCTCGCGCCAGCTCGTCGACCGGGCCGCCGAGATGCGCACGGGCGAGTGGAACAAGGTGTCCAAGGGCTGCTACGAGGTCCGCGGCAAGGTGCTTGGCATTGTCGGCTACGGCCACATTGGCTCCCAACTCTCCGTCCTCGCCGAGGCCATGGGCATGAGCGTCATCTACCACGATGTCCTGCCCCTCATGCCCCTCGGCTCGGCCCGCCAGACCGAGTCGCTCAACGAGCTGCTGGCCCATGCCGACTTTGTCACGCTCCACGTGCCCGAGCTGCCCGAGACCAAGAACATGATGGGCGCGGCGCAGCTGGCCCAGATGAAGAAGGGCGCCTACCTGCTCAACAATGCCCGCGGCACCGTCGTCGACATCCCAGCGCTCATCGACAGCCTCCAGTCAGGCCACCTTGCTGGCGCCGCCGTCGATGTGTACCCGCGTGAACCCAAGGCCAATGCCAAAGACAGCTTCGTCGACGGACTCAACGGCTGGGAGAGCCGGCTGCGCGCGTGCCCCAACGTCATCCTCACCCCGCACATTGGCGGCAGCACCGAGGAGGCGCAGCGCATGATTGGCATCGAGGTCGCCAACGCCCTCATCCGCTACATCAACTACGGCGGCAGCGTCGGCAGCGTCAACTTCCCCGAGGTGGACCTCCGTGTGATTACCGAGGCCGACTCGCGCGTCGTCCGCATCTGCTACGTCCACCAGAACCAGCCCGGCTCGCTGCGGGCGATCAACGACATTCTCGGCTCCCACAACGTCGACAAGCAGCACACCGACTCGTTCAAGGACGTCGCCTACCTCATGGCCGACATCAGCGGCGTCGACGACGACGACGTGCGGGATCTGTACGACAAGATTACAAAGACGGATGCCAACATCCTCACCCGGCTCCTGTCCTGATGTCTAGCAACTAGACGGCATAGACAAGAAGCAGAAATACACTGGCAGACACTGAGACTGAGACTGAGACTGAGACCGAGACTGAGACTGAGACTGGGACTGAAGTGGTGACAGATTGCTATTGCCCAAGACTGAAAAAAAAAACAGACGGAGAGACAAAAGACGCACATTGTCCAAAGAGAGAGAGAGAAGAGAGAGAGGCTGAATTAGTAGGTAATGTATGCGATGTTGAGCATAGGAAAGCCAATCATGAGGCCGGTCCAAAAGATAAAGTTGCCCAGCGTCTCGTTTCGCTTCACCAGCGGCACCTGGGCCAGGGCCATGAGGGGAATCTGGGCCATCTGCATGGCAAAGAGGTAGCCGCGGATCTTGCCGCTGACAATGGCCATGACGAGCTCGTGGAGGAGCGAGGAGAGGAGAAAGGTGACAAACATGGCGCCCGTCTTGGAGGCGCCGACGGTGATGCTGCTCGCATAGACGTGTCTTTGTAGAGAGCTTGTCAGTCAAACGGAAGAACACTGTGCAGTAGTGGCAGGACACTCACCGAAGGAGAAACGTGTGCACGGGCCGGTTCCACTTGCGTGAGAAGACGTCCATGCTCGTCGAGTTCCACCAGTCCTCGTAGAAGAGACGGTCGGCAAAGCAGGTGAGCTCGGCAAAGAAGGCGAGGCAGGCCTCAAAGATGACGTAAAAGATGAGGAGGTAGTTGATCATCATGGGAAAGGCCAGCTCGAGAAAGGTGCGCAGGAGCGGCGTCGACGGGTCCGGCTGGCGGGGCATGATCCAGTGCTCGGTGATGACGTAGATGACGAGAAAGGTGCCAAAGCCAGAGAGGGCCTTTTCGAGGAGGTAGAGGGGCCGGATGCCCTTTGTGCGCGGGTACGAGAGCTCATAGACGAGCGTGGGCACGAGGAGGTAGTCGCAGAAGTTGACCAGCGTCACATTCGAGGGCCACGTCACCGTCTTGATTGTCGTCTCGTGCAGTGCACCGTCGAAGCTGCCCTCGGTGGCAGGCATCGTCTGGCTCGACGTGAGGTCCTCGCGGATCTGCTCAATCTCGCGGCACAGGTCCGAGATGATCTTGTCCGGGTGGTTGGCCAGAGGGTGTGGGTCGCGGATCAGCTGCTCGTCCTTTTTCCCCTCGCTGGCCGCTCCCGTTGCTGCGGTGGCTGCTCCTGTTGTAGCGGTCGCTCCTGCTGATGCTGTAGCTCCTGCTGCTGCTGCGGACTGCGGCACGGGCGCCTTGAGGCTCCTGCGCCGCTCGACAATCGACTCGTTGGCGCGCTGCCGGAGCACGCTGGTGCCCCGCTGCTCGGCGAGGCCGTCCATGGGGCTCTTTGCGACCCTCGTCTCGACATCGCCGCCGCCATCGCCGCCATCGCTGCTTCCGTGGCCGTGGTTGGCCAGAAGGTCGTCCTCGGCGCGCTTGGCCTGCTGGATTGCGCGCTGCCAGGCCTCCTCGCTGACGCCGCCCTTGCCCACGGGCTGCTCGGCGTCGCGGGGCCCGCCGTCGAGCTCGACGACGCGCTCCTCGACGATGCCCTCGAGGCGCTTCATCCGCCAGTAGTTGTCGGCCATGCTCCCGTTGACGGCCATGTAGGAGTGCATCTTCATCATCATGCTGAGCGTGTGGAGGACAAAGAAGCCGCTCTGCACCCACGGCCAGTCGCGGTAGTGGGTCCACTGGATCACGCACCCGAGCAGGGCCGCCTGCCAGGCGTGCTGGAGCCAGACGAGCGTCGGCCAGTAGCGGGCCCAGCCGCGCTTGAGGACGAGGGCAAAGGGCACGCATACAAACGTCGACAGCACGAGGGCGCCGTCGGAGAGGGCGAGGACAAAGGCGTCGCGGGAAAAGAGCGTGGCGAATGTGAGACTGAGAATCTGGCCCGTGGAGCTGAACGAGGCGTAGAAGGTGTTGAGGACCATGATGCCGAGGCCGATCCAGAAGAGCGTGTAGAAGCCCCGGAAGGGATCCTTGGCCGCCTCGACGTTGTGCCGGTCAAAGTGCGACTGGCGCGGCTTGAAGGAGACGAGGGAGCGGATCTTTTTCCCCGAGCGCGCACCACCCATGGCCCGCGACGAGGTCTTCTGCCGTGCGCTGCTCATGGGCCGGAGATGGACGCCGCCATCGCCGTCAATGTTGTGCGAGATGCCGCGGACGCCACCGAGATGGGTGAACTGGATCGTCTGTTCCTTCTTGATCACGTCGTGGTTGGCCGCCTCGCCGACGACCTCGGTCGTGACAGTAGTGTTGGCCGTCATGGGGGTGACGCCCTCGTCGTCGGACGTGGCCTCGGAGTTGGTGGTCGCCATCGACGCGGGCGTCGCCGTGCCTCCCGTCTGTCCCGGCGTGCCTGGCGTACCCGCAGCAGCAGCAGAATCGGCAGAGGACGGCCGTCGCCCCTTGTCGGCCTCGACAAGCCGCCGCTTGACCTCGTCGGAGATCGATGATGCCATTGCCCGGGATTTTCTTCCCGCCTGCACACGCCACCCGGCTTTGCAAAAGAGGGAAAGAAAAGCTTCGTTGAAAGCGACCCCCACGTCAGACGTCCAGTCTCGGTGCAGTGGGGACAGTAGCGTGCTGTACGCGGCGGCGCTTCGTTCCACTGCTAGCGATTGCCTGTCCGTTTCACTTTGGAGGTAGTCTATATCCCCGATCGTTGCAGAATGAAGCCCCTGGGATTAGCGCGCATGCGCAGCATATAGAGCGGGCGACGGCAACAAATTTAGAGCTCGAAGCTGTTCTCGCAAACACGTGTGCCTGTGGCTTTAGCCTCCGCTCCACCCAGCCGCCGCAAGCACAAACGCATCCGAAAATGAGAGAAAATACTGGACGGAAGGACTGAGCTAGGCTTCTTCAAGATTGCGCACAAAGATCAAGATGCTGGGTGAGGAGGGGGAAAAGAAGAAGAGAAGAAGTAATAATGTACACAAAAAGTGACAAGAGTCACGAAATCAGCCAGACCACTGGATCGTCTTGAGATCGATGCCCTCCTGGACCATCTCCCACAGCGGGCTCAGCTCGCGGAGCTTGTGGACGACCTTGATGATTTTCTCGCACACGTAGTCGACCTCTTCCTCGGTGGTGAAGCGGCCGATGCCAAAGCGCAGCGACGAGTGGGCGTTCTCGTCGTCGAGGCCCAGCGCACGCAGCACGTACGAGGGCTCGAGCGAGGCAGACGTACAGGCCGAGCCCGACGAGAGGCAGATGTCCTTGAGGGCCATGAGCAGCGACTCGCCCTCAATGTACTGGAACGAGAGGTTGGTGCAGCCGGGGTAGCCCTCGGGGTCGCCGTTGACGAGGACGCACTCGATCTCGGCGAGAAGCCGGTTGCGCAGCCGGGCCGCGAGGGCCGAGACGTGGGCATAGTCGTACTCGCGCTCCTGGTGTGCCAGTCGGGCTGCCTCGCCAAAGCCGACGACGAGCTGCGGGGCAAGTGTGCCGCTGCGCAGACCCCTCTCCTGGCCACCGCCGTTGATAATGGGCTCGAGACGGACGCGGGGCCGCCGGCGCACGTAGCAGGCGCCGATGCCCTTGGGACCGTAGATCTTGTGGCTCGACAGGCTCATCAGATCCACGCCCATCTTGTTGACGTCAATCGCAATCTTGCCCGCAGCCTGAGCAGCGTCGGTGTGGAACATGGGCTTGCCGCCCAGGCCGGCCTCCTTGGCCAGCGCCGCGCCCTTGGTCTTGAGCAGCTCTCCGATCTGGGCCAGCGGCTGGATAACACCAATCTCGTTGTTGACGGCCATGATGCTGACGACGCTCGTGTCGGGCCGCAGTGCCGCCTCGACGTCCTCGAGCTTGACGAGACCGTTGGGTTGCACGGGCAGGTAGGTGACATCGAAGCCCTCGTCCTGGAGCTTGCGCGCGCTGTCGAGGACGCACTTGTGCTCCGTCTGCGTCGTGATGACGTGCCGCTTCTTCTGGCCGTAGAAGTGTGCGACACCCTTGAGTGACATGTTGTTGGACTCGGTGGCGCCCGAGGTGAAGATGATCTCCTTGGGATCTGCTCCGATGAGCTGGGCGATGTGCTCGCGCGCCTTCTCGACGGCCGACTCGCTCTCCCAGCCATAGGCGTGCGTGCGCGAGTGCGGGTTCCCGTACTGGTTTGTCATAAACGGCATCATCGCATCCAGCACGCGCGGGTCCATGGGTGTCGTCGACTGTGCATCGAGGTAGATGGGTCGCTGTGCCGTCGATGCCCGTGGCGCCTGGTGGAGCACCTCGGAGATGATGTCGTTGTTCATGACCTTTTGCGTGCTCCCTCGGCCAGCCTTTGTCTCCATGGCCACATCGACGGGCGTTGCCATCTTGGCCGGCTGGCTCGGGCTCGTGTAATTTCTTCGGGCAGCGACCGAGGCAGCTGTGGCCGCCCTGCTTACGCTTACGCTGCTGCTGCTGCTGCTGCCGGCGGCGCCGCCACCGACTCGAGCAGCCGCGGCCAGTCGCGCGAACCGCGGTGCGAGCGACATTGTTCTTGCTCAGGTCAACCGAAGAGTCGGAAAATGTAGTGGTAGAAAAAGAGTGATGGGTGACGTTGGTGATGATGAGTCAAGTGGCGAAGGCAGGAGCGAGTGTTCAAAAAGTCTAGAGAACCCTCGACGGGCTGCTGCTGCTTTAGGCCAATTGGCTTGAGACGAAACGCCGGGATTTCTCATCAGCAAAATTGGGCCCGTGTCACGTGGTCTGACCGTTGCCCGGGTCCTCCTTTGGAGGCAATTTTCGCTTTTTGGTGCGGGCGAGAAGGATTGAGTGAGAGAGCGCTCGACTTTGACCACAAACGATTTTCAGCGATGGCATTGATGCGACCGCGGTGTGAGTAGCGATCGTCTTTGCTCGTTCAGAAGCGACTGACTGTGCGGGCGCTGATTGTTCGAATATACAGCCGCCTTCAATTTGGGCAGCCTCGCCTCGAGCCTGGCGTCGACGTCGTATGCCTCCTCGGCAGGCGCCCCGACGCAGACGGCGGCCGTGTCATCTTCGGTTGCTGGTGCCGCCGCCGTGGTGGCCGCCGCTGGCTTCCACAGCAGCAGCGCAGTCAGCGAGACGAAGAGGAAAAAGGTGTCGCGGATGCGGCGAAAGGCCAACGAGGAGAAGCAGGAGCTCAAGGCGCTGATCTGGGAGCGCACCAAGCCGGACCCCGTGCTGGGCCACCAGACGAATGACCAGGGCGAGGAGCTGTGGAGGTCGAGCGAGCTGGCCAGCCTGATTCTCAGCAAGGACGAGGTGTGGGGCTACAAGGAGGACCGGAGAGGGAACTTGGTCCCGGTCGAGGCCCGCGGTGACGCCGGCGACGAGGGCCAGCCGAGCCGGAAGCTCAACTTTGGCCTGACGCAGGACGACGCCGAGCTGCTCTTCAAGGACCTGCCCACTGTCATGGTCGACGATGGCATCCTCGACTCGAGGCACATCCACCGAAAGGACCCCGAGGGCCTCGAGATCCTCTCCGACGAGCTCAACGCTCACACGAGCATCGAGACCGAAAAGGCCGGCGTCCTGGCCCGCGTGCTGGACCTACAAAATGCCAGCGGCAAGGGCATCCAAGTCGAAAACATTCGCCGGATCACCAACCACTTTGGCGCTCGAAGCGCAGACGAGGCTGGCGAAAAGGGCCTAGATACCGGCAGTCCCGAGGTGCAAGGTGCGTCGTGCTCCGTTCCTCTTTCACTCTCTCTGATTAGAGCTGACAAGTCTGTTCAACGATGATTTGATTCTGCTTTCCAGCGGCCGTGCTGACATACAGGATACGGAATCTGCACGAGCATCTCGAGACTGGTGCGCGCCACGACAACCAGAACAGGCGCTCGATGACGATGCTGGTACACAAGCGCGCCAAGCTGCTCAAGTACCTCCGGCGCACGTCGCCGGCGCGCTACGAGGCCATCCTCCCGCGGCTTGGCCTTGAGCCGCGCGCAGTCGAGGGCGAGATCGTCGTGGGCGGCAAGCCACGGATGAGGATGATGTAGCTCGTCCCCTGCTTCTCCCTTCAATTCAATGCAATGTCACTACTGTCATGACCGTGAGGAAGAGTGCGATGGAGAGAGTCACGTGTCGTGGAATTTTTGAGAGAGGGGGAAAAGTCAATTTTTGTGTCGAGAAGATGCGCCTCTAGAGCTCTCTATAGATTCACTACTGCTGCTAAACATGTCGTCGCCGTCGTCTGAGGACGGCTGGAGCTCGTCGGGCTCCTCTTCCCGCTCGCGCTCCTCATCGCCCTCGCGTTCTGCCTCGCCGTCGCCATCGACGTCTGCATCGGCCTCGGCGTCGGGCCCTGGAGCAGGCGAGCCTCGCAAGCGGCACGGCGAGAAGCTCCGGTGAGCACCGCTGCCCGTCGCCCCCCTTGCTTCAAATCCATCATGCTAACGATTTTGATAAAGCTACGAGCCGCCAGACCACTTTGTGCCCGCCGATCTCACCTCGTACGAAGGCGAAGGCGGCACGGCTAGCGGCGCCGGGACGGAGCTGTGGGCCATCAAGGTGCCCGCGTCGCTCGATGTCGCCGCACTCGACGGCCTCTCTGTGCCCCTCGCCTCGCTCGAGGCCGGTCTCTCGCTCCCAGCGTCTGCCATGGCGCGCATCAAGGGTGCTGGCGGCCGGCGCTACACTCTGCGCAGCACGCGCGCCGCCGTCTCGGATGCCCACGGCGCAGGCGCAGGCGCAGCAGCGCTGCAGGACGTCGAGATGGCATCGATGCATGTGCTCGAGCCTGCGCCGGAGAAGGGCCCGGGTCGGTATGCGCTGAGCCGCCGCGGCATCGACCGGACGCTGCACTTCACCCTCGATGTCGGGCATGATAGCGACGACGATGCTGCACAACGGCAGCAGAGCAGCAAACGCAAGCGGGAGCAGCCATGGGACCGGCTCACGGGCTACTTGTGAGTTTGGCAGCGTTGGACTTACTGCTGTAGAGGAGGAGAGCATTGCGGCTGAACATTGAAACACCAAACAGCCACCCGGCCGGCTCGTCGCTCAGCACTGCGCTCGAGAGTGAAAAGGAGCAGCAGCAGCAGCAGGCGCGGCCACCCGACTCGCAGACATCCACCTCGTCATCGCCGCGCAAGAAAAAGGCGAGAAAGTCCAAGGAGCAATGATGGTACTAGCAAATGACAATTGAGAGAGCAATTTGTAGAGTAGTAGAGTAGAGTAGCAGCAGCAATCAATGATGATAGATCAGACGACGAGCTTGCGCTTCCGCGGCTGGCCCTGCTCCTGCTCGAGGCGCTGCTGGATGGCGGCGTCGTCAAGGTCAATGTCCTGCTCGAGGAGCTGCGAGGTGCGCTGTGCCGTGTGCTGGGCCTTGATGAAGCGCAGCCCCGCGAGGTTGTAGCCAATCGTCTGCTTCTGGCGCGCCAGGGCGCCGCGGAGATGGGTCTTGAGGCTGACGATGCGCACGCGCATCGACCGGTTGGCCACAATGTGGTTGTGGTGCGTGCGCAGGAGGAAGAAGACGAGGCGGGCGACGAGGTGAACGGTGCGTGCGTCGCCGCGCTGCACCCACACATCGACGTGGTCGAGGAGGCGCACAACGTCGTGCAGCGGCAGCACCAGCAGCGCATCGTCGAGGTGCGCGGGCGCGATGCGCTGCACCGTCTTGAGCACAAATGTATGCGCATCCACCTCCTCGTCGGGCCCAAAGGCGCTGGCGAGGACCGGGTGGCGGGTGGGCGCAGCCGACATGGGCGTGATGGCCGTCGTGCCTGCCGCCTGCCAGGCCTGCTGCGCCTCGATGTCGGCCTGGGCAATGTCGAGAGCCTCGATGAGGCGCTCGCCAGCCATGAGCGTCTCGCCCGTCGACTTGGACACGGCCGTGGCCTCCTGCTGCGCCTCATCGCCACCTGCTGCTGTAAGACCGTCTTCGTTGCCCTGGGCGAGACTGCCAATGGCCCGTCGGTCGTCGTCGTTGTCGCGTCCGCCACCAGACGCCTGTGCCTCAAACATGCGCTCCAGCTCGCGCTCGCGCTCCTCCTCGAGGAACAGCGGCTCCTCGGTCTTTTCCCACACGCGAATCGAGCGGTCGTTGCCTGCGCTGGCGACGAGCTGGCCCTTGTGGCCCGTGGCCAGCGCCCACACCTCGCCGTGGTGGCCCTCCATCGTCTGCACGAGCTCAAAGCGGTCGCCGTCCCAGTAGCGGAGCCGGCCGTCGCGGGCACAGGTCCAGAAGCGGTGCGACTTGCCCTCCTTGCCGCCCATGAGGCCGCCGCCCTGGTCGCCGCGCTCAAACGCACACGCGACAATGGCCTCGTCGTGGGCAAAGAGGGAGCGGTGGCAGTCGCCATAGTCGAGCCCCCAGATCTTGGCGTTCTTGTCGCCGCTGACGGTGACGATGAGCTTGCTGTCGCCCGAGATGTCCATCGAGAGCACGGGCAGCTTGTGGCCGTAAAGAGAGAGGAAGAACTTGAGCGAGTCGGCGTAGAAGACTTTCACGGTCGAGTCGAGGAGCGAGAGGGCGAGCAGGCGGGCGTCGGGCGAGAAGCGCGCGCAGAGGACCTCGTCGGTCATCTTGAGTGTGCGGACGTGTGTCATTGTCATGGATGCCGGTCGTCTGCCTTCTTTTTCTCTTTCTTCCTCTTCCTCTTCCTCATCCTCCTCAGCGCCGCCAGCATTACCACGCCCCTGGAGATCAAACTCCCAGAACTTGACGTCCTTGTCGCCGCTCGCTGTCACGGCCGACTGCCCATCGGGGTGGATGGCCAGGCTCCAGACGGGCCCTGTATGCGCGGCAATTGTCTCGAGGGCCTGGCCCGCACGCACGTCATACGTCCTCAGGGTGCCGTCCTTGCAGCCAACGACGACGTGGTGGTCATCGGGCAGCCATGCCAGCGTCAGGGCATAGCCGCAGTCGAGAGTGCGCACGCAGCGGCCCGTGGCGACGTTCCAGACCTTGAGTGTGCCCAGGCTGTCGGCCGAGGCGAGCATGCTGTCGTCTGACGACAGCGCCAGTGCTCTCGGCTCCGATCGGTGGCCGGGCAAGTCAAGGCCGCAGCTGAGCTGTGCCTCGACTGCGTTCTTCTTCGCCACAGTGCTCGCGTCGGGGATGGCGACGACCTCGAGGGCGTTGGTGCTGAGCGTGAGCAGCATCGACGCGGTGTCCTTGCTGCTGCTGCTGCTGCTGCTGCTGCTGGCCGAGGCAAAGGAGAAGCTCTTGACACGGCCCTGCGACGGCCGCACCGTCGTGTACCGCTCCAGCCGGTCGGGCCAAGTGACCTTGGCCGCGGCTGCTGCTGATGCTGCTGCTGCCTGTACTGCCTCCTCTGAAGCACCGCCGGCTTTTTCCTTTGCGCGCTTCAGCCGCCGGGCCATCTTCTTCTTCATGTCCTCCTGGCTCCTGATACGAAACACCTCGACGCCGCGGTCGCTGCTCGCCACGGCCAGGTACCGCCTGCTGGGATCAAAGTGCATCTGCGTGACGCGCTTCTGCACCTGCAGGCCGAGGGAGCCGCAGCTGCGGATCAAGCGGCTGGGCTCCACCTCGCTGTCCTGCTCGTTGTCCTTCCCTTTCCCATTGACGTTCCCATTCCCGTTCCCATTCGCCTGTGTCTGTGCCCGTGCCTGGGCCTGGGCCTGCTCGTGCACATGCTCGAGGCCCCGCGTCAGGGCGGCGCGCGTCACCTCCCACAGCTTCACCTCGCCCTCGGAGCTGCCGGTCAGGACGAGGGCGGCCACGTCGTCGGTACCGTTGAGCAGCGACGGGTGCTGGGCGACGGTCAGACTGAGCACCTCGCCCTTGCCGTGGACGACGGTGTCGATGCAGTGCTGCAGCGACAGGTCCCAGAGCTTCATGAGGCCGTCCTTGGCCGTGGTGAGCAGGAACTGGCCCGGGTTTGTGTCATTAAAAGTGGCTGCTGCTGCTGCTGCCGAGGACGACGCAGCTGCCGCCTGGTCGTCCAACGAAGGCGAAGGCACATCGAGGAAGCACACCTCCGTCACAGCTGCGCGGTGGCCCCGGAGCCGAAAGAGGCCCGAGTCGGCGACGAGGTCCCACAGAATCACGTCGGTGTCCTGGCCAGCCGAGGCGAGGCGGAGTCCCGTGGCATCAAAGCAGAGGCTCGTCACGGCGCTCTTGTGGCCGTTGAGCGTCAGCTTGGCCGTCGCCGTCGCTGCGTCCCAGATGCGAATCGAGCCGTCTGCGTAGCCGACTGCATACACTTCCTCGTCGTCCTTCTCCTGCTCCTGGTATTCGTCATCCCCGCCTGCTCTGCCTGGTGACGAGGGCGCCTTGGCGAGGCACGTCACGCTCGCCCGGTGGCCCACCTCGTGCCACATGCCGAGCTGCACGCCCGTCTTGACGTCCCACACCAGCACGTCCTCGAGCGCACCCACGACGGCCGTCTTGCCGTCGCGCTGCAGCAGCGAGCGCGAGCTGGGCGACACAATGACGCCGTACGCCTGTGTCGGCTCGTGCCGCAGATACGACCGAACCATCTCTCTCTTTCTCCCTTCTGACGTTCAATGGCTCCTGACAGAAAGGCAGCCTCGACAAGAAGAAAGTCGACAAATCTGAAATTTTCCAGGGAAAAATTCACGTGTGGTAAAGGCAGACAAAAGAAAGCTGATGGATGGATGGCCCGAGCGAAGGACATTTTTTGTCGCGCTCGTCACGCGAAGACTGATCACAGCCGTCGGATCTATCACAGGCAACGAGACGGATTCATCTCCCTACAAAGAAGCAAAGTCAGATTTCGCCGTTTCATGAACGTCTTGAGGGCGAGCTGCACGAGAACAGCGAGAGCGACCGCAATCACCGCAAAGCACTTCTACAGGAAACCAGCACCGTCGAGCCGTGTCCTGCACTCCTCCGCCGCTGCCCCCTGGCTCTCGGCGTGGCTGCGTCGCGCCGTCTTTGCACCAATGACCATGTCCGCCGACCGATCAAGTCCGATTCCTCCGCCCACAGCGACGCGCCGGCTGACGCCCTCCGATGGGCCACTGGTCTGGATCGACTGCGAGTGAGTGATCGATCCGCTGCTGTTCGATAGGAAGCTGACGACAAGACGCGTGCAGGATGACGGGCCTCGATGTCGAGAGCGACCGGCTGCTCGAGGTGGCATGCATCATCACCGACGGCAGTCTCGCGCCCCTGGACGAGGGCGTCAGCTATGTGATCCGCACCGAAAAGGCCGTGCTCGACTCCATGAACGAGTGGTGTGTCAACCAGCACGGCAAGGTGCGCCTCATCTACCCTTCTTGCGTTGGCAGCTTTGGCTGAAAACTTTCCAATGTCCTCTCGTCCACCCAGTCCGGACTGACAGAGGCGTGCCTCGACGAGAAGAGGGCACACCAGCACGCAGACGTGCGTGCCGCCGTGCTGGCCTACATCCTCGACCGCATCCCCACCAGCGGCGTGGCCTGCCTGGCGGGTAATACAGTGCATGCAGACGCCGCCTTTCTCAAAAAGGAGATGCCTGAGGTGAGTGTTCTCCGTCCCAGCTCTATCTTCTAACTGACTCATAATTCCCCCGGGCAGATCACCAACCACCTCCACTACCGCATCGTCGACGTCAGCACCATCAAGGAGCTCGTCGGCCGCTGGTACGGCGACGGGAGCCGGTGGACCGGCGGCAAGGGCAGCCACCGCGCCCTCGACGACATCCGCGGCAGCATCGAGGAGCTCTCGCACTATCGGCGCAACTTTTTTGTCATGTCAGGGAGCAGCAGCAACAACAACAACAACAACAGCAGTAACAACAGACACTAATGCGCATCAATTGCATTCAGAGGCGCTGGCGATACATAGTTAGGACCCTCTGCTCGATGCCCTGGCCGATCCACTTTGTGCGCTTGTCGCTGCCTGCCAGGTCCAGGCTCTCCTTCTCTTGGCCCTGCAGCTTGGCGTAGTCGGGCTGCTGGGGGCCCATGGGGCTCATGCCCTGGCCCATGGCACCCTGGCCCATCGCCGACATGGCGGCCATGTCCCGTGTCCCATCGGCGGCTGCAATGATGATCATGTCAGCGTGCACAGTAGAATCACACGGCGTTTCTCGACTGACCATTGTCGTCGCCGAGGATGAGGCGGAAGATGGCATTGAGGCCAAAGAGGTTGAGAAAGTACCAGCTGATGCTGCTGACCCACGTGACGTCCATGTCGGGCGTGTCGATGCCCCTCTGGAGCATGAGCTTGAAGCGGAGCGTGAGGGGAAAGGGCAGCCGGACTGGTGGTGTAGCTGTTCAGCGAGAGAGCTAAACTGCAAGGAGAGGGAGAGAGAAGAATGTACTCACTGAGGACAAAGCCGGTGAAAAAGTAGTTGATCCAGCCCATGATGAGCGTCTGGGGCACCATCTGCACCATGCTCTTTTTCATCTGCTCCATCATATTTTCCATCTGGTTGGGGTCGCTCAGCGGGTTCTTGGGCAGGTCGTCCTCTGCGCCGGCCTTTTTTTCCTCGACGACGACGTAGGAGCCATCGCCGAGGCGGTCGCTGAGCCACTCGAGACGCTGCTGGAACGCAGCGGGGGCGAGGTGGACGCGGTTGGCGCGCAGCTGCGCACTACGCGTGATGATGCGCTGCTGGCGCAGCACCTCGGGCTGCTCGGCCCGGGGCGTCGTCGAGGTGATGAGCTGCGTGACATTGTGCCGGACCAGGCCGACGAGGACCATGACGATCAGAATCGGGATCAGGACCCAGTCCCGGATCGCCGAGTCGAGCAGCAGCGATTGTCTGGCTGGCGGAGTCAGCTCTCTAGGCCTGTTCACGCAGCATTTATTGCACTCACTCTTGCACCATCTTGGTGTCCGTGTCTCGCGAGTACAGGAATGGACTGGACTGACACGATGAGAGTCGAAGAAGCAGTCAGTGTGTGTCCACTGGCGATGTTCCAACTTTCTTTTCGTGCACGTGGCGCGTGCGCGCCTAGGTAGCAAGAGTCTCACGGTGACAATGTTGCTTCGATCAATGATGGATATACAGTACAGTACATATGGGCTGACAGAGGGATTAGAAGGAGTACATGAAGATAAAGCAGTGGTGCCCTACGAGACAGACCCGGCGATGGCCTTTTCGATGGTGAGGATCTCGACGCGGTCGACGGCGCCCTGGACGATCTCCTGCCGCTGCCAGTCGCGCAGCTTGGGAAGCTGGGCGGCCATGTGCGCAGGCAGCCTCAAATCCCGGCTTGCCGCTATCCCCACGCTCTCCTCCAGGGCGCGGATGTAGGGGTTGCTGCTGTTGCTGCTCGGTGGCTCGGCCTTTGTTGGTCCATCGCACGCAGATGCGAGGATTGCCTCTACCTGCTCGCGGATCGACTGTGTGGTGACACGGTCGCCCCAGATGGACGAGATGAATGCGTCGGCGAGCAGGATCCTCCTCGGCCTGGCTTCCTCGGCCTCTTCTCTCTCGTTCCCATTAACGCGCTGCCACTCTCTGCTGCTGCCGACGTGCGGGCTCCTGCGCAGCTCCCAGACAAGCGCAAGGAAGGCGGGGCCTGCAGGCGCGACATTGATGGCGCTCCGCACCGTGACGCTGCTCAGCCGCGAAAACAGGTGACCCTGCGGCCCAGCACTGCCCAGCAGACTGAACAGACGCCTGCCTCGGTCCGAGGCAAACTGCACGTGGTGCAGCTCGATGTCCTCGAGCGGATGCTCGCCCTGGCCTGGCCCCACCTGCGCCCACGGAGTCAGAGATCCCTGCCCGTTCTCTGACTCGTGTAGCAAGCGGCGCTCCTCCTCGGCCTCCTCTTCTTCTTCCTGCTGCAGGTCCCACTCCTCTTCTTCTTCTTCTTCTTCCTCCTCCTCCTCCTCCTCGTCGTCCCCTTTCTCGTCCTCGTCTTCTGTCTCTCCCTCGTCGCCTTGCCCGTCACCGTGTATCGGCTCCTGCCCCGTTGCAGCGTCGTAGAGCCCCTCGACGAGGGGCGCAAAAGCCTGGTCAACGACGGCGACGCTGAATCCCACGAAGCGTGCGCTCTCGGGCGTGATCCAGCGGAAGCGGCGGAGGCGAGGCAGCGTCGCAAGGGCGCGCTGGAACGTCGTGCGCTCGGCATCGATGGCCGTCGGGTCGGTCAGCAGGGGCGAGTGGCGCACGCCGTACATTTCAATCGACACGGCCTCGGCCAGCGGGCAGAGGAGCATGGCTTTGGCCGCGAGCAGGAGCCGGTCCTGGGGGCTTGCTTCTGTATCTGGATCCGCGCCTGCTCCGGTCTCTGACGCAGGTGCAGGCGCAGACGCAGGTGCGACGGGCGACGGGACGCGGCCGCCGGGCACGCCGGGCAGGTTGAGCGCAAACGACCGCGTCCAGCTGGATGCATGGCGGTGTGCGCCCGAGGTTGGCCGCACAAAGCAGACGAGCGCACGGAGCGTTGTGAGGCGGATGTCGGTGTAAAGAAGCGGGAGGCAGGCGTCGTGGATGTGGGTGCACGTCTGGAGAAGCGCAGTGACGTGCACGTCGAGGCAGTGCGCCAGGATCGCCCGCTGCACCTCAAACGGAAAGGCGAGCAGGTCGACCATGGTTTTGCCTTGCACCCTGCCCCCTGCGCGTTCTGCTGTTGCCTTCTGCCCTTCAGTAAAGGGCAATGGGGGTTAGGGTTATCGCGTAGAGTAGCGGACTGCGCGCGATCCGACGAAGCGGGTCCAGACGCGATAAATAAAGCCAAAATAGAGATAGCGACGACCAAACTTTATCTAAGCTCTTTTTCCCCTTTTTTATTTCCCGTCACCTGCCTGCCTGCCTGCCGGCCTGCCTGCCTGCCTGCCTGCCTGCCTGCCTCGCATCGATCGGGTTCGCGGAAAAGACGGGTGGCAACGAAGAAGGGAAGAAGGAGATGCGATCGCTGACGGTCGCCTCGTCGTCGTGGTCGTCGCCGTCGTGGCGCCTGCTGCTGCTGGTCTGCGCATGCGTGACCGCGCTCAGCTTCCTCTTTGCCTCGTCGCACGACCGGCACAACCCCGTCTCGCACTTCTTCCGGCCCGACGCGACGACGTATGCGGCCGGCTACTCTGACGAGCGGGCCCGCGCAGGGCGGCAGTACCTGCTCGAAGCTTCACAAAAGCTGGACCCAGATCGACACAATGATGGCGCAAGGGCGGACCTGGCCGTCGTCGTGCTCACCGTCGCGCGGCCGGCCTTGCAGCAGCAGCAGCAGTACCTCGACGCCAGCCTGGGCTCGCTGCTCGAGGCCATCGACGCCGACGCACGCAGGCACCTCTTTATCAACGTCGTCTTTGGCGATGCCGACCCCGAGACGCACCCGCTCTTTCATGCCGACTGGCTGCGGCGCACGGCGGACGAGCTGACTGTGCGCCGGCTGCCGTCTTCCGAAGAGTGGTCGCCATCGTCACTGCCCCCGCTGCACGTGAGCCCGATGCCTGCCGATGCACCAACAACACCACCCAAGACGTCGGCCTGGCACCAAAAGGCGACGCTCGACTACGCCATGGCGCTGCTGGCGTGTGGTCGCGCGGCAGCAGCAGCACGGGCCAGCCACTGCCTCGTGCTCGAAGACGACACCGTGCTCGCGTCGTCGTGGCACGCCGAGCTGCGCGCCTACCTCGCGCAGGCGCACCAGTGGCCCGCCGGGTCGTGGGGCCACATGCGCCTCTTCTATGCAGAAAAGTACTTTGGCTGGGAGGACACCGAGGTGGGGCCGCTCGTCGCCAGCATTGCCAGTCTCACGGCCGCCGTGGCCTTGGTGCTGCGCGTGGTGCTCCGGGCGCGCTTGGCCACCACGGCCGTCGTCTGCGTCTTTGTCGCTGCCCAGCTCGTGCTCCTCGTCCTGGCAGGGCGCAACCACGTGTTCCCCGTCGCGCGCGGCCTGTCGACGATGAACACCCGCGGCTGCTGCACCCAGGCCATCGTCTACCCCACCGCCCTCGTCGACGAGCTGGCACGCCACCTCGTCGCCCACGCCGGCGAGCGGCCGTACGACATCAGCCTCGATGCCCACCTCGCCGCGCGCGGGCTCGCCAAGCTGGCGACGCACCCGCCGCTGGTCCAGCACATTGGCGCAGCCTCCTCGCGCGCCCACTACGCGCGCGCCTCGCCGCTCTGGTCCTTTGCCTTTGAGCGGCGGCGGCCGCGGTGACTCCAATTCACTCTCACTCAGAAGACAAAGATGTCCCTTGTGATAATATTATTTTATTTTCCATCGTGCGGTCGGGATTGTTCATCTGCTCTCCGGAGACCCCGAGGGAAAGGGAAACGGCGGGCTGTCGGGCTTGGACCGGTCGCGGTGCTGGGGAAAGGGAAAGGGGTTGTGCATGCGCGCCTCGTCGATGAGCCCGCCGAGGTTCTTTTCCTTGACGGCGCGCTGTAGGTCGTTGCGTCAGTGTCTTCTTTCCTTTCCTTTCTAGCCTGTCAGCGAGTAGTCAAGACACACCTCGATGCAGGCCTGGTACTCTTTCCAGAGCGGGCCGCACTGACCCTCGAGCCGCTGACGCAGGGTGGCCCTGGAGGCGTCATCCTTGCCGCCGCCGCCGCCGCTGCTCGAGTCGGACAAGCTGCCAAAGAAGCCAGACCGGGCCTTGGCTTTAGTTGCCGTCGCTGCAGCCGCCGCCGACGACGAAGAAGCGGGGCCGAGGCCGAGGTACTCTTCGAACCAGGCATTGAAGCAGGCGTCGTAGCGGTGCTTTGCGGGCGTGCAGCGCGCATCCATCGACGGCATCTCGCCCAGCGAGGCGCGCGCCGCAATCGACGACGGCAGCGCCTCTCCCGCGTGGCTGCTGCTCGACATCCGGGGCGCGCAATTTGATGCTTTGAAGAGAAAGAAAAGGGCGAGCAAGTCGTGCAGTGGTGGACGACGACGACGAGAAATAAACGTGCGTCTGCAAAGGCGCCCTCCACCCGCTTGCTGCTGCTTCTTCTTCTTTCTCTTCTTTTTCAATCGCACTTTGTCCAAGCCAGACGCGACTGTTGAATCCAACCAGCACCTGTCAAAAGACAGAAACCCATCGATCGCCACGATGTCGCCGTCGCCGTCGCCGTCGCAGACGGGCGCACCACCGCGGCGCGTGCTGGGCCCCACGATGCCCGGGTCTGGGCCTGGCGTTGAGCAGGAGGCAGGAGACGCCGATGCGCCGGCGCTGAGCAAGGCCGCCATCGACTTTCTCGAGCGCGAGAAGCGGATCCGCGACGGTGCCCAGTCGTCGTCGTCGTCTTCGTCTTCAGCAAACGCGGGACAGCCGAATGGAAAGCGGCCCGACTGGATGGTGGTGCCGCCGACGGCGCGGCCGCTCAACGAGCAGCTGCTGCGGAGCGCGGACCCGATGGCCGCCCTCAAGGGCCGCGGCTTCTCCCAGGCCTCGGCCTCGTCGGCGCGCGTGCAGCGGCGCGGCGGCGGCGGTGGCGCAAGTGGCAGCACCGACGCGACGCTCTGGACCGAGACGCCGGCCGAGCGGGAGCAGCGGCTGCTCGACGAGGAGATGGGCGTGCGGTCAAAGGGAAAGGGCCCCGGCGAGGAGGACGACGACGAAGAAGATAACATCGACGACGAGGAGCGCGCAGAGCGACAGCGGCTGCGAGAGCGCGACGAGGAGCTCGCACGGCGCGTGGCAGAGCACGCAGAGCAGCGCGGGCCCTCGCTGCTGGAGCAGCACCGCCAGAAGCGCCGCGACGAGCTCAGGGGCAAGGTCGGCGGTGCGACCAAAGACCGGGGCCGCTCTCCAGACGGCGAGGTGAACGCCGACGAGGAGAGGCGGAGCGCGAGAAGGGACCGCCGCTCTCGCTCGCCTGAAAGCAGCGGGAGAAGGCACTCGCCAAGCAGTAGCGGGAGGAGAAGTGATGCAAGGAAGAGCGACGGAAGGAGGAGCGACGGAAGAAGGAGCGACGGAAAGAGGCGCTCCCCAGACAGCGACGACGAGCGAGAGGAGCGGCGGCGGCGAGAGAGGAGGCGGGAAAAGGAGCGAAGAAGACGAGACGAGGAGGACGAGGATGAGGAGCGATGGCGGCGGGAACGCAGGCGGCGACGGGAGGAGCGAGAGCGCGACAAGGACAAGGACGACGACGACGGCGAGCGACGGCGAGAGAAGCGGCGGCGACGCGAGAAGCGCGACGCAGAGAGGAAGGAGGGCAGAAAGGAGGACAGAAGCGAGGACAGCACGCGCAAGAAGACCGACGAGGAAAAGATGCGGGAAAAGGACAAGAGGCAGGAGCAGGAGGGCCGCGCCCCGATGATGGTCTGGGACCGCGACGCAGCCATGAAGGTGGGCAGCCGCCTCATGGGCGAAAAGGAGCGCCAGCGCGCCCTCGCAGACGCCAGTGCCCTCTCGGGCCGCTTTGGCGGCGGCCGCTCGCGCTTCCTGTAGCGGCTCGCTTCCCGTAGCAGCTCGCTTCCCGTAGCAGCCCGCTTCCCGTAGCAGCCCGCTTCCTGCAGCAGCTCATGCCATCTTATTCACTCATCGACAACCACTTGTGTCTCATGCCATGTATTTCTGCTGCAATGTATGCGCACACTCAACACTCGAGAAACTGGCGCGGCCGTGTGAGGCACGTGAGCGACCGCTTCGACGACGCAAACATCTGCCCGTCGAGGGCCTTTCGTGCGCCGATGTCGGACTGCCAGAGAATGACTATGATTAGCATGGCAGTAGCATTCATTGCCGCAGTGTGAGAATCAACCCACCTCGTTGCTCCACTCGAGCTCGACCCACTTCTCGCCCTCTGCCTCGCGCTGGGCCGCCATGAGGACGTCGCGCGAGTCCATGGGCCCGCCGCCGCCGCCACCGCCGCCGCTGCCCGGATGGCCGCCCCGTCCGGCGCCGTCCTGGCCGCTGGCACGGATGCTGACGTTGATGTTCTGCGCCTTTCGTGCAGGCGCCGCAGCAGCAGCAGCAGCAGCAGCCGCTGCCGCTGCGGGGCCCTCGTCACCGTCGCCGCCGTCGTCTGTCTCGGCGCCACCACGGCGCTTCTCGGCCTCGGACAGCTCGTCGAGGCCGTCGAGGTAGTGCATCGAGGGCCGGAGCTGGAGGACAGAGTGGAGGGGCGTGAGGTGGAGCGCCTTGTCGCGCACGACGCCCACGAGGTAGTTGGTCTGGTTGGGCACCAGGCTGCTCTTGAGCCGCGTCCGCTCGAGCCGCTTCTCGCCCGTGATGGTGCCTGCAGGACCTGCGCCGATGCCTCCCTCACGCTTCACCCTTGGCCTTCTCGCTGTGCCGCGTGCTCCTCCTCCTCCAGCACCATCGAGCGCATCGCCGCCGCCGCCGCTGCTGCCGTCCTCGTCGGGACTGGCGCCCTTGGCCATGTCGGTGCCCCGGTCGAGGTTGTAGACGGCAGGCCGCATGTCCAGCGGCAGCTCGACCTCGACGTGGTTGCTCCGTGCCTTCCAGCGCACGCTCTCGGCGAGCCCTCGCGACCGCGCGCCCTCAGGCACCGGCAGCGGCCTGCCCCGCGGGTACGTCGGGTACTGGAACACGTGCAGCGTGCTCGTCGCCGGCAGCGAGTCACTCAGGTAGACGGGCAGCGATGCCAGCAATTCGTTGTCGCTGCCGTCGCCATTGCTGGTCTCATCGTCGCCCGCTTCTCCGAGGCCAAGTGATGACCTCGAACCACCGTCTTCGCGCTTGGCCTCGGCCTCGGCCGCCCGTGCTCGCGCAGATGGCGACGGTGGTGTCCGCGGCGGCAGCCCGTCGCTCCCCTCGGGTCTCATGCGCCCGTCGGCCATCTCCACATCGCCCTCGCCCTCCTCCTCGAGCACCACCGTCGTCACCGTCGTCGCCGCGGCACTGCTGCTCGGTCCTGCCTCGCTCTCTGCTTCGTGATCTTCCGCCATCGCAGCCACCTCGGCAGCAGGCTCGGGCGACGCAGACGTGTCCTCGCGAAACAGCTGCTCCCCCTGTGGCACCCTCTTCTTCGGCGCCATGGCTTCTGGTCCCCTTGTCAGTCCCTTCTTTCCTTCTAATATTTCGAGGAAGAAGAAAAAAATAAAAATTTGGCTTGTGGAGCCTCAATCGGGATTTTTGGAGACGGGGGTCCGTGAGCGCTGCTGCTTTCGGCCGAGCGCGTCGCCATCGCAACTCCCCCGCTTCTCTCACTCCCGCGGTCTCTTTGCAAAGCAGACTCCCAGACAGGCTCTGCTGCAGGCCCCGACAGCGTGCAGTCATGAATCGTAGCTCGAACCCATAATATATTCGCCAGGCTCAACGCTGAGCGCTGTTGCTGTGTGAAAGCAGGGCGGCGGGGAAAGTGGCAGCGAGCGCGCGCGCCTTTTCCGACCCGAGACTAAATTAGGGCAGCTGGTGGGCTGCGCTCTCTTGCACCCACGGCCTCTTCTTGTTCTTCCTTCGTCTTCTGCTGCTGCTGCAAGTGAGACTCAGAAGATGCCGCCCACCTCGAGCCAGTCGGCGGCGGCCAGGAGCGCCCCCGTCACGCCGGCGGGCAAGCCGGGCGCAGGCAGGCCGGGCGGCTACGGCCTCGTGTCGCTCCTCGCGGCCCAGGTCCTGACGATTGACAATGGTGCGTGAGGCGTTGCTCTCTCTCTCTCTCGCTCTCGCTCTCTCAAGTTGCAGTCAGCTCACACGGCCCTACACAGCCCGCACGCTCGTCTTCTACGTCGTCGTCTACCGCTATGCGCTCCGGCTCTGGCGGCACATTCGCGCGTACGGCGTCACCACGAGCCTCTACCAGCTGTACCACGCCTTTTCCAAGGTGAGCCTGCATCTCCCGTGGCGCCGCTCATGATCCTTGCTGAAACGAGGCATGCGGCACAGCGCCTCCTCACGCTCCTCCTGCGGATCCCCGCGGCGAAGCGCAAGGTGGCGCGCGAGCTCGATGCAGCGACGGCCGAGCTCGAGACGAAGCTGGTGCCTGCGAGCGAGCACATTGGCACCAACCGCGCGCTGCCGGCCTATGGCCGCGACATCGACTGGCTCATGGAGGAGCTCCGCAAGCTGCAGATGCTCGAGGCTGGGTCTGGGTCTGGGTCTGGGTCTGGCTCAGCTGCAGCCTCAGCGACAGGGGCAGGTGCAGTTGCAGTTGCAGGCGGCGGCACTGGCTCAGCACCCTGGGAGCAGCGCGACGGCCAGCGCGTCTGGCAGGGCGGCAAGATCAGCGGCGCCGTCTACCACGGCGGGAGCGAGATGAGCGACGTGCTGGCCGAGGCCGTCAAGATGTTTCTCGTCTCGAACCCGCTCCACCCCGATGTGTTTCCCGGCGTGCGCAAGATGGAGGCCGAGGTCGTCTCGATGGTCCTCCGCCTCTACAACGCACCCGACTCGGCCGCGGGCACCACCACCTCGGGCGGCACCGAGTCGATCCTGATGGCCTGCAAGACGGCCCGCGAGTGGGGCCGCGCTACCAAGGGCATCACCGAGCCCGAGATGGTCGTCTCGACGAGTGCGCACGCCGCCTTTGACAAGGCCGGCGCCTACTTTGGCATCCGTGTCATCCACATCGACGTCGACCGTGTCACGCGCAAGGTCAAGGTCGAGAGCATGCGCCGGGCCATGAACCCAAACACTGTCCTCGTCGTCGGCAGCGCGCCCAGCTTTGGCGAGGGCATCATCGACGACATCCCTGCCATTGCCAGCCTCGCCCGCCGCCGCAACGTCCTCTGCCACGTCGACTGCTGCCTCGGCTCCTTCCTCGTCCCCTACCTCGAGCGTGCCGGCCTGGCCTCGGAGCCGTTTGACTTCCGCGTCGACGGCGTTACCAGCATCTCGTGCGACACGCACAAGTACGGCTTCGCACCCAAGGGTTCCAGCATCGTCATGTACCGCTCCAATGCCCTCCGCCGGCACCAGTACTACATCCAGCCCGACTGGCCCGGCGGCGTGTATGCGAGCCCATCGATGGCTGGTTCACGCCCGGGCGCCCTCATCGCGGGCACGTGGGCCGCCATGATGCGCATGGGCGACGAGGGCTACACGCAGTCGTGCCGCCAGATCGTCGGCGCGGCGCGGCGCATCGAGCGCGCCGTCCGCGACGAGATCCCAAAGCTGCGCGTCATGGGCCGACCCCTCGTCAGCGTCGTCGCCCTCTCGAGCGCAGGCAGCGTCAACATCTACGAGGTCGGCGACAAGATGTCGGCCAAAGGGTGGCACCTCAACGGCCTCGCCACCGACCCGCCGGGCATCCACCTCGCCTGCACCCGCCTCACCGTGCCCGTCGTCGACGACTTTGTCCGCGACCTCAAGGCCGCCGTCAAGGAGGCCCGCGTCCGCAATGCCAAGGCCCAAGGGTCCATGGCCATGCTCTACGGCCTCGGCTCCAGCAGCGCCGTGGGGCCCAGCCTCGTCAAGGAGATGGCTGCCCGCTTCCTCGACACCCTCTACCTCGTCAAGTAGCTGCAGCTTTCCTTCTCTACTCTTGCCTCCCTTGTTTTCTATTCTGTAGACGGGCGTGGAAATGCACATTTTATTCGGGCTAGCGTGCGACTGTGAGCACGCAAGGATAGGTGAAGAGGCGCCTTATGTGCACTGGGGTAGCTCAGAACACAGAGGGAGAGAGCCTCGCTCGTCATGGGGGTCTGAGCTCTCGAGTTGGGACGCTGCTCGTCGAGCAGCGGCCGTGTTGATGTCCTTGATCGAAATGAGCCGTTTCATTTTGCCCTTCATCTTTTTCCGACTTCTGCTGGGCAGAGTGGGCACACATCAGCGGCAGCATTGTCAAACTTCATGTCATCTGGGCAGCCGTCCTGGCAAATGTTCACAGAACGGTCACTGTAACGACGTCCCAGAGCATTCGCAAGTCCGTCGCTGCTTCTTCAGAAAGTTAAGGAAGAGACAACTATACGATCACGACGACGAGCAGCCCACACGTTGTTCCCTGGTGGAGATGGAAGGACAGACTGATTCCTTGTTCGTTCCCCTTCTTCTCTCCGCCGGCAAGTGGACTGTACAAAGCCGCCAAAGTCCTCGCGCCGCTTTCCAGAGTCACGGCAAAGTGCGTGAATGGCTTTCATGCTCCGCTGCGCGCCTTTAAATGTGATCTCTTGCTTTTGAATGCCGCTTATTCCTCGTTCCACCCTGCAAAGGCTTGCGGGCCACGGTTGTCCTGATCAGCAGGAGGGCACATTCGCTGCGGCCGCAAGAGACCCATTCTCCAACACTCAGACCAGCTATGTTTGCGCGTCCACCTTCGTTGCTGTCTGCGCACAGTGAGCAATGCTTTTTTCACCGTAATTCTTTGCTGTCGTGGTTGAGTGACGTAGGGAGAGGGAGGTAGAACAGCGGACTCGGAGACGAGCAAGCAGGGCGCCAAGCATAAAGACGGCCATCTTCTTTGCCTGTCTCCTCCGCCCACTCTCGACGCCTTGAGCGGTGATGATCTAGACTTGGCTTTCGGCAGAGGAAAAGCCGAAAGGCGGCTTAGGCGGCGTCGTCGCCCTGCTTGCTAATCTGTGTACTGTGGCAAAGGTCAGATTTCCGTGAGATACTTATTGTGTTCAAGTGATGTGAGTAGGGAAAAATCACTCTGCGACGAGTCTCTACGTGGCTAATGGCATGTCCAAAATGGCATGCAACAAGGCAGTGAAGCAAAGACTGTACAGATGACCGGCTCCATCGCATCTCCTAAATTGAGAAACGAGAAGCGCTGTTAAGAAAAGACTCCGTCTAGCTCATGTGCGAGGAATAAAGCGGCGTTGAGATAGGATCCTTCCCCTTCCTGCTTGCTCACAACTCCCCCACCACCATGTCCACCGTCGCCAATAGGCTCATCTCAAGCATGATTGGTGCAGTGTTTCTGCTCTCGCTCTGCATTTCGATGCTCACCTTTTCGGTCTCGGCGTCCGAGGAGCTCGGACCTCATCAGGACCACCGTCTCGAAAGCTGGAACAGCGGCGACTCGATGATGCGTCGTACTACAAAGGCCCATCGTCCAGTCTTCGACCGCTGGAGCAACTGCCCTCACGGCTGTCCCTTCAGCATGGATATGATGCAGGGCGAGGTCGATCAGCACACAATCGAGGATCACGAGATAGAAGGAAACGATGTGAACTCTGGCGTGTGAGTAGCAGACACCCTGTTTGTCTACCCTTGCCTAAGTGAGCCGAGGCTGACCACCTCATGACAGTGTCTTCGTCGTAGCTGGCCGCGGCGTAAGCTATAAAAACTTCGCACCCGATCACAATGGCGCCAAGGCGTGGGGCAAAGTGAGCAAGGCCGACAAAAAAAAAGAGACGAACGCCTGCACTGACATCAGTCTACTACAGGCATGCAAGCAAGCCGTTTACGAGGCCTACTCGAGGAAACCCTTTCGGCTCGACAGTAGGCGCGACTACCTCTCCACCTACAACACGGGGTGGGTGTCTGGCTTTTATCTACTACGAGCGCCCAGACTAACTGTAAAGGATGCTCAAGATGCATTCAGTCGATGTGCACAACGACGACTGGTGTGCTGCTTGGCTCCTGCACCCTCATCTCCGTCGACGCTGGAACACTCAATAACGCAAAGAACGTGGAGACAGGTTTCGACCTCAGCCACCTGGTCAGTCTTATCTACACATTTCTTGCCTCTTGCTTCGCCGGAGACATGCTTCTTCTAATGCATGTGCACTCTGTCCTCGCAGACTCTGAAGCGGATGAGGCACGTCAGCAGGATCATGTCGGTCAAAGACCTCTATACAGCGCCCCAACAACTGATGAAGGGCAAACGTTCAGTGACTGCCCCTGTGCTTTTCTCGAGTCTCAAGGAACACCCTTGACAGATCTAAAATTTCCTTTCTGCTCCCCTGACACTCCACACCCATCTTTTATGTTCCTCCTCCCCCTTCCTGGCCGTCTTTCCAAACATGTAGAGAGACACTTTATCCCTAAGTCGAGCCAATCACCACGAGCACGTCCTGCGCTCAATTCTTCACACATCTTCGTGAAGGTTGGATCAACCGTCTTGTGGAAAGAGTTGGCAGGGATATGCACTCAGGCAGGGCGCACTCAAACATGGTGCTCTCAAAAAAGCACGCAGATCGGAGGAAGGAACAAACAGGAGATTGAAGATGTGAAAATGCTGCCGAAATATATTTTGCGACGAGAGACACAGGCTTCAGCGCTTGAAGAGAGTGACGACGTCTGGACAAGAGGAGAGAGAGGATGGTAAGCACGTGCCGATGAGAAAAGTGCATGAAGGACTCACCTTCATCCATGAGGACGTGATCGAGGCCGACACGCTGTCCTCGCGGGTGCTTTGCCGAGGCACCATAGACCATGGCAATCTTGAACTGCTTTGCAATATCCTTGTGGATGGCGTTGGCAAAGTCGAGCACCGAGCTCCTGCCCTGCCTCAGCACCACCGGCTGGCTGTAGTCCGGCGGTGCCTTGTGAGGCTTGGTGTAGACGCGCACGAGCCTCAGCTCCTCCCACATCTTCTCCGTCAGCTCGTCGATGTTGAGCCACATCTTGGAGCTGATGGGCACCGACATGGGGATCTTGTACAGCAGGTCCAGCTCTTCGATGGAAATTGCGTCGATCTTGTTGAGGACGTAGATGCAGGGAATGTAGATGCGGTTGCCCTCGATGACGTCGATGAGGTCCTCGACGGTGGCATCGCACCGGAAGGCCACATCAGCATTCGAGATCTTGTACTCGTTGCACACCGCCCGCACGACGTCGTTGTCGATGTTGTTGAGCGGCACCGTGTTGGTCACGGTGACGCCGCCCTTGTCCTTCTTGCGTACGACAATGTTGGGTGGCGTCTTGTTGAGCCGGATCCCCACGCCCTCGAGTTCCTTTTCCAGCTTGGCCTTGTCGGCCAGCGGCTTGCACACGTCGAGGACCATAAAGATGAGGTTGCATGTTCGCGCCACCGCAATCACCTGCCGACCTCGACCCTTGCCGTCCTTTGCGCCTTCAATGATACCGGGCAAGTCAAGAATCTGCAACTTGGCGCCGTGGATATCCAGTGTACCGGGCACCGTCGTGAGCGTCGTGAACTCGTATGCGGCCGCCTCGGACGTCGTCCCTGTCAAGCCCGACATTCTACAGGACTCCAATTCTCAGCCCTTCCATACTGGCTCTCCAACAACGGGCAAGGCGACACTCACAATGTACTCTTTCCCACACTGGGAAACCCAATGAAGCCTACACTCGCAATGCCCGTCCGTGCCACATCGAAGCCCTGTCCCGGCCCGCTACCGCCCGACGTCGAGGGCGAGATGAGCTCGCGCTGGAGCTTGGCCAGCTTCGACCGCAGCTGGCCCAAGTGGTAGGACGTGGCCTTGTTCTTTTGCGTCTTGGCGATCTCATCCTCGATCTCCTTGATCTTTTGCACCGTCGTCATGGTGGGCCTGCCTTCCTCCTCGTCGGCGTCGTCTCGTTTCTGAAAGAGGAGAGAGAGGAAGAAGTTGGAAAACGAGGGCGGGCGCACTGTGACGACAAGCAAGGCTCGAAAAAATCGAACAAGGGCTGATTAGGTAAGCCAGTCTCCTCGTGACCTGAGCCGCCCCTCGACGCGTAGCGCACCCTGCTCGTTTAACCCGCAACCAACACCATGTCGAGACCATCGCACTACGGCGGCGGCGGTGGAGGCGGCGGAGGGCCCGCTTCGAGAATGTCAGTGCTTGGCGGCGGAGGTGGTGGTGGAGGAGGAGGTGCTGCAGGTCTACCTGTGGGCTCAGCGGCGAGGGTGGCCGCCAAGAGGCAGGAGCTCGAGGGTCTGAGGGCGCTCAAGGAGCAGAGCGCCCGGCTGGCAAAGGACGTCGACAGGCTCGGCGACAATGTCGACCAACTCGTCGGAGGAGGTGAAGGTGAGTCTGCCCACTCGTAGTACCTTACTGCTCTGCACGCTGCTAATAGAAAGAAATCGTCTTAAAAGCCGTCGCGGCCGTCATGACGAGCTGGCAGGGCGTCTTCCGTGCTATTCAAATTGCAAGGGGTGCGTTGTCCAGATCGAACCTCCTATCTAAGTGCTAAAGGTAGCAATTCACGCTGACATGTGCTGCAGCGTCTTCCACAATGATGTCTGGCAACGGCGAGGAGGGTCAGGAGGAGGAGGCCATGGCTGTTCGTCCGGTGCCCGAGACGCTCATCCGGCTGGCCGTGCCCCAAACTTCCGACTCGACGCCGTGACTTTGGCATTGTACTATGTAGTTCGCCCTCTGTATGACTCTTGCCCATGTATATCACTCCAGAATACCACCATTGCTCGCGGATCCCCCTCCTGTCTCTGAGGGTGACCCCGTCTGAGAAAACACGTGACCTGCACCGTCGCCGAAAAATACAGACGCGTCTGGGCTGCCCAACCAACACCAGTCAGTGTCTTTCCGTCTCACCGCCATCTACCAGGCTTATCTCATGGCCTTTTCCTCATCGGTGTCGTACGGCGTGCCGCCGGGCGCCTCGCTTGGAGGAGCGGCAGGTGGACCAATGGCGTCTGCTGGCTCGCAGGACAACAACTACTCATCGTTTCCCGCCGTCAAGATCGAGGAGCTGCTCAGCGTCCTGTCCGAGATTGGCCTCGTCGGCACGACGCACGACGACGTCGCCCGGCCGTCATACAGCTTCGTGCAGACGTGCCTGTATGCATTCGTCGAGTGTCTTTCCAATGCCAACGGGGACGCGCTCGAGCGGTGGCGCGGTGACCTGATTGCGGGTGCGGGCGAGAGCAGGGATATGTACGAGGAGGCGCTCAGCGTCGCCATCTTTTGTCGAGAGATGTGAGTTGGCTGTTGTCGTCGACGTCGAGTTTACGCTGACGTGACATGATCAGCCGAGCAATGATGATGGCAGCGACAATCAATGACTTTAGCGTGTCAGACCTCAACCGGCCCCAGGCGAAGCGGTTCAAGCGGCAGATGTCGGGCCTCGTCAACTTTTTCCGCTTCCGCACCGACCGCGAGGTCGAGTACGAGGACGTGGTGCACGAGAGCGAGGTGCTGTACGACGAGCGGGACGAGCTGTCGCGCTCGGTGCGCGAGCTCAAGGTGCAGGTCGAGCGGCGCGAGGCCGAGCACAAGGCGTCGCTCGCCGAGGCCGACGTCAAGCGGCGCGACAATGCCAAGCTCAAGGACACGCTCTACGAGCTGCGCCAGGAGCAGGACCGGCTCGTCGAGGAGGCAGACCGGGGCAAGACGCGGCAGGCGGACCTGGTCAAGCGCCAGACCGAGATCACGTACCGGATGCGCCTCATCGACGAGGAGCTCGACAGCCTCAACATGCGCGTTCAGTACAGCCCGCAGGACCTGCACAGCATGATCCACGAACTCGACGGCCAGCACGGCGCAAAGGCACAGGCGCTGGCCGAGGAAGAGGCCAAGGGCGCCAGTCTGGCCGAGCGCATCGCCGTTCTCTCGCAGCTCGAGGCGGTGAGTTTCCTTCTCGAATTCTGCTCTCCTTTGCTTCTTTTCCCTGGTCTGGCCTCTCCTGCCTTCCCTGGCTTGGCTGACTGGCTCGCCTTTGCTGATGAAATTCTTTCGCAAACAGAAAGCAAGCAAATGCAGCCAGGACATGAACGTCGTCCTTGAGGACCTGGCGCGGATCTCGGCTGAGGAGCGCGAGCTCGACGAGCAGCAGCGCCGGCTCGAGGCCGAGCTGCGGGAGCGCAACGAGCGGGTGCAGCGGCGCCACGAGCTTGAGTCGCAGACGCGGTTTGGACGTGAGCGTCTGGCGCGCATCGAAGCCAGCCACGAGGAGCGGCGGGCCGACGAGGCCAAACGGGCGCGCGCCGACGAGGAGGCACTGCGCACCATGGACGAGGAGCGGGCGCAGCGCGAGGCACGGGCCGACGAGATGCGCCAGGAGACGCAGCGCCTCGCCGACGAATATGCGCAGCAGCGCGACGCATTCGACGCCGTCTGCGCCCGCTTCAAGCGCGACAAGGCCCGCCTCGACGCCGTCTGCCGTGAGTTGTCTCTCTGCTTTCCCCTCCTCATCCCTGCGCTCACACAAGAGGCAAACACACACAGGAGACTATATTACATCGGTTTCGCAGCGACTGGAAATCTAAGGGCAGAGGTGTGGTGGCAGTGTACATGCGTGTTCTCTCTCTCTCTCGTTCTCTGTAGCATTAGTCATACCCTCTCAATTCAGCGTCCGGGCGCCCCGCGTGGGCCCTGTGTTGCGATAGTCGCCGTTGGCCTGTGCGTGGAGATGGGCCCGTGCTGGCCCGCGCGGCGCACCGACGGGAAAGGATGCGCCTGCAGAGGGCCCGTGGGGCGCAGACGGCGGCGGACGCGGGCCGCGGGAGTGATGGAACGGCGCACCTCGACCAGCAGGGCCACGCCACGGTCCGGCATTGGCGTACTGCACCGGCGGTGGCGGTGCGCCATGGTAGTGTGGATTGTAGTGCGCGGGAGGGAAGCCGGGATGCGGCGGGGGGAAGCCAAAGAGAGGCCGAGGGAAGCCATAGGGCCCGGGAGTGGGACTGGGACCGTACGCCAGGTGGTGCTGCTGCTGCTGCTGATGCTGCTGCTGCTGCTGCAGTGGCGGTGGCGGGCGGCGACTGCCGTGCGACCGCGCATAGGGCGAGCCCCTGCGAGGGCCCGAGGGCGCCACGATGCGCCGGGGCGTACTGCCGCTGCCGACGATGCTGCTGCGCGGCGCATCGACGGTGTCGGCGCGCGCCAGCCGGTCGAGGAGCGCAACGACGTCGTCGCGGCTCACATCGGGGCCCGAGGGCATGTCCTCGGGATGGACATGGAGGATGCGACGGAAGCCCTCGGCGTGCGTGGGCGGGCGCATGTCGCGCTGGAAGCGGGACAGGACGCTGCAGTGGCCCACGTTAGCATTTTCATCAAATAAATGCAGCTGGTCTACCCACTCGAGCGCACGCTGCGGGTCCTTGAGCGTCTCGTGGTCCTTGCGCAGCAATAGCCGTTCTCGGCAGATCTGTGCACGACGGGCGACAATCCACGCATGTCAGCTACCATGCTGCTGTAGGCGAAAGAAGAAAACCCACCTCGTACGGCGTGTCGAACATCATCGCCTCTGCATCGACGCCAAACTGGTCGGCCATGTCGACCCACGGCTTGCGGTGGCCCTCGTCGATGTTTGTCCGGTCAATCACGGCGACCTTGTCCGCAAATGCGCGTGGCTCGGCTGCTTGTGTCGAGGTGCCCGGCTCACTGCCGTCTCGCACGCTGTCGACCCGCGAGCGCAGGGCAGCCTCGGCGGCCAGCTGCACCTTTTGCCGCGAGCCCAGCTCGTCCTGGTTGCAGCGCACGTAGCGTGGAAAGTGGGTCTGGAGCGCGCGTGCAAACGACGACTTGCCGCTGCCCACGAGGCCGCAGAGGACAATGACGCGCCTTCCCCGCCGCGCTTGTGCTGAGCCTGTGTCTTTCTCTTCTTCCTGATCCCCCTCCCCTTTCTGCACCTGCTCCTGTTGCTCTTTCTTCTCCTCGTCGTCCTTGTCTTCGTCGCTGTTGCCGTGGCCGTTCACTGCGACGATGTACGTCTCTTTGCCGAGGGCAATTTCGCCATTGGTGGATCCGTCGCCTTCACCGACGACCTCCCTATCCGGTGTTAATCCCTCGTGGCTGTCCGTCATCCTGGCTTCTTCCTTCGCCCAAGCAAGCAAGCCAGAGGAAGGGGAGGGGATGGATGGGACGAAGAGGGGGCAGTTTTTTGTGCGTTTTGTTCTTCCTGTTTTCCCATTGAACAATTTTGTTTCGCGCCATCCATTGTTCGACTGCCCGACTTCCGAGAGACAAAAGAAGAGAGAGGACACACGTGGAAATTTTTCGTCGCCTCGTCGCCTCACTCCTTCGACATTTCCAACAGGCATCGACGACGGCCACGACTCTGCCGAAGTAGGACGAAGAGACAGCGGCCATGTCGGGACCATCGAGCCTTTTCAAGAGGGCGCTTCACACGACGAGGGCACTGGCTGACGAAGCCGGCGGCTCGTCTTTCCGACGGCGGCTCGGCGGGCAGTCCTCTTCAGCAGCCGCAACAGCAGCAGCTGCCGCTGCAGCGACTGCGACAGCATCGACGAGCACTCCTCGGCCGGCCCAGCCGCAATTCAAGAGATTCATCAAAGGACAGGTGAGTGTGCCCCGTCGTTGCCGACTGACGAAGACCCACAGAGACGAGAGCTAGGTCTGACCTCTCGGAGCAGTACTACTCCCCAAGCACCCTCAACCTCGAGAAGCTCTCGCCAGGAGCAGCCGAAGGAGCAGCCTCCAGACAGCGGAGACCCGCACCGCCCCTGCTGGGCCCGGGAGCAAAGGAGGCCCGCAAGGCAGACCCCTTGCACCAGCTCGGCCTCCGCCCCGGCCACCCGTCGCTGCACGACGACTCGTACAAGAACCCGGTGCTGCTGGCCAACTACGTCACGGAAATGGGCAAGATCCGGCCGCGCAACCTCACTGGGCTCACGCGCCGCAGCCAGCGCGAGATCGGCAAGGCCATTCGTCGCGCGAGGAGTATGGGCCTGATGCCCGTGCTGAGCAAAAAGGGCGTCGAGGGCTGGAAGGGCGAACGGTAGATGGTTTTCTAAGATAACAATGCCATGCTTCCTTGTAATTCAAATCACTGTCTCGGTCTCAAAATAATGCAGCTACTGCAGCTGCTGCTCTACTGCTCCTTTTCTGTTGATGAGGGTGTCACGGTGGACCCGAAACCCCCCGTGGAGCCAAAGCCGCCTGCTCCCCGCTCCGTCTCGTCGAGGCTCTGGCCCAGGGTGTTCAGCTATGCTGTGAAGTACTACTATTGACCAAGAGCAAACACGCCTTCTCACCTCGACGACAGACACCTCGGGCGTCTCAATGCGCTCGAGGACGAGCTGGGCAATGCGGTCGCCCTGGTTGACCTGGAAGTCGTTGTCGCCGAGGTTGAACAGCAGCACGCCGAGCAGGCCCCGGTAGTCGCTGTCAATGACGCCGGCACCGACGTCGATGCCGTGCTTGACAGCTGCACCATGTGAGGGAAGGAGAGAGAGATCAGTACTGGCATGGTGGCGCTGCACACGAGAAAGGAAGAGACCACTCACCCAAGCCGCTGCGGGGCGCGACTCGGCCATAGCAGCCGTTAGGGATGGCGAGCTTGAGGCCCGTCGCGACAATCTTGCGGGCCCCCTTGGCAATGACGACGTCCTCCGATGCGTACAGATCGTAGCCGGCCGCCGTGGCGCTGCCGCGCGTGGGCGCGCGTGCCGTGGGCGTGTCGAGACGCACGAGGAGCTGCGGGGGGGCCATCATGGCTGGTAGCGGTGCGGGCGTGGGCGGCGGGGCCGGCGAGGTGAAGCGCAACGATTTCTTGGGCGGGAGCACGGCAGTCGGCGAGAGTGGTCGGCCTGGCATGAACTGGTCGCTGCTTTTTCCTCTGGTGGTGCGGTTGGAAAGGTGAGGGTTCTGGGTGGCTTCTGTGCGAGCGGATGTGTGAGTCTTAAAAAAAAAGAATAGATGCGACGCGCCGGGGGCAAAGCGCGTCGTCTCCTGTCTCCGGTCGCGCTCATTAAATATAGAACACCCAGCCTGTGCTCGTTCCTGAACATGCAGAACCTCATCGCCTGCAAAGATATATCACGGAGCTCTGACTGTGCCTTGACACTATAGGACCATCAATGAGCTGACACAACTGCTCGATTCTTTGCTTTTTTTGTGTCTATCTCCACTCTTGAGCATGACCTGTGCGGTGCTCTCTGATGCCGTAAGTCAGTCAATGCCGCACCTGCCAATAGCAATTTCTTCGCCATTCGAAAGATGGGCTGGAGTTCTGCGATATGTCTGAAGCAGGGCGAAGAGGACAACAGAGCCGGCCCAGCTCTCTCAAACCTCTACTGCTCTTGCGCTGTAGAGGCTACTTCGGCCCGCGACCCCCGCCTGTGTTTGCGCGCGTGCACCTGCAACCCCGCCTTTCTCTAAATTTTCACCAAGTCCACCCTAGCCTGGCACTGACATTGTTTTCCGGGCCCGCTTGCTCTTCGGAGTCACCACCTCTGCTTCAAAGAGGAGAGACGCTTGAAAAAAGAGGGCCAAAACTGTGTGAGGGAGATCCCAGTCACGTGGCCTCCGTGGCGCTCGACGCCCTTGGGTTTCGAGCAACTTCGCGTCTGATGGCGAAACGGGCTGAGAAATAAAAAATAAATATGAATGACGGTGGTGGACAAAGCGCACAGCAATCCAAGGTCGGAGCGGCCAGACGGCGAGACTCTTCCAGCACTTTCTGCGCTGTGCGAGATGCTGAGCAGTGGTGCTGCGCAAGGGAGAGGGTGGGGGCACCTGTTGAAGGATAAAAGGCGGACATGACTGTCCCTTCTCTCGCTCTCTCCTTCCCTACCCATGCTCACACGCAACACAGTCAGGCAGGTCTCCAAGCACCTCCCAGCGACCAAGCAACTTCTTCGCAACAGCAGCAACATCCAGCACCTCGCACGAAGCCTCTCCGGCAGCACGGCATCCATGTCTCTCTTCCGCAACCACCTTGTCCACCCCTGGGACTTCCTACCCCTGCACCTGGGCAGCGTCCTGCACGACACCGACACTGCGTCGGACTCGTCCAAGGACTTCTTTAGTGCTCTTCGCAAGCCTGACTTCCTCCATGGCCCCCGCGTCGACATCGTCGAGGGCGCAGACGGCTTCCACCTCACCGCCGAGCTGCCGGGCGTCAAGAAGGAGGACGTCAACATCAACGTCGTCGACAAGGAGCGCCGTCTGACCATTTCCGGCACCATGCGTTCCGAGTACCACTCGGGCGGCAGCACCGAAGCTGCTCAAGCCACGACTACTACCGACCAGAGCACGGGCAGCAGTAGCAGCAGCAGCGGCAGCAGCAGCAAGAAGGCCGAAGACGGCAAGGCAAAGGCCTCGACTGACGTCGCCACCTCGACGTCGACGTCGACGACGCAGACGGCCGTGGCCCAGCACCGTCCCATCATCTCGGAGCGCACCTTTGGCAGCTTCTCGCGCACCTTTGTCCTTCCCGAGTCGGCCGACCTGGACAACATCAAGGCGCGCTTCCAGGACGGCCTGCTCAAGCTCAACGTGGCCAAGAAGGCCGCCGAAAAGCAGCGTCCCAGGGCCGTGGCCATCGAGGACGCGAGCGACTGAGAGGGCACTCAGTTCGGAGAAGAGGCTGCTCGAGCCATCGCCCTCTCCTCACCTCGTCTCACCACGCCACCTTTCACTTCTCCCTCCTCACTCCCCCCTTCCCCCTTCCACCTTCCCCCTTCCACCTTCCCCCTTCCCCCTTTTCGTGCTCATCGATATCACCATTGTACATGAACATCCATTCTTGACTCGAATCTAATCCACAAGTGTGGCCCCGTGCCTGACCCGTCTCATCGAACGTAGCGATGGAGGAAGCGTTTGTGAAACTCGGAGCCTGCCATGATTGATCAGAAGAGGATCCAGTCAGCTGCCAGTCACTTGAATTAGAAGACTCGCACAGCACACTCACGGGTAAGATCGTTGATGAAGCCGCTCTTGTCGCCACCGTCGTTGGCCGCCTGGTTCTTGAAGATGACATCGTCGTCCCACCGCCGCTTGACGCCAAAGTCGGCCTGGCCTCCCTTTCGGCCCATTGACCCGGCGCCACCTGCGCCTGCTCCCGCTCCACCCATGGCGTTTTCGAGGTTGAGCAGCGGATTGCCCAGTGCGATTTCGTCCTCGCGGTTGCTCTCCTCGACCTGCGCCCGCTCGCGCTCCAGCCTCGCCTTCTCCTCGGCCCGCTCGCGTTTGATCTTTTCCAGCTCCCGCATCAGCGCCGCCGTCTCGTCCTCTTCGTCATCGTCGTCGTCCGAGTCTGAGTCCGAGTCTGAGTCTGACCCAGAACCGGATGCACTGCGGATGGCTCCATGTCAGCGGGTGCTATCCTATCCTCATCCAACGATGAACTACTCGACCCACCTCTCCTTTGCCTTGCCCTTGCCTGCCGCTCCGTTCGCTTTGGCTGGAGGCCCATCGTCGTCGTCGTCGTCGTCGTCGTCGTCGTCATCTTCCGCCTCTGCTTCCTGGAGAAGCCTCCTCCTCTTTGCGTCCTCCTCTTCCTCCTCAACCCCCGCACCCTCGCTTGCTCTAATCTCCTTGGCATCCTCGTCCTCGTCTTCGAGTGGCGCCAGCCCCTGCGCTTTCCGATTTTTGTTGATGCTCACTCTCTCGGCCGCCTCGAGCTCCTTCCTGAGGTCCCTCCTCGCCAGCACATCGCCGCTCTTCGCCTCGGCCGCCTGTGGATTGACCTGCTGCTGGGGCGCGCGGAACTTGAGCTTGGTGTGCGCAGGCATCTGCTGCGACGAGAAGCGCTGCGAGCGGTGCCGGTCATCGGCCCGGCCCTGCGCCGGGTCCCATGTGGGCCTGTGAGCAGATGACATGGCTGCGTCTGCTACCTGCTACCTATGTTGTTCCAGAACGAAGGCTGTTCGACAATCCTGACGGCGGTGTGCGCCTTGCCTTCTGGAGATGGAAATTCACCACGTGGGTTGACATTTATTTCTCATTCTCGTCGCTCCTTCGTCCTTTTTTTTTTTCTTCCCCAAACGACCCCTTATCGAACGACCTGTACACCGCTGCATTAGTATCACCTTGAAGCCAACTTCTCCTTTCTCAATCACACCAGTCTCGGACAGCATCAGCTACGAAACCCACAGCACCAGCACGAACAAGCCAAAATGTCTCCCGTCACCACCATGTCCTTTTCGAACAAGCGCGCCGACCGTATCCTGTCGGCAGCCACAAACGAGGCCGTCCGTTCGGAGCAGCGGTCCCGCCATGGGTGAGAGAGACTTCCTTAACCTATTGTCCTGCTTGCTCTTACAGTCCAGCTAATGCATGGCGCGATGTGGTATTCACAGCGCAATCATCACAAAGGGCGGCAAGATCCTCGCCGCAGGCCACAACCACATCCGTCCCGGCTTCTCGGGCCCGCTGGCCAATGCGCAGAACATGGTCAAGCTCTTTGAGGCGCACGGCGACCCGCCGCCCACGTCGCGGCGGCCGCCGAACCGGGGCAGCCATGTGCACGCGCAGCACTGCTTCTCCATGCACGCCGAGATGCACGCCATCACGTCGGCGCTCAACGGCGCCAAGCCGAGCATGACCAAGTCCAACTTTGACTTTGGCGGAGCGCTGGCCCCGCTCCAGAGAGACCACGGTGCTGCTTCTTCTTCTTCTTCTTCCGCGTCTGCCGGCAAGTCTGCTGCTGCTGCTGCTGCTGCTTCTTCCTCTGCGTCTGCTACTGCTGCCTCCTCCTCGTCGCCCGCCGAAGACGGTGCGGCGGCGTCGACGGCGGCGGCGGCAGCGGGTATGGGGCCAACGGCAGCAGCGATGGCGGCGACGACGACGGCAGGAGACGAAAGCAGCACTAAGGTAGGGGAGCGGGGCGTTCAACAACAACAACAGCGTCTTCGGCGGAACCGGCAGCGGCAACGGCAGCGGCATGGCGACGTGAACACTGCTTCTGCTTCTGCTTCTGCTGCCCCTGCTGCTGCCCCTGCTGTTGCTCAGACGAGCAGCCGGACTTGCTTCTTGGCTGCGCCCTTTGAGTCGTTGGTTCGACCCCGCGACCGAAGGGCACGTCCGCTACGACGACGACGCCAGGCAGACACAGGCCAGTGCGCAGCAGCAGGGGCAGCAGCAGGGGCAAGGACAGCAGCAGCAGGGGCATGGAGCAGGACAAGGACAGGTGGTGCAGCAGCAGCGGCAGGTACAGCAAGACGAGCGGTCGCGGCTGCATAAGGCCTCGAAGAAGCTCCTGGGCGACAAGGGCCGGGTGAATGTCAAGCTGCGCAGGGAGCGCGAGCGGCAGCGCGGCCTCGAGCTCAAGCAGCAGCGGCTTGCCCAGCAGCTGCAGCTGGCCAGGCTCGCTGCGTCGTCGCCGGCGAGGTCTGCAAGCTCGCCTGGCTCGGGCGCCTCGTCGGAGAGCGACGAGTCGCCAGCAGCGGCCGCGGCCGCAGCAGCAACGTCGCGCAGGCGTGCGCGGGAGCAGAAGTCGCAGGCAGCCAGCCTTCTTGCGACGCCGAACCCGAATCTCAGTGTCCCTCGCCCTGGCAGTGGCAGAAGGATGCACCAGCGCGGAGGCGCGAGCGGCGGCGGCGGCGGTGGAGGAGGAGGAGGAGGAGGAGCTGGCAGCGGCGGTGCTTCGCTGCAGAACGGCGAGGTGGCAAAGGACTCGAAGCTGCGGGGCGCCGACATCTACTGCGTCCGCCTCCTCTTCAACAAGGCTCCTTCCACGTCGGCACGCAAAGACAGCGACGGCGACGGCGACGAAGCGTCATCGCGCTTCCGGTACGCCGACTCGCGGCCCTGCTGGCGCTGCCTGAGCTGGTGCCAGTGGGCCGGCATCCGCCGCTGCTTCTGGACAAACGCCCAGGGCCAGTGGGAGTGTGGCAAGGTCTCCGATCTCATCCGTGGCATCATCGAGGGCGACGTCGGCGGCGGAAGTGGCGGCGGCGACGAGGCGCAGGAGCACGAGGGTGTCTTTGTCACGCGGTGCGAGATGGCCAGCTTCCGGGGAATGATGGATTGAGTGCTCTAGCTCTACTTGACAATTGTACAAATACATGTGGCTTCTTTTCTGTTTTGCAAAGACAGCATCACGCCTGAAACTTGCGCTTCGTCGCCAGCTCGTTGAGCAGGCTCTCGAGCTGCTGGTCGTCCTTTGCGCCGAGGCTGGGAGAGAGACAGTGGGTCAGCCTAGGGCAGCAGTGGGGGCAGAGAGAGAGAGAGAGAGAGACGCACGTTGGGATGAGAACCTTTGCCTCCTCGACGGACTCGATGCTCAGGTTCGCCAGCTGGGCCATTTCGAACCGGGTCAGCATCAGGCGCGACTCGTCGGCCGGCAGCACGTTTCCCTCCTCGTCGTACTGCTCAAAGTAGCCGTACTCGTCGAGCTCCCTTACGGCGAATGCAGAGCGTCAGCGTGCTGAGCAACAGATACAGCAAGACAAAGAGAAGTAGGACACCCACTTTCGTGCGCTCCGGGCTACCTCTTCGTCACGGTACTTGCTAAACATGTCTACGTATTCGTAGCACTTTTTAAATGTCCTGTTGCCCCGCCCGAATGTCAGTCTCAACATATAAATAGCATTCTAGAGAGAAAAAAGAAGCACCCACGGCATCGTGTTGGGGTCGCGGTTGCCCGGCTCCTCGGACTTGTCGCCCTCGGCGGCGCGCTGCATGAGGAGGCGCACCTCGCTGAGCATGAGCGCGCCGCCGCCCTCGCGCGCCAGCTGCTCCTCGTTGAACTCGGGCCCGAGGCGGCCGAGCGTCGCGTCAGCATCCTCTTCGCGCCTGTCGCGTCGCCGTCGCTGCCCTAGCCTGGATGTCATCGTCGGTGAAGTTCAGGAAAGAGAAGAGCAAGAGACGACGACGGCTGCAACGAAGGCAGGCGAAAGTCGAAAAAGTGAGACGGACAAGAGCGCGCCCACGTGGCATTTTAGCTACTTTCCCCATTTCCCCCCTCGCACGCACAACATGCAGTGTAAGAAAGCAGCAGTCAGAAGATCACAGGACGATGCAGCTCGCCCTCTGGTTGCCGCTGCTCGCCCCGCTGTTCCTCGTCCTTGTGCCGCGTGCGCTGGAGCAGCTGAGGATGCAGATGAGCATCAGCGGCACGTACGACGTGCTCCTCGTCCCGCTCGCGCTGCCACGCGACGAGGTGCTGGACCTGCTCCGTGCCGCGCCCATTACTGGCCTGCAGCTGCAGACGCCGCCATCGTCCAGTCATGGAGACAGCGGCGCCGACACGCACCCGGTCCTGCTCCAGCTCGGCTATCAGCTTGGAACGGGCCCCGGTCCGGGCTGGCTGCCCAAGCCAAGCTTCAGCGAGGCCAAGCTCGAGGTGCCCTTTGTCTCACACCCAGCCTCGCCGCCGTCGTCTTCCTCTGGGCCCTTTTCGTACAAGCACACCATGTGAGAGCGTGCCTCTTTACTTCTTCCTTCTTCTGAATAATAAGACTGACATGTGGAGACAGCCTCATGTCGAACCGGCTTCTTGCGCTGGCGAGCCAGCACACGGCGGGCCTCAAGACGCACCACGCCGACTTTGCGCCGGCCAGCTCGCCCGCGATCTTCCCCCGGGATGCCCCCACAATTGCGTACCGTGCCGGTGGCTACATCGATGCCCAAGCGACGCGGCGGCAGGAAGAGGACAGCAAAAGCAAGGATTTGGGATGGCCTGCGACGAGGGAGATGGTCGAGATGCAGTGGTTCGGCCAGGGCACCGGCGACGTAGTGACCCGGGTGAGTGCGATAGGGATTGTGTAACGATACTCTCTGCTGAGATGATCTGATCCACTCGATTGGCCAGTTTGAATTTGACTTCGACAAGGCAGACATCGCACCCCAGCCGTACCTCGTCGACGTCGAGCTGGACCTGGGCCTGTTCAAGGGTCAAGCTAGTGGCACTACGATCAAGCTGCCGTCCCAGCCCGGATGGCGGGTCAAGGCCAAGCTGAGATCGAGTGCAACCAAAGTGAGCTGAGAAAGAAGCCAAGGATGAATGATAAGATTTTGATGTATGGCACAAAGCGCTCTCGTTAATCGTACACGTCTCGTCTACATGAAGTCCCCCGTGGAAGAGAAAAAGTGAAGAAAGTGTCAAGGCTGGAAGAGTGTGAGGCATGCACACTATGCCCACCGGCCGAGGAGGGCCATGATGCCCGCGCCAGCGAGCATCTCGACGACGTTGAGGAGCACCTTTGCCAGCGGGGCCGTGCGCATCTTTTCGTTGAAAATGAACTCGTGGGCAAGGAGCTCGACGAAGCCCGTGTAGAGGAGGATGCCGGCCGAGAAGGCGTCAAAGATGCCCGTGACATAGGCAGCGGTGGCCGAGTCGCCGTTGTAGGTGTTGCGCACGCCGAGGCCAATGGCCATGCCGATGGGCGTCACGAGGGCGTAGGCAATCGCGCCGATGAAGGGAATCTTGCTGCCGGGAGCCAGGGGCAGCAGCGCCAGACGCGAGCCCAGACCAAGACCCTCGAACATCTGGTGGAAGATGATGACGATGAACAGGATCTTGAACTCGTCCTGTGTCGTGCCAAGCGTAATGCCAATGATGACCGAGTGGAAGATGACACCGAATTCGAGGACACCGACACCGAGAATCTGCGACGCGGCGGCCGAGAGACCCTGCTGGTCCTTGTCCAGCTGCGCGACGGCCTCAAGGTCGGTGCTGTCCTTGTCCTTTGCGGCCGCGTCCTTAGGCGCATCGTCCGACGCCGTTTCGTCGTTGGTTCGCGCCATGCTGCCGCGGGGCGGATTGCCGTGCTCGGCTGCGTGGTGGTGGCCACCCATGTGCGGGTCGTACGCCAGCGACTTTGCCAGGTTGGCGCCGACACGGAAGGCGACGAGCTCGACGACAAATGTGGCAAAGGAAGAGATCATGGCAAATGCAAACGCAAAGTCGTAGTTTTGGAAGCTCTCGCTGAGGCACGGGCTGCCCAGCTCTTCGTCGCTCGCCGCGGGGGCGAGGAGGTGGATAAAGGCCGTGGCAATAATGACGCCCGAGCCAAAGAACTTGCAGAAGTCAAATGCCCACGGCGGAATGGCCATTCGGGTCCGGCGCGTGACGACGGGAAAGAGCGTCATGAATGCCGAGCTGGCCATGATGATAAAGAGAGCGCCGACACGCTGTGGGGGCAGTCAGCAACACCATCTTTGCCGGCAACAAGACGCCGAGACTCACCAGGCCGACGCTGCCGAATTCGGGGTCCCATGCGTCAATGGCGCCAGAACACTGGGGCGCATCTGCGTCTGCCATTGTAGACCGAGTCTGAAACTGAGATTGGATCTGGATCTGGACTTCAATCTAGTCTGTTGTTATGGTCCGGCTCAAGGAGCAGGCTCAAGGAAGACGGAGGAGAGCGATAGAACGGAAAGATATGGGAGGTGGTCTCGTTGCGGTCCGGAGACGGTCGAGACGGCCTGCCTGCCTATCTTTATACCAGCAGCCGTGAATCTCGGGGCGAAGTTGGAGCAAGAAAGAGCCAAGAAAGAGGAAATCTCGAGGGGCTTGCTCTATGGCTCGGTGCCTGGACTCTGCAGCGTTGCAACTATCACTTGAGATGCATTAATTGGCAAGGCAAAAAGCAGCGAAGCCCGCTCCATTCCCCTCCAGAGGATTTCCGACAGAGGAGGTAGCACGAAGACGCAAAAGTTTTTCTTTTTTTTCCTATCCTTCGAGTACCCTTCCAGTCGCTGTGTGTAAAAGGAAAATCCGGATCGTGATTTAGAATAAGGCTTCCGACGTACGGGCGGACGCTCCTCGCCACTCTGTTCTCCACTGCCTCGGTTCGGAGCCTAGGCGCAGTGGCAGCGTGCTGCTTGATTATTGTCCTTGCTGTGTATTTCTGGTGGCACTGCTTCGATTCGATGGGATCGAGTAGAGCAGTGACTGCATCCGGCTGCTCCCACCTCTAGCCCTCGTCGCATCCGCTATTGCAAATAGAATATAGTAGTGCAAGGGCATACATAGTTCTGCCGCGCGTCTGGGACCGGTAGGGTACTCAATTTTCTGCTTTTTCCCCCTCTCACTTATTTGCCAACTTTTTGTTTTTATTTTCTCTCTCGTCCAGACTAATGAAATCCTTCTGATAGGTCTATCGAGAGTGTGTCGCCCCGTCCTGCCTCGGATCGGATGTCGCACCTTCTCTTTGTGTGGCTGGTGGGAAAAAGCGAAGGACAAACAAGCCGAGCTCTAGCTCATAGCTAGCGTAGTAGTAAGATAGAGTAGAATAGTGCTCCGGGAGCCGATGCGCCGCCGCTGCGCTATTGCTGCCTACGGTGCCGAGCCTATCTATCGCGGTACGGCACTCGCATAGTGCTAACGGGCTCAATTGAGCTGATCTGAATGCACATGTGACAAGCTTTTTGTGATGTGTGGACGCACGTAGGAATTGAATCGCACAAGCAGTCTGCAGGAACACTGTCTTGCCTCATCGGGACTCGCCGTTGCTAGTGTCGGTGTCTCTATCAGTACGTATGTGGTGAAGCCGAGGCAGCGGAGAAGCAGACGCCGGTACCGCATGGGTAGCACGTACAGAAAGGCTTGGGTTTGCCAGCACGGTGTGCTGACCGACAAGGTATTCCTCTTAAGCGGGTCACATGTGCTCTTGGCGTGACGACGACCCGTCTGGCCTCAGCAGCTTCTTGCAGTTCTCTAGCCTTGGCCACGAGGAGACTCGATGCGGTGGTACTCCTTCGCTGTGTTCACGGCTTGCGCCAGCGGCACGCACGCCTCGAACTTGATCTTTATCCCTGCACCAGCAAGTATTGCCGCTTGGTCACCATATGGCCGACTCTACGGCCGACGGTGGCATACGCGCCCGCTGTCGGCCGACAGGCGCACGGACCGGCCGCATGACAGACTCGTTTGGAACCTAGGCGTCGGACCGAGGAGATCGTATAAAGGCTGCGTTCGTAGAAGCAGGCTGAAGTCAGTGTATCACGATGGCGCAGCAGGGCTGGCAAAAGGTGACAATAGCCAGCGCTCCCAAAGCCAAGATCAATGCGTTCCTCTCTGCCGCAGAAGAGGAGGCCGATGCGCTCGTCGTCTTTCTCAACGGGTTGATGTTGCCTGCCAGGGGCTGGCAGGCCGTCCTTGACGGTGTGACAGATCGCGAGCGCTTCTCCACTCGGCGCCTTCACGCTCTGGCCTACGACCGCTTCGGCCAGGGCGAGTCAGACCCGGACCCAGAGGGAGGCCACACTGCAGACGTCGTCGTGCGCCAGCTCCGTGAGCTCCTTGAACAGGTCGCCCTGCCGGCCTTCTTTCCCGGCCGCTCGAGCATTGATGAATGTCCGATAATCCTCGTCAGCAAGTGAGACCGTGCTCTGAGACATGTAGCAAGTGGCCATTGACTGAGGCAGATTTGAAAGCTCCATCGGGGGCGCCACAACGAGGCTGTACGCGGCTGCATACCCACTTGCCAGGATTGAGGCGGTGTTATTCCTCGACAGCATCATCGCTTCGACCGACTTTGTCTCCATCTTCAGCCCCGCCGTCGAGCCAGAGGAAGAGAGGGAAGACTTAGCCAAGGCGCGCGAGGTGGTCCAAAGGATTTTCCACCCCAGCGTGCCCAACGCCGAAAAATTCGACCGAACCACGCTTGCAGGCCTCTTGCCGCTCGACGACGGCCCGCCGTTGCCCTCGAAGCCGTTTGTGACGGTCGTCGGCCACGACTTTGATGTTTTTGCGCGAGATTCCGAAGAGGTGCAGTATTCGCAACGCTGGCCCATGGTTGGCTCCGGTCCTGACCTTTGCTTTTCCTTGCAGAAACTTGGAACTCCGGTAGCAATCACGGACAAGTACATGAACAGGCGCTGGAACGAGGTGCGGACCATAAAATTTACAGGAAACCAGTAGAGAAGATATGACTGACCTATCACCCAATTCATTACAAAGTACAACGTCGGTCTTACGAAGCTCACGACGCCCGATCGAGCCCGGGGACCCATCATCGCCCAGGGCGCAGACCACTTCATTCAACGCGCACGGCCAGATCTCGTCGTCGACGAGCTCGCCAAGCTGTGTGCGCGCATCACTAGCCTCGCCTAGCCATAGCTTATGCTGAGGCCCCGTTGCTTGACAAAGTCGTGCCAGTCGACAGTGTGCCCTGTCTCGTCTGTGGTCTTCCAAAGCTCCCGGATGGCCTCTACGTTGTTGCGCGTCATGCGGCTGCCGAGAAGAATTGAATCAGTGTCTGTCCCATGAATGTGCCCCCTTGAGCGACACTTGATGTTCGCACTCACTCGTTTCCCATGTTCTCGAGCTTGTCCATGCAAAAGACTCGATCCTCTGCCCTCAGGCATACGGTGCAGGCCAAGATCCACACGGCCGCCATCTCGCCCGTGTCCACGTCGAGTTTCAGGTCGATTCCTGGTCTGCCCCGGCTGGTGATTCCTACTGCTTCCCGCGGCCGTTGTTGTTGCTTGGTGACCGTGGAGGGATGATCGTCCCCGCCCGACATTCCCGCGAGAGGCGGCGTGGACGGTGGCTCGGGAGGGATAAGGCGGCAGAGGTCGAGGATCTCTTCGAGGCACTTTCGAATCACTGGCGATGTCGGCCCGTACCGGAAGACGGCCTGGTAGAGGTGGATGAGACAAGCCTGGCGGAGCATCTGGTTCATCATGTGCACACGCATGCCTGCCACGCCGCCCTCGACAACGGGTGCCAGCGCATTGCTTTTCTGTTGCGGGTGCGGTCGTTGGTATGGGTTAGCAATGAGGGCGCCGAAAAGAAAAGAGAAAAGCGAGATGAGAAGATGATTGCTCACTCTAAGGAGTCGCTCGATATGCTGGGCCTCGGCTCTGTTCAGAGGCTTGCCCTCCTCAATGTCCGCGCCCAGCTCCGAGGCTGCCTTGAAGCAGAGGACGAGAGGTGCAGTGACGCACGTCGGCTCAAAGTAGTCGAAATCCTCCTCCTCATGGCCCTCCCAAGGCCTCCTGGGCGAGCGCTGGCCCCTGCCACCGCTCAGCTCCACCATCTCGTCCTCGCCCAACGAGGCAATCGTGCCTGGAATCGGGCTCCGGGCTCGGCCCTGCCCGACCTGGTGTGCGATGGTCGTGTATGCGAGCGAGAGGACGAGAATTGTGGTGATGGAGCCCCTCTTGTGGGCACGGAGGAGGAGTCTAGTGTCGATGTCGAGCATCTCGAGCTGAATAGACGGGTCGTTGTTAATGAGTGACTCGCACTTGCACGGGGCCCGTAGATTATGCCAAAGCCTCACCTCCTTGACCATCTCGACGACCATGATGTCTCGAGGCATGTCGCAGTCGAGCGTTTGCTGCACGGCATGCCTCACCATATCAGTGTCTGACTGACCCGAAAAAGAAGAACAGTGCTCTGGCTCACAATGGCTGCATGGATATTGCTGAGTGAAAACGCCCGTTGCAAGAGCGTCAGCTGGCCCTGCTGCCGCTTGTACTCGTGATAGGCGTAGTGCAGCCACCGTTTGGCGGGATGGCGCTTTAGCTGATGAAGCTGCTTTCTCTGCTGTTGCTTCAACTGCTGTTTGCTGAGCTGCGTCTCATTGTCTTCAGATCCGACGGCGACATTGTCGCGGTCGTCATTATTGTCGTCGTCGTCATCATCATCATCGTGCAGAAGCGTGTCGCCGCTGATCTGCTGCAGGTATTTGAGCTGGCGGCCATTTCTCGCTCGCTCCTCGAGCAGCGTGTAGTGGAAGACCAGGCAGACTGCCACGGTGGCCGCGCGACAGGCGCGGCTTGACCGGCTCAGCTGATACAGTTCCTGTGTCGCGCGTTGCTGCACTGCCTCATCACGGATCTGCACAGACGCTTGCCAGAATCGCTCATCTGGGGAGCCATTGCGGATCAGTAAACGTCAGCGCCAGCGTGAAGCAGTGTCAGTGCACAAAACTCACAAAGTTTGCTGTACTTTTCCATGAGCTGATCCAGTTCGTCGGAGCCGACAACGTCCTCGTAGTGAGTGGTCAAAGACGTGCTTGCCCCGCTCTCTTGGGTGACCGCGCCGGCTGATGGAGCCTGTGATTGCGCAGTGGAAGGTAGATGCTGCTGCGGCTGTCGATGTTGCTCCACTCCTCGGGCGGGAAAGACACCGAGGAAGTCTGCTCCAATGCTTGCAGCGCCTCCCATCTCACTGGGGAAGAAGTGGCCAGAGAGATCCACAAAGTCTCTGAAGAAGTCGTCAAAGATCGATGACTCGACAAACGCAGGAGGAGGTCCTTCTTGTTGATGTGGCAGGACTACCGGACAAGGAGGATTGGAGCTATGGGTAACGGGCTCATATGGCTCCTTGGCCGCCGCAAAGTGAGACTCGTTTGACCTTGAATGAGCTTGATCATAACTTGGCGTCACAGGTGCAGTCGAAGAGGAGTCATGAAAAGAACTCGGTGTCGTCGTCGTCGTAGCCACCGTTGCCGTGTTCAAAAAGGAATGACTAAAGGGCGGAGAAGACGACGTCGATGCCGAAGAAGACGATGAACCAGCATTCCTTTGCTGGGAAGAGGACTTTGTTTTCCCAAAATGCGCTTGTTGCCTTTGGTTCTGTTCTTGATGTGATTGCACCTGCGCCCAGTACTGTTGCGGTTGCTCCATCGTGGTGACATACGCGGGCGGTGGGAGGCTCGCGGGAGGAAGAAAGCTGGAGCCAGCAGCGGGCATGTGGCAGACCTCGCCTCGCTGGTGGCAGACCGAGCAGGCCTGAGTGCCGTCGGACCAGACGCGCACATCCTGTGAGAATGAACAAAGTTTGGCAAGCGTTCTAGCAAACATGTTTGAGTTTCCTCATTTACCTCGGGGCACTTCTTCCTGCGACGGCGGCAGGTCCTGTCAGGCAGCCTATGGTTGAGCAGGCGCGCGAATCGAAGGACTCTCTGGCCCTACTCACAGGCAGCCGTTCCTGGATCGCTGCTCTCCTAGTCGTCGCGCTCGCTTCCTCTCCCGTTCGGGCTCTCCGGGCTCTTCGCTTTCGTCCCATGACCCATCGTTGTTGATCATCGTGGGTCAAATGCGATGTTATGGGGGACAATGAAAATTGGGAGCAGAGGTGCACTGACAACGTTAGACTGTCCTTATATAGCAGCCTCTCGTGTCCTGCGCAGCATCACTGCTCTTCGACAGACACAGCCCTGGTTTAAGAGATTAACATCTGCAGCACCACTCAAACGACGAGATCTTGCCTTTGGCTAGTTTCGATAGAATAGGCAGGATAGGCAATCTGACGGGCAAAGACGCGATTCGCAATCGCGCGGCTAAATCGAACGGCACAAATTTTCATGGAGACTCTCTTCCGCATCGGTCTTTCCTAAAGATAGATGGCCGCCACAATGCACCTCTGTGAGCAGAGGTAGATGCTGTCGAGCGAGAGCTAAAGGCGAGGGTGTGCTCTTGGCTATTTCTACAGCGCAGCACGCCTGCTTCTCTCCCCCTTTTTGCAACGCCCTTCTGGAGAGACGTCCGAGATCAAGGAACCTTGGACCTAACCGGGGATCATTGCTGTGTCTTGCTGGGTTGGAAAATCGGCGCCACGTGGTTTCGGAGTCGATGCAGCTACCTGACGGTGGCTCAGGAACAATGGCAGCAGCATAAAAAGATATGACGTTATTCCAGCAGAGTGCCCGGTTCCACCTGTGATACAGGGGCTTTGGTATGCTGATGGGCACAAGAAGTCCGCTGTTCCCTTCCCGACCTCTGTCGGAGCGTTTCCTCCTCCAAGCAGAGGAGAGCTTTGGGAGCACGGACAAAAGTAAAAGCTAGGTGGTACGAAACACGACATCGAGGGCCTTTGGAGTCAGATCGAGGGGAAAGCAAGGTGTATTGCAGAAAGTTGAAGTGCTCCGACGCAGGGATTTTCTTTCCTACCAAAGTACATCGAGCCATACAAGCGCATGGAGCCTGATCGTGGGGTGATGTGGGTAGATGCCCTGGACGGAGTAGTAGTAATAGTAATGAAGAAAGAAGTTCGGGTGATTACAGTGCTCACACTCCGGGAAACCGTCGACGACATTGTTATATCTGTCCCAGACAGTTGAATTTAGCTTGCATGCATCGACAACATCCAATCTTAAAATGCTCGGCCTTGCTCTTGTATTTTATTTTCGGACGGCGCCTTCCCGCCTAAGAAAAAAAAGGACTTGTCAAACCGATGTGTCTGCTCTTTGTATGTGTGACCCCTCTTCTACTACCGCATTTGTTCTCAGCTCTCCACCTCCTAGACAACCCCCTATAGGTCGGTCTCTGCTTCGAAAAAAAAGGATCAGAACAGAAGAGACGCAGGTCGCCTCTCTTGTGATCCACAAAGCCCGTCCCTCACGCCTCGACAACGACAAAGTCCGGCTGTGTCGCACGAACGAACGACCAGTCGACGCCGAACGCCTAGAGCTTGAAGAAAGAGCAAGGCGATCCCGCCGAACGAATTCTCAAATTTGTCGCATAGACGTTCTGTCCCCGGTCGTCCCATCTCCGAAGCCCTGTCGGCGCGACCGTCCGTTCGTTGTTGCTTTGTCGATAAAAACTGCTCCTATCTTCGTCCCGCGAGAACGAGCAAGCACCCATCCGCTCCCATTACCAGTGGACTTTCTGCCACAAAGCGATATTTGGCATCCATCACCAGCGATATCCCCTGCACCATCCGCTAGCGACCAAAGGCATCATCGAGTAGGACCTCTGCGACACAGGGTTCAGCTTTACAGATGCTCACCGCTGCCGCCTTCGCCGTTGTGACGGCCTTGGCCTCGTCCTCATGGGCGCAGAGCGTGGCGCCGTCGATGAGCAAGGATGGGGCCTCCGGCGTATCGGGGATCCTCAGCCCTTCTTATGCAGGCATGGGCATAGAGCCGTCGAATCTGTTTTCATTCACGGGAACCAGCTCGAGCGGCAATGCATTTACCAATCAGCTCCTGACGAATCTCGGCCAGATGACGGGTATCCCGCCCCATATTCGCGTAGGAGGCAATTCGGCGGACCAGATGAAGTTCGACCAAGACTACAGCGGCTTCAATTTGGAGAACAATCCTAACCCCACAGGCCAGGGCTATGGCTATCAAACAGATCACTTCATCTTTGGGCCCAACTACTTTACCGCTCTCGACACACTGCCCAAGAGCACGCCTGTGACTGTCGGTATCAACATGGCCTACACCGGTAGCGACTATCTCCAGGAGGTCGTCAACCAGGCCGCAGCGGCCATGAACATGTCCAACGTCAACGTCGTCGGCCTTGAGATGGGCAACGAGCCCGACCTTTACAAGCAGCTCGGCTTTCGCTCGAGCGATTGGAGCACGACAGATTATGGAAACGAGTGGTATGAGCGGGTGCAGGCAGTGTACAATGCGACGCTCAAACAACACAATATCGGCACCGCCTTCTGGGAGGCACCCTGCACGGCGACGACGGCGGTCCACAACGACTACCGCATCTCCAACATGGTCAACACTGCCGTCGCCTCGGGCTCAGGAGTCTGGCTCGCTGGATGGAGCCAGCACGACTACTACTACTACGTCAACGTGAGCAACTATCAGCTCACCCTCGAATTGCTCCAGAACCTCGGCACGACTGAGAGCCAATTCGACGAATGGGCCAAGCAGGCGCAGCAGGCGAAGGTCACGGGCAAGCCCTACTACCTGCGCGAGATGGGGAGTGTCGGTCCCGAAGGCATCGAGGGCATCAGCGACACGTTTGGCAACACGCTCTGGACTTTTAACTTTTGTGAGTAACATCTCTGCGCATGTCTGCGGTCCTATGTGTTTCCAGCGTGCTGAGACGAAAACGCCCATCCTCCAGTCCTGTATGCTGCGACGGTCAACGTGGCATCCGTGCAGATGCACATGACGGACAATTCCTATTCTGCACCCTGGGAGCCAAACGAAAGCACCAACAGCGATGGCTCGAAGCGTGCTCCCTTTGTGCGATCCAGCTACGCGGCCTACGCGGCCATCAACCAGGTCATTGGCGCAAAGTGCGCGACGTCTGTCGCCCCGCTGACGGTCAACAACCCGCCTAGCGGCTACAGCAACTACATGCGCGCCTACTCGATCTACGATGGCGACAGCTTGTCGGGCGTGGCGCTGTTCAACACAAAGGTGGTGCGCCAGAGCGACGGCGGTGCCAGCACGCAAAACTTCCAGCTGAGCCTGCCCGGCGCGGCGGGCAAGACGGTGTACATCTCCACGCTCAACGCAGACTATGCCGACAGCACCCAGGGCACTACCTGGAACGGCGTCAGCTACGAGACGTCGGATGGCAAGCCGGCCACGACGGACTCGGCAGACCACACGGCCACTGTTGGCAGCGACGGGTCCGTCTCAATTCCTGTGCGCGACAGCCAGGCCGTCGTCGTCAACATTGGTTCCAAGCTGGGCACGACAAACAACAAGGTGGACTCCAAGGCTTGCAATACTCTGGCCTCCACGACAGCCGAGGGCGGAGCCTCGTCGACGACGGGCAGCAAGGGTACCGCACCCACATTCAAGTCCACGTCTGGCTTCGCCTCCAATCTCGCCCTGCCCCTGGGCGCCATCATCGGCATTGCCGCGGGCGGCGGGGCGGCCGTGCTTATCGTACTGGCCTTCTGCATCTGGTGCTGCGTACGCAGGCGTAGGAGAAGAATGGGTGCTGCCTACGTCGCCAAGGCCAATGGCAATGGCTACGGCAGAGGAGGTGCCCCAGGTGACAGCAAGGCGCGCTACGAAAGCGTCGACACGCACGACCCAGCCGGGGCTGGCGGTGACATTTGGATGAGACCCATGGATCGCAATGGCCGACCCGTGTACGATAACGCAGCCATCTTCCGCGACAGCGGCAAACGTGCCAGCGCAGCACCAGTGGGTGCAGGTGCGGCACGCGGCCAGAGCACAAGGCAGCAGGCCCGAAATTCACAGCCGCCCCCGCCCCGAAGTCGGTCACAGCCGAGGACTTCTGTCCGGCAGTCGGTGGCTGCTGACGGCGCCTACCCGCCGATGCCGCCACTGCCCGTTCCCCCCGCAATGCCGGCCGCAGAGCACAACGTCCAAGGCTCGCCCCGGGGGCCGTTCCGGGGCATGGGTGTGCCTGGCCAGCAAATTGATCCGCAGGGCTACTACTACGACGAACCTTCGTACGGCACGCCCAAGAGCGGCAGCTTCCCCGCTTCGCAGCGACACTCGTACGAAGTGGGGACCGGCTACGCCCTGTCGAGCTCGGACAGCCACGGCAGCGACGCATTCCAGCAGCAGCCCTTTGCCGGCCAGCACCCTCGATACGACAGCACAAACTCGAGCCTGAACTCCAAGCAACAGTACTAGAAACATCGACATCATCTACGAAACGGACTATTTTTCCCCACGCCTCCTTTATACACCTCTCTGTTTGTCTCATTCATCGGCCTCTTAGGCCCTCTCTTCCTGCTTTTGTACAACTTGTAGTACCCTTTGTCTGTCTTTCTCATTCTCCTTGCTTTGCTCGCCACACGCTTTGATAGGAACACTTGCTCGTTTTATCTACCCTCTTCCTCAATGCAATTGATTCTACATTGATTACTTGCTGTTCGACACCGGCTTGGCCGGGCTCACGGGCGATGACGCGGACATGGCCCTGGAGCGCTTGGCCATGAGCTTGTTTGGGTCGGCGCCCCTGCTGATGGCGCGCTCGATGCGTGCATCGAGCAACTCGTCGTGCTTGCTCGTGTTGCGCTCGAACCGCCTCTGTTCCTCCTCGTGGAAGTGCTGCAGGCCGACGGCTGCGGGCGGCCTCCTTGTGTCACTCAGCAGGAATGTGTAGAGAGAGATTCCGAACAAAGTGGCGGGGATGTTGGTCAGAGCGGCCAGGGCGCTGTATTTTGGCGGGAAGCACTCGGACGTCTTCCAGATGACGCCACAGGCGAAGCGGGCACCCAAGTCCCTGGCCGTGTTGGTCACGATGGTGCCCGTGGAGAAGCCCCAGACGGCGACGGCAAAGGCCAGGCCGATGGTGTACGGCGCCGAGACGGGGTTGACAAAGATGTTCTGCGAATCGAGCTGAGACCAAATGACCATGGCGATAAACTAGCGCAGCGGTGGATGGCGCGAGGTCAGTGCACTGCATTCCTATCGCACAGATGCCACCAAGGCTAGCGTGACTCACCATGTCGGCGAAGAACTCAGTTGCGAAAACCTGGCTCAGTGGTCGGCCCGGGTTCGGGAAGATGGCGATGATGCCGGCGGGGCCTTCTGGAGTGAAGATCTGGGCACGCTTGCCTCCAGCGATGAGTGCGGCACTGAAGGCGTCCATCTCGGCTTTGTACATGGCGTACACCATCAGGGCAGCGATAAAGCCACCGATGAGCTGCGCGAGTATGTAGAAGGGTGCCTTTCGGACCGGGAAACCCTTGAAGATGACCTGGGCAATTGTGATCTGCGTTGCGAATCGATCTGTCAGCCATGTTGCATCAAGCGCTTGCAAAACACAACTACTCACAGCAGGGTGGAAGTGGCCGCCAGAAGTGCTGGCGGCAACGACAATGGCAAACGTGATGCCGAGGGCGTAGGCAAATCCAATCATGGTCAGATTTCCCTGAGGATTGCCAGCAACCGTCGTAAGAAGTAGGGTAGCCGTGGCCGTCTCGCCGGCAATGCAGTAGAACCAGACTGCAACGGCGTAATTCTCAATTTTGTGTGTCTGCCATCTGCTCGGCCATGGCTTGCTCACCTCCCACAGCCTCGGCAAAGAGAGCACCGATCCAGTCGGGGCGATTCTGCTCCCACATATGACGGAGCTTGCTGTCGGCCAGACCGGAAGAGGGGACGACCTGGCGCTGGACATCGTTGCGACCCTCGGCAATCTCGGTCGCACCAAGCTCTGTAGGTGACGACAGCACGGCATTAGACAATGACAGACGACAGCTTGAGTCCAGGCAATGCTCTCACCAAGCTCGCCGGGGGTACGGTGGCGGCGCTGGAATTGATGGTGGTTCTGAGGCTCCTTCACATCGTCTGCGTCGTCGACACGGCCACCATCGTGGCTTTTGAGCTCGTCCGCGGTCAGGTAGGTAGGCATCGTTGGAGGTTCAAGAGAAAAGGAGATGCTAGGAAGGGGGATTATGGTGCCTGAGGGGGGATTGTGCGCTCTCTCCCCTTGATTTTAAGGTCGAGCTTTTGTTCTTCAAGCGTCAAGTGCTCAAGTAATCTTTACTTCCCCGCCCGGCCGCACCCCCGCCTCCCCGCGGTCCCCGCACTGGGGTGCCTGCGTCCTGCAGCCACACTCTGGGGGCAGCGAACAGGCCCGCTGCCTACGACGTAAGAACCTCGATTTTATCAAACCCCGCACTACTGGCGCCCCACCGGCGATGTTTATCCGTCAAGCTCTTCTATCGTCGACTTTTTCTATTCTTTTGCCAGGAGAAGATAAATTCTGGCTTTGTTGAACAAAACGTACGAGAACAACCCAAAAAAGGCAGCCTAGAGAACAAGATACTACTACTAGTGAACACAGCGTGTGGGGTAACAAAAAGAAAAGACTCAGATGCTTCTTCTGGGCTGTGCAGAGTAAGGAAAGGGAGAGCGCGGTAGCCCAAAGCCCTATTGGCGAAAGCACCGCTTGCGGCTTCTTTTATGTCTCCGAGCCGCCCACCGTCCCCCGGCAGGCCCTTTTGGTACTCAGCCATCCAATCAGCCACAGAGAGCGTGTAGTGCAGGCAGCATCGCCGCGGAGAAATAGGGGAAAAAAGGCGTGCGGAGTAACAAAGGAGTTGCCGAAACAAAAAATAAAAAAGGATGAAAAGAAAAGAGAGAAGAGGAACTGCAGCACCCAGGATTCCCGCGTGGTCCCCCACCGCAGTACTGACTAGGCGATACCGTGCTTAACTTCGCAGATCGGACGGGATGCGGTGAGCTTCAATCTGGCAAAATACACATTGCGGAATTGAGCACTCGATCATGCTCCAACATAGCCCTGTAGGCAGGCCACGTTGACCTGGAAGAACTTGCCAAATTGCAGCAAAGCGAATGGCAGCGTCCTTCTGTAGAGGTATCTGGCAACGCGAGGCATCCACTGACTGCGTCGTATGTCTCTCATTTCCTCAGATTGACCTAGGATTGAAGGAGCCTGTACTGTCGACTCACCCAAGACGTGGCTGGCGGCCCAGTGCACGTCGCGCCCATCTAGGCTTGGCTCAGAGACAAGAATGCCCAGGCTTGCCGGTCTAACGCACATGTTGCACCTCGTGATGCCTTCGTGGGTGCCGCGCCTTGTCCGGGTCAGATCGTTTCGAGGTCGAAACAGATAGCGAGCGACGGCTCGAGGGTTCAATCAGGTCTCGGCACGACCTGTTCCACTCTAATCCGCCCTCATTGGCTCTGGGGCAGCGGATCTCAGAGCAGCAAGTGCTGCAAGATCCATGGCGAGCACCCCTGTTAACGCTTTCACAGTCACTTTGCGGGTCATTGAGGAGTCCAGGATCCTAAACAAAAGTGACACCATGCCTGTCCAGGATGCGTTGAGCCTGTGCAGAGGCGCCAAGGGATCCCCGCAAAGAGGGGCAGTCGACAGCCTCTGCTTGTTTCAATTGGTCGTCTTAGTGGAGGGAAATCCCACGCTAGCACAGAACAGATTGAGTCATGACTGATTAATTACGTCCAATGAAAGTAGCACTTCTTCCAGAGCACGGGTGGACAGACCCGCTATATTGATCGTTTAGCTCATTAGCGCCGCCAGTCGCGATGAAACCACCCTCCGAGCATCTATTTGCTAAGGGTGGCATAGAATTCGAACCTTCTCTTGCCGCCGTAAAGTGTTCCATAGCGCCAATGTGTGCCCCAGAGTTTCCTTTTCTTCCGCTGGCGCTGCAGCTCTTGCAGCCCAGAGATCTACCGATTGATCGACCGTGCCATAATGGACTTCCCCGCTCTCAGCACAATGCGAGTAGCGGGCTGTTGAAACAGATGCCGTGCATGGCCCAAGGCTTGGTCTCACCTCACTCTCTCACCGTGAGGGGTTTCCTGACAGCCTAGTGGTGCAAGCAACGCCTATAAAACACCGCTGCCGACGTCTCGCCCCCCTCTCACAATCGTTTCGTTGCTCCCCAAATCCCCCTTCGATCTTCACAGTCCTTCCACATTCTTTTTTTCTCCCTCCCAACAATGCGCTTCCTTGTGCAGCTCCTCGCCGTGCCCTTTGTGGTGCAGGCCGCGGTCGCCGCCTCGACTAACGGCATGGCCCGCAAGCGTCTCTTGGGCCCTCCCCCGAACCCCAACTACCCCGACCCTAACAAGGACGCCTTCTACCGTATCCCCGCCGACGTCGCCGCTCACCCGGCGGGCTCGGTGCTCAGCAGCAGGGAGGTGCCCGTGAGCCTCAACTCGAAGAACCTCGACAAGGCCTACCAGGTTCTCTACCGCTCCAACACCAACAAGGACCAGGCCGATGCTACCGTGGCGACCATCTTCACGCCCAAGGTGCCTGCTGCCAAGCCGGGCCTCCTCTCGTACCAGGTCTTTGAGGACTCTGCCACGCTTGACTGTGCACCCAGCTGGGCCTTCATTAACAACACTGGCTCGGCCAACACGGTGCCCGTCGCCTTCGACACGCCCTTCTACCTCGACTGGGCCCTCGGTGCCGGTCTCTACGTCGTCGCCCCCGACCACGAGGGATCGCAGGCGGCCTTCATCGTCGGCAAGCAGGAGGGCCAAGCCGTGCTCGACGGCATCCGTGCGGCCCGCACCTTCATCAAGCTCTCCAACGACGTCCCCGTCGCCCTCTCGGGCTACAGTGGTGGTGCCCACGCCACCGCCTGGGCCCAGAACCTGCGTGACAGCTACGCACCCGACGTCAACATCATCGGCGCCGTCCACGGTGGCACGCCCGTCGACCTCCGCAACACGTTCAACTACCTCAACGGCGGCCTGTTCTCTGGCTTCGCCGCCGATGGCCTCGTCGGCGCCTCCAACGCCTACCCGGAGATCAACGACTACCTGCAGAAGATTGCGACGGACAAGGGCAAGTCGGACCTCGCCATGCTCCACAAGGACAACACGTGCCTGATTCAGATCGTCACCGCGCTTCCCTTCGTCGACTTTTACAAGGAGGTGACGATCCAGAACCCTCTGGACCAGTCGCCCGCCAAGGAGGTCCTCGCCGCCGAGTCGCTGCTGAGCAACGTCAGCACCAAGGCCATCGCCGTGCCAACGTACCCACAGATGCAGTTCCACGGCTCTGGCGACGAGATTATCCCTCCCTCGGACCACCAGGTGTTTGTTGACCAGCAGTGCGCCAAGGGTGCCAACATCCAGTACAACGTTCTGCCCATCGCCGAGCACATCAGTGCCGAGGCTGCCGCCATCCCCGGCACGATCCAGTTCCTCGGCCAGATCTTCAACGGCACCACGCCGCAGGTCAAGTGCGGCCAGCCCGGCTCGACTGCATCGATGCCCAGCCCGCACAGTGTCGAGGCCGAGCAGATCATGGGCACGGCGCAGGCCAACAAGCTGCGCAGCCTCAACGGCAAGAAGTCGCCCTTCGGCCCTCGCATCATCAGCTTCTGAGCGATTCTCGACCTTCCCCTGCTCCCCCCTGCTAAAAGAATCACCTTCCTTCCTCCTGCCATATCCCTCGTGATCACATCAGTGCAAGCTGTCGCCTAATATATCTCCTTTGTTGCTGATGGTCTTTGCCTAGGTTAAAAAAATGCAATCCTGTGCCAAGCAGCCCAAATGTCACCGTAAACCTTGGTTTTCAGCAGGAGGCTGGCTGGCTGTCGGTCATCCTTGCATGTGGGAAAAAAGACACTAGGGAATTTTAATCTACCTCCGCGGCAGGACAGAGTGGGCAATCTTTTGAGTCTCTCAGTCACACGCATCGAGCGAGTAGATGGAAGCCGAGACGCGCTGGTGGGCATGCCCATGATGCAGCCGAGCAGCAGTAGCAGCATCAGCATCAGCAGCGGTGGCGGCGGCGCGCCACGAGAGCCGCAGCTGGAAAAGAGGAAGAAGAAGCGGAGACGGCGAGGGCCCCGCCCGCAGGTGTGCGCCAACTGCCGGAGGCTCAAGCTAAAGTGCGACCGCGCACGGCCATGCCGACACTGCGAGCGGCGCGAGATCCAGTGCATCTACCGCCTCGAGGCAGAGGAAGCTGCCGAGGAGGAAGACGAGGGTGAGGATGAGGAGGGAGTAGCGGGCGAAGACGACGCGCCAGATGCTCAGTCGCAGCAGGCTGCGTCGGGCCTCGTGGCCGCCCATGCAGGAGAGCAACGTCACCCTCTGGGAGGCTCTGCAAGCAATGGATCGCCGAGCCAGAGATCGGCATCGGACAGCAGCAGCAGCAGCACCAGTACTAGCTCACATTTACTCAAGAGGCCGACGGCACAGTACAGCCGCGACACCTGGTTCGACCATCTACTTGACTTTTTTGGGCCCAGCCGGAGCGCAAGCCATCGCACAGTGGCCTACCTCGTCGACCAGTCAATGTCATGGGCGTCGAGCAACCACTGGTTCGAGATGATCTACCTGCCTGGCTTGAAGCGCGACATCCAGCTCGAGCGCAACCGCTCGCGTGTCAACCCTGCCCTGGCCTTTGCACTGACGGCCGTGGCCCTGCGGGAGCGGACTGCGTGGCAGCAGGGCAGGCGGCCCTACGGTATCGGCCCGGGCCATACCTTGATCGCCGACGAGATGCTGCCTGCCGCTCAGAGCCCGTACGACGTGTCGGAGCGCATCAAAGTGGCCGCTCAGGCCTACCTCGAGCAGTCGATTGTGTGCATGCAGGGCGCAGCCGAGGCTGGTGGGGCTATCTCCATCGTCCAGTCAGCTCAGGCGGCGCTACTGCTCATGCTCCTCGAGACCGAGGTGTCGCCCGGCTGCATGTACTACCTCGGCCTTGCCTCGTCGCTCGTCCTCCGGTCGCCTCACGCCCAGGCCACCCTGGATCACGAGGCGGCAACGACGACGGGCAACCGGTTCCAGGACAGCCCGATGCAGCGGCCCATGTGCGACGGCACCGTTGCCAGGAGCTCGACGCAGGTTGAGGAGGTGGCTAGGCTCCGTCTGCTGCCCGTCTGGTGGGGCTCGAGGATCGGCATGGCCTACTTCAACGTCGAGATTGCCAACTCCATCTACCGGCCCACCGACATGGACAGCGCCTACGTGTTTGGGCCCTGGCCCGAGGAGCATTCCTCTGTGTGCGTATTCGTGTTGTCTCTTTCCCCTTTTGCTACCGCTGATCGGATGGCTTGACTTTTCGATGCGCAGGACGGAAAAGGGCGAAAACGACTTTGCCGACTCTGTGCGCGCCCGCATCCTTGGGCTCAATGTCATGGCGACGAACCTGCAATCGCGATTCTTGCCCTACGAACTTGACTACAGCCAGCCGACGGAGGCGCTGGCCAAGGTGCTGAAGTGTGTCGACGATGATGAGTTCATCTTCAGCATGCTCCTCGAGGCCCTCGACTGGGAGGCCCAGACGTTCTTTACCTTTATGGTCCTCCGCTTCTGCACCAGCATCTGCCATCTCCACGGCATGCTCATCCGCCGCCTGGGCTTTGCCCACTCGGACGCACTCCGGCCGCGGATCTGCGCACGATTGCGAGGCGAGCAGCCGGCCAGCGACGACGGGCAGCTGGGGGGCAGCAACATCACCTTCCAGTCGCCTATCCTGAGCACCTGGCCCGACGTGCTGCGGCGCTACATGAAGGAGATGGACGAGGACTACGCCCAGGCGGTGGCCAGGCACCAGCATAGTCCCGAGCACTTTTACGGGAGCGCATCACCACCTTCATTGCCCCAGCAGGCCACGCCGCATTCCTCATCACTCCGTCTGACCAAGTTTCAGCTCGATGTGCTCAAGCTCTATGTCGCTGCGACCATCCATCTGCGCAACGGCGTCATGGAAGCGCTCAAGCTCGCCGGCCGCAGCGAGAACGACATTGAGGACGAGGTGCTCGTCGTCCGGCTCAAGGACGCCATGGACGATCTCAGCAGGCGCATCAGACGGCACCAGGATGCCTTCAACGAGGGCGTGTGACATTTCAAACCCTCGGAAGGGAGACGTGCAGATGAAGAAACCACTGCAGGAGCACACGAGACGCGGGAAGAAACAAGAAAGTAGAAGAAGAAGAGAAAGAGGGGATATCGTAGGCACACCGTCGAGCGGAGGGCCACCTTTACTTGGACTTGTTCACGCCAGCGACGATCGTCTGCTTCTGCTTCTTGAGCTGCTTGATCGTGTCGATGGACACGTTGAGGTTCCTCGCCGCCACCTCGGGCGGGTTGAGGGCCAGCCACTGGGTGAGGCTGAAGTCGTTGAAGCGCACCTGGCTGCCGAAGCCAGCGCCACGGAAGATCTCGAGGAACTCCAGGGGCTCGTCGCCGACATTTTGGATGTAGTGGCCGTAGCTGACGGGCACATCCAGTCAGTCTGAATGAAAAGGCAAGACTCGAAAGGCAAGACTCACTTGGTGGGGAAGACCCAGGTGTCGCCGGCCTGGAGATCGAAGGTGCGCGCGGTGGCACCGCCAGCAAAGGCCGTGGCGCGGCCCTTTCCCTTGACGATGTAGCCCCACTCGGCCTCCTGTTGTATAAGTAATTGCATGAGCATTTGTTCTTTTGAGATTTGATAAAATAGCAACAAACCTTGTGCCAGTGGAGCTCGCGGAGCGCGCCAGGCTCGACGTGGACGAGGGCCGAGGCGAGCGTCTTGCTGGCGGGGAAGTCGCGGTAGTCGGTGATCTTGGTCCAGCCACCGCCGCCGGGAGCCGGCGTGGGGTCCTTCTTGCTCAGCGCGTAGTGGTACGGCGTGTCGACCTCGCCGCCCGGGTTCGACGAGACGGCTTGCTTGGCCTCGTCGAGCGACGGCCAGCTCGTGGCGGGGACAATGTAGGGGTCCGAGGCAGGGACATTGTTGAAGGCCGAGGCATCCTGGAAGCCAAAGTTGGCCGCGAGCACGTCGCGGGGCGTGTGGGCGATCCAGTCGTCGACCATGAACGTGGTGCCGGCTGGTGAAAGGGACGGTGGAGGAAATTTGGAAGGTCAGACTTGCTTGGGGCCAGCTGGCTCTGAGAAGCACCACTCACATGCATCAAAGTTGCCGTCGTCAAAGACGAGGAGGTACTCGGCACCCTCTGGGCCGGCTTGGAGCGAGTGGGGCACGCCCTGGGGAAAGGACCAGAGGTCGCCCTCTTGCACGTCGGCCACGTAGTTGCGGTCGTCCTCGTCGTTGCCCGTGATCCTGACGGTGCCCTTGAGCACAAAGGCCCACTCGGCCACGCGGTGCCAGTGCAGCTCACGGTAGGCGTAGGGAGCCAGGCGCTGCTCGGCGGCTGCGACGAGGGTGCTCGTCGGCAGGTCCGTGACGACCTGCTCGCGCACCCAGCCTCCCTTGAGCAGGCGTGTCTTGCTCAGCGAAAAAGACCACTTCAGGTTCGGGATTACGCCGTTGTCCGTCGGCGGCACCGACAGGTAGTCTGCATTCTGCCGGTCGATGGCCTTGTTGGACTCGTGGAGGAACGTGGCGCCCTTGGGACCGCGGATCGGCTGCGGGTTGTCCGTCCGGTTGATGGCGCCGTTGTCGACGTCGTCCCTGCGCTGCAGCTGGGGTACTTCGTCGGCAAAGGGCCGGATGTGGCGCGTGACGCGGTTGTGCAGAGGGCTGCGTCCAACGTCGCCGGGCAGCTCCACCTCGACCTCGCGCTCGACGACCTGGCTGCGGCGGGCGTAGGGCGCAGACGACAAGGGCACGATGCGACCAAACGAGGGCGCGGCCAGGAGCGAAAAGACACATAGCGACAGAACGGAGATCCTCATGCTGGGATCGGGAAGAGGGAAAACAAAAGGGGGACTACAAGAAGGAGGGAGGGGGGAGGGATATGGGAGATCGCCGTCATGTTTCGTCTATCGCTATATAGCGCTTCTCCCACCCCTCTTTCTGACCATGGCGAATTCCCGCGAACATAGAAGGCAAGCGTCTCAACGAGCGACAGAAGCAGCGCGGATGGCGTGCTCCCGCAGGCAACGGTGGACAGCTCCCATCTGATTCACTACCGCACCCGCACGCCAGGCCCGTAAACGTTCTTTGCTCTGCTGCTCTCGCTCGTGGGCCCTTTTCATTAGACGGTGAGCCATTTATGCTCGCTCCTTTCGATGACGAGCTCAGGGGAGACTAATCGAGCCCTGTCAGAAGCTGCCTGAGTGCATGACTGGCCATGCCCGTGCCCGCAAAGAGGCTAGGCTAGCTCAACGTGGGCCTAAGCGTGGGCTTGGCACCAAGCTTAAATTATCTTTGCTGTTCGCTTTGGCAGAAGCACTGCTAGTTAGGGTAAGTAGTGGCTAGGGTAGCATTGGCAGTAGCCCCGCCTGTCAAACTAGCCTGCTTCTATTTCCTCTGTCGTCCAAATTCCGAGAACACTAGAGCAAGGTTCTAGCGCGATTGACGTGATCGCAGCCCGATGACACCATCCTGGCCCAATCTCGCTCCACCGGTTGGTGGCGGCCTCCGGCCATCTGATTGCTATAAGACAAGAGTCCGAAAGGGTAAGTCAGCCCGATTCTCAGTACTTCTTGGATCACTTGTCAGTGATCCAGCAGAGGCGTCTCTAAGGATATCATTAGGCCGTGGGATGTCTCTATGAATAAAAAAAAATATGCGTACAAATGGAATGCTGTGCTGTTTGAACTAGGAAACAAGGTGATTGAGACGACTGCCAAGCTCCAGCTCGAGCCTGAGGCGGCCCTTGTCGGTCTTGTGCAGTGCGTCATTCTCGAGGTGCAGCGTGTCTGTATTCGTCCAGTCGTCTTCTGGCTCGTCGTGATAGACTTCAGAGGCACCCTTGACGTTGGCCAAGACGGCCTGCCAGAAGTGATCGCGGAGAAGGGCGTCGAGAGGCCTCTCGCTCGATCCCAGCTCGACGTGGTCCAGATCGAGGCGCTCGCCGTGCATGCGGCCAAAGGGGCTGAAGTCGTAGATGGTGTATCCGCGGTCTACGTCGATGGCAAAAAAATGAGCAGCAAAATGGTCGTGCACGTCGGAGCGAAGGAGGAAGCCGTTTTGGATCGAATCGATCTTGGCATCGGCGACGTGGCGACCCGTGTCCTCAACAAGGCGGCCAAAGCCACACGTGCGCCACTGGAGGGAAGCACTTTGCATTAGCAGAAAGCATTGAGAAGGCCTGTCATTTGCTCACGCGATCGAGGTGCGCCCTCGGAAAGATGTGTGCGGCTTGCAATCCTTTCCATTGCCCGCGGAAAGGCCGGTCTCCGGTGATCAGACACCTCCGGTCCCTCTCACGAATGCGGTCGGTGAACGTGGAACTCCTCAAGCTTGATGATGACGAGTTCAAGCTAAGCGTGCGAGGATAATAACGATGAGGCGTCGTCAAGTGGTCGACTGGCTGCCAGGTACCGTCGGTGAGCACGTCAAAGGTGCCAGTGGGCATTGCTTCGTCGGCCGCTTCGTTCCCGGCCGGGCCAACCACGCTTCGCTCCTGGACGCTGCCAGGCTCACGTCGCTCCACGAGGCTCCACGCGACCGGCTTTCCCTCCATTTCAAAGTGCCAGCAGTACTCGAGCATTTCCCGAAAGCCTCTCTTGGACATGTCTCCGTGTTGCCAGAGGCCTGTGACGGAGAAGCATCTCCCTCAGCCCTCATCCACTTCGCTTCTGTGCTAGCAGCAGATACTCACCGCCGATTTCCTCTCCTTTTGAGAAGACGAAGATGTTGCGGAATGGCTGCGTCTCTGTCGCCCCCGCCATCTTGCAGCTCGTGGACTCGATCTAGCTGAGTTGATAGGAAAGCAACAGTCGACGAGAGCGCGGCGCACGGCTCTGGGCGGACGTGAGCAAGCACCGATGTTGAAGCCACATGGCGTGACCTCCATAATATAGAGGGGTCAGCTTTGTATTTAGCTCACGACTCGGAAAAACGGCTACAAGAGAAGAGTCCGAGAGGGAAAGTCGCCCGATTCTCCGTATTTCTTCAAAAAGTGCCCTGCAGCGACGGGAGCGAGATCTCGTCACCTCTTCTACCCATTTGTCTATCTCTACATTTTGTGCCCTCAATAAAGGAAATGTGGATTGTCCTGGAGATAGATGCTCGTCCAAGCTTCGATGTTTTTCTCTCGTCAGAAAGAAGAGCTTTATGTTACATGGTCTGTGCTTGTCCAGGGATGATTGTCTCCATCTCTGCGTCCTCGCCCGCCGTGGACGAGAATCCTTGCAGTCTGTCCGAAATGTGCGCACTACCGCGGCCCTCGGGGTGCGAAAAGAAGCAATCAGCTATACCGATTGAGGCAAGCAATGTCAGCAATCGAGGGGCAGAGGGAGGATCTTGTAAGGAGTAAACCCACCTCTGGTGCACGCCTTGCCATAGCGGCATGGCACCTGACTCGAAGAAAACGACGACTTGACTGCGTTGCCTTCGAGGTTGCGCCCAAACGGATGGGCAAAGGTGCAGTCCTTGCGCGTACAATTGACGCCGAATCGGCAGTTTGCCTTGTCGCCCAATGCTCGCTGCAAACCTGGATGCTCGCCCCCACCTCCGTTGCTCGCTTCTGCTCCTGCTCCTGCTTCTCCGATGGCGACATCGGCGCCATTGGAGGCAGGAATGTGTTGATTAGAAGAGTCCTTGTGCTCGCCATTGCCGTTGCTCGAGGTAGTCAGCTTGGTAAGGGCGGGGCTGGGGCCAACTGCGCCAGTTGTCGGATCGAAGTGGACATAGGCGCAGCTCGGATTGGTGCAGTCCTGCTGGTAGCGACATGCTGACCTGTCCAGATCTTCATTCTTGATCGAGGACGGAAGCACCTGGCGGTCGAGCTTAGCCTTGACAAAAGCGACGGCGGGGCTGACGTGACTAAATTCGCAGTCGACCTTTGTGCAGCCAGACCCGAAGCGACATGCCTCCTTTCGGAGCACCAGTGGGTCACCGTTAGGATTGCCTCCTTCCTTGCGATTTGCACTTGCAGCTGCCGTGGAAGGGTGGGAGAAGCCGCAGGACGGATCGGTACACCGAGTGCCCCAGCGACAGAGCGTGGCATCTGTTGGCTTGTCAGGAAACGAGGCAGTGTCGATTGCAGGTGCAGCGACGACTGGTTCGTTGTCGGGTATCATCGGGTCGATGCGAGAAAGGAGGCTGGGCTGGTTGTAGCTTGGCGAAGCAACGGCATTCATGGGCACAAAGGCCGCCGCATACGGGTCTGGTACGCCGGCGCGGGCAAAGATGCTCGGTGGCGACGCGGTAGTCGGCTGCCGTGACTGCTGGTTGTGAACCTGGCTGATTGATCGCTGAAAGATACTGCCGCTCGCGTCCTTTGATGTGCCCAGAATCCTCATCGCCCGAGGCCGGTCGGGTGCATTGTTGGATGCAGGTGCTCCATCGAAGAGCTCGCGCCTCTCCGTTCGCCTCTCCGCACTTCGATCGGGACCCGCCGGCCCTGCTGGTTGACCATTCCACCTCGCATTGCTGTCTTCTGGTCGTTCCTCGCCAAAGAGCTCTCTTCTTCTTGGCGGTGGACCCCATCTGTCGCCACCGTCCGCTGCCCTTCCCCCGCCAGCCCTGCTGCCCCTGCCCCAGTCAGCGTTGCTTGCGATTGGCGCTCCTCTTCCTCGGGAGTCCCATCTCTCTTGCCCTTCCCGATCTGCACTTTGTAATCGAATGTTCTCTGGCGATGCTGACCTCCGTCGAGATGGCCCCGGTGCGGCTGGCGCAGGCGAGGGCGAACGCCTCCGAGGCTCAGCCTCCTCCGCCCTGCCATTAGCACGATCCTGGCCAGACAGGATGGCCTGTGCCTCCTCCCACATGCCCCCAATAAAGGCCTGCACTTCGGCGTCAGAGGCCTCGCCAACCAGCTCCTGCAGCTCGCCGCCGATCTGGGTGGCCGTCTTCTTGTTGGCGAGCATGACGAGGATGTACTCGGCCATGACCTCGTCATCCTCGTCGCTCCATCCCTTGCTGGCCAGTCCACGCTGGATGGCGCCCTGGAGCATCTTGGCCTCCTCGCTCCCGAGCGCAAAGGGAGGTAGCGGCGCCGACATTGACATAAGTGGCGTTGCTTTCGTCGTCGCCGTGACTGACGATGTCGCGTGAGGAGCGAAGAAAAAACAAACAAGTTGGAAAAAGTTGGACTTTCCAGGAAAGGTGGAGACGACGGGCGCACTGGAGCGATTTTTCCACGTGAGCGAACAGGCTAGCCTGCGTTCGAGAACATCTGACGCGCGCGCCGGGAGCAACACTGCTTCGAGATCTGACGACAACGACGACGGCGGCGACGACGACAAAGGAAAAAGTACGCGAGCGTGCACGCGAAGGCGGTACGATGCGCGAGGATGAATCGATACAGGAGCAGACGCTCGAGCTGGTAGCAAACGTCGAGGCAGCGGCCTCTGCCGAGAAGCGCGTCGCGGCATTTGCCTCGCTCCAGGCCCACCTCGAGGAGCAATTTTCCCGCAATGGCGCGGGACAGACGCTGGAACACGTCGAGGCAGACGCAGTTGCTTCGGCCATCAAGGTCATGCTCAAGAACGCCAATCAGTCTGTGTCGGCCGCTGGACTCCTGTATCTGCCGAGCTACGCACAGCTGCTCGTCACGTCGTCGCCTCCTCATCAGCTGGCGCACAACATCAGGGCGCTAATGCATGCAACGCTGCCCCTCGTCCTTGAGAGGCTGGGTGACCACAAGGACAAGATCAAGGAAGGAGCAAAAGCGGCCATTGCGGAGATGGGGTCCGCCGCATTCAATACGGGCACAGGGGCAGCGGCGACTGCGGCGGCGGGAGCGAGTAGAGCGGGGTCTTCCAGGCTCGACGGAGACTCGTCGCCCCAGGCGTACTTTGAGCGCATGATTCGCGACCACGGACTGGGAGCCAAGTCGGCCAAGGTCAAGGAGCAGGTGGGTACTTTTGCCAATTTCTAGGGCGCTTCTGATCATTCTGCTGACGAGACTGGGTGGGACATTCAGGCCATCCTCGCCCTCGTGCCCCTGCGCGAGGCCCACAAGAAGCTACCCCTCCGGCCCTTTTTGTCCTCGCTTGTCGACCTCGTGTCCCATGCCGATCCAGGCGTGCGAGATGCCGCCCGAATGACGCTCATCTCCCTCTTTTCGACGGCATCGCCCGCAGCCAAGTCGGACCTGAAGAAGGAAATGGAGAAGAAGGCCGTGAGGAAGCAGACCGCCGACGCCATCCTCCAGCACGTCCTGGCTGCAGGCACAGCCGGTGGCGAGCTGCTCGAGGCGCCAAACTCCACAGTGGTATCAGGTGAAACGCGGTCAAAATCACCAGCGTCGGACCATGCCCCACCTCGGGCCGGCGCCAGACCTGCATCGCGCGCCGGCGCGCGGATGGCACCGGCACCCACTCATGCTCCTGGTGCAGCTGCAGGCGACGACGTGCCAGCAGTGTACATTGCATCGCAGTGGGACTTGGACCGCACCTTTTCCGCCATGCTGCCGCACTTTGAGGGAAAGGAGACGGAGCACAACTGGCTCGCCCGCGAGCAGAGCGTCGTCAAGATCAGGGGCATGCTCAAGACGTCAACCCAGGACAGCTTCAGCCCCGGCCTCGTGGCGGGCGTAAAGAGCGTACAGGAGGGCATCCTCAAGACGGTGGGTTTGGTTTGTGTCTTGACTTAGGAAAGTCTGACTGACAATGACATCCTTTTTTCGTCGCTCAGCTCGCCAGCCTGCGAACTACGTTAGCGATTCATACGACGTCGCTCATCCAGGAGCTAGCTCTCGCATTGGGCGACGATCTCGACACACTCCACGATACCTTTCTCCCTGCGCTCCTTCGCATGGCTGGCTTCACCAAGCGCATCGTCGCCACGGCAGCCCAGCAGAGCGCCTCGGCCATCCTGTCGTCGGTCATGTTTCGTCACAAGTTCTTTGACCTTCTCTGGCAGGGCATGAACGAGAAGACGGTAGCTAGCCGACAGACGATGTGCGAGCATCTCTCGACGATCCTCGATGTGCACGGGAACCATCGGCGGCACGCCCTCGAGGCGCACGGCGGAGTTGAGATGCTGGACAAGATGCTGAAAAAGTCGCTGGCGGACCAGAATAAGGATGTGCGCGCAAAGGCCAGGGAGGCCTACTTCAAGGTGGCCGACATCTGGCCTCCCTTGGGCACTAAAGTGCTCGACTCGCTCGATGTGGCGACGAGAAAGCAGGTCATGGCTGCTGCCGCTGCCGCTGCGCCGGGCCCTGGTCCATCATCTGTGGCCTCGGCAGAGCCGTCCCCTATCAAGATCAGGACGACGGCAGCAGAGGCACGGGTGACTGCTCCTCGAAAGTCGGGAGCCTCTCAGGCGATTCTCGAAGCTAAAAAGGCGGCCAGCTTGCAGCTGGCCAAGGAGCGTCGGGAGCGCGAAGAGGCCGAGGCCGAAGAGGCTCGGCGTCAGGAAGAGGAAGCAGTAGCGGAGGCGGAGGCTGAGGAGGCTCGTCTACAGGAGGAGGAAGAGGCTCGTCGGCAGGAGGAAGAAGAGGCTCGTCGGCAGGAGGAGGAGGCTCGTCGGCAGAAGGAAGAGTCTCGACGAAGGCTTCCCGAGACCGAAGCGGCGACAAGAACTCCGACGGCGAGCGCATCCCACCTCCGCACCCTTTCCAACGGCATGTCACCCACCCCATCGAGCATCCCGTTGCCCACGAGCCCAAAGCAGTCGTTGGGCCATCAAGCCGGCTCAAGCTCGACTGTTTCGACGCCGAGAGTGAGGGCAGGAAGTAACAGCAGCGGGGGCAGCGGCCAGGCAACGCCAGGCAGGGGCGGTGCCCTTCCCTCGTCGCCACGATCGCGAACCTCGTCTTCGAGTACCTCGCACTCCTCTGGCCGTCCTGCGTCCCGCATTGCGAGCAGCGCAGCGTCCTCGAGTCGCTTTGCCTCCTTCGGCCAGCGGGTCAGTGAAGACTCGGCGGGGTCCAGACCACTCCCCACCTCGACGGCGACCAGCTCGTCGAATCGTGCTGGCGTGCCCTCGCATGCGGTTGCTCCACCCGCCTCAAGCGTGAGCTCAAGCTCACCACCAGGAGCGAACCGAGGTGCCGATGAGACGATTCAGCTTGGGGATACGTCTGACGTCTCCATGGACCTGCTGTCCTCATCGTCGCTCCAGGGTGGCGACTTGATGGAGGATGAATTCGCCGAGATGAAGCTCGACACGGCGGCGATGAGGAGAACCGTTCCTCGTCGCATGCCGATTGAAGAGCCACAATCACCCTCACCCTCGACTCCATTGGTACCCGCACTTGCTCCTTCCACTTCGACAACATCGACGCCGATAGCTGCTAGCAGCAGTCATACTACTCCAATGGCTACTTCGGCCAAGCGGCGGTCGGGGTTGCCCAGACCTGTCTCGATGCTCTATCCTTCTCCAGCTGCATCCTCGCCCAGCGAGCGAATAAGGCACAGCCAATCTCAATCGATCGACTTGGCAGATGGACGGGGTCACGAGGCCGCGATGTCGTCCATACCTTCTTCTTCATCCACTTCGAGTCTGACCCAGCCAGCAGCAGCAGCAGTCTCGACGCCGTATGGAGCGCGAGCCATACGGCCGGAGGCGCAGACCGGAGGCGTCCGATGGTTCCTCAATCGGGCTGCAAGACTCAGAGATGAGGGCGAGGATGGTGCAGGCCTGACCTCGCCTGTAAAGTCGCAGCCAGACTCCAACGAATGGATCCGTCAGCTCGCCACAGGAGAGGCAGGCCTGACGACATTCAAAAAGCTCGCTGCCCTGTCAAAGGAGTTTGCGCTTCCGGCTTCGGGCAAAGAGGCGGGGGAAACCAATGGCCACGGCGCTGTTCTCCAGCCTGGGCCGTTAGGAGGCAGTAATGGCCCGTCATCGTCGGCGCTGGGCCTCAGTCGAATGAGGGCGGAAAACGAGAGAGGGCCAGGCTTCCACGGTCATCAGGGAGAGGACGACGATGAGGACGATGATGCCATGCTGGGCATGGACGAGGACCGGGAAGCGGCCATTGATGCCTGGCAGGAGTCGAGGCTCTTTGAGCGCCTCTTTTCAGCCCTGTCGGCATTCCTCGAGACGCCGACCCCCCCACTTACGGGCGGAGGCGGACGGTCCAGCAGGGACGTCTACACGGCTGGCCTCGTGCTGCTGCATCGGCTTGTCGAGAATCAGTTCCCGCTCTTTGGAGCAACGGGCGCAGAGGCCGACCTCGTCTCGCTGCTGTTCCGGCTGCGGAGAGACACAAAGCGATGTCCGCAAGGTGCCTGCGAGGCCATTCTCGACAGCTGGGCCGACAAGACGGACGCCATCCTGGGCATCGGCACACTCGTTGCGTGCCTGCGCGCAGCTCTGTCTGCGGCCGCGCGCCTGCCTGCTTCGAGCCCCGAGGAAGCCGGCCGGCTGATGGGTGCGCAAGAGTCGCGCGTCGCAATCCACACTCTCGGCCTCCGCGCACTGTCCCGCGTGCTCCTCCGGCTGCCGACGGAGCTCATTGAGGAGGAGCTCCCACGCGCGCGCGATCTCGTCAAGAGCGGCCTCAACGATGCCCAGGTCACACTCCGCCAAGAGGCCGTCAAGGTCATGGTTGCGGCCAACCGCAAGGTGGGCGACCCCGCCCTGCTCTTTGGCATCCTGCAGCCCCTGGAGCGTGCGCAGGAGGATCTGTTGATGTACTATATGGCAAAGAAGTAGCTTCCCTCTCTCTCTCTTCATCTTCAATCGATTATTGCTCATGCTGTTGCAGAGCTTTCACATTTCCATTTCGGCTTTGGAAGGCAACCTCGTACAGTACTAGCTGACACTTGTCGGGCACGCTGCTCCAACGAATGCATGCGAGCACGCCCCGACGCACGCCCGCACGCAGACCGCTCGCAATCAGGAAGATGAAAAGCATTTGTTGGGTTTTTGGAGTCGTCATGAGCTAGCCGTGAGGCCAGATGCGATCCGGTATTGAGGTTTCGCTCATCATTGTGCAAGGCTGGCCTGCGTGCTTGCGTGCGTGCGTGCGTGGATGCGTGCGAGAACAAAACACACTTTCCGGCAGAGGAAAGCGTAGAGGAGGCCTTTTCCTGTAAACTCACCATGGATGCGCTCTTCGCTGCCTTTGTGGCTGGTCTCGGGACTGCATGAACGGTGACGCACTGAGTTAAAATTGGGAACAGTGTTGATTGAGCAGTGAATGGGATTAGTGGTGATGCAGAAAGTCTTTTTTGCTGCGTGTTTTGCTTGTAGATTAAAGGAAGGCCTTCTCGCCTCTCCGTGCCATCTAATGAGATAAAAGAAAAGGGGGTCAACATGGAGCTCACCCTCTATAGCCAGGTCACCGGAGAGACTCACCTCGATGACCTTCCACCCGCCCGTGATCTCATTGTCCATCTCCTCCTCGAGCCTTGTCAGCACGACGACATACCGGCAGGCATCGGCCTGGTCCTCCCTCCCCGCCTCTACTTTGCCCGTCTTTGCGTCCTTGAAGTACATGAGCTCCTGCGTGGCAAAGCTGACGACGAGAACGGGGACGTTGTTTTCGAGCATCCTCGCCTGCTGGATGTCAATGTGTTTGAGGTCCAGCAGGCGGCCGTGGGCCACCATGCCCCGCTGGATGTAAGGGTCGACGGTAGCCATGAGGACGTTGAACGTCGCCTCGCTGCACCACTGCCGGAGCAGGTGCCGCGCTGCGCCGTGGTAGGCGTCGATGATCTCGGGGATCACATACTCCCGCAGCTCGCGCTGGTAGCTGTCGAGGGTAAACGAAGGCTCCTGCATGCGGAAGACGCCAACAACGCGTGCCGTCTCGTTCTCTTCGAACCATCCACCAATCGTGTCGGTGATGGACCGGAGCCGCTCCACGACGGGATTCTCTGACTCCTCGTACTGCTCCCGGAGCTCGCCAAGCTTGCGCATCAGCGGGTTGCTCTCCTTGAACGATGACCAGGCCTGCTTGTATGCGGGCTCGGGCCTCAGGACGAGGGCTTCTCCCGCGTTGGGGTTAGCCACAAGCTGGGCTCGGACGCGTGTCGCGTAGCCCTTTGGGCGCGATGGCGGTGGAGCCGAGCCGGACGGTGATGAAGACGAAGACGACGGCGCTGATGACGACGCAGCTTCCTCTGGTGATGCGCTCGCATCGCTCGTCGTCTTGGTCCCATCCTCCTCGGCTGCTCTTCGGGCGCCTTCCTCTCCAGCAGCGGCGCCAGCCTGGGCGGCCGCCTTGATGGGGTCGTCCTCCGCCTCATCCTCCTCGACCTTGTCCTTGTTCAGCTCTTTTTCTTTTGCTTTCAGATCGGCCGCCATGATGAGGATCTCCTCGACATCGGGCGACGGCATCGGCCTGCCAATCTTTCGCAGCCGGGCCTCTCGCTTCATTCTCCGCTGTGTCGCTGCGTCGGCCGAGGCATCCGTGTAGATCCGGAGTGCAGACCCTCCATCGTCAAAGGCATCGGCGAGTGTCTTGGAAAGATCCTTGTATGCCTCGGTGTTTCTAATCGGCGCCGTGCTGTCCTGCAGCTGTCTCGCGAGCCGTGATGAGATGGCACCGAGACCCTTGATCAGCTCGCTCTCCTCCATCTGCCTGAGCGTGGCCCCCACGGCATCTCCGACCTGGCCTCCGCTCTTTCTCAGGGCGTCGGCAGCGGCCTGCAGCCGCGGGTTCTCCTTGATGCTCGACACGATCCTTGCCTTTTCGTACGCCTCGCGCATCCTCCGCATCGTCTCGCTGTCCTGCACCTTGCCCGCCTCACCCTGGAGCTGCTTCATGTTGTCCTGCATCTCCTGCGACTTGCGCAGCTCCTCCTTGAGCGTGTCGACAAATGCCTGGAAGGGCGACTTTGTCTGCTCCCGACGGGGGCTTGCGTGGAAACCGCGCACCCGCTGGTGGTACGACGGCCGGGGCTGGCAGTGACTGTGCACAAGAACCGGCGTCGTCGTCGTCGCCGCCGCCCGCAGCACCTGTTGCCGGCGGGGCACGCTACGGGCCGCCATGGCGGTGCGCGCAGCCACGGCTGTTGATGGTTTCATATCTCGCTCCTCTCTGCGATGCTCGTCGTCGTCGTCGTCGTCGTCGTCGTTGTCAGCGGCGGCGTAGTCATCCGAAAGCCTTTCCGGCGTGCAAGCACCTCGACATTTTTCGTTCTTCGCTCCGAGCTGCACGTGAATCTTTGGGACACACGTGCTGGGCCAAAATTTGGCTTCTCCACCTTCAGCCCGGCCTGTTCATTTTTGTGCTTTTTGGGTAAAATAGCTAGCTCGCTCTCTGGTGGGGGCCTGTTCCAAGCAGCGGCAAGACGCCATTCATCATCGCGCATCGCTCGGAAGTGGCACTGTTGAAAGGCTTCAGTCGTCCTTGGGCAGGAAGAGAGGACACAAGAAGAGGTAACAAAAAGTGAGGTCGAGAGGCTGTCCATGTTTCCGCTCGAGCTGGTCACCGCCCGCCAAAAGGTCAAAGCGACGGCGAGGGAAAGAAAGAGGACGGCGCGAGTACAGCGAGGGCGGCTGAGAAACATTCATCGTTGGACTGCGCACCAGGCGGCGTGAAGGGTGTTGCCGAAAAAGCCTCGTCTCTGCAAGGAAGGAGTAATTCATGTCAATTTGCTCAACCAAGGCGGTCGAGTTTTCAACGGGCTAGCGCGGAGGCCAAAGCGCTCGAGCGTATTGCTATTCGCATCGACTGGCCGTATCAAGGCCTCATCTTCAAGAACAATCAAGAACAAAGGGCCTGTGCGCTTCTGCTCCCGCTCCCGCTGAGACGTATAAGAGGCATTCTTACGAAGCGAGAAAAGACACCCTTCTTTGCCCCTCTTGGTACGCTCATGGATATCGACAACCTATACCCAAAGGTCGTCGCTGAGGACGCTGGCGGCACAGACCCATCCAGCACTAGAACAAATGGCGCTCGCAAGAGTGATGGAGGGCAGGACGACGGCGACAGAACCTCAGCTGATGCGCCTCGCCAGGCCGCCCAGACGCTGCTCCCCCTCCTGCTCACGACGCCGCCCTACATACCCAGCAGCCTCAAGTCAAAGGATGTGAACCGTCGCCACAACATCCTCAACCTCACGCCCGAAAACGCAGACGAGTACCTTGTGACGAGCTATGCCTCCCACCCAGAGGGCACATCCGCGCATGTCGTCGAGCTCCTCGGCGAGCTGCGCGCACAGGTGGAGCAGCTCCACGGCATCTATGCCGCCGGCGACTCGGACGCAGTCGTGGGCACGGCAGGCTACAAAAACGTCGGTTTTGGCGAAGTCGTCGCTGCTGTCCCCCTGGGCGACGTCAAGCAGGCGTCAGCCCCGCTCCTCACAGTCCTCCTCAAGGTCGAAGGGTCGGGCGACAAGAGCAGCAGCTTCAAGTTTGACAATCTTCTCCCTCACGGTGCAGCTACAGGGCCCTGGAAAAATCGTCTGGCCGATGTCGTCGGTACGGAGCCGTCGACTTCTCCTGGTGACAACCAGGACGAGAGGCCGGCAAGCCGGACCCGCTCCGACTCGCAGCTTACCAGCTTCTCGTCGTCGACTGCCCCTCGCTCGATCCGGACCACCAACTCATTTCAGACGGCCTTGAGCGGCGATAATTCGCCCAGTGTGACCGCCTCTGGCTTTCGCTCCGCGGAAGGATCTCGATCGCCGTCTGTGCGGCATCCGACAGCCCAAGCAGAAGCCAATGATGGCCAGCAGATCGACGCCGAATACATCACCGACCCCGCCGAGTTCTGGGGTGGCTTCGGTGATGACGACGAGGCTGACAAAGAAGACGGTCAGGAGAAGAACAAAGATGACGGAGTCGAGGGCGCAGTCGATGAAGAAGCTGCTGAAAGGGCAAAGGAAGACGCTTATTGGGCGATGTACGAGACGCAGGACGAGGAGACCCGCGACGAGCCGTACCAGTTCCAGTTTGCGCGCAGTGACCGCATAGACGACGACGCCGACCATCACAATCTCGACAAGCTTCAAGACATGCAAGAGCAGCACTGGATCGCGTCGGCGACGGCCGACGACGGTGCAGACTCGTTCATCGAGACCACGACGATCAAGCCTCGCGCTCAGCCTGCACCCTTGGTGCTCCCCGATGATGCCGAGACCTCCAATGGCGACGATTGCACGGAGGAAGGCACGGTGCGAAGCAGGGGCCCACCCTCGCCGCGGTCAGATGAGACCGATAGTGGCATCTCAGACACCGGCGACCGTGTAGGTGATACCGACGACACGACTGCGTCGAAGAGGAAGAAGCTGTCCAGCATCGGTGCAGCTATGACGATGTCGCAGAATGCGGCGGCCGCATCGATGATCGACGTAGCCACCGCAAACGCGGGCATGATGTTGGAGAATGGCCATGAGGACACGTCCAAGATTGACGATGGGCTGAGCGAGAATGATGAGCCGAAGCTAGCTCAGAAGGGCAAAGGGAGAGATGGTAACGAGCTTGGAGACATCGGCCTGTCTGGCTCTCGAACTCAACAAGACCAAGGGCCTCGACACGGGCGTGCAGGGAGCGTCAGCATGTACTCGACCAGCGGCCAATCCTATGTGAGTGGCTCTTCTCCCCCTCTGACACATCTTCCTCTAATCTTCTCTTCGCTAACTTGAACCAATACGATGCACCAGTTCGAAACGCCGGCTGACATGGACCTGAAGGACCTCGAAGACTTCTACCGGAATCGCGACCTGCAGCGCTCGCTCGAGCAGCGGGAGCGCATCCAACGAGCGTCGTATCCGGAGCTCTTTGTAGACTACAAGACAAAAGAAAACGCCATCGGGCTTCCAGGGCTCGAGATCGCAAACCAAGCGAAGAATGCGGGCGACTTGAGCACAGGTCAACAGGATCCAATCACCGCCCTGGCGTTTGCCGAACCTGCTGTCGCCGTTGCGGGGAGCCATGCGCAGAAGCAGTCGAGACGGCCCCTCGTGCCGCGACATGCCTCGATGGACACGCTGCGCAAACTCGTCGAGCAGAGCGCCACCGGCAGCGACGCAGACGCAACGCCAGAGATGCTCAGGAGGCGCCAAGCCGCCCAAGGTATCAGCGCGTCCAAGCCGTCGGAGGAGGGCAGCAAGGCCGGCAAGCACAACAACTTTCTCCATCTTGCGCCTAGCGTCATCTCCGACTCGGACGTGGGCGACGAGATGGAGACGAGAAGCATGTCGCTCAATGTCCCGCCCAGTGTCGCCGAAGAGCTGGAGGAGGAGGAAGACATTGGGATGGACGAGCAGGGACAGAAGCAAGATGAGCCAGGCGACGATGGACAGCACGACGAAGGCTACGGTTTCGACGACGGCAAGAGCGTCATTGGGAACGAAGCCGTCGATCAGGCTGATAGACCCAGTCTGCTGCGACGTAGACTGGACTCGAGGCCGAGCGAGCCCGGAAGCGCCAATGGGCTCCTGCGTGGTCAGACAGACCTCGACGAGTTCATGTTCCCCGGCCTCATCAAGCCGTCAAAGCGTCCCGCACTCGACTCTCCCCACGCAAGCGAGAGTGACCCCCTGGTCAAGGAAGTGGCCGAGAGCTTCCGGACGAACAGTCACGGTCGTATCCTTGCTGGCGACCAAGCGAGAAATGCACGCGGAGAGATCAGCTCGGTAGCTCCCAGCGACACGTTCTTGCCCGGAGCCGCGAGCGATGCTTCGATGATGCCTCTGACGGGAAGCTTGACCGGGAATTCGAGCCTGCAGCGTCGGGGCAGCGACGGCGGCTCGAGCGTCGTCCACCTCAGAGATGGCGAGTCCATCGCAGTGGGCGATCGAGCGTCCGAGATTCGATCCACTGATACGGATCTGGGCCTGGGTGACGAGGACAAGGGTGCTGCGTGGCCAACGTCGACGAGACCCACCATCAGAGCCGGGCTGCAGGAGGGTCGGTGGCCAAAGGGGGCTGGGCCTGGGCCTGGATCACTGGAGCCACCGCGCGAGCAGCAGGGGCCACGGCAGCTTCGTGCTTCGCCTAGCGCTGTCCACACGGCGCATCTGATGCAGGAGCACCTCAAGCAACAGCGCCAGCAGGCCCTGCAGGTGCAGCGCGAACGCATTCAGGCGCAACGCAACGAGAAGAAGGGTCCCAAGGAGCGTGAGGCGTCGTACGACGACAGGCTGCACGGTCAGGATCCAGATGGCATCTCTCAGTCGATCCCCACCGAGGCAGAGGGCGAAGAGGAGGAGGCGCAGAGGCGAAAGTCACACATGGCTCTAAGCCTCGCTCATGGAGAGATGAATGGCCAAGAGGACCGTGCTATGGGAAACGAAGCCGAGAGGTCGTCGGATCAGAATTGGTCAGCGGAACATACGCCAACGAGATCCTCCCAAACTAACGGCCGAGTGATTGAGGAGGACCGGGACGCAGACCAGACCAGGGAGGCAGCTGACGATGGTACAGACGTATTCGAGGGAGAGAGCAGAGCCGAGGTGGCAAGTCTTGCAGAGGATGCCGTGCGGAGGCAAGAAGACCTCGAATTGCAGGAACCCTTACCTCTCCTGGAAGGCCAAGAACCTGCCGATGCAGTTGCCGAAGGAGCAGACTTCAGAGAGATCACTCGGTCGTCTAGCAGTAGCGAGCTTACCATCGACGAGTCTAGCGCCATACTGCCAAATGAGAGCATGAGGCAGCCCGGTGAGGGCGCCTTTGACGTGAGCAACGCCCCGACGCACGCGCAAGCCGCTCGTTCACCGTCCAAGCGCGACATGCAATTGCCTTCCTTTATAGGCACTGTCGCTGAAAATCAAGACGAAGGAGAGCGCAGGAGAGAGAATGATCTTTCGGCTCTTGCTCAGCCTCAGCAGACTGCGCTCGATAGACAGGCCAAAGGCAGGCCGTCGTCACGGCAGCAGCTACAAATACCCAAGGCCCCGAATGCTCAAGTGGGAAATGCGGAGCTGGCACGCCGCCGTCGCGAGGCCATGCGAGTGCTGCAGAGCCGCAACGAGGCGGCCAAGAGCATCTTGAAGGGTGCTTACAGGCTCATGGACGAGGTCGCAATAGCGATGTCAATCGATGCGCCCGCTGGGAGTGCATCAGCCGACGCCGGCGGCTCCAGGGTGAGCGAGACGGAGTTCCTGAGGCTGGCCAGGGAGGCCTTTAGGGAGTGTCAAAACGCCGACGTGCGGTGATTTCGCCATTTGCTTCTTTTAATGTCATCTATTTCTACTGTGCTACAACTCTCACCCGCTTCACGAAGGGAGCGTAGGAGAGAAAAGCGCTACATCTATTCTGCGTCTAATTTTTTGTAGCTGTGATCGTGTTACGAGAGCTTGCCAATGGTGAGCATCAGGTCGCCTTGTTGGCATAGGGAGTAAGAGGATCAAGCTGCCAGGGTAATGGAATTGCTTAAGGACAGACAGCAGACGCTCAGGACATACAACAGCTGCTTTGTGAAAATGCACGCAGGAGAACAGGGATATTTGGTCTATGAATTTCGTCATGATTCAGATTGCGATGGTCGGTACAAATGCTCTTACAGGTGAATGTGTCGCTTATTCAGAAATAGAGAGGACCATCATCCCAATCCTCCTCGCCCTCTACACCTTCCCATTCGATGTCAAAGCCATCGCAGCTGGAGCTGTCTGCGTGCCGCTGAAGGAATTGGTCCCAGCGCTCGTAGCTCAAAGATCGGCATTGCACGTCAAAGGCGACTTCCGCAGTTTCCATCTCGATCCGTTTGATATGTTCGTTGTCGAAGAGGAGTTCGATATGCCAGAGGTTATCGTGAGTACGCCTGACCTCGTTCATCCTGGGCAAGAGGTCATTGTAAAGTGGGAGAAAATAGTCATTGAAGTAACGGCTGACATCTTGAGTCGTCATGTCCCCTTCCCGAAGGCATCGTGCCATCTCGTGGGCCTCCTCGAGCAGGTCCAGCAAGTCCTTGACATATGGAAGTTTAGAGTCCGCCGTTATAAATTCTCGCACATTGTCTGCATAGTCCTTGATCGATCGTGCCTCAGCGACGACCTTCTCCTCCCGTTCGGTAGGCTCACGGCCTCTTTCCTTTTTCATTCTTTCGAAACCTTCCTCGATGAACAGAGCTTGCTCCAGAATCCTTGGCAAGCATGGGGCCACCTCTTCGTAATCAGCAATGCACCGCTCAACCAAGTCTTTGCGTTCCTCGACAAGAAACTTGAGCCGGAAGAGTCTGCACCGAGCTTCGTACAGTTGGCTGACGATGGTCTTAGGCTTGCTAAGCTTTGCGATGGGAGGCAAATGTACCCCTACTTCTTCCTCCCTCTCCAAACAGCTGTAATCGACACCGTCCTTATAATGAACCCAGGTTTTGTACGCCCTTCCGCAGTCATAGCAAAGATCTTTGGTGGGTGGGAGCGTAAGAAAAGGATCGGCGGAAGCGCTCGCGTCTTGATCAGAGGACCCGTCGTTGAATTCGCTGCTGGCTTCTTCCGTGATACTCATCACGTTCATGTTGGCTCTCTGGCTTTTCTTTGAAGTTGAAAGTTAGGTGTTGGTGATCGGGATGAGAGATGGTTGGAAGGCATGGGCTGGTGATTACTCCTTGCAGCACATATGAGACGCGTCACGCACAACCTGGTGAGGATGGATAGTACAGTCTAGTACAGTACAGTACATTCTGCCGAAGATTCTGGGAGGACACGCTGTTACTCCCCTGCAAACACTGATGGTCGAGTGCGAGAGAGGTCTCAGGTCTGGCCACCGAATCAGAGAATTAAACCGACTCATTGAGCATCTCAAACAGTCCTGAGTAGCGCCGAGGTCGCGAGCATGGGATGCGTCACAAAGTTGGCAAGCAAATAAATTGCAGCAGTCATCGGTCCGATTTTTTTGCTGCCGCGTTAGACTAAAGAGAAGACGAGCACATTCTCACACTCAAAGGAGCACCGCATTGTAAAAAAGGGCCTATGATGCATGTTTTACATTGCGATTACTGTACAAAATGATCGCCGGCGTCTCGAGATTATTCCTCGTCCTGCTCAGCGGAGCCGCCCTGCTCTTCGCTACGAGCAGCCCACCAGCCCTTGCCATAGCTGACGCAGAGCTCCGTGCCGGCCTTGATGGGATGAGCGCCAGTAAAGATGGCCAGGCCCCTGATTTTCCGTGGCAGTGGCTGCTGCTGCCCTTCCTCTCCCGAAGTATGTGCACTGAGCTCGGCCTTCTTCTCTCTAGGAAAGGGCCGCTCGACCTCTTTGAAAAAGACATTGGGCCGCTTCAAGATGCCCCGGTAGTCGTTGACGAATCTCGCCTCGTTGCCGCAGTGCGTCGCATCGATGCCACACCGTGCGACCTCGCCGTCATTCTCGCCCTCTTGCGCAGACGCCGGTGCGGAGACAGAGATCGAAGCGTCGTACTGGCTCTCGTCGTCCTGATCGGGCGGAACCGAGAGGTGCGCGCGGCCAAGGTAGGGCACTATGAGAGTATTAGGCTCGAGGTCGCATCTGGCAAACAGGCCGCATTGGCCCTGTGCGGGGTGGTGGTCCAGGGACGAGCCATAAGCTGGGACGAAGGGCGTCTTGGGCGTGATGGGGACGATGGCCACCAGATTGCGCTTCCGAAGCTGGACGGGGTGGAAGGGAGAGCTCGTCGAAGGCGCCGTGCAGAGCGTGAGCGCGATTGCGTGGGGCAGCTGCGACGAGGGGAGGCAGCTCGACGACAGGTACTCGATCTCCGCAGGCCAATTTGGCGGTGGCTGATTGACCTCCAGCTCTTGGTTCGAAGAGGAGTCGTCGGACGGACGCGACGGAGCTATCGATGCGGCCTCTGTATCTTGCCGCCTGCCTCGACCCATTCCATGCGGCTCGTCTGGCTCTCACCTCGCCTTGTCGCAAGCGCGCGCTGTTGGTGGAGATCCACCTTTATTTTTTCTCTGAGCCAAGTTCTTCCACAGAATGACGTGCGACCGTTCCTGTGGCTTGAGTTCGGTCCGAGTCGCGTGCGAGCTGCATTTTTTGATTCGCTGCTAGTCGGGTCAACACTAAAGAGAGATAAACTTTTCTCCTAGTCACATCGCGCCCCAACGACGACGACGAAGTGCGATAGGCACGGAGTGTGTGCGTGCGAGAGAGAAGGGAGAAGGGAAAGCGCTTGAGGATGGACAGCAGCCGCGCAACGTCGACGTCGGCGCATTCGTCAAAGATGGGAGACACAAATCCTACTGCGATCCCTGCAGCGCCCGTCTACGCGGGCAAGGAAAGCAACGAGGGCAAGGCGCCGGAAGCGGGAGAGGCTGGCGACGAGGGCAGGAGGAGCAGGAGCAAGATTAAGGATGCTTTCCAAAGCCGCTTGGCTCATGTTGTCTCGCACGAGGAGGCGACAATCCCTCTGGCCTGGCAGGCGCTCAACACGGGTCTCGTCGATGCGCTCATCTACTCCAAGAGCCAGATCTGGACGGGCTTCCAAACAGGTGTGTATCTAAAAAGGGCCCTAGCCTCAATGCTATGCGTGCTCATGCCCCCTTACCTCTCTCGTCGACCTGCAGGGAACATGGTGCAATTCAGCCAGAATGTTGCCCAGTACATGCTGCCCGGCGTCGAGCGGTACCCGCTGCTGACGCTCGAGAGGGCGCTCAGCGTCATCTCCTTCATCCTGGGAAGCTTTGTCGGTGCACTGGGCGGCCGCCGATGGGGAGATCGCAACCGATCTTGGCTAATTGCTTCGAGTCTGCTCCAGTCCTTTGCCCTCTTTGGCGCGGCAGGCATCCTGCTTAGCCGACCCGAGGACGAGGCGCCCTCGTTCACGTACTGGCCCGGTACGATTGTCTTGGTGAGTCTGACACATTCTCTGAAGCAACAGCAGCGCCGCGAGAGCTGATGTCTATGACAACAAGGTCGCCTTCTCGATGGGCATGCAGTCGATCGCTGCGCAGAAGCTCGTCTCACCTGCTTTTGCAACTGTGAGTCTGATGCCGCGCCCCCCTTGGTCTTGCTCGCCACCTAGTCTGACTCGCATCGCTGCCCTGTCATTTACCCCACAACAGACGGTCGCATTCACAGCGACACTGACACAGATCGCGTCGGACCCTTATCTCTTCTTTCTTACGCTATCGCCCATCGAGAAGCATCGCGCAAAGCGCCAGCTGCAGCAATCGACAGCTCTCGAAGATGGCCCATCGTCGAACCCCCCACCGCCGAAAAAGCCGACGATCAGGACGCTTGGCAGGGACCGAAGGCTGCTCGGCATTTTCGCCCTCTGCACAGGCGCGGGTGTGGCTGAGATGCTTCTTCAGTCTCACGCTGGCGTACGCGGCGGCTTGGCCATCGCGGCCGGCTTCAAGCTGGTCCAGTCCGTGAGTGCCTCTTTCCACTTCTTCTTGCTCTTCTAGAAGCAGCGCAGGCTCATGTTTTGTTTGCATCGTAGCTCCTTTGGCTCGTACCGAGCGGCGAATGAAACGGGACAATTCGCATCCCTCCTTCCTCATCAGCAATTTTTCCGCGCAACCTGTGTCGCCCCCTCCGCCACGATTCCCTATCCCAGCGCACCCCTGCTCTCCCCTCTTACTCCTCCAACCCCCCCCCCTTTCCCTTTCTTCACATAGACAAAGTCCTCCCAGAGGTTAGATGGTGTTTATGATATCCCCCTTGGGTCGCAATGGTCATGCACATTCGGAGAGCAGGGCAGTATCATTCTGCGTTGCTCCCCGAGATATTTGCAGCAGCATTGCAAGCGATTTTCCGACCACCAGAATCAAGCCGGACTGTACGCCAGCATTGTGTCGCGTTCGGCTCGGTAAACGCCCCTTACGTTGCCTCGATCTGTGCAATCACGTCGAGAGAGCAAGTGGTAGTGGCAGTAGAGGACAACAGAGATGAAGCGGGGCACCGTAGACTGCAGCATTGACCTGGGGCGATGACAGGGACTACACAGGTCAGGACAGGCGTGCATTCCCAGTTGTTGACGTACCCTTTCGCCCATCGATGGTTGCCCATCTGCTCGGTATCCCCGCCGCCCTCTCGGCCCGCACAAAAGAGTTACAATTCTGAGCCCCGAACTCTTTTATTTTTTTCCTCTTTCACTCGGTCAGGTTACCTCCAGGCAGTGTTTGGGCATGGCTCGTTTGCTGCAATGCATGGCATCCTGGTGTTTATTTAGAGTCTTCCCGTGTCGGTTTCACTGCCATGGGGAGCAAAACAAGGTGAAAGGCCCCGAATCGGCCTTCCTCGGTTGGCCATCGTTTGCCCTGGGCGCTGTTGTCAAGTGCTGTTTGTCACCCACTAGACGCCCATCGATCGAAAGAGGAAGAAGAAAAAAGGCATAAAAGGATGGGTCTCAGATGGGTGAATTGCATCTTACCCACCTCCCACCCACTTTTCTCCTTCTATCCTCTCCTCCCCTCCCCTCCCTTGGCGCAGGCTCGCCAAGGTCCTCTGTCCCTTCCCTTTCGCACTTCGACTTCCTCGTCGACCTCATCAAGACCATTGCGGCTGGCCCGTCATGGTTCTTTTGGTGTCAATGCGAGGCTTGTGTCTTGCATTGCTCCTCCTGACCTCAGTTGCTTGCGCAGGTGACAACAAGTCGCTATCCCGCCAGCTCTCTAGACTCGATTCTTCGTCAGGGTCTTCCGAACCCGACAGCCCAATCTCAGTCCTGCCCTCCTCCTTCAAGAGCCTCACCGACTCCGTCCACAACAAGGACGTTGAAAGAGTCAAGGGGAACGAGAACACTTTAACGCTTTTTGAACAAGAAGACCCAAAGACAAGGACAGCGCGGCTGGACAAGTTGTACCACAGGGCCAAGCAGTCCCACGGCCGCCTTTCCACACTCCGCCCCTCCGGTCGCTCCAACTCGCCATCGCATCAGGAGAAGCGGTCTGATGAAGGATCACAGGGTTCATCAGAGGAGGAGGAGAAAAAGACAGTGGATCTCGTTGACCTCGCAGGCGAGGAAAAAGGAGAGAAGCCGGCTTCCTCCGTCCCAACGTCCCCTTCGCAGACTGTCTCGTTCTCGCACCAACCTGACGACCATTCGCCCTTGCTGGACGAAAAGCCAGTGATTGAGAAGCCGGACCCCAAGCCTTTCTATGGCTCGAAAAAGTATTTCGACAACCAGAAGGATAGGGAGAAAGTCCACGAACGTAAAGCACATCCCAAGCACTCGTTGCCAGAAGAACACTCGTGGATTTCTGGTGAAGAGGCGCCTCGGCTCGAAGAAGGACTCCACAAACGTGAGAAACTCGCTCTTGAGAAGGAAATGGACGATGGGCACATTGAAAGATGGGGCCATAAAGGTGAAGAGGGAGAAGAAGAGAGCATGAAGGGCGCTGCCTTGCCATCGACGAGCGGGCTTGATCCTCGACCCCTCTCTCCCGCGGTCAGGACACATACTTCACCGATTCATTCCCCTCGCACTGATCACGAAGGCACTGGCAGCGTCAATATGATGCAAGACAAATTCGATGAGATGAAGATCACTTCTCCGAGTCGCGACAACAGTATGCCTGGAGCTTCCACACCCAGCAAACCTGCTCGAAAAAGGGAAGAAGAGGATCTAGTTAAGAAGATAAGCAGAGCGGAGGCGAAGGTCAATAAGATGGAGGCTGCCCGTAAGAAGATCGATGAATTTATCGAAGCGAGTCGCTTGGGAAGAAGAGAATTGATAAAAAACCTCATCAAGGCCCGAAATTATCTGAGGCGTCTGAAGAGGGAGTGCATCGGACAAGCTGCAAAGAGAGGAACCGAGGATGGCACCAACGTGCCTTCGGAGCCACCCAGGGTGGGAGAGAAGTTTGATACTCTCTCAGACCCAGGCGCCGAGCCTCACAAGATGAAGCCCAGTGGCACGAAAAGCGATTCCGATTCTGGAAGCGGAAAGGAAGCGCACAAACTTCAAGTCCCCCCCAAAGAGCAGGAAGAGGAGGAGGAAAACGCGCTGAGGCGGCGCAGTAGTCTCTATAAACGTGAAAAACTCGATCCTGAAGCGAAAGTGGACGACTGGGTCATCGAAAAGAGAGGCAACAGGGAGGAAAAAGAAGACGAGAGCATGGGGGAAGCTACCTCGTCATCGACAAGCAGGCTTGAACCTCGACCTCTCTCTCCCTTGGCCAGGACATCTACTTCACCGATTCATTCCCTTCGCACTGATCACGAAGGCACTGGCAGCATCAACATGATGCAAGACAAATTCGATGAGATGATGACCACTTCTCCGACTCGCGACAACGATATGCATGAAGCCTTCACACCCGGAACTACTGATGAAGACGAGGAAGAAGAGAATCCAGCTGAAAAGCTGCAAAGATGGAAGGCGAAGGTCGCTAAGTTCAAAAAGGCCCGCAACGAGTACGATGGAACCCTCAGGTGGGCCCGTAAACTTCTGGAGAAACTGAAAAAGAAACCTTCGGAGCATGCTGCAGAGGGACTCACTGCTCAAAACGAGGAAAAAGCGGAATCAGCTAATTGCCATTGCCAAAAGCTAGCGGAGGCGGAGATTGCTGAGTTAGAAAAGGTCATCGAGAAGAACGCTGAAAAACTCAGAACGGCCCGTCGGACTGTGAAGTGTGTGAAGGGGAAGTGTCCGAAGCATACTAAAAAGAGACTCGCTGCACAGAGACAACACGAGGCACGCACCAAGCCATTAGAGCCACCCAGGGAGGGAGAGAAAGTTGAGACACTCTCAGACCCAGGCGCTGAGCCTCACAAGATGGAGCCCAGTGGCACGAAAAGCGCCTCCGATTCTGGAAGCGGAAAGGAAGCGCACAAAGTTCACGTTCACCCCAAATTGCAGGAGGAGGAGAAAACGGCGCTGAGGCGGCGTAGTCATCTCTACAAACGTGAGATACTCGAATCCGAGACGGAAGGGGACAACCGGGACATCGAAAAGAGAGGCAACAGGGAGGGAAAAGAAGACGAGAGCATGCAGGGCGCTGCCTTGCCATCGACGAGCGGGGTTGATCCTCGACCCCTCTCTCTCTCGGCCAGGACACCTTCTTCACCGAGTCATTCCTCTCGCATTGCTCATGAAGACATTGACGGCGCCCACACGATGCAAGACACCTTTCATGATGAGATCAAGACCACTTCTCCTGCTCGCGAAACCGACATGCTTGAAGGTTCCACATCCAAGAAAACTGATGACGAGGAAGGAGAGGATCCAGCTCTAAAACTGGAGAGAGCGAAGGCGAAGATCGACAACTTAAGAGGTGCCCGCGAGAAGAACCATGAAGAACTCAAAGAGGCCCAACGAGAATGGCAGGATCTGATAATGGAGTCTTTGAAGCTTGATGCAAAGGTACCCACTGCTCAAAGCAAGGAAGAAGCGGAACTAGCTCAAAAGGAAAGCGAAGAAGTAGCGCAATTAGCTCGGAAGGAAAAGGAGGTGGACAAGAAGCTAGATAAGATATACAGGGTCCTTGCAAACATCGAGGAAGAACTCAAAAAGGCCCATCAAAATCTGAAGAGGCTGGAGGGAAAGAGTCCGAAGCATCCTGAAAAGGGACTCGCTGCAAAGGGAAGGAATAAGAAACGTCCCAAGCTATCGAAGCCACCCAGGGAGGAAGAGAAAATTGATACACTCTCAGACCCAGGCGCCGAGCCTCAAAAGATGGAACCCAATGGCACGGAAAGCGACTCCGATTCTGGAAGCGGAAAGGAAGGGCACAAAGTTCAAGCTTCCCCCCATGAGCAGGAGGAGGAGGAAAACGCGCTGAGGCGGCGTAGTCATCTCTACAAAAGTGAGAAACTCGAATCCGAAACGGAAAGGGACGACCGGGACATCGAAAAGAGAGGCTTTCCCGATGAAGAAGAAGATGAGAGCATGGAGGACGCTGCCTCGCCATCGACAAGCAGGCATGAAGCTCGACCGCTCTCACCCTCGGCAGAGACACCAACTTCACGAACTCATCTTCTTCACACTGACCACGAAGGCACTGGCAGCATCAATACGGTGCAAGACAGACTTGAAGAGATGAAGATCACTTCTCCGGCTCGCGACAACGATATGCCTGAAGCTTACGAGCCCAGAGACAAGGCCCCGAAGGAAGAGCTTCGAAAGCAAGAACGGCCCGCTGAAATGTCTTATAGACTGGATCTAAGGAGGCTCTTAAACAAATGGCAACGGGACGACGTTGCCAAAGCTGAATATCGACGGCACCTACGACAGAAATTCAAACACTTGACAGCATCTGAAGCCCGGAAGGTGATGAAAGAACGGTCAAGGCTCAAAGCAAGGGAGCGTAGGCACGAACGTAATTTAGGGCTGCGAGAAACTGGTTTTCGAATCGGGAAGGCTCCGAAGAGAGTTTCAAGGGCTAGGAAGAGCCACGGAGGGCCTGATACGATTCATGAAAGTGATTCGGAGGTTGAACAAGAGCTGCTACGATTAAGAGCTCAAGAGCTAGCACGAGCTAAAATTGCCTGTGTGGCAAAGAATGGGAAGCTTCAGAATCAGAACGCCGCAGCGATAAGCGATGAGCAGCGTCACAGCGCTCCACCGGAGCCACCCAGTCCCGACGAGGAATCTAGTTCATCATCAGACACCAGTGCGGGGAGTACGGAAAGCGACTCCGACTCTGGTTCCGAAAGGAACGTCGGCAAAGTTCAGTTTCGACCCGAGGAGCAGCAGCAGGGAATGGAGCTGAGGCGGCGCAGTAGTCTCTACAAACGTGAGGTACTCGATCCCGAAACAGAAGTGGACGACTGGGATATCGAGAAGAGAGGCAACGACGATGGTGATGAAAAAGAAGAAGAAGACGAGAGCGTGGAAGACGCTGCCTCGCCAGCGACAAGCAGGCATGAAGCTCGACCTCTTTCTCCCTCGGCAAAGATACCAATCTCACGGCCTCAACTCCATCGCGCTGATCATGAAAACATTGGCAGCGTTGACGTGGTCAAAGACAGAATGAGGGACATGAAGATCACGTATCCAGCCCACGACATCAATTTACCTGAAGCTTACGAGCCCAGAGACAAGGCCCAAAAGATAAAGCTCCGAAAGCTGGAACGACCCGCTGAAACGTCCCATAGATCGGTCTCGAGTAGCGAACTCTCAATTAAGAGGGAGAGGGAGGCGGAGCGCCTTTGGGAAGCTGAAGTCCAACCTTCAGCACCACCTGAACCCCAGGAGGAAGAGAGAGAACGCTTAAGGCTCGAAAGAGAGCACATGCTGGAAGATAATCCAAGTCTGCAAGAAGAACGAAGAGCTCATCTCGAAGGCTTTTTTCAAAACCCGAGGGCATTAAGTTGGTGTCGACTCCATGCAGTCCAACCTTCAGCTCCACCTGAACCCCGGAAGGAAGAGAGAGAACGCTTAAGGCTCGAAAGGGAGCACATGCTGGAAGATAATCCAAGTCTGCAAGAAGAACGAAGAGCTCATCGCGAAGACTTTTGTCAAGCCCCGAGGGCAGATTGCCACTCCTCAATGGGGTGGAAGACGAACTGGTGGAGGCGCTTGTGTGAGAGGAAGGAAAGGAACTTACAACGGAAAGCTCGACATGGAGCACAAGCTGGATCTATTGGCCGTAAGGAAGCAAACATCCGGAGGCAGAGCATGAAGCAGACTGCAGCGGCCATGCTAAAAAAGAAGCGCCTCAACGGTCCATCGGAGCCACTCAAGGAGGAAGAGAAAGCTGATCTGCTTTCAGACTCAAGCACCGTGCCTCACATGATCAGTTCCAGCAGCTCGAATAGCGATTCCGGCACTGAACGCGAAAAGAAAGCCCACAAAGCCAAGACTCACCCCGAGCAGCAGCAGCAGCAGCAAGACGCGCTATGGCGGCGTGGGCTCGGAGACGGGGAGGCTGAGGAGTATGTTTCAGAAAGCGAAGAGGGTGAGATGCGCAGCGACGAAGATGACAAGGGCAAGGGTGAGCTAAGCAGCGACGAGGGTGACAGGGGCAAGGGTAAGAAAATCGCAGAAGAAGACCATAAATATCAGGTGAGGACAGACGTAACCAGCTTTATTGAGGTGATACTGATTAGAGGAGGGTAATATAGCCAGTGAGGAGGCACTCGGCCTCGTATGAGGACCCTTTCCTCCCTCATATTATCGAAAGAGAGGCTATCAAAGAAAGGATGAAGAAACAAGAGGAATGGCACAGCCAAGAAAATGAAGTGGAAGCGGGGGATGCGGACTCGGGAATGAAGGGAACAAATCAAGAAAGGAGGTTCAGAAGACAGAGGTCAGCGGAGAAGCGTGAGAGGAGCACTTATAAGCGCATGGGATCCTCTCATATCCTGGAAAGAGATGCTATCACAGAATGGATAAGAAAACAAGAGAATTGGCACAGCGAAGAAGATGAAGTGGAAGCGGGGGATGCGGACTCGGAAATAAAGGGGACAAATCAAGAAAGGAGGTTCAGAAGACTGAGGTCAACGGAGAAGCGTGAGAGGAGCAATCCTAAGCGCAGGGGAACCAGGAGCCGCAACACAGAGGGGAATGGAAAGCGTCCTTACTTGAAAAAGATCGACGTGCCTTCAGATCCCGCCGACGAGCTTCAGAGGAGGAGCACCGGTAGCACCGAAAGTCGCCGTGAGTACGGAAGGTGCCCCAGAACAGGGCATCAGGACGAGACTCCATTGGAGAAGCGAAGCGGCGACGGGGAAGAAGAGTCGACATCGAGTGAGGATGCCGCGGAATCGTTTCATGTAGCGGAGGCGAGACCGGGATCGTTTGAAAAGAGAAGCCCGGGAAAGGAGAGGGGTCAAGCTTCCCGTTTGTCAGACTCTCCAGCCGACTCTGACGAATCAATGGGAGACGCTTCACAACCGCAGTCACAATGGGGAAAGTCAAAGAACCCAACCCTCGGCGTGCAGAATAAGGGTATAAAGAAGTCTGGCTTAGGCCTTCAGGGGCGTAGAAGTACTGTGGCAACACTTCAAATCCCTTCTGCTGATATCCAGTCTCTATTTGGGAAGGATTCAAAAGACCCGACCCATGCACCGCACTTCGGGAAAATTAAACCAGACAAGAAAACAGAGGAAGTGACAGAACTCCTGGACGGTTTGAGCTTCAAAAAGGGGTAATGTCCTCGTCATCTTCCTCGGCGCACAGCGCCTTGGCCTTTTGCAGCCCTCCCTCGCGTCGTGCTCCTGGCCCTTTCCTTCTTCACTAAGCATCTCCATCACCACACACCCACATGCCGTATCTCGCTCTTCCTTGCTCCTCCTTTCCCTCTCTAGTTATTCACCTTCCCCGCTGCTCCATCTTTCCACCAGTCTCTCCTTCTCCTCGAAGAACCTCTTTCTCCCCTTTCCATGTCACTAAATTCTCCGTCTCTTTGCTTCTCAATCCAATTCGATGCCCTGAGACTGAGACACGCAAGGATGGAGGCCGGACAGGCTGACTGCTAGACACTCAGTTTAATCTCCTCTCTTGTTTAGTCGTACACTGTCTCGACGGCAGGTCAGCGGTCGTTTCAAGGTACTGGAGCACAGACGAAAGAGAGACTAACCATGGATCAATCCGGTCCAGAGCGTCCACCAGAGGACATAGCCAAAGGCCATCTCCTGCAGCCCGTCAATGAGGAACTTGGCCAGGCCCAGCGCCTGCACGCCGCCGCCGCTCTGCCGCGGTGCGCTGGATGTTGCTTTCTCACCAGTGACGGGTGCCGGGACGGGGTTGAAGGAGACGAGGTACCTCGAGGGCCGGGCCTGGGCATTGACGAGGAGGATGCACACGTTGGCGACGAGGAGCGAGGCGGCGTAGAAGTAGAAGCCGTCGAGGTTCGTGAGGCCCAGCACGCCCGCGGCGGAGCCAGCGACGGAGGTAAATACGGACCTTATGCTGCACGCCCCTGTACGTCAGCGACTGGCGTCTTTTCTTGTGCTATAGAGCAAGAGCGCGGAGAGGGAAGGGAGAGGAGAGGAAGCGGAAGCCACTACTCACTAGTAGAGCTGCTTGGCGTTGTGCTGCACGTTCTCGGGACAGAAGGACTGTGAATGCAGGAGCTGTGCCTGCGTGTGCGCAGCCGCTGCGTCGGCGTCCATCGCTGCTCTGGGGTAAGGGAACAGCGGCGTCAAGCGGTTGCTCTAAGTTCTGACAGCTGGTCTAGTCAGTCGCCAAGTGTTGCATTTAGAAGACAGCACTAAAATGTGCGCCAGTCGTGCGCGCCAGCCTTCTCGGCCGAAAAGTACTTAAGAAGCGATTGGCAGCCGGGCAGGAACCGACGGTTCCGAGTTGTGCCCACGCCCCTCTGGTCTGACTGCACGGTACAAATTCCGGCGGAATTTTGCGTCAGGTTCCTGCCTGGCTCGAGGTACCAGTTGCGCAACCTGGCCTTAGCGTCCTTTTTCCGAGGCCGCCTGAGCATACCTCGTGATGGTGCATGACGCAAAGGCCAGATGCATACCGACAGAATGCCCTCGCTTCCCGAGCCCACGTCAAGTCACACGGATCTGAGAAAGGGTACTTAAAGGGTAATCTCGACAGCGGACGCCGACCTTCTTCCCCTCACTTCTCGATCATCGCGACCTTCCCTTCCACTAGCAACCATCTGAACCATGTCCAAGGTCAGCACCTACCAGGCACCCCCTACGAGCAACATCGACGCCATGGACGAGGATGCCGCGGCCCCGCCCTCGTACCACCAGACGGTGCAGGGGGCCTCGCTGCCTGCGACGGCCGCCTACATGCAGGACAAGAAGACGGCCGACGTGTCGTCGGAGCGCGACGTTGGCGCCTACGCTGGCGAGTCGTCGGCCTCGGGCGCAGTGGGCGTTCCCATGTCGTACGCAGGCAGCCCCGACTGGGCGCCCCAAGAGTCGGACCGGCAGCTGACGGCGCTGGAGAAGGCCATCATCGTCTCGCGCGCGGCACTGCGGCGCAGCGGCGAAAAGGCAAAGACATCGGCCACGCTCAGCATCCCTTCGTTCCAGCGTGCGCCGGGCACAGCGCTGGGCCAGACGTATGGGCGCTTCGCAGACGACGTCTCGATCCCCTCGCTGCGCGACCAGCACGAGATCGAGTTCAAGCCCCAGTACCCAGGCGTCCAGATGGTCGACCACGACGTGTCGTCGGCCGACTGGGCCGCCTTCCTCGAGGACCTGCAGGTGGCGGCAAAGTACTCGGCCTACCAAAAGGCCTATGCCAACATTGCGCCCGTGACGCAGTACATGACCGTCGTCGGCCTCGTGGCCACGCGCGTCGTGGGTGCGGCAACAAAGACGACGACGAACAAGGCCGTGTTTGAAGTCGTGGAGCGGTGGAACGAGCACTGCTTCCAGAGGCGCCGCCTCGATGTGTGAGTGTTTCTCTCTTTCACCCACGTCCTCTTTCTTTGCACGAGCTGATCTGAACTGAAAACAGCTTCATCCACAACGGACACAGTCGCCTGACGGCAAAGGGCGTGGGCGAGGCCGTGCCTCCGCTCAAGAGCTCGCTGAAGAAGACCAAGTTCGATGACTCGTCTGATTCCGACTCGGACTCGGACTCAGACTCAGACTCGGACGAGGAGCCGGGTGCGCCGCCTCAGCTGGGCAGCAAGAAGTACGAGCAGCGAATGGAAAAGTACAACCGCAGGCTCGCCAAGCGCGAGCGACGGGCAGCGAGGCGCGAGGAGAAGCAGCGCGGCAAGCAGGCCAAGCGCGAGGCAAGGAGTGGCAAGCGGGCCTGCAGGGCCACACAACGCGGCTTCAACAAGAACGTCGACTTCTGGCTCGTCGTTTCTTCTGTGTAGTAGGAGGAATAGTGGTGTAACTGTAACTGTAATTGTACATATGGGCTGGCTTTGATGCAAAATTGCATGATCTTCCTTCCTTTCCGTGTGGCCCCAGCGAAGCGCAGGTCACGCTCACACCACTCTTCTCGGCCTCTTCTCGCGCGAAGAAGAAAAAGGCTAAAAAAAAAGGTCAGTCGTGTGGAGGGACACCCTTCTTCCTCGCCACCATAGCGACATCAAGACTGTGACTGCACTAGCAATAGCAACAACACCATTCCGATCCCACGCATACAGGCACGCAGCAGCCTCGTCCGGCACCTCGCGACCATGACGACGACGACGACTGCGGCTGCGGCTGCAGGCGCAAAGAGCGGCGACGGAAGCAACGGTGTGGGAGGGCAGCAGCAGCAGCATGAAGGGACCTCCAAGCGCTCGATCCTGGCGCTACCCCTCGTCGCGCCACGCAACCGCCTCACGGCCTCGCTCCTCGCCGACCCGCTGACGCCGCACCCGGCTGCGCTGCTGTCGGTGCCCGCCTCGTCGCCGTCGCTGCTCCGGCGCTCGCGGGGCGTGGGTGAGGGCGCGCACTTCACCTACGTCTCGCCGCTCACGCTCGAGTTTCCATACGATCTCAAGCCCGATGCGGAGCAACAGAAGGAGGAGGAGGAGCGCGAGAAGCAGCTCGATTCTGAGGAAGGCAAGGCCGAGGAGGAGATGACGGCCGAGGAGAGGCAGGAGCGGGCGATGAAGCGGGCTAGGGAGGGCATGGAGCGCGTCGAGCGCCTCATGCGGCCCCTCGAGATCCATCCCGACGACGTCCAATCAAAGAGCACCGACAACGAAAATGACGGATTGCAAGGCTTCCTGCCGAAAGGGAGAAAGACACAAACATACCCCTCGGCGCGCCTCCTCGCTCTCTCGACGGCCTGCATCGACGACTGCCTGCCTGCGCTTGATACCGGCGATGCATCGGCATGGATCAAGGCGCACAACGGGCAGGATGGACCCTCGTGCTACTCGTCGGGCCCTATGGCCAAGGCGCCAGAGACAGCGGCGGAACGGGCACGGTATGAGCTGAGCGACTATCTCAGTGGGCGTCTCATCGGCGCGCGGCTCCCTGCCCCTGCGAACCTTGCACACGTCGACGAGGGCGCCGAGCTGGGCGTGGCCGAGGCCAAGCACCAGCGCATCGTCCGTCTTGGCCAGGACCACCAGGAGCCCGCCGTGGAGCGCTACGATCGCAGGATGGCGGAGCTCTCCAAGCGCGCCGAGGAGGACGGCGTCTGGCAGGGCTATGCACCGTGGGCCAACGCCTACTCGGGCCACCAATTTGGCGTCTGGGCCGGCCAGCTCGGCGATGGGCGCGCCGTCTCGCTCATGGAGGCTCTCGATACGACAACGGGCCATCGCTGGGAGGTGCAGCTCAAGGGTGCTGGCCGGACGCCGTACTCGCGCTTCGCAGACGGGCTCGCCACCCTCGGCAGCTCCGTGCGCGAGTTCCTGGCCAGCGAGCACCTGGCTGCGCTCGGCATCCCCACCTCGCGCGCCCTCGCCGTCACGTCGCTGCCGGACCTGCCCGTGGTGCGCGAGCGCCGCAATGCCGCGGCCGTCTGCACGCGCCTGGCGCCCATCTGGACCCGCATCGGCTCCTTTGAGCACCACGCCGAGCGCAAGGAGTGGGAGAGCGCGCGCCTCCTCGCCGAGTTTGTCGCCCGCCAGGGCTACGGCTGGCCGCTGTCCTCCTCCTCCGAAGAGGGCAAGGCATCCTTTGTCGGCAACCTCGTCCTCGAGTGCGCGCGTCGCAATGCCGCAATGATTGCAAAGTGGCAGGCGCTCGGCTTCATGCACGGCGTCATGAACACCGACAACATCTCGCTCCTGGGTATCACCATTGACTTTGGGCCGTATGCGATGATGGACCTGTTTGACCAGAGCCAGATCTGCAACAAAAGCGACGGCGAGGGCCGCTACACGTACAAGATGCAGCCCACGATGGGCCTGTATGCGCTCGAGAAGCTCCTCGACGCCGTCGCCCCGCTTGTGGGCTATGAGCGCGAGCACGGTCACGCGCCCGCGCCTGGCGTGCTGGTGCGTGCGACGGGCGAGCAGATTGCCGCGTGGGGTGCCAAGGGCCAGGAACTGCGCGAGGAACTCAAGACGACGTACATGGCCACAACGCTCGAGGCGTGGAAGCACGCCTGGCTGCACCGCCTCGGCCTCGACGCGCTGCCGTCCTCGGAGCAGCAGCAGCAGCGCGACGACCGCGAGGAGCTCATCGACCCGCTCCTTGCCGTGCTCGAAGAGTGCGACTTTTCGACGACGCTCCGCCGCCTCTGCGCCTTTGCCGCAGAGCCTACTGGCCAGGACGCCGGCACGTTTGCGGAGCAGTGGATCAGCTGGGACAAAGTGCCCGAGTACCTGCGCGAGACGAAGCGCGAGGGCGCAGCGCGCTTCTTGGCCACGTACGCCGCGAGGCTGCAGGCGCTGGGCGACAACAGGCTCTCGCTCGACGAGCTCCGCCAGAGGAACCCGGCGTTTGTGTTGAGGAACTGGGTCACGGACGAGGTTGTGCAGCGCCTCGAGACAAAGGACGACACCGACTTCCTCGAGAGGGTGCTGGCGTACTGCGTCGATCCATTCAAAGAGCCGAGCAACGACGAGGAAAAGGTGAGTCAGGCAGTGTGATTGCTTTCTCATCTCTTTTCGCTGATCAATCTGGCACAACAGCGACTCTGCTCCATCGGGACACCTTTGACGGGCAACATGCCATCGTGCTCTTCTTAAAATCCTCATGTAATTGCATCTCAGTCTCATTCCTCCTCTTCTTTGTCGTCTTCGCCGATGCCCTCTGCGTACTCGTCGAAAGCGGCCTTGAACGCCTTTGCCTCTGCCCGCTCGATTGCGTCTGTGCGCGCACACTGCCGCCAGTCGATGCGATCCGGCACATTGAGGTACTTTGCCAGCGTCTCTCTGGCAAATTGCAGCGTGAACCTCTTTCCCTGCAGCAGCATTATCCACGTCTTTCCCTCTGCTGCTGCTGCTGCTGCTGCTGCTGCTGCTCCCTTCTTTGTTGTCGCAGGAAGGTCCAGCCGAAAGTAGTCGCCGCGGTCCCTTCTCTCCTCGTCACTCTGGCTCTCGCTGATGGCAAGCAACGCACGGACTTCGTCTGCATCCTCCACAAACTCGTACCCGTTCTCCTGCGCCGCCTGGCGAAAGACGGCCTCGAGCTTAGGCCCACACAGGTGCTCGGGTACGGGCACGACCTGCGTCTGCATGTGACCCGCGCGCGTGCCCGAGGTGCGGCAGACCTCCCAGGCAATGGGCAGCGCGCCAAACGAGGCGTAGCACGCGGTCAGGGCCGAGCGCCAGGCGTCGGCCTCCTTTTGCACGGGCAGCGATAGCTCCGGCGCGGCACCCAGCAAAGAAGGAAAGTGGTTGATCGGGCTGTGTTAATAGGGAAGAATCAGTACTTGTGATATTGCGACGTCTGAATGGGCAATGCACCCACATGATCAGTACGTGTCCGCCTCCAGGCACAGGGCTCAGCGGGTCGCTCGTGGGCGGCAGCTGGCCCTTTGGCATGGCGACGTAGCAGGCACTTCCGACGGCGACGATGAGGTGTTTTGCGCACTGTGGGTTGCCCAGACAGAACCAGCAATCCTCGGGCCCGACAGGGATCACAAGCGCCTTTTTCCGCGGCGGCATATCGACGTCGGGCTTGGAGGGCAGGCCCGAGCGGGCGCGCTTCCCGCCGCCTGCGCCTCCAGACCAGCGGAAGTTGGGACCAGACTCCATATGGATGCCTGGGCCATCTGTGGGCGGTTGGCGCCGCTTGTTTGGCTTTGAGCTTGTCAGAGACGCTGATGATGTCTGGCTAAAGGGGCTCGCCGTCGCATTGGCAATCTTAGGCGCTGTCTTGCTGGCTTCCGATGCAGCGACGGCCGAGGCCGGCACGACGTTAAGCGCCATGAACCATCGGGCCTTTTTGGCATTGGCGAAACGGGCCAGGGAGACGAATCGTGTAGCATAATTGTACGGATGAGGCGGCCTGATGTTCTTGTAAGGCTCTCGTTCCCAGAAGGAGCCCGTCGCCCGGAGCTCCTTGCCCTGCTCTGTGCCGTCGAGACCGACAATTCCAGTGGCGAGCGATTCGTCGCCAGGCTCGCCCGTCGAGCCAGGTGCCAGGGCAAAGTGGTATCTTGGCTGCCCAGCTCTGGCGAGCGTGGCACACGGAGGCGCACCCCACATCCTCGATGTTGCGTGGGGCAACTTTTCGGCATTGGAGAGAAGCGTGATGCCACTCGGCCAGGCATTGGTCAGCAGCAGGTCGATGGGCGGACGGCTGGCCATGGCCTCCTCCTCCTCGGCCCGTGCCTGTAGCAGAGACGCACGAGCAGCCGCCTGGGCCCGCGCCTGGGCGAGAGACGTCGGCTCTTCGTCGAGCGTCGAGGCGCTCGTCGACGCCTCTTTGAACGAGGGGTGGGCCAGCAGCCTACCGACAGAGGACGACGTCATGCAGGTATTGTCCAATGGCTTTGGGAAGTGATGTCAGGCTCGATCTTACTGCTTCTTCACCTACATCGTTCTCACCTGCGACTGGGCATCTTCGCTAGATGCCCATCGACTTGCATTCCACCGTCCGCCTGCTGCTGCGACTCGCAGTCCCACGTGATCGGGGTCCGGCTTCACAAGGCACACGTCGCCCTTGCCAAGAGAATAGAGCCGTTCGCAGAGTCTGTGAGGCTCATCGCCATTGGATGATGACGAAGAACCTGTCGTCTCTTTCGCAAAGAGCGCCTCGACCGAGGGGTGCAGCTTCGATGGCGGATGGAGAATGTAGGTCGTGGTGGGCACTGCAAACGCGTGCAGGGTAAGCTTGGCACTACTGCTCCAGCTCTCTTTAACTCCACTCACACCTAATGTCTCCAGCCAGCAGCAAGCGTTCGTCCTCTGAGAGATCCTCGTCTCCGCCAGACCAGGGCTTGAAGAAGTCGCCCAGAACGAAGAGCGCATCAAAGGGCCCGTGCTTTGCATTGATGGCCGACACCTTTGCAACCAGCTCTTGTATCCGCCCACATGGTGGTCCAATCGTGAGGCTTCGCTCCAAGTCTCAGCCATCAATCAAACCTCGACTCATAGGTAGAGTTCACTCACAGCTTTAGCGCCCTCGTCGACGATGATGACGATGCCATGTCGATGCTGGGTTTTGAGAAGAATGAGCAAGACGCAAGCTTCAACAGGCCAAAATGGAGGTGCTTACGTAAGTATCTAAATCAGTCACAGTCTTCTGTCATTTTGAGAATCCCGAAGGTGGAGAGGTTAGACCGAAGCAGGGCAAGCCACAATTGTGCCGAGGTGCCGAATCCGACAGGGAGCTGCATCGACATCGACAGGCTCCCCTGTTCGGAGCCTCGGATGTTCTGCTGCTATGCCCAAAAGTCGACTCGCTGATGAGCCTCCTGTCGCGATCTCCCGACGATTCTCCTTGCGCCACGATTGCCACTCTGCGGTATGAAAACACCGTATATGCATGCATGCATGTCGACGAGGTGGACGACAACACTGCTGCTACTACCAGCTTGTGGCATGTGAATGAGGCTGTGAAGCATACGTGTCTATTTCTGTCCTTTCTCTCTCAGTCTCTGACGTCGCAACTACCGGCGGTGGCTGGGCTGAGTCGTTGGAGATCGATCCCTGCATCCGCATGTTCTGTCCAGTGCTGCCGCAGAGCCGCCAGGCGGGCTCGGTGCGCCTGTGCAGCCCTTGATGAAAGAAGCACGATGTCCACCACGTCCCTCCCTGTCTCTCCTTCGCTTCTTGCTCAAACTTTCTTGCTAGCACGGCGAAACCAGCCACAATGCCTGACAAGCCTGTTTGGGTCCAGGGCACTAGCCGCGGATCGCGTTGCTCTCTTAATACATCGGCCTTGTCCATCCGTGGACCATCGACGGAGACTAGCACACTAGGACTGGAATGCAGCGTCGTCGCAATTTCTCTGCACCAGCGTACTAGCCCCCCTCCTTTTTTTTGTGGCTTGCAGGCCTGTCAAAACGCTGTCTTCCTTTGCCCCGGACTAGCATGTACGGAAAGAAGCGAACGAAATCCGAAACAAGCAGAGGCCTCCCAGCTTCGCGCATGCACAGAGACGCAAATTACAAGACACATAATTAATGAAGAAGAAGAAGAGGGCGAAAAAGGGCAGAGGAAAACTAAATTAACACCGCACAAATCCGATTTTTTTCTACCAACAACCCTTTTGCTTTGCTCACCGGACATTACTGTCCCGTACGTACGACTGACTGGCTGGCTCTGGAACCTACCTCTTTTCACCCTCCTCTCCACCACTCTCCCATCTCCTTTTGACGATCCGGTCTCCCAATCCTTGGCAGCGCTGTCATCAGCCAGCTCCCGGTATTTGTCAGAAAGAGTGCGAGTCGCAGTCAGCTCCAACTTACCCCTCAAATCGTCGGTCCAGATCTCGACTTTGCTCGCATTTAGCTAGCTTTTTTTTCACACAAATAAAGCTGGGAAAGAGAAAGAGAGAGCGCGCGCGCGCCTGGACCTCGTTTGCCTTTGCCCTTCATTATTGGCTTTTCCGCTTCCGCCGACCGACACAGCTCAAACAACGGCTTTCCTCTGTTCACACTCCCAGCGACGACACGTTCGGAGCGAGGTCAAGGATTCGCTCTTCTATCTCGCCGTCTCTGTTGGGTTCCTGGTCCGATCATTTCCGCGGGCGGATCGTGAGAACCGGTGGGGCGGAGATCAAGCAGAGGGCGACCGAGTCAGAGGACAGACAGCGCCGCGCCCAGTGCCCCCTCTCCGTCTCTAGCGCCCTGAACGGGAGAAGAGGATAACGAGGACGAGGGAGCGAGGAGAAACACCCCCCCCCCCCTGTTCTGCCTCCTTCTCGTGCGAGAAGTTCGCAGGAAGGAAGAAGAAGAGCAACAAAAGACAATAAAACAGCTTCGCCTGGGCATGTCGTTGACCGCCTCGGCCACTCTGACTGCATCGCCCCAGACCACAACCGCTGCTGCGCCACCGCTGTCGACGTCGACGTCGTCGTCCTCGTTGTTGATCGAACACGACGAAAACGCGGGATCGCACGCCACTGCCAGCAGCAGCAGCAGCAACAGCAAAGACGCCGTCCAGAGCTTCTTCCAGCATCCACTCCACAGGCTCGCCCAGAGGGACGCTTCGGCCGACTCGCACACGACCGACTCGGGCAGCGCAATGAACCACAGCACAGGGCCCAGCAGCGGCAGCGGCGGGAGCAACAGCAGCCACGGAGGACCGGCGCCGAGCGGTGGCTCGCCCTCGACGAGCTACGAGTTCATCTCGTCATCTTCGGCTGCCTCGTCGTCGTCGGCGATGCTAGCCGGCGGCCTCGGCGCGAGTGCCAAAAAGAGAAAGGGAAACTCACCGCAGTACCAGCATGACATCGACAGCAGCCCGCATCGACAGCACAAAAAGACGGCGAGCGGGGCCTCATCGGGCGCGAGCGAGTCTCCCCACGGCCCTGCCGACGAGATGGCCGGAGGCACAGCTATGTCGTCTTCTCCACCGACATCGTCATCGTCGGCATCTGCAGCAGCAGCAGCAGCAGCAGCGGCGGCAGCCGCGAGCAAGGCTGCCAAGCGCATCAAGACTGCGCGTGCCTGCGACTCGTGCCGTCGGAAAAAGATTCGGTGCGATGTCATTGATGACGGATCGACACCGATCGGCAATCCGCAGAACGGCAACGGCGGCCTCACCTGCGCCCACTGCCGCCAGTACGGCTTTGAATGCACCTTTTTCCTGCCCATCACCGAGACGAGGTTCAAAAAGAAACGCGAAAAGGAAGCAGAAGAGGCCGCCGCTGCTGCTGCTGCCGCTGCAGCGGCGGCGGCAGCGGCGGCCCAGGGGGGAAGGATGGGTCCGCCGTTTCGAGGAGGCGTGTTCCCTAACCAGGCACTACCACCGCCTCCTCCAGGGCTCATGGCCGCGCCCTATGGCGCGAACCCGGCCGCTGTTCGGCCGCCCTTTGCCACGCCTTCTTCATTTGGACCTATGCCCGGCCAGCGAGCCCATCTCGATGGCTCCCTGCCACCGCACGGCAGCGGCAAGATCAGCTCGGCTCAGGAGTGGCCACCGGGGCCTTCAGTGCCCCGCCACCTGCAGAGGCCCACGCCCCCCGCGGCGCAACCACAGCAGCAGCAGCAGCAGCAGCCGCCACAGCAGCCACAGTCATTTGAACTCATCGAAGGTCCGAGCGCGTCGGCGCACCTCTCAAGGCGCGCAATGAGCAACGGCAGCAACGCAGTCAGCCCCAGGAGCACCGCGCCGGCTGCCAGCAGCAGCAAGGGCGCCGCCGCCGCTGCTGCTACTGGGCAGCGGACCTCGACGAGTCCGCCACCACCGCCCGATACGCGCGTCCTGGGCCCCACCTCGATCGCATACATTGTCCACTCGACGGCCTTTGTGCCCGGCGCAGCGATCGAGGAGCACGATCTCAAGCACCACCAGACCTTTGAGGTTGGCGCATCCGGCGACGGCATCATCAAGTTCCACAAGCCACCCAAGGGCTCCGTCCCCTCGGACGGCGACGACGACGACATGATGGCCTCGGCAACCATGCTCAAGGTGCCCGACTCGATCCGTGGCCGCCTCGCCGGCGATGTGGCCGAGAAGCTCGTCAACACCTACTTTGAAAAGATTGGGCCCTTGTTCCCCGTCATTACCAAGAGCGAGTTCCTCCATCTCTCGCCGCCGCCGCCACTGCTGCTGTACGCCATCTGTGGTGTAGCTGCGCTCAGCCGCGAGGTGCCAAAGGAGGTGCTGGGCGCGATCAAGGTGACGCTCAACAGCCTCTTTCGCGACGTGGACCTGCTCAGCGACTCCAACAACCTCACCGTCAAGTCGCTCCTGATCATGAGCCTGCACAGCGACCTCCACGGCACCACTGCCGTCCAGAGCGGCTCCCGCTGCTGGAACAGGACTGGCGCCGCCATTCGCATGGCACAGGACCTCGGCCTGCACAGGGACGCCTCGGGCCGCGACGACGTCGACGACGACGCCTTTTTCCTCGAGCAGAAGCGCCGCATCTGGGGCTGCTGCGTCACTGCCGACCGCACAATGTCCATCTCCCTCGGTCACCCCTTGGCCATCGACCTGACCGACTGCGACGTCCGGCTGCCCTCGCCCCACGAGATCCTCCGCTACCCCACCGACCTTCCATCGGACCCAGGCAAAGAGCGTCCGTTTGGCTTCAACACCGAGATGCTCAAGCTCAGTATCCTCTTTGGCCGCGTCATGAAGACCATCTACAGCCCCACGGGCCTGATGAAGACGACGGACCAGGACATTGTCGGCCTCCTCAACGACATTGACGCCTGGCGCGAGCATCTGCCCGAAGACCTGCAGTTCAAGGGCGCCACCGAGTCGTCGCACGCCGCCGGCATCCTCCACGTCTCGTTTGCCTGCCTTCTTCACCTCTTCTTCCGCGTCTTTATGCGCATCTCCTACAACTGCCCCACCCATCTCTCGTTCTCGCTCACGATTGAGCGCATGACGAATCTGATTCGGTATTCGCGCGAGGCCATCGAGTGGGTCGACGGCAACGACTTCTACCTCGACACGCTCCAGTTTGTCTCCTACGGCCTCGTCTTTTGCGCCACTGTGCAGTACCACGCCTGGGTTCGTCGCGGTGAGCAGACGGCACTCACGACGCTGCAGCGGGCCAAGGACTGCGTCACCAGGTTCAAGCGCCAGGGCGAAGAGGACCGCAACGAGGAGCTGTCGATGCGCGCAAAGACGGCCGAGGTCATTACACTGCTCCACAAGGCCGCCTCGGGTGCTTACTCCAACAGCCCCAGCTCGGGCAACCTCAATCCGACGGCAGGCGTCACCAATCGCCGGACCGCAGAGACGGTCCGGGGCCTCGTCTTCCGGCCCGACGTCTCGAGGCCTGGGGGTGGCGTGTACGTGGCGACGAAGCCGAACCTGATGCTCGACGACCTGCCGAGAGGCACCATCATCATGCAGGAGACCGAGGCTGGCCGAGTGCCGACGCTCGTCAGGACGTCGCAGGACGGCCAAGGTGGCTGGCAGCCCATTGCGCGAAGTGGCCTCGATTCGGGTCCCAAGCCTTCGGGCGGCGGCAGCGGCGGCGCAGAGGTCGGTCCGCGCGACGAGACGCGAGGAAGCGCAAGTGGAGGAGCAGGCGCCCCTGTCGATGGCAGCATGCCCAACGGCGATCTGACCTACGTTGCAGGCAACGTGTGGGCAGACGCCCAGGGCAGACCAGTCGACCGTCGTGGCTCGAAGCTCCTGACAATGGTGCCCTTCCAGCCTGGCCAGATGGAGAAGCAGCCGGACGGCACCTGGGCCCCGACGGGCGCTGCTGCCAATGCTGTCCCTTCATCGCTCCTCCATCGCCTGTCCTTGAGCGGTGGCAATGGCGGCGGAGGCGGCAGTGGTGAGGGTGGAGAAGCGGGCAACGACGACAGGCGTGTCTCGTTTTCGACGCTTGCCAATTCGCTCTTCGAAGGCGGCAACGTGAACCCGAGGCTCAACGATGCCTCCTGGTTTGCTGCGCTGTCCCAGGTCGCCTACGGCAACGACGGCCAGCCGCTGTCAATGACGGATGCCTACACCTTTGACGGACAGAGCATCGCCGTGCTCCCGCCCAACTTCACCTTTGGCGGCAACCCGTCGTCGTCATCGTCGGCGGCCGCGGATGGCAGCACGCCCTCGGGTCAGTTCTCTGGTCCGGGCGCGTCTACCTTTGGCACCGGCGCCTTTACGCCGTCGGCCAACCTCGGCGGCGGCAATGGCCCTGCCTCTGGCTCGGCCGCTGGGCTGCAACAGCACGGGCTCAACGCCAACGGCGCGCTCGCGTCGGCGGCTGCTGGCTCGGGCCCCAGCCTCGTCGATCCTCTCATGATCGACGGCATGCCCGGTGGACCTCTGGACTTTGCCGCATGGGATCAGTGGTTCCGCTCCACGGGGACGCAGCAGCAGCAGCAGCAGCAGTCGCTCCAATAACAAAAGAAGAAGGGCTCGACTCGTAAAAGAAGAAGTTTATTTATTACCGTTGAAGGATGTAGCTGTACCTCCGTCTCCTCTTCCCCATCCTTCTGGCCCCGTCCTTGTATCTTAGAGATGTTGCATTCCCTCGTCCCCCTCTCTTCTCTCCTAGTCCTTGTTACTTGTCCTGAAGCTTGTCTCTTCCTGGTCCTTTCTCTTCCAACGGCAATGGACAATCTGGATAATTAAGCCATTCGGTAAAAGGGGGCAGCGCATGGTATCTAAAGTATTTGACATGGGACGATAGTCTATATCAGGGAAAGCGGGGGGAAAAAGGTGCCGAGCATTTTTCTATTCTATGTCTCGCGGCCGGTGCCCAAGAGGACGGCCTCCTGCTTCTCGCGGTTCCAGTCGAGGGGGCCCGTAGGCAGCTCCTGCGCGCCGAGCTTGGCCTTGATCTCGTCGTCCAGGTTGGGTGCGTCGTCGAACACCCACTCCATCTCTCCACCATAGACGCGCGGCAGATCAGCAGGAGCAACCAGCGTCCGAAGCTCCTTCTTGGCAGCCTCGGACTCGGCGGGTCCGAGGATGTGGATCTTGCGGCGGGTGCCCTCGTCGAAGCAGAGCCGGACCCAGGACCAGACGGTGGGGAAAAACGAGGGTGCATTGACTACCGCGATGGTGTCGAGCGTCTCGGGGTAGTGGGCCGATCCCAGCGTGATCGACTGCTGGAGGTGGGAGCGCAGTGCGAGGAGCGACATGAGCGAGACGGAGGCGAGATCGACGATTGTCGTGATGGACGTGATGGGTGGCGCGGGCGCGTCCGACGGCTTCGACTCGGGCGAAGCATGCTTGACGTCTGAGACGAAGCGAGTGAGAAAGCGGCTCAGGAACTCGGTCAGGACGACGCTGTAGTTCGCATATACTGGTCAGCATGAAGAAAGGGGGGGGGAGGAGCTCAAAAGGCGGGTAGGGCGATGCTCACATGCGATTGTAGCGCTCCTCCTCTGGCTCGGCAAAGATGGCCTTCTGCCGTTTCTTGTCCAGCGAGGCGATCCGAAAGACATAAAGCGGCCTGCCGTCGAGGTCGCGCCGGCCAGTCCAGCGCGTGTAATAGGTCCGCGAGGTTTCAAACTGCGACACGTCAAACGTCTCATAGAGGTGGTCCAGGTTAATCTTGCGGCGCCAGGCGTCCGTCGCACGGAGCTGGTCCAAGGCCCGCGCCACGTTGTAGCTTCTCGCACGGAAGAAGCGGCTGGAATAGGCCCGCGAGTGAGTTCAGGACATAAGGTGGCAGAACGCGCGAGATGGGGGCTGTCAAACTTACGCGAGCGTGACGTCGTCGAACCACCTCTTGTCCTCCTTTCGCTCCTCGCCAGCGCCAGCGCCAGTGCCAGTGCCAATCGTGGCGTACGCCTCGCGGCGGAACTCTTCCCAGGCAGACTGGTGCTTTCCGTCGATGAGCACCGTCGATTGCAGCGCGACCTTTTTGTCGAGCTCGTCCGCGTTTGCTGCGTGCCCATTGGCGTGGCCATTCTCGACCGGCACCGGGTTCTCGGCGGTGATTGTTGCCATGGCTCTCGTTGCGTCTGTGGTGATTGTTCAGACTCTTGCAGTGGTCCCTCGATTGCTTGTGGTGCCTGCTCAAAGCGCTCGCAGTCGTCTTTATAGCACTAGATGTGGCTGTGATGCTTGCTCGAGAGCGGTGAGGAGGAAGCACGTCGGGCGCACGGACATAAAAGGAGCTTCACGCACATCTCAGGCCAAAAAAAAACATAACGGAAAAGAATTCCTTCTTGTCACTCAGCTCACTTACTTCTTCTCCATTCGTTTCAAATGCCGGCAGATTTTTTATTGGATTTTTTTTTTCGAGGTTCATGCGCGACGAATCCCATGAATGCCTTGAATGCCATCGGTCCGATCACCATGCCGAGACGGGCGGTGACTCATTGTGCAGAAGATGTAATGTTCCATTTTTGCAAGAATAGAGAGAGGAAGGAGGCTGGGAATCTAAAGAACAGAGGCGCATATCTATCATGCCTTGTTCGCCGCATCCTTTTCCTCGTCCTCGTCTTCGTGGACGGGCGCGAAGCGGCTCATCTTCCTGAGCGTGCGGCCATACCTCATAAAGATCAGCGGCACAGGAATCGCGGCGGCGGCCACGGCGCCCAGCACGCTCATGGCGGGCCCCACGCCCATGTTGTGAAACATGGGCCCTGCCGCGAGCGGAAGGCCGCACCCAAAGATACTCCGCAGAAACGTGTTGGCACTGACGGCGCTCGCCGCGTACAGGCCGTACGTGTCCACGAGGAAATTGATACATTGCTGTGAGAAGGTGCGGCGTGTCAGCTTTTCCCTCTCTCACCACATCTCGCGCTGGCTAGACCAAGTAATCAGGACAAGGACACTCACCTGGAAAATAACGGTGAAGCCAGCACCGATGAAGCCAATGGCAAAGCACGGGATGAGCCAGTGGAATTTGGGGTCGGCCGTCCAGCCGAACCAGAAGAGGCCCGTCGTAAAGAGAATCGAGCCAATGAAGACGGGCGGCAGGCGCGCCTCGGGCACAGGTCGACCCTTGTTGCGCTCGACGGCACGAAAGTAGAAGGGCTGGTTGCCAATGTTGATGATCAGGGCAAAGAGGATGCCGATGGTGAGTGACGCAAAGGGCAGTGTGCTGACGATGGGCCCCCAGTGACGCATCTCGGAAAAGACGATGGGAAACACCTCGAGGGTCATGTAGAGGAGGCCGTAGACAAAGGAGGCGTATAGGCAGATGAGTGTCACCATGGGCTCCGTTGTGAGGAGGATTAGAGGCCGCGAGAGCTGCTTTGTAACAATCGAGTTGACATCGAGCTTGATGTCCTCGTGCGGGTGGTGCCACCGCGTTTCGCCGGTCTCACGACGCAGGCGCTGGGCCTTGCGCTGGAGCAGCACAGGCGAGTATAACTCGGGTAAACAGAAAAAGGCAAGGGCGAGGGCAGCGAAAGTGATGATGGCTTGCAGGTACTCTGTCCACCGCCAGCTGACTTTGACTGTCAGGGCCGAGCCGATAATAGGGCCTAAGGTGGGGCCGGCGCTGACAGCAATGGCATAGATGCTGATGGCGATGCCCCTTGCCTTCGAGTTGTACATGTCGCCCATACTTGCACCTACGTTGGCAACGGGTGCCGATCCGAAGACGCCTGCAAAGAAACGAGTGATGAATACCGCCTGCGCATTCGTGCTCGTCGCGGTGCCGATTGAGAAGAGGCCGAGGCAGAACATCGGTGGGAGCAAGGACCACCGGCGGCCCCACACCTCGCTGATGGGGCCCCAGAGCAGGGGCCCTAGGGCAAAGCCGAGAACGTAGAGCGAGATGGCGAGGACCATGACCTCCTGGCCGACGTGGACGTAGGCGCCAATCGCCTTCTCTGCTGGGGAGACGATGCTGGAGCCAAGACTGGCGGCAAAAGCGAGCATGGCGAGCTGAAAGGTGGCAAAGGACTTGTACGCAATGGACCAGTTGCGCGGGTCGGTCTTGTCGCCTGGCCCGTCAAATGTGACCAGCCATGGGTCTTTGTCGGCATGGTGGTGAGGTGTGGTGTCGTTGGCGGGCGCAGACGCGCTGCCGATCTCTTCGTCTTTCGCGCCGTCCTTTGCGGCAGCCGATGGCGGGACGGGCGACGACTCATCAGGGCTCGGCGCCACCGTGGACGAGATGCTGTGCATAGAGGGCGTCGGTGTGGGCGCCATCGTCGTCCTTAGTTGACCTCTCTTCTCGCTCCCGTTCTGCGGCCCCCTTTCCCTTTTATTCTTTCTTCGCCAGTGGGACCTTCTGAGTCAGTTAGTGGTGGCACAGACGCAGGTCCATCGGTAGCCTCAGCGGTTTCGGCCCATAGGTCCGAAACGGAGTAGGTAGTACTGTATGTTATTTAGGTATGTTTCCCTTCCTCCATCTCACAATTCCCGCCCTTGAGCTTAGATCATCCGGCATCCTTTTCTTTTTTTTTTCCCTCCAAGCTAGCTTACCGTACGGTACCGTACGATATGCCAGAGCTTAGAAATAACCCTGTGACGTACGCGCGCTTCTTGCCGGCGGTCTGCCTCTGGAAGCAACGCATTCGAATAAAGTAGTCCAAAGTCCGATCCGAACAAATCCGAAAGGGGGTGGAGCTCCCTCCTCGTCGATAAGCGGGTTTGTGGTACTGTACATTAGTAGTGTTCAGACTGTCGCCATCTTAAGACTAATGCAAGAGACAGGGCCATCATTTGGTCGGACGCGCGGGCGGGTGCCTTCCGTCCGCGCGTGTAGTGAGCGCAGAGAGCTCGATATTGCTTGGGGAGCGGTGGTACACAAAGGTCATCTACACATGGGTTTGTCTAGAGAAGATTGGGCTACGGAGAGACATCGTCTGATGAGCGAGTAGTGATGGAGGAGGAAAGAGTCGTAGGGATTAAACTTCAGAAAGGCCAATGTAGGGCATGTCGATCTGTGTGCCGGGGACATGGGTAGCGTCGCGTATCGACGACGGGACTTGGAGCCTTCCAAAGAGCTCGGGTGCCTCGCGGAAGACGAGGGCCATTCCCATTGCTCTGCGAATATTTGTCAATATTTCAGCTTTTTCTATAAGGTCAAGGAAGGGGCTTGCAGCACCCACAGATGATGGCCGATATGACAGTGCATCAGCGTGGCCGAGGGGTAGGCAACCTCGAAACGCACGACGGCCCAGCCAGCAGAGGGAATCTGCCATCCATCGCGCGACGGAGGGTTCCGCATGTTGAGCAGCGTCGCATTGCGTCGATTCGCCTCGGCCACGCTGTTGAAGGGAAATCGAGTCGCATTGCCGTTGGTCCCTGGCCCAGACTGGCCCAGGACCCAGACTTTAGACTGGTGCTTGTGGAGCGGGTGCGGCGGTGGGCCCTCGGGCTCAATCTTGGTGAATGCCTGCTCAAAGATGATGTCTACGATGCTGCCGTTGCGCAGGTCAATGACCGTGCCCTCGTACTCGTTGATGCTGAAGCTGTTTGGGTTGCGGAACAGCAGTGGCTGCTGAAGGAAGCGAAGCGACTGGAACGGCTTGGCCCGTGGCGAGACAACCCAGGTGAGCACATTTGCCAAGGCGACGGTGACACGGATCGTGTAGTCGGCTGCACCCTGGGGCACAGGCTTGGCAGGGAATGGCGCCAACCCCGAGTCGTTCTGCGTCCTTGCGCCGGAGAGCTTGGTACCGTTGTACCGGACCCAGACGCGCGAGAGATTCTGCGGTGTGGGGAGCACATTGGTGATCTGGCCTTGCTGATCCTTGCGCTTGTCCCAGCCATTGAGCCATTCGGCAGGTCGCACCTGGAGAGGAGCATCGACGGCGTCGGTCAGGTTCTGTCCCTTGGAAAGCAGCGGCTCTAGGCTCGGCAGCATGCGTGGCTGGCAGACGGTGCTGTTGATACGCAGGCAGGCCGTGTTGACAGGCGGGTAGCCTGGCTGGCCAGCTGGGAAGTCGGACAAGGTGTCGACTTCGACACCGTTGGTCACCGATGTTGCTTTTACGGAGCCCAGAAGGGCGAGGAGAGGTTCACTCTCATTTGTGCTGGGCCTCGACTGGAAGTTGGACCCAAGCGGGTCTTCAATACCGACGCTCGCCAAGAGGCCGTTGGCCGGGGGAAGAATGGGAAGGCCTTGCGCTTTTACGCTGCCGAGCGAGATCTGTTGACTTAGGCCTTGAATGGCCTGGCCGGGCCGCGAACGGTCGACGTTAAAGACGGCGAATCCGGAAATGAGCTGGGGCGCAAAGCGGAAGAGGGGAAGGCGAATCGTGTAGTTGCCAACGGGCTGGTCCAGACGGACAAGTACGGTGTAGCGCGTGCCGACGATGAGATCGACGGCCTGGACCTGCTGTGGGACGACAAATTCACCGTCGGCAGCGACCACGTAGAGATCGTGGCCATCGATCGAAAAGGTGTGCGAGGCCAGCCCACCGGCATTTACGAGATTGATGGCTGCCCAGCCGCCATCGGAGCTAGCGTGTCGCGATGCGGTAATGACGGGGTAGGACGACGTGGTGTTGGAGCAAGTGACGGGGTTGAGGTCGCTGCTCTTGTTGACAAATGCGTACGTTGGTCTGGCCATGCACCCTTTGACGTCGACGTCGCCCATTGCTTGCTGATCTCCCGCCTCGTTTGCGATCACCGTTTGCGAGGGGCAAATGACGCGGCCCTGGCCATTGAGGAGTACGCTGTCGATGCACACTGGATTGGTGCCGGTCTTTTGCTCGCGGATCAGCACGTTGTTCATATCCTCGTGGCGCCAGGTGAAGAGGAGCGCGTGGTAGGGCTTCCGGAAGGCCTCCTCCATCGACCGCTGCTCGTTGATGTCGCCACTGATGAGCCTCCATGGTCTCGGCCGGCTGTCACGGGGCCGAATGAAGATGGGTCCCCGAATGCCGTCTTCAAAAGTGTCTGTATTTCAACGTAATTCTCGGTCCTCGGTCAGTAAGCAAAATCGGGCGGACGAAGGTGAATTCTCACTCACCGCCGACGTGGGTGTGGTACCAGTAGGCGCCGTAATCGATGACTTTAAACTCGTACGTGAAGTTATCCTGGGGCAGGATGGGGTGCTGCGTCACGCCCGGCACGCCGTCCATCCACGGACGTGCCTTGTGCTCGAGGCCGTGGAAGTGGATCGTGGCCGAAAAGGGCAGGTGGTTGTGGACATGGATGCGGAGCGTGTCGCCCTCGTCGCACTCCAGTGCCGGACCGGGTGACTGGCCATTGATGGTGTAGACCTTGCGCCAATACCCGTCGGGTGCGAGCCAGTCGGTGCCGAAGGTCAAGTCGTACTCGCGCACAGCGGCATGGACGGCGAAGATGAGCGTCGAAAGACCGACGAGGAAGAGATGAGTGGCCCTCATGGGAATTTCTCAGGACCTGTGTTGCCTATGTTTAGGGGGAGAGATAAGGGGGCTGCGAGCGATGAGCTGACGGTCCCAGATGAAGATGAGGAAAGAGGAGGCAAAATGGCTCACCTCCAGAAAAACGCTCATTATATACCTCACCGCTGCACCGGTTGCGGACCGGCGTCGGAGGCCAAAAGTGCGATGGGGGGCAGTGCGCAGTTGTCAAGCGGCTCGGGAAAAGAGAGTACGTACTGACCCTCCTGAGGCCCGGTCGTGGGCCAGGGCAGTTGCAGGGTGAGCATTGTTGTCTCGCGCGATGGGAAAGGGAGACAAGCGGTGTTCAGGGCGGCGGCGCCGCAGGTCCGTCAGCGCGTGCTATGAATGCTGCATTTGATGCTGAGTAGCAGTCGAACAACGTAATAACAACAAATAATGAAAAACCCGCTGAGCTGCTACAGGCGGCCAAGCATTTGCAGGTGCGCCGCCCCGAACGAACAGCCGGTAGACCCTCGTCACTCAAAGGCACAAATGCACAGAACGGCCGGGCCGCTCTACATACAGATCCATATATATGCATGTTGAGAGCGGCAAAATGCGCGCAATGCACGGGAGGTTGGGCGCGCAAGTTTTGGCAGGCGCATCTCCGCCAGCGCGGCGCGCGGCACGGAGCTGTCAATAAATGGCTCTCCCTCCCTTCTTGGCGCACAGCAAAGAGCGGCTTTTTTTCCGTACTGCGAGCGAGCCCAAGCAGTAGTGGCAGGAGATGAGCTCTTTTTCTCTCCAGCTCACTCTTGAATCTCCGCATCCTCGCCGGCATGGCTTTCCTTCAAAGGTCCTCGGACATGTCTCTAGACAGACATGTCTCACGCCGGGAAGACCGCGGTCTCCGGGCGGGCCGCTGGGGGCGAAAAGGTCCCAGGATGACTTGTTCCCTCTGCTGCTTCTCTAACGATGACGTGAGCGGCATTTGACAGACCGGTAGGATTACTATATCATGCTCTTTCGAGGCTTTTTATTTACACTGCGCCCGCCGCATCACGGCCCATGCTAATCGGGCCTGACCCTCCCCTCTTCTAGGTGCAGTGGTCGCTCTTGCTGTCTTTCACCTCACTGGCGCCCATTCAGGTCCCCACTATCCCCACTTTCCTTTCAAACGACACGTTCAACTCGAATACAAACCAACGCTCAGTAGATGAAGGGGACGATGGCCTTGCGCTGGCGAGGGTAGTCCTTGAACTCTTTGCGGTAGTTCTGAGAAAGCCAAGAGACGTCAGTTGCTATGGTTTGGCAAAGGCAGAAGAGAGAGACGCACCCGGTGCCTGGCCGTGGCCCATGGGAACATGTACGCCGAAGCGACGACGGTAAAGATGGCCGACGCGGGCGACAGGGTGAGGACGGTGAAGGCGATCCACGCGACAATCTGGCCAATCCAAAATAAATCAATGTATCGTCTTCTCTAATTATGGAAGACACCCAACTCACCTCGTAAAAGTAGTTGGGGCAGCTGACGAGCTCAAAGAGGCCGCCGCGGGGGATGCCGCGCTTGCGGGTGCCGGCAGGCCGGAGGTTGCGAAGCGTGAGGTGGCACGAGAAGTTGGCCAGCTCGGCGAGGGCCCACACGGCAGTGCATGCGCCCAGGAAGCGAGGGTCGTCCTGGATGGTGCCCTTGACGGCCTGTGCGCTAAAGTAGGGCGAGAAAGTGGCCGCGCCCAGGAAGAGGCCCGAGAGGAGCCAGTAGTGGGCCGAGTTGCGGAAGATGTTGAAGAGGGGCATCGTCGCAGACGAGAAGCGGTGCACGAACAGCGTCTCGAGCTCGCGCTTGGCAAAGTGGGCAATGACGAGGCCAAATGCGACCCTTGTTGAAGGTAATGTGAGCCCGGCTGCGCAAGTGGCTCGACTGGCTCTCAGTACACTCACTTTTGCATCTGCGAGTACTCAAAGTGCTTGCGCCAGATGACGGGGCCGTAGTAGTAGAGCAGGGGCTGGATCAGAAGAGGTCCAGCCTGTGTGCAGCAAAGATTCGTCGGGTGACCAGTCAGCCAAACGCGCAATCTAGGGGGCAAAGGAGGAGTGTGCGCACATATTCAGTCAGGAACACGGTCCTCCATGCGACCTGGGGACCAAGGTCCTTGAGATAGAGGACGTCGCCCGTCTTTACATTTTCCTCGCGCAGCGTCTTGCTCTCGTCGAGCAGCGGCCGCTTCTCCTCGGTGGTGAGGCGCTGCCGGTGGGTGCCGAGCCTCTTGATGCGCTCCTGGATCGCCTTCTTGACCTCACCCACGGTGGGCTCAGAGGAGAGATCGAGGACGAGGGGAAACGGGCTCGAGGTCGCCTTGTTGGTGCTCGGCGACGACCGGTTGGCAATCGTGATTTCAAAGGCGGCCTGGCCCTGAGATCGCGTCTTGTGTGTCGACATTGTCTCTCTAGCTTTTGCTCGCAGATGGGTGGGTGGATGGCTGCTGTTGTCCTCCTCCCTGCTTGCTGGTGGAGGAAGAAGGTGTTGTGTGATGCCAATTTCTTCCCTCTTTCGCGCACAAGCCTCGCCACGCGAAAAGTCTAAACTTGCCAAAGCAGGGGCCAAGGAAAGAAGAAGCACCGGCCACCGCGACGACTAAAGACAACAAGACAACAACTAGGTGCAAAGAGAGGGCCGCCAGCACTGCACTCGATGGCCGCAGCAACCACGGCGAGCATCAATGGCAGCGGCGGCCACGACGGGGATGCGCTGCTCTCCCTGCTGATGCGCGGTGCAGGGGCAAACGAGGGTCTGCTCGATCTGGGCGGCTCGTCGTCATCATCGTCGTCGTCGTACCTTCACTCGCTCACCTCTAAGTCGCTGGCCGACCTGCGCGTGCAGCCTGCTGCACTCACCACGACAATCACCTCGCTTGATGGCCAGCTCTCGACGCTGTGTGCGCGCCACGTCGACTCATTTGTCCAGGTGCGCCAGGCCTCGTCGTCGCTCCCTCGCGGGCTCGACGCCCTCGACGCCAAGCTCGATTCGCTCCTCGACTCTGCCATCCCTCGCCTCGCACAGGCCTCGCAGCGCTTCCCTTCGGCTGCCCAGCCTCACCTCGAGGCCAAGCGCCGCGCACAGGCGCTGCTCAAACAGCACCGTTCCTCGCTGGCCGACGTGCTCGAGCTGCCGGCGCTCCTGGCTACATGCGTGCGCGCTAACCACCCCGTCGAAGCGCTGCAGCTCGGCATTCACATTGCCAAGCTCTCCCGTCCTGCGGACTCTTTCGCTACTGCTGCTTCCTCCTCGCATTCGATACCATTCCCGGGAGAGGCAGCCAGGGGTCATGCTGTGCTGGTTGCCCTGCGGCGCGAGGCGTGGCAGCATCTCGTCGTCCTTCGAGACGACCTGCTCAAGGGCCTGGATGCCCGGGGTCTGCGCCTTCCCGTCGCTCGCCGATACGTCTCACTGCTCAGGATATTCTCGGAGGTGGACCACGAGGCTGCCGGTGGCCCCTCCCGCGGTGATGCTATCCAAGCCAAGCAGCAACGCGGCGGCGTGCCCCCAAAGCTGGCCCTGTCCGACTCGACCATCTGCCTCTCGCTGCTCAGATCGCGGTATGCTGCCCTCGTGTCGAGGCTCGAGAATGCCACTTCGTCGCACGAAGAGGCCAGCGATGCTGCTTCGAGGTGCTCAGCGAGGATCAGCGTCTGGAGAGAGGCAGTCAACGACGCCATTGGCATGGCCTTGGCCCTATTCGTCGACAGGCCTGCCCAGCCTGCCTCTTCCTCAAATACCACAAGCGCCGTCGATGCCAACGCTGACACCAGCGACGGTGCGGCAGAAGAAGCAGACAGCCAGCTGAGCCCCACGATGCTCATCTCGGCCTTTGCGTCCAAGGCCCTCCATCTGCTCGGCGCCTCGCTCGACGCCGACGTGCCCGGGATCACATCGAGCGCATTCGAACGGCATCCTGCCTCCTACTCCAAGGCCGCCACCGACGTCCTCTCGACCTTTGCCTCGCTCCACACGCAGCTCTCCTACGCCTCTGTCTCTCTCGCTCGCCTCGGCCTCGACTTTTCGGGCTCTCTCTCCTCCTCATCGTCGTCATCATCTTCAACAGCAGGGACCTGCGGCGCATTTGAGCGCGAGGTGCTCCGTGTCTGGACGCGAGGCCTTCGACGAGCGACAGATGTCTTTTCGCAGCGCTGGGCCTCGTCCGCCGACGTCGCCAGCCTCCTCGCTTCGGCCAGCGCCGCCACCGTGTCCAAGATGCTTCGTTTTGATACTAACGGCAGTAGAACGACGACGACGGACGCCGCAACGGCGCCCTCGAGGGACCTGCTCGATGTGCCGGCGCTCGCGACGCTGCTCAACCACCTCCTCGAGGCGTACAATGCGCTCCAGACATTCTGTCCAGCCGCCATTGGCCAGGAAGTCGGCGAGGTGCTCGACGAGACGCTGGATCAGACGGTGGAGCTTGCGTTGGGCCTCGCGAGCAGGCTCGACATGGCTGAGGCCATCGTGGATGGTGGCCCTTCCACCGACAGCATCGCCGCCCTCCTGCCTGCCCTCGATGTGCAGCTGGGACAACTGGGACAGGGCGCAGGCGAGGGCGAGCGCGAGGACGTGGCGTCTACGTCGAGAGATCCGCAGCGACTCAAGGAAGCACAGCGGATGCTTGCGGCGACGGTTCTGTCGCTCCTCGAGCGCGATGTCGTGGGCTTTGTGCGGCCCCACGTCGTCCGGCTCGTCTCTGGAGGCGCGGACGGCGATGTCGGTGTAAAGGAGGAGCGAGCGGGGCTGAAGGAGAAGCGACGAGCAGTCGTGGCGTGGGCCGCTCAAGCGAGAGAGACGTGGGAGACGGGCGAGGAGAAGAGGAGGGACGCGCTGCTGAAGAGGCTCGAGGCGAGACGGGCCGAGAGCGAGCGCGAGAGGCGGAAGAGGGAGGAGGAGGAGAGCGCGAGGCGGGCCAAGGAAGAGGAAGAGACGAGGGCGAGGGAGGAGAAGGAGGAGAAGCTGAGGAAGGAAGAAGAGGAGAGGGCAAGGAGGGCAAAGGAGGAGGAGGCCCGGCTGGAGAGAGAGCGGCTCGAGAAGGAGCGGGTCGAGAAGGAGAGACTGGAGAGAGAGCGGCTCGAGAAGGAGCGGCTCGAGAAGGAGCGGCTCGAGAAGGAGCGGCTCGAGAAGGAACGGCTCGAGAAGGAACGGCTCGAGAAGGAACGGCTCGAGAAGGAGCGGCTCGAGAAGGAACGGCTCGAGAAGGGGAGAGTGGAGAAAGAGCGGCTGGAAAAGGAAAGATTGGAAAAGGTAGAGAGAGAGCAAGAAGAGATGCGCAAGAAGGAGCAAGAAGAGCGACAGAAGCGAGAAGAAGAAGAACGATTGAAGCGAGAGGAAGAGGAGCGCCTCAAACGAGAGGAGGACGAGCGCCTCAGACGCGAAGAAGAGGACAAGCTCAGGCGGCAGCGCGAGGAAGAAGAGAAGCTCAAGAAAGAGGAGGAAGAGCGACGAGTGCGCGAAGAAAAGGAGTTGGCGGCCAAGAAGCGTCAGGAAGAAGAGGAGAGACGTGCAAAGGAAGAGGAGCAAGAGAAAAAGAGAGTGGCTGAGGAGGAAGCGGCCAAAGAGGAGGCGCAGCGAAAGAAGAAAGAAGAAGAGGAAGCGAAGCGGCAAGCAGAGGCAGAGAAAGAGGCCAAAGCCAAGGCAAAGGAGGAATTGGCGAAGACTGAGCAAGAGAAGGACGCAGCTGCAGGCTCCGGTGAGACGAAAGAAGAAACGCCGGCCGCTGCTTCGGCGCCGAAGAAATCTGGGTCGATGTCATTGGCGGAGAAGCTTCGCAAGGCTCGCGAGGAGCGGGAGAGGGCGGCAGCATCAGCTGCTGCTGCCGTAACCACACCTGTGCCGGCAGATACAGGTGCAAAGGAAGCTCCAGCGAATGACAAGGCGACTGGAGAGCCAGAAGGCAAGGCGGAGCCTGCACCCAGCACGGAAGAGGACGTTTTAAAACAAGGGGGCCAAGATACGCCAGTCTCAAAGGGCTCCCAGTCTTCGGGCGAGGGTGACGGCGACGGCGACGAGGAGGGCGACGATGGCGAGGGAGAGGCAGAGGGGCGGCCGTCCTCAACTGCAGCAGATGGAGCAGCAGCAGCAAAGAAGAAGGCGAAGAAGAAGCGGCAGAAGAAGAACAAGGCGGCGGCGGCGGCCACCCAATGAGAGAAATGGTACGCATTCATCATCGATTTTGTTCATGTGCTGGAGTGGTACAAAGAGAGAGATGCTCTGGGTGAATTAGCTACGTCATGCCTTTGTAAGATGGTGCGGGATCAAGGAGCTATTGAATGGGTGAGAAGGAGAGGGAGAGGAAGAGAGAAGAGGTCGAGATTGATACAAGCCAGGCCAGCACTTAAGCCAGCAGGGCCTCAACGATGGCATCGTCGGAGACATTTGCCTTGTTTGTCCCCCGGTAGTTCTTCCTCGCGAGTGCCTCGATGACCTTCTCCCGCGGGAAGCCAAGCTTCTCAAACTTGTCCACATCCTGTCCGTCGAGGCCGGCAGCAAGCACAGGATCCGGGCCTGCTGCTCCTGGAGCAGCGCCGGTCTTGCCCCCTGCTGAGGTAGATTCCTGTGGGCCTTTTGCCCTCGCATAGCACTCTGTCCAGAACTTGGCCGTGTCCTCGAACCCTTTGCGGTCCGCCTTGTAGTGGCTCGCCACCGTCGCGTCCTGTGGGTCGCTGGGCTCAGGCGAGCAGAGCAGGCTGCGGAGCGAGACGAGCGTGGACCGCAGCGTGAGCACGGGGCTCCACGCCTTGGTGGTGAGAATGTCGAGGCAGATGGCCCCGCTCGCACTGCTGATGTTGGGGTGGTAGACTTTTGTCAGGAAGCGCATTTTGAGCGGCTGGAACGGGTAGCCCTCGACGACGTCAATGTCCTGCAGAGTGAGCCACGCGCCTCTTCCCTCGTCAGCTGTCCTATTCCCCCTACGCTGCCAACACCAACAAAGCGCAGGTCCCGACTTACCACTTCGAAATGGCCCCCTTCGTAGGGCGAGCCCTCTGGCCCAGGAAAGGTGCCAATGAGATGCGTCATCGATCCTGGACAAAAGCCGTCAGCTCTCTCCTTCCTCTCTCCTACAAAGACGAGAGACAGAAGCCAGCCGCTGCTCACCATCGACGAGGTCAATCGTCAGGCCGGACTCCTTGTCATTCTGGATATCGGCAATCTCCTTTTTGATCCGTCGTATCCTCGGATCCATCTTCGTCGCTGCTTGTCAACCTGCTCTTCTCGCTCCTTCCTTTCTCCTCCACCCACCCACCCACCCACTGACTGACTGACTGACTGATGCAGCCCGAGGTCGCGTGGCTTATTCCATCTGCTCCACCTCTGCGTCCAGTCTTCTTTTTTTGAGAAGCCAATTTTCTTCGCAAGCAAGCTACTGTAGACACGGAGCGAGACCGAAGCGACCAATGAGCATCCTTTGCTCAAGCCGCCGGGCGCTGGTGCTTGCGAGGTTCGTGGAGAGGGAGAGGGTCTGCCGCTGCAGTGTCTCCACTCGACACGCATCGAACGCCGCCTCTGTCTCTGCCGCCTCGAGCGCGCCGAGCAACACCGACCGCTCGCAGAAAAAAGCGCACTGGAAGCGCACGGCGGGCCAGGCGACGTTTGTCGACACGCTCAGCCTGCGCCTCTCGGGGGGCCGCGGCGGCGACGGGTGCATTGCGTTTGCGCGCGCAAAGTACCTCCCTTACGGCCCGCCCTCGGGCGGCTCCGGCGGCGCAGGCGGCGATGTCTTTGTGACGTGCGATCCTGCGCTGCGGTCCCTGGCGCGCGTCGGCAGTGCCGCGCGCGTCATGGCCGACCGCGGCGAGCACGGCCAGGGCGATTGGAAGGGCGGCGCGCGGGGCAAAGACAAGGTGCTGAGGGTGCCCGTCGGCACCGTCGTCCGTGTCGAGCGGCCGCCCGAAGTGGGCCTCGATGACGAGGGCGAGCTGCTCGAGGACGAGCAGCGGGACCGGCGGAGGATAGAGTACGAAAAGGACATAGAGAGGAGGTACGCGGGGGCCTATGCCAGACTCAGCAGAACGAGGCGCAGGAATTCGGCCACTGCGTCCATGGCTCTGCCCAGGCGTGCCAAGGGAGACGGCGGCGACGAGGGGGGCGAGGTGGACCCGTTTGAGCAGAGGGCGAGGCGAGACGCTGTCTGGCGGCACTATGCAGGAGGCGCACTCAACCATGCCTCGTCCACGTCGCCGGACCTGGAGCAGGAACAAGGACGAAGTAAAGAAGAGGACGAAATGGTAGAAGAAGAGGAGGAGCCCTTCGAAGAAGAGGAGGCAGATCCAGAAGAGCTCGAGAGACTGGAAGCAGAGTACGAGGCGACGTCGGACATTGCCTCGCAGCGCGCCAGCTTCAAGGAAGCCGAGAGGCGCTTCGCATTCACCCTACTCCGCCAACGGGAGACAGACCTGATGCAGCAGCGGCAGAGGGACGAGGAGTGGGACGTTGTCCGCGCCGACGAGGATGGCGCATGGACCGTGGATCTGGCCGAACGGTGGAGCAAACGGCTCCGTTTATCGACATCATCATCGACTACTGAGCCAGAGGAAGCTGCTGGTGGAGGAGTCGGCGCGAAAGACGATCAGCTCCTGCTCCTGGCAAAAGGGGGATCGGGAGGACTGGGCAACTCGACTTTCCTCTCGGCCAGCCATAAAGCGCCCAAAGTCTCGACCAGAGGCACGCCTGGCGAAGAAGTCATTGTCCACCTCGAGCTCAAGCAGCAGGCCGATGTTGGTCTGGTGGGCTTGCCAAACGCGGGCAAGAGCACCCTGATTCGGTCGATGAGCAGCGTGGGAAGCACCGTCAAAGTTGCAGGCTACGCATTCACCACCCTCAGCCCCAACCTCGGCGTCGTCAGGCTCGACGAGGACGGCAGGCTGATCGGCACGGGCGAAGGCATCATTTCCGACGAGTCGGCCATCGAAGATGACCGCGACGCACCTTCGATTCCAATCCAAGCAGCAGCGAACAGAGCGACAGAGACGGACGTGGAAGCGGCTCGCTTCACCCTGTCGGACCTCCCCGGCTTGATCGAAGGTGCAGCAGAAGACCGTGGCCTGGGCCACTGGTTCCTTCGGCACGTCGAGCGCTGCGCCGCGCTCTTTTACGTCGTCGATGTCGGCCCCAACAGCGCCGAGCCGTGGCTCGATGTCGAACTGCTCGCCCAGGAGCTCGAGACGTACAAGCCCGGTCTCTCGGACAAGATCCGAGGTATTGTCGCAAACAAGTGCGACCTCCTGGGTCCAAAGGACGACGCCGAGATCGAAGAGAGCCGGGAGAAACTGAGGAAGCTCAAGGAGAACGTAGAGAGGATTCACGGGAGGAGCATCGAGGTGTACCATGCAAGCGCAAAGTACCGGCTCGGCGTAGAGCGCGTGGCTCGAGGCATGTCGAACGAGGTGCGAAAGGAGGAGGAGAGAAGCGCTCTGCTGGATGAGCAACAGAGGTGGGGAGATGAAACCACCGCTTGAAAATACACGCATGTCCTGTACTTGTATCCTCCTTGGCAATTGGGCAAAGCAAGCATGTATGTACAGTACAGAATACAATTGACAATCGCAGACATGTTGTCTCAAGAAGGGAAATTGATGCTCAGGTGTACGAGAGATCCCAGCCGGGGATGTCGTCGTATTTGCGCTTCTCTGCCGCCGCCTCGGCCAGCTCTTCCTCGGTGAGACCATCGTCGTCGAGGACGCCTCCCACCTCGAGGCAGATCTTGCCAAAGATGTCTCGTGAAGCCTCCCTCGCCTCGCGATCCACCCTTCGCATAAACGCCTTCGGCACCTCTGGCACAAAGTCGGCCTCCTCTGAAGCCTCCTTGCCCTTGTCTCGACGCTGGTAGTCGGGTGGCCGGGGCGGCGAGCTGATCGAGAGGCCTGCGCACGTGCCGGCGAGCTGCGAGACGATGGCTCTCCTCGTCTGCCGGAGATCGAGCCAGGTGGCTCGCCGCTCCTCGATCTCGTCACGGCTCCTCTCCTTGCAATGCCTTTCCCTCGTCTGCGACGTCCGTAGTTCCTGCTCAATGTGCATCTTGACGACCCTTGCCTGCGCATACGTCTGCTCCAACGAGCGATGCAGTCCCAATTCCGAGACCCGATTCTTGTCCTTCATGTCCGGCAGCTTGTCCAGCTCGATGACGGTCAATTTTGGCAGCCTGGCCACACGCCGCTGCACGACTCTCGCAAGGACATAGGCTGTGTGCAGGTCGCCCGAGATCGTCTTGGCGCGCAGGATGTGGCCCCGGCTCATTCGCGAGGAGGCATGCTGGCTCGATCCCTTCCACATGCCACTCTTGTGCTTCTGGTTCGTGGCGACACCCACGTCGATGCCTATGTTGAGACCGGCCTGAACCTCTTTGATCAGGGACGCCGTCAGCTTCAGGGCCTTGTCGAGGTGCTTGCGTGCCCGCATCTCCGTCTTGGCCGTGTTGAGCAGCAGAGACGATGTCTGGCTGTGGACATGGAAGCGGACTTCGATGGCATCTTCGTCCTCATGATGGTTCACAGTCGGACCCGCAAAGATCTCATCGTCGATCCTGTGTCTCCAGTCAGCGACCCATCGCCTCCTCCTCCTAAGCTGCCAAAAGGAATAACTCACCGATCTAATTTTGCCTCGACCCTTCTGTACTGCGTCACCTCATCCTCAAGCCTCTCCAGATCTTCGCGGTCCCGCTCCAGCCTCTGCTCGCCCGCCTTGACCTCGTCGTGCTTTCTCTCGTACTCGCTCTTTGCCTCGTCAATCTCTCGCCGTACTTCTCTTTTCCTCTTGGGGCTCCAAAAGGCCCGCTTCTTGGCGCCGGCATCCTCCCAGCGGTGCTGGACAGCCATGAGGCGCTTGTGCGCATGCAACGTCTCTGTGCGTCTGCTCGCGATCCGACCCGAGTCCGCCAGGACCTGCTCCTTCATGGATTGTAGCCGCTCGGGAAGGTCGGATCTGTCAGAGAGGTATGCGTGCAGCGAGTCGTGCGAGGCGAGGTGCGAGGCGATGCGCTTCAGCAGCTCCTCGGCGCCCTCTTCGGCCGGCAACGGTGGTGTCGGCGGGGGCTCGAGTGGTGTGGCTTCTCCTCGTACCTCGCTGTCATCGTGAGCGTCCTCTTGCGGCACAAAGTGAAGAATCGATGTGAATGGGTTCGGTCGCTCGTCTCTGCGGCTTGAAGAGGAGGAGGAGGGCCCTTGGTATGCGGGCGGCGGCGGCGGCGTGTCTGCGGGCATTGTCGCGACAGCTGCTGCCATCTTCTGGTTTCCTTGGCTCCGTCGAGTGCCCCTTGTCCTTTGGGCTGGCTGCTGGGCGATGGACAGCGATGGAACGTCCTCCTCGCTTCGCCGCTGCTCGTGCCACGGATGCGTTGCCCCGATCTGTGTTGACCTCCTCTTCTCACGTCCTCCTCCACTACCACAAATCTTAGGCGCGCGGAACTCGGACGGCCCGCCAAGCTCAACCCACGTGTGATCTCATTGCTGATTGATTTTTTTTCTGATCATCAGGACAGGACAGGACCCTCGCGAAGAATCGGATTCGCGGCTTCTTCGCCATTCTCTCTCTTCCACTGCTAAATCCGGGACGGACGACGTGTAACGATGGCGAGCACATTCAAGCCGATGGCAATGCGCCTCTCTTCGCGGGCTTCGGCACCGGCGCTAGCGTCTGCACGGATCTCGGCTCGGCGGTCGGTGGCCACTTCCGCCTCTGCTACTTCCCCCCATGCCGGGACGAGAGGGACAGTGGCTGGCGTCGTTGGCCTCGGTGTCGCCCTGGCGGCCGCGACGGCTTTGCTCAAGGAGCCCTTGCGAGCCGAGTCAGACGGATCGGCTGCGTCGCGCGAGAGAAGAAAGGCATATGCGGACCGCATGAACATCTCGAGCGGGCCCAAGACGTTCCAGCCGAAGCAGGAGGAAGAGGAGGAGGAGGCAGCGGCAGCGGAGGAGGAAAGCGACAAGGAGGGAGGCGAGGGCGAGAAGTCAGAAAAGGAGGGAAAGGAGGACAAGAAAGAGGCTGGTGAGTGCTAAACTCAGGTCTCGTTAGTAAGATGGCGATGCTGATCATTCTGCTAAGCAGACAAGGCGCCTTCAGCGGTGAGCGAGGCGGCACGGGAAGCCGAAGAGGACCCTCAGCAGGCCGCGTTTAACCCAGAGACAAACGAGATCAACTGGGACTGCCCCTGTCTCGGCGGTATGGCCGACGGCCCCTGTGGCGAGGAGTTCAAGGACGCATTCAGCTGCTTTGTCTTTTCGGAAGCGGAGCCAAAGGGCATCGACTGCGTCGAGAAGTTCTCGGCCATGCAGAACTGCTTCCGCAAGCACCCCGACCACTACAAGGAGGAGATCCAGGACTTTGACGACGACGAGGAGAGCGCCGACGCGCCGGCACAGTCCGGGGATAAGCAAGCGGCGCAGCAGGAGCAGCCTAAGAAGGGAGCCCAGGACGAGGATGAGGACGAAGGCGTCCGCGAGTTCAGGCGAGAGCTTGAAAAGGAAAAGTAAAGATAGTCTCATGAGAGACCACACCTGCAATGCTAATTCACTACTCAATGTTGTGCATGGGTTTTTCGTTTGTGGTGCTTGGACTCCTTCGTTGCTGCCAGTGAGAGGCAGCCTCGACAATTGCTTCACTTTCTCTTCTTTCGAAACTTGCAATCGCCGCCGCGCTATTCTGAAGCTTACGACACAGCGCTCTTATCAGCAGTTGAGACATGGGCTGTGGAATGCCGGCCAGGCATGGCCACGGTCATCGTCGTCCACGGACGATGTCCGCGCAAGCCATCACCGCCTCGGCCGAGCACGCCTCCACTTTCACGTGTCCGTCGTACCTCGACCAACCAACCTTCCTTTCCACTTGACTTCTTTCCACTGTAACCCCTCTTTCTGATTAACATCAAGCAAGCATGCACGAACGACGCCCCGCACCCGCCCCTACGTCGTTCCCGGACGCGGCATCGCTCCGGGTCGGCATCGTGCACGCGCGCTGGAACACCGAGTGCATCGACGCGCTCGTCAAGGGCGCCATCTCGAGCCTCGAAAAAGCCGGCGTCAAGTCGGAGAACATTGTCATTGAGAGCGTGCCTGGCAGCTTCGAGCTGCCCATCGCTACATCTCGGTGGGTTTCACCTTGCCCTGCATCTTTGAGTCCACGCACGAGCTGATCTGGCTGCGATCCTGTGCTGGGATTTGCGAACAGGTTGATTGCCGCTTCCCAGATCCAGGCCTCATCGAACGCAAACGACCTCATGGGCTCGCTTATCGAAGCCACAACCGGAAATGCAGGGACCACGGGCAGCGACGCAAAGGCATCGAAGCAGAGCCTCGACGCCGTCATCTCCATCGGCGTCCTCATCAAGGGCTCGACGATGCACTTTGAGTACATCTCCGACAGCTGCTGCCACGGCTTGATGCGCGTCGGCCTCGACACGGGCGTGCCCGTCATCCTCGGCGTCCTCACGGCCCTCACCGAGGAGCAGGCGCTGGAGCGGAGCGGTTTGGGCCAGAGCAGCAAGAAGCACAACCACGGCGAGGACTGGGGCACGGCTGCCGTCGAGTGAGTTGCCAAGGACTTGCAGAAAGAGGCTTCGCATAGGCTGACCCAAGCTTTTATTACCACTAAAGGATGGCGACAAAGACAAAGACATGGGCAAGCGGCAAGTTGGGCGCATAGGGCCCACGTACTCACAATAGCAAAAGGGAATGAAGAAAAGAAATGCCAATGGTGACGTGACGAATGAGAAAAGAGACTGTCTACGACTACTGTACAAGGAAAAAGGCCCAAACCCAAGAGTCGCAAGTAAGAGAGGGGGGGAAGAGATGTGGTCAGGCACCGTTGCCGCCCGAGTTGCCATTCATGCCAATGAGTCGCGTGAAGGCCTCGAGGTCAAACGACGGCTGCTGCTGCTGCTGCGGAGGTGCATTGCTGTTGAAACCGGGTGCCATGCCCATTCCACCACCATTGCCGGCTGCTCCGGCAGCGCCGTTGTTGCTGGCGCCGATGCTTCCGAGAATGCTGCCAAGGAGCGGCGGTCGCTGCTGCTGCTGCTGCGGCTGCTGCTGTTGCTGCCACGGAGCAGGCGCGACTGCCTGTTGTTGTTGCTGCTGCTGCTGCTGCTGACTCTGCATCTGCAGCACCTGCAGGATCTCTGGCGTGAGACCGAGCTGGGCAGCCAGGGCAGCCATGTCAACTGCGCCTCCTGCGCCTCCTGCGCCCGCTCCTACTCCTGCACCAGCACCAATACCAGGCGCAGGCGGAGCAGAAGGCTGTCCCAAAAAGGCCGAAGGCGGCGCAGACGACATTGCATTGTTCGTCGGTGCCTGCTGCTGCTGCTGCTGCTGCTGCCAGCCAAACGGAGACGGCTGAAACTGTCCAGAGGGAGGCTGCGCAAATCCAGGCCGTGGCGCTTGCTGGAGGGCCTGCGGCTGGCCAGGAGGCTGGAAGACGTTGAAGTTGGCCATGTTGGACGCCGCCGAGGGGGGCTGCGACGGCATGAGCGGCGGCATGGGCGGCTGCGACGAGGGCGTGGCTTGTTGCGGCTGCTGCAGTGGCTGCGCCTGCTGCGGGCGGGGTGGTTGCTGCAGGTTGAAGGGCGCGCGGGGGATGGTGTTCATCTGCTGCGGTGTCGGCACGGCGGACATGCTGCCCTGGATGTGAGCCATGGCTGCACTGCCCAGGCCTCCAGATGGCTGCTGCTGCTGCTGCTGTTGCTGTTGCTGGTTCTGCATCTGTGGTTGCATCGATTGCATCGGCGGTGGTTGCTGTTGCTGTGGCTGCGGCTGCATGGGAGGCTGCGGGCCCGAGAAGAGATGCCACGGGACCGAGTCCCTGAACACAAGACCAAGCAGCCGTCGATTTGCCTGAGGCTGCACGGCCCCATCGGGACCCTGCGTCTGGGCGGGCGCAGGCGTCGACACCACCACAATGCCCGGGCCGGGACCAGTCTTGTTGTTGTTGTTGCTGTTGTTGCTGTTGCCGTTTGGGGGCGACAGGCGCAGGAACGCAGCGCCACGCTTGCTGTCGATCATCTTGGCGAGCATAAAGTACATGGCCTCGTTGGCCTGCTGGGGCGTCTTTGTGCTTCCGTCCTGCTGCGCCTGTGGCTGCTGGCCCGGCACGCTCAGCGGCTGAAACAAGACGCAGGGCACCGTCGACTTGGCCGCATAGGCCTGCAGCATGGGAATGTTGACGGGATTGACCTCGCTGATGGTCATGCGCGATGGCCAGGGCAGCATGAGCGTCTCCTTTGTTGCATTCGTGGCCGCCTGGGCCGTGACAAAGGTCACGACTTCTCGCCGCACGTTTGTGCCCGTCGTGACGCTCCATGTGATGGGGCCCTGCCAGATGGCTGTCGGCATCGGCCTTCGTGGGAGTGTAGCCTGCTGCTGCTGCTGCTGTACTCCCGGTGCTTGTGGTAGCTGACCCTGCTGGGGTGGCTGCTGAAGCTGCGGCGCTTGTTGTACCTGCTGTTGTTGTTGCTGCTGCTGCTGCTGTTGTTGTTGCTGTTGTTGCTGCTGCTGCTGTTGCTGCTGCTGGAACTGCTTGATGCGCTCGAGACGCTCCTGCTGCAGCTTGTGCTGTAGCGCCATGGCCTCGAGCCCGCCGGGAGCACCAGCAGCACCAGCACCAACACCAGCAGCAGCAACTGAAGACTGCCCCTGCTGCTGCTGCTGCTGCCCCTGTCCACTGTTGGGTGGCAGGAACACCGAGCCCGCCGACGGTGGCGGCTGCGGCTGAGTCGCTCCTGCCTGGGTCCTCTGCTGCTGCTGCAGCTTCTGCTGCTGTGCCACCAGCTGGGCGCCACTGGGCCCACCGAGGTAGACACCCTTCTCGCGCGCCTCTTTTTCGATGCCAATCAGCGTCGTGAGGGTGTTGTTGAAGTTCGGCGGTGGCCCACCAGCCGAGAGCTGGGCCGCCTGTGCCTTGAGCGAGTGCTGCTGTGCCAGGACTGTCAAGGTGAAAGTAAGAGATATCAGTGGGCCTGGTTGCAGCAAAGACACCGAGAAAGAAGCACCAACTCACGCTTGTCTCTGAACTGCTCCAAGAGCTGCTTCTTTGACGGTGAGTCGGGTCCACCGGGCGGGTCCGAGCCCGTGGCGGCGGCCTGGGCGGCCCTGGCCTGCTGCTGCCGCGCGGCAATGGCCAGATTCCTCAGCATCATCTGTTGCTGCTGCTGCAGGAATAGGACCTTGTTGACGGCCAAATTGTCCACCTCGGCCCCTGTAGCGGGTGGTCCTGCCCCGTTGCTCGTCGCCGCTGTCGTCGACAAGTTGGCAGTGATGCCATTGTTGGCAGACGCATTCAGCGCCGTCTGGGCAGCCGAAGAGGACGCCAGGTCTGCAGATGGCCCAAGGCCAGCAGTGTCCGAGGCAGTGAAAGCACCCGCACCAGCCATCTCGGACCGGCTGGCTGTTCTTGCTCGCTTGCCATTGACACCGTCGAGCGACGCCGAGTTCTTGCGCGCCCGCTTGCGCCCATTGACAACGCCACCGGCAGCAACAGCAGCAGCGCCGGCAGCAGCACGGGCCGCCGTGGCCGCTGCGTCGCTGAGGCCCGACAGAAAGAGGCCCGACTCGGTGTGGATAGAGCGATAGGCACTCCCCAAGATGCTCGGCGCGTCCGTCAGCGAGGGAAAGACAGAGGCGAGATCCGTCAGCAGCGCACGATGCACCTTTTCGCCATCAGAGGCAAGCGAGTGCGACAGAGGCTTGTTTGAACCCCGAGAGTCGACGCCGTCCAGGTCGCCGTCTTCGCCGCCCTTGGCCTCGTCGTCGATGAGGCGGTAGGACGAGGGATCGAGGCAGATCGTGCACGGGTATACGCCCAGCTTGCCGAGCTCGGCCACGGCGCGCTGCCAGTCGAGGTCGTCGTTGTGCGAGAATAAGTTGTGGGTCGGGTGCGAGTCGGCGTCGAGGTTCAGCGGCGGCGTGAGCGAGCTGGGTGTTTTTGGGAGGATGTGGACGAGGTAGCGGGCCAGCACGGGAGGATGGACGGGCGCCTGGGAGAAGAGCTCGAGCGAAGCCACCAGGCCATCGACGACCCTCCCTCTGCCCGAAGTTTCCGAAGAAGCGCCTTTTCCGTCATCGTCGTCATCACCGGCAACATCTCCCGATAGAAGTGCGTCAAAGTCGTCCTCCCAGCATGCCTCGATGGGTGCATCGACGGTGGTCAGCGACCCGGCGAGCAGGGCAGCCGCGGGCGACCACGGCGTCACTGAGAGGCGCGACGACTCCAAAAAGTCGTCGACTGTTGCTACTGATGACGATGACGCAGCGGGGGCCGAGGCAGCTCGTCTGGTGCTGGTGTAGCCGTAGCGCACCTGGCTGGCGAGGACAGCTGCGTTGGGGTACAGGCGCTCGATTCTCGTGAGCAGGGCGCCGAGGAAGGCGACCGACTCTCTCAGCGACTGCCGTGCTGCCGGGTGCAGGACGACGGCGACGAGGACCTGGTGTTGCGGGGCCGGCTGCTGCTGCTGGGCAGAAGTATCGGCGTGCGACGGCGGCGGCAGTAGTGTCCGTGGGGCAGCGACGAGGCCTTGCTGCTGCGGGCCATCCTGCCGCTGCGACGACGAGGAGCCAGAGTCCGACGGCAGCATGGCGGGTGCGATGCCCTGGGCAGCGAGCACGGTCGCCATCTCTCTCTTCTCTCTTTCTCTCTCTCTCCTTCCCTCCCGCGCGCGTCTTGCTTGTGGTAGAGATCTCTTGCGAGCGAGCGATGGACTCGGACTGTCCCGCCTCCCGATCACAGCCATAGAGGCCTAGCTTTTTTGCCTGATTGGGTGAGATTCCAGATAAATAATTCCCAGCCTAGCTTGGATGGCGCGTGCGTTCCTGGCTCCTCTAATCACGCCTTGCCTCGTCTCTCTTTCGCTCTTCCTCGCTCTCTTTCTTGCTCACTGCGACAAATTGCACGGCGACAAATTGCACTAATCGCCTCGGTCGGGGAGCAGCCCACCATGAGCGAGGACAGCCAGCCAGAGTATCGCTATCTCCAGGAGATCTCGCAGATGGTGAGCTCGCCTCGTGGTGTATTGAGAGCAAAGAACAAGGAAGCTGAATGAATGCACGAGCAGATGTTTGTCTTCGGCGACGTCGTCGACCCGCACCCCGATGTGCTGAAGCTCGTCGAGGACATTGTGCGCAACCAGGTCATTGAGCTGGTGTGTGTCGTGCACCCTATCCTCTCATACTTTCGGCTGACAAGCCTGTCCTGCCCCCAGATGCTGCAGTCGCGCGCCCTCTCTGCTCGGCGCTCCTCGCGCTTCCTCTCGCCCGAGGACCTCATCTTTCTCATCCGCTACGATCGTGCAAAGGTCAACCGTCTGCGGACCTACCTGAGCTGGAAGGACGTGCGCAAGAATGCAAAGGACAGCGGCGGCGATGCGGGTGCTGCCGGTCCCGATGTGCCCGAGGGCGACGATGCAGGTGGGTTGCTTTTCCCTGCTTTTTCTTCCCATGCTTCTTCTTCTGCTGCTGCAAGGGCTCAAGCTCACGATTATGGATGCTTCTTGACAGTGGACAACCCAGTCAAGTCGCGCATCGCAAAGATCAGGCTGCCGTGGGACATCCAAACCGTCTACAGCGAGCACCTCACCGCGCCCGGCGGCGCAGGCGACGAGCGCGAGGAGGAGGACGAGGACGACATCGAGGCGCACCAGGACAGCTTGCAGCGGCTCAAGGACGCCGACGAGGCCACGCGGAGAATGACGCGGGAAGAGTACGTGCACTACTCTGAATGCCGCCAGGCCAGCTTCACCTTTCGCAAGGGCAAGCGCTTCCGCGAGTTTATCAATGCTGGCGCCTACCTCGACGTGAAGCCCAACGACGACATCATCGATATCCTCGGCTTCCTCGCCTTTGAGACGGTGCGCGAGCTGTGCCTGGGTGCGCTGGCCATCAAGCAGGCCCTCGAGGAGGAGGCGGCCCGGGCCAAGAAGCACGAGAGCAGCAACAGCAGCAGCAGCAACAACAACATCCAGGCGATCAATGGCGCGAGAAAGGGCACAATGACCACTGCCTCTGCTTCTGGTCAGGAGGGTGAGGCAGCGCAGGACAACGATGTGGGCGACACATCGATGGAGTCGAACAAGACAGTCTCGCAGCAGAGCACCGCCTCCTCCTCTTCCCTCAAGAAGCGAAAGGCGGACAGCAGCAGCCAGGGCGAGGCGCAAGTTCAGAAGAGCAGCGCCAAGACGTCGCCAAGCAAGCGCGCGAGGCACGAGACGCCCCCGCCAAATCCAGCAAACGGCAATGGCAGGACCTCGCCGGACCCGTCGCCAAGTAGCCACAGCAGTAACGGCAGCCTCACCAACGGCCAAAGTGCCAGAAAGGCGGCTGCGACTGAGGACGGCGCAGCAGCAGCAGCGGAGGAAGAAGACGACGAAAAGGGCTGCGGGCTCTTTACGATGCCGCCGGCAAAGGCCAGTCCGCTCCTGCCCTCGCACATTCTTGAGGCCTTTGCCCGCCTTCAGCGCGGCAGGGCCGCCCTCTCGGCCGGCAAGGGCGGCTACCCGGGCGGGCTGCGTCGCACGAGAGTCTTTGTTATTTGATTGGGCCGCCTACTTCTCCTCCCTACCATTGTATTTTTATAGAGACCCTGCAATTGTCAACCTCGATCCGTGCTTCTCTTTCCACCTGATCTCGCCTCCATGCTCATGGAGCGAGACACAGGAACAGATTGTCGTACTCAGCCGTAGTGGCAGAAGGGATGGTGAACGCATACAAATACATTGAAACAAAGACAAGCAACCCCTCACGGCTCTGTGGCGCCCGCATACTGCTCTTCCTGGCCCGTATACTCCTGCTGGGCACCAGCCCACCAGCCCACGGGCCCGAACCCTTGTGCCGAGATCGAGGCCTGTGGAATCATCACGATGAGTCAAGGGAAAGAAGAAGGAGAGGAGCCAGACACACCTTTATCCGGTAGGGCGAGGCCTTGTTCGACGATAGCTCCTCTGCCATGTTGACCTGCCCCACCTCGCCCGGGATCGCGCCAGCCGACGACTTGGCGGCGGCAGCAGCAGCAGCCGCGGCGCCCTTTGCGCCCCACGAGGCCGGGCCCGGCGGCTCGGGCTCCTCGAACAAGTCGGACTCAACGAGGAAGCGGACGACGGCGCCCGTGTCAATGTACAGCCGGTCCTCTTTGCTCGAGCCGAGCGGGTCGTCGTACAGGCGCGGATCCGAGGGTTCCCAGAGCCAGAACCAGAGCGCCTCGCTGTGGTCGTAGCCGCTCGGCTCGGGCAGGTGCTCGCGGGGCACAAAGACGTCGTCGAAGAAGCCCATGGTGAGGCGCAGGCCCTCGGGGTCTGACGACTTGACTCGCCCGACGAGCACTTCGCCTGGAAAGGGCCGGAATACGACAAGTCGGAAGACGCAACGGTGGTACAGGCAGCCGTCGCCCCACTTGACGCGGCCCTCGTCGACGCTGACGAGGTCAAACAGGCTCACGCAAAGACCGACATCGGGCAGGATCCGGTTGGCGTACTTTGCATTGATGGCCCGCTGGATCGGCTTGACAGACTCCGAGGCGTTGGGCGAGAAGGACGAGGGCGGGATGCGGATCGTGTCGTGGATCAGCGAGAGGTTGAACATCCTTGTCCTTCCCTTTCCCGAAGACGACCAACGCGAGATGAGTGGGAGGGAGGACCTTTCCTTGGGAAGAAGGTTGTCAATCGCGCATCTGGCCAAATTTTTGCAGCGACGACCACACGTGAATTTCTTCGCACGGCCTTCCACAATTTGTCCTGCTCGTCGCCTTTGTCGTCACTCCTGACACAGCATCACACACACAAAGATGGGCGAGGTGCTGCATGCGCCACAGTCGATGCCGACTGCGCCGCCCGCATTTGGGCCGACGCCGACATACCTATGGACGAGCCAGGCGCGGCACTGGCGCTTCAGTCCGCGCCAGCTTGAGAAGCGGCGCCAGGAGGGCAACGAAGGCGCCCGCTTGCGGCTTGCCGATGCCTGGGAGAGGGAGAGAGCCGCCGAGCCAGTCGAAGGGGAGCCGCCATCCTCTTCCTCGTCGGAACCGATCCAGTTCCTCCGCGTCGAGGACGAGGTCGCGCTGGTCACCTACTACCTCACCCGCGTCAGGGGCGTCATCAAGGCCTTTGACATGCCCGAGCTCGTCGAGGCGACAGCGATCACATACATCAAGCGCTTCTACCTCGTCAACACATGCATGGATTGGCATCCAAAAAACGTCATGATCACCTGTCTCTTTCTGGCCGCAAAGGCTGAGAACTGCCCCATCTCACTCGCCAACTTTGCAACGAAGCTCGCGGGAAAGGAGCCGACGCAAAAGGCCATCGATGAGTACGTTGCGCTGGTGCGCGAGCATGAGTTTATGGTGTCGCAGAGCCTCTCGTTTGAGTACATGGTCCACGGCGCCCATCGGGCCCTGCATGGTCTGTTTCTCGATTTCCAACAGGTGGGTTGGCAGTGATTCTACTTGTTCCAACTACTTTGCTGAAGTGCCGTGCTCGAGCAGACGGTGTGCAGCGGAGAAGACCTCAAGGATCTTTTGGCACCCGCGCAATCAAACCTCCGCCTTTCTCGGCTCACCGACGCCGAACTGATCTACACGCCGTCGCAGATTGCAATGGCCTGCGTCCGCGCGGCTTCGGACCAGGCAAAGGACCTCGTTGGCAAGTTCCTGGATTTGAAGGAGAAGAGGGCCACGGAGGCTGTCCTCAAGGGCAAGGCGGCAAGGGAGGCGTGGAGGCAAAAGGAAAAGGAGAAACAGGAGAAGAGGCAGCAGCAGGGAGCATCGAGCACAATGAAGAAGCAGCAGGCGGGCAGCAATGCGCAGGATGCCATCGAGGTTGACGGAGAGGGGAAGGCCAAAGAAGAGGGAAAAAAGGAGGCCCCGTCTGCGGCTGCCGTTGAGCTCGACGATGAGGAAATTAGGGCCAAACCGCTGGGTGCGACACGCTCGGAGATCGAGCAGGTTCTTGATGACATCGAAGGCCTCTTCCGCGCCCGCGAAGCTCTTGATGCCTCGGAAGAGAGGACCAGGGCTACGGAAATCGACAAGCGTCTCAAGGCATGTCACAACCCTGAAAAGACACCAGGTACGAGGCTTCACCATCTCGGACTGGCGAGGGTCTCGTCGAACGCGGGCGTTTCAAAGAAGAGGAAGCTCAAAAAGGAGGAAAAAGACCCATTTGACGACGATGACGACGACGAGAATCTGCCGGCGACGTTTGGACCCGAGGGGAAGAAGGCCAAAGTAGAAGTCTTGGAGGGCAATTTATTCAAGGATGACATTGAGAGGGGAAAGTCGGCAAAGTAGAAGGGGCTTGATCCTCGAATCTGTATCATAACAACACTCTGCTTACAAAATCGAGTTGCGGCTTGTGATGCCACGCCTCACCGGTGTTCAACATCGTACGCTTGTTGTTGGCGAAAGTGATCGCTTCGGTGATGAGCAAGAAGACAATTACGATGCTGATCTGGTTAGCGAAGTTTGCCGTGCATACTAGAACGCGCAGCGCGCGGTCGGACCTCCCATCATCACCACCTTCTTCTAACAACATCTGCCTAAATTTGCCAGAATCTCGGCACGATTCACATCGCAAATCTGCTGCTACATCAGGACATCACCAAAACAATCAACAGCTTTCCTCGCTTGTAGACGATTTAGTGCGACGCTTACTTAGCCTCTCGTTCTCCATTTGTCCGTGATGCAGAGCACAGGCCCCTTCCCGCCGTGTGCTCAGTCCACTTTGGTACAGCAGAGGCCTTTTTCCCAGGGGCACAGCGAGGGCCTCTTTCGGCCACCATTTAATTTTAATCGTGAGAACCGTGTCGTGACGTCTTCCTGATTCGAGCTGTGAAGTGGATGCGTTGATTGTTCTCTTCGGGGTTTGATGACCTACAAAAGGAGGGCCGAACCTGCCCTCACTTAGTCACTTCCTTTACTTTCTCCCGTCGTTGCTCTCTATCGCTTTTACTCCCTCTCTGTTGACGAAGAGCTGGTTCGAGATGTCTGCACGTAACAACAATCACAACAATAGCAGCAACAGCACAGGTAGCACTGGCTCGAACGCCCACGTCCGAAACGGGGCAGGCACCGGTAGCGTAGGTGTCGCTTCACCGAGACAAAATACTGCCAGGAGCGCCGGAGGACAGTCAGCTACTTCAACCCGCAGTGCAGGAGGAGGAAAAACGGCGCGAGCGACTGGCGGAGCCGGCACCAGGTCAAGCGCTGTCGCCGTAAACAATGCAGGACGTATCAAGAATCAAGACAACGCCTACTCGTCCGCAGGAGGAGGACCACCGGGAGGCGGCGATGGCTTTGTAGGTATGGGTGCAAAAGGAAGTACTGGAAGCGGTGAGCCTATCGAGCTGGCAAAGCCTTGGAACAACAAGCCTCTCGCTACGTGAGTTCCTGCCCCTTTCCATATTGAATCATCTTCTGTTCTTCCCTAAATACTGATTCTCTCTTCAGCGGTCCTGGCTCTGGCTACTCCAAGGTGGGTTCATTAATTTCTTTCACAACCCTGATGGCACACTCTCAGGTTTACGTTTCATTTTGCATAGGGCAATGCAGCCGGCGGAGCTTCGAAAGTCGACACCGGCGGACCGTACTTCAAGAGCGAAAAGAAAGGAGCTACCACGGGCAAGAGCGACCGTAACCCAATTTCTGCCTTGTCTAGTGGGGGAAGCGGTGGCGGACTATCCAAGAAACACGATACAAATGCTTTCGTTACCGGTAATAGCGGACAGAACTACGGCTCGAGCTACGAGAACAATAACCAGTCATCGTACGGTTGGGAGATCACCCAACCCAGTGGTAATGGAGGCAGCAGCAGCCACAATAACAATCGTAACAACAACAGTCATGTCAATGTGCCAAATGACGGCAACAATTTCGGCGGCAATTCTTCCGTGACGAAGTCAAGCAGGGACGGCTACAGCAGCAACAACTCCTCGAGGTCATCCCCGGGCCGATGGCGGGCACAGTCACAGTCTGGTGGTGCTGAAGATAGCAGCAACAGGGCCTCCGTGACTGGCGGAGGTCCTACTTCTGCTTCGGGTCCAGCGGGCAACTACAGCGGTGCTAACGACAAGGATTCTCAATCTGGGAATGGTTTCGAAGCTGGTGGTCAGTCTTTCAGCGGTGAGTTGATCTCTTTGCTTGAAGCAGCAAGAGGTGCATGAGTCTAATGTTGAGCGCTCGCCTTTCTGTAAAAGGAGCAAACATCACCGATAGGGCTGGCGCTGGCGATGGCTATGACAGCCGCAAAGATGAGGAAGACACTTCCACCGCGACGAAAAATACTTTCAGCTCAGGTGTGTCAAGCAACAACAGCTCCTCAAAGACGCACGAATCCTATGGAAGCAGCAATGCAAGCTTTAGTACGTCTTACACGCGCACCGATGGCCTCGGCGAAGGAAGAAACGAAAACAAACAGACGAAATCGTCGTCTCCCCCTACGAACAGCTCAGGAATTCACGCCGATTCCTCAGCACGAGGCAATGCCAGCGACAATCGCGTTCATTTCCCCGAAGCTCATAGCGGGGTCGGAAGTAATGGTGGAAGCGTCTACGGGTCTCCTTCGAGCAACGCCAACGAGAATGTTTCGTCAACGTCGATGACTGGAGCAAACAGCAACAACAGCAACAATAACAGCTCGTCACCGTCTCCACACGGAGGAAGAGGTAACAGTTCCCTGTCGAACCAGTCCTCGAAACAGAGCCTGAATCAAAGCTCTGGCCAGGGCCAGAATTCGGGCCAAAGTGAGAGCCAGAACAAGTCTCTGACGAAGTGCTTCTCGTCGATGGGCGTCAGCGATGGCGACAGCTCCTCTTCATACGGGAACAAGACAGCCAACGCGGGCAGCAACAAACAGGTCCAGAACGATGGCAAGGGACAGGGTCAAGGCTTCAACAATAATAAGAGCGGCACCGCCAGCAAAAGCGGTGTCAGTGCCAACACAAGCTCCAATACCAATACCAATTCCAACTCCAGTTCCAACAGCGATAGCACCCACAGCCATGGTAGAATCTTTGGCGTCCTCAGTCGTCGCTAGACCGTGACTTTGCAACCACTGACTTAAAAGTTGTCTTCAACAATATCACCCTCTTTTGATCAAACTTCAGCACCTCTGTTCCTTCGTCCTTTGTCGCCCTCTCTTCACCCTTTCTTTTCCTTGTTCCTACTATCTGCACCTCTCTGAGGCTTTGTAGATGATTTTTGAGCGATGAAGTACATGTTCTTGACTCGATCTTCTGCAACTACGCTTGAAAATCGTACATCACTGATCAGGAGGCAGGGCCGGCCTTGAGAGCAGTCTCTGCATCCCAGGCCCGATGGAGCTGCATCACCCTCCGTTCCCTCCGGACAATGCCACCCTCGATGACCTTGGTCCGCCAGGGCGTGTCGAGCGCTGCCTTGTATTCCGGCGTTGATTCAAAGTCGCCGTTCTCGTATTCTTCGAATCATTGTCAGCTGCTGTCAAGCGGTAAAGGAACATTCGAAAAAGAGTTTCTCACCATGAAGACCGAGGCACAGGGGCACCTCCTTTCCGTCCTGGTTGTCCGGCCTGACGTCTCGTCCGTTGATGAGGGCGTCGACGAGCTCGAAGCGCCTCGTGCGCTTCCACCCCGGGACCTTTTTCAGCATCGGCACATGCTCCTTGACGTACCACTCGTCATACGCTGCCTTGTTTTCTTCGGCAGGCGTGACGCTCGTGGCCACTACGAACTTTGCCTCGGACTCCACGTCGGCCTTGGTCCTGGGTCGAAGATCGGCGGGGGCAGGGCCCAGGCCGTCGCGGCTGTCCGTCGTCGTGTCGAGGGCGCCCTCGGCGGAGCTGTCATAGACGAGCCGATAGATGCGGCGGTCAAGGACAGCAACGCGCGAAAGGAGCTCGGCCTCGCGCGGGGACCGCTGCGAGCGCAGCGACGTGTACGCCGGGTCCTTGTACAGGGCGTTGGAGGAGATGGTGTATGCAGCGGCCCACTTGGCCGAGAATGCGCGCGCGTCGTCGCTCGTCGACGAGACAAATGATGACGAGGGCACAGCATAGCGGGCCGCAGTGAGAAACTCGGGAAAGCGCGAGATGCGCAGCGGGACATGCTCGTTGTCGTACCAGTCTATGGGCACTCAAGGCTTCGGTCAGTCTCGTACAAGGGCCATGAGGGGCGCCACTACCTCGAAAACGCACCATGGAACTCATCGACCGTGGCATCCTTGCCCGGGTCGCTGAACACGAGCAGCAGGCCCGCATCGCGCTCATTGTAGGGATCTTTTTGTGCTTCAGCCATGATCGCTCGTCGGTGTTGGGTGTGCAGCAACGAATGGGTCGTGCGAGAGAGTAAGAGGACCGACCCCTCCGTCCGACTTTTAAAAAGAATCGGAGTCAGTCTCAGCCAGACGCCATGTGGAAAGAAGCCTTTGCACGGGCCCTCTCTGTGCTTTTTGGAACAGAACAAACGCGCTCGCCGCTGGGGTCGCGTCTCGATTTCGTCTTCTCATCAACTCTGCTTACAACTGACTGACGAAGCGCGATGCCGGACAAGTGGGCCGCCTCGTCCAACGAGGCACTCCGCGTGTCCCTCGTCTCCTCCGAAGGCACCTCGACTTTCCATCCGACGTTCACCTATCCCATCTTTGGCGAAGAGGAGACAATCTACGGGTACACGGACCTTGGCATCTGCCTCTTTCTCGCCGCGGGCAGCCTCAAGCCCGCGCTCGTGGTCTCGTACGACGAGAAGAACACGAGCACGACGATCAAAGTAGACGATGTGCAGGAGACTCTGCTCGAATTCCTTCCTGACCGGCAGGACTTTGTCAAGATCAGCCAGACGTCGGGCGAGGCCAGGGATGAGCAGGCCGAGGTCAAGCGGCTGCTCGCAGAGGACTGCAAGACCTTCCGACCGGTAGGAGAAAAAGTGACAACGTACGAGGCTGGGTCTTCGTCTGCCTCCAAGGGAAAGGGAAAGTCAAAGACGGGCCAAGGGCAGAATTTTGAGATCTTCCACTGCGATTGGGACACACCTGGATTCAAGGAGCTGCACCGGCGCATGCAGATCTTTGCCTTGCTCTTCATCGAGGGCGCCTCGTATATCTCTGAGGAGGAGCACAACTGGGAGTTCTTTGTCGTCTACGAGCGTACCGATGCGGGAGAGTACAAGTTTGTTGGCTACACGAGCCTGTACAAGTTCTGGTCCTACCCGTCTAACTCGCGCATCCGGCTGAGCCAGTTCCTCGTGCTCCCCATCTACCAGGGCCAGGGGCACGGCTCGAAGCTGTACGACACCGTGTATGCAGCCATCCAAGCGCGAGCTGGCGTGTCGGAGCTCACAGTCGAGGATCCCTCAGAAGCATTTGACCATCTCCGCGACCGGTCCGACCTGACGCGCCTCTTCTCGACCGACTCGTCGGGCGACGGCTTCCTGAGACGGGCAAAGGAAGCCAAGAAGGGTGGTGCGCTCCGCGCCCCCGTCGACAAGGCATGGAGCGAGACGGAGAGACTGCGGCACAAGATTGCACCGCGGCAGTGGGCCCGCCTCGTCGAAATGTGCATGCTGACGATGCTCGACGAGGCCGACGTGGAGCAGTGCAGGCAGTTCCGGCTGCAGGTGCGTCTCCTTGTGTGTCAGTGTTTAGCAGATATTTGAAAGCTGACGACGGCATTGTTCTCTGACAGGTCAAGGCGAGGCTGTATCGTTTCAATAGAGATGTGCTCAAGCAAATGGAGCAGCACGAGCGCGTGACAAAGCTCCAGGAGACGTACGAGAGCGTCCTCGACGAGTACGCTGCCCTCACAGGTACAGACGTCGACGGCATCATTGAGGCGGGCCTCGACAGCGCGGCTACGGCAGGCGTGCTCAACGGCGGTGCCGGCAGCGGCGGCGGGAGCGGTAGCAGCAGCAGCATAAAGAAGGCCCGCTTTGCATAGCACTATATGCTTTTGATAAACGTATGAAATTGTAGCGATAGACTTGAGAGAGAACATGCAGAGTGATGTAGTAGTCATCGAGCAACGATCACGGCTGGCCACCCAGGACGGCCACGTCGACCCTGGCGCCCTCGCCCTCCCATCGATCGTCGTCGTCGTCATCGTCCTCCTTCCCATCCTGCCTCACTTCTGCCAGGATTCTATTGGGCGTCGCAGCCCCCTCGGCGCCCGGCAGTGTCGCTGGACTGAGCTGATGGCCGACGGGTGCCGTGCCGGGTCCTCTGTACTCTGTCTTTCCCGGCCTCTTTGCCATGGCCAGCACCGCTGCCGGGTCGCTGATACCCCGTTGGCCCTGCCGTCGCAGCAGTTCCTGGGCCCTGCGCTGCGCGATCTTTTCGAGGTTCTGCGCGACCCAGCCTGGGTCTGTCAAGGGCGACAGGTCGTTGGACTTGTATGGTGGCAGTCGCTGAAAGGTCGGTCACCACGGATGGCAGAAGTCAGCTATTTGGGAAGGAGGAAAGGAAGAGAGGCACAGACGACGGCAACTCACAGACTTGACCTCGGCATAGCTAGCTTGGCAGCCGCTGCACTCCCGAATGACGCGGAATTGGCTGTCCTTTGCCTTTTGCTTCTTCGATGGGCCCATTGATTGGGCACCTGCAGAGGGAGCGCCCATCATCTGTCGACGGGTCGGGCCGAGCGAGAGGGCGCCCATCTGCCGTGTTGCTGTGTCGGCAGAGATGGGTGCTGTTGGTCGAGCCGTTGTTGGGAATCCGGTTGCTGGAGGGGCAGCAGAAGCAGCAGTTGACTGAGACAGATCCATAGAGTCTTCTTCCTCGTCAAAGCCGACGTACATCCTCGTGTCAAAGATGCGAAAGAGAACGTCGTCGACACGGAGGAAGAAGCGCTGAAGAACGAGAAATCCAGACGGCATGACTCGCTGCTCCAAAAGTACTCGGTCAGTCCGCCATTTTTTTAAGAGCGTCACTGCCAGGAAATGCAGAGCAGACTCACCACCTTCACGTTGAGCATACTCGAGCCATTGTCGCCCAGTTCGTCTTCAAAGAGGACCAGATCGTCGTAGAAGAGGATCGGTTCTGGTTTCGGCGTGCCGGGCATGCCAGCATTCGGTGGCGGACCGAGTCTCTCGATGGGAATCCGATCGCGCGCTGGGTCGGTCCCTAGATGAAATTGTGACTCGCTCACTACCTCTCCGTCATTTCCGTGCGCAGTAGAGGGCTTTGGCAGAAGCTCATGGCCAGGCCAAGTGCATGAATAGGTCCAATCGTAGTCCCTTGCCAGGGAGATAGTCGACGTTGGGTCATTGACGGCGGAAGCGACAGCCTTGGCCACGTCTGAGCCGAAATTGGACGCTGTATTGAGGAGGGTAGGCGATGGCCCAGAACCAGGAGCAGGCTCCCTGCTTTTACCCCATTCGTCGGCATAGGCCACCTTGACTCGTCGGCTCTTCTTCGGCTTGTCGCCAAGCAGTCCGCCACTCCGCTGTGCTCTCTTGCTACCAGCGCCTCCAGTCCCCGCGCTGCCATTCGAGGTTCCCACGCTTCCGTCGCCGACATCGAGTCCCGTGGTCCTGTGCGCCTGGTCGACGCCCTCGACGCTCCTGAGCGCACTGACGGCATCAAAGATGTACTGCCAGCCGCTAGCTTCGTGGGTGATCCGCAGCGCATTCTTGTCAAACGGCATCTCTGGGAGGGGAATGTTGAGCCTGTCTGACAGCTCGTCGATTGTCTTGCTGTCCGCGATGGATCCACGGCTAGTCTCGACGGTCCAGCCGCAAATGTCGATGCCCTTGACATGCACCACGTCCGCTGCAGACAGCGGAGCATCAGGCGCCCGTCGCGGAGTAGACGACGACGCGGCCTCCTGTCGCGAGTACAGGCGGTGCGATGCCTGCGATGGTGCGCTATTCATCATCGTAGACCTCCCCGTCCCTTTCGTTTCCTTTGCCGTCCCCGTTGCTTGTCGTCGATGTTCCGAGAAGTCAGTTGCTTTTGGGTGGACAAAGGCGATGGCGCGCGCACGGGCTTTTTTTCTCACCACCCACGTGAGAAAGCCCGACGTCCGGCTGACGTCCAAAATAAAGCAGGAAAAAAAAAAGTTTGATTCATCAAAAGGGACCCAAGAAAGAGTCTGGAGAAAGAGACGACGACCCAGGTTGAGCAGCGTCTGACGGGGACTAGGACCGGGCATAGCGAGCGAGCGAGCGCGTGTGTGTGTACCTGGGAATAGGGCAACGATGACACTGTTTGTGCCCGTGGACGAGCAGTCGGCGGAGGACAAGCGATGGATGGAGGAGGCGCTGGTCATGGCCGACGAAGCATTTCAGGCGGCCGAGGTGCCCGTCGGAAGTGTCTTTGTGCGCGATGGCAAGGTCATTGCTCGCCACCGCAACCGTACAAACGAGCTTATGAATGTGAGTGCTATGACTTGCCCCCCCTGATGGCTCCGAACGACCAATACTGATTTCTGTTTTCTCAGGCAACAAGACATGCTGAGCTCGAGGCCATTGACCATATCCTTAGCCTGTACCCACCCAAGTCGTCGGAGTTCCCCATAAATCCGCACGGGTGTCCCGAGGGCGACAACCCATTCAAGTCCACGACCCTCTATGTCACCATTGAGCCGTGCATCATGTGCGCTTCCGCTCTGCGCCAGGTCGGCATCAAGCGCGTCGTTTTCGGCGCCGGCAACGAGCGCTTCGGAGGTAACGGAAGCGTGCTGCCGGTCAATAGCGAGTGAGTAGTTCTACTTCGTCTTGGCTTGGCCTCTCTCCCTCTGACAGCAAACTCTTCCTTGGACAGCCCTATTCTTCAGAACTCGCCAGGGTACGAGGCCGTGGGAGGCTACTCCCGCGAACAGGCCATCATGCATCTCCGGCGCTTCTACCTGACCGAAAATATCTATGCGCCCAACCCGCGGAGCAAGGCGAACCGAAAGCTCAAGACGGACTTTCAACGTGGGTCATCCTTTATCCTTGGGCTCCTTTTTCTTCCTCTTCCCCAATGCCACTCTGCTGACTGCCAATCGATGCACATTCTCAGCTCCGGGCGTGTCAATGCATGGCCCCAATGGCCAGCCGACGAAAAAGACGACGAGAAAGAAGAGCGGACTTCCGGCAGTCAACGGCAACGGCAGCCTTGGCGGTAGCGCTCCCAACGAGGCGGGCAGCGAGAGCGGGAGCGGGGCAGAGGGGAGCAAGCCCGCACATCCCAGACTTGAGGAGGTGGCTCTCCTCTAGGCCGCCATTTCCTCCTTTATCTCCTTATAAATTATAGCTATCACTTGTATTTTTATTCGTCAACGTCATCGGTCATCGAGAGAGGAGGACTAAACAGAGGAACAATAGCATCGTAAATTACGCCTTGTATGCGTCCCGGGCCGGGTCAGCACAAGGTCGAGGTTTCGCATCCAAAGTCTCCAGAGTGCACACTCACGTATCCATCAAAGTCGTAGTCGATGCCCTGCTTCTTGATCTTGTCCTTTTTCTTCTCCTGTCTCTCCAGCAGCTTACGCTCTGCCTTCTCCCGGCTTTCCTGGGTGCGCACCGCATTGTGCCGGTCCTGGTGCTTTTCTGCGTGACGAACCTTTTTGAACTTGCGGTCGGCACCGACCCACATCTTGGGGTGAACCTTGTCCTTGGGCACCACCTTCGCCTGCAACATGCGGTTCTCGATGAGGTAGTTGTCCATTGTCTCTGCCACGATCCGCGCCACATCCTCGTCGTCAAACTCGACAAATGCGTAGTGCTTTGACGCGCCCGTTCGCCGATTCCTCGAGAGCCGCAGGCGCGAGACATCGCCGAATTGCGCAAGGTACTTTCGGAGAGGCTCCTCAGTCATCGACTTGGGCAGCCGTCCAAAGTAAATAACTGTCGGCGTCGAAGCATGCGCCTTTCCCTGCTTCTTGTCGCGCACCTTGTCCAGCTTGGCCTTGACCACTGCGTCGTTCTTGCTGCTGGGCAGCCGCACCACGCCGGAGCTTGAGATCTCTGCCAGACTGCTTCCTCCATCGTCATCCTCGTCATCTTCGTCTGACGAGTCGGCGCCCGACTCGCTGCCCGAGACATCAGACAGGCCGTGGATGTAGTCTCCATCGTCCTCGTCATCCTCGCTGTCTGCCTCCTCCTCTGCGTCCCTCTCCTCTTCGACAGGTGCTCCCACTTCGCTATCGTTCTCGTCCTCTTCGCTTTCTGACTCAAGTGCCGCCGTCGCTGCCGCTTTCTTCTTCTGCGGCCGCTCGCTCTTATCGGCCTTCTTCACCACCTCTTCCCTCGCCCTCTTCTTTCCCTTTTCCAGCACAGGCTTCGCTGGAGGCAGGGGAGCAGCACTCTTCTTGCCCTTTGACTCCGCAGCCGCCTTGGGTTGCGCCTTTGTCATACTGCTCTTCTTGGCCGCAGTGCTTTTTGATACTGCCATCTTCTCTTGTCTTGACGTCGTCGTCGTTGTCTTGTCCGTCCAGTACTTGCGCGCAGGAAGAACGCTTTCTCTCCAAATTTTTTATGGCCGGATCCCTCTTGGAAATTTTTGGAAACAAGGCTCGACTTTTTCGCGCCACGTGCTTCAGGCGCGCGCCCGCGCCTGACGCTCCACTTCCCTTGACAATTCCCGACACCTATTGCTGCTGCTTATTAGTCGGAGGGAAGGAAGCAGTGGAGACGAGACTATAGCGTTAGGCATTCGTTCTGAGGGAGACATGGATCTGTCGTGGCTGCAGCTTCCTCCTTCACTTGCAGGCCGGGGACGCCGGTCGTTCTTCCTCGTCGGCGTCGTGTCGGGCATCACGCTTTCGCTCGGAAGCCTCGCGACTGCGCTGCTCCTCGCCAATGTCCGTGCGCGACGACGACGCCGGCGGCGGCTGGCTCGCTTTGCGGGTCGGACCAGCACCAGTGGACGAAGCGATCGGAGCGACGAGCTGGACAGCGGACGGCGGCGCCGGAGAGCGGGCGGCATCATCGACATCCGTGCGGGCCAGGTCGTGCGCGGCGTCGACGGCCTCATTGGCAACACGCCGCTGATGCGGATCGAGAGCCTGAGCGAGCTGACCGGCTGCGAGATCCTGGCCAAGGCCGAGTTCCTCAACCCGGGAGGAAGCCCAAAGGACCGTGTCGCCAAGCAGATTCTGGACGATGCCGAGGATGAGGGGCTGCTGCATCCCAATACCGGCAGCTGCATCTTTGAGGGGACAGTCGGGTGGGTCATGCGCGGCACCTTAGAAAAAGGGCTAGAGCTGACAACGGAAGAAATGTATGGCCCCTGCAGATCGACGGGGATATCGCTGGCAACTCTCTCGAGAGCAAGAGGGTATCGGTGCTCCATTGTCATTCCCGACGATGTAGCTCGCGAAAAGGCAGAGCTTCTGAGAAAGCTCGGCGCCGAGATCGACGCCGTCCGTCCTCGGGGCATCGTCGATCCGAGACATGTGCGTGATAGATCCCCTAACTGCGCTGATTCTGTGGCGACCTGACACGCTGTTCTTCATGCAGTTCGTCAATGAGGCGCGAGCTCGCGCGGAGGCCTTCGGAACCACTGAGCTTGTCGGCCCGCATCCTCATACCGACGAGCAATCAGCGTCAGGCGAAATCTTTGACGGTGGAGAGAAGCGAAGCGACCTCGTCGTCACCACAAATGCGCATGCTCACCGCTCAGGGTCTGAGACGACGCATGCAGACGATGCAGACGATCTCGAGACGAAGCCGCGGGGCTTCTTTGCCGACCAGGTGGGTTATTCGTACACAGCTACAGGAGCTTCCCATTCGACTGCTGACGAAGGAGTATCCTAATCCTAGTTTGAGAACGTTTCCAACTTTTACGCCCACTACCATGGGACAGGTCCCGAGATTTGGAGGCAAACCGGTGGGATGCTCGACGCCTTTGTCGCGGGTGCCGGCACGGGAGGCACGCTTTCTGGCGTGGCCGTCTACCTCCAGCAACAAGTCGCCGAGGCCAACGCTAGCGACTCGGGGTCTGACGACGGTGACTCCGACTCCGATTCAGGCATCTTCACCTCGTGGCTCCGCTTTGGCAACCGGAGGTCTGCGCAGCGAAGGTGGGCCCCGTCCGAAGACGAGGTCAAACCCTGGGAAGAGGAAAAGAAGGAGTCGGGAGGGCTGGAATGGCCCGGTCAGCGCGAAGCGGAGCGGCGCATTGAGATCGTGCTGGCAGACCCCCAGGGCTCGGGTCTCTTCAACAAGGTCAAGTACGGCGTCATGTTCAACCAGACAGAGGCCGAGGGCAAGCGCCGAAGACACCAGGTAGACACGGTCGTGGAGGGCATCGGGCTCAACAGGCTCACAAAAAACTTTGAGATGGGCCTCGACTACTTCGACTCGGCAGAGAGGGTCACAGACGATGAGGCACTTCGCATGTCGAGGCATTTGGTTCTGAGGTGTGTTTCTCCTCCTCCGTCAGTCTATGTTCTAATATTACTTTGAGCTGATCAATGACTCGACAGAGACGGCCTCTTTCTCGGCTCTTCGTCGGCCGTCAACTGCGTCGCAGCGGTGCGGACGGCGCTGAGACTCAAGCAGCAAACAAGAAAGGGCGGGGAGCCGCCGGTGGTTGTGACGATCTTGTGCGACTCAGGGACGAGGCACCTCTCCAAGTTCTGGGATGACGATGCGGTGCGGAAGCTTGGTCTGGACCCGGCAAAGAATGATATATCAGACATCTTGGCTGCTCCTGCTCCTGCTGATGCGCCACCTGCTTCCTCTTAGAGGCTTGGCCGTGAGCTTGGACCCGAGATGTGAGCCTTCGAAAAGGAATGTATCACAAGCAACATTATGTAATCTCAATCTATCTGATAGCGTAGCAGACGCGCGAAACCCTTCATTAACCTGCTTTCTAACGCACTGCTCGAGAGACGACGGCGCTGTCTGTTCTCTGGACTTGGGGCGATGGCGCATCATCTACGGTGGGCCTCGACGTCCAAGCTGACACTGGCGTCGACGTCGTCGTCGTCGAGTGGGCTACTCTCTGCTCAGCCTGGGTGGCGAGGCAACGCCTCCTCCACTTTGCCCTCGTCGGCTCGGACGCTCTTCATGCACACGCCAGTGCCAGTGCCGTTGCTGCTGCCGTCCCGTGCTCCTCCTCGTGGGATACGCTCGGCTGTGGGCCTTCAAGTAGCTGGAAGTGTGAACAAACCACGGCTGCTCCATACGACGGCACCGTGGCACGACCACTATAGCACACTCGACATTTCTCCCCAGGCCTCGCAGAAGGACATCAAGGCGCAGTTCTACAAGGTGAGTCGTTGTCAACCCGAGCTTGGGGCCATGAGTGGAAAGGCAGGACTGACGAACGATGTATGTGGACACAAACAGCTATCGAAGCAGTTCCACCCAGACCGCAACCAGGGTTCAGACGATGCGAAGCGCAAGTTTCAGGAAGTGTCCGAGGCGTATGCGTCGCTCGGGACCGAGGCCAATCGGTCAGTCTCTGCGTTCTAACAATTTACTTCTGTTTCGCCCTGCTAATGCTGTTGCTTTCTCTCAACACAGGAAAGAATATGACCGGTCCCTTGCGGCACGGAGAGCGGGTGGTGGGGGAGGCGGAGGGAGGAGCTTCCGGTACGCCTCGTCGGACAACTCGTCGCGACGGGCCCGCGCGACATATGCGTGGAATTACCGGCAGCAGCAGGGCCGGCGCGACTCGCAGCACCATCAGAGCAGGGCCTCGTCGTACCACCCCCACTTCTCTGGCTCCTCGACGAGCAGCGGCAGCGGCAGCTCATCATCGATGTTTGAGCGCTTTGCGGCGCGCGAGCGGCGGCGCGAGGCCGCGACGCAGGCTCGCCAGGGCACCGCGGCCTACAAGGACAGCTTCGGCAATGTCTCGCCAGAGGAGCACCATGCACAGACGGCCAGCCCCGTCATCAGATTCCTCCAGGTCGCAGGGCTTTTCTACGTCGTCTTTTGGGTCGGCACGAGGCTGGGGGGCGGGAGCCAGACGACCAAGATCAAGGCCGAGCAAGAGGACGAGTGGGAGCATAGAGACTCAGTGACAATCAGAAGATGTTGAACGTCCAGATTCCACCCCAAACAGCATTTAGACGGTCTGTTTTCAAGCTCCTTACTCATGTCATTAGCAAATCCGCGAGGATCCTGTATTCTACCAAGTGATCCTCTCACAGACCCTGAGGCTATATACAGTACATGCATCTTTTTTTCAACTGTCTCTTTGACCAACGTCCTGCCTTGCATTTTGGGTTTTTCCTTCTTTCATTGCGCTCGGAGATGAGCGCATTTATTGGCTCTTCTTGCCGTTTGCCTGGCCGCTCCTCAGGTCCTCGACCTTTTCCATGGCAGCGTCCCTGACCTCCTCGCCCGTCTTCTTCGCCTCGCCCTCGATCTTGTCGACATCGGGCACCTGCGGGTTGCCCTCCTTGGCTCCCTTTTGCTGCTGCTGTTGCTGCTCCTTCTCGTTCCTCTGCCGCTTCTTCTCGGCGCCAGCGCCGCTGACGCTGTCGAGCCACTTGCCTGCACCGAGCCGAATGGCCACCATGGGACCGAGGGCCAACACGATACCGTAGTACCAGAGCTGGCCCCACGCCTGCAGGCTCTTGCCGAATTCGAGGAGGATAAAGGGCGCCGCCGTGTAGTTCATCGTGAGCTGCACGGCCACGACCGAGAGGGTGCAGTAGGCGAGCTGCGCGATCGTGTAGCTGCCGTCAAGGAGGGAGCGGACAGAGGTGGGGTTCGACTTGCGCGCGACGCTTCCCTTGAAGAAGATGGGGCGCAGGTGGGAGCGCAGCCCGCGGCCGCTCGACTGCAGGAGGCCACCGAGGACAAAGGCGAGGTAGTAGCCGGGCGCGACGCCGTGCCAAAAGGCACTGGTGATAAAGGTGGCCATGGTGCTCTTGAAGCCCGGCTTCTTGCCCGGTCGCGACACGCGCTTGTAGACATTGTTGCGCAGCCACACGTCTGTGGTCGCATTTTTTAGTCAGTGCCGTGCTCGTCGGGACTATAAGGCCAACGATGCGCGCTTGCACTCACTAGTGTTGATGTTCCAGCTGTCGAGGAGCTCCTTCCAGTTGTTTGCAAATTCGATGCCCATGAAGTTTACATTCTGGCATCGGTTCCACTTTGACTGGCCCTGGTTCTCTTTGGCGCCGCCAACGAAGCCATTGAACGAGAGGCCGGACAAAATGCATGCCGCCTTTTATGTACGGGCAGCAATTTGTTAGAACAGGTATACCTTGGGAGAGTAGGAAAGGAGGCTTACGTTTGTCAGATTCCAGATGCCGTAGTACTTTGTCCTGGCTGCAAATCCCGCGAGCTGTGTGAGGACTACGCGCGAAAGAATACCCGGCTTCTCCTCGCCAAGCTTGAGGGGAGCCACGAGCATCTCGTAGTCGAAGCGAGGGGTGAGGTAGGACCACGCGGCGAGCGAGAGGATGCCCAGGGTGAGCTGCTTTGCGCAGGCCTGGACGCGACCTCGGGGGGGAAGACGCATGCCCGAGTATGGTGACGTGCGCGTCTTCTCGGGGTACATCGCCCCTGTGGACCAGGCCCGGTAGTCGACGAAGCGAGTCGATGGCCCGATGAGGAGGCCCGGAAAGTAAAACCTGTCGGGTAGGTCACGTTGCTCGACTTAGTAAAGCCCGTACTACAGCACACGGCAGAAGGGGGAGGGGGGCGAGAGACACTCACGCGTAGCCCAGAAACTCAAGGATGCTCGGGAACTCGGTGATGCGCATGCTCTTCTGCTGTTCATCGCACTGCTCGGCCGTCCTGTTCTTGCCATCGTGCACGCTCCAGGCGAAGCTCGTGAGGTTCATCGTCAGCACCATCTGCGCGGCCGTGATCTCGATGGTGGTCAGCGGGATATTTCCAAAGGCCCGCACGAGGTGGTTGACGGTGAGGTGGCCCATGGCCAAGCCAAAGACGAGCCAGGGCATCCAGGCCTTGCCGCCGACATTGTGCTTGGTGACAAAGTAAGTCGTCAGGGTTGAGACCAGCAGCTGAAGGTAGCCGCCGGGAAGATCGAGGATGCCCCAAAGGAAGAAGGAGCCGACAAGGAAGTTGAACAGGTGCTTCTGTACTGCCGTCAGGTGCGGCAGAGGCACAGCGAGCGGAAATGCCAGAAAGAAGCAGGTAAAGAGCTGTGGAGTACCGAACAAGATCGGTGAGCCTCTTGGCACCTGGCGACAGTTTCTTTCAGAGAGACAAAGGAAACACGCACCTTGACATAGTCGGGGGGCATGGCCGTAGCCTCGCCGAGGTAGATAAAGGTATCCCGGAACATGACTTTGTCTTGATCCTCTGTTCCTCCTCTCGACCGCTGCTGGCTAGAAGAGAAGCAGCGAGCAGGAGGAACCTTTGCAACACAAAAAAGCTTTCTCGGACATTCACGTGGCCCTCCACTTCTCACCTTTTTTTCTTTTTTTTATACCCGTCCCCCCAGAGAATAGGCCAGTAGTGGATGTGAAAGGCCGCATCAATCGCTGCGTCATGGCTAATCAGATGCTCGTTGCCCGCAGCATACTCGGCCCTTGCTCGATCAGACAGATAGAAGCGCAAAGATGGCGCACACATAGATGGCGCACACATAAGACGAAAGAGCATGATTGTAGCAGCTATAGGTACAAAGAGCAGACAAGGCCCCTCAGCGCCTTTTGCGCGCCTCGTCCCTCGTCCACGGCCAAGATGTGCTCGAGCGTGTTGCTGGCTCGGCCTGCCGCCAGCCTGGCTCCTGCCACGCTCGCATCTCGTCCGGGACCGCAACGGCCTGGTCCTTTTGCCCCTTCTTGGCGAGCCTCAGCGCCTCGCGCTCCAGCCAGCCTGGATGCAGCGTGAGCTGGCTGGGTGAGGCGCCGTCGTACACCAGCTTGGTCGGCCCTTCTACGGTGTACACGGCGATGCCATTGTCTCTGAGTATGCGCGTGCCTTCGCACTTGACAAAATCGTCTGGCTCCTTGACGCCCTGAAAGACGCGGGCGATGCGTAGCGTGACATTGTGGCCCGCAGGCGCCCTGAAGCGGTACTTGTCCCGGTTGAACTCGAGGATCCGCTCGACGCACGGCGGTTTCTTTGACAGCCGGCTGCTGCAGGGCTCCATAGTCGTGTACAGATCTAGATCAAGAAAGTTGTCCGGCTCTCGCGTTGCCTTTTTCTGGACTTGGACGCACCGCAGAGCGAGTCTCTCGAGGGCCACTTCCTCGGCGTGCGTGTTGCCAGGCGTCTCGCGAGAGTAGCCGGTGGTAAAAATGCCCCGAGTGCCGCCGTCATCGCGCTGCATGCTGCCGTTGCTCGACGACCGGGCGATGACGCAGCCGACACTGAAGGCGGTCGTCGTTGGATCGCATCTACTAGCGAACTCGAGTGCCAAGAGCATCCTCTCTAGGTGAATCCCATCATTGGGACTTGTCGTGGCATCGTTGCCCAAGGCATATCTCCTCGAGACTTCGAAGCGATTGAGAAAGTCATAGTCTCGCTTCCACAGCCCGTACTCGTTCTCCACGCCCCCATCGTCCCACACGGCCCAGCTGTCGCGTATTCGGAGGGCAGTGACCAAGGGGTGCTCGAGGATCACCTGCCGGACAGTCTTGGGCCCGCCTTTATATGCAGTGGAGAAGAGGTTACGCCGACGGCTTAGCGTTTCAAAGACGTGGTACCATGCGATACCGAAGGCGAAGCCAAGCGCTGCTCCCACGATGATCTGCAGCGGCGTGTGGTAGGAGAGGTGGTACCTAAGGGTAGTGCGACGCACGGTCAGCATGGTCCCTAAGCGCAGCGCTGTGAGAACTTAGAAAAAGAAAAGACTCACCGGCTGTAGGCCACGGCAGCGCTGAGAGAGACGATGAGCCCCACCACGACGGTGTGCTCGAATCTACGTAGGACCCAAATGAGAGACCAGCAACGATCCTTTGCCATGCCCGGCCGGAAGGTGAAGAGGTGGAGGAGCCAAAAGGCAGCAAAGTAGCCCATGAACTGAGCGTGGGAGCTCGGCATTGCGTAGCCCGTGCCAAGAAAGGACGTGGGCCTCGGATGGCGGAAAGAGCGCTTGAGGACCCAGTTGAGGGCCTCGTTGGCCAGCTGACCGGCGAGGCCGACGAGAATGCTGAGCTCGCGCCGGAAGAGGAGGAGTGTTACGTACGAAGAGAGCAGGAAGAGCGGCGCCAGCGTGACGAGAGCCAGGGTGGCCGAGAGTGAGTGGCGGGCATCGTCTTTGGGGCTACGTTGTCAGCGATGGCGGCCGCTGTAGAAAGGGGAAGGAAGGGCAAGTGAACTCACATTGGACGTGCGTGAGGGCCAGAGAGGTGAATTGGCCTGGGTCTAGAGATCCAACGTGGTCCGAGCTGAACACTCCCTGAACCAGCCCCAAGAGCGCCGAGCCCATATTGTGTAGGCCCCCTTTTCGTGCGCGGCAGCTTCCTTCTTCGTCGCCGCGATTGAGACTTGGACAGGCTGACGAAGGAAACAAGCGCGGGCGCGCGGGGCTCGTGCGAGCACGGGCTGTCGAATGACGGATTAATGCCGTGAAAGTGACAGTTCGCACACGCACGTGTACTCAACCACTAGCAAGCCCGAATTTTGTATTTGCACTTCGTCGGAGTGGAGGAACCATACAATTGGGAGAATTCAAACAGAAAAACGTCGCACGACAGTGTAAGAGAGGAAGCGAGGAGGGGATGGAGGTGGGGGGTAAGAAATCACCCAGCAGCTTCTTTCTTCCTCGGGCCTATCGTTGCAAACTCTCCCCTCTCTTCACCATCACCACTATTTCCTATCGTTTGCTCCTACCAGAAAGAACGCCATTAAGATGCCCAAGGGATACGCTATTGCCGACACGAAGAAGTGGACCGACTTCAAGGTCATCGACTTTGACCTCAAGACGCCCGAAGACGATGACGTCGACGTTGACATCCAGTTCTGTGGTGTCTGCGTGAGTTTGCCGGCGGGAAGAACCAACGGCATACAGCACTTGTCTTACTGACTCTTGTCTCTTGATTGATCTTTCCTTCCATTAGGGCTCCGACGTGCACACCATCTCGGGAGGCTGGGGCGAGCTGAGCGTCCCGGCTGTGATTCCCGGCCACGAGATCGTGGGCAAGGTCACCAAGGTCGGCAAGAACGTCAAGGGTATCGAGGTCGGCCAGCGCGTCGGCGTCGGCGCCCAGGTCGGTTCGTGCGGCACGTGCAACCCGTGCAAGACGGACCACGAGAACTACTGCATCGGCGATGGCAAGAAGGGCTTGGTCGACACCTACAACAGCCTTTACCCCGATGGCAAGGCCGCCCAGGGCGGCTACAGCACCGCCATCCGGGCTCACCAGCAGTTTGTCTTCCCCATCCCCGACGCCATCACGTCGGAGGATGCTGCCTCGATGCTCTGGTGCGCATCTTGCTCTTTCTCCTGTCCTTCTCCTTTATTCGCATTTTGGCTGACTTTGCTGGCCTCTTGCAGCGGCGGCCTCACCGTCTTTGCTCCCCTCAACCGCAACGGCTGCGGCCCTGGCAAGAAGGTTGCCGTCGTCGGTCTCGGTGGCCTTGGTCACTATGGTGAGCAATGCAACAAATGGAGTAGCTGCCAGATTGCGGACCACAAGTGGCTGACATATTCCCTTTCTCCAGCCGTGCTCTTTGCTGTGGCCATGGGCGCCGAGGTGACCGTCATCTCGCACTCGCCCAAGAAGAAGGAGGATGCATTCAAGATGGGCGCCAAGCACTTTGTCGCCACGGGCGAGGACAAGGACTGGCACACGCGCTATGGCCGCGAGCTGACGCCGTTTGACATCATCATCTCGACTGCTTCGTCCAACGCAGTCGACCTCAAGTCGGTGATGCACACGCTCCAGACCTACGGCTCGTGCGTCTACGTGGGCATGCCCGAGGACCACTTTGAGGTGCGCGCCCAGACGCTGGCCTTCAACGGCTGCAACCTCCAAGGATCGCACATTGGCAGCAAGAAGGAGGCCCTCAAGATGCTTGACCTCGCCGCCGAGAAGAACGTCAAGCCCTGGATCGAGGTGCTGGACATGAAGGAGTGCGCCAAGGCCGTCGCCCGTGTCCACTCCAACGACATCCGCTACCGCTTCGTCCTCAAGCAGGACCTGGAGCCCGTTGCTTGAGCGCTTCGGTAGTCGTGTTGGTCTGAGATACTGTCGCTACTTAACGGTGCGCCTAGCTAAAATGTTTGAGAATGTCATATTTTGATCCAACCTCTCCCGCTCTCTCCCTCCACCTCTGCCTGCCCGACCTGCCTGTGCCTGGGTTCGGCATTGAAGCGTGAGCAGCGGCTCACATTTACCGTCAGGTCTGGTTTGGTAATCTTTTCTCATTCTTGAAAAATATTGCATCAAGCGACAGTGAAACAGGTGTATTCCGCGTGAGCCCCAAGAAAAATCGGCGAGAGGCCATTTTCAGCTCAGCCTCGGCCATCGCTGGTCTTCTCGCCGAGGCAATGCAAATAGGCTAAGCAACCCCGCAGGACGCAGGCCGGGACCCAATCTGGCTTCTTAGCTACTCGACTACTCTACTACTACTGGTCGACTGTCCCCGTGGCGCTTGCTTCCTCACTGTGCATTTTTTAATCTTTCACGCCCCCATCCTTCCCTTCCCCCATAGTGGCTAAAGTTGGCAGACTTCGCTTTGCCTTTTTGCTGACGAGAACATCGGAAGAGCAAGCGAGCCAGCATCGCCCGCCACTTGCTTTTCCTTTTCTCCTTCCCCACGATCTCATCCTCCCCGCAAGTAGACCTTCGTCTGCGCCATCCCTTCCCTCTTTCTTCATCATGCCTTTCACAACCAAGGCAAGCGACGTCTGGGACGAGAACCAGCAGGCGGTGAGTTTGTGCGATTGGCGCGTGGCGGAAGCTGTCCTCCGCAAGCAAGCCCAATCTGACACACGACATGTAATGCCCAGGTCATGCTGGCCGTGGCTGATGCCTTTGTGCCTCACCTCGATGGTCCCGAGGCTGCCCGTGTTGTCGCTTCGCTCCCTCCCACGGCGACGGACCGGCAGCGGGAGCTGGTGGCCCAGTTTGCCGCCGACGGATTCAAAGACTACCCGTACCTCCTCGACCGGTTCGCGCACCAGGCCCGCGTCTCGCTCTCGGCCTCGACGCTGTGGCAGATCAACCTGACGCTGAGCGCACTCGCCACCCGGCCCGGCTGCCTGGCCCTCACTGGCCGCTTGGGCCCCTTCCAGGCGCTCGACACGCCCACGCGTGCCGCGATCCTCAAGGGCTGGGCCGCCTCGCCCCTCGCTCTGCTCCAGAAGGCAGCTGCCGGCTTCAAGGGCTTGTCCCTCATCGTCTTTTACCGCTTCCACCAGACGGCTTGGGAGGCAGTCGGATACAGCGATGGCCAGGCCAGCGACTGGAAGGAAAAGGTCCAAGCGGAGAAGGAGGAACCCCACTACCCGTACGTGTTTGAAAACGACAAGATCGCAGCGACGTCTCCCGGTGTCGACGTCGAGCTCGACACCGATGTCCTCATCATTGGCTCGGGCGCCGGTGGCGGTGTCGTAGCAAAGTATCTGACGGAGCGGGGGCTGCGCTGCCTCATTGCTGAAAAGGGCACTTACATGCGCCCCGCCGACGTGACGGGACGAGAGGACCAAGGCTACCCCGAGATGTATGAGGCAGAGGGCCTGATGCCCGTCGAGAACGGGAGCGTAAACGTGCTTGCCGGCTCCACGTTTGGAGGAGGCACCACGGTCAACTGGTCTGCGTCGCTCAAGCCTCGTCATTACGCCCGCGAGGCTTGGGCCACCAAGCACGGCCTGCCTTACTTCAGGGGCCCTGCCTTCAGCGACGACCTCAACGCCGTCTGCGGCCGCATGGGCTGCTCCACGCACGCCATCAAGCACAACATCGCCAACTCGCTCCTGGCCCTGGGCGCCCAGCGAGCCGGCCAGCCCGTCGAGGCGGTGCCGCAGAACTCGGGCGGCCACGTCCACTACTGTGGCAAGTGCCAGCTCGGCTGTGTCAGTGGCCACAAGCAGGGCGGCACCGTCACCTGGCTCCGCGATGCAGCCGAGACGGGCAATGCCGGCTTCGTTCTCAACTGCAACATCGACCGTGTTCTCTTTGACAAGTCTGGACGCAAGGCCATTGGTGCCCTTGCCACCATCGATGGACGAAAGGTGACGATCCGTGCCAACAAGGCCGTCGTGTCCTCGGCCGGCTCGATCCAGACGCCCGCCGTGCTGCTCCGATCGCCCGAGCTCAAGTACAACAAGCAGATTGGCCAGCACCTGCACCTGCACCCCACCACGACCGTCGTTGGCTTCTACGATTTCCCCATCAACCCGTGGGAGGGCAGCCTGCTCACGATGGTGTCCAATGCCGCCGAGCTCGTCGATGCCGAGGGTTGGGGATGCAAGATCGAAGTCATTGCTTCGTCTCCCTCCATCCACGCCGCCTTTTCCAACTACGAAGACTCGACGGCGCACAAGGCCGCCATGCTCCGCTACAGCCACTCGTTTACCATCATTGTCATCTGCAGGGACCGCGACGGTGGCCGCGTCTTCATCGACAACGAGGGCAAGGCACGGATGGACTACAGCATCAGCAAGCACGACCAGCAGTCGCTCCTCCAGGGCGTCCTCCGCGCCACGGAGATCCACATGATGGCGGGCGCATCCCAGATCTCGACGTGCCAGGTCGGCATGGCGCCCTACAAGCCTGCCCTCACGTCTGCCGGCGGCCACCCGGACGTGGGCGGCAAGGTGCTGCCCGAGAGCACGACGCTGCCGTCGACGGCGACGCCCGTCGAGGCGCTCCCACGCAGCCTCAACGAAGACGGCTACCGGGCCTGGCGAAAGGGCATCGAAAAGGCCGGCGTCGCGCCCAACTGGTGCACGACGGGAAGCGCACACCAGATGGGCTCCTGCCGGATGGGAAGCAGCCCAAAGACGTCGGCCCTCGATCCCGAGGGACGGGTGTGGGGCGCCAAGAACCTGTATGTCGCCGATGCGAGCTGCTTGCCAGAGGCCAGCGGCGTCAACCCCATGATCACGACAATGGCGACGGCCCGGGGCGTCGCGAGGAACATTGCAAAGGACCTCGGCGTCGAGCGGCCAGAGAACCTGACTGGCCCGAACATGAGGGAGTCGCGCATCTAGAGTGTGAACCTCTTTTGCTTTTCCCGTCCTGCCCAGCCTCTCTTCTCTCTTAGTAGTACCTCTCCTCTCGCATGTGCTGTCATGTCAAGTCCTGCAATGTCATGCTGTCTCTGCCCAGATCTCCTGCTTCTCTCTGTGCTGATTGTCTGATTTGAATTCCATCTATATTGGTGAAATGACTGATGCGCATCTATATCCCTAGCATATGAGGTCCGACTACAACCAGGCGGATGGAATTGTGGCCATGCACCTGGCCCATCGGTCCAGCCTGCCTTCCTCGTCGGGATGAACGACAGGCAGGAGCTTGAGACTGGTGCCTCCGCCCGGCCGCGGGTCCAGCTCCCTGAGTGCGCGTCCAAACTCAGTCATCTGTCCATCCTGCCCCTGCATCGGCCCGCGTCTGCGTCCATCCTCCTCCTCCTCGCTGGCAAAGGGCGAGGAAGCATCCTGCGTCAGCTTGAAGCTCGACGCCGACTCGTCCCAGACGTCTTCAAACGAGGCCTCTGCGCCCAGGCGCCGCTCGCCGCCCATGCTCGCGATGCGCTCCTCAGCGTCGCACCAGAACATGCTCCACTTAGGCTCCCAAGCCTCGGCGTCGCCCTCCGCCCCGGCCTCAGCTGCGGGCGCAGGCTTCTTCTTGCCCGCGACGGCGTCCGTGTCGATGCGAACAAAGCCATTGGACCGCTCGTAGTACCACCGATTAACTGGGTTGTCGCTGCGGCTCTTCCAGACGAGGTCTCTCCCACGGCCAAAGCCGCCCTTGCCGCCGTTGTCGTTGAGCGCATCCAGAAGGCCCAGTCCGCTCACTTCATCGCGCAGGGCGCCCCACAGAAAGTCGACGGCGCCCGAGCCCTGCAGCGAGGGCAGGACGGCAAACTTGTCGAGGTAGGCAATCGCCTCTGTCTCGCCCTCGACCTCGCCCGGCGCATACTCGCGCGTCACAATGGCCGCGCCCTCGTAGTCGCCCGTGACAATGACAAACTCACACTTGCGCTCGAGCCGCGCAAAGTAGGCGTCGCGGTCAAGCTTGCGCCTGAACGAGGCCTCGAGCAGGCGCGCGAGCTTGTCCTTGTCGACCTTGGACCAGTCGTACATGACGACAATGTCGAGACCGGGACGGATGATGGTGGGCGTGTGCCGCACGTCCTTTCTCCCCGCCACGAGCCGGTGCGGCAGACTGGGGCTGTGGGCGGCCTTGTTGGTGATGAGGTTCGCGATCAGGGACCGCGGGGAGCGGTGAGAGACGACGACGCCCGAAGACGTTGGGGGCATGTATGCCAGGCAATCCCGGACCATGGCCAGGTTGCTAAGGGCTGTTGGGTGGGTGCGGTTCCAGATGAATGAGTTCGTCAGGTGCGAGTATTCGGAAGCAAGATTGATGCTCAGGTGCGGGTTGCCGCCACGGGCGTGCGACGGGATGCCTCCCTCTCGGTTGCTAAAAAGAAAGAGTTATGAGCGACTTGTCAGGAAAGGGAAAGGAGGGACATCATCATCTCACATGACCATCAGCCGGAGAGGCATCATGTCGACGCTGGCTGCGCTCGTGGCATCGTCCTGCTTTGCCTTTGCCGCCATCTCGCGGGCAAGAGCAACGACGACGTCGTCGGCAGGCACGCACGTAGTCCTCGGTGCGCCGCCTGCCTCTGGCTCCTCAAAGAGGGCGAGCGGTGCAATGACGGGGATCATGTCGTGTGCGAGGGCGGATCGCATCGAGGACAGGCCATCGTCGCTGACGAGGGGCGAGCGTGGGATAGGCGTCGCATCGTCGTCGTCCTCGCCCTGTTGTTGCACTTTGCCGCTCCTGCCTTTCTTCAGCGACGACATTCTCTCGGCCCACGAATAGAGAGGGTGAGCCTTGATCTTGCCAGGTAGATCCGGTGGGTGGGCCTGCATCGAGGTCTTGACAGAGGCAGCGTCGATGCGCAGGATGGGATGCGAATAGGGCCTCGCCGGTGCGCCCTTTTCGATGAGAAGCTCCGAGAGCCGATGGACCTCGGAGAGCATGCGCTTCCGCAACGCCTCTTCGCTCCTCGCCTTGCTCGTCTTGATGCCTTTTCCAACACCAACCCTCGAGTCTGTTCTTGACGGGGTGGAAGAGGAGGAGGAGGAGGACGAAGGAGGGGACGGTGATGCCGTCGCGAGCCAAGGAGCCAGACCCTTGCGCTCCTGTTCGGCCTCGTTGGCCTCTGCGTCGACGCGCGCACCCGTGTCGGGGTCAAAGTGCGATGTAGCGCCCCGCCAGGCGACGTCCTCGGAATCAATGACAATGACCGAGACGAGGCCGAGGCGCTTGAGGTAGACCATGCCCTCTGCGATGCTCTCGAGCTGGCGCTCGGTGAAGGGACCTTGGATCTTGACGAGGGCCGTGTGCTGCTGTATCGGTGGCGTTGAGAGCGACTCGGCGAGTGCAGCCTCGGGGCCAGTTGCGACTTGCGCCTCGGAGCGCGAGGCAGGCGGCGCAAGCTCATGCATCGCCGCCGTCGTCGCTCGGACGGCGATGTCGGGCTGGGCAAACTGGTGCGAGTCTGCATTGGTGTGCGGCTGTTGCTGTTGCTGCTGCTGCTGTTCGGCTCTGGGCTGGAGCAGCTCTTGCCGGAACCGGTCCTGGTCCTGCTGCTGCGTCGACGGTGGTCCAAACGGCCTCGGCGGCGGGGGAGGGGGACCCGGATGGGCGAGGTGCTGGTGGGGTGGGGGTGCATTCGACTGCAAGTGAAAGGGAGGCGGCGACGAGCGTGGCTGCTTTGATCCAGACGCGACACGGGGGCCAAAGTAATTGAGGTACGTCTTCGAGTCTCTCAGCGACGGCTGGGCGTTGAGGATCTCGAGGATCAGATTCTGCATCGGACGCTTCGACCCCATCTTTGCGCGCTCTTCTCTCCTCCAACAGTCTTGGTGGTGAGGAGTTTCCAAGGAGCGATCGAGCGGATTGTGAGGGAGGGTTTGGAGAGTTGCTCGTCAGGCCATGCCGGCAGGTTGGGTGTGCAGCAGTGGCACAAGGGTGAGGGCTGAGGGTTGGGCTCGAGAAAGCCTCTTATGAGGGCGAGGGCAGAGGGTTTGCTGATTGCGAGACGCGCCCTGCCTGATAATCTTCGCCGCGCCGGGGCTATACTACAACCTGTCAATTCGCCGGGTCTCGGGCTAATGCTCGGGCTAATGCCAGAAAACGAGGACCAAAAAATGAGAGAAGAAAAATTAAAGGTGCCGAGGCAGATGAAGCACCGGCGCTCGTGCCACCCGTCTCCAGAACATCTGTTCTGAATTGCCTGAGATTAAACTCAGCATCTCTTTCGGCACAGCTAGCGAGCCCTGCCGCCCCCTTTGTGAGATTCATTAATCGCCCGCCCACACACCCCGGACCAGATTCGACGAGGCTTCGGCAGGCAAGCCACACACACACACACAAGCAGCTTCTGAATATAGAAGCTGCAGTCGGGCCAGCCCACGTTCGGCTTCGTGCACTCACGAGCAAATGTCAGAGGGTGGCAGTGGGGCGAGCAATGGCAGCAGCGGGGGTGCGGCTGCTCCTGCGTCTGCACCTGGCTCGAGCCGGCCCAGGGTGCAGCAGCTGAGACCGACGAACAAGGATGCATCCAATGTGCCACGCGTCGTCCTCGACGGCGGCCGTCAGGCGGTTGCGCGGGGCCCAGGGCAAGGAGGCAGCAACGGAGCAGCTGCAGCAGCAGGAGCACCAGCAAGTGCGGCAGGAGGACCACCGGGACAGAGACCGCAAGTGGTGCCGCGGATCGTCACTGGCCAGGGCTCGGGCTCCTCGATCCTCGTCAACTCCTGCCAGAGGGGCAACCCCGTCCTCCAAGGCATCAAGAATGTCGGCTGGGAGTATGCCGACATCGTCCCCGACTACCAGGTCGGCGTCTCGAGCTGCGCGCTCTTTCTCAGGTGTGTGTCCAGGCTCGTTCTTTTCCCAGGAAGCGCTGACATTTGGGAGCAGCCTTCGATACCACCGCCTTCACCCCGAATACGTCCACACGCGCATACAGAAGCTCGCCAACATGTTCACCCTCCGCCTGCTCCTCGTCCTCTGTGACGTGGACCAGCACCAGGCGGCGCTCAAGGAGCTGACCAAAGTCGCCCTCGTCAACAATCTCACCCTCATCGTCGCCTGGTCCAGCGCCGAGGCCGGCCGGTACCTCGAGACGTACAAGGCCCTCGAGCACCGGCCGCCAGACCTGATCCGGCAGCGCGTCGCAAACGACTACCTCTCGCACCTCTCGAGCGCCCTGACGAGCGTGCGCGGCGTCAACAAGACCGACGTCGTCACGCTCGCCTCCAACTTTGGCTCCCTGAAGCGCATCGCCCGCGCAGACGCAGAGGAGCTCGCCATGTGCAACGGCTTTGGGCCCACGAAAGTCCGCCGGCTCACCGATGCGTTCCACCAGCCCTTTCGGATCGGCGAGACGAGGTCCTGGAAGGAGCGTCGGGGCACGCTCGCGCGCAGCAAGGGCTTCTTTGGCAATCCCGACGAGGTTGCTTCCACCACCACCACCTCGAGGAACAGGGACAGGGCAGGCGTGGCAGCAGAGGTCGGCGCCATGGGCCCCAGCGAGGACACGGCAGCAGAGGCAGGCGTACCGACTGAAAGTGCAGAGACACGCGGCGACGAAGAAGACGCACGCGACGACTTTGATGTGCTGGAGAACATGACGGAGGAGGAGCAACTTCAGCTGGCCCTCGAAATGTCAAGGAGCAACGGGCTCGACGATGACGATCTCGACGGTGAATGACCATCATCACCATCATCACATAGCTGTATTATAGACAAAGACCAAGTGCGAGATCCTGCTCATTCCAGAAGCGAGGGTGGGTATGTACAGTACAATTTAGCAATCTAAAATACGATGCGCTACCTCTTCTGCTTCATGTCGTCGTCACGCAAGATGTTGAGGCCTTCCTGGACCTCGGCCCAGGGCTGCCGGACGTAGCGGACATGGAGCAGGTTCGAAAAGGTGACGAGCGCGCGGAGGCTGAAATGCGCCACGAGCAGGGCAGCCACGAATGCCCACGTCGGTGGCACGACATCGTCGATAACTCCCTGCTGCTCATCCAAAGACCGCCGCAGCACCTCGCCCGTGTTTCCAGAGAGCCAAAGACACCATCGAAGGTGGATCTCGCGGATCCACGCCGTGAGCCGGTTCGCCAGTGTCGCCTTCTGCCCATCCGTAGCGGGAGAGAAGCCGCTCGAGAAGAAGGCACGGTAGTCGTCTGCGTCGCTCACGCCCCACCTCCTTGCTGCCCTCGCGCCAAAGAGAAAGGCCAGGTCGGCGCTCCTGTATAGGCCCAGATCCGTAAAGAAGGCCGGCGAGATTGAATAGATCGTCAGCACTCGCTTCCCATCCCTCTTTTTCTCGTCTTCAAGAGGAAGAGAGGCAATGCCTGCAGGAAGAGTTGACACCTCGCCGTCTTCCACGACGGTATTGGGCGTCTCGGGGTCTTTTGTGAGGATGCGCAGGACGAAGCCCGACTGCGCCGTTTTCCACTTGGCGTAGTCGAGGATCCGGCTGCGGGCTGCGGCCTCCATCCAGCCTTGCTCAGCCCAGAGCGTGGTGCCGGACCGGCGCGGCCTCGTTGCTGCACTCTCCTCCTCTATTTTGTCCTCGGCAGCTGGACGTCGATCGACCTCGATAGGGTTGCTGTCCAGAGGCCAGCCGATGCCTGAGTCTGAGCCACCTGTTCTTCGCAGGGCGCCGCCGTCTTCTGGCTCTGGACGCATATAGACAGGCAGCCTCTTGCGCCAGTGCAGCTTGGCCGCCTCGACCATGATGCGCATCGTGGGCAGCACGAGGTCAAATGGCTGGTACGCCAGCGCAAGGAGCATGTTGGCGCTCGTCAGGGGTACAGGCCGTCTGGTAGGCCGCAGCGTCGAAGTATGTGCGCCAGAGCCGTCTCCTGCGTCCGTCGCTGCACTGGCGAGCGAGGCCATGAGCTTCTTTTGCAGCTTCTTCACCTTCTTTATTGCCGTTGTCGTCGTCTTCACTGTGACCTCATCCTCGACAAGGTCATAGGAAGAGCTGCTGAGCGGGGTGTCGTCGCCGTCGGTGACGGCCGCCTCTTCTTCCTCCTCATCTTCGACGAGCAGCAACAGCTTGACATCGAGCGTCGGTACCGTGGACTCAGCGCTCGCCCAGAGATTCCGCAGCAGCAGTCGATAGTAGCCCGCACGATCGTTAAAGGGGCTGACATGAAAGGCCCGTGGGAATGTCCAGGCGTAGTCGTATCCCTTTCTTCCCTCTTCGTCCTCATGCTGGCCCACCTCGCAGACGTAGATGTGCCGCTCGGAAAAGGTGTTGTGCACCTCGAGCACGGCAAGCCAGAGCGGACCGCGCAGCTGTGCGTCGCTGACGTGGGGACGGTGGACGTAGTAGACTGTCAAGGGGTTGAAGCCGCCCATGCCGAGCAGGGACGGCATCGTCACGGCCCAGACGTGCCCGACCTTCTCTTCTTCTTCTCCTGGGCTCTGCAAGGAAGCAGAGGAGAGAAAGCCGCGTGTCTGCAGCTCATAGATGAGCTTGCGGTAGATGGAGCCTCCGATACGCGCCTGCTGCTGCACATCGTCGACCTCGGGAAACGCTCGCCGGCCGTATCCGTCTGGGTGCATCGCCGTCATTGCTCTTCTCCCGTCTGACCCTGGGCCTTTCCACGCAAAGACGGCGAGGAAAGGAGTCCATCTCGACAGCGAACAGTCGAGCACCCCGCTCTCAAGCTCATCAAGGCGGACGGCGAGGTGGAGTGTCGGATAGCGAAAGGCGTGCGCAGCATCGCGTGGGAGAATGCGGGCGTGGTGAATGAGCGAGGGCAGGATGTATGCGCGCGCCGCCGCTGCTATCCCCGTGTCCGACGCTGGCCAGAGCGGTGGAGCGAAGCACAAGACGGCGACGAGGACGACTGTCAAAGTGACGAGCACGTCCAGCAGCCACATCGTCCTGTTGTTGTCGTCGTGGCCTGCCGTTCTTAAGCTTAGCTAGATAAGCAGTAAATGGGCTGACTGTGTGTGTAATGCACTTCTGGACGTGCGCGGCCCTCCAGTGGAGGGGTCCGGAGAAAACCAAAAAAATGAGCTTTGTCAAACCTTCGTCTCCAACGACGCGGCAACAGCAGCGCACATACATACACACACACGAAGAGGAGACAGGCCCTACCCACACACACACGCTGTTGAGTGCCTTCTCCCTTTGCAGCAATGTCGGCCTCGTCATCAAATTTGATCCCCAAGCTCGACGACCCAGCCAACAAGAGCGTCATTGAGTTTGTGCGCGCACAGACGCCCGGCACAAAGTTTTCCTTTGATGGCGAGCGGGGCAGCAAGCGGTCGCGGTTGTGTATGCATCCAGACGTGCCCGGCAAGCAGATGGACTGCGTCGACATTGCCCTCGAAGGTGTGTGAGGCTCGGCTGTTCTGGCCGAAAAGTATTCTTGAGCTGACTGATGAGGATGGCGACGCTTGTTTTCGGCAGCCAAGGAGCTTTTTGCGACGATGCAGGTGAGCGGCCCATTCTCCTTTCCCCATCATCGCAATTTGACTTCTGACCGGACATGTCCAACAGAGGCTCAGCTTCTTCTGCCAGCTGCCACAAGATCCGGCAAAGACACACATCACCTGCGAGCGGATCCCCAGCTAGCGTAGCGCAAACCTGGATGAACTGAACGAATAAATCAAAAGACTCTGTCTGTACCCTCTCGAGAATCCAGAGTGACGACGCAACCACCAATCAAATCATCTGGGCACTGACCTGAACTCGCTGCCGGTGCTCCTGATTGGCGCACCGATCTCTGGTCGGGGAAATGAGGTTTTTTTTGCCGCGGAGTGAGCTCAAGCGAGAGACGAGTGGGGCGGGCGGTCATGCTGCCTGTGTTTTCAGGGACACGCCTGCTCCGAAATCTCCACAGCGGGGCAACGAGAGGAGAGGCGCCGCTCACCCCTCTTTCCCTTAGTAATCTCTCAGCCTATCTCGGTCCAACTAGAGCAATGGAGAAAGCGGCGCCACCGCCGCCCTTGCCTTCCATATAAGAGCCAGCCTACCTTAACCATTTCCATCTGCGAGCTGTCCCCCCCCCCCCCCCAACCCATCAGCATGCTGCCCACTGATCCTCTGCTCATCTTCACCGCTCTAACGGGCTGCTTTGCCGGCATGTCCATGTATGTCAGCTCGACGGACCCCAACCCCAAGACGAGCGAAGAAGCCAAGCGGCACGCCAAGCAGGTGCGTGCTCATCCATGCAAGCCCAGTCTGGAGCAATGACGTTGACGCACGAGAAATGTGGGTTCTAGGACCGCCTCTTCAGGGAGAAAAGCGCCTTCGACACTCTCATACGTGTCAACCGATGGCCTTTCTTCAAGCAGGTTTGCGTCTGCCTCGGCTTTGGCCAGGCCGTGTTCCTCTTCAAGCGATCAGCCGAAGCTACCAAGTCCAGCCTTTGGCCTGCGCTGCTCTTCAACCTCGTGGCCATCAGCGGAGCCATGGGTCGCATGTGGTGCTACAGGACCCTGCAGCACTTCTTCACATTCAACCTATCAATCCAGAAGGACCACAGGTGAGTCGTCCCCTCGTGGAAATTGTGAGCAATTCCTAAAGACAGCACGGCCACGACGACAGGATCGTCCAGGCGGGGCCCTATCGCTACCTCGTGCACCCCTCCTACACCTTCTTCTTCCTCAACGCTCTCGGCACAGCGACGGCCGTCCTCGGCAGCTTCAACCCGCTCCTCGTTGAGGCCTTTAGCCGTCTTCCACCATACGCGACGACGATCTGGATTGTGTTCCAGGCCCTCATGCCCTTGTCGCACATTCGCAATCTCTCTCTCAGGATCTCAGACGAGGAGGCCATGATGAAGGAGCGCTTCGGAAGGCAGTGGGAGGAGCACGTCCGCCAGCGCTGGAGGCTCGTCCCGTTGATTTGGTAGAGGTAGCGTCTGCCGAAAAGTGATACGGTGGGAGGTTATTGGTACATGTGGGAGCCACGGGTCTCATGTAGTTGTGAATTAGAGCGAGTTTGTCAATCGAATGCGTCCGGTCTCCCGCTCGTCCGATCGCTTCGCCTTTGTGCGATCCAGAGCTCCTTGCACTTCCGGCTGTTCTCAATACCTCTACAGATCAGCTCATCTGGCCCGCCGAGCTGGGTACCAAGCCCGACGTAACGGGCGAGCTTACTCACTAGTTGGTAAAGGCCTCAGTGCACTTTGAGCGATCGTAGTGGTTGTCCTCGAGGCAGCGCATGCTCAGCTTGGCCGCCTTCTGGCACGGGTCGGTATACTTTGACGGTGTCTTGCCGCCCATGACCTTGACAAAGTCCTCGGGCTGCGCACCTTGCGGGTCCAGATCTCGTCCCATGCTCGCCGTGGTGGTTGACTTCTTCCTTTGCTGCTGAGAGGAGTGAGGGACGGTAGTAGTGGAGAAATAAAGCGCGCGCCTTCTGAGGTACGTACCATCGGCCGAAAGTCGACGTTTTCATAAGAGTACAAGGGCTGGTCGCGTCCTTCTGACCGAGGACAACGAGGAACGACCACTCATGACGACGACGGCTGTGACGCCACTGGCGGCCTCGCTGGCTATGGCGCCCGCCACCACGCGCGCAGCCCAGGCCATCTACGGCGACTTCCACCACAACACCATCCCCGCCGAGTCATTTCTGGCCTCATCGTCGTCGTCGGCAATCGTCGCATCCAACTTCCACGCTATTAAGCTATCCTCGGATGCTCAGCTTTGCCCACGCCACCTCGCTCATCTCTCCTCCCTGTCTTCGAGCAACAACGACAATGGTGGACCACCCGTACCAGACTGTCCGCTCGGGCGCCGCTGCCCCTTTCGGCACGACGCACCCTCCTCGCTCAACTTCAGCGCCGTGCCCCTACGCGACCCGGGCAAGCGCACCGTCTGCAAGCACTGGCTCCGCGGCCTGTGCAAAAAGGGCGACTCGTGCGACTACCTGCACGAGTACGACCTCCGACGTATGCCAGAATGCAGATTCTTTGCCACCTTTGGCTTCTGCAACTCGGGCGACGAGTGCCTGTACCTGCACGTCGATCCCAGGGCCAAGATTCGAGAGTGCGAAGAGTACCGCAGAGGCTTCTGTCCAAAAGGTGAGGTTGCGCTTGTGTTTGAGAAAGAGAACCTTTAAGAAGAGACAGCTGACTGGGGGAGCTTGTATCGGTACACAGGCCCGAAATGCGAGAAGAAGCATGTGCGGAGAACGGCGTGCCCGCTCTACATTGCTGGCTTCTGCCCCAAGGGACCCGATTGTCGGCTCGGCCAGTGAGTATGCAGAAGCCCTGGCAGAGTAGTACTACAAACAAGGTGCTGACCCGTGAACGATTGATGAAACTAGCCCAAAGACGAACCCGCCCTCTGCGCAGTCTCGATCGAGCTCGCCCGTGCAGACGCACAAGCCCTTGACGGCCGAGGAGGCCTTCGGGCCGAGGGATCGTGGCGACCGGGGAGATCAGCAGCGAGAGTACGGAGGAGGACCAATGCGCAACAATTTCAGACAACCGCGCTTCAACAACGAAGGCGACGCTACCCAGGTCGGAGGGGACCCGTACAGTGTCCCTCGGGGCGAGCGGCCGATGGGCAACCGTTCAACGATGGGAGCCGCCGGGGGTGCCGGCGGAGGCAAGAGGGACTTGAGCGAAGTAACGTGCTTCAAGTGCGGCGATCGGGGTCACTTTGCCAACGCCTGCCCCAACCCGAACAAGCCGGGCAATCGGGGCGGCGTCGAGAGGGGATCAGGTGGGAGGGAAAGGGGCGGCGGCGGAGGAGGCGGCTTCTATCACAAGCAGCAATACTAGCTGCTCCAAAGTCACCATACACATTTGTACTTTTACCATTTGCGCACTCTTACTGCAATGCCTTGAACCTTCAGAGACTCGCCACTGCAGACAGACACATCACTGACGAGCCATTCTGTTGCGCATTACTGCGGCGGAGAGAAAGGCCCCTGCTTGCAAGAAACAGGAGCAAGGACTGACATCTAGGCGGTAAAGCTGCCCAAGAAGTAGGTCGAACCAATGACCTTGGCACCTGTCTCCTGTTGGTATGCCCTCAGATCAAAGGAGGCCGATTTGAGCAGGTTCTCGAGCACGTCGGGCGCGTAACCTCCCTTTGGTTCTCGCAGGATCGTGAGCGCATACCGGTGTGCCGTGGGCGGCAACAGCGGCGGCGGCGTCGGCGGGATGTAGACGCGGACATCCTGGCCTCCGTCTGTGGCTGGCGTGTCACATGACGGTTTCAGCCCGCGCCGGATCCAGTGCAGGAACGAGGGGCCCAGGGCATCGCCGAGCGCATCGGGGTCATTCATGATGAGCGTGTATGTCGTGTCGTCGCCATCGCGGGTGGGCTTTGGAAAGTAGACGGAAGGTGCCGTCAATGTGTCCAGTGCGCCCTGCGAGGCGTTATATGGCACGAAGTCACCGTGGTAATAGACTGCGACCGTCGTGGATGGCTCAAAGTCATCGTAGATATCTGGGATCAGCTTCGAAGCAAGCAAGACTGTACGCTCCTTCTGAAGCGCCGAGGAGGTCGGTGTGATGCAGTCGCCGGTTTGTGGTGCACGGCGCTCGACGGGCGAGGCTTGCACAGACGTAAAGGTCACAATAGCAGCGAGTATTGTTGACAGTCTCATGGTGGGCTGAAGAGGTAGAAGAAAAAAGGACAGGAAATGCCACTCTGGTCTCAAGGGATCATCCTTCTCTCATGCATGAGCTCCGAATAGGATCGGAGCAGCCGCCTGAACTCTGGCGAGCTTGTATTCATGCTCCCATTTCAGCGCAAAGGAATCGGTACCGGGAAAGTCAAAATGAACGCTTCTCCCGACTTGTATTCTTCCGTCCCGTAATCTACCCTCAAAGCAAACCAAGCAGAGTGGGGTCAAGCAGACAGAACACGTCCTACGTTCCACGCCAAAAATAATGAAGGGGCAGAGACTTGACAATTGTGTGTGTGTGTGTGTGTGGTCCAAGTCGTCGTACTGGATGACATTCCTGCTCGAAAGTTCACCGTACAATTGGGCCAAATGGCTGGGCAGATCACACAGCAGACACAAGCAAGCAATAGAATGAAAGCGTCCATCTGATTTTTCCAGAGAATTTATAGGCAGCGCGCTCATCTTCCTTTTTCTGCCCTCCCAAAGAGGCGAGGACAAGGAAGAGAGATGGAGAAAAGAGAGTGTGAGTGAGTGTTCGGAGGAAATATAGAAGACAGAGAGAGGAAGGTGTATGTTCTGTAAGACAGAGCGAGTAAGATACGAGAGAAAGAGGGAGAGGGGCGACTGAAGATGCCGGACATCTCTCTCCGTATGTGCAAACAAGTGAAAAGGAAGACAGAAAGAGTCGGAGGAGGCGGGAGGATTTGTTGAGTGCTGAGGACCGTTGACCTTATGACCAGAGAGGAGGGGCGTGACTTTGTGTCTCGCCTACTGAAACCAGTTCAGAAGGACTGAGAGTTGTGATTTTACCAGACACCGCCGTACGCGGCTTCATCGTCGGCCGGCTGGCTGCTGGCCGTGCTAATGGGACGGCCAGAACCTCCGGCAAGGTGCTGCTGGAGCTGCTGGTGAGGGTTCGGCAGCAGGTTCCTGACCTGGAGCGGTTGCTGCGGCGGGCTGTTGTGCTCGACGGCGTTCTGGAATGGGTCACCGACCGAGTTGCGAACCGTGGGGCTGGTGTAGCCCTCGTCACGACCCAAAGAGCCGCTTCCGCTGCGCTCGAGACCGTCATCAAGCTGCTGATGGTGGTGGTCAAGGTTCTCATTGGCGTCGCCAAGTGCATAGGTCTGCTGCATGTTGGGAATGTCGGGCGTGCCACTGCGTCCCTCGGCCGTGCTCGGTCGTCCAGCCGTGTCGAAGCCATGGCCCATAGACTCATCGTAGAAGTTCTGCTGGTGCTGGTGCTGTTGCTGCTGTTGACCGTAAGATCCTTGGCTTTCAAGGCTGCCGTTGCGGTTCAGGTGCTGCTGCTGGTTGTCGAAGGGCCGAGCAGGCATCTGCTGGGGCGAAGCGGTAGTAAACGACTGTTGGCGATCGAGATGAGCATAAGGGTTGGCAACATTGCCGTCGTGGTACTGGCGTCCGACACCGGCGATGCTGTAAGGGTCCGAGCCGCCAAAGACCATGGGAGGAAGCGAGGGAGCGGACGAGTGCGTGGGTTGGAAGATGGCACCGACTTGAGGCACTGGCGGCGCCTCGCTGAATTGGGCTGCAGGAGCGTTCATGTGCCGTTCGAAAACCGTGGGGGGACGCGGACGACCGCTGTCGTTGTGCGATGAGAACGACGAGGCGGCGGCCAAGCCTGCAGCGCCAGCGCCGGCTCCGGCTGCACCAGCGGTGGCGTAGCCAGCGTTAGACATCATGTCAGGGTCCGTGCTGTACGACGCAGGCATGTGATTGTGCTCCGACATGGTGTGGTGACCTTCGTCGCTATCAAAAGTGTCCGGAAGCATTGCGCTTTGTCTTCGGAAGTCGCCTCGGTCGAAGGGGTTGTCCTCGTACGGGTCCGACTTCTTGTTGTACTTCTTCACAAGGAAGCCAACGAGGGCAACGATGACAACGACACCTGCCAGAGAACCGGCGACGATACCGATGATGGGACCCGCACCGGGACCATCGCTCTTGGGCGTGGCCGTGACCGCGTCACTGTTGCTCGTGGGCGACGACGTCACGAGTGCGATCGACGTCGCGGTCGCAGGGTTGCTCATGATAGATGTCGATGTTGACGATGCAGAGGGCGTCGAGAACGAGGACTGTGACAAGACATGGTCAGGGTGTCACCGATGGGAAATTATTTGGAGACAATGAACACTCACCGTGGAGTGCGTCCGGGTAGGGGTGGACGACGTCGACGTGGAAGTAGGCGTAGTAGACGTGCGGGTGCTCGAGCTGCTAGAGGTGAGGAAGCCGAAGAGATCAGAAGACTTCGACGACGAAGACTTTGTCGACGTGTCGTCGTCATAGCTAGTGAAACCGCCAGGTCGTCCGGGTGTCGAGGTAGCAGCAGTGTCATCGGAGGAGCTGGCCCTTTCGGCTCCCGACCGAGAGCCTCCGGTTCCCCTTGTCGAGCTCGTGCTGTCGTCTCCACTTCCGTCGTCACCGGTGCCATCTGTTCCAGAAAAACCATCGGAGCCAGAGTCACCCAAGCTGCTCCTTCCCGTGCCGCCATTATCAGAGGAGGACATACCGTCATCACCGCCGTCAAGTCCTCCGAACAGGCGCTTTCCCATCGATGGCACCGTCTCCTCGACGCGTTTCCAAATGCCTTCCGCCTCGCCCTGGCTCCGCTCCACTACATTTCTGATTTCGGCCGCGGTATCACTTCGACGGTGACGCTCCATTCGCCTCATCATGCCCATGACGCTCCCGCCGTTGTTGTCGTGCATCATCTTTGCTATTCTGTGTTTTAAAAGTCTTGCTCCTGACCTTGACCTTTTCTTTCTTTTACCCTGTTTCTCAAAAGCGATATCACCTAGCCAGAGGCTTTACCGTTGTAACCGTTCCAACCTCGATCGAGTGGAAAGAGAATGGATGAGAGAAGGGCGCAAGGGGGTCACGTAGAGGAGAAAGTTGGTTTCCTCTCGTCCGCTTTGCTTTAGTTGGTTGAGAAACAAAAGAGAGTGCTGTAAGCCGTGTAGAATGACTGTCGTCCTTTTCCGGGTCGACCGTGAAGAGGTGACAAGAGAGTGAGCGTTGAAAGATGGTGAAGCGGGTGAGGGGGAAAAAGAGAAATGAGAGTGGTGGTGATAGCGATGAGAGGGAGCAAGCGGGCGCCAACCGACCTTGCGGTCACAATAACAACAATAACAGAAATACAAATGATGATCCAGTCAGGCTCGGGCACGGCAGGCAACAAGGCAAGGGAGCGGTTTGGCATTCAAAATTGCCCAGGAGTCAATATACCAAGCCTGGTTCGTTGTAAATTGGTACTGTTATTTGCGATCCTTGCTTAGCGAATTTGGAAATACCCTTTTGAGCTGGTGCGCTTCGTTGCCGGAGGGGCATGAGTAGTAGCGCGCGCCGGGTCTGTTCTAAATAACGAGCTTGGGCTAAACAATGAAATGATTTTCTGGTCGGAAAGATTCTTCGCAGAATTCTTGTGGTTTCGAAAGTTTGGAGGCTTTCCAGGCGTGCGGCGGCGTTCTCGAAATGAAAATTGAAACCTACCTCACGAGGTGGACCAAAACTAGGGGGTGCCGATGTATGCGGCCAATGGCCGCTGCTGCCACAGCCATCATCAGAAATGAGCCCTGCGCGTGCCTTGGCTCAAAAGGGTCTGAACGCCGGCCATCAGTCTCTTTGCAATTGGTTTCAGTCCGGCGGCGTAATCGCATGAATATTAATAGACAATGACTGATCGGCAATAGCTGTGAGAAGCGCATGGAGCGAGGCAGCATCACCACTGCCCGTAGCTTTGCCCTTGCTCGCCGTACCCTTGGTTGTGCTTCTGGTTGTGGCTTTGTTGGTGCTGGAAGCCCGCGTCGAAGCTTGAGCCATCGTACGACGACGCAGGCGCCCCTGATCCTGGCCCTGATCCCATCATACCGCCCATCTGCATGCCGGACATCATCATCCACATCAGCAGCTCTTGATTTGACGGCATGTACTAGAGTAGGTGGACGGGTGAGCTAAGCGCCTATCGTGCAAACCCTCGTGAATTGATCAACTCACACCGTATGTATTGTTCCACATCTGCGCAAATGTTGTCCAGGCTTTCGCATCAGTCGGGTCGAACGTTGTAGGGTCAAATTGGCTCAAGTCTGCCGTTGTGACTGGCGCCGGCCGTTGCTGTTGTTGTTGTTGCCTCTCTCCCCATCGATTACCGCTCACACTTTCATTTGTTTCCTGCTCTTCAAACCCTGCACCCTGATTCGGACCTCGCCTCGGAGACATGCTTCTCCTCTGCGCTTGACCACTGTCTGCTCGTTGCCATTGGCCTTCTCGTCGCGCAGGAGGTGGATTACTATACATTTGAGAAGGTGGTGATCGTCGATAACTTTCGGTCGAAGGACCCGCTATAGCCGGAGGTCGTACAGGAGGTCGCCCGGGGAGTGTTGGTGGTGGTCCCGGCTGCCGGGGCGCTGGGGCGGCTGAGGTTGACGGAGGCGTCTGACCAGCTAATTGTTGCAGCATCGCAAGCTGTTTGGGGTCGAAAGAAGGAGTCGATCTGATTTGTTCGCAAGGTCAGCAACAGGTGAGCTTTGAGTGTGATAATAGACTCACGAGGACGCAGAAGCAGCGGCGACTGCAGCGGCGCTCTGATGTGCAGACGAGGGCGAGCCCCCAGCAGGCTTCTTGCTAGCGCCACCGAGGAGTGCGAGAACATTTGACGGTAGGCCTGGGGGCGCGTTGGCTGTGCTGCCATTGGCATTTTCGCCCCCTCCCTCCCTGTCCTCCATGACCATCATTCCGTACGGGCTTGGCATCGAGTTGACTGCAATAATCAGACAGAGAGGTGTGTCGAGGAGGGGCAAAGAGAACCAAGTTTGAGTCTCGTGCAACACAAGGCAGATAGAATTTGAAGGCTTCTACGGGAAGATGCTCCATTACAGACTGTATGCATACCTTCACTGTGATCTTCTTGTGGCCTGCTTCCCGCTTCTTGTCGCCTTTTCACCGTCGCCTTGATGTCTCGAAGCATATGGACGTCAAATGTATCTGCTTTGATCCAAATGTCGACGACCTTGAGCGCCTTTTCCTGTGTCCAATGCTGAGATTAGCTCTATGAAATCGCCCTTGTAGTATAGCCCTTTGCTCACCCTTTGCTCGCTAGGCACCGATTGCACGGCGTCGACCGCGATTCTCTCGACAACATCACCAAGAGCTTTCAAAAACATCTTTGCCGCGTCTCTTGCGGCTTCCCAAGTACCCGCTGTCGCCTGGCTTCCCCGTGGAGGCTTGACATTGCTGACATCAATCCCCTCTGCACTAGCGCCTTTTGCCCCTTTCCTGGCAATGTCTTGAGCGTGACGAGCTACGGCATCGAGAAGGTACAGAGCCGACAATTTTGTTTTGTGGGACGCTCGAAGATTTGCATCGAGGATCGCCTGCGCCAGCCCCTTGGACTCCTATATCAATTGGTAGCAAGCTTGTGAGCCGTGTGGCCAGCTGACGACTGGCGATTGACGAGAAACTCACATGCATACACGACACAGCCTCGTCACGGACCTTCGTCACCTTTGACGAAGACAGCTTGTTGGCTGCGATCGTATCCTCGAGAAGCCTTCCGAAGTCCTGCGTCAAAGAAATTGGCGTCAACAATGGTTCCGATCTTTGCTGCGCCGTCGTCACTCACCTCAAGCTCCGGCATATCGGCAGAAATCTGGTCTTGAGCTCCCGTATATTGAGCCACCTTGACCTCGTTGCGGCTCGATTGGCCGTCGGTGGAAGCTTGCGATTTGGGCGTACCCTGATATTTTTCTGGAGGACGCGCCGCATCGGCCGAGACAAATTCACGTGTTTCGGGAGACGGCCCTCTTTCTTCGACCATTTCGCATCACTCACCTTGGCCCTGTCCACCTCCTCAGCGCACAGATCTCACCATGTCCGGCGATGCCCGCGCACCGCGGATCAAGAACCGCGCCCCGGCGCCGGTGCAGATCTCTGCGGAACAGCTGCTGCGCGAAGCACAAGAGCGCCAGGATGCTCCTTTTCGCGCAACGACCCAAAAGGTCGAGGACCTGGAGGAGCTAGAAGAGTACCGGGGTCGGAAGCGGACAGAATTCGAGGAGCAGATCCGGCGAACAAGGATCAACATCTCAGCATGGATCAAGTACGCTGTCTGGGAGGCAAGCCAAGGCGAGATGGCGAGAAGTCGGAGCGTATACGAGAGGGCGCTCGACGTGGACCCTCACGATATGCGCCTGTGGCTCAGGTACGTCGAGACGGAGCTCAAGGCGCGTAACATCCAGCACGCAAGGAACCTCCTGGATCGTGCCGTCTCGGTGCTCCCGAGATTAGACCAGCTCTGGTACAAGTATGTCCACCTCGAGGAGCTTCTGGGCAACGTCGGTGGTGCCCGGCAGGTGTTTGAGAGATGGATGAGCTGGGAGCCTGATGAGAAGGCCTGGGCGGCCTACATCGGCCTCGAAGTGCGCTACAGCGAGCTTGAACGAGCAAGCGAGATCTGGCAGCGATGTGTGACGTGCCATCCGGAGCCGAAGCAGTGGATCAAGTGGTCCAAGTTTGAAGAGGAGCGGGGGGCTGTCGATCGGGCTCGAGAGGTCTTCACGATGGCGCTAGAATTCTTTGGCGACGACGAAGACCGCATGGAAAAGGCTCAAACAGTTTACACTGCATTTGCCAAAATGGAGACGAGGGCTCGCGAATACGACCGGGCCAGGGTGATCTACAAGTACGCACTCGAGAGGCTTCCTAGGACAAAGTCGGTGGGCATCTACTCGAGCTACACACGCTTCGAGAAGCAATTCGGAACGAGGCAGGGCGTCGAGGATACTGTCTTGGGAAAGCGAAGGATCCAATATGAAGAGGAGTTGGCCAGCAGCGAAGGTGCAAAGAGCAATTATGATACTTGGTTCGACTATACCCGTCTTGAAGAGGACGCATATCGGTCGCTCATAGCATCTGGTGCCGCACCCGACTCCAAGGAAGCGACCACAGCGCGATCGAGAGTGCGCGACACATACGAGCGAGCCGTCGCAAACGTGCCACCGAGCCAAGAGAAGCGTCATTGGCGACGATACATCTTCCTCTGGCTTTCCTACGCCCTCTTCGAAGAGATTGACGTCCAGGATTACGATCGAGCGCGCGAAGTATACAAGGCGGCCATCTCCCTCGTACCGCACAAGGTGTTTACTTTTGCCAAGCTCTGGCTGAACTACGCTCACTTTGAGGTACGCCGTTTGGACCTCAACGCTGCGCGCAAGATCCTTGGTACGGGTATTGGTATGGCCTCAAAGGAGCGTCTCTTCCGGGGCTACGTCGACCTGGAGCTCTCCCTCAAAGAGTTTGATCGAGCGCGCAAGATCTACGAGCGTGCCCTGGAATGGGACCCGACGAATGCCAGGACCTGGATCCGCTTCGCCGAGCTCGAACGCAACCTCTTCGACACGGAACGAGCCCGGGGCATCTTCGATCTGGCGACTAGGCAATCTGCGCCAGGATTGGACATGCCCGAAGTGCTGTGGAAGGCATATATCGACTTCGAATTCGAAGAGAGAGACTGGGAAAGGGTGACAAACCTGTATGAGCGATTGTTGGCGAGGACGGGTCACGTCAAGGTCTGGATCTCATATGCACTAGCCCAGATCGGCGCTGCCATTGCCGAAGAGGAGGATGAGGATGATGAAGAAGAGGAGGAGGAAGAGGAAGAGGAGGGAGCAGAAGAGAACCCGCCAAAGAAGGAGCTTAGCCCAGAGGAGGTTGAGGTTAGGCTCGAGAGGCGCGAGGAAGCCTGCAAGCAGACACGCAAGATCTTTGAGCGCGGATACCAGGACCTTAAGATGCGTGGGCTCAAAGAGGAGCGTGTCGTCCTTCTCGAGGCGTGGAAGGCATTTGAGCGCGAGCACGGCCGAACACGTGTGGAGCTCGAGTCGGGCGAGGTTGGCGAAGAGGAAAGCGAGCGCTTCAAAGCGGTGCAGAGCAAGATGCCGAGAGTCGTCAAGAAGAGACGGACAGACGAGTATGGCGAAGCGGCAGAGGAGTACTACGACATGCTCTTCCCGGACGACGACGAGAACAAGGGAAAGCCGTCGTTTGCCTTCTTGCAGGCCGCCCATGCTTGGAGACAAAAACAGCAGCAGGAGGCCGCCGCTGCCGCCGCTACAGAGTCAAATTCGCCGGATGCTCAAGACTCAGACGATGCTGGCGGGTCCGATGAGGAAAACGACGAAAAGATGCGAGTCGATGAGGAAGACGAAGACTAGGCCGTTCCCTCCCTACCTCCCTACTTGTACAGTATTCACACCAAGCAACGAACAGATCTCACCCTGCAGAAACAGAGACCCCGTGAGGATAAAAATTACCACGGGCTTGAAGGAAGCTGATCCGAAAGGATGATGCATGATGACAGGGCTCAAATTGACAATTGCATCTTGAGTGCTTCTGCTTCGAAATATATGGCCCAATCCTTCAATGAGGGTGGGGAGAGAGCGTAGAGAAGGAAGCGTAAATAAGAGGTGGCGCCAAAGGAGTGTGTGACATTGTATGTAGAGCGATAGCCACAAAACCAAAAAAGAAAAAAGAAAAAGAAAAAAAGAGGAGCCGAAAGTTGGTATATGTGACAAGAAGAAGATACTCAGCGGTGAATGTGAGTGATAAATTTTGGAGGCGATGAGGGCGTCTGTGTGGCGTCTATGGACCGTCGGCCAATGCCTTTTGTGTGTGAGAAGAGAAGTATTCGAAAAACCCATCGACGGTGAGATTAGAGAAGAGAGAGTGAGTCGGATCGTTATGAAGCAAAGCGTTCTCGCTTGAAAAAGAATCGTATCGTAGATGAACGGAGAAAGAAATTGGAGTCGTCTAATGTGTGAGAATGTCGGAGTGCCTCATGAAGCAGCATGGGCATGTTGTTGACCTCTGTTGAGAAGGTCGAGGAGGATGGAAGGTGCGAGTGGTGCGTCGAATTTCGCATTAACCGCCGTGTTGCTCATAGAATGACAGTGTTGGCCAGGCCTCGAGGCCGCCCTCGAGAGATCAGAATTCCATCGTGAGAGCGATGCATGCTGATCAGTCGACTTTCGTGCAACGGTCGACGTAGGTCGGGGTTGCGGACGGTAAGGACCATCTTCCTCGTCGAAAATGTCCTCCCCCTCGACCAGGTCGAGAGCCGCTGCGGGGGCAGAGTGACAGTGCTGGTGCAGATGCAGCGCTGTCTGGGGACGCCTCATCCGACCGACATCGGTACGGCTGTCCTCATGTTGGTCTTGCTGCTGTGCTGGCGAGTTCCAGGCGACATCGTTCTCCATGGTTGAAATTGGCGATTCGTCAGGAGACCGATTGCCAAGAGAGCTGCCCTTGCCGTTGAGCTCGAAGGGTGTGACTCGTCCGAGGACGGCGAGCGACTCTTCGATGGACATCAGAAGCCTTTTGCACGTTTCCTCGTCCACGGAAGAGACGCTGAGGGGTGCACCATACGAAGGACTCTTTTCGGACGCCGTTTTGGATGAAGTGTGGACACGGATGCGGCGGGTCTCCTTCGTTGACGAAATCTTGCGCTCCGTGCGACTTCGCATCAGCTCCAAGAACTCGACCCAAGGCTCCTCCGGCACGGTGACTTCGTAACCACTCTTTTCAAGGTACCATCGCTCCATGCGGTTGAGTTCGGCCAGAGGGATACCGGTCACCTCGTTCCACGTCTTGTTGAGAAACGTGTTATCGTCGAGATGTTCTGCAAGCACATGTCAGCATTCAGTCAAAAAGCGGTATAACTTGCGAGCACTCACTGTTGGCGATCATCAGGCCAAGCGTGAAGATCTTGAAGGGGGCAGCGGAATGAGGCTTGGCAAAGATCTCGAGAGCCTCTGCATCCACCGACAGGGCACCCTCATCGGAGACATTGACAGCCAAAAAGACGGCGCGCAGCGCATACATGAGCGAAAGCATGAAAGCCGTGGGCGAGACGAGCGTTTGGGCCAAGACTTGATGGGCGAACCTTCGGAAGGCAGGGCTGACTTCAGTACCAGGCAGCGCAGCTCCGTACGTGTCCCGCGAGTCGTTCCCACCGGTGGGCGACGTCGTGTTCGAGTTGCTTCGACGCATGCTGCTGAACGTGGGCCTAGCCATGGGCAGAATGTCGCCGGCCGATGATCGCCTGGCACCCTCTCGAAGACTCTGCGCCAGCGATGGCAGCACATCGTCGTTAACGCTCCACTTCCAGTCGGGTGAAATGAGCTTGAGAACACTCGTGATGGCCTCTCGGGAGTGATCGATACCTCGAGAGGATCTGCCGTTGCTGCTGGTGCTGGAAGGTGACAGTTGTCTCTGCAAAGGAGAGGAGACTGCCAGATCAAGTCCCAACCCGTGAACATCACGCTGCTGCTGCTGTTGCTTGTTGTGGGCGACGCGAGCAACGCGAGAAGCGTCGCCTGGAAAGCTCGATGGAGGAGTACCAGGCTCGGAACTGCTTGCGCTGCTGTCTTCAGAGCTCATGGTACCGTCCATTGCGCCATCGATGCCGGTGCGGAAGTGCTTTTGCGCACGAGCGTATCCATGCCGTTCCGATGAAACGTCGCCCTCCTTTCTAATGTGCTCCTGGGGATTGAGGGGGCTTGGAGTGTGCACGGCCGATGATGACCAGTCCATTGACTTGCCAGGCCGGTGAGAGCCCATTGGAGATGTTGCAGGCGTCGAGTGGTACGGACTCGTCGAGCTTGAGGCCGTGGTAGGATAGCGTGTACCACCAGTACCAGGCTCGAGGCAGTGAAGGAGCAACTCGGGCTCGAGGAGCGCCGCGCATGCCAGCCACACAATCTCTGCGCCGATGCCTGAGATGGGCACCGCCGACTTGTCGAGAGTGGCGGGCGAAGGAGGAGCGGGTCCGCCATTGTTTTCCGTGGGTGGCTTGATCACCGCAGCATCGGTGCCTGGCACAGGTGCCACAGCAGCATCTTGGACGGGCTGCGGCGCAGTCGTGTGACCGTTTGGCTGCTGGTACATGCCTGGCTGCTGTTGTTGGTATTCTGCAAATCCCTGCTCTGGCAACTGGTTGAAGTAAGGCTGGTGCATCATCGCCGGTGGCTGCTCCTGTTGCATCTGCGACATTCTCCAACGGTCATCCACATCAGCCCTGGCGGCAGCTACGGCGGCATGCTGGGCATTGGCCCAGGAGCCGTCGGATGGGATCGTCTCGACATAGCCAGAGCCAGTCTTGTAGCCATTGGTCCTTGGCTGACCCTGTGCCATCCACTCATCGCCGCCAACACCGCCGCCAAGGTTGGCCGGATGAGTCTGCTGCAGCTGCTGCTGTTGATGGTGGTGAGGGTGAGCGTCGAGGTGGCCCGCCCACACCTGCTGCTGTGGCTCTAGGTGGCCTTGATGAACTGCGTGGGGTTCAGGAGCCCAAGCCGCCGAAGTAGGCACAGGATGAGGCAGCTGAATCTGTGCGGCGGAATGCGGGGCGACCGCGTGCCCGGCGACATGGATAGGAGCCGAGGCGGCCGGGTATGGGGCCGGAGCCGAGGCCTGGTTGAAATACGAGTCGCCAGCGTTTGGAACATGCTGGGCGTAACCAGTCGGCGTCACATGCGAGCTCGACATTCGGCTCTGCGCTGCCGACCATGGATGGGCCGGCTCCCAGCCGAGGTTTGTCTGCGGCCGATGCTGCAGCAGTTGCTGTTGCTGTTGGTGATGGTGGTGACCAACGCGAGGCTGGTGCTGCTGCTGCCCATAGGCGGCTGCAGCTGCCTCGTAGCCCTGACCAAAGGCAGAACTGGTCGACTTGGGCGCTTGTGCTTGCGCTTGCGGGCCTTGCAGCTTGGAAAGTTGGTGGTGGAGCAGCAGCTGGTGTTCGAGCTGCTGGTGCTGCTGGGGATGCGGGTAGCCCTGGCGCAGGTACGGCGGTCCCCAAGGCGCGCCTTGATCGGTCGGCATCATTCCATGCTGAGGATGCAATGACGGGTTGTAGTACATGGCCGCCATCGTCGACGCGCGAGCAGCGGCGGCCGTGAGCCGGGGTGCCTGGGGAGGAGCATAGTAGCCACCACCCTGTGTCGAGTAGTACTCGCCTCCGTCCACTGCATCATAGGCTGCGTCCCTCATCGGTGGCGGCGGAGCATGAGCCACAAGGGGTTGTTGGACCGGGTAGTGAGGGTGATGCTGCTGGTTGGGGAAGGGCGCATCGAAGCGCGCCTCCTGCTGATAGCCAGCCATGATGACGGACGATGAGGAAAAGGGATCGGGTACCCTTGCCAGCGAAGTGGCGAGGACACTCGACGTCTGCTCAGACGAGAGCAAGAGCGCTTTCCCTATTTAATGGCCACCAACGAGGCCCTGCCCAATGACCTGCTGCTTGGCCTCTCTCTACTCGAGATATGTGATGGCGCGGATGATGATTAGGTGTTGGGATTGGTTGTGTTCTTGTTGTGTTGTAATTCGGTGGTGGGGTAATCTCCCTCTGTCGACTATCGTGAGATAGCCGATGAGAAAGGGAGGAAAACTCGAGGGACTCGTCGGTCGCAAGAGAGCAGCGCAGTGAAGGCGTCCCTTGTGTTCAATGCGACAGCGACGCTGCAGAAGCTACGGGTGCTGTCGAAGAGAGAGAGTGTGAAAGTCCCTTGTCCTTGCTTTCCTCTTGAATTGGTGTTTTGGTGAGAGACGCCGCTCGGTCGATCGTTGCTGGAGGGCAACGTTCGATTTGCTCCCCCTTTTCGCCTCTGTCACTGCCTCTGTCTGCCCTTGCGTCTACGTCCGAACGACTCGAGTGTCAAGCGCAAGCTGCAAATCGGAGAGCTTGTCCTGCAGAAACCTCTCGTCGGTATTCGGCGGTGTTTCACGCACGTCTGTTTGGAGCCTTGGTCCACTCGGGAAAGTAGAGCCGAGGTGCGACCGACGTGTGACCTCAGCCGATGGCAGCAGGGGCGACGTCGTTGCTCGATGCGCGCAATTCCTTTCTTCTCTCACGACACCACCTGTTACGGACACTGTGTGCTCGCGCGCGTGTGTACGTGTGTGAACGTGTGTGAGAGAGAGGGGAAAATGTTGCGCCGCCTTTCGCTATGCCTATGCCGAGACCAGGTCTTGGACTCGAGGATGGCGTAAAGCGTGTATATACGCGGCGTGGCGTGTTGTCGCGACACCGATCGAGCACGCAAAGAGCGCAACGGAGACGAAAACGAGAACGCAACGAGAGACAAAAGGGAGCGAGTCGTGTGTGCGGGCTGTCCAGTCGGAGGAGACAGGACGAGTCACCGCTTTTGGAGGTGAGGGAAAGGGAGCAAGCCGAAAGGCAAAGGAGCCTCCAAGTTTACCACCAATCGATGAGGCGTGGCCGCCTCCGCCATTTTTCGCGCAGCAGCAGCTGCATTCATTTCAAAGCACACACAAATTTTCACTTCACTCCAATTCAAAAACCGAAAGGAAGAGGAAAAAAAAAAAAAAAAAAACTTTCCCCTTTTCTATATCCTCTTTCCTCCCAGCGTGACCCTGTCATCGAGCATAAACTTTGAACAACCACGTGTAAAAAGGTAGAGAGGGGCACATTTCAGATTGTCAGATTGCAATAGATGGAGAAGAAAGAGGCCTAGCCGCAACGGAGCAGACGAACAAATGTCACTTGAACAGCTGTCTGTTCTCGAGCCGCTCGAGATTCTCTGGGTCGTGGCCACAGAGCAATACGGTGGGCTGCGAAGTGCAGAACACCTTGATCTTCCTCAGTGTCTCGACGGCCGTCTTTGGGTCCATGGTGACGCCGTCTGCTATGCCCTGCTGCACGCTCGACTGCATGTAGGCGGCGTCGCCCGAGATGAAGTAGGTAAGTCCGCCCGGTCCGTTTCTCACAATAACGCTTTGGTGGCCCTTGACATGGCCTGGCGTCGGCACCAGCGCAATGGATCCATCCGGGACGAGGGAGAGCGACTTCTCGAATGGCCCAATCGGTCCGTCGCTGAATTCGACAAACTGAGGCTTGAGCCAGGTGGGCCAGTGCTGGGGCAGATTACCCTCAACCATGCCCTTGATGCCCTTGGATACGTTGTAATTTTCCTTTGTGACCAGGATGGGCGTGCGGGGAAAGTGGTGAAGACCGCCGGCATGGTCGCCGTGCATGTGGGTCAACACCACACCGTCGATGTCGGTCGCAGGATCAACGCCGAGCTTGAGCAGCTTCGTTCCGATCTCTTCGTGGGGCGCGACCTTGATCTTGACCTGCGTGCGCATGATGTAGTGCCACCATGGTACGTGGCCCGAGCAGCAGGATCGCCAGGTATCGCCCGTGTCGACGAGAAATCGGCCAGCGGTGGGGTGCTCGATGAGCATGGTGGCAATGGGGAGATTCATGAGCCATTTGGGATCCCGGATCATGTCGACCTTCCGGCCCAGGCCTCCCCTTTCGCGACGTGCATTGAGCTGGGCGACCTTGATGTCGACCTTCCCCGTCTCAATGCATGTGATCTTGGTCTCTCCCTGCATTGCGCTGCTACCGCTGTTATCTGCCAGTGCTGTGGCCACGGCTCGTTGTTGTCGCTGGGACATGCTGAAGAAGAAGAAGAAGAAGAAGCGGATGTGTCGTGTGCAGCTTAATGTCTCGACACCTTCTCACGCCATCCTCCGAACAAGCCCAGCCAAGCCACGACTGACATGTCCCGAGTTCCGTGACATTTCTATTCGGAGCATTGTCTCGGGCCTAGGCGACGAATCCATCGAGCGATGGTCGAGCGACGGCTGTCATCACACGTGTCCCTCATTGTCTTCAGTCAAGAGGATGCCGGCCGACAGACCTATTGATCTGACGATGCCTGCCCATGTGTTCGGCGTGCGGCCAGCATCCGCCGGCAACAACATGCCACGTTGTTAGCAATGAACGGGGAATGGAGCGTGGAAGAGGGCCATTGCAGGTCTTTTTCGCCGCTGCATGCAGCCCGTATCTCCGAGCTATCATCCGCTCATATGCCGATGACGGTGGGCATCAAGTACCATTCCTCCGTTCGCCACCAGATGCAAGCTCGCCACAAAAAGGAAGCTTTGACTGGTACCGGCAGAGGGGAAAGGAGTAGATTGGCCGCATTCGTTCCTCGCGTGTTCAAATTTGACGCTAAATAAAATCCATGTTCCAGATGCCCTCATTCCTTTCCGGCCATTGGATGCTCCTCAACCGCCGCCACCTTGGGGCCTTTTCCATGCAATGGCCTTCTCCACCTTTGGAAGTAATAGAATGCGGTACCACACCTAGGCAAGAATTTGAGCAGATAGAGTGCCAAGATGCCCTCTGGCGCTTTCGGTGGATGGCATCGTCTTCTTTCGCCGGCGATTTTTTGATCGTCTCGAGATTGCATGCGCACGGACTTCTCGTTGACCCGATGACGACCCGCTGCTCATGATCTCTCGCTGGTGAGACAAGCGGCCGACTCCAACTCTATCCATTGACCGTTTAAGGCCTCTCACCCCTTGTAAGATGACGACGAGAGGAGCACCCACGAAGCGTCATTCTGCAGTGACATCTTCCTCCTTCCCCTCGCTGCATGCAACCCCGCTATTGACCGCGGCACCGAGCGAGCAGGAAGACCGCCAACTCGATCTCATAGATAGGCTTAGCACTGCCTTACCCCTCTTGTGACCTCATCCGGTCCTGTGTCGCTTTGCTTCCGGTGGACCTGATAACGTCATGGTGTCTTGCTTCTGCCTTGTGGCGGAACGTGCGGCGCTACGTTACGTCGTCATGACGTTGGAGTGACAAAGAGCAGGCACCTTCTTCATCTGACGGTGGAGAGGAGGGCAAAGTGGAGGACAAGCTGCCATGAACACAAAGCCATAAAAGAGGCCTCCTCAAGACACCTCCTCACTCCTCTCCCATCAATCCAACAATCTCTTTTGCATCTTAACAAGCTTCCCTTCTTCCTCACTCTCACATCATGAACGGAATCAAGAAGGTCTTTTCGCACCGCAGCTCGCAGGACGGCTCCGAGTCGTCGTCGTCGCCCACCTCGCCCCAGTCGCAGCAGTCGAACCTGTCTTCGACGGGCCGCACCTCGGTTGACTCGCAGGAGCGCGCACCCAACAGCAAGAGCACCGCCGGCGGCCTCGGCTTGACGAGCGAGTCGGGCGCCAAGAGCACCACCACGGGCGGCAACACAACCAACATGAATGGCGCCGCTGCTGGCTCCAAGGTCGGCACCGGTCTTGGCCGCTCCGCCGATGTCTCGACGGCCGACGGCAGCATGCGTCACTCGCACGGCCACAACCTCGGCACGACGGACCTGAGCAAGGGCAAGGTCACCCAGACGGTTGAGCACCTTGGCGAGAAGACGTCGCGCACCCACCACACGCACAACATTGAGGAGGTCGAGCGCCAGCGCGAGCTCGAGAGACACCAGCACCACATCCAGGTCCACCACCAGCCCATTGCCCACGAGACGCACGAGGCCGAGAAGCTGCACAACAAGGCCCACCCCGTCACCAACATCTACGAGAAGCATGCCTCGACGGACAAGGATGCCAAGCTCCTCTCTACGGTGGCTCACTCGCACGGCCACAAGGACGAGTTGAAGCATGCTCCCGTTATCCACCAGATCGTGGATCGGGGCGAGAAGGTCAACGAGACGGTGCACCACCACATCCACAACGTCGTTGTGCCCCTCGTTAACCACGAGAGCCACGAGCACCACCGCATCAAGACGACGATCCCCACCAGCCACGTCGTCCACGAGGCCCCCATCATCCACGAGTCGGCCCGCCTGGAGCCGCTGTCCAAGGAAGAGTACCTCAAGCGCGGCGGCATCCTCGGCTCCAAGAAGACCGACGTTGGCGAGGCCAACCTCCTCCACTCGGGCACCTGCGAGCGCAAGGTCGACGGTGTTGCCGAGAAGCTTGCAGAGGAGCTCAAGCTCGGCAAGGGCTCTTCCGCCAAGACCCAGGCCGTCTAATCACATCACTGGCATTTAATCCACTCGTGCCATCACGATGATGATGATCCCGTAACGACAGTTGAACAACATACTCTTCATGTACATACCTGTTTTATTACTACCCCGTAGTACCTCTTCTTTTCGTGCATCACAATCATGATACCGCAATTCCGGTCCTTTGCTCACTTTTTTCTCTCTCTTCCGTGTGTCGACCGTTTCTTCTCCTCTGCATTGATAAGCAGCCGTGATTTACTGTCATCTCCCCGTATACACTCTACATGCAGCACACCTATGTCGGCGGCGTCTCGGGAGGTGGAGGGCTTTTGAGAGGAGAAAGATTCGCGTTGCCTTGACTGACACTGCTTGGTCTTCTCAAATTTGCCAAGCTTCCCAGGTTGAAGCTTGTCCTCGACTTCTCGCCGCTCGGCCGTGTAATCGTGGGTGATGCTGGCGCCGAGGGAGATGCCCCATTGTTGTTGTTCTTATTGTTGCTGCCGTTTGTTTTCTCTGAGCTCGGCGACTGGGGCGTCTTGGCCTGCTCTGCCTCGGATAGGAGAAACTCGACAAAGAGATTTGAAAATGACTTGTAGGAAGAAGGACAAGGAAGATTCTGTCAGCCTCCAAGCATTCAACAACAACAAAGGCAAAAGACCGTGCGCGCTCACCTCGTCGCCAGTCGATGAAGCATTGGCAAGTGCTCCACTGCGTCCGTGGCCTTTCCCTTCGGTCTTGATGCCGATGCCGACCATCTTGCCGGGACTCATTGTCGACGAGCTCGAAGACGAGCCTGGGTTTGTCCGCTGCAGCCCTGCCGTCTCTCGCTCGTCGTCGGACCACTGCAGGACGCTCGCGATGAGGGAGAGCATCTCGAAGCGCTTGCCATCGGCGCGGGGCGTCGTGATAAACTGCAAAAGCAGATTGGTGACCAGTCTCCGGTCCACGTTGGAGTCCGAGGTATTGGCCCTCAACCGTCGCAGGGCCTCGGTCAGGTGCTCGTTGAGGATGACGGCCTCGTGGCGGAGCTTGCCAATGAGCAAGTTCTTCTCCTTGACCTCCTTCTCCAGCGCCTGGCATCGCTCGGCCGCACCCTTGAATTCGGTGGCCTGGGCTTCGGCAGCCACGGTCCGCTCCTGGTGCTCCCGCAAAGAGGCCGCTGCCCTCTCGTACCTCTCTTGGTGGTCGCCCAACGCTCTCTGCAGCTCGGTCTCTTGTGCTAGGAAAGTGCTCGTGTCAGCGCATGCATGCCCGTGGTCATGTGTCCCATGCCCCCTGCTAGTCCACTCACCAGCCTGGAACTCCTCGAGGACCTGCTGCAGCCCCCTGGCGCTCTGCGCCTCGCTCTCTGCCAGCCTCCTCTGTTCCTGCTCGCTCCTCTGTGCCTCTTGACGTTCTTCCCTGGCCCTCCTCAGCTCCAGCTCCAGCTCCTCTCGGTGGGCCCTCTCTTCCATACATGCGCTCTCCCAGCCCTCGGCCTCGATCCTGTATCTCTCTGCCATCTCCTGGAGCTCTCGCGTCTTGACCTCTGTGCTCCTTCGCGCCTCGTCTGCTGGCCCCGAAGAAGAGCCAGCCGTCGCTGACGACGACGAAGATGCATCTCCCCCCGTCGCTCGGAGCGCGTCGAGCTCCTTTGTCGCCCGGTCCACGTCCTGGTGCGAGGCAACGAGCTCCGTCTTGAGCACCTCGACGGTCTTTTCCAGCTCCTCGGTCCTGCTTGTCAAGCTGTCGATCTGCTGCTCTCTCCGATCCAGCTCTTCCTGGTGCCTCTCCCCACTTTCAGCGTACAGTGTCTTACAAAAGGAGGGCAGGGAGACACACTCACGGCATCCTGCCTCAGCCGGTCGCCAAGCGTGCTTCGCATCTGCGTCAACTTGCCCAGCAAACCCTTGTACTGCCCCTCGAACGAGTCTCGCTCCTCCCTTGTCCTCTCCAGCTCCGCATGCAGCGCCTCGACGCTCTGTCCTTGCGCCCCTGCCTTCTCCTCCTCGTCGTCCTCGGCCGGCCACGAGGAGGGCTCCTCATCTGCACTTGCATCTTTATGCTCATTGCTGTTGCTACCACTGCTCTTGTGGCTCGTCGATGCCGACGCCGCTGCTTCGTGGTGCCCATTGATGACCATGTCCTCGACGGGCTTCGTGAGGGCCTCTTCGACCGAGAGGGCCCCACGGCCGTCTGCGTTGGACGTCGTTGGCGCCATCGTCTTTGTCGTTGCTTGGCCGCCGCGTCGCGCTAGCTTCTTACGCACACCGGCGTGTCCAGTATGCCGCGGTCATGTACAGTACAGTGCTGCTGCTGCTGCTGCTGCCGGCCAGCCTGCTTGCTCTGTGTGTATGTGTATGTATGCGCACGCTCGCTGCTGATCAATGTAACGAGAAAGGACAAATTAAGTCTAAAAAGGGCATCGCGGGAAAAAAGCCCCAGGCTCCACGCCCGCGCCCGCGCGTTCACGTTCACGCTCTTCAGGCGCTCTCGCTCTCTCTCGCTCAGGCCCACGCCTACTCCCCGCTTACCACGCCCAGCAGCTCGAAGCGTGGTAATAGTCTGGAGAAACAAGCAGTCATGATAGAGCCCATTAAAGATCTATGACACCATTTTGTGATGTGTACACTAAGACGCTCAGGAGAACATGTTGTTGCTGTCGCTAGTCCCAGACGAGCCACCGCTGTTCCCCGACCCTCTTCCGGCACCTCGTCCCGCCCCGGGAGCACCACCAGCGCCTCCCATCATGTTCCTGGAGCGTTTTGCAGACGGAGATTAGCCAATTTATTTTCAAAACAAGAAAGTGGAAGACGACGCACCTCGCCATCTCGCGCATCTGCGGGTCCTGCATCATCGCATTGATGTCGGGCATGCCGCCGCCTCCAGCACCGCCGCCGCCGAAGCGCGACATCATCTGCTGGATCATTGGGTTGCTGTGCGAGAAGGTGTAGGACATTTCAGCATCCCATCTCAGCGTCATCCTGGGGACAGACGACTTACTTCATCATCTGCTCGAGACCGCCGTTGCCCATCAAGTTTTGCGCCATCTGCGCGATCATTGGGTTGTTCATCAGTGCACCGAGGTCGGGCATCCCTCCGGCTCCACCCATTCCAGGGAAGCCAGCATCGGCGGCGCCGTCGTTGTTCGACCCAACTTCCCTCGTGGGGCTCGTCGCCGAGGGAGACGAAGTGCTCTGCGCAGCGTGCGTCCTTGCCGTCTGCAGGCCGGCCTTCATTGTGGCATTCTGCGGGTCCACCTCGCAACCCTTTTCGTAGGCCTCGACAGCTTCTTGGTACTTTCCAGCAGAGAAGAGCGCATGTCTTGTGAAGAGGGAAATGCAAGGTCAGCATGGAGAAGCAAGCAGAATTCAAGAGCAGGAAGCAGAGACCCACCCAAGCCTGCTGTAAGCCTTTCCGAACTTGGGGTCCACCTTGCTGGCCTCCTTGGCGTCTTCGATGGCCTTGTCCAGCTGCCCAACTTGGGCGTAGGCAGCGCTCCGGTTCGAGAAGTAGACGAGATTCGTGGGGTGAATCTCAATGGCCTGCGTGTACGCCGTGATGGCGGCGCCAAAGTCTTTGGAGGACATCGCCTTGTTTCCGTCTGCCTTGAGCGACTCGGCCTTGGCGACCTCCTCAGGCGAAGCCTGCTTTTGCGCCTGGACAGAGTGGGGCGTCGTCAGTACCTCTGCTTTGTGCGATAGTCGACAGGCCTCTCGCAGGCCAACTCACCGGCGTCGAGGCTGTAGGCGCAGCACCCGTGCCCATCTTGGCCTGTGTCTTTGCAAAGACGTTCCAAATGTCCTTGAGCCCCGGTCCAGCGCCGTACTGGCTCTTCTGCGCGGCATCGCTCAAGTCGACGCCAAAGGCCTTGGACACGGAGTCAGCAGCCGACTGCAACTGGCCTGACGCGTCGCCGGTCTGCTCCTTGGACGCAGTCTGAAGCCAGGCTGCGACGGCGTACGCCAAATGCTTTTGGTCGCTCATTCTTGAATGCAAAGGTGAGAGGTGAGGAAGAAGCAGGCAAGAGAGCTGGGCTTGGGCTGGACTGAGGCTGACGACGACGACGAAGGAAGTAGAATAATTCAGTGGAAAGCACTGACCACCGCGCGCGCAGAACACGTGGAGGCTGAGCTCCTTCCTGAGCAGCTGCTCTCCACCGTGAAAAGGCACGAAACGGCAACTTCACCCTAATTTGGTCGACGGCAACGGGATTATTCTTCCTCATGGGCCCCTACGTAGGGAGGGACATTCATGGATACTATTGATTGCAAGAATTGAACGATCAGCTTCCGTAATTTGGTGGCAAGCAGCGAGCAGGACTTGTAGGCAAGGTCAGAAGGGATGAGAAGACATCGAGCTGTTGGCCCAAAGCACCTAATGCAGTCGGCGTCGTCTTGTGTTCCTCCTCTTTCGTGGTTGATGCTCGCATGGAGCATTTGACATTTGCTCGTTGGCGTCACAAGACCGCAGAGCGCAAAGGAGACCTCCTCTTTGCTATATTTAAAGCAGCAGATATCTCCCCGAAACCATTCCTCAGATACGCGACTTCCTTCGGAACGCCGCTTTGAAGCGTCGTGCGGCCCTTGAAAGCGCAAGCAGGGCTCATCGGGCCGAACGATTCGTGGGAAAGTGCGCGCCCAGCAAGGCCAGGCACCCCAACGCGGTCACAGTCACGATCACGCTGCTCCGATCCCAGTCTCGACATTTCTCTTCTTACCCTGCATGCCCGCTCTGCTCTGCTTCCACCTGTCGCATCAGGGTTTTCCATGTGGGATTAGCTACTCCTTTCCATCTAATCGCAGTGCTACCGGCGCAATGTCTCTGTCACGTAGCTTGATCAATGATGTATCGGTCGGTCCTTCAAGCGGGCTTTCAACAGTCAGCGCCTTTTTGTTACTGTCAGACCAGCGGGGCACAGTGCTCAGGGCAAGCGGAGAAAGGCCTTGCGGAGAAGACTTCAGGTCCGCCCGCTGATGATGAGACGACGGCAGCAGCAGCAAAATGGTGCAGCACTGGCGTCATTTGGAGAGGCGAACCAAAAGGAAAAGCACGCACCGTGCGAAAGAGGCCTGATCGGGGCACACTGTTCAGGGACCAGGCTTATAAAAAAGGGCTCTTTGGGAGTCGAAGCAGTCAGTGGCGGTAGTATCAGCTTGCAGATGCAGCTGGGAAGGACGCCACAGGCGAGATTTAGCTCCATAGTATTTAACGGCAGCAAGTGTATGTCCTTGCCTCCTCTCCCTGGGGTTCGCCCGCCACACCAGCTCAGGCGTTCTCTCCTCTCTTCTCGACAGAGAAGGCGTGCCAAGATGTTGCGGTGTGCGCCAATTGGGCGAAGACGACGTCACTTGACCTCATCGAAGGGACAAAGGAATGACGAGGCAAGTTGCTGGCTCCTTCACTGTACAGCTGTGCGAGCAAGGTGCTGACATAGCAACCAGCAGAGCATGGCAATGATGCTGCATGACACCATCATCGATGAACAGGATGCACGGGATCCTTTTCGAAAATCAGAGCCCAGAATCAGCTTCTCACAGCGTTGCAACACCTCACTGTCATCTCGGTCGCCCTCAGCGTTGCAGACAAGGCCCGAGTCACTGTCTCAGAGCAGAGAAGAGGCCTTCGAGCTTATCACCGATGGGTACGAAAGCATTGACCAGCATGTTTCCAAGCTGTACGATCGGAATGGTTGGGACCCCATCCAGCAGCCGCCGCAGCAAAATTCGGTGGCGTGGCGCCTCTCCAACCTGTCAGTGTTGACAACGACACCCGCCTCGCTCCACCGCCAAGGCTCAAACAGAAGGCCACGCACCGCTAACCCGACGATGAAGACGACGACAGTGGAGACGACCGTCAAGAAAGCCGATGGCGGTGACGAGTTGCCGGAGCAGACGCCTCGCAAAACCAATTTGCACCCCGACGTCTTTCTCATTAGCAAGGGGCCCGACACATTAGTGACGCGAACAGCTGGGCATGTTGCAGCCTCTCGTGTCGAGACCTTCAAGCCTCACCCGGGTGTCTCTCGCAGCCACTCAAAGAGGGAATCTACCCGCCCTGTCATGGCCTCGGGCAGACCTCGCCACGAGTCAGCGCAACTCGACGCGCTCAAGAAAGACCCCGACTTCCTCCAGGACGTGGCCGCCGTCGATGCTTACCTCCAAGCAGGACCAATATCGCCTCGGAATGGGACAATCAGCCCTACACAGATGCTCAGGAGAAGTAGATCCGACTATATCTCCAAAGCTGCTCGACATAGCGACGCAAACTATTTTCGTTCGCTTCCAAAACCGCCGCCACCTCCCGTTCAAGCGACTGAACAAAGAAACGTCTCCTTGAGCTCATCTGTCCCTCTCACCGCTGCTGCCTCTTACTCACATATGGCCACGAAGAACACAAGCTCTCCTCCTCTTCTTCCTCGGCCCCATCGCTGTAACAGTGGTTCACGCCCAGTCACTTCACCGAAGGCCGCTCATGAGGAAGCTAAGGATTCCCACCTCAGAGCTCTTCGGCAACGCTCGCAGGCGCAAGCACAAGCACGCACTTCCGTCAGGTACATAAGGTCCAACGAGGGGCTGACGACCAACTCTAGGAGAAGGGAGGACAAGCAGTGGAGCCAAGGGTTGGGCAAAGGGCCTCCCACACGTACGTACAGGGCTGTAAGCGACGTCGGCACTCGTGAACATCATCCCTCAACCGCTCCTCTCAGCCCGACATTTGAGATTCTCATGCCCCACTTCAGGTACGAGGACCGATTTCACTCTCCTGCACGCCCTTCACCCCCTACGCCGGTACTGTCGCCCGACTGCGGCCACGAATCAGACATCTCAACGCCCTCCGCATCTACCTCGACGCCGAGTCTGGCGCTAGGTGGCGAGAGTCCGCCGTGGTACCGGGCTGACGAGCTAGATACACCACCACCACCACCACCACCTCTCTCTTTCTCGATGCTGCAGGACTTTCTAAGGTCCCCGTCGAAGGGATTGGTCACTTCATCCTCCCTACCAAAGCATCTCTCGAACGCCACCTCGGCCTACACATGGCCCGACACGGCGCACATTTCCTCGGTGACGGCTTCTCCGACGAGGACGAGACACCCTACGATGCTGTCCATGAGCAAGGCAGAAGACACTCGGACAACGAGAGACACGACGCTTTCGAGAGACGATTTTGGGAATACAGGAACGATGGATGATGATGACACAACGGCGAAGATGCGTGACAGGGTGGTTCGCAGCAGCAAGGGCGAGGTAGCCGGTACCGGCTGGCTTGTCCGTTCTTCCTCGCAGGCTACGACGACGACAACAACACTAGATGGAAACGAGGTGGGAGCCGATGGAAAAACTTCGGTATTCAAAGACGAGCTCCTGGCGCTCGACTATGTCAAATGGCAGAACAAGCTTTTGGAGCAGAAGTTGCACGATGTCAAGTCGGCGAACATGTTGATGTAGCAGGTATAATTATTGTTTTATCAGGGCATCGGTTTAAGTGACAGATTAGAGTGGGAATCTGTTGATCGTCACCATCACTACTGCTCCTACTACTATCTTTTTATTACCGCACAATCTACTCTCGTTTCTTGTCCGTCCTCTCGTCTGAATGAATGATCGAGCTGATGGGAAGTGAGCGTGCGCGCGTATCTCAATCCCAATTTATATTTTTTGAACGTTCGCAGAAAGCGACGAACAAAACGATCCGAAGCGAAGAAGGGCTAAGGAGCTGTCGTGCGTGCGACTCGGAAGCTTCCTCCTGCCACCACCACCACCACGACGAACGAAGAAAGGCGGCCGTTCCCTTCTACTTCGGCAAGAGGTCAGAGTCACCTGGGCTCGTGCCTCTCTGGACCGGACCACTCAGTCTCCTGTTACCGAAGGGCATCCTGGGAGAACCTCGGTCGCTCGCGAGACGAATCGTCTGCAGCGGATTCCTCACCAACACCAGCAACTTTAGCGAGTGGTCTGGCTGGGCCATTTCGTCACTCCTCGATCAACCTCTAGAGTTGAAGGAGGACGGCCGTCGGTCTTCCTACGTCGGCCCGCTCCGTCCTGCTCTCGCTCGTGCTTGACGCGACGTGCAGCACATCAGCAGCAGGAGCAGCATCAACAGTACTCGCAACAGGAGCAGAGGCGGCCGCGGCAGCTGAGCACGAGAGCACAAGCACAGCACAGCCTTCACGCGCACTCCTTCACTCAGTCGCTCTTCCTGTCTCTCACGCAACAAGGCACACAAGGGCACAACAGAGGCGAGACGCTTGCGCGCGCGTGGGGAGGAGATTGAACGGGACGAGAGCGAAGTCCCGGATAAAGAGGGAGGAGAAGGGAAAAAAAAAGCCAGAGGCTGCCGAGTGCAGAGGAGTTGGTCGACATGGCCCGTCTCACAAAGGCGCAGCGTGAAGCGGCGGCGGCCGCGACAGGAGAGGCTCCGTCTGCCTCGACCTCTGCATCCTCCACTGCCCCAGCTGCCGCCGCCGCCGTCGCAGACGCTGCAGAGGATACGCTAGCGGACGTTGCTGGCGAAGACATCCTCGACGAGGCGGAGAGCAACGGCAATAGCGGCGCCAAGCGGGCAAAGCCAAGAGGAACGTCGCTCTTGACAAACGCGGGTCCGCGCGCGAAGTCTCGAAGCAGTGGAGCGGCGGCGGCAGCAGCGAGGAGCAGCCCATCGGTCGGTGCTGCAGCTGCAAACGAGGATAACGAATATCCTTCCTCGGCCGCTGGTGCAGCAGGCAGCACGGGACCAGGAGTACAGAGGGCCAGGTCAGCATCGGAGAGCGAGATGAGCACGAGCGAAGGGTCGTCGGCAGGCGACGAAGAGGATCAGCTGGCGGCTGCCGGTGCCGCCGGTGATGACTCTAGGGTTGATGGCGGTGGTGATGACGACGACTCCATGGTCGGGGGCACCGCCGAGTCGCCAGAGGTCAAATGCATGTGGGAGGACTGTGGAATGACCTTCACGAGCCTGCAGCCGTTCATCAACCACTTGCACGACGGTGAGTTTCGCATTGTCATTGCTTGGATCTGCACCGTATTCTGACTTGAGACACTATATGCTGCTGTGACAGACCACGTTGGGATCCACAAGGCTCGATATGCATGCGAATGGACAGGCTGTCCGAGGAAGGGCAAGGCACAGACGAGCCGCTTTGCACTCTTGAGTCATCTCCGGAGCCACACAGGCGAGAAGCCTTTCACATGTCCGCGTCCTGGTGCGTCATTCTCCTCTTTCTTTTGTTTTTCTCTGTCTGTCTGTGAGATGCTGATACTGGGGACGACGAAACAGAGTGCGACAAGTCGTTTACGAGGTCGGATGCGCTTGCCAAGCATATGCGCGTGCAGCACAACATCAACCCCACAACGAGCCGAGGCAGAGGCAGCGCCAAGGACACCACGCAGGGGTCTGGCGGCCGGGCATCGCGCGTCAAGGGCGAAGAAGATGACGACTGGGCGAGCGGCTCTGCAGCAGAGGGAGGAACAGGTCTGGGAGGCGCAGGAGGATCCGGCGACGCGTTGGACGACGAGCTCCTCGGCCTGGCCGAGGGCCCAGCATCGGGGATGGACTTGGATCAGTCTCTAACGCTCAATGGAGCCGCCTCGGCTGCCTTTACATATGAGAATCTTTTTGAGACTGGCGCCTCTGCCGATTCCAAGGACAAGGGCCCACGGGGCGACACGGGCGAGCTCGACGGTCCCCTCTCCGTTGTTGCCGGCCTGCCCATGACGGACGAGGAGCTGGGCATCGTGCGTGACCAGAAGATCAGCAGCAATGTGCTCCTCAATGACGAAGATGTCGATGAGGAGGCATTGGCAAAGGAGCACAAGGAAATGGACCAGGTCCTAGAGATGGCCAGGCGCGAATGGGTGCGACGTGAACGGGAAAAGGCAAAGATTCGGCTCGAGGAGGAGAAGCTCAGGGCGCCGCAGGAGGAGGCTGTTCCGCCACCGCCGCTATCGAGCACGGCAATGGGCGCCGACGAAGAGATGGCCGACGCGGGGCCGACAGAGACAAACGGAAAGAGGCCGGCAACGTCTTACGACTCGGAAGAGGAAGCGGCAGGAGCCGAAGGAGGGCCCAAACACAGCAATGCCCTTGCGCCATCACCCCCCGCGTCTAAGCGGCCGCGCCGGGCAAGCCAGCGCAATCTCCACGCCTCTACCACGGCCGAGGAGCACTCGATTGGCACGACGCGGAGCGCCTCCAAGTCGGCCCTCGCCACGGCGCAGCAGACGGCAGAAGCGACAAAGCTGACAAAGGTCTACCTGATTGAAAAGGCTAAGCTGAGGCTAGTCAAGGACGAGAACGCCAGACTCAAGGCCGAGCTCGAGCGGCTGAGAGTCGAGGAGCGGTGGGAAAAGGGCGACAAGCGAAAGCTGCTCGAGAGATGCTTGGAGGCAGAGCTTGGGTGAGTCTTGCTTCTTTTCTGAGAGAGATTGCGCGGAGTTGCTTCAGATCTTTGTCGCTGACTCTCACACGAAACAGACGAGACGTAGGGGCCATCTTCAGCCCGCCGCCTTCGCCTGGTCCAGGTGCTGCGCCTTAGATGATCTCTCTCTCTCTTTCCTCCTCCCTCTCTTCTTCTTCTGCAAAATCGCACCGCGACCAGTCCAGATATAGGTGAAAAAGTCCATAGTGAAGATTCAAAAGGAAAGACGTGTGTGTGAGACATGTGTGATGGAAGAGGACAAGATCATTATACTTCATCGCTGGTAGTTCGTCGGGGCCGGAGCGGCCTTGTATGGAAGAGGCGCTTGTTGCTGGAAATGACCGTGGGGCAAGAACTGCTGGTAGCTTCCAGACGGTTGTCTTTGTTGTTGCTGTAGCGGTGGTGGTGGCTGTTGTTGGCGCGGATAATTTGCGGGTGGCCCTTGGTATTGATTAGGTGACTGGTACGGGCTGGAATGTGGCTGGTAGTTGTTATTCGGGGGCGCTTGATAATGGTTCTGGGGCGCCTGGAAGTTGTTCTGAGGCGCTTGGAAGTTGTGCTGGGGCGCTTGGAAGTTGTTCTGGGGCGCTTGGAAGTTGTTTTGGGGCGTTTGGTAGCCGTTCTGGAATGCCTGGTTGCTGTTGTGCGACTGGACACTCTCGGGAGCCTTCTGGTTGTCGGTGGGCACCGCCTCGTAGCTCGTAGGGGCGCCTTGTGCTTGATAGTTTGTCGGGCCGGAGCCGGGTGCCTGACCGGAGCCAATGGCGGCAAGACGCTGGTTCGCGCGCTTGTCACCGTGCTCTGCGGCCGCTCGGTACCAGGCTCTGGCCTCGTTGAGATCTTTGACTGTGCCGATGCCCATCTGCAAGAGACAAAAGTCAGTGCGTCATGTCGGACTTGCATCTGGGAGCAAGAACTACACACCTCCTTGAAGTAGCCGACAGCATACTCTGCCTTTGCGAGACCCTGTTCGGCGGCCTTCTTGGCCCAAAGGTAGGCCTCGGTGTCGCTCTGGGGCAAGATGCCGGGCGCGCCGACGAGGTACCATGCTGTCAAGGCGAAGCAAGCCTCCTTGTGATTCTGCTGAGCGGCTGCGCGAGCAAACAAGGGAACACAAGAGGGAGATGTCAGATGACACCAGGGGGACAAGTGGAAGAGAGAAGAGAAGCAAGAGCTCACCAATGTTGTACATGTGAATGCTGAGACCCCCATCCTGTGGGCAGCCCATCCTTCCATACTCGTAGTTGACGCCGAGCTTGTATGCGCTCGGGGCGTAGCCCATCTCGCCAGCCTGGGCGAGCAGCTCACAGGCGTACTCCTGATCGACAAAGAGGACATTCTCGATGCCCCGTTCGTGCAGCAGTGCCAACTCGTGCAGCGCGTGTGGGAACTCGGGCGTAGCAGCCTCTGCCGATCGCTTGAGCCACTTGACGCCCTCCCTCGCACTCTTTTTCAGACCCAGCTCGCCGTTGAGCTCGGCCGTCGCCAGGCGGTACTGGGCGCCCGGGTGCGACTGGCTGGAGGCCTTTCGGTAGAACTGCAAGGCCTTGCTGCTGTCCTTGCGGCATCCCCAGCCCTTTTCGTAGCAGGTAGCTGCTCGGTAGGCTGCGTCAGGATGGCCGTGCTTGGCAGCAAGGACGAAGAGGGGGTAGGCACGGTCGAAGTCCTGCTTGCCCTTGGGCGTGCCAATGCCATTGGCATAGCAGTCGGCGAGGAAGTACTGTGCGTCCGGGTGGCCGCGCTCGGCGATCTTCTTGAGCAGGCCAATCGCCTCTCGCACCAGCTCGTCCTTTGCCGTCTCTTCCTTGTTCTGGTGGCCCGAGCCGCTTCCACCACCACCGCCCGCAGCTGGTCCAGAGCCGCCACTCGAATCGTCGCCGCCCATGCCCTTGCTGGCATCGATCATGAAGACGGCAAATTCATAGATGAGGTTGGGATCGTTGGTCTTTTTCGCATTCTGTCGGTACAGCTCGAGGGTCTTGTTGTGACTTAGCAGGGCAGCCTGCTGGCCTGGCTTGAGGTGGCTGTGATCCAACAGGGCTCCGCTGACGGTGGGTGCGATGCTTGCCGGTCTCGTGGCGCCAGTGGCACCCAGGCCGCCCATGTTTGATGCCGAGCCAGGCAATACGCTGTTGGACGCTCCCGCCGCCATCGCGGTGGAACTTTGGTTGGGAAACGACTGATGTGCGATTGATGAGGGAGGAGAGGTCGTCGTTGGTGCGGGGGCCGCCGTTGTGGGAAGCGAGGCATAAGCTTCGGCAGAAGAGGAGGCCCCAGCGCCGTGCGCGCTGCTGTTGGCAGCTGAAGCAGCGGCGGCCGCATTGGCCGCCGCAATCTCGTTGCGGTGGAAGGCGGCGATCCGAGCAGCCTGTGACGGCGCTTCGGTGACGTCGTACTGCGAGGCATGGGCATGGTACGATGACGCCGAATCTGAAGGTCTCCCTGGCGGCTCGGGCGGCGGCTCCATGCCAAAGAAGGACGAGGGTCTTTCTCCTGCCATGATGTTCGTGATGTCCTCTTTCACCTCCCCAGCTCCTTTGTCACTTCCAGACGGGGAAGCGTGCGTTGCTGTGTCGTATAGGGGACGCGACGCCGGACGGTAATGAAGCGTACGTGATGATCGTCAAAACGAGAGAAAAGGGTGCTTCGCTATTGCTCTGCGTGCGTGTATGTGTGTACGGTCCGCGGTGTGTGTGTGTCGCTGTGCACGAAAAAAACAGGCCAAAATTTCTAAAATTGCGACGACTGGCGGGTGGTCGACGACCCCTCTCTTTTCCGACGCACCTCCTATGTTGCAGAGCGAGAGAGGCAAGGGCGCTCTCTCCCTCCTTGGCCCTGAATCTCACGTGCTTTGCTTGTTTCTTTTGGCGCTAAAGAATGGAAATGGGAATTGGGGAATTGAGCTGGTCGCGTCGTGAATGCAGCAGCGGTTAAGTGGCAGGGGGGGCCTTAGCTCTGAGAAGGGGGGAAGCTCTAAGTTTAGAGTGTCTCTCCATCGAACACGACTCGGAGGCGACAACGAGTCCATTTCCTCGCTTCTATTTCGTCTCTTGCTCGCCAGGCCGGGCCCCCACATCGGCCGCTCATTGCAAGACAGACGTACCGGTCGAAGGGACGGACAGGACGGTCGGACGACGAGGCAGGTGCATATTGGCCAGGGAAGGAATCGAGCCGGATTCGAGGAAGAAGGTTGGCTGGCTGGACGAGGCAGGCCACCTGAGGGCAACAGGTGGCTTTATCCGACCTGTGGGATGACCCGGGTCACGGCGGAAAGGCTATGTCTGCGGAAAAGTCGTCAGCCGTTGCTGGCATCACAAGTAATGGCGTCGTCGCTGCCAGCGACGTCAGCTCCCCCGACGATGTCGTAGCTACGACAAGAGGGGGGGAAAGCTGCACCTTTTGTCTTGTCGCCGAGTTCGACATCGACAAGGGCAGCACGCTATCCTATCAGTATCCAGAGCCAGTCAATCACGACGAGCACATGCTTGCGGAACTTATGCTTCCGGACGGTGTACATGCACGCTCCGAGGACTGGACCGTCTTCTTCCTGCCTGCATCCTGTGCGCGCTTCGCAAATGGGCATCAGAACAATGGCCAATCACACGACACTGGTGTTCACGATGAGCGAGGTGAAGGCCAACGGAAAGATGGGGATCGCCAGCGAGACAGGGATCAGGGAGGGCATCAAGAGGGCAAGGCAAAAGAGGAGCCGCTCATCTACGTTCTCAATCTTGTCAGAACGAAGCACGACAATACGGTTCGAAGGTGAGCTGTCGGTCTTGAGAGTGAATGAAGCGCATCAATTGGCTGACTTGCGTTGTGTAACAGAGGAGCCATGGTCAAGGCCATTGCCATTGGCACCACACATCCGTACATTCAGGTGTTCAAGGTGAGCGCGCGTGGTCACATCTTTAACTTGCCAGGTCTTGCTCACCTGCTTTGTTGAAGCCTGCCTTGCTTTTGGCTCTTGACGACTACTTTAAATCACCGTCGATGGACCCGCTCGCCAGGTTGTACGAATCTCTCAACATGCTCGACCTGAACGCCATGCCCGTCTTGACGCGCGCGGAGAAGCTCGTCCTTCGAGCAAACGAGCGTAGAGACCTTTTCGAGGAGCGCTTCAAGGATGCATTATCGAAGTCCTTTCTCGGCCGCAACAGAACGGGCAGTGGGAGCACTGTACACTCATACGACAGCTCGCGCCCGGGAGAGGGGTCAAGACCGAGCACGGGCAACGAGGCATCTGCACCACCCGTTGCCCTTTCGAATCAGGGCCGATCAACGCCTCACCTTCCGCACCGGCCATCGCTGGCGTCGCTGCGTCAAGCGGCAGGCAGCACCTCGAGCATCCTCAAGAGAAGGACTTCCCATGCAAACCAGCTCGATCACGGCGGCAATTCTGGCTCTCAGCCCCCCTCCGCACTCCGCAGGCCAAGCGGGGCAGCAGTGAGCCCTCTGCCGCCCTCGAGCGCCCGGTCCTCATTCACAAAGGATACGCACTTTTGGGAGACGAATGTCTCCTACGGCAAGATTCAAGAGTTGCCGCTGCGCATCCCCACCGACTCTTTCCCCGAGGAGGTGGGCGAGTATTCGCTCATCAACCTTGTGAACACCTTTGCCGGCAGCACACCTTCGGGGCCTCAGCATCCTCACCTGCACTCCAATGGCAACCTGACGTCACCCATCATCCTTTTGTTCAACGCCGTGGTCACCGGAAAGAGGATCGTCTTCCTCGGTCACAACCAGCCGGCAAGCAAGGTCGCTGCACACGTTCTGGCTGCCTGCGCCCTCGGCAGTGGCTGTGGAGCTGCGTGGCGGGGCGTGGTCAAAAGATGCTTTCCTTACACCAATCTTGGCATGATGGACGAGCTAGAAAAGACGTGAGTAGGGTCGTGTTCTAGCTTTTCCCGAAAACTTCTCTCTGACGACTGTGTCACCTCTTTCCTGACATATGCAGGCCGGGGTACATCGCTGGCGTCACGAACCCCCGCTTCGAGGAGCTTCATGCCTGGGATGTGCTGCTCAATATTGAAACGGGCAAGATCACTGTGGCAAAGGACATCGAACCGGCTCCTCCCCTGCGGACAGCGACACGTCCGAGCGGCATGCCAGATACAATTTCAAGCGGCAGCATTGGTTCTTGGACGGGTAGTGCCGGGGTCGGCCACGATGCCGAGTGGCGGGCCAATCGGGCGCCCAGCGAGCCCGATGCTCCGAGCAGCGTGGGCCACTCGATGTCTGGCAGTAGCGTCAAGGGCGGCCGAGACCGCAGCGGGACATTCATTGAAAGCCGGGCCGATGCGTTCGACAATGCCTTTATCGACGAGATCCAGCTCTCGATCTCGGCCAGGTACGGCGAGAGGCATATCCGGGCCCGCTTCATCGACTATGCTCTCAACTTTGTCAAGCTCATCGCTAGGCACGAGGAGCACTACTTCTCCCACACCAGCCTTGGACCGCCCAGCCAGCCGTTCCTCAACGGACAGCTGGGCAGTGGCGTGGTACGCACGGACCGGGAGATTGAGATGCGCGATATCCTCGCCAATGCTCAGCGCATCGAAGGCTTCCGCGCCACAGACACGTACGAGCTTTTGTGTGGCGATGAGGCCAGTAGGGACAAAACGGCTGGAATCACCGGCTTCGATGTTGGTCATCAGATCGTGCGGCTCCGTAAGGCAAAGAAGCTGGCGAGCGCAGAGGGCGATCTCATCTTCTCCACCTTGGCCCGATCCGTCCACACGTCTGACCAAGTCATCGAGCTGCTGTCGCTGTTGCCCCCGCACAAGGGCGGCCTTTTCCCCCTTAGTTCCGGGCTCATGGCTTCGTCCAAGACGATGCGAAGCGCAGCTCAGGACCTTTTGATTGTCATTTCGACGCATCCAGTTGGCAAGAAGTTCGTTCAGGGCTTGAACCTCTTCCACCGGCTGGCTTTTGCTCGCGCGTTGCAAGATGCGAGCGATGCCGCTGCCTACCTTCAACAACAGCAACAACAACAGCAACAACAGCAATTGCAATTGCAACAACTGCAGCACCAGCAGCATCAGCAGCACCAGCAACATCAGCACCCCCATCAACCTCAGCAGCTTCAGCAACCAATGCTCGGCAATGGCTATCTCGGCCACCCACCGCAGAGCGGTATTTCGGGCAATCAGAGCCCCTTGCCACGCGAAGGCCTGCCTACGCAGAGCAGCGGCGCCGCGTCTCCGCTGCCCTTTGTTCACTTTCCCCCCGCAAATGACGGCCCTCCTCCTCCTCCTGTGAATGAGGGCATGCTCTCTGCAGGTGTGGGCGGTCTGAGCGTGCCAGTCGGCTCGTCGGCCTCCTCTCGGTCACCTTCACCTCTATCGACCCAAGCTTGAAGCGCAGCGCTTTCTGCACCTTGCTCATGTATCCCAAGACTCCAATCCAGTTCTGGCTCTCTTTGTTTCCCCTACATGTACTTGTACCAGAACAAATCAAGAATCAGCGATGCCCACTTCCTTGCTCCCTCTTGTCGGTTCTGATGAGGATGAGAGAGCGGCTGTGTTATGAGAGGGAGATGGACAAGCAAGAAGGAAGCGACGTGACGCAAGGGTGCATCTCTTCACGTGTTCTCAGCACGACTGGTTCCGGGATCGTGAAATTTGCTTGCTCGGAATCACGAAGCTGTCGGTTTCAAACGGAGCCCATGCATGCAGACAGCACCTGCCCGGACAAGGCATTATATTCGCCCGCACACACGTACTACGTACACTACAGTACTAGTACTACTACGTACTCTACACTAATGTAATATGTTAGCTGGTAAGCAGCTACACCCTGCTCCGCCAGTGCGATTCCTCTTTTGCCGCGTTAGGGGGCCCTGAAATTCTGGCAATTTGACCTGTCAAATTCCCCGCTCTTTTCCTGCCCCCCCCCCTGGCGTGCCCTCGCGATCAGCACTATTTGGCCGGAGGAGGAAGGGGCCTGTTCTTTATTGCATTTTTGTTATGAAGCCGGAAAAACAAACGGCAAAGAGGAGAATAAAAAACAATCTCACCACGACGTGTATTGAAAGCACAGGGGGGGAGACAAGGCAAAACAATATAGCGCTCATTAAGTCGCCGTTGGCCCGCTCTCGCTCTCTTCGGAGGCTGGCGCTCTGATGATGGCGGCGAGCGGTCGGTGGCGCGTCCGAGACGGGCAAAAGGTCCGCCTTGTCACGCTGGCTTCGATTCCACCCTGCCAAATGCACAGACGCAGCAGCAGCTTGTGTAACTCAGGTAAAGGATGATGCACTGACTTTGGCAGAGTGAGCCAAGGGACTGCGACAAGTTTGCAATATTATTAAAATGCATCGCGACATTGTAGTAGACTAGCTATAGCAGTTTTAATGTTGTCGCGGTAGCAGTAGCAGTAGTAGTAGTAGTCCAGATATTCGCTTCCCCTTGGGCTATTTTTAAAAAGCCACTCTCTTTTCCTCCCATTCACTCTCACCTCTCCTATTGCTGACCCGACAACTTTGCCGCGTCTCTACGAAAGCTGCTTGACGCACTGAAGCGGCGACCAGCGGCGACGACAACGGCAAGGACGCGACGACTCAGCTAGCAGCGACGGCATCGAGCGGGCTTGGCCTCGTTGATTCATCAAAAAGGCGGGTGGGGCCGCCTCCTCGTGCAAAGGCTGTGCGCGTTTCTGAAGCCGCTTGGCCGCCCGGACCCCCCCTGTCGTTGACGAACGGAGGGGACGAGCAAAAGCGTTGCATTCCTGCGCTATCTCAACGCACTCCTGAGAGAGGGAAAGTTCTACGCTGTCGTCCCTACTCTTGCGCTTGCCAGGTTGACCTTGGCTCTCATCAAACTCAACTCAGCTCGACTGGTCTGTCGGAAGGCCAGACGCGGCTTTTGCTAGATTCTCCGGTGGGGACACACTCGCACAAGCAGACGTTGTCGCGAGCAGATACAGGGGCAGCGACTCGACTCGTGTCACCGGCCCTTTTCCCTCCCTCCCTCCCTCTTCCTCTGCCTGATCCCCCCTCCTTTGCGACCATTTCCCTCGACTCCATCCCTCCTCGAGTCCAACTCGTCGGCAAACTATCGTGATCGAGGCGAATCTGCGTTGGCCCCCTCTCCTCTCTCTCCTTCTCTTGCGCGCGCGCGCTTAGGCCCTCGCTCTCGGCTCTTGCGATCTGCGCTTGGCTTTAAAGGGCGACGATTTTCAGCGATCCTTTGTGGCCCATTCCCCTTCTCGCTGCTCCTCCCCCCTCCCCTTCCACCCTACTTTCACCTCCTTCTCCCTCTCCTCGCCTTTGCGACCCGCAGTGGCTGAGCAACACCGCCCTCGACGCGTCGCCGTCTTCATCTTCTGGAGGCGATACCGCTTTCCCACCCCGATAGCCCCACCGAAATTTCCCAGGTCACACCTCTGGTGTGTGTGTGTGTGACAGGTACCGCGGGGTCTCGGACAGTAAGCCGTTGCGCGGACCCGTTCGTCTCGCTTTCGACTCGCTCTCTCCCCAAAGTTGTGGCTTGAGAGTCTTTTGATCCAAACAAGACAGCCACGGATCGATTACGCGACCTAATCGTCAAGCCAAGTCGTTCAAAATTCCCACGACCTCACAGGTGAGCCGTCCCTGAGAAGTTGGTGATGACTCTATTGCGCTCTGCTCACCTTTACTTCCATATTACTTCTCCCTCTCACCCAGCAGCAGCAATCAGAAGAGGTCTGATAGCCCAAGATGGGACGCAAGAAGATTAAGATTGCCCCCATCACCGATGACCGCAACCGTAGCGTAACGTACCTCAAGCGCAAGGCCGGTCTGATGAAGAAGGCCCATGAGCTGGCCATCCTGACCAACAGCGAGGTAGCCGTGATCGTCTTTAGCCAGAACAACAAGCTAGCCGAGTTCAGCAGCTCCGACATCGACCACCTTCTTCTCCGGTATACCAACGTAAGCATCTTTACCTCGTGCCTTTATTGTGCCTTTTCCAGCCCAGTTTCACGCTGTCAAACTGACACGCTTTTTCCTTTTCCCTTGAACAGCATGAGGGTCCTAGGGAGAGCAAAGGCCCAGAGAACTTTGCAAACGACGAAGGCGACTCGGATGAAGACAATGAGGAGCACGACGGCGCCAATGGCGGTGATGCCGCCTCGGGCGGTGGACCGGGAGGTGCATCGGGAATGCCTTGGAGCGGCGATGCATCATCAGCCTATCCCAACGGTGGCAGTGGTGGCGGCGCTGGCGCTGGATCTGGCGGCGGAGGGGGCGGCGACAATGGCTCCTCTTCGCGCTTGAATCCGGCTGGGAACAACAAGAAGCGCAAGGCGATGGCAAGTGGGTCAGGACCATCTGCATCCTCCTCATCAAGACGACCTTCGCGACCCGGCAGCTCAGCAGGACAGGTCAAGTCTGAGCCTGGACTAGATGACACGCCAGAAAGGGCTGCACTCCGAGTGGCGCTCACCCAGCGCTGCATGTCAAAGCCTGGCTCGAGCCCCACGTCTACCAACGAGGAGATTCGCCGGCCTCAGAGCGCATACATGCATCATCACCACCACTCCTTTTCGGCCACGAGTCTTCCCATGGCCTCGTCGCAGCTTTCAGGTCCACCTCAACACCAGCAGCGCCCTTACACGGCTGGCGCCATGATCTCCCAGCAGCAGCAGCAGATGCAGCAACTGCAGCACCAACAGCAGCTTCAGGCTTCTGTTTACGGTACTCATCAGCGCATTTCTCCCGATCGCTTCGCATTCACAGCCGATGGCCTCAACGGCACAGCTCAGCAGCCATTTACTCAACCTCAGTACATGGTGTCACCTGCTGCGCCGCCACCACAGACCTACGTCGAACTCGCTGGTCGATCGGCGCCGTCTTCGGCAACCTCGGCTGCCAGACTCTCAGGCCCGATGCAGTACCCCGTCCAACCTCAGACTGGTACCAAAGGCACCCTCTTGCCACTTGCACATCCTGCACTGCAGCAGCACCCTCAGTATAACCAATACGCCAAGCAGCTTGGGATGCAACATCAGTCGCACCTATACCTCTCTCGGGGCCAGAGCATCAGCCACTTGCCATCGCACCAGCAGCCTCAGCAGCAACAACAACAACAACAGGCCCCGCAGCAGGTTCCACGCCATGGCAGTTCGCCGCATGCGATGATGGCCCATAATCACACTGCACCTCCCTCGCCTGCAGGTGGAGCAACCTCCACCGGTCTGACGGGAAGGGCGGCATCGGATCTACAGTCATCTGCAGAGCTGAGGAGGGTAGTGTCGGCTTCGATGGGTCAGCGCAGTGCGTCGACATCGCCGATGACGGGAGCTCAGGGAAGTGCACCCACGCAATTCATCGACCCCTTCTCAAGCACCACCATTCCGGCCCCATCGCAGCAGCAGCACGACCAACAAAATCAGCAGCAACCACAGCAGCAACAGCAGTCGCCCGTCAAGGAAGAGGAGGCAGCTAAAGCTGCTGCAAGCGATGCCTCCTTACTCAGTGCCTACTCTGCTCTGAGCTCTGCCACCTCGCAGTCCTCCTTTGGCGAAGGCGCTAGCAACGATGCGAAGTCGCCCACAAACGCAACTTCGAGCTCGACACCGGCTGACGGGAGCAACGCGGGCGCCTACACAAAGGCTCAGCTGGATGACATCGTCTGCTTCTTGTCCGACGTGACCAACGAAGGCGCCAAACAAAATCCAGCCAATCAGCAAAAGCAACAGCAGCAGCAACAACAACAACAACAAATGCAACAACAGCAACATCAACAACCTGATCAGCCACAGCATCAGCATCAATCGCAGCAGCTTTCGTTCTCAGACCCATCGCTGAAGAACGAACACGAACAGCATCACCACCATCATCATCAGTCTGCGTCGGACGGTGCGATCGACATGTCGATGTCGAGCAGCGACAGCCAGTCATCTTTGACCACACTCGTCAACTCGAGCTTTGAGCTCATGGGCAGTGGCCATGCTGGCGGCGATGGCAACAGTGCATCGACGGGCGCGATGGATGGTGGTATTGATGGGCATCACGCGCAAGACGTCTTCAAATACGCGAGCGCGTTTGAGAGTCAACCTCCGGCCGTGATTGTCGACAGTCGAGACGCCAACTGAACCCGTCACTCCTTTCTCTTCCGTTCTAATTGTCACATTCTAGGCAGACGCTGTATTTCTATCCACCTCCCTTCAGCCTCATCCACACCTCACATCGCCCAGATCGACAGTTCAGAGCGCTACGTTACAACCTTTCTCGTTACTATTTCTCCTTCACATGGACGATTCTTTCCTCTCTTCTGTCTTTCTTATTGTAGAGCCAAGGGAACCGGTCTTCTCTTCCTCTTGTTAAATTGGGCCCTTTCAGTATTCGCCTCTTGGTACTTCATCTCTTCTCTCTTTCAATACATTACACTGATCTTTATACACAATGAACAGGGCCCTTCTTGCTCCTCGTCTCTACCATCTTCGTCGTTACTTGAAACGATGTCGATTGCTCGGTGACGCTTGATATTTTGCCCCTATCTATTTGGTACCTGTAATACATCTCTCACCTCTTCCGGCTACCCTTGTGCTGAGGACCACTCGCAACAATGTCATCCAGCCTAACGACTCCCTCGCCTTCGTTGTCCTCGTGACTCTCTACCTCTTCATCGCCACGACCGCCTTTCGGATAGCTGAAGCTTCCGTTGCTCTTTCGTCTCTTCTTTTCTGCCTCGGCCTTCTTCTTGGAAGTCCAGAGGCCACTGACGCCCAGTCCGGCAAAATTGACCCGACGGTCCTCGTCTTCAAAGTCGGAGTCTTCCTCGTCGGACCCAGGCAGCGGCATCGTGCCCTTGTATGCGTCCAAGTGCGCCTGCAGGTACATTGAAGGCGGCTTGACATTGGGCCCCTTTTTCTCCCGCTCCCGCTCACGATCCCGGTCCCTCGACGTTGTTTGCGGTGTGGGTGGGAGAGTTGGACGGGCACTGCTGCTCGTGCTCGTGCTCGCGCTCGTGCTTGTGCTCGTGCGCGACGAGTCAAGGACCGATGGCCGAAGCTGCTTGACTCCCGTCGACGGTTGCTTGGCGCAGCCGCCGCCGCCGCCGTTTGGCAAAGCACCTGCAGCAACGGCGTTCGAGGAGCTGTGAGTCGTCGCAGAGGAGGTGGAACTGCAGCTCTTGGCACCGCTGCTACTTCGTCTATTCTGGACGATGGGTACAGATGGGCCCATCCCTCGAGGATAAGAGCCAGAGCCTCTCGGGGTTGTCTCCGTCGTGCTAGGATCCGGTTGTAGTTCAAAGACGACAGTGTTGTCGAGTGCGAAGGAGACGGACTTTTCCATCGTAGAGATTGTCGTTGACATGAGAGGTGTTAAGAGTGGGGAAGATGGCAATGCGCCTTGCGCTCGACGAGGAGTGTACAGAAGCGAATCGTTAGGTGGAGCTTGCAGAGGAGGGCCTGAGCGCTTCGTTCGCTTCAAAGACAAGAGTGAGGTGCTAGATTCAAGAGCACGTTCAGCAATTTGAGTGCTGCCGCTGTGGGTGAGAATCGACAAGGCGGCTTTGTGTTGTCGTAGATTCGCTCCGGGCAGGGAGTGTTGATGTGGCACAGCAGCAGCAGAAAGCATGCTAACAGGAGAGAATTCATCTGAAGGTGCCGACTGGGAACTACCCGAATGCGGCGAAGGTGGACGACCGGTAGAAGAGCAAGCAGCAACACCTGAATGTCCACCTGACGATGACGACATCATCGTGGAGTTCGCAAGCAACAACGAGTCCGAAGAGTCATTGAATGACACGCCCGATGCTCTGCTCTTCAGTCTCGATCCCTTCAAGGCCGAGAAAACTTTGTTGGCCGAGGGAGGGTGTTGCATCGAGGCATAGCCCATCGCAATCGTCGGACCTTTGTGAGCAAGCGCAGCGTTGTCTTTATCTACGCTACTTCGCCGCATGGCCGCTGAAAGCACGCTTCGAATCGAGTTGGTATCAGTTTCCTTGCCCAGAGAACTGCGCCTCGAAGAAAAAGAAGCGGTCGACGTCTGCAGACCCTGGTAGATGACAGTGTCGCCACTGAGATTTTGGTCGCTGCCATGCCCAGAGAGCATGGGAGTGGCTTGTGAAGGAGAAAGCTTGCCTTCTTGAGTGCTTGGAGAGCTTAGTCCGTCATCATTACCGCCTTTGTTCCTCTTGGGAGTACGGAAGAGGGCGCTTCGTACCACGCTACTGAATGATTTCGCCGTCGAAAGCTTGGGCGTACGGACGCTCTTGCTTGACGGCGAAGGTGCGCGAACATCTGCTGCCGGTCCTCCCTCTGTTCGTTGGATGTGTACGAATCGGTCTTGCTCGCCATCATGATCGGCCTCAGAATCCGCTGATCCAGCCGGTATTGTCTGAATAAGCTTTTCATTCCGCTTCTGTGTCGCCCTTGATAGCTGACTGCTATGGTTGCACTCGATACCTTCAGTCGCCGCCTCTCCTTTTGGTACAAGAGAAACTGATACATGGTGTCGATGAGCCCGCTCGTCGCCCCAAATAGCCCCTTGTCTACGTCGCGAGACTGATGTGGTGGGAATTTGCTGCTGCTGCTGTTGCTGCTGAGGAGAATGAGCATGTAAAATCTGCTTGGCGCCATGAGGGGCTGTATAAAGCCTCGTTGCTGTTGTGGAATGGAACCTCGAGACCCTAGGAGGAGTCCAGAAAACAGATCGCTCTGACTGTGTTGGTAGTCCCTGAAGTAATCTAGGTGGTGCTTCGTAGGACACAAGTGCGCTAGGCAGATCCGTGAGGAGAGCGGGCACGTTTGGAGCTGGCCTGGAACTGTTTGTAGGGTGGTAGCTCATTGATCGATTGCGTCCGTGAGCTGCGGCGACATGCTTCACCTCCTGTGTCGCCCCTACTTCCTCGATCTTTTGCCAGGTCGACAGGCTTGACACCACTGGGCCGGGCATGACCTCAACGTTAGGACCTACTTTGGGCATTGCCTCGAAGACTTGTACTTCCTTTGTGTATGACTTGCTGCTCTCTGTGCGACATCGACTGCTTGTGCCGTCAAGAGCTGCAGTGGCTATCGTGTAAGCAGCGTCGATTGAACGCTGCCATCCCTTTCTCTCAGCCATTTCGCTGACAGAGGGACCTGAAGAGTGTGTCACTTCCACGTTTGTTGATCGTTCGCTGCCGTGATTCGACTGCAGAGGTGCTAATAAAGGGGTCTGAATGCCGAAGTGGGGACCGAGACGCTGATGGTATGGACGAGCACCGCTCTCCACACCAGGAGCATTTCTTGTGCTTTGTCTCTCTCCTGCAGTGGTAAAGTGGGATGTCAAAGACCGGTCGTGGCGGTCCGGAGAAGACGTTGCTACTGCCACATTGGCTGTTCTGGCTTTCGCAGAGGCAGTTTCGGAACGGGCCGTCGAGTCCCTGCGGAGCTGCGGACTGGAGCGAGAGGAAAGAAGCATGTGTTGTTGAGGCGGCGATGTGCGAGGAGGACTGTCGCGGAAGTCATCGGCGACAGTTGCAAACGAGGGGCGAGCACCAACAATTGTCCTCACAGCGACGCTGATGCTCGCTTCGTTGGGACAGTCGTCCATGCTGTTCTCCATCGAGCTCGTCTCCGATGTGGACAGCTCTGTTCGCCCTACTTTCCCTGCTTTCCAAATTAGCAAAAGCTCTCTTCGGCTCTGAACAAAGATGGCGTGCACAAACACACACCTTGTCCTTCGGTCTGTACCGCAATGGAAAGCTTGCCGCTTGGCGGCGGAGGCGATCGAACCATAGAAGAGGGCCTGTGAAGAAAGACGGGTTGGCTGTCGACGGACTTTAGGACCCCGATTTCTCTGTAGCCACCAGAACGTTTTACTGAGGACATGATGGGTTCTGTTGCCATACGGCTCCTGGGAGCAGTTTTGGGAGTCTCTGAGCGAGAACGAAGGTCGGCATTGTCGGTCGAGACGATGGCATTGGTGGCACTTGGGTCGCTCTGGGGCCTCAATGGAGCCGTCGCGGTGAGGACGGGCCCAGCCGAGAGGGACAATGTAGCTTTGTGAGCTCTCGGAGTACTCATTGACATAGCTGAGTGCGGCTTCGTGTCGACCCGAAGTTGAGGGCTAGGTGTGGCCCATCGGTGATTGTTGGCAGAGAAGCACCGTGAGCCCCTATGTACCGTCGATGTCGTAGACGCGGCCAAAGACTCTGACCTGGACGGTAACCAGGAAGGAGAAGATGTAGAAGAACGAATCTCGATCGAGGACGCCTTTGCTGAACTCCTGGGTCGTGCTGAAAGAGACGGAGCCTCAAGCTGCTGCTGCATGCGCGAAGAGTGCGAGGGACACGAGGAAAGGGACGTGGACCTCTCCCTGGCTCGCATCAAGTTGAGCCCCTGTGGTGGGAACTCAATTGAGCTCACCTCGAACGTCATGTTCAGGACGGTGGTGATGCTTGATAAGCGAGAGTCAAGAGATGAACAGAACAGAGAAGAGCTGAGAAATAAAAGGCGAAACAGCTGCGCTTCATTTCCCCTCATCAGCGTTTCCCTCCGGCACGGCAGCACCATCTTCTCCGCCGCTTTCTTCAAGCCCCTCGGCTCAGCTTAATCGGCTCCACCAGTGACCCCAGCCTCATTAGTGCCATGCTTCTCTGCACCGTGACAGTTGGGGGGCCAAGGAGTCCCGGCACCGCGCCTGCACCGCTGCGCTCCCTTTGTCCTGCCCGCCCCATGACCAGACCTGGCAAATTTCCTTCTTGAATAAAGACGTACGTAGCCACCACATTCGTACGAATCGGAACTTCTTTCGGTCTCACCGCCGCCCCTTATCTGGCAAAAGAGCAGGTAAATTGACCCAGCCCGCGACAGGGGGTGGGCGCGCGCGGAGGTAGAAGGCGGCGGCATCGCAAATGCTTAAATTTCCACGTGCAGCGCCAGGCTAGTCTGGCTGCACCACCACATCAATCAACTCTCTAACTTTCTTCTCTCGAAAGGCACACGAACGGCTACCACAGAAAGGAATCAGGATGCCGCCAAAGGGGAGCAAGATGAAGCCCTCGATGGCGCCCAACTCGGCAGCTGATCCCAGTCGAGAGCTCCCCCTGGCCTACACGACATTCACCGTGCCCCCGCCCCTCAACGCCAAGAGTGAGTCGGCTCGCCCGCTCGCCCCGGTCCCTCTTCTTCGATATGCATCGGCATGGCTGACTCTTTATCCCTTCCTGCTCGCCGCAGACATTGCCTCTACCTATCTAAGAACGGACTCGCAGACATGGGTTGCGCGGCTACAGGCACAGCAACAAGCACAGGGACCACTGAACCGGGGCAAAAAGCGGCGGAAAGCACCGATGGGACCCGCTGCCTCGACGGCCGAAGGCACGCCTGTGGATGCTCAAGGCAGCGAAGACGAGGACGAAGAGGCGGTGAGCTTGATTGAGGTCTACTCTGAAAGAAGGATGTGCAAAGCTCACACCTTTCTGGCTATGCAGACTGGGCCGCCGTCTTCGACCACCATCGTCATCCACCCTTGCTCCACCCACCTTCGCATTGGTCTCTCTTCGGACATCTATCCACTAACAATGCCCCAGATGGTGGCGCGAAGGCCCAAGGAAGGCGTGCATGGTTCTGAGATTGCACAGGAAAGTGAGGAAGACGAAGATGCGATCATGAAGGATGCCTCCTCGGCTTCTCCATCCGGCCCATCTCGGACTGGAAGTCCCTTCTCAGATGTGAGCTCTGTCTGATGAGACAGTCGACGCGAATGTCTTGCTCACTGTGAAATACGCTCTCGGAAAGCTCTCTACAAAGATTGAAGTGCTCCGCTCCGATCTCAAGAACATCATGCGGAACCTCAAGCTGAGGCCAGTGACGAATGCAAAGCAGCAGGCATCCAATTACAACGCTTCGGTCAAGCCCGAGGTGGTTCCTGAGCACAACGATGTATTTGCCGTCGAGTGGATCAACTCCAAGGCAAAGGACATGGGCGACGTTGTGGTGGGAGAGAAAGCAAGGAGGATGGATTGCTTCTCGCAGGAAATGCCGTCCTCTTCATCGACAGGTGACCAAGATGAACGACGATGGAAGCTGTTCCAGCCAATGAGGAGCGGCCGGCTCGACACGGACTCTTACATTGAAGCGTACGGACCCTCTGCCGCCAAACAGGCCCTCCTCAACGACCTTAAGACCATCTGGACCCATGCGATTGCAACGCCAAGAGAAGACCCTGATGCCAGGCACGAGCCAGGCAAGATCGTCGAGCACGGCCTGGGCATACCTTCGAGGGACTGGTCCCTGTACAACGTCATCCTCGTCATTCCAGACCTCTATTCTATGTCCGATGTCGAAGATCTGACGAGGCTGCTATTGGACGAGATGGGCTTTGCGGCGATCCTGCTCCAGCAAGAGGGCGTCTGCGCAACCTTTGGTGCCGGCATCAGCTCTGGATGCGTCATCCATATCGGTAGCGACCGGACAAGCGTGACGTGCGTCGATGAGGGGCTTGTCGTTAGTGAGAGCCGTCTGTCGCTCCACTACAGCGGCGCCGACATCTCAAAATTCTTTGTCGAGCTGCTGCAGAGGGCCAATTTGCCCTACAAGGGCCTCCAGATGGAGAAGCTGCTGGCCGATGCCTGGCTGGCCGACGAGCTCAAGGAGCGTCTCTGCACCTTGGACCCCATGCAGCTTGGCCTTGTCATCAACGACGTCCATGTGCGGCTGCCTAGCCAACCGACAAGGAAGTACGCACTGCGGACCTATGACGAGATCATCCTCGCTCCGATGTGCCTCTTCAGCCCTCGAGTCATTGACTTTGACAAGAAGCGTCCCAAAGCAGGGCAAAGGACGGTGAACTACCAAGCGCCTGCTGCGTCGGATCCCGTCGCTGACGAGGACGATGGCACCGAGGAGCGTGGAGTGCCCGTGACGACGGCCATGAACCTCTGCATCCGTCACCTATTGCCCGCAGTTCCCACTCCAGCTCCCGTCGCCATGACGCCAGACGCTTCTAAGGGCGCCGCTACTTCGTCTAAGCAAGGCACGCCTGCTGCGTCCCCCATGCCCAATTCGGGCGAGTCCAATGGGCAAGCGACAGCCACACTCAAGGCAGACGAGGCCGCGACCGCTCAGCCCAGTCGAGCTGGCAGTCCATCCGCGAATGATGGGCCATCGACGCCCGCCGTTCTGGCTGGTGATGGTGACGTAGGCTCTGAGCGACAGTCGCCAAACCCCGCTTCGAAGGACACGCCGACTAAGGCTGCACAGCAGCAGCAACACCTTCCTGCTTCCTTTTCGATCGATGCGGCTTGGGAGGCAGGCAAGGTGCCCTTGGACTTTGCAGTGTGGCACAGCATCCTTGGTAGCATCTCCAATATGACGAGCACCGGCACAGCAGAGGAGCGGGTCAAGCGTCTTACGGCCAACATCATCTGCACAGGAGGCACTGGTCTTTTGCCGGGCCTTGGCATGGCTCTGGAGGCGAGGTTGGTATTTGGCGTTGCCTGTTTAGTGAATGTATTTTGTGACTTACCTGGCTACTTCTCTTTCTCAAAGGATGGGTGCATATGTCACCCAGTGGTACACGCTGCAGCTGGGCAAGGACGCCGCCAATGCGCCCAACGCAACGGTCATTCCGCCCCCCAGAGACATGGATCCACGCGTGCTCGCCTGGAAGGGCATGTCTGTCCTCGCGCGTCTCGAGAGCGCCCAGGAGATGTGGGTTCCTCGTCACGAGTGGTCCGTCTTTGGAACACGAGCCATCAGAGAGAAGAGGTAAGTCGTTGGCACTCAGTCCTCTTTCTTCTTTATGCTCATCTTCCCTTTCTCCACAGTCTGTTCTTGTAACATCATTTGTATTCGTATCATGCCATCGGCAAGACAAAAGAGAAGGGAGAAATAAATCATCAGCCTGCCACAGGGCGTACGTATTGCAGGGCGAAGGCTTGACTGCGCCGCTCGCGCCTTTGCGTGCCAAGCCTGTCAGCACTTTCTTCCCACTTCATGATCTAATTCTCGACTGAATCCCCCTCCTTACCACGGCGGCTCTACTTGTGACGACCATCTGCTTCTCGCTGACCTCTGCAGCAGTCCCATTGCACTCTCAACTCTCTTTCCTATATTCACGACCACTAAACCAAGAATCACCCGGAAACGTACTTCCGTCCTGGCCCCAGCGTCGCCAGCACCCTCAATTTGCACATGTCTTCGACTGGCCTCGTTGACATCCAAATCTGCTGCGCCACTACTGCTACCACAATACCCCAAAAGCCCAAACTCTCTGCTTGCTCGCCACACATCAGTAGTACGGCTGTCGATCTCCGGCGAAACGAAGAGGAAACTCAGATTTCTGAAACGCACCTGGGGAAGAAGGCGTGACAAAAATAATTAGTTCATAAAGTCAAAAGTCGATCCCTAGCAGCGAAGGGGGAGGGACGGGCAGTGGTAAGTTTAGGTGCTGTGCAGTGCTGCGCGCTCGCACTCCTCTGCTGCTTGCCTGTGCACCGCAATTTTGTTCGTTCTGCGCGCGCGTGCGTGCACGCCCTGTCTGCGAGGAAGCTCTTTTATTTATTCTCGTCCTTCCACTCGAAGGGGAAAGCCAGCTGTTCTCAAACGGGCAGGCCATTAGCCGACGACGCCTCTCCATCTGCCACTACTTCTACTACTTCCACTTCAGATTACTCTCTCTTGCACCCTCTCCCTCTCTCAAATTCCCACATCCTCCAGCTCTGCACTACCCAGGGTTCTTTCTTCCCCTTCTCTTCATTCGCCACGCGCCAACGAGGATTAGAAAAAGAGAGCCGGCACGCTATTTCCGCCTCGTCTTTCTTCTGTTACCCCTCTATTACTACCACTACACCAGCCAACACACGGCATTTGGTGGCCACCAGTCTTCTTCGCGCGACAAAGGAAATACCAGCGAAGCAGATCACGCTGTCGTCGTCGTAAAGCGGGCGACCAATTGGCCAGAGAAGAGAGGATCTGGTACTGGACTAGACCTACGGAACACTCCTCGCAGAGCAACGACTATCCAAGGGTAGTCGTCTCCAATCGGTCGATTTTTTTAAAGTAGGAAGCACGTTCGCTGCACCTTTTTCACCATGGCTCGTGACAGGCTGGCGGCCATGAGGGTGAGTGATCCCCGTCTCGACTTCGACTGAATGATTGCTAGAGGGCTGACGCATTGTGATGGGGTGGATTGGCATGCTTTCAGGCGCAACAGAGCGGCGGAGGCGGTGCCGGTGGATATGGCGGATACGGAGGCGGTAACCAGGGCTATGGGTGAGTTTTCTGGATGACATTAAGAAATATCCAAGCGAGTAGCCTGACCAAGGAGACCACGCACACACATACATAGCGATCACTCTTACCCTACGCAGCAGCCTGGAGGCTATGCGCCATATGGAGGTGAGCAGGAGAGAGCAACTTGGGGCGGCACCGGCGCGTGATGATGGGCTGCTGACACTGGCATGGATCCGATACTCAAGGCGCACAGCAGGGCGGCTACGGAGGAGCAGCACCGGCACCTCAGGCTCCTGCACCCGCGTACAACCAAGGGTACGGCCAGGCCGGTGGCTACAATGGCTACCAGCAGCAGCCCGCCGGTGGTAACAACGGGTATGGGTATGGCGGGCAACCGGGCGGCGGCTACGATGCTGGTGCAGGCGCCTACGAGATGCAGGGTGTCGGTGGGGAAAAGGTTGGCGCGGCGCCGGCCGGCGCGCCCAGCATGGACTCCTTCTTTGCCGAAATCTCCGACATCCAGGACACGATCCGCCAGATTGACGACAACATCAACCGCATCTCGGATCTGCACTCGCGCAGCCTCAACAACATGGACGAGGCCTCGTCGCAGCAGGCCCACCAGCAGCTCGCCGGCATGTCATCGGAGACGAGCCGGCTGACGAACGCCGTCAAGAACAAGATCCGGACCCTGGACTCGCAGACGGCGCGCATGCCCGACGGCGGCGACAAGAACGTCCGCAAGACGCAGATTGGCGCGCAGAAGAACCGCTTCAAGGAGACGATCCAGCGCTACACCCAGGTTGAGCAGACGTACCGGAAAAAGTACAGGGACCGGGCCGAGCGCCAGTTCCGCATCGTCAAGCCCGATGCGACGCCCCAGGAGGTCAAGGCGGCCATCGACGACGACCAAGGGCAACAGATCTTCTCGCAGGCGCTCCTCAACTCGAACCGGCACGGCGAGGCACGCGGTGCCCTGCGCGAGGTGCAGGAGAGGCACGAGGACATCAAGAAAATCGAAAAGACGCTCGTCGAGCTCGCCCAGCTGTTCCAGGAGATTGACATTCTCATCACCGAGCAGGGCGAGACGATCGACGTTGTTGAGCAGCACGCTACGGCCGTTGAGAACGACATGGACCAGGGCCTGCAGGCAACGAACAAGGCAGTCAAGTCGGCCGCCGCGGCCCGTCGCAAGAGAAAGTGGTGCTTCATCATCATTGTCATCATCATCATCATCGTCGCTGTCATCATCGTCGGCATCATTTGCGGCAAGGGCGACTGCACCGGTGGCAACAAAAACAACAACAACAACGCTCGCCGTTCGCTACTCGACGACGAGGAGCCTCTCCTCTACGTCTCGCGCGGCATGCTCACCACCTTTGCCGACGACTGGACTCGCGGAAGCATGCGGCGAGACTTTGTCCTCGACGCACCCGACGAGGCATGAGCATCATAGACGGTTGTTTTCTGCTCTTTCCTCTCCCACCCTTTCTCAGTATATCTTTCCTTCTTTCTCCTCTTCTTCTTCTTTCTGGCCTCCTTACCCTCTTATTTCTCCGCTTCCCCCACTCAATTATCCTCCAATCACGCTCGCTACCAGCTCAGTCTGCATTGGTACCTCTCTTCCTCCGACAGTAAGGCCAGAACCGCCAGCCTCGTTCTCTTACATGCATCGACGCTCCTCTCCCCCTGTCGCAATTTTAATCAGATTCCTTTACTTGACCCCTTTGCACACGCTCTCTGCCTCTCTCTGCCCTGTTCAGCAAGATTGTTGAATGAATGCACTTGAAGTTCTCTAGACAAAAAAAGAAACCGTCCCGTATGCCACTACTCTACAATTTCGCCTTGCTTCCACCATCGCCCCGGGCAATCTTTGCGCGAATGAGGCCGCTGGGGTGTGCCGTGGGCAAGAAGACCTCTGCCTGGTCCTCTTTGAGATTCTCGACGCCGGCCCACTTGAGGTCGATTGGGATGTAGTGTCGATTCGGCATCGTGAGCTCGACATCGGCGACGGCCTGGCAGGCGCCGTCGTCGAGGATGCGCTCGGCCGTCTTGAAGAGCGTGGCCTGGACGCTGGGGCTTGAGTGTGTCGCAAACGTGTGGGTAACGTGTGCCACGGCGCGCGACGAGGCAGCGCAAAAGTCGGGCAGCAACTTGGCGGGCGCTTGGAGCAGCTCGTCGATGGGCTTGGCCGCTGGCAAGGAATAGGCATACTCGCAATCGACGGCCGTGCTGAAGATGCGGTCCTGCACCTCGGGCAGCGTCGTGTACTCATCACGCAAAAATCCGTAGAATGCGCTGCCGGAACTCTTGAGCACGACGAGGTCCTTGATGCCGCCCTTGAGGTAGCGCACGACGCCGCGCCGCGAGGCGCCGTCGCGCGAGGCATACGCCCGCACCGTGCGCACGTCGTTGCCGTCGCGGATGAAGCTGTGCTTGTGCGGCTGCAGCGAGGGCAGCGGCCGCCCGTCGGCATCAGCATCGAGGGCGATGCGGCTCCACCGGTGCTGGATGAGGTCCACCTCGACGCCGTCGATGTGGGCGTAGCGCCTCAGAAAATGCTCCATGACGTGCAGCACGTATTTTTCCGGGCACAGCACCGTGTCGCCCGGCAGCGTCTTGGCGAGCAGGTTGAGTGTGTTCTTGATGCTGTCCGTCGCCACGACGGGGCTGTTGTCCGCCTCGGTGTACGACGGCACGAGCGATTGGCCCGAGAGCAGGCACCGGACCGTGTACTCGGCGATGCGGTGACACGAGGGGTCCGACGGCTCGCGGACGACGCGCAGAATTCGGACAAGGTCCTTTCCGTAGGAGGCGCTGGCGAGCGTGTGAGGGGCCATCTTTGCGCTGCCTTGCTGGGTGCCGTCGGGGATCCTATCTTGGAAGGGGGGCTGTTGGGAGGCGAGTCGAAGAGACAAGCAGGCAGTGTGGACCTGGGCCTCGTTTTATCTTGGCTCGAGCTCTGCTCCCGAAATTCTTATCTGAAGACACACACACACCGCCCGGAGACTCGCCCGAGATCGCAGCTTTGTTTTTGTGGATTTGCATCTTTTTTGAGCGCGCGCGTCTTCTGACGTCCGAATTGACTTTCTTCCACGGCTCAAAGCGCAGGTTCCTTCTCTTCTCCCCGTTTGCTTGGAGGATTGATAGACGAGGTTCGTCCGGAGATACAGCCTCGGCCACTCCGCGGATGGCATGACGGGCCCGCCGCCGCTCCCGTTGCACCTCCACTGCACGCTTCGAGCGCATTCGGGACCCATTCATGTGGCGCGCCTCAACTCCTTTGGCCGCTATCTCTTGACTGGCGGAGCCGACCGGCAGATCCACCTCTTTAATGCTTCGTCTGCCTCGTCGAGTGGGCCGCCCATCAAGACGTACAATTCCCACAATGGCACGGTGCAGGCCCTCGACATCTCGCCCGACAATGCGCGCTTCCTATCCGGCGGCGAGGACCGCAACGTGTACCTCTACGACGTCGCCAAGGGTCTCGTCCTCCGCCGCTTCTCGGCCCACCACGGTGCCATCAATGCGCTCGCCTTTGCAGGCGAGCAGGGCGCTGCACTGGTCGCCGCCGCAGGCTTCGACACGACGCTGCGCTTCTACGACCTCAGGGCACAGGGCGCATGGAGGCCCATCATGGAATGCAAAGAGGCAAAGGATGCGATTCTCTGCATGGCTATTCGCGACGCAAATGTCTGGACCGGATCCGTCGACGGCGTCGTCAGGACCTACGACCTCAGAAAGGGAGAGCTGAGGGAAGATACGATTGACCGTGCGTTCTTCTTGCCTCTTCTATTCCTGCCTCTTTTTAAGGAGGTCTAAGGAGGGAGGTACAAATGATGCTGATGAAAGAGTCCTTTTACCAGGTCCCATCACTTCACTGACACCGTCGACTACGCAGACAACACTCCTGGTCAGCTGCCTCGCAAGGGAAGGCGGCGGGGATGGCGAGCAAGCGACGCACTCGCTCCTGGACCTCTCCGACGGCACCCATCTCCAGACGATCCAGGGAGGGCCCAACCGGCAGTACCGCTGCCGATCCACGCTCTGGTCATCCGACTCGACAGTCATTGCCGGTGATGAGACAGGCTGCGTACGGGCATGGGACATTGTCACAGGCCAAGAAAGGCGGGTGGCGGGTGGAGACGAGCACAAGGAACACGCAAAGGCCACGCTCTGGGTCGAAGGAACCGACAAGGATGGAGGAAAGCTCGTCAGCGCGGGCGCAGACGGCGTAGTCAAGGTCTGGGGCGTGCAGCCATCGTGATCAGCCGTCCACGCCCGCCCCCGGTCCGTGCTCCATCCAACCCATCTACTTGTACAGTACAGTACTCACTTGGCACGCTTCCGTTTTCAATCGACAAGCAACAAAGGCGGGGCTTGAACGGCCTTAGCTCGATTTGAAGTGGGTCCTTTTTGTAATACTATCATTATTCAATCTCTCGTCTCAAAAAGAAATAGTGAATGAAAGCGACTTTTCTGCTCTTGGAATTATTGGTTTCGGGCTTGCAAATGGATTCGGGGGTGTCTCTCCCCACACTGGGCCTGTCTTCGATCTAAGCCGGCCTCGTCCTCATCCGATCTCAGTAGGACGCCTTTCTTCATCCCTCCTCCTCCTCCTCAACATCACAATTTTCCCTCGTCCGCCGTCCGCCAACTCTCTGCCTCCCTCCCTCCTCCCTCCCCTCTCTTTCTGATCCAACCGTCTCCCGCTCCCCCAACCCTCCTCCGACCCCTTCCACCTTGTTTTTCCCGGCACTCGTTTTGCTTTATTAATTTCCCGTCTTAATAAACTTAGCAAGCAACCCGACTTTTCGTCGGTGACCGGCGACCTCGTCCTCTCTTTTCACCAGGCTTTTCCCACCACCTTTCCCCCCCGCCATCGAGGCACTAACTCCATTCGGAGCGAACTCTCGATCGATGTCCAACTTCATCGACTACAGCCGCAGGAGGCGCGATGAGGGCACGCCTTCGCCCCAGGGCAGCATCCAGCAGGCTGACCACGCCGACCACGGCAACGGCGCTGCTGCCAACCCGTTCAGCGATGGTGAACACGAGAACAGGCACCGTGGGCTGAGCCTGGGGACGGTGGCGAGCAACCCGTACAGGAGCCCGTTTGAGCAGAACTACAAGAACGAACAACCTGCAGGGGGGTACGAGCACCCGGCCACGGGTCGTGGACACCACTTTGACATTGAACAGGTCCACACCGATGTCCCTGAGGGCGGGCAGCGCTACCAGGGCCAGCAAAACGAGCCGTTCTTCGACCCTACCTTCCGCGGTGAGTTTTTTTTAGAAGGAAGCCTCCTCTCCTTCAGGCAAAGCCACTCACACGGTGAATGTATGCGCACCAGGCTATGAGGAGGAGGAGCCCCTGGAGATGGCCTTCTTCGACCACGTCGTGCAAAACTACGGCGATATGAGCTTCATCAACCGCAACCGTCTCATGGTCCGCCAGGCGCTCTCGTTCGGTCTCACCCTCGGCGCCCTCGGTCTCGTCCTCGTTGCCTCGTTTGCCGCATACCTCAACCCCCTCAAGAAGACGCCCCCGCAGGCGCGCGCCGACCGCGAGTATGAGCGAAGGGTCACGGGCGAGCGCTTCAGCGGCAAGCCGGCCTACTACTCGGAGGTGAGCCGCCTTTTCTTCTTTTTCGCTCTCCGCTGCTCTCCCTTGCTGACCCTGACGGTGCCTAATTCCTTCTCATGTCGCCAGTTCTGGGGCTACCGTTGCGACGAGCACGAGATCATCACCGAGGGCGGCTGGATCCTCAAGGCCCACCGCATCTCCGACCCCCGCCGCGCCGGCCCGCCCGGCTACCCCGTCATCCTCCAGCACGGTATTCTCTGCAACTCGTCGCATTTCTTCGTCTGTGAGGAGCGCTCCATGGCCTTCTGGCTCGTTGACCAGGGCTACGACGTATGGGCCACCAACATCCGTGCCAACTTTGAAGCCGGCCACACCGAGTACACACGAAACGACCCCCGCTTCTGGGCCTTTGGTATCAAGGAGCTCGCCTATGACCTCCGCGACGTCATCGAGTTCATCACCGGCGCCACTGGACGGCCCCGCGTGGCCTACGTCGGCCACTCGCAGGGCTCTGGCTCCATGTACATTGCCCTCTCGCCAGGCGTGTGCCCCGAGGTCGGCCAGAAGATCAGCTCCTTCACCGCCATTGGTCCCTCCGTCTACGCCGGCCCCGTGCTGCGCAAGTTCCCCTTCAGCCTCATGCGCCAATTTCGCTCCCGCAAGTGGTGGTCCACCATCTTTGGCGTCAAGGAGTTCATCCCCGCCATCGGTCTCTTCCAAAAGTACCTGCCCGCCTTCTGGTTCGGCCACCTCGGCTACGTCATCTTTTCCTTCCTCTTTGGCTTCCACGACCACAACTGGGTCAACCGCCAGAAGCCAAAGATTTTCCGGTCCCTGCCCGTCCCCACGTCTTCGGAGCTCCTCTACTACTACATGTCTGGCTTTTCCCACCGTGGCTGCATCTTTGACCCGCGTGTGACCAAGCCCTGGTTCCCCAAGACGTTCCCCAGGCACAGCATCTACTACGGCAACCTCGACTACCTCGTCCTGGGCAAGCCCCTGGCACAGCGCATGGAGCGAAACGAAAAGAACGTCGACATTGTCCACGCCGTCGAGCTCGAGGGCTACGAGCACCTCGACTTCATCATGGGCATCGACGCCCACCGCGTCGTCTACACCGGCATCAAGGACACCATCGAGAGCTCCATCTCGGACGAGGAGAGGAGCCCCGAGATGGCCGAGAGGAGGTAGAGTCGGACCTCTCGACTGACCACCTTCACCGACTGACCGAACCGACGGACTCCACCCGATGATATCCCGCAAACAAAACTCAACCACACGCTCTTTTTCTCTCTTTTGATTCTCCCACGGGGCGCGAGGCGCCGATGAAGCCTCCCCTTTCTCTGGCCCAGTACTTACTACTTGTCTTGGCTCTTCCCCGCTCTTTTCGTAATTCTCCCTATTGTTGTAGTACTCCTTCGCACGCAGGCCAGACGCTGCCCACTCCCCCACCTTTGCTTTCCCAGTGTTCGTTCTGTCTATAACTCTCTCTCTCTCGTTGCCTGAATGCTCATCGAACGTTCGCAGCTTATTCGCAGCTTGTTTGCAGCTTTCTTATTGCTTGGCTACTTAGTTCGGTAGTACCCTTGCCTACTTTTTCGTCTCGGCAAGAATGACGTCGAGGCAGTCCCGGACGTCCTGCCGTCTGGCCTCTTCGTCGAAGCGGTCGGTGGCCGACCAGCCGAGGCGCTCGTGTCCGCGGCGAGCGATGCAGCGGCAGTTTGTGCGGCAGGGCCAAATGGGCGTGCGTGCGTCGACGTCGACGTCGGCCTGGGACCGCGCGGCATCCTCGATGCGGACGCCCTTCATCGAGGCGTCAAACGGCGGGCATGGCACGGCGCGTGGCTCGGCCGACGCGACGAGGCCGCGCTCGACGCTGAGGACATGGCCGATCGACGCGGCCACCTGCCGGAAATCGATGAGGTCGTCGTTGTACGAGGCAAAGTAGAAGCCCTCGTGTGCCTCTCTCTTCGCCTCACCCTGCCCCTGTCCCTCGCCCTCCTTGTCGCCAGCAGCGAGGTGGAGCGCGACGAGGCGCGTGATGAGGCCGACGCAGTCGCGCAGCGAGACGTGCACCCAGACATTCTTGCCCGTGCCCACGTACGTGGCGTGGCCATTGTGGAGCGCCTTGCGGACCATGTCGGGCACGAGTGTCGATAGCTTTGCGCCGGGCCCGGGCGACGGGCCCCAGACGAGGGCTGGGCACACGATTGAGGCCCAGAGCGCGCCAGAGGTGTCTGCCTCGACGATTCTTTGTGTGGGGCATGGTCAGTTTAGACACAGCAAGGGGGATGAGGGAGACTCGGCTCACTCGAGATCGATGGAGCGGTGTGCGGCGCTGTCGGGGATGCTGGCGATGGACTTCGTGTCGCCGTCTGGACGACTCTTCACAGTCAGCAGTGCTCGCCACTTGCCGTGCTCTTGATGCACAAAAACTCACCGTCATAGAGCGGCGTCTCGACGTAGTCGCCCACGGGCTCGCTCTCGATGAGCTGCACGCCGCTGAGGTGGATGAGCGTGCCCCTGCGCCCTTGCTGGCGCTTGCCCTTGACGAGGCCGCGGTTGATGGCCCGTGTCAGCTCGAGGTCGTCGGAGGTGGCCGCATTGATGGCGAGGTCCGCCTGGGACGAGAGCTGCTCCACTGTCTCGTACCATGCTGGCCCCTCGCGCGGCACGACGGGCACCTCGACGGTGCCGGAGAAGGCGGCAGCAGAGGAAGGGAGCGAGGCGCGCCAGCGCTGCACGTCTGCGGCCTTGGCGGGCGACGAGACGGGCAGGACCAGGCGCGCCAGGCCTGGAGGCGGCGACTGGAGCAGCGCGTGCAACACGGCCCCGCCGATGTAGCCCGTGCTTCCGAGGTGGAGGATCGTCAAAGCCATGGTTGTCTATCTTGTCCTTGTCCTAGAGGAGGAAAAGGGAGGAAGGAGCAAGAGAAGTTCGCATGCACCCAAGTGGAGAAGGTGGCCAAAGCCGAAGACCGACTTCCGAGCGGGCGCGCGTCCAAAGGCGCGCTTTTAGTTAGACTAACAGGGCTGTTGGTCTCGGTCCAACACGCACGCACCAGCCACACGACGCAAGGACACAAACAAGGATGCCGGTGCGCGAGGAGCGCATGTCGTCTGCGTGGGAGAGCGCCCGCCGGCAGGTGCTACTCCTCGACGATGGCGGTCGCGAGCGTACGGGCGAGCGGTGGACATTCCAGACGGGCATCCTGGAGCAGATCATTCGCGATCCCCTGGCATGCGACGGCGGCGCATTCAGCCAGCTCGAGGCAGCGATGGACACGAGTGCGCCCCTCGAGGGAGCGCTGCTGAGCGAGCTTGTTGCCTGGTTCATCAGCAGCATCAGTAAGCGAATCGAGGGCCTCGTCCAGCAAGAGTCAGAGCGATGCGCGCCGCTGGAGAGCAACACGGGCGCTTTTCTCAGCAGGCTGGCAAGGGCCGACAGGCTGTGGGAGAAGTGCATGTATTGGGCCCATCTCGGAGGGGGATTGAATCACGACGCTTGCTATACGGCCAGATGTGCAGCATTCGACCACGCCCTCCAACGGCACCACGAGTCCATGCGTCGCTTCGTTGAGGCCTGTTTCAGGAGGCCGCGAGATCACTCCGAGGGCGCTCAGCAGTGCAGAGACGTTCTCTACCAGCTCGGCATGGGCGATCTGATGTACCGTTTCATCTCGCAGGCCGCAGGCAACCTCGTCCGGAGCGTCGTCCAGGCGGGGCCAGATCAAGGGCGCGACTACGACGAGGTGGCCGACCTGGCACGCATCCTCATTGAGTACACGTGCGAGGCATTCCCCATCCTCGACGACTGGATCAGGAGCAAGATCATGCCCCTCGTCGTCCACTGGCTTGCGCCCTGGGCAGACATTGACCGCGTGCTGTCCCTCGACGCCGGCCTCTGTCCCGATGCCAAACTGCTGCACCAGGTCCAGTCGCTGCTCGAGAGCCTGCAGGAGAAGATGAGCGTGTGCCTGGGCAGGCTGCGCTCCAAGCAGCTGTTCGACATCGTCGTCGACTTCCCCCACTCGGGTCCAGCGCTCGAGGACCTGCGCCGGTGCATCGCAGTTGAAGCAGACATCAAACGCGCCATCTCGCGCGACCTCGACGGCTTCCTTCAGGCCCGTCTGCTGCACCCGGGCGCCTCGACAAAGAGCATCCTCCAGGTGTACACCCATCTCATCCGCGCACTTCGCTTGGCCGACCCCAGCGGCGTCGTCCTCTCGCATGTCATCGGCCCTGTCCGTGCCTACCTCCGACGCCGGCCGGACACGGTGCCGATCATCGTCTCGAGCCTGCTCGGCCAGTCGCAGGACTTTACCCTCCTCAGCGACATGATGCGTGATCCTGGCCAGGGCTCCAGCGCGCCCGCGCCCACGAGTGCGGACCTGTCGGCCATGTACGACGAGGAGCACCCGGCGCATCCAGCCGACGCTCTCGTCGTCGATCTTTCACAACAGCAGCATCACCACCAACACCATCATCATCATCACAATCATCACCTCTACGGCGGCATCACCCAGCGTTCCATCATGGTGCCCATCGACGACCCGGACTGGGCGCCCCGGCCAATTGATGCAGGCCCTGACTACCGACAGAGCCGCAAGTCAGACGTGATTGCTATGATCATCTCCATCTTTGACGACGAGGCCGGCTTCGTCGAGGCGCTGGAGCGCAGCACGGCCGAGCAGATCATCAAGGTGGAGAACTACGATGCGCGAAACGAGGTGGGTTTTAATGAGACAGGCTACTTGTGTCATCATTGGGCTGACACGACTGGCACGCTTGGCCAGTACGAGATCAACGAGAACCTCAAGCGGCGCTTTGGCGATGCGTCGCTGGGCAAGTGCGACACGATCATCAAGGATGTCAAAAAGTCACAGCGCTACGACCGCAGCATCCACGACGGTCATTCCCAGGCACAGGCACAGGCACAAGCAGGTGAAGGAAAGGAGGAGCAGGGCGCGCTCGCGGCATTGCACCCGCTCATCATCAGCCGGCAGTTCTGGCCCGATCTCGAAGAGGAGGGCGCCGCTGCGAGGAATGCATCGGCATCGACAATGTTTGCGAAGATGTCGCAGTCTGCCCCGCCTGCCGCGGCTTCTTCATCATCAAAGGCATCTGCGCTCGCGGCATCGCTCTCGCTCGACGCCGCACCGCCCGGTGGCGCGCGCCTCAAGATGCCTGGCCAGTTTCTCGAGGCGCAGGAGAGGTACGTGGAAAAGTTCAAGGAGGTGGCAGACATGAAGACGCTGCGGTGGATGAGCGCACGCGGGCGCATCAGGCTCGAGCTCGAGATGGACGACGGCAGGTGCATCGAGGAGGACGTCGTGCCGCTCCAGGCCGCCGTGCTCGAGTGCGTCAACAATGCTTCAGACAGCGGCGCCAGGCCCGAGGAGATTGCGAGGGAGCTCGAATGCGACGCACGGGCCGTCGGGGAGGCGCTGGCCTTTTGGGCCGCAAAGGGCATCCTCGGCGAGGTGCCTGGTCAAGCGGGCATGTACCGTGTCTTCGATGGCCAGGCTCTTCCATCCTGAGTCCTTTACTCTGCTCTGCTCTGTACTGTACAATTACCACTCTTTCAAGCACGATATACCCTGCCTTCCCAACAATCAAAGAGAGAGGCGACTTGCTGTCTCAACCCCACAATACCAGGGTAGCCAACGAAGAAACCCCAAGCTGCGAGTCCAATCCAATCCAGCCGGAGAATAAATCGAAAGTGCAAAATCAAACAAAAGCCAAAGAAAAGTTGAATGAAAAGAAGTGGACCCACGGGAGACAAGAGAGAAAGAGGAAAAGCCGGCTCACTCACGCACACATGTGTGGTCGGGCATCATTTCTGTCGCCGCCCATTGTCTGTCTCCACCTCGCCGCTCGTGCGCTTGCTCCTACTCCTGCTCCTGCTCCTGCTCTTGCTCTTGCTCTCGCACAGAGAGTGAGCGTGATCGCAGCAGCGAGAGGACAGCAAGAAAGGCCGCCTTCCAGCTCACTTGCGTCGCAGTACTGCCGCCTCGCCGCCTTGCGCATCTCAGCATCTTCCGTTTGTCCGCACCGGGCCTACTCCGGCCGAGGATGCGAGGCGCATAACCAGTCAGCGCGCGGCCCCTTTTCGCTATATCCTTCGTCACCTGGACAGCCGCCTTTCAGCACCGACGGAAGCTCATCCCCATCCGCGTACAGGCATCTCTCTCGAAGGCGACATTGAGGCCACAGACCAGCCTAGCGAGACCCAACGTAGCATACACCTGGTAAGCACAATCCAACCAAGCACAGTCCAACCTGGCAAGACGCAGTCCCTATCGCAAGGATGAATTCAATCAGCTATCTCGACTCTGTCCTCACGCGCTCCCTCACCTCGACGTCGACCTCGTCGTCGACATCGACATCGACATCGGCGCGCCGAGCCTCGGGCACCTCGACGCCGTCGCACAGCGCCCCCGCTGACGAGACGGTCTTTGCGAGCCAGGGACGGCAGCCGCTCGGCCGGCGCGCGTCCGACTACTCGCTAAGCAGCCGGCGGCAGCGCGAGCGCCAGCGGCTCGCCCTCAGCCTCGGCTTCTCCTCCCTCGACGGGTCCGCTGAGCACGCCAGCAGCAGCAGCGGCGGCGCGAGGAAGAAGCGCTCGTCGAAGCGCAGCAGCCGCGCCGGCAGCGCGAGGGGCAGCGACATCGATGGACCCACTGCAGCCGAGTCCGACGCGAGGGACGCTTTTGCCGCCGCAGCCGCTATCGAGGCAGGCCAGTTGCGAGCCGGTGACGACGACGACAACAACAACGAGGGGGGTCGACGGAGACGCGAGCGGCATCCAAAGTCGTCGTCTGAGTCCGTGGTCGCCTCGTCGACGGACGAGAGGCGCCGGCTCAAGCGGACAAAGAGCACGCCGGCGCAGCTCCGCGACGCCAATCGAGGCGACGGCCGCAGTAGCAGCAGCAGCAGCAGAAGCAGCCGGTGGGGCAGCCTCTGGGGCCTCGGTGGCTGGCTGGATGGGTCGGAGAGCTACGACTCGTATGCGCGGAGGTCGTCTTCATCATCTGCTGCGGCGGCTGGGACTGCTTCTTCGTCGGTGCGCGCAGGCCGGCGCGGCGGCAGTGTGGGCGAGACGGACACGCAGGCAGCGAGGACGCGGCGGCGGGCATCGTCGGGCGAGGCCAACATCGACGGCATTGCACCCCAGCTGCTCCTGTCTGAGCGCGAGCGCGAGGACGTCGTCGACTTTGAAGGCTTCGACCCCGACGACGACGGACAGTCTCCCATCGCGCCGCCCTCAACGCCCCATCCTTCTGTGCTGGACCAAACACAGCAGCAGCAGCTGACACCCACGGCCACGCCCTCGCCTGGTGGCACGAGGGGTGGGCTGAGCAGCATCGGCACGGGGTCCCGCCTGAGCTCGCTCCTCTTTGGCGCCCTCAACCCGCTCACCGACGACTACTTTGGGCCGCAGCCGAGCAACAGCGCGGCGGCGAGCCATGCGCGCAGGTCGTCGGCAGAGGAGAGGGAGCAGCGGCGCCAGCGAAAGGCGTCGTCGAACAAGGTCGCATCAAAGTCACAGCAGGAGAAGCAGGAAAAGCAACAGCAAGAGAAGCAGCCGCAAGAGAAGCAGCAGATGGCACCGGCTGCCACGGCGACGCTCGTCGTTGTTGAGCAGAAGCCCGCTGCTGCTGAGGACGGCGACGACGACGACGACGTATCGGCGGCCAAGCACAAAGAGGCCGGCGCGACATCCAGCGACGACGGAGGGGCGCCCTCGGACCCGCCGCCGCCGTACTCGGACGTGGCCTCGTCTCTGTCGGCATCATCCTCGTCATCGTCCTCGTCTCTGCTCCTCTCTGTGCCCCAGCTGCCGACGAGCAGCGGCGTCGACTCGCTCCCTTCATCGCGCAAGTCAGCGCCAAGACGCATGGCATCGGGGCTGGGCAGGGGCCTCAGAAGGGTCCTCGAGGTGCTCCGGAGGATCGTGCTTGCCATCCTGCTTGCCCCTGCTCGTGTCGTCTACCACGGCCGAACAGCGCGGCGGAGGAAGCAGCAGCAGCAGCAGCAGCAGCAGGCAGTTGCAGTCGCAGTCACCGCTGAATCACCGCATCGAAGGAGCGCAGACGAGCCTGCTGCTGCTGATTCACCCTCGCGGCCCACCGTCGGCCGCACCGGCTCCCTCATCAAGTTCCAGACGCAGTCACAGGCTGATCGGCCAACGGCGGCGCGCCACGTCGCTGGACGGCGCTCCCATCGCCCGCCCACGCCCAGCGCAGACCGCTCCGTCTTTGACGACCAGCAGCTCGCAGACGCCGCTGCAGCGGGCGCAGGCGCCACGCTCTCCGTTGCCGACGACGAGAAGCAGGGCCAGCAGGAGAGCGAGCTCAGCGAGACGGACGAGGACCAGGTCGTGACCGAGGAACAGGCCGAGGCGAGGGCGCTGAGAAAGGCACAGCGAGCACAGCGACTGGGACAGCGACTGGGACTGCAGCAGGCCCAGCGCGCGGACGACGCAAAGGCAGATGGAGGACTGAGCAGCCGGCTGCTTCCGAACCCCAACCCCGTCGACCCGCTCCTCGCGCACGACCGCCGCGTCAAGCCAGTGTCGGGCACGAGAAAGGACGCCGAGCTCAGGGCCGCGCAGCTGAGCCAGGCTGTTACTATGGTCACGGCCCCGGGCGCAACGGGTACGGCCGCCGTCGCCGTTGCTCACCGTGGGCCTTCCTCCTCGCTCATCCACCACTCGCCAAAGGTACTCGTCCTCGACCTCGACGAGACGCTCATCCACTCGACCAGCCGCAACCCGACCTGGAGTGCGCTGGCCGAGAAGGGACGGGGCGCCTCGATCTCGACCGGTGGCAGCCTCCTTGGCCTCGAGGGTCTCGGCGGCGTCCTCGGCCTCCGCGGACAGGTCGGCGTGCGGCCTCACCAGGTAGAGGTCGTTCTCGATGGCCGCAGCATCGTCTACCACGTCTACAAGCGGCCCCACGTCGACTACTTTCTGCGCAAGGTCGCCTCATGGTACCACGTCGTTGTTTTCACCGCCTCTGTCCAAGAGTATGCCGACCCGGTCATTGACTGGCTCGACCAGGGCCGCGGCCTGATTGGCACCCGCCTCTTTCGCGACTCGTGCACCTACAGGAACGGCAGCTACCAAAAGAATCTCGCCCACGTCGACGCGGACCTGTCGCGCGTCTGCCTGGTCGACAACAGCCCGGCCTCGTACCAGATCAACCAGGCAAATGGCATTCCCATCGAGGGCTGGACCCACGACCCAAATGACGAGGGCCTCCTCGACCTGCTCCCCGTGCTCGACTCGTTGCGCTTCGCAAGCGACGTCCGCCACATTCTCGGCGTAAGAGGCTTCTGAAGCGCGGGGGGGAGGGACCCCTTCTCACATCATTGCAGTAGTAGTAGTGCTTTGTGTCATGACTGAAATATCTAACTTAATGGCACGTGTTTTTTCATCAAAATATCTTGGATAATGCACGTGGTGATCTAAGCGAATAATGAGCTGGGAGGGCCCAGTGGGCGGGCGCGGTGCGAAGAGGGCGCTCCGAGCCGTCCCGTTTCTTGTCCGTTGGCTTCATCACTGTTCCTTGGCGCGCGAAGCTTGGTGAGTTGGGACTTCGATTGATTCTGCATCGCTGGCAACTGGAGATGGCGGTTTGCGAGAGGGGAGATTAAGGCGACGGGGAAAGGGGTGACGGGCGGCGATGGTGGTGTTGCAGAGGCGCTGTGCGATGATCTGATATGGACAGAGAAACGGAAGAAAGGAAGGAGGACGCGCGGATGGATGGGTGGATGCGTCTGCTCGAGCACAAACTTGATGTCTGGGTGGGCTGCAGATGCGACGGAGGCTCGGCGCAAATGGAAAAAGAGACGATTGGATATCTTGGAGGAGGAAGGGAGCGCAAACAAGCGAGAAAAGCAGACAACGAAACTGATCAGCGGCCTTGCTCCCACCTGCAGAGAAACACACACCCATCATGCTCTCGCGCAACGTCCTCACCGCCGCTCGTCGTGGCGTGGCCTCCCGCTCGACGGTCAGCGGCGTCCGATACGCCTCGAACCTGCCGATCCCGCCCAAGGTGGCCACCCCCCAGTCGGTCCAGGGCCCTGCCGGCGGAGACAGCGCGCGCATGTCGGCCGTCGTTGACTTCTACAAGAGCTTGCCAAAGGGTCAGGCACCCGCCAAGCGAGGCGGTGGCATCAAGGCTCGGTGAGTAGTTGCGCTCCTCACTTTTCCACTACCAAAAATCCGGTTGGCTGACGAAGAATTATATTTCAGCTTCTTCGATGGAAAGAACGCTTCGGGCGCACCGATCCTCGCCGTCATCGGGACGCTCTTCCTCATTGGCTACTCGCTCGAGTACCAGCACCTGAAGCACCACAAGAACTACGAGCACTAAGCTCGTCGTCCATTGAAATCTGGGTATGTACTCACTCACCTTCACCTTGAACATTTCTTCTCTTCTCGAGCTGACTCTGTTCTCCTCTCAGTGCTCATGCTTCTCAACAAACGTACCTCTCCCTTGCAAGAACCCGGCGACACCCCTTTTCCTCCTTCTTTGTCCTTGAGTGAAAGCTCACTCGATTGAGGACTGGGCAAGCACGTCTGAAGGGCCTCTGCTCATATCCTCAAATATCTCTACTTCTTCTGTTTCGTCGGCCGATCTCTTGGGTCGGAACCCTGTTTAAGAAGCTACGAATGCCCAGCAATGGAGATGACTAGACAAAGACAGATCATGGCTTGAGTGTGCTCTACAATGTGTCGTTCCTATTTTCGCCTCTTCTGACCTGTAGGCAGCATCGCTTTGCCTGGCTGTCAGAAGCGGTGACAAATGGCTCCGTCATGACCGAATAAAAAAGTTGCTGCAGGTAGAGAAGACTCGACGAACCTCCCAATTCTTCTTGTGGCTCTTCGCACGTTCTTCCGCCCCCTCCTCCTTGCTCGTTCTGCCTTCTGACTGCCGACGAAGTTCACCACCCCTCTGTATTCGAACATGCCGGCTCCAGCCCCATTTCCGCGCGTCAAGCGCCAGCTGCTCATCTCTGACTTTGACGAGTCCATGGCCGATGCCGACAGCGACCGATGGACATTTGAGGTCCTCTCGCCGCGCCTCCGCCGGCAATTTGACGACCTCTCACACGCGCCCCTGGCAGAGCGCATGCAGTTCACGGACCTCTGCGCGCACCTGCTCGAGAAGCTGCACGTCGAAGAGGGCAAAGGCGAGCAGGACGTGCGCGCGGCCCAGCGCCAGCTCTACATGCACCCGGCCATGGTGCGCGGCTTCCGCGCCATGCGTGACGCCAAGGCAGACACAGAGACGCAGACGACTTGCTTCCTGCTGAGCAACTCAAACGAGGTCTACCTCGGCACCATTCTCGAGGTGAGTTGATTTGCCCTCCTTTCCTTCTTCTCCTTCCCTTCTTGCACCCTCTGCCCCCGGCTCTCTTGCCGCCTGTCGTCCGACAGGGCCAGGTGTGCACCTCCTCCTGACGATCAGTCACTGACGCAGACCATGACCCGGGGTTGCACAAAACCAGCACCACGGCCTGCAGACATCGACGTACCGCCTCTTTGACGAAATCGTGACGAATCCCGCGCACTTTGAGCCGTCGGGCCTGCTCCGCCTCTCGCGCAGGATCCTCGCAACGGCAAAGGACCAGCACGACTGCAAGGTCGGCTGCAGCGCCAACATGTGCAAGGGAGACGAGCTTGAGGCGTTCCTGGCCAGAAGAGGCGGGCGTGAGGCAGCAGGCTTCGAGAGACTCATTTACCTCGGCGATGGCGGCAACGACTACTGTCCTGTCATGAGGATGCAGGAGCAGGATGTTGCGCTGGTTCGGAGAGGCAGGGGCCTCGAGAAGAGGATCAAGTCCGAGGGGGAACCAAAATGTCAGGTCAGGTGGTGGAACGACGCTTGGGAGGTCGAGGAGCTCTTTGCCGCGCTGAGAAATCAGCCGCTGTATTAGAAGAACACAGGAGCTCAACCAATCATAGAGAAGAAAGTCATGTCATGATCATGATGTCGGTGCAAGATTTTTGAACCATGGGTGTGTGTGTGTGATGGCAAGAGTACAAGGATGTCGGTCATGAGAGCTGCGCTACATGACGACGAATGATGACGAATGACAATGTCGAGAATGTTTTGGGTTTGGCGTCTCTAAGACCTCGGCTTCTCCTTCTTCTCCTTGAAGAGAGCGAGGAGCGAGACACCAGAGACCTTGACGACCTTGAAGCGGACACCGGGGATATCACCCTTTGCCTTGCCCTTGCGACCGAAACCAGAGATGAGGACCTCGTCGTTCTCGTCTGAGTGAGAATATGACCGTCAGCATGATATTCCGAAGGCGGCAAGGGTAAAAGCCTCTTCGCACGATTCGACCTCCTCCGCTCTACGTGCTCCTTGGGCGGGCCTTCGTATCTTGCAATTCTCTGTCCACCCGTCCATCCAAACCCGACACCGCAGAAGTCGGACCGAGAAAGATGACTCACCGACGAAGTTCAAGCAACCGTCGTTGGGGACGAAGGCAGCAACCTTCTTTCCGTTCTTGATGAGCTGGACACGCACGCACTTTCGGATGGCCGAGTTGGGCTGCTTGGCCTCGACACCGACCTTCTCGAGGACGATGCCCTTGGCCTGCGAGGAACCTCCAGTGGGGGACGACTTGTAGAAGTTACCAAGCATGCGCTTGTTGTACTGGGCGTCGGCCCACTTGTTGAGGCGACGGTCCGAGCGCAGCTTGCGCGCGGTGAAGAGACCGGAAGGCTGACCCATGATGAAAGACTGCGTGGGGAGTGCCAGAGAGGTTAGAACGAGACATGCCCTGACAATTGTGCAAGGCTGGGCAGGTGGGTGCGCCTCGAGAGCATCGAGCCGGTCATTTTCTCCTCATTTCCTCCCTCCTTTCGGACACCAGTCTCTTTTCCCTCAGCGTTCAGCTGCCTCATCGGCCTTCTGTCATCGCGCAATTTCCAGTCTCAACCGATTCATCTCCTCCGTTCTCGACCTGGTCCGCCCAGCCCTCCAATCCTCTTCCTCTTTCGCTGCGAACTATACGCGGACGCTTCCTCCCTAGTGAAGGCATTCGATGCTCCAGAGGCGGCACCACGCCCAGCCACAATCGTAAATACTCACATTGTCGACTTGTCGGAAAGGGAGAAGGCGAGGGTTGAAGGTCGACCGGAAGGCTGCACGCCAGACTCGAAACAGCCCAAAGCCGCTGCTGCGGTGGTTTGCTCGACACGTGGATTTCGTGAGTACAAAATTATTTATGATTTTAAAATTGCTTACCAGCTTTCTAATCTTCCCGCGGGCGCGCAGTGCGACGCCCGCTGCCTCCTAGCGATGCGTTCTGGCATGTTGTGACGGGCGACGGTGTGTTGGCTTTGTTACGCGTGCTTGAGGGAAATCCGAATGACAGCGGCAAGGTATTGAATGCTAGACAGAGACATGAAAGAGCGTCGCCATAGGAAAGCCCGAGACCAGGCGCTTGAGCGGTCCTCCACTCCTTCTTTTCTTCTCACCGTGACGACCCTGCTTGGCTGACATGAGGTCTGACGATGAGACTGGCATGCCGTGGATCCGCCTTTGGTAGCCTCATCAGGCAGTGCACACCACAGGGCCTCCCATGGCAGTCTAATCGCGCTCTGAGTGCTGGCCCCCGGAGCTCGCTCCTCAGGCCTCTCGAGCCGCACGCCGAACTGATCGACCCACCGACATTTGCGAAGGAGTACCTCGAACCTGCTAGACCGGGCTTCTTTCCGGGCCTGATCCGTTCGGACTCGCCTTACGCCTGGCCCGCCTTTCGAGAATGGTCTGCACAGGGGGAGGGCGGAGAGGCTCTGCAGGGACTGGGGCGCAATGAGGAACTGCGAGACGCCATGGTGGAGGTCGAGATTGCACCCGTCGGAAGAGGCTACGGCGATGCTGTTGCGGACTCCTCATCGTCAAGCTGGAGCAAGGTCAATATACCATTCGGTGAGCCGCTCGGTTCCTCTTCAAGATCTGGTTAATTGATCGCTGAGACCGGTCCTCGCTCAGGCCTCTTCCTCGAAGCCTTTATCCGCAAATCGATACCCTGGTCAAGCGAGCCAGCCCAAGAGCTCGTTGGCTACGTTGCGCAACAAGACCTCTTCTCGCGCTCTCCTATCCTGCGCGACCAGTGCCCCACGCTCCCGCATCAGCACGCAGGCCCGCGCGGGGCCCTCGAGCAGTGGCGCCGAAACGTCTGGATTGGCGGTCGCGGCTCCTTTACACCCCTGCATCGGGATCCGTACGAGAACCTCTTTGTCCAAGTCGTAGGCTCAAAGAGGATCCACATGTTCCCGCCTCGCGCAGGGAAGCACCTCCATCTCTTCCCCGCATCCAGCTCGCAGCCCAACACGTCGCAGATCCCGACTGAAGAGCCATTGCTCTCGGAGAGCGTGTTGCGGCAGCATACAGAAGGCTCCTTTCCTGATCTCGAAAAGGCAATCAGCGACCCAGAGGCGAGGAGCGTCGTCCTCGATGCCGGCGATGTCCTCTTCATCCCGCAGGGCTGGATCCACTGCGTAGCGAGCCTCAGCATCAGTGCGAGTGTCAATGCATGGTTCCGCTGAGTCAAGAAGAGAAGAGACTGGTATTCTTTGGGTTTCAAATAGACGTACAAGTGAGAGAGAAAGTTGGGAGAAAGACAAAACCAATGACCAAAATGAGTGTGTGAGGAGGGTAGGAGAGCTTTGAGGGGAAAGGTGGTGGAGTTGAATGAGTGTGCCGTTGTGTTTGACTGAGGGATGATCTCTAGTGGGTATACGAAGATATTCGTCAACCGCGATAGAAGCTCTAGCCAAGAATTGTGCGATTATGGCGTCCAGACTCGGATGCAGAGGTCGACGCTCGTCGTCGCCACAGCGTTGACGATCTTGACTTCGCTGGCCGAGTTGCCATTCGCTTGTCCGTCTGGGCGTGGCCCAACCTCTGTTTTCGCTCGCGCCCATGAGATGCCAGTCACTAGAAGTGCTATCAGTCTTTTGCTCAAGGTTGCAAGGAAGCAAATTCCTTCAACTCACCGAAATGATTGTGGGCCTCGAGCGTCTTGCTACATCTGGCGCCTGCTTTGAGGTCCCAGACTCTCACCGTCTTGTCGTCTGAGCAGGACAGCAAGGCATGCCCGCTAAAAAGGGAGCATTAGCTTCTATCCTTCTTGCAGACACCATGACAGACTCACTTTGGCGCCCACGCAAGGCCCCTAATCCAATTGTCGTGACCTGTCATTGTCTTGAGGCACTGCCCACTCGACGTGTCCCAGATCTTGATGACCTTGTCTCTGCTGCCCGTTGCGACAAATTGGCCAGGAGTGTTGGTCCCACCCTGAATCCCTGCCAGATCCCGAATCGCGGCGTACGCGCTGATAGGGGCAAATGCGATCGTCTCAACAACGTGATCGTGGCCCCGCAGTTCGACCTTTGTCTCGCCGCTTGCAACGTCCCAGATGCGTGCCGTCTGATCGTACAGAGTCAGTCAGGAAGCTAATTGACGTCCTCGAGAAGCATTTGCTTACCTGATCATTGCTGCAGGAGGCGAGCAGGCGGCCATCATCGGACGGCACCACGCTTCGTACCCAGTCCGAGTGTCCGCTCAGCGTCTTTGTGCAGTAGCCCGTCTTGATGTCCCACACTCTAATCGTCCGATCTCGCCCCGCTGAAACCACAAAGTCATCACCGGGTAGGAAGCGGACTGCGGACACTGTATGATCGTGGCCAAAGAGGGTCTTGACGTTCTTCCAGTCGTCGTTGGTGTCCCACACCTTGATCGTCATGTCCGACGAGCACGATGCTACACGAGCGGCATGAGCGAGAGATGACATCGACACAAGAAAGAAATTCATCACCCACCCAAGAGGTTCCCCTTTGAGTCGAAATCGGCATCATGAACCGCCTTTGTATGCGCCTTGAGCGTCCTCTCAAACTCGCCCGTCTCCCAGTCCCAGACCTTGAGGGTGCTGTCGTCGCTGACGCTGACGAGCTGGCTAAAGACGGGGTGAAAGACGGCGCGCGAGACAGGCAGTCGATGGCCCTGCAGCGTGTGCCTCGCCGGGTTCCTCGGCACCCAGTCAGTCACGGCAGCCCCTCTCCTTGCTGTGGGCGCCGTCGCGAGCTCTTCCTGCAGTTGCTGGTTCCGCTGCTCGAGCTCCATGATCTAAGAAGAAGAAGTCATCAGCACGATGAGCATCGTGTGGAAGAGCAGTGTGGGCACAACCCACCTTCTTCTGTAGCCGGATCACGCTCGTCCACTTCTTCTCCAACAGACCGGCATACTTTGCCTTTGGATCGACGACGAAGCCGGCCTGGCCCGCCTCCTTTTCGAGCGCCTGGTAGGCCTCTGAGAAGCCAGCGGTCTGGAAGTAGTCCAAGATCGACTTGTGCCTGCGGAACAAAGGAGCGAGACAATGTCAGCTTAAAAGGAGGATAAGACAGGGCAGCTCACTATGAGTCAGCTAGACCGGAACTCACAGCTCATCCTTTTGGCGTTCCGACAGTGCGCTGGCCATGATGAAGGATGATTGCTTGTGGAGCGTCACCTGGACTCGACAGGGGACGCCAGCGTTTTCCGTCAGGGGACGCCTGTCTGGAGCTCAGGGGCTGGCGGCGAGGCGACCGCTCGGCAGCAAAGGGAACGATGCGGCAGGACTGCGCAGGCCAGTCAGGCAAAGTCGGTGATCCGAGCGCAGCGACTTTCGAACCGCCAAGGATGCGCCGAGCCGTAGGGACGAGCCAAGCCTCGACTTAGTCGCGACGTCCGCCGTGCCAGACCGGAGTAATAGTCGTCTGCAAAGGTAGGTCGGGATCGCAAAGAATGAAAGCCCAAGGCTGTTAATCCGAGCTTCGACGAGAGAGAGAGGAACGGGGTGCTTGCCCGTGAGAGCAGCACTCAGGGCGGACGTGTTTGGCAGCTGTGCGCAGTCACGTGCAAATTTCTCCCTCCGCCCTGGGCGCGCTCTCTTGGTCGTGCATATATCCACGCCCTCGCTCCCTCCCTCTTCCCCTCACGACATCCATCGTCCATCAGACCAACTTCCCGTGACCTGGGCTCGAGCGCTGGTGTTGATGTGTGACTAGGTCCGCTCCTGCCAAGACCACATCCAAAGGAGGATCGATCGAAGCGAGAGGGATGGGCAAGCGAAAGAAGAGCACCCGCAATGTGGGAGGCTCCAAGAAGCGGGAGCCGCTCGACACAGGTAGGTGCTGTGATGCGAGGAGGGGCCTAGACCAGGATGAGAAGCTGACCTTGGCGGTAACAGTCTTCAAGTGCCTATTCTGCAAGCACGAAAAGGCGGTGACGTGCAAGATGTGAGTGGATGCGTGGACACTGTGAGAGAAAGAGAGAGGAACAAGGACACCCATCTGACACCGATCCCATTTTCCCCCCTCTCTTTCACCCGCGATAGTTCCGATGGCAACGCGACACTGATCTGCAAGATCTGCGGTCAGTCCTTCTCCTGCCGCACCAACGCATTGACGGCGCCGATTGACGTCTACAGCGAATGGATCGATGCCACAGAGGAGGTCAATGCTGGGGCGTAGCTGCTAATGAAATCACATTTTGAGGAGGGGTATTGTCCATGATAAAGACAAGCGTGCACACTGGACGCCATGCACTTGTGATAAGCGAGTTCTGAGAGCACGCAGTCAAGAAAGGAATTTTCTACAGGGAACCCTTTTGCTTTGCCTTGTCGCCGAGGAGCCTCCATCGAGACTCCATGAGCTGGAGCCATTCGCCGTCGGACTGGGGCATCCTGGGCACCACCTGGTGTCCCACGCACTCCACCCTCGCTCCATCGGCCGATGTGACGCCCTCATACTCTTTGTCTGGCTGGGCCAGCTTGCCGAGATGTAGGAACAAGCCCCGCGCTGCCGCCGGGTAGAGGTGCTCCGGGTAGGACTTGTACAGATCCGAGACGAGGCTCTTGATTGACCACTGGGAGTGGCCCTGCTCGCCGCTGCCTTCCTCTTCCTCGTCGGGGCTCGGCTTGGCCAGCAGCTCGATGATTTGGGTCTCACGCTCCATGCGATGCCGCACATACTCGCGCAGCGTCGCCTTGCCGTTCTCGATGATGGGTCCATGAGCTGGATAGAGCCTGTTTTCCCCCTCCTTTCTCTCTTCGCTCCTCTCTGCGAGTCCACCCTCCACCTCGTCCACTTGCGTGGGTCCAGCTCCCTCGAGGACCTTCTCGCATGTGCGCAGACTCGAGAGGTACGACGCGAGATCTTCAAATACCGTCGTGCCCTGGCCCAGGACGTGGTCGCCCGTGAGCAGGGCACGCTCACCGTGGTGGAGGATGCAGATGTGGTCGGCCGTGTGGCCCGGCGAGTGGACAGCCTGGAGCGTGACATCGTCGAGCTCGATGGTGTCGCCGTCCTTGAGTGGGCGAATGGGCGAGGGCCCGTCGAGGCCGTTGTGAGGCTGGAAGCGCTTCGCGGGCAGCTTCTTGAGCTGCTCAAAGAGGAGGCCGTCGCTGGCCTGGTCGGGGAACTTGTGGAGCTTGGGCGGCGACGGCGCAGGTGCCCGCCGCGAGAGCATCTCGAGCACCGATGGCAGTCCGCCGACGTGGTCGTGGTGTCTGTGTGTCAGGATGCTGCAGCAGCGGCCCAAGATGTCAGTTGCTTGGAGGGGGGTCTATGGCTGACACATTGTCAAGCAACAACTCACATGTCGGAGATCCACCGTTGCGAGGAGCCGGCCCGCGCATCCTTGCCGTCCAGCACCGCCTGCAGCAGGAGCGCATACGACTCAACGCCCTCACCCGTGTCTACGAGGACAGTTTGGACGGGGGTTGTGGGTGTTGCCGTGGCCCTTGGCGGGGAAATGAGGTAGGTGTTTGTGCCTGCGCGCCTCCTCCTATTGTTAAGTACACATCTTCACTTTCGCCTCGACGACGCACTGCCCACTCACCCTGTAGTGTGAATTTGCCTGGATTGCCTCCCAGGACTCGAATGACTGAGTCGCTGAGGCGCGTCACCTCGCCCAGTGGCTTGAGACGCTCCGTCATGGCTCAATCAGCTTGGGGAGGGCACTGCTGGCTATGGTGGTGGTGGTGGCGGTAAAGAAAGAAGCGGGCCGTGCGTGCCGGACCGTCGACGGCTGGTGATAAGGAAGTAAAGGAGGACGGAACGTGGGGCCGTAGGGCTGTGGGGGGTCGTGGGGAGGACGTCGTCGGCCTCGCGGGCAATTAACTGTCCGGCAGTCGCGGCGCGCTGATAGAATAAAAAAGCTTGGCTGCCTCTCTCTCTCTCTTCTCTATCTCGAAATGAAACCTTAGCCTCGATGGCGTCAACTGTTCCTTTTTGACACAGGATACAACTTCCTGTTTGCCTTCTTCCTACCTTGCCAGCTTGCTTGCCTGTTCTCGCCGCCAGAGTCTATTTTCAAGACTGCAAAAGGGTGAGCTCAGCGTGTCACTGAAGAAAGAGACGGTCTAACGACCTGCACCCCAGGCTGGAAGGATGCCGGAAAACCCCCACGGCGATTCACCTCGCTATCTGGCTCCTTCCTACTACACGTGGGCTGCAGCGTAGTGCGTACGGTTGCAAGTTGCTCTCTCCCTTTCTCCACATTGAGAGACCGCGCCACTCTTGGTTAATTGTTTTCTTTCTCCGTTTCTACTTTTTTTCTCGTGACCCAAGCGGCAGCGTCGGACCTGAAGCGAGTCGAACACAGGCATGGCGACCATCACCACCGTCTGAGCCAGCAGCAGAGGGCCGTGCAGCAACGCATCCCCTGGCGCCCATCGAGGACAGAGACAGGTTGCGGAGAAGCAACAGCAACAGCAGCAGCGGTGGGAGCGACCGTGGCCGCGGCGGGCGGCAAAGGCAGCGACAGCGGCAGTGGTAGCCGTAAAAGCAGCGGCATATCGGCAAGGCTACAGAGGAGGAGAAGCGGCCTGGGTGCCCTTGCTGCCGGTAATGGAGGTGGATCTCAATCCATCCTCGCCTTCGCCCAGTAGCAGCGGCAGCAATCGCTCGTCGCCGTATCGCGTCGTCGCCAGCCCCTCGGCCCCGACCTTTGCCTCGGCTTCTTCCAGCTCGACGGCGCTGGGCCCCTGGACGAACACGAGGAAGCGGCGGAGGAGCAGCACGGGCGGCCACGCCAGCGGGCTCTACAACTCTGGCTTTCTGGAAGGCAGCCACGATGACCAACATCAGCGCGATTCGGTGCGTGCATTTCAGTCTCCTGCTGCAGATGCTGGAAGAGCATTGTCAGAGGATAGATTGCTGACTTGCGATGTTGCAGAAACGACAAGTGCCCGGTGCTGGGTTGCCAGGCTCCCCCATCGTCGACGAGCGGCACCATTTCCGGTCTCTTGGCTCTGCCTATGACGCAGACGGCATGGGCCTCGAGGGCGACTACGGTGTCGACTCGCCCATGCAGACGTTGACGCTGGCGAGCTTGGACACATGCGAAGATCTGTGCGATGACGAAGCGATAGCGCTACGTCGTCACGAGGACGACATTGACATGGAGGTGAGCCGCAGCAGCAGCAGCAGCAGCATGCCTGCTTTCATCGACATTGGCCGAATGCTGACAGAAAGTGGACAGCAGGGCGATCGGAGCCATCACCGCGTGCATGCCAACCCGGCAACGACATCCACATTCATACCCCGGCAAGTCTCTCGCAACTTGCGCGCCTCCCACATACCCGCACGTCCCTCGCCCCTCGCACGGAGCAACGTGCTCGAGTCGGGCAACAGCTCGCCGTCGTCTGCTTCCAATTCGCCCCGTCAGCGTCGCTCTCCCTCGTCCTCGCCTGGCCGGAACGTGGGATCACCGGCTTCGTCAGGCACGGGCGAGGCCAGCAGCAAGCTCACACAGATGAGCATTCCAGCGCGAACGCCTTCGCCACTACCCTACGACGCCGTCCCCGGTCGCGCAGCAGCGCAGCTGAACCCGAGCCCGGGCCTCAGCCAAAGGGAATTTCCCGGCGCAAAGCAGATGCTCAAGTATACAATGGGTTTCCGAGAGGACTGTGAACTGTGCCGAAGTAGAAGTGAGTCTTGGGCTGTGTCTTTTTCTTCTCTTTGCCTCGCCTCTGACTTTCAGCTTGATCCATGACAGCTCCCGGTCACTATGGACACCTCGTCAGTCGCAATTAGACCTTCTACACATCCGATGGCTATCGCCCCCACATTAGTATTTAGTTTTTCTCTTCAAATGCGTCGCCAGCTACCGAGACCATCGTCATATCGCCATCATCCATGTACATTCTCTCACACTCATGTCTCTCATGAAACCTCAACAATCAGCACAAGAGCACTCACTCGCTGACTGGGTTGGGGAAAAAGGCTTTTCTGAGGGTGGCCCGAGCGCAGTGCAGGCACGGCAAGGCAGGGTAGGGTCTAATTCGCAATAGTCTCTTGCGCTTTCGAGTCGCGTCAATCACTCACGCACTCCTAACTTGAGGGCTCAGCAACTGCCATTTGGCCCACTTGATTCGCTCCCTGTCTCTTCCTTTGTCTCTCTCTCGCTCGTGTTCATTCATTGGTGAGGGGGCATGGAAGATGATGCCCGTGTCGTCTGGATAAGGAGGAGCACGCCAACAACACACCGCGGTTGACGAGAGAAGAGAAATCCAGATCGCCATGCCGACGCCGCCCTCGGGGAGCGCGCTGGACGTGCCAGTGCTGCCCGGGGGTGGTGGCTCGCTCGTGCGGGCGTACGAAAGCTTCAGCTTTGCCTTTGACCGCATCGAGACGGCGCTGCTTCCCGACGTGGCCCGGGCTGTCCTGCACACGATTCTCTTCCAGCGCGCACTCGGACACGTCCGTCCGGCCAGCGTCGTTGTACTCGAGCGCGAATTCCCGTGCGTGAGGGACGCGGGCGTGGAGCGCGTCGTCGAGGAAAAGGTCGAGGAGCTGGCGAGGCTCGTAGAGACGCGGGGAAAGGTCAGGGTTGCGGTGCTGCAGACGCCGCTATCGGCATCGAGAGCAGCGGCGAGCACTACGCAATCGACGCAGCAGTCGCAACAGCAGCAGCAGCACCCGCCCGCCACTTCAGCAGGAGCAGGGACGGCGACGGCGACGGCGGACAAGCAGGCGACTGCCCGGACGGGCGGATATCCCTACGCGTGGATCACCCATGCCTGGTCCGGCGGCATCACCGGCACCACCGTCCATCGTCCCGAGGAGAGCGCCGTCGCGCCACCGCACTCGCCCAGCCCGGACCCCACCAGCCCAGCAGCCCCCTCGCGCGCCAGCACCACCGAGGCCGAGTTCGAAGAGTGGGCCGTGACATTCACCCTGGTCAGCGCACAGACGGAGCGCGAGCGCAACCGGCTCCATCGAGCGACGTCGAGCCAGCTGGCCGACTTTGTCCGGCAACTCATCCGCTTCACGGACGAAAAGAGGCTCCACATTCCCTCGATTACCACCAACGACCTAGAGCCGTTTCCCATCAAGATCGACGTTGAACGTCTGCCTTAGTACTCGGTTTTTTTTTTTTTTTAGCCAACACGCAGCGCATTTGCCAAGACGTCCTTGGTAGTTAGTACTTGGTATCGAAGAATGGTAGGATTGATAGAGAGATTTGCTACTGTACAAGGACTACGAAAGGAATCTGATCAGTGGCACGCCGTGCCCTTGTCCTCTTCAAAGAGCTGGCCTGGCCCGCCAATGTCGCGATTGAAGAGGTAGTGGCCCACCATGTATCCTGCTCGGCCGATTCTGTGTCAGCGAATTCGGAAAGAGAGACAAGCGGGGAGGGTAAGTCTATTGGCTCACCGAAGAGGACGGAGAAGATGAGATAGGCGTTGTAGGTCATGAAGACGAGCATGAGGAACATGCTCAGCGTCAGGCTCAGGCCGAAAAGCAGCGTGCGCATCAGCTGCGTCGACTGCGCCACGGGCAGTGGTGGCCTGGAGAGCACGAGTCAGGAGTCAGAAGAGTTTGGCCTGTTTGTCGAGCACTCTCGCACAGCCATACACTCACACGGCGAGACGGAATGAGCTGCCAAACGACCAGGACGGCGAGACTCTCCGGGTGCTCCTCGTCGAGGGCCCGCCGCCGCCTGGAAGGAGCGGAGCGCCGTCATCAATATCGCTGCCGGTCCGACTGCTTCCGCTGCTGTTGGCCCCGCTCCCCGCTCCCAGCGCTGGACTTAGCTGGCCCGCGCTGTTGCTGCTGCTGCTGTTGATGCCCTTTACGCTGGCCTTGCGCCTGTGCTGGCCCAATCCAAGCCCAGCCATCGTCGAGGCCGAGCCGAGGCCGACGGCACCGAGCGAGCCTCGACTGCGCGCGGATCCCGCCGAGCCAGCGGCAGACGCCAGGACGATGCGCGCATCGAGGTCCCGCATCCTCATGCGCACGTACTCGAGCGTCGCCGCGAGCACCATCAGGACCAGCGCCGACAGGATCATCGAGTAGGCGCCCGAGATGCGCCAGGAGGAAAAGACGACGCAGACGTTGGACGTCGATGCATTCCACACCATCGACATGGCGCACATCATCTCACCAGCCCCGCCATGGCCCCCGTCGCCATGGCCCGGCATCGGCATCGGCATGCCTTCGTGCTCCCCACCGCCGCCGCCGTGGTGGTGTTCCATGTCGTGATGTCGCGTGGTCCAGAACAAGAGAGATAGGCTCTCCTAATAAGGCCGGTTTGGTGAGCCTAAAGACGCCGAACGGCCAAAAAAAAACTAGACACGTGAAATCTGTCGGTTCTTTGATTCATGATGATGATGACGGTGATGATGATGATGACAATGGTGCTTGTGTGAAGGCTCCGTTAAGTTAAAAAGACGAAAATGATAGCTACATTATGATCAAGCAGCGCCGAGAAGATCGACCTCAAAGGCTTTTTCGATTTCCTCAATCAGACGGACCTCTTTGTGTGCCTCGACGACGCGGCTCTCGTCCCACGTCTGACGGGCGCACCACCACGTTGCACACACGAGGGCTTCGTCAAGGCTCGTACTCTTGCCTGCGAGAGTCCCGCCGTTTGCCAAAGAAGGAGACGTAGGAAGCAGGCACGTCAAGATGGCTGACTCTCCTCCACCCTGGCCGCCATTAGCATGCAGCTGATGCTGGGAGTGATTGTGATGATGTCTCTTTTTGTGGTGCGAGGCGGCAGTTGAAGATACGTTGAAGGTAGCTGTGCGTAGGTGCATGAACATCTGAGCCTCTAAAGCACAATGAAGGAGATGATCTTGACATACCTTGCGCGAAGAGGGTCCCGTGTTCGTCGGAGCTTCGACCAAAGACGCGCATTACCTTGTTCTGTGCCTGAACATCGGTGAACCACTTGTATGCTTTGCCTTGCGGTGAGCGAAAGTAGAGATTCTTGTAGTCATCGTGATCCCTTTGTGGTGGGCCAAGCCAAGGGGTCAGCAGGGAAGCAGATCACAGCGAGGAAATTGCAGCTGCCTTACCCGTAATGCGTCCTGGTGGCAAACTTGTCCTCGTATCCCTTTGCGCCCTTGATGAGCCAGCCATCAACGCCGCTCTTCCGTCGCGGTTCAAGCTCATACAACACGGGCTTTGAAAAAAAAAAAGACTGGCATCAGCGAATTTGCTCCCTTCAGGCTCTGATTGGGACTGACCCCGTTCCTGCCAAGACCTAAGTAGAGCTTTCCCTTGACTTTTGTGCCGCGTTCGAGGCTATTCAGCACCCAGTCTTCGCCCTTGTTGTCTCCGTACTGCGCCGCTCCAACGAGGCGATATGCCACGGTGCCCATTTCACCCTCGCTTCTTGCAAAGAGAATCGTGCAAGAGTTCGTCTCCTTGAGATGCGAAACAAACAAAGTCGAATTGCCTATTGGCTGCTGTTGCTGAAGATAGAGCCGGCGGTGCTGCTCCTTTTCCAGTTGCTGCCTTTGTTGGTGTTGGAGTTGCTGGTGCTGCTCGGCCGCGGCAACCATCCTGCGATCATGCAGACGGCGAACTTCTTCTTCCATTTCCTTCTGCCTCTCCCTCTCTTCTTCACGTTCGCGCTCGGCAGCCGTCTTTCGGAGAGCCTGCAACAGGTCGTCCCGAGTGATCCTACGGCTGGCCATCTTCTCTTGTCTCTCTTGTCGGCGCCTCATCTCTTCGATGACCTCAGCCTGCTTCTGGGCGTCCTCACGCTCCGTAGTGCTTCCTTGGCGCTGACGCTGACGGCTTGCGCTCCTTGCTCGTGGAACGGGCGCGCTTAAACCGATCTGGTCCTCAGCCGTGGCCGATTTCGTCCTACTCAAAGTGTAGCCGCCAATCTGCATGCCTTCTTCCAGCTTGCGGTCGACGCGTCGGCTCACTTGTTCCTTGATCGAGCGTCCCCTGCTGAGCGCTTCTCCAACGACGAGGTGCAAATTGTCGTCAGAGGCCTGCCTGCTGCGCGTCCCACCTCCACTGCGACGGGGCGCCAGGAGCGTGCGGTCATCGACCGTGGGAGACGAGGCGCTGAAAGGTGCCTCCATCGTGGGACCCGTCTCGCTGGGTCTCCTCTCGTGGCGTCGGTACTGCTGGCGGCTGTGCGACCGAGTCTCTTCCTCCCAAGCCGCGATGCCCTTTGGACGAGCGGGGATCTCTTTGCTCACGCGGCCGTCCTCATCGTGGCGTGAAGTTACGGTAAGTGAACCGAAAGGCGTGGGTTGCTGCTGCTGCTGCTGTTGCTGTTGCACTTGTTGTTGCTGCTGTTGCTGCCCACCTGCGGCGGCCGCCGTGTTGGACTTTCCAATGAGGTCGTGCGGATGGACACCTCGCTGGAGCTTTTCGAGCAGATCCTCTCCAGGTCCACGACGGGGCGACGTATTGGAACTGTTGGTCTGCTGCAACGTCAACTGCAGCTGCAGAGCATTGGGACTCGTATCGAGCGGTGGTAGGTTGGAGCGCGAAACGCAGAAGCCAAGGCATTGGCAGTGCTCGCAACACCCACAGCCACGGCGGGGCACCCGTTCCATTATCGAAAGTTGAGGTGATGACAGGCTTAGCGACGAAGGGCTTGGATCTGTCAACGGTGAGGCAGAAGCTGCTACGCTGGCCAAAGGGTGCTTTGAATGAAAAGCTCGACGAAGAGATGGGACCAGTCCCAACTCGAGCAGACTAAAGTAGATGTCTGAAAAGGGAGAGAAGAGAAGGGAAGACGAGAACTGGAATAGGGCTACACATTTTGAAGGATGAGGAGGCTGAAGGTCGCCAAGGCCTTCAGCCCGCGTCAAACTTGTGGCGGCAAGGGCTGAGCCTTAGGAGCGAGATAGCCGGAAGCAGCCGGTGAAGGCGTCGGACTCGACGCGTGAACGCCAACTGGTATGCTAGAAATACCGAGCACAACCGCTTCTCAGGACAGGCATCGAGCAGAAGAAAGAGATGTCATTTATTATCACGTCACCAGTAGTAGATAAGCCCAATCGTATCACAATCTTCGTGAATAAAACCGCCTCTAAGGCGAAGCCGACGCAAGCCGGTGCTCTCTCCACGCCGCGACAAGCCTTGGGAAGACGACCCAAGGCGCACTGCACCGCTCTGGCTGTTGCGTATCTACCGCTGCTCGAAAGAGGGAGTAGAGGCTGTAGTACCTCTCCTTCATCTTGCGCTTCTCCCTCTCGGCGGCTCTTTCTCCACTCGCGTCATCTTCCTCGTAAAACTCCGTCGTCGTCTCATCCGTCGTGGAGGCTAAATCGTCACTTTTGATATCCTTCCAGTATTCATCGTCGGATTCGCCCTGGGTGATGACTGATCTTGCATCCTCAGCATCTTCGAGGTCGATCTCGAATACGCCTTTGACTTCCACGTAAGGCGCTTGGGTGTCATCGTCTTCATCCAAGCACAGCTTTGCTGCAAGCTCGTTGTAGTCTACAGCCTCTTCAACTCCACCTTTCTCTGCCCCCCCAGGCATCGTGCTCTTGCCCAGGGTCCTGCTGCTCGGCGCTTCCTGTTTGACCTTTGCGCTCTTTGAATTCGCAATGGCCGCCGTGAGCAACTGTCGAACGAGCGTTCTCAGCCGCTCGCGCACCGCCTCCGCCATGTCAGACGCCTTGACACTGCCCCTGACGGGCGACTTGCCAATGACGCAAGTCAGAAAGGTCTCTGCTTCCGTCAAGGCGTTCCTCCGGCTGCTCAGCACCACCTCGTTGGAAATGATGGCTGCATAGTCGTAGTAGTGGCCCACGAGCTTGCGGTGGGACTCATACGTCGCCATCCATTCGTTGTCCGCGGGCTCAAGCGCGACAAGAAGCTTGCCTTGCCATTTTTGGTTGGCTTTGCTGCCCGCATATCCGTCTCTTGCGCTCTCAATTCCAAGGCCCCACTCGTGGAGAAGCTTCGGCACGTCGATGTTCCGGAACAGTTTGCCGAGTGCGCGTTGGCTTGGGTAGTAGCCATTGAACATCCGAGGGGCCTTTGAACCATACGATGCTCGGTTCTCGACCCTGTACTCGTCTTCCATGAAGTCAGGCTTCTCCTTCGAAAGGGCCTTTGGAATCTCTCCGAACTCGACGAAGTGTCCCGTCTTGGGGTAGTCGACGGCCGTGCTGTGCAGTTCGGCGAGGACGAGACAATCGGGATCCAGCGCGCGTTTCGGCGACTGATCAGACAGAACGAGGTGGCGCGTCGAGATGAGGCCGACCTTGTTTTGTTGTGTGTGATCGAGGAAGAAGTCAATGATATCGTCGACCTCGACCGACCGATGGATCTCGACTGGCTTGACGGGAGTGTAGTCTGCAGCTTGGCAGGTATTCGCAGGAAAGAGACTGCTTTCAAAGCAGATGTTGTACAAATCTCCGTCTAGATCGCCGCCCGCGAGCTTCGAGGGCAGGGGCCGTTCGCCGTGTTGCGAGAAGATGACGCAATTGGTCAAGGCTGAGAGTGGGTGTTGGACGTCGAGCTTCCCCACTGCTTCTGCGAATTGGACATCGCCGGGGTGAAGCGTGGGTGAGCGAAAGACGAGGCATTTGCCCTTGAGGTAGGTGCGACTTCCACCCTTTGGAATCACGCAGGCGTAGATCTGATTTTCCTGAAGGAAGCCCGTCTCGTCCATGATGCCCATTAGGCTGCACGAACCGTCGACGCGGATGCGGTGGGTATATTTGAGCTGACGTAAGGCGAACGTCATAGCCGTCTTCATAGCCTCGCGAATGAACGGCACGTCTTTGATGAACGACAGACCGAAGGTATCGTTGAGCTCTCGGAGCGTGCGTCCAAGGTGGACGCAGTCTCCGAGCTTGTATTCACGGAGAAGTTTGGCTGCAGCGGCTGCATCGCAAGAGGCCGTCTTGATCGCCTCGAGTGCTTTTGCTTGGATCCGCTGGAAGGCGCGATGAGGCACGCCGAGGCTCTCGAGGAGAGGAATCAATGGCCTATTAAGCCTTAGAGGAAGTGGACGGGAGCATCGTTCAGCAATCTCAATCTTTATCGTGTCTTTTGCTTTCACGTCGAACTTGATCATCGAACGCCGCAGACAGACTTGTCTGCCCTTGAGCCTCGTGTCGAGAGCAAGGACGCCCTTTGCTCCACCGATTCGAACCTGAAAGACCGAACAAGGATCCTTGGCATCCTTTTTGGCATTGGGATTCCGGATCTTGAAGGCTGCATTGAGCATGTCGACGACTTCCCGGCTGATGGTGCCTACACCATCTGAAAAAATATAGCCGCCATACCTGGCCTTAATGTCGGGTATGATTCTAACGGTGGACTCCTCAATGTCTACGCCGTAGAGAGTGGTGGTAAAAGCCTGGGTGGACAGGAGGTCAGAAACGCTCTTCCAACAAAGGAGAAGCACAACTCACCTGACCAAGACGCGCAGCAAAGCGAGGGGGGCAACGGATGCGATCGAGGTCTCCGATACTGTTACGGATGCCCTGAGCAGTGATCTGCTTGCCTTCGTATAAGAATAGCGAGCGGACGAACCAGCAGCTGTGAGCCCTGAGCTGGCTGGAGCTGAACGCCAGAAAGTCCCAGCGCCTGCCTCCCACTGTGATACCTTGGCGCAGCACGTCCTCAAATCGGCGGTAAAGGACGTCTTCGATGTTGAGCATGCCATTGTTGTCGCGAAGGAAGCCACCGTCCTCGTCGCAGATGGAGACGCGGAGGTAGTGGTCATTCGTGCCGGGGTACTCGCGAATGACACGGTTGCCGCCAACCTCCTCGTACGGTCCCTCGAGCATCATGCCCATGGGCGTGAGCTTGACGCTATGGATGAGAATGCGCTCTTCTGACGACATCTCCTGCTGCCGTTTTGCCGCTTGGAGAAAGTACTGCAAGACCAGATCGTTGGTCTGCGTCGAGCCGTCTTCCAGCTTCTGCCCTTCAAGCAGCCTGGCCTTGATGCTTTCCACAGTGAAGAGTGACAAGCTATCCAGCGGGTCGCGCCAGCCGAGAGTTGATTTTAGGCTTTTCAGTCGCTCGACGGCAACGGGAGGGTCTAGCATCATGATTGTGTCCTCGAGCGCCAGCAGCTCGTGAGGCAATAGATGCCAGCTGGCAACAAGAGCCTGAGCTTGAAAGGCGACTTCGAAGGGCAGCCTTTTCAGAAGAAGTTCGAGATCGCTCTTGACGGCCGCGCGAATTGCTCCATTATCACGGACGCCAAGGACCCTGATCATGTCTGGCTCGGCGAAGCGGCGCAACCACAGGGGCATGAATCGAGCATAGTCTTGGATCGAGGTGAAGCTGAGAGCATATACCCAGGACAGGCTCTGCATCTCTTTGCAGGCGTCTAGGCCTAGGCCGACTTGGCGCCGAGGGGGATCCAATTTGCTCTTGCTGATTCGCTTTTCAATATAGCGTCGGCCATCACGTATCACCTCCTGCTGCACTGTCCGAGTATCGTGCGTCTGAACATAGGTCGGAGGCGAGGCGATGACGAGAAAGAGAGTGAGGCTGTTCCTGTCGAAGATCGACGGCATGATGCTGGAGAAGGTGAAGAAGACGGAGCCATGATCTATGCGGACTTCAAGCTGGGCAGAATCCATGTGCATCTCGAGGGAAAGTATTGTATTGGTCGGAGGCACAGGCCTGTCGAGCGGCGACGACCTCCAAAGCTCGAGGTATCGACCCATTCCATCCCAGGCCCCGGAGCCGACGCTCTTTAGGGAGAATGCGCGCGAGCCGTCGTCATCGTCGCCGTAGTCGCTGAGAATCTCCTCTTTGAGCATGAGACCAAGGGAGCGTTCTGCCATGAAGTCGCCGAATCGGTCATAAGCAAAGGAGATGACGGTTTTTCGGTATGTGAAACGCTGTCGGAAGAAGCGGTCCTCGACAAAAAAGACGAAATTGGGGCCTTCGTCCGGGAGTACGAGCCTTGCAGTCGATACGCCTCGTCCCTTTTGATCAATGCGACCGGCTTGCCGCCTAAACTTGTTCATGTTTAATGTGACACGAAAGGGGATGCGCTCGCCATTGTAAATGAAGAGCTCCTTTGCAATACGTCGTCTGAAGCTGCGAGGGTCCGTGTCCAGGGGTATGTTTTTGGCAAAGAGCTGCATTGTGATGTGCAGCGATGAGTTGTAATAGATGGAGCAAATGTTGATGAGAGTATGATGAGAGGGAGAAGGGAAGGAAGAAAGAAAGGGAGAGACGAGCGCATGCACGCAGAGGTGGGCCGACCGCCTTCCCTTTGTTGGCACCGTCAAGCCACTAAAAATCCGCGTCGGCGAACCGTGCGCCCTTTCGATGATAGCGCCGCGACCTCTGCCGCACGTACGCTAATTGAATACAATTACAATTGAGATGTGTTTTTGCTATCATTTTGCGGCCTTCTTCTTCGTCTTTGATTGGGCTCCAACACCGCCGTTGGTCGTCGCAAGCGCATGGCCTGTCTCGCGGATGTGGGTAAAGAGCTTGGACCGCGAATCAAAGGCTTCGCGGCAGACGTTGCACCGCTCCGCAGCAGCCACGTCGTTCTTTTTGCCCCGCCGTGCTCTCCGTCCACTGCCGCTGCCGCTGTTTTTGACGGTGTCATTGCTTTGCTCCCCATCTGCGGCCGATTCCTGCGGGCTTTCGACGGCCTCCGCTTGATGAGCTCCCTTGTCTGCCCCTGCTCCGTCGTCGTTGTCGGAGTTGACGGCCGAGGCAGCTGCCATCTTCTCCTCCTGCTTCATGCGCTTCTTGAGCTTCTGTCTTGCCTTTTTGCTGAGTCCCTCTTCTGCGCCGATGCTGGTGTTTGCACCGGGTTGGTCGTCTAAATGAACATCGTCAATGGCTTCCCGTAAATCTTGCTCATCCTTCTCGCCGTTGACTTCTTCTTCGAGCCCGAACTGCTCGTCGTCGAGCTGCATCTCTCTCTGGAGCTTCTTGACGGCCTGCTTGTGCTTCTTGCTCCTCTCGTGATTGTCCCAAGCCGCTGCGGACTGGAAGATCTTATCACACGCGACACAGTCAAAGAGCGCTTCTCCTTCTTCGTCTTCGCCGGCTTCGTCGTCATCTTCGTCTCTGTCCTCTTCGCCTCTCCCTACGCCCTGTCCCTTGACGCGCTCACCAAAGGACGCCTCGCTGTCCTCGTCGCTGTCGCCTTCACTCTCTCGGTTTCTCGCTCCTCCGTCGTCCCAGGCGTCCCAACTCTGCTGCTTGAACGCTCTCGCGCGCTCCTCCTGCTCCCTCATCTCCCGTTTGGCCGCCTCCCTTCTCCTCTCGAGCTCCTCTGCTGAGTTTGCAGCTGCCGACTGCGAGGCGAGGTGCGCCTTGACTCGCGGGTCTCGCTTTCGCACAAACGACACCAGCGACTGGGACATCGCCTTGCATCAGCCTTTCTATCGGGCACACCAGAGCGCTGGCCACGCGTATCTCTGCTGCAGAAAGACTCACTCTGACCACATCGTTGTACTCTCTACGCGCTGTGTCCCTCATCTTCTTGTTCTCCTTCTCCATGAGTCTGGGTGATGAATAGAGGCGGTTGATCAGCGAGGGCCTATGAGAGAACGAGCAAGAAGCCAAGCCGCAGTGAGTGCCTCACCTTTTTACCCTGCGGTCGGGAGCATCTTGGAGGCGATAGCTGTCTCGCCACCCGAAGCCCTTGCGCGAGGTGAAGTTGGACCAGACGGCGTAAAAGTCTCGGGCTGGCGATTGGTTGACAGGCGCCTCCTCACCCTTGGCGTGCAGGTAGGGTGTATGCGAGTAGCCAAAGCTGGGCATGTCGTCGTACGGCCACTGTTTCTCGCCAGGGTATGGGGCAGCGGCCTTTTCCTCGTCTGCGAGGCGCTCAAAGAGCCGCCGGAAGGTGCCAAAGAAGCCGGCCTCGTCGGCTGAGGGCGGCGTCACGTCGATGCACAGAGAAGCGTCGAGGAAGCGCATCAGCTGCCGGGGAGTCATGCCCGGTGCCGAGCTACCTGTGGGTGCTGGCGGTGGCTTCTTCTTGCCCGTGCGAAATGCTTCAAAGGCCTCCTCGTCGAGGCCGCCATCGTCGCCGTCGTCGTCCATCAGACCACCGAGGATGTCAGCCCGGTGGCCATCGTACCACGCCCTCTCCTGGTCGTCGCTCAGCACCTCGTAAGCAGCTTGGATGAGGTGGAAGCGCTTGTTTGCCCCTTCCACGTCATCTGGATTCTTGTCCGGGTGATAGCGAAGGGCGAGCTTGCGATACGCCTTGCGAATCTCCTCAGTCGTCGCCACCTGCTCGTCGGGCGATGGCAGCTCGAGCAGGCCATAGTAGTCCTGCACATCGATGCCGTCGGCCGTCTTTGGCCGTCCGCCTCCACCGCTGCTGCCCCCTTCCCTCCCTCCCGACGACGACTGCGACGCACCCATCGTCGTCTTCTCCTTCTTCGTTCCTGGACGTCTGCTCTGTCCCTCAGCTAACTTGCGCGAGCGAGATTTTTCCTTTCGGACATTTCTGCGACTTTTTATTTATTTATTCCTTTGGCTCATGCGCTCGCACGCCTCTTTCGGGCGCGGACAGGAAAAAAAGTGTTGGTTGAGGCCCTTCGCCGCACCTCTTCCGCCTCGACTGTGCCTCTGACGCTTGGGGACGCATGCTCATCGGTGAGCCGTCGAGGTGATCCCCTCGCCATCATCAGCGACTGCTAGACATGGCCAGCAAAGCGAGCGTGGGGACCGCCTTGCATGGCAGCCAGAGCCCCGGAGGAGGGACAAAGCCGACGACGCAGACCAAGAACGTCGTCCTGACCGAGGCCGGGAGGGCCCCGTGGTACGATGCAAATGGCCGGCCACTGGACGCATACATCGTCGGCGTCGCGGGCGGGAGCGCATCGGGAAAGACCTCGGTAGCCAAGGCGATCCTCCGGAGCCTGCCCAATGTGCCCTGGGTCGCCATCGTCTCGCAGGACTCCTTCTACAAGACGCTCACGCGGGAGCAGAGCAAGATGGCCTTTGAGAACAACTACGACTTTGACCACCCGAACGCATTCGACTATGACATCTTCCACCAGTGTGTCTCCGACCTCAAGCAGTCGCGGGCCGTCGAGATTCCCGTGTACAGCTTCGTCGAGCACCAGCGGACCGCGGACAAGACCTACCTCTATGGCGCCGTCGTCGTCATCGTCGAGGGCATCTTTGTCCTGCACAACCCGGCCCTGCGCTCGCTTCTCGATCTCAAGATCTTTGTCCAGGCCGATTCGGACCTGATGCTCGCTCGGCGCATCCGGCGCGACATTGTCGAGCGAGGCCGCGACGTGGCCGGCATCCTGGACCAGTACCTTCGCTTCGTCAAGCCGAGCATGGACAACTTTGTCAGCCAGACGTCCAAGTTTGCTGACATCATCGTGCCCGGCCAGAACAACGACGTAGCCATCGATGTCATCTCGCAACAGATCAAGAATCAGCTCGAGAGCCGCGCCATGAAGCTTCGCCACGAGCTCAGCAGGACGCCTGCGACGCCGAGACGGGAGCTCTTGGTGTCTCCGCTCGCCGCTCCAGGTGGCTCTCTGTCCATGTCTCGAGCGGGTAGCCGTGCTGGCGAGACGCTCGGTGCGCTCCGAAGGCCTGACCTGGAGAGGTGGACCTCATACTCGTCCAACTCCTCTTCGTCATCGTCGGGCGCGGGGCCTGCCATGCTTGCCCTCGCCGAAGCAAGCCAAGATGCTGCCCATCCCCTCGAAGAGGAGCTCCCGTCTAGTGTCTGTGTGCTCCCCCAGACGCCTCAGCTTCGCGGCTTGCTTACGATCATGCACGACCTTACCGTCACGGGCGCCGACTTCATCTTCACCGTCGACCGGCTCTCGACGCTTGTCATGGAGGCGGCTATGGCTTTCCTGCCTTACAAGGACAAGGAGATCACGCTCAAGGGCGGACGAAAGCACATGGGCACAGAGATGGACGTCCAACACATTTGCTCCGTCTCGATTCTTCGTTCGGGCTCGGTCCTGGAGGCGTCTGCCCGGCGCGCCATTCCGGCCCTCGCTCGGGGCTCGGTCCTGATCCAGTCGAGCGACGACGACGGCGAGCCAAAGCTATACAACGTCAGCCTGCCCTCGTTTGTCCGCAATCGGCAGCGCGCGGCCAACACGTGGGCGATCATCCTCGACTCCCAGATCGGGACCGGCGCCGCGGCACTGATGGCGATCCGTGTGCTGCTGGACCACGGCGTGCAGGAGCACCACATTGTCTTTTGCTGCCTCCTCGTCTCGGCAAAGGGCGGTGTCCACGCACTCCATCGCGCCTTTCCAAAGGTTCACGTCGTCACTGCAGGCGTCGATGCGGAGCTCAAACGGAGGCGTGTCAGGGTAGATGATGGAAACGCCGTCGCGTGGCGAGGCGGGAGCGAGGCCAGCACCATTGGCACGATCGGAGGACAAGGCAGAGCAAGAAGGGGCGGGAAAGGGAGAGGCTTTTCATCTTCTGGCATCTCTGACGACGACGAGGAGGAAGACGACGGTCATCCAGACGACTCGCTGGAGCACGACGACGGGCGGTACGAACAGGCCGGGAGAATTACAAGGCTCAACGGGCCCGGAAAGAGCGAAGGAGCGGCGAGGCGGAGGACGAGAATTTGCTTTGCCATCGAGCCAGGTGCAGGCAACATTGGCGATCGCTACTATGGCACAAAGGTGCGGCCGAGGGTCATGTCGACGCAGATCTCTCCACAGGTCTCGAGAAAGGACCTCAATGTGAAATGACACCGACACCTAAGCTTGCCGCATTCACTCCAATTCCTCTGCCATGACTCATAGAACACAACCATCATTACAATTGTTTAGCATCTCAAATTGGTTCGCAACTATCATTGAAGTAGCATTGTCTTCGCGGACCGATTGAGTGATGCTGTGCAACGGCTTCCCAGCAAGCTAATTGGGGTCCGGCGCGCGCCTCAAAAAAGAAAGCGTTTTCTTAGAGCGCGCCTTATTCGACAAATTGCGCCTGAGCAAGCCCGCATGCCATATCTTCACGGTACAGCGCGATGAAAGTGATAGAGGCTTCGCTCCTGGGCCAGCAGAATGTAGCTGCGAGTATCTAGATGGCACACATTGTGTATCACATGACTGACTTCAAGCGACGAACATCGGCGCAAGATGGCTTTGGTTTATGGTGAATGGCCCGGAAGAGCAGCAGCAACAGGGACAGCGAGCTAGCTGACCGACATGACTTTCAGCCGGCAGCCGGGAACAAACCGGCTCACAGGGTATTCGTGCTCACAATTCAAGGAGAGAAGGTCTTCAGAACGAGGACAGACGATAATGCTGTTTGTCTCTATAAGATTGGTGGAGAGCTGAGAGGAGGCACTGCCTCGTCGTACTCCAGTCTTTTTGGGGGGTGGATATTATACAGCTTCTGACGCTTGCCCGGAGAGCGACCAAATAGCCCAAAGATAATGTAGGGAAAAAAAGATAAGAACTATAGAGTTGAAAAAACCTCTAGACCCGTGAACCGAGACGGAATGAATGCGAAAAGTGGATGGTGGATGTTGCGTGCAGGCGAGGCGTTGGCAGTAGTAATTTACCAGTTGCCGGCCCACTCGACGTCGAGCTCGCCAGCGTCCATGGAGCCAAGAGCCTGGAAGGCAGCGACGGAGAGGTCGATGTTCATGCCAGGGCACGTGGGGCACGTGTCGGCGATGGTGGCCTCGATGGTCTTGCCGTTGTGGCTGATCTGGATCTTCTTGAAGCAGTTGTCAGGGTTGTGGTAGCTGGCGGGGATGGCAACAACGTAGTCGCTGTCGCTGTGCGTGACACCGCACGAGCCGGGGTTGCCGCCCTGGTAGAAGTAGGTGGCGACAGCCGAGTGCCTCTTCTCGATGGGAGCGGCGCTAACGGCGACGGCGCCGAGGGAGATGGCAGAGAGAGCGGTAGCGAAGAACTTCATTGTGAAAGAAAGTGGAGAGAAGTGGTGGGTGGTGAGAGAGGTTTTTGTGTGTCTAGGCAAGAGAATGAAGGTGTGTGAGGTTGTGAAGAGGAGGTGGGGGAGCGATCGGAGGGCCTCCTTAAGTACCTTTCGACGTTGACCACGGTCAAAAGTTTTTCACCCGGTCTTTCCTCTCTCGTCTGGTGAGTAGATGCTCATCTTCACTACACCGTACAGCTACGGAGCTTCACCGAATTCGGGACGAAGAAGGAGGGACCACCATCGTTCTTGTCTTCGTCTGGTGCCTTGCCCCGGTGTGGGAGCAGAGACGACGCTTCCATGGGCTAGACGGTGGAAAAATTTTCCTTTTCGCAGGAACACGTCGAAACAACGGTCCGGATCTAATGATCTTCCTGGGGCAGCACCTGTGGCTCACATCCTCGGGCGGACCTCTGTGATGAGAAACAGTAAACGAAAGGGTTTGCTGGCGGACGATCCTCGCTCGCACAAAGAGGGTGCCAATATGAAGAGTGGCTACTGAAAGAGGGATACTTCGCCTTAGTCGGCCGGTCGGATGAAGGAAAAAATGCTCCCTGTTTTTTTTCCCGACTTTTTTATTTATTTATTTCCCTGGTGCGTTTATTTGTCTCCTCTCACGCCGCGCGTGGAAAAGCCGGGAACCATTTGCCTCTTGCGGCAATTTGTAACGGGCGCAGCCCGTGAGAAGATTTTCATTTCCCAAGGCCGATCGAGCCCCTTTGCCTGTTCCTGCTTGACACAGGCTGATCTTCCGCACGATCGACAAGCTGCAGCCTTGTTTTGTAATTCGCGAACCCAAATGATATCGTTTCTCACCTTGGAAAAACCATCTCCCTTACAATTGGACCTAGAAAACTTTTTACCCTCTGACTTTGAACTCAACTTCAGGCGAGACTGAAAAGGGGGAGGGACACTTTTGATACCAATAAAGGCGGCTTGCGGATCAGATTGACGTTGATTTGACGTGTGGCCTGGAAGCACAGTGCAGTATAGCCTAGAGCACCTAACGTTTAGAGCTCGCCTTTAACCACGTACCCCGGCCAGGCTCAACTCCGCCAACTCCTTACGGTGTCTGGGGCAAAGGCTCCGTGAGACAGGATGCGTGATTGTGAAAGAGCCAGACAGCCACCGAAGAAAAGGACCATGACAAAGACACAACGTGCACAGATATTCACCGGCGATTGGGAGAAGCGAGTCCGGTAGGAGAAAAAAAAAGGCCTGTTTAGCCTATTTCCCTAACGCTCCTATCGGCTTTGGAGCTCAGCGGTGAAGCGCTTCCCGATTGTACAGCAAAGCGCTTCGCTCCCGAAAGGGTTGTGTCATGAGACGCGCGGGCCATCTCCACTCGCTTGCAGTGCGCTGAAAAACGTAAAGGCACATCTATGCAAATGCAACATTCCTTCACGCAGCGTTCGGCTCTACAGTAGCGTCGATGAGGATGGACTAAGAAGCCGTCGGCCGCAGCTCTGTGAGATTCAGGCCAATCTTTGTTCCTACAGCCGAAGCCAAGCGATGAAAAAGGACGATCGTCCAGAAGCCGTGAAATCCAAGGTATTGCTCACGTGGATGATTAAGCCTCCGCGGCTGGACTATGAATTTGGTTCAGTCTTCGAAAGCTATCGGTCTCAAATTCGAATTCGAATTCGGATTGGGACTCGGAGAAAGTCCGTCGATGGCGATTTCCCGTTTGCGGGTAGAAACAGCTGCTTAAGGGCCCCTCGTTTTCCACGCGACAGACGGGGAAGTACCTTGCCTCCCTCTTTCACTTCTCCCGGTGGGAGGTCGGCGAAACGACCGTCATGTCGAGCTGAGGCATTGTCTCTCTCCGAATTGGGAGAAGGGTGCTTTGCAGACCGAGCGAGACTCCCGCGACCGAGCCCCACAGTGTAGCAGCTGCTTCGTCATCATCTAATTGTCTGATCGTCTGCCAAGGTAGGGACATATGCAACGCTTTAGCCACATGAAAAGCCATCGACGAAGGCCCGTGGCTTGCAAGCGGCCTGCAAGAAGCTCATTTGAAGGAGTGAAGTCGTGCTGGCTGCTCTTCGAAGCGGCGAGCGCCTCAATATCCTGGGGGAACCACCAATATATCGCAAGATACGGTTGTGAAGCGCTTGAGCTTGGCTTGGGGATAGTCTTCCTTTACGGCAGTGCTGTTTTAGCGAGGGAGAAGACGTTACTCCCGTTGGGTTCAGCAATTTCGCGACACAGAGCGTCGTATGAAAACAAGACATTTGTCTCCAGAAAGCATGGCCGGAACAGGACAAGCGGGAGTGTTGTTGCCTGCACGGTGTTCGTGCTAACGGTATTTGAAGGCAATAGCAGAGATAACGGCGTGCAAGGGCTTTGACCTGTAGACATTCTGGGACACGATCATTTCCAGCAGCTCGAAGAAAGTGCAGAGATTCTACATGACCCTATGGCGATCCTATGCCAACTCTTGCTCAGCTCCATTCTGACAGCAGAGTAGAGGCCCGGCTTAGATTAAAGGATCCGCCGAGGAGGGGGCTCAGAGAGTGTTGCACATTTTAATTAGCATGGAAGAAAGCAAACAAGCAGTCTAAATCCCACGTGGACACGAGCCTGACCGCGCTCGAGCCACGAAATATCTTTCGCACACCTCTGCAGCAAAAGCCAAGGGACGGCAAAGGGCTACGACAACAGCAAGAGCAACGGCAGCAGCAGCAGCAGCAGCATGCATTGACATGACGACTGCTGCGACGACGTCCGAAGCAGAGACGCCGTCATCCTCGAGTAAGATGGCCGGCGGCGCCCCAATTGCGTCGCAAACATTGACGAGCGCCCAGACGAAGCCTGATCTGCTTAAGGTGGCGCGTTCTCATGTGCCGCGCTCAAGCTCCCCGGCCGCCACGATGGCGGCCTATCGGGCCTATCGAGACTCGGTCAGGCCCCCTGTTCTGTCTACCTATACCATCATGGGTTTCCTTTCGTCGGGCACGTATGGGCGCGTATACAAGGCCCGTCTCAAGAATGTGACGAGTGCGCAGCAAAGCACACAGCAACCTGGCGCAGCTCCCGGTGGCAACGAGGACGAGGCTAGCGGCTCAGTGTTTGCCATCAAGAAGTTCAAGCCCGACAAAGAGGAGCACGCTTCCTACTCGGGCATCAGCCAGAGCGCCATGAGGGAAATAGCAGTGAGTATTTGCTTCCTATTCCGGCTGCCTCGAGATCTCGCAGCTCTGACACCCAGACTTCCCAGCTCAACAGAGAGCTTTGCCACGAGAACATCGTGACGCTTCGCGAGGTGATTCTCGAAGACAAGTCAATCTACATGGTATTTTCCTATGCTTCGCATGATCTCCTCCAGATCATCCACCATCACAGCACAATCGTTCGCCAGCCAATCCCTCTACCCATGCTCAAGTCCATCCTATACCAGCTCCTCAACGGCGTCCACTATCTACACAGCAATTTTGTGCTGCATCGAGATCTAAAGCCCGCCAACATCCTCCTGACAAGCTCAGGTGTTGTCAAGATTGCCGATCTTGGGCTTGCGCGTGTCTTTGAGGCTCCACTCCAGTCGCTCTATTCTGGCGACAAGGTCGTGGTGACCATCTGGTACCGTGCCCCTGAGCTGCTGCTTGGTGCACGTCACTACACGACCAAGATTGACATGTGGGCCGTAGGCTGCATTTGGGGCGAGCTTATTGCGCTTCGACCCATGTTCAAAGGCGAGGAGGCCAAGATGGACCCAAAGAATAAGCAGACGCCCTTTCAGACGGACCAGTTTCGCAAGATCGTCGAGGTGCTTGGAACGCCCACCAAGGACGTCTGGCCTGGTATCGAAACAATGCCGGAATACAAGACGTGGTGGCCGCATCTTCAACAGCGTCTCGAGGGCTTTTCGGACGGACTGCTTAATTGGTTCTCAACCAGGACGAGGCCGCCGTCGCAGGGCTTTCCCCTCTTTCACGACTTGCTGCAGTACGATCCACTCCGGCGCTCATCTGCTGCGCAGGCCCTCAAAGACCCGTTCTTTAACGAAGTTGAACCGTTACCAACGAAGAATGTATTCGCATCACTGGCAAATACGAGAGAAGGTGAGACGGTGTACCCTGCGAGGCGCCTCATCAAGGACGACACGGACCCGAAGATGGTCAGCACAGTCCCCCAGCAGCCTCAGCCGTTGCCCGCCGCATATCAGCAGCAGCACCAGCAGCACCAGCAACAACACTCGCATCAGCAGCAGCAGCAGCAGCAGGCACAATTATCTGGTTCTTCATTGCGACCACCTCCCACAAACAATGTCTTTGGGCCAGCCTCAGCGGGCGGAGGCGCTGGCAAACTTGTAACAGGCGCGCCCGGTCCTTCTATGCTCCTCTCCTCAGCCGCAGCGGCTGGCCTCGTAGGTGGCGGCCCCTCTGCCCCTCCCCCTGCGCCGGGAAGCGTCGGGAGCGCAGGCCCCAGCAGCGTGACGAGTACGACTGGCGAGGGGGCAGGAGGCCCATCATCCTTTCACCCCGGCAGCAGCAGCCTCGTCGGACCAGCTTCGGCCTCGTCATCGACTCCCTCAACCGTACTGGCTGCCAATACAGCTGGTGGTGGTAATGGGACGGGTGCTAACGGCGGCAGTGGCGCTGGCGGAAACGCCACAGCCAGAGGAGGGTTGGTTGGAACTGCAACGGCCAATGCCAACCGGGCGGCGAAGCGGCAGAAGCTTCAGCAACAGCAACAGCAGCAATAGTAGACTGTTCCTTTCTCTCTTTTCCTTCACATTGTAAAACAAAGACAACCACTTCCATTCCATTCAAATCTTCTCTCTCAAGACGAGAACAGCCAGAACGACAATAGTGTCCAGTCTCATTGAGTGGGGCAGATTGATGGAGAGTAAGTGAAAGGCCGGGACTGATAGGTCTACTCTACTTTCCACTTTGTTGGCAACGATTCGGCCTTGCTGGCTCTTCACCACTTTGCATACGCTTGTGGTTGCTGATCCCAGCCGAATGGGCTCGACTGTTGCTGTTGCTGGGAAGCTGACGGCTGAGCTTGCGGAGGCGAAAAGGGCGATGACGAATTGGTATGTGAGTGCAAGCCGTGAGGCCGCGGCAGCTGACCACTAGGGCCCACTCCAAAAGACGGGGAGGACGAGCTCGAAGGAGTGATGGACGATGGTTGCTGCTGCTGCTGGTTGAGATGCTGCGAAGGGCCCATTGGCGAATAGGGTGGCCCCAGCGCACCTACGGAACCAAACGCAGCAGGCCCACCTCCCCAAAGGCTCGCGCCCTGACTCTGACTCTGGCCCTGCCGAGCCGACGAGATAAAGTGCGCCGCATCATTTGCGTCCCATGCTCCTCGAAGTGGAGAAGAGGAAGATCCACCACTGCCGCCTCCAGCTGCCGCATTGAAAGAGGGTTGCTGGGCAAAGTGGTGATGGGGGGTCTGAATGCCTCCATAAAAGAGATTGGACTGAGTCGACGGTAGCCCGCTTCCGCTGCCAGCGATTGCGGCACCCATCCCCATTGGAAACCCGGGCGGTACACCGATGGGCGAAGGCGGCAGCGGTGGCTGATTGAGGCCATTCTCGTCGTTCCGAATGGGCCCCGGTCCATTGAGGACCTGCAGGAGTAAGTTCTGGGCCGTCATTGGCGGCGGTGGTGACTGTTGCTGCCCTGATGGTGGCGTATCGGTCCTCTTGTCGATGAGTGTAAATTGACCACTCGCTCTTGAACCAGGAGTTCTGGGCTCCATTCCATCATCGTCATCGCCCCTCAACTCCTTTCTTGCCTCTTTCTGCTCCTGTGCTCTCGTCAGAGGTCCACGTCCTGCGAGCGTGCCTGTTGTGACGGCCTCTGCTGCCGTCGAAGTCTTTTTCGTTCTGGCGCTCGAAGGAATCAAGATCACCTCGCCATCATCATCATCATCGTCATCAGCATCGTCATCGTCGTCATCATTAGAGGCAAGTGTCCTTCGCCTTTCATCAACGGCCCTCATAGCGAGTTCGACGACATCTTCTGTCGATTCGCTCGCGATTTCACTCTTCTCATCATCGTTGGTCGCCCTGGCACCTGCTAGTGTCGTCTGCTGCTCGCTCCGAAGAGGTATGTCGCCATGGCTTCCACTGCTACTGTTGCTCGTCTCACCGAGGAGAGCCGAGTCAATGACGCTCGAGCGTCCCATGGTAGAGGTCCCTGCTCCTCCAATCGATGACTGAAGTTGCGAGTGTAGCGAGGATGAGACGACGAAGGTGTTGTTCTCGTCCTCGAATGCAATCGGGCTGTCTTCGCTCTCTGCTACGACCTTTGCATCGATGAGGATGTCAGCAATTCGGATCAAATGCTCCTCGTTGGGATGCATAGTCTTTATTTGCGCGGTCGCAGGTCTGGCAGCGTTCGAAACACCTTCGGAGGACGTGGAAGGATTTGCTTCGACGGCAAGCATGGCCTTGCGCATGGGCGCGAAGCCGCTCATATCGCTATCCTCCTCGAGTGCAAGAGGGGTGGCGCCGGATTGACCGACGGTACCCAATGAGGGCAGAGCATCAAAGGGAAAAGCGAAGCGGATGATGTTGACGAAATCGACGTATGAAACCCATAGCCTCCTCGTCGCATCGATCAGGGCAGCGTCAATCATCAGTCGGGCTTTTACCTCGTCTTCGTCAGTCGTCGTGCTCTGCGTCGTTGTGGTATTGGTCTCCTTCGACGAATTCTGACTGTCATTGGCAGCTTGGTCCACGCTCCGTTGAATGTGCTCAAGGTGACTCTTGAGCCACTTGCTTGCAATCCTCAGCGCTGGCAAGGTCCGCCGGAAAACGGCCGTGATGTTTCTAGCAACGCTTGCACTTCCTCCCTCGCCTGGTCCGCTGGGAGGATGCCGTTTCTGGCTTTCGAGGGCTTCGCGTGTTTCGGATGCGCCCACCTCGACAAGGACGCGGATCGTGGCCAAGACAACGACAAGGATCTGGTGTTCTGCGTCGGCTGCAGAGATCTTGTTGTTCAATTGAGCGATGAGGCGACTAGTGTCTGCGTCTTTGGACCTAAGGCTGAGTTCAGGTGCTTTTGGTGTCCTCCAAAGCCTTGCCGTGTAGTGCGAGGCGATGGCAGTCACAACGACTCTGACGATGGAATCGGCTTGCAGCGCCCGATCCACCAATAGTGACGAGAGGCCATCGATACAGCGAGGAGCAAACTTGGAAGAAGCAGCCCAGCTATCGAGGATAGACAAGAACATTAGACTCTAAAGCGTTGACAAATTCCGATCGAAAACTTACCGGCAACGGTGATAGAGAAGTCCGTGAAGAACAACCATGTCCTGCATCGTCTTTGTCGTCCTCTCCTCAATGGACCCAAGTAGGGGCGGTATGGTGAGGGCTTGAGTTTCTTCATGCTGCATAAGACCTTGCAAAAGCCATCGCTCAATAGATTTTCGATAAGTCGCTTCGAGGTTGCCTTTGGCCGATTCGAAAGGCGATTTGACACAGAGGGCGCGGTAGTAGTAGTAGATCGACGAGAGCACATCGCCCTTATATGAAGCCAAGACAGCCAGCTGGTTTGAAGGGCTGCCATTATCGGGAAGCAACAAGCGGGCTTGCTCGTATGCCGCTTCAGCGCGGCTGTAGTCGCGAGGCTTGGGCGAGGATTCTCGACTCGACCTGGTTGAATTCGCTCCACCGCGCTGACCTCGACCAGCAGAGCCTCCCCTTCCGCCGCCGACACCCCCCCTTCGAGCTGGCGCATGCCGTCCAGCAGCCATGGGCTTCTCGTCAGGGTCCTTGCGGTCGTCTCGATAGAGCTCGCGATATCTTGCCAAATCGCCGCACGAAACTAGAGCTTTGTGAATCATTTCAATCAGACGAGCCTCATTTGCGGGGATCTGGGCTGCCTCTACGAGCTTCGGATCGTCTCTTGCAGCGAGCGTGATTCGATCCATGCCAGTTGCCGATGCAGACGTCGCTACTGACTGCGCACCTCCAACCTCGCCGCTTGCCGGGTTATCGGGCTCGCATGGGATGCCGAGGGCCATGAGGCGAGGCTTTGCCTTTTCCACATTAAAGACACGGACTACGCGGCCTGCTAACTCTCTCCACCACTCCTCTTCCTGGCCGAGGAATTCGCGAAAGGCCGCGCGCAGACGCAGGAGGGCCGAAGCTTTCTGGCTTTGCACCTTTGCCTGCTTCTTTCGCTCTTCCTTGCTACCTTCACCTGTCCTTGCTTCGTCATTGAGGCCTCGAACTTGCTTGTCGAGCTCAGAGATGCGCGCTCGATAGATGGCGATGAGCTCGTAGGTCGTGTCGGCCCACAGGCTCGAGTCCGCGCCCTTTGCACGGCTGGTGAAGGTGCACGAAAAGAGCAGTTTCAAGTAGACGTTGCGAAGCTCACGTCTTGCGAAGTCTACCTCGGGAGATGACGACAGCTGGCTCACGTTGTTAGAGCTTTGCTTCTTTAGCCGATCCTTGAGCCTGGCGCGATGGCCTTTGGCCTCCTGATAGAGCTGCGAGGAACGTGATTCGCGAGGCGCGCCAGCTCCTGCGCCATTGTTGGCTGTCGTCGCCATCTTGGCAAGAAGTAAAATGCTCCCGCAAGAGTCTTTCAGAGGGCCTTCTGCCTCATGAGCACTCCAGGGGCGACATCTTTGTCGGAGATCAGATAGGGACGGGCTTTGTCTGAAGGGAGAGACGAGCAGAGCGAAAGGGAGGAGCCGACACACAGACCTTTCTTCGCTCCGTGGGCGGACATAACGCCACGTGACTTTGCATCACGGTGCAGCACCGTACCTCGCGGAGGATTAGGTGTGGTCAAGCCACTAGCGGCCGGAGCCCACACGCTATCGATCTTGGGGCAGTGCCGGTCGCTGGCTCATTCTCCTCTTACCTCCCTCCATCACCCACAAGCCGGGAACTTGACGAACCACAAGATGACCATCGAATGTATTACGGCTAAAGCCAATTCGGCTCTGGCGACTGTCGACAAAGTGAGTCAAGCGTGTGAACGCTTTCATGGTCACGGTGGACTGATGCTAGCTTGCAGCTCCTGCCTGTGGTGGTTTTCTCCATCGTCTTAGCTTTCCTGCCATACTCGACTCGGAAGTTGCTTGTGCAATGGCGTGGCGTCCAGGCTCTCGACGCGCAGGGCGTCCCGAAGAAGATGAAGATGTCAGGCTCTGCCTCTGCAAAGTTCGCCTGGTTCAATCTCGGTCTCCTTTTCGCTCAGATTGTCGTTTGCGCCACCACCCAGCTCGACGAGTCCAGCGACCTATTCTGACCGTCATTCGCAAAGCAGTACTATTACTATCGCCGAGCTTGCTCTTTGTTTTCAGCGCCTTCTCGTTGGCGATAAACTTGTGCAACATCACGAAGTGCTCCGAAACCCTCGTGACTCGCACGGTTGCCAATCTCGAGATCAAGAAAGACAGCGTGCCAAAGGCCACTCTTGCCGTCGGTCTGCGACATGAATCAAAATCTCAGCATGCTCGAAGCTGGCAACATTACACGATCGTCGCACCGCTTTGCATGTTCCTCGTTATCTGTTTCTCGACAGCCAACGAGCCTCTGACTATGTTCGCTTTTGCGCTCGTCTCTGCCCTTGGCGCAGGATCTTGGTCAAGCTTCATGCCACCCAGCACTTATGGCGTCAGCTCCTCCACGGGTCAGCTTTCCCTGCGGAACAGACTCTACATTGCGAGTCTATTCTCCGTCAATGGTTCAATCTTCCTCGCCGACGAGATCATGACCGGGGTTGTTAACGGAACGAGCGTCTATCACGAGCGCAAGCCTGGCCAAGGTTTTCTCGACGCCTTTCTTTCGGACAAGACCTTGTTCCAATACCTGGCACTGGTTCAGATCTTCATCTGGACCTACCTAGCTGTCGTCTCTATCGATATCTGCGCCTTTGTCTATCGCTTCGAGATGTCGCGCTTGAACAGTGCTGACAACGCCGGGAATGAAGAGTCGCCCTCCGATGGCGAGGTCTTGAAGCAGGCGATCTCCGAGACAGAAGCCGCGCACGGCGACTTGATTCGACGCACAGACATTCGCTTCTGGTACGATGCCGCCCCCATCTCTCTATCTTCTCCGTCTCTCTCCGTCGCCAAGCCTCCACCCTCCAAGACGCCCGTCTATCGAGCGACAACGTGTTCCGTCGTCCTCGTCTATCTGCTCTTCCTATTTGAGCACCTCTTCTACCTCTCGCCACTGCTGCACAAGAAAAATGCTACCCTGCACTTGCCTCTGTTCCCGAAAGAGGGCCAGATGGTCATGACGCAGTTGTACTTTCCTTCGGCTATTTGCCTCTGCCCGGCAGTGTGCATCTGCGTCGCTCTGGCCGCCAGCGCTTGGTACTACGGTGGCATGCGAGGTGTCCGCCAGCTCTGGGGATACAAGGAGCAGTGGAACATCATCAGGCCCGTCGAAGTTTCGAAGCTAGGTTCCCCAGCAGCGACAGCTTCGACCGAAACAAAGGAAACAAAGGAAGATGAAAAATCTCTCCAGCTTTTTAGCTCAGGTAGCCTGGATCACGCGGACGAGCGTAAAGACGAGGAAGAAGCGGCAGCTCTTCTCAAAGACTTTTGAAGCACCTACCTCATTGGAAGATAACCTCAGTATGATTCTGTTCTCTTGGCCTTGGCTTGGTGTCTCACGATGGAAGCAATTAATGTGAATGATTCCTTATGAAGCGATCCGGTGGATGTCTACTTTTACAAACTAGTCCGGTCAAACAAAGGTGACCTTCTTCCTCTTCTTCGCTATATCTCCGTCCTCGTCGTTGACCCCGTCAACCTCGGGACGCTGCCTCTTTGGTGGAGTGAGCCCGTCGTGCATCGTCGTGGCCTCCTCATGGGCGCTTCTCGTCAACCTCTTCAGCGGTGTAGGGCTCGCATTGCGAAGGATACCTCCCCCGCCTCCCTTATGTCTCAACAGGGGCCGCTCGTCAAGCTTGCCGGCATCTGCTCCACTGACCTCGCTCTTTGGCACAAATCGAACCGCCGGCCGGCGTAAAGGAGCGCCAGGAACGTCGTCTGGCGTAATTGGCGGCGTAGGGGGAAGCAAGGACGCATCGATGTCGAAGCTTCGTCGCTCAACGGCGTCTAGACTCTCGTCTCTTTCAGAACTACTGTGGCTATGCACTTCCTTCCTCACATCTTCCATATTCGGGGGTGAAAGTGACTCTTTCTTCGCTTGCGGCATACGCTTCATTCTTAACGGTGGCGAGGGTGTGGATTTCGAAGTCGTCGGAGCAGAAGGAGCAGAAGAGAAAAGGTAGATGGGCTTTTTGAGTCTCCTCCCTTTCTCCAGCGGCGTCGGTGCTCCATGCTCCATCCCCGCCTTCTTCTCTAGGGCCTCGCGAATCGCATCGGCTCTCAGCCTCCTCCTCCCTCCGAGAGACTCTTCTTCCTCCTCGAGCAGCCTAAGCTCCGCATCGCGAATGTCCTCCTCTTCTTCCTCCCCGTCTTCCGCCTCGACAAATTTGGGGTTGGAGACGACTGCGCGCATCGACGGGTCGTCGGACATCTTTGCCACGTTGCCCACGCCTCCTGCGACAGACGATGACGTAGATGAGGCGTCTTCGAGACGGAGGCGGAGGACCTCCTCCTCGAAGGTACCCTGCATGACGAGCGTCAGGACCTTGACGGGCCGCGTCTGGCCCGTGCGCCACGTCCGCTTGAGCGCCTGCACCCTCAAAGCCCGATCGATGATGGGCTCCAGAAAGATGGCGTGGTTCGCACACGACAGGTCAAGGCCTCGTCCACCGACATTGATTTTCATAAGCATGAATCTTGCGTACGTCTGCTTCGATGTGAATGCGGTCACGGCCTCGTTCCGCTGCGCTTGGTTCGTGCCCGAGGCATAGATAAAGTGCGGGAATCGAGCAATCTCGAGCGCCGTGGAGACTTCGTAGAGAACGTTATCGAGGTTGCTGAAGATAATCGCTTTCTCGTCTCCAGGAACCGCTTCGACGAATTCCAGCACCCTCCTCAGCTTGGTACTGGACGTGGCTGTGAGTTGCACTTTGCCCAAGCTAGAGTCACGAGGCAGAAGGGTCTGTGTTGAGCCGCTCTCCATCATGCTGGTCAGAAGGTCCTTCTCGGCGTTACGCTTCTTGCTTGTTGCTCTGGAAGAAGAATGGGCAGCTCTGCGGCCAGTTGACGTCGATGACGAAGCCTTCTTCGCAGCCTCGTTGGCTGGCAGTGACGTCATCGTCGTCCCATTGGCTGATGAGTCTCTCTTCTTGTTTTCCCTGTCCATCCGGTTCCAATATTCGCGCCTGTCTCGGACGCCACGGGTGATGAGCTCCTCGACGAGCTCCTCGTCATCTAAGTCGTGACCATCAGGCTCAACACCTTCTTTGTTGTCCAGCCCAACTTCGACGGTCGTCTGCTGCACCTTCTGTCTGGCCTCTTGTGTAACGGTGACTGCAGCTCTCTGCATGGCCATGAGCTCTTCGGCGCTCATCATCGGTTTTTGAGTCTTTGGAACCCAGTTCCCCCGGAACCAGGCCTTGGCCACGTTTTCTGGAAGATTGACCGTCTCGAACGTCACGTCATTGGAGCGATAGAGCCATTCTTTGCTCCCCGTCGCCTTTCTGAGATGTCTGATTGCCAGATTTGCGGCACTTCTATCGGCTTGCTTCCACCGCCCGGTCTTGCTGAGCATCTTCCTCGCATGGGCCAAGGCATCCCACGCCTGCTGCGCCATGTCTGGTCCACTAAAGTGGAAGCAGGATAACGAAAGATTTTCCATGATCGTCGCCAAGTACTTGCGGTTCTTTGCGTGGAAGAAGTAGTCGTCGTCTTCTCTCTGCGACCAGACGGCGTTCAGCAGGATGAGGGCCTGCAAGATGTTGAAGGTCATTCGCTCGATGGCTGTGAAACGAAGGTGTTCGACCTTTTCCTCGAGCGGTGGCAGTGGATAGTCTCTTTCTACATCTTCGGCTCGGTTGCGGACCATGACATGTGACAAAATTCGGTGCAGCCTCGTAGACGCCCCCCATCCGGATCGGAGCAGGGGCTGAGACACGTGCGTGGACCAATCCCGGCGGCCTTCGTGACCGTCCAGGGGCAGTCCGAGAAAGGAGCAGACGAGGGCGTCCAGCCGGTCGAGATCCCTCTTTTCGCTCTTAGAGACGCTGAGCATAGGCCAGTCTAGTCGCTTCGGTCTCTCCACGTCACCCTGACGCTGCTCGCTTTCCTCCTTGCCCTGTCCTTGGCGGAACAATGTCGATCCCACGAGCGTTTCGGTTGGTGTCCCGCTCACGATCCAGCGGCATTCTGCTCGTATCCGTGCAGCAAGTCTCACCATGGCGCTGTTTCCCGCGGCAACGTGGCCCTCGTCGACGACGATTCTCTTGAACTTGCACTGGAGCAGCGGGCTGGTGCCCGTCGCTGGTCCCAGATCGGGCGGCGGAGGACATCTACAGTCTCGTATCCGCGTCGCACCAATGAAAGGGCACTGGCAGGCCCGAGGCACGATTGGCCACTTGTAATCTAGCACACCCTCCTCGTTCTCACGACCAAACCTCGCGTGACTGAGAAGGATGACGTCGTATCGATTGGCCAGATCGACGGCGCTCGGCAGTGGTGAAGAAACACGAGGCAGCGAGAGAATTCGGAGCGAGCCCGGCTCCATGTGTTTGTGGAACTCTTCCTCCCACTGAAGGAGGAGTGTGCCTGTATGCGGCGGTGCCGGGGTCAGAGAGGGACAACAACATGAAAGACGGACTCTGCTTACCAGGAACAAGAACCAGCGTCGCAGGACTGAGGTAAATGCGGAGTGGCTTGCGGGGAATCTCCACGCGGTACGATCTCGTCGGGCGAGGAGGCCAGAGGTGGAAGAATGGTGTGGCGTCGATTAGCCTCTTCTGAAGAAGTCGGAGCTGGAATTGCACCTCAGGCTGATCCTCAAATTGCTCGCCAGAGAAGGGCTGCCCAGTGGCTCTGACCCGGTGCGTGCAGATATCTGAGAGCTTCGGCAGCTCGACCTTGGCAGCTTCCGGCGAGGGTGAGACCACAGTGGGTGGTTTCTTGTGCGACTTGACATACTGTCTCATGACCTTTTCCATTGTCTCGATCTCCTTTGAGTAGTTAGGCAAAGCCTCCAGTTCTCCATCGTTCTCCGGAGCCGGATCGTCGCCATGGCAGTCCTTATGTGGCCATTTAAGAGCCACCTGGCTCGTCACGGCGCTGGCCATGCCCTCCTCGTTGTCGGATACGTTCGGCAGAGTGCCTCGGGTGAGAAGGAAGAGACAGATGCACTCAATTGTCTTTCCTACGCCCATCTCTTCGCTCAAGATGCCCCCTCGAATGTCAGTGACGGGGTCGACATCGGATTCGAGCTTGACGGTGAGCGTGTGTGGGTCGACGTACAGCCTGGTGCCGTCGCCACAGAGCAATTGAACCGGCCAAGGGTCTTGCAGAGGCTGAAGCGCCTGCTCTCGTTGAAGCATCCTGGCGAGTGCATGCATTTGGTAGGTGAAGAGCTGTGATACCAGGCCTGGCGGTGCGTCGACGCCATGTGAGGGCGGCGAGGGCAGCGCTCGATAAATGCCCTGAAGCGTATGACCAGCCTGAGTGATGCTGTCAGCCTTCGTAACCAAACCATACTTCTTGCAGTCCGCAAAGACTCACCATTGTATCTCGCACGAGGTACCTCCATTTCCCCGAATCTTCCCTGACCCTGACCTCATCGAGAAATTTCAGCAGATCCTTGCGCAGCTCGCTGGTCGGCCTCACTCCGATCGCCAGTTCCATCATCGCACAGCCATCGTTGGCTGAACTCTTGACCAGGCGAACAAGGTCCTGCGACACAAGTCTGGCCAGCGCTTCATCTTGCCGGACCTCGACACAGCCAACCGACACGAACAGCCGGTCGTGCTGCCCCATGGTCGTCCTTCTCAGCGCTCGTAATTTTGCGCAGCGAGGGAATAAGCAACAGCTCTGACGCGAGGCTCGCTCTGTCGTGCCCTGTGCTTCAGCATCCGAAATCCATGCCAGCTCGAGCCAGCTGTGCTGAGCTGCCGTCGATCAAATGAGCGGATCGAAGAAGGTGAGAGGTGAACGAACCTCTCGATCACCATCAGCACTAACTCCTTTTTCAAAAAATATCGAGAGGCTCGGGCCTGCAGGGAGTGTCGCGTGGGAAAAAATTACGTTTCCTCCACAAGGACTGCCACACGCTGGGCCAACATCGACCTCACCAACTTTACAGTCTTTTGTCTAGTGTCTCGATTCAGGCCCAAACACCTTTCTTGTATGCAACATGCGCTTCCAGGCTTCCATGCCGCCTTGGCTAAAGCCTGACATTATCGAGACTGGACCAGGGCAGAGCGATCAAGGTCAAATGGATTCACAGCAGCAGCCGTCACCGACGGAAGTCTCTTCTCCGTCTTGCTCTTCGCTCGACATCCCCATCGCTTTGTTCCTGCCACTTGCTCCTCGGCACCAGAAAGAGCCCTCCTGCGAGCCGCATGTTGCATCTTATGTCCTACAAGAGCAGCAAGATGGCGACTTGGAAAGCTTCAGCGACCAGATTAGGCAAGAGGAAGTGCATACAGAGACATCTGCAAAAGTTGAGACGGGATTGTCTGGTTAGCTTCTCTTCTCTCGCTCTCTCCCTCTACTTGGTTTTGACGTCCCTGAGGCTGCATCTGACCTTGTATTTCTGCCGATCTTCGTTTTGAACAGGAGAAGTGGTTTGTACGAAGAATCCAGAGGATCTGGCGAGAAAAATAGAAGAGCAAGCTGCCCGTGAAAGTCAAGAGATTACTGCAGGATTCGATGCCATAGAAGCAAGGCTGAAAGAAATGAATAAAGTCGAGGAGAAGCTTCTATCGGAAGGCCTGGACGGCGACCGCTTGAAAGTAAAGGAGAAGAGGGCAGAGCACGGGCACACGGTCGATGAAGAGGGCATAAACATTATGGAGACCAAGGAGAGCGCCGACATTGTCAACGAGGAGAATGGCCTCAGCATCGTCGAGAGGACAGGTAGGAAAGCTACGGTTTTAAGCACAGCAAGCAAGGTGCCAGAGTCGAAGACCAAAGTAGTCCAAGGTCCAAGGGCTATGGAACCTGAGAACGTTGCTCACATCGAGGAAGCCAGTGAGGAGCATAAGAACGAGCCTTTGAAGAGCTGCCTCCAGACTCCCGAAACACAAGTCGAGACCGCTTCTGAGTTCGTCTCCGGACGCATGGCTCTGAAGAGAGAAGAGGTTGTCTGCGAAAAGTTTCAAGGTGTGTTGTTAAGTGCCTTTTCCTGTTACGAAGCTCAATCTCACGTTTCTTTCAGAAGCGGTTGAAGAGTGCGCAAAAGCCCTGCAAGAGGACGGTGCAGTGGAACTTTGGTTTGAAGACGACGATATGAACTCGTCAGGACCGGCAAAGGAGAGAGCCTTGCTAAAGGAGAAAAGCGGCAAACATGGATCGAACGGCGTTGTCTCTTGCGAAGCGAGAGCGGATGATTTCCGGAGGGCGACAAGGGGATTTCGCGGCTCGCCGGTGATGACCGACTATACTCAGGCTCCTGCAAGCGAGTCTCGTTCAGAAAGCAAGATCCAAACTGCAGTAGTGTGCAGAAAGAGATCGAGGGGCAGTTCAGCTGATGCACCGCTCAGAAAAAATCGCACACGACGCGAGCATGTCACTTTGTCGAGCCCAATTCGTGCGCGCTCAAAAGGCAGCTTTCGGGATGCAGAAGCAGAAACCGAAGCACCGATCGCGGCTGGAATGGACGGTAATGCAATACCAAGCTCTGACGCTGACGAGAGCGTTATATATGCGCCAGATCCTGTCTTTATGCGCTTCTCTGAAACACGGTCTGGATTGGAGGAGCTCTACCGAGAAGCCATGGACCTTACGAAGAAGAATGAGAAGTTGCAACGCAAGCTTGAGGGTCGCCAGAAAGAGAATGCGCTCCTCAGGCGGAAGATCAAGCAATTGCGTGCAGACAACCAAGCCAAAGAAGAGAAAAGCGACCCTGAGGGCCGAGCGAATTGAGCATCTCATCGTTCATCCCGAAAATGTGGCTTCGTCTTTATCTCGCCAATCGCGGCGAAACTACCCATAGACCCTAGCTACGTACCGCTCGCCGCTGGCAAGGGGCTATCCTGTGTAATATAGTGAAATACAGCTCCCAAAAACCATCCACAAAATGGTAGGTCGACAGCAAGGTGCGTTTAAAGTTTCCTGCAGCCTGATTTGCACCGAGAAGTCACCGAAAATATTGCAGAGAGAGTCTAGAAATGTTGAGGAAAAACCCTCTTCCAGGGCCTGTGCTATTGTTGAAGTCGATCGAGCCAGTCGGGGGATCCCTGCCTCCCTGTGCTGAGATGAGACCGAACGACCCTCGCATAGGACACTGGCAACAATCCCTGAACGAAGCTTCATCTAACTGGTAGCATCGTAGTAGTAGTCGTTAGTGGTATTGCGCACTACTCCACTTGGCCTGCCTTGTTCGCACTGTCACGCAAAGAAAGCAGACCTGTTTGTCGACGTCGAACTCTGATTAGACATCCATTAATACGAACGACCAGCTCGTGCCAACGCTCGTCCATCTGCTCATCTGTGACAGCAACACGATCTTCATCTCCGCCTGAATTATCGGCACCACAGCGACTCCTCACCGGCCGGTCCTTCTAATCGACGGGTTGCAGCAGACGGTGCAGAGCAGGAACAAGGCACGCGCGGACGCTACAGTTTCGTCATTGGATTTTCTATTCTATTTCTTCGGGGATAGGTAAAAAGCAAATCCCCCCTCTCTTGCTCTTTGAAGCAGCCAACTCGACAGCTCTTGCTTGGCTTTCTTCGTCAAGTCTTCAAGAGCCATCACCAGCCAGCGGGCGGTGCGGCTGCTGTCGGTGAGTATCGGCGACCAAATAAGCGCTAGAACCTCCTTCCAGAGCGACTGGCAGACCAGGCCAGGCTGGCTAGGGGCCTGCGCAGATCCGAATACAGCAAAGCCAGGCCTCGCCCTTTCTGACTTTTTTCTATTCAGACAGACGCGTGCGTCTTTGCCTCGCCTCTCTAAGAGAATCCCAGCCTCTCTCTTTTCCTGCCCTCGTCGCCGGTCCAATCTCTGCACCTTTGCGTTGGACTTCGTACCTCACCACCTCTTGCGCTGCTCAAAGTCAACCAAGAGGAGCTCCTCTATCTCTATAAGGGCTCGACTTGTTGGCACAGCGCTGGTATTCGTGCGCCATCCGGTTTTCAAGTCTCGTTAGCTGTTCAGCAAGAGACGAGCTCCCCACACCCGCGCACATCTCACCTCGTCCTGGCGTCAGGCGATCGCTTCCTTCAGTACAACATTTGCCCATCAACTTTTGAACACAGCCGGCGTCCTTCTCAGGAACGGTTGTCAAATCTCTCGTTTCGAAAGAGCGTAGCGGGCCACAACCCTCGGAACTGGGCTTTATAATCGCTATCTCCACACCAGGCTACGATAGCCATGTCGCTCTAGTCCGACTCTTCACTACCCTGCGCACTCGCCACCCTTTCTTGTGCAACGCTTTTTCCTCTTTCGACAGCCTAGCATTCCTCGCGCGCATTGGTAGTCACCTTCTAGAACCCTCGCCCGCCTCGATCCGCCTTACTACCCTTGTGGCGCCACTCGATCCCCCACCCCAAGGTAACACCTCGATCACATCTGCCCAAGATGATGTCCGCACCTGCGCCTTACCCAGTTGTGCAGGCCTCGGCGCCGGCGCCGGATGACCATCAAATCACCAAGCGGACGCCGTCAATCTGCGTAGACTACCTCTCTCACAACTGGACCGACGAAGATGTCTGGAGCAGCTGGAAGGCCATGACAAAGGTGAGTTGGAAGGCAAAGCAGAACAGTCCATTACTGACACACTTTTTACACCCTTGGCTCGCAATAGAAAAAGAACGAGATCGCCAACGGAGTCCGGTTGGAGAATGCGAGCTGGAGAACTTGGGCAAAGCAGAGGGGAAAGCTCAAGACCATCAGCCCAGAGACACTGAACTGGTACGTCTCGCATGCATCTTCTCTGTCCTGCCGTATATCAATCTCGTCACTGACCGGTCTTTTCCCCTCTTCAGGCTCAAGGACAGCGATGTTACCTGGCTTTATGGTCCCCTTCACGAGCATGCTGAACCTGTGCCGCCGCCAAAGGTGGCGAGCACCCAAGATCGGCTGGACCTCGACACATCGCGCATGACTAAGTCTATTCTCAAGCACCGGACCATCTCCGAAATGCTCACGACACCAGGTCGAAGCGCAAGCCCAAACATGGAGTTCCCTTCGAGTGTCGATGCGTCGAGAGAGACGAGTGACGACGAAGAAGAGGCAGTCGCAGGGCAAGGCTCGTCAAGATCAAGCGGGAGACCGGCGATCTTTGCCGTCCGGAGTGACACCAACCTCAGCGCGAAGAAGCGCAGGACGGGCGGAAGCCCTCCGGCTAGCGAGCGTCTGCTGCAGAAGCTCGACCAAGCCCCAGGCCCTGTCAGCGAGAGGAGCAACAGCAGCAACAACGTAAACGGGGGTGGAGAGGAGCGAAGACATATCAGCTTCAATCAACGCGTAGACCAGTGCATCGCAGTCGACGTCGAAGACGATAGCGATGAAGACGAAGACGGGGATGAGGACGAGGATGACGTCGACGAAGACGATTCTGACGGCGAGTACAGCGGACGTAGGGGCAGCGCGAATGAGACGTCCGAGGACGAGACGCCTTCGTCAGATGACGAGGTTCTCACAATGAAGTCGAGCCCGAGAACGTCGCCCTCCTGGCCCCTGACCTCTGCGGCGACGGTGATTTCGTCACGCGGCTCAAGCCCGGGCTCTGATCATCAGACAATTGCCAAGCTGGCGCCCACGTTGTTGAAGACCAGCGAGACATTTCCAGGTCCTTCGCCTGCTGTCGTCGACCCTACCGGCTTCAAGCAACTACATTTTGGCCCCAACGGCGAGGGCAATCAGCCAACCCTTGCAAGCCAGTCATTTGGCTACGACGATGGTGACGATGACAATGATGCCTCACAGACCCGTTACAGCCAGTGGGACGCAGATGACGACTTTGGCGGCGACTTCGACTACTTCAACGGTCCTGACATGAGCGAATCTTATCCAGGGGAGAGAGATGGCTCCAATCACGGGTCTGCAACCCACAGCTCGACGGACGACGCCAACGAAGGAGAGGATATTAACGCGACAGAAGAGAGCAATAACACGCAATCAAGTGCTGCAAGAGCTGGACCGAAGAGCATCCTCAAGCGCAGGCCGATACCTTCAGAGGCTGATTTGGCCGCTGACAGTGTCGCTGGCGATGTCGACATTCTCGGCACGTCGCAGCCAGCTTCAGCGGCGCCACCAGCGCCCGCTGTGCATTCGCCTGGAGAGGGTTTCCAGTCTCCAACCTCACCCACGTCGCCTGGCTCGCCTTCGTCGGGCGAGAGGGGACGACCGTCGCAGAGGCTAGGGAGTTCGGCCAGCTACGAGAGAGTTCAGGATGCAAGTCGAAGTGGAGGAGTTGCTGCTGCAGGAAGCAGCGGTCGAGGGAGGAGCAGCTCCAATGGCAGCATCGCATCTTCCTCGACGAGTCCGACCCCGACAGGGAGCGGTATGGGCGCGGACGACGGTGCCGGCGGGAGTTTTGCCGGTGGCAGTGGCAGTGGCACCGTCAACAACAACAGCAGCAGCAGCAGCAGCAGCAGCAACAACACTTACCGACCATCTGAACGTCGCGAATCCTTTCGAGGCCGAGCAGGCGACGGAGCAAAGGCGATGGGACCGGGGCAGCAGTCTGGCCCAGCGTCGGCGCCTCGACTAGTCCGAGGTGCCAACCAGGGGCAGTCTGCTTCTGGAACAGCCGTTGACTCAGACTCGGATGGTAGGGGCAGCTTCGTTTTTGCGAGTCCAAACTACCCTGCCAGCCCGCTGTTGGGCGATCGCAAGGAGGGCGAAACGGATGGCTCAGATGGCCTCAGAACAGGCGGCGACGGAAATGATGCCAAGATGTACGGACGACGAGAGGACGACTCAAAGTGGGCCGACGAGGGCGCCCCCACTGCGGTTGCCTCGTCTCCCGTACAAGCCAAGAAGAGGAGCAGTGCCAGTGGCAAGAAGGTGAAGAAGCAGCAAGCAGGCGACGAGTATGTCGATGACAACAACGAAGGACACCAACGCTTGAGTGTCGATCTGGAAAATTTGCCCAGAGTTGATGCGAGCAAGAGCCCAGAAGACGCTCCCGGGGGCCCCACGCCACTGAACACGCCCACGCTGGCGCTGGCCAAGTCACGGTCCTCTGCCAGACAGCGAGGAGGCTCGACCTCTACTGCTGGACGGTCGACAGATGAGGACAGCAAGGCGCCGCCGAGTCCGACGATTCCGAGGCGATCAAGTGCGACGGGTGCTCTTGTTGCCCCCAGCGATGCTGATCGAGACGCCGGTGTTCGCGTTCCCCTGGCCCACGACTACGTAGAAGAAGATGAAGGCGGCATCGTGGGGAGGGCCGTCGAGATTGTCAACACAGCTAGGGATCTCATCGGTGCCTTGCTCGGGACCGGCGGCGATCGGGGCCGGAGCTGGAGGGAGGCTTCATGATTCCTTCAACACGCAAACACACAAACATACAAATAGCTCGATTCAGGTTCTCTCGGTTGAATGGCCAGGTCACATTCTCTAAGACTCTCACCCAAGCCATGTTCGCGGCGACCCACCCTAGCACATCTGTCGCCTCATTCCCTCCTCTTTTATCAATCGATGGGCATTGTTCAGGTATAGCACTCTTTTGCGCTAGTCAGCCGGGATTGAGCTGAGCGCATGTTCTTCAGTCCCAAAGAAAGTGAGGACTGACATGCAAGAAGTCCACGGCACTCCGGTGCGTACAGAGCCAAGCACAAGACTTGTTTCAGGCCGCGTGTCAAGCCTTCTTCGGTACGTGTTCGGAAAACAGTGAAGGCAGGACTTCGGATCTACCGTGATCGGAAACGGTGAGGGCGAAACTTCGGATCTACTCTTATTCGGAATCGAGACGGAGCCAGACGTGGGCCAGATCCGTGCCCTGGCTGTAAGGGTCACTTATTCCACTCGGCACGCGGTCGGTTGGAAGTGACTTTTGCCAGTCAGCAGGGGGACCCTCCGATTAATCAAACACCGCACGTACACTCAACATTGTATTTGCCCGTCCTTTGTTCTACCGACGGCACGGAGAGAGAGGGTCAATGACGATTTGTTCGCACACAGCTCGCCCGTTCTTTGCCTTGGCATCCTGGTGCAGCGCACAGCCGCTTCAGAAAACACCTAGGCCCTACGACGGCAGAAGATAATCATATGCGCAGCCCGCTTTGAATTCTTTTGCAAATTGTTTGACCGCGTGTCGCAGCAACAGCGAGAGAAGGAGGCGGTGCGGACGCGCGCGCGGCGCGCACACAGAGAGAGGAAAAAGTGGCACCATGCGGCGGCGCAAGCCGGGTTTTTTTTTTTTTTTTTCTCAGGTTTTAAGACTTATCCAAGTGACGTGTGTTGTTCCGCAAGGAAAGATGCGAAAAGTAAAAATAGGACGGCGTTGCAGGCGGCGCAGGCACACGTTGGGCATCAAATGGGTAGAGGGGGTGGCAGCCCAGGCGCCACAGAGCTGTATTTGAATAGGAAAGATGAGGCGCGAACGACAGGAAGGTGGGGAGGCCCAAGAGGTGAAGAGTAGCTGTTCCTCTATCACCACCTGCTCTCTCTCTATCTTTCCATTTTCTTTTGCAAGACCGGTCGTTTTCTACCTAGATCCCCCCGGTCGGCTTCCTCTGCTAGCAGGCCTCGGTCTCTGGAACAATGCTTGGCAAGCAGCAGTCGAAGGGATACGACCGCATTCCTACCGAAGCTGATGAGGACGAAAAGCCGTACGACGTCGACATTGAGCCTGTGCACGATGATAACGACGAGCTCCTCCTCGCTGCTCGGGGAGCACAGCGGCACGGGCGTCAACCAAGATGCACATGGATCATCGACAAACGCTTTACAGTGCCCTTGATCTGTCTCGTCGTGACCCTGGTGCTCTCGATTCACTTCGACTGCCCCAGCACTCTCTACCTCTATCTCGCCTACCTCTTTGTGGGCTTCCCAATGGACATCGCCTACGAGCTTTATCCTCGTGCTACCAACACCGACAACGGCGGCGCAAATGTGAGCAAGTCGAGGAGGATCGGCAAGCTCAGGGCAGTGCACCTTGCGAAGCTGCTGGCGGCATTCTCGATTTGGTGCTGGGCGCTCGCCTCACCGCTGTTGGGGCTCACTCTTCATCCAGGTCCCATCGGGGACAGCCAGGTGGGGATGCCTTCTTCCCTTTTACTGAAGCCTCTGGCGACGACGACAGCGACGAGGCCAACAACACCGACCCACCGACCTCAGGGGCCCATCTTCCTCGCGGCAAACCTATACAATTCGGCGCACCTCTTTCCACGCTTTACTTCGAGCCTCCTCGACCTCATCGATACGCTGGGAGGGCCTTCCAACATCTACGTGAGCCTGTACGAGTCCAACTCCGCCGACGGCGGCCAAATGCAACACCACTTGGCCGATCTCGACAGCGTCCTGGCGGCCCGCAACGTCTCGCGGAGGATCCACTGGGGAGGCGACACGTTTCGCGAGGAGCGTGTCGGCAAGGAGGATCGCAAGCGGGGGAGGATCCGCTATTTGGCCAAGGTCAGAAACGAGGCATTGCGGCCGCTCGACGAGGGGCTGAGGGGTATCGACGGGAGAGATTTCACCAAGGTGCTTTGGCTGAATGAGTGAGTGAGGCGCAAGGCGCAACCTTAGATCCTGAGCCAGACTCGAGGGCAGATGCTAACGGGTGCCGAATTTTAACAACAGCATCGTCTTTGATGCACCCTCGATCATGACACTGCTCGATACGATGGGCGGTGCATATGACCTTGCATGTGCTTTCGACTACATCCCCCTTGGCCTCTACGATACGTGGGTGACGCGCGACGTAGAGGGCTTCCGCACCAAGCCGCTGTGGCCCTACTTTGAACGACAGAGCGACGTGGAGAAGCTGCAGAGGGGCCAGCCGATATCAGTCAACAGCTGCTGGAACGGCGCGGCAGCCTTCGACGCCAAGTGGTTTGTTTTACCGGCGAACTCGTCTGGCGGAGCGCGCACATCGACGATCAGGTTCAGGACGTCTTCGAAGTGTCACTCGTCCGAGTGCCTCTTGGCTTCGCTTGACATTCACAAGCACCACCGCAGCCTCGACCCGACCTCGAGGCCGCGCATCTACATGAACCCGCTCGTTTCGGTCGCATACGAGGCGCGCATCTACTTTCTCTACAACGGCCTCATGAAGTGGACCATTGTGCAGCCGTGGCACGTCGTGTGGGAGGGTTGGGTGTCCAGCTGGCTCTTCAAGCGCTGGACCGACGTGGGCAGAAAGGAACCGAGCTGCAGAGAGGCGTTCAAAGATGACTGGGCACCCCCTCCTCCTCCTTATTCAGAAGGAGAGGAAAGGACAGCCATCATCAAAGCGGCAAGCAGGTAGAAACCAAGTCGAGATCTCTTTCTCTCTCGCTCACATATCCAGTAATATAGAGTTTCCAGTTTTGAGACCATTGTTTTTGGGTGATCTATTACTGCTGTGCAAGCTCCCCTTTACCCCTTCCTGGACCCGCTACACGACTTTCTCGACTGGGTCGCTGAATATTCTCCGGCCGGCCTTCCAGTTGGAGTAGTATCGGAGGTAGGCCTCGTTGAGAACGAGGGTAAGGACCTGCGACGAGGGTGGATCAGCTTGTGAATAGATTGCGAGGGGAAAGGGCAACGCACTGTGTGAGGCGCAATCCGCGCAAGGTGAGCCGTTGTGCCCTTGTACCACGCCAGTGGCCCCTCGGTCTTGGCCGTGAGGTAGAGGCAGTGCAGTGGGCCTCTGTACAGCGTCCCGACGGACTTTCCCCTCGCTTTCCAAGTCGAAAGAGGAAAGAAGCAGGAGCGTAAGTGGGGGGGTTTGAATGTTAGAAAGAGGGACCCTGACTCACCATCGATCATCGTCGGCTGGTTGTACACCCTGCTCAACGCCGTGTCGGCAGGCTGCATGACTGCACAGACGCAGAGGCCGCTAAACGTCGACGAGGCCAGGTATGTCCAAAAGGAGTTTGGCTTGCCCGCAAGAAGCAAGAAGGGATTGTAGGTGCCCAGGGCATTGTTGTCGGGCGTGAGACCGACGAGGTAGGTCTTGAACCAGTTGTAGGCCGGCAGCTGCACTGTGCTCCCCATCGCTGTCCGGAGGATGGCTGCGTCCATGCCTCTGGCCAGCCCGCGCACGCCGTCGGTCCTAACGATGCTCACCAGGCCGTCGAGGGCATTTTTGTAGTGGTACGACGTCTTCCCGATGGTGAAGTGGGGTGAGTAGGCCTGCTGACGCGCCTTGACGAGGAACAGCGGGTTGCCCAGGATCGCACCGACGACGCCCGAGCTGGCACCCGCAGCCAGTGCACCGGGTGCCCAGACCTCTTTGACGTCGCGCCCGGCAAGACGACTGAATGCGCGCCGAAAGGGCTCGTAGAAGCCCAGGCGGCTGCCGTTGAGGCAGACCTGGTAGACGAGGGCCGCACCGAGGCCGCGCTGGACACCGGCGACGCCCTCGGTCCGTGCCGTCTTGCGCAGGCAGTCCCATGCGTTTTTGTAGAGCCGCTGCTTGGAGGCGCCCGACTCCAGCAGCTCGCCCTGGAGCTGCATCCTCGTCTTGACCGCCTCGGCGGGGTTCGAGAAGAGGACGGCACTCGACGCAGCGCAGGACCCGACGGCGAATCCCTCGAGCGTCGAAATCTTGACGGGCGGCGCCGGCGCCGCGACTTGCGTCTCGGGGCCCTTGAGTCCAGGCCCAGTCGTGCCAGCATTGGCGCCCGTTTGCGCCCTCTGTACAGACGCCATTTGCACGACGAGATCGATCAGATCGGTGGAGGCAAAGAAGAAAACGGTTCCCGAAGACCCTCAGAAAATTGCAAAGCGCGTTCGGTCTTGCCGTTCTTCCGTCCGTACGTCCGGGTGTCCTGCGTCCGGCGTGTCCGTCAGTCTGCTCATCGCTTTCGCGGTTGGTGAAGGCCTTTTGCCGTCTCTTCGTCAAATGTCACTGTTTCGGTTGGCTTATCGAAAATCACACAATTCTGGCTTCTTCTTCTTCTTCTTTTCATGGTAATCGTTTAAATCATCAGAGCGAGAAAGAGAGACCTGTATATACACAACCACTACCATCGCTTCCTTTTAAGAATTCACTTGACTTGGCCCTTGTCCACTTTACAGCTTCTTCTCGACAATGGCGCGCAGGTCCTTGTTGGCCTTGTCGAACGAGCGGATACCCTCGTGGAGCTTGTCGAACGCCATGGTGTCGTCGAAGAGAGCCCACGAGAACTTGGCGTGGTCGTCGACAAACGAGACCTTCTCCATGGGGTCCGACTTCTTGGCGCTCTCGGGCGAGAGCTTGCGCTCGAGGCCACCCTGCTTCTTCTTGAGCTCCTCGAGGAGCGCAGGCGAGATGGTGAGGAAGTCGCAGCCGGCGAGCTCGGTGATCTCGTCGACGTTGCGGAACGAAGCGCCCATGACAATCGTCTTGTAACCGTGCTGCTTGTAGTAGTTGTAGATCTTGGTCACCGACTTGACACCAGGGTCCTCGTGGGGTGCGTACGAGTCCTTGCCCTCGGCCTTCTTGAACCAGTCGAGAATGCGGCCAACGAAGGGGCTGATGAGCGTGACACCAGCCTCGGCGCAGGCGACGGCCTGGCCGAAGCCGAAGAGGAGGGTGAGGTTGCAGTGGATGCCGTCCTCCTTCTCGAGCTCCCTGGCAGCCTGGATACCGTCCCAGGTCGAGGCAATCTTGATGAGGACGCGCTCCTTCTCGACGCCCTGCTCCTTGTAGAGCTGGATGAGGTGCTTGGCCTTGGCCTTGGTGGCCTCCTTGTCGAACGACAGGGCAGCGTCGACCTCGGTCGAGACACGGCCAGGGATGATCTTAAGGATCTCGACACCGAACTCGACGAGGAGGCGGTCGCAGGCAAGGTCGACCTGCTTCTGCTTGTCGTTGCCGCCCTGCTCCTTGGCGTACTTGACAGCAACGTCAATCAGACGAGCGTACTTCTCCTGCTTGACAGCGGCGAGGATGAGCGACTGCAGAGGAAGAAGAATAAAGTCAGCCACAGCTTCTCCAGGCGGTCTCCATGCGTCAAAAAGCAGCGACTTACAGGGTTGGTTGTCGCATCCTGGGGCTTGTAAGCGTCGATCGACTCGAAGTCACCCGAGTCGGAAACGACTGTGGCGAAAGTGAAGAGGATAATCAGTAACTTGTAACGAGAGAGAAGAGAGGGAGAGAAGAGATTTAAAGGGTGGGGGAAAAGGAAGGAGATAAGTACTCACCAGCAGTGTACTGCTTGAGAGCGTCGAGCTGAGTGCCGGCCATTGTAGTTATGAAAAGTGGTAAGCTACAGGAAGAGGAGGGCTGGAACTGTAAATCTTTTGGTAAAGGGTGGTGGGAAAGGAGGAAAAGTTCGACGAGGTGTTGGAAGCTTTTATGTGGACCGAATGCTGCCGTCCGTTCGTGCACCACCCTTTTGTTGGTCCGACCGAGAGAGAGAAGTTGTAATCTTCGCGATCGCAAATTTTGAATTAAAGCCTTGAACAAGGGTTCAGAAATTCTAATCTGCACCTTCAGATCGTCATGTGCAAGCTATCGCCTCGATCGCCCTCTTGACCGGGTCCCGGGACGAGGCCTTCACACCATCATCTGCTTCTTTTCCCCAGCTGCTTCCATCTGTGAGTCGACAGGGCATCACTCTTATCATTGTCCAACATCGTCGACAAAAAAAAAGCCCGAGGGAAGGAGACCCTGTCGAAGAGGGTAGTCGAAGAACGCATAGGAAGACCTCCCTCACCGTCCGATGACGTTATCTCGCGCGAACTTTGCCACGTGTTTTAGAAACCACTCTCGACAAGGGAGGACGAACTATCATTGATGCACCTTGGACGTGCAGACATGAATTCACAAACTTAGAGGGACGGCGGGAAAGCAGGTTTGTAGTGATAGATGGATTGCTGGCCTTACTGCGCCACGGCACCGTACTGTTGAATAATAGGATCAGCGCGAGCCCTCGGCGAACAGGCATGAATGACTCACGTTGGGCGGGGGCTGGTTGACCTGCGCTCCGGGAGCGGCCTCGTAGACGCCCGAGCCCTTGTACTGTGGGGTTTGGTACGAGTGTGAGCTTTCCCTGCCTCTTCACATAGCAAGGTCACAAAGCAAAACTCACGACGAATCCGTGAAGACCGTACTTCTCCTCGGCCTTCATCTGTTGGGTTGCGGCTCATGTCAGCAAAGCTCCTCCTGATGGAACAGTTCATCCGACTCGTCACAAACCTTCTTGTAGATGAGCCAGACTGGCAAAGGAGACTGGTTATCAGTCTGAAGTCTTCGAAAGAGCAAGGATTGCACTTTTTCTTGAGCCGATCAAAGAGCGCTACTCACAGGCATGAATGTGACCGGGCAGGTAGCCCAGAATGGTGAGGAGGATGTTGATCAGACTGGGCCGCACTGTCAGCTCGCGCACGTTAACTAATCGCGAAGCTACCAATCACGAGGCTCACAGATCACAGGAGCATCCCGTCACAATGGCGGCTGCCGCCGGCTAGAGATCACGTTTCATGTGGTCAGTCTTGGGACTCTTTAGACCGCTTGTCTACTGCACCTCTACTCACAGGGAAGAGAATAGCCACGAGGATGAGGAGGATGTCGCTGCCCTTGACCATGATGGAGACGCTTCAGCTGGTAGTGATGGTTGATTGTGGAAGCAGAATGCGGATGATAAGATCTCACACCGCCCTCTGTGGAGTGAGGTCGTGGAAACGACATTAGAGGCCACGTGTCACGTCAAAATCGCGGAGTAGACTCTCTCCGTTGTTCTGTGAGGAAATTTCTAAAGTGAGGAGCTGAATACAAACATTTTTAAGGGGGTTTTACAAAACGGCGAGGCAGAAGAGGGGCATGGCGCGACGCCTTGTTTTCAGTCGCCAACCTCACTCCTCGCCAACGACGACAACGAGAGCGGCGACGACAAGGGGAGACCAGACCCCTTTCTCCAACCAACTCGGTGCGGCCACGCCCAACCATTTTCTCACTTACTACACTCGTTTACACCACCACCCAAAGGGACCCAGCCCGTAAAGTCTTTTTCTCTTCTATTTCCCACGTCTTTTGACAGCTCTTTTCCAAACACAACCTAGCCAGTCATGGACCGCATTTCACGATTTTCGCAGTACCTTCGGCCGCAGCGACCTGCGCCTCAGCCCGAACCTGACGCCCAGGCGGCGTACGAGTCGGAGAAGCGGCCCGAGGAGCAGCAGGAGATCTTGCAGGGCGAGAGGGAGGCATCGCCTCAGCCTCTGGTCCCAAAAGACCACGAGCAGGTGCAGGAGCAGGTGCAGGACCGAGACGCCCTGAGGAAGAGGCAGACGAGGAGGTCGCTCATCCTCACGACGAGTGCCAGTCGAAAGCGTCTCCCCACACTCGCGGAGGTGCTCGCCCGCCGCACGCTACCACCGGTCGACCTCTACTGCTACTACCTTTACCTGCAGCGCGAAGGCTCCGAGGACGCTCTCGACTTCTGGCTCGATGTTCAGCAGCACGAGAACCTCTGCCGCGCCTACTTTAAGGACCTGAGGAGGAGCGGCAAGTCTATCCGGGATGACTGGCCAGGATACTACCAGGAGGCAAGGCAGAGGGGCTCGATCTACAACCGCTTCAACGGCATCGAACACGATGGAGGCAGCCAGGTCGAGGAGGTCAACGACCCCGAGCATCAGTCTTCGATCGCACACGACAACGCCGGTCCCATGAGCAGCAGCCATGGACATCGCGAAGCTGCTGCTGCAGCGCTGAGCAGCAGCCACGGACACGAGCAAGCCCCTGGCATCGAGGCCAGTAGCCACGGGCACGACCGTCCTGCATCAAGGGCGTCGGACGGCGAGTGGAAAAAGTTCGAGGACGAGCCGACGTCTGGGCCCCGGTTCCCAGGCGACCCAGAGTACCAGATGCGCCAGTCGACGGACCGTGCCGAGCGCCGATCTATCCTGGCCAAGCGGGGAAGCCATGCGCCCACCGTCATTGCCCGGAACACGGCCATCACCAAGGCCGACCTTGTGGGCAGTGCTGAGAGAATCTACGCCAGGTTCCTCCTGCCTGGTTCGGAGAAGGAGATCTACCTGCCGCCCCAGCTCCGCATCAACAGCTTCCCCATCTCGAGCTCCACCGTTCCCGGACCTCACGACACGGAGCAACAGCAAGCGCTCGCCAAGGTGCCCGACATGTTCCACGCCCAAAAGGAGTACGTCTTCCGGACCATGGAGGCCGACGTCTTTCCGCGCTTCCTCCGTGCCAAGGCCTTTGGCAATCTCACCCCTGTCTCGGCCCTCGTCCGTCTCAGCCTGGGCCTGCTTGCGCTCTGGGCTGGACTGGCCACTGGCTTCAGCTTCATTTTCCTCGATGTCAATCGGGTCAAACGGCTGTGGGTCATTCTGCCCTTTGCCATCGCCGTCTTCCTCATCATGTCGCACCAGTACGAGCTGGACCCCATCTTGGCCATTGCCCAGCAATCAGAGACGACACCCTTCCACTTGATTCGCATCAAGGAGCCCTACGTCCGCAACCTCCTCCTCCAGCGTACCGCGGGCGTCCTCCTCATCGTGACGCTCATCACCGCTGCGCTCACGGTCCTCTTCGTCTTTGTCCCCGGTCACCGACTGTGATTTCACCTCTTCACTCGCATACCCAACAAGACAGCCGGCACACTGCTCGTCCACTCCTTTTCTTTTTCTAACACTACTTTTGAGCGCTTGCCCTCTTCCTGTCTTTGTGTCTATTTACTTCTGTCTTCTTTGTCCTTACACACCCCTTCTTTACACGGCAGCAAAAAGAGGTTGCTGATCCGTTCAGCTAGGCCTTTCCTTTCTCGGTTCTTTACCGTAATCCTAATCATCTTTCCTTGCTGATCAGGGAAGGAAAAGTTGTCCGTGGTAGCCCTGTTCTTCTGTTCTTTCCCGTTTGTGGTAGACTGGTCTCTGTTGTGTTCTCGGGCAAGGCAGCAGGCTGCTTGTCCATTCGAATGTTCTATAATGTCTCCCACGCCTCTTGGCATCACAGGAACAACAGAATACAGCAACGTCGGCTACGTACTGCCCGGTCTTCCCAGACGATGTCTCGACTACTAAACCTTTCTCTGCCCACGGCTCTTCTCGAAAAGAAATCCTGCAAGATGAGTGTGATTTGTCGGTCCAAGATGCCCTTTGCGCGCCGAAGTTCTCTTTCGCGCTAAAAGGCCCAGTCGCTTTTCCCCGCGTTCGGTCCAACGCGACATTTCATTTACCGTGGCATTCCTCTTGACTCGCGAAAAACACACACGCACACGTCGGACAAGTAAGCGACAGAAACAGCGCAGCCAGCGTCGTAGGACTGCGATCGACATGGCTTGCTTTGATGGACCTACCAGCGCAAACCTGCCTGCCAAACCTGACCAATAAAATAGTAGTACAGGGTTCAGAACCGACGAAGCGAGCAATGATGCGCGGCAGAATTCTACCAGAACGTTGTTTTCCTGGTCCATTCCGTACGTACAGGCAGCAAGCCAGCTAGCTGTACCGCAGAGGGAAAGGCAATAATGGAGATCGCTTGAATCGCCCTGCCCTGAAGAATCTAAAGGCTCCTGTCGCTGCTGTTGTTTCTCTCCTTTCCATCACCACCAACCCCTTCTCCCCCTCCCCTTTTCCCTGTCCCCAACAACACCACGGTCCTTACGATGCAATACAACGTCGCCATTCTGCTGGCCGTCGCGCTTGCGGCCAGCCAGGTCAACGCTGGCCTTCCCGAGGGAGCCACTCAGCCCATTGATGCTGCCAAGGCTGCTGCTCCTGCGCAGCTCGCCGACATCCCCGCGAAGCTCGCTGCGGCACCTTCCAAGCTTGCGTCGGCTCCTTCCAAGCTCTCCGGCGTGCTGCCGAAGCAGATGAAGAGCGCGCCGGGCAAGCTGGCTAAGGGCGCCAAGGCTGCTGCTCCTTCGCAGCTCACCAATGCCCCCTCGGAGCTTGCCAAGGCCCCCTCGAAGCTCGCCGACGCCCCCGCGGAGCTTGCTTCGGCCCCTTCTAAGCTCTCCAGCCTGCTGCCAGAGCAGGTGACGAGCGAACCGGGCAAGCTGGCTGATGCCGCCGCTTTTTACGGTGAGAGTGCAAAGAGCGCCGCCAAGGCTGGCATGGACGCCATCACGGGCGCACCGGCCTATGTGGCCTCGATGCCCGAGAAGGTCGGCAACGTCGCCGACGCGACCAAGAACCTCGCCTCGGCCGCCAAGCCCGAGCTCCCGACGGCGCAGGACCTGTGCCAGACCGACGACGACGGTGACCGCGTCGGTTTCTGCAACGGCCTCGCGCCCTCGGTCGAGTCCGACGGTGAAAAGGAGACGCTGCTCCGGCGCCAGGACTTCCTCGACGCCCTGTGCGAGCACGACGGCGCGACCGAGGTTGGCTTCTGCCACGGCCTCATCCCCGACGCCAAGCTCGGCAACCTCGACGCGACCAAGGGCAAGCGAGCCGACCAGGACCTGCTCGGTCTCGCCAACACGTACGCGCCCGACGTGACAAAGGCCGTCACGTCGCTTCTCCAGCCTTGCGACCAGGCCGATGACGCGCAGCAGAAGGTGCCCGGCCTCGAGGGGCTCTGCAAGACGCTCGTGCCCGACGCAAAGGAGCAGGCCGTCGCCGCGGCCAACGGCGGCGGACTCGTCATCAAGCGCCAGGTCGACTACGGCGTCAAGAAGGGTCTCGAGGGCTCGGCAAAGGGCTTCAAGGCAAGCGAGGACCAAGTCGTGGGCACCATCGAGCACCCCCCTACGCCTGAGCAGCTGCTCCAGACCGTCGGCACAACCGTCCTTGGCACCGCGCTCAAGTCGCTGCCTAACCGCAGGCGCCAGCTTGGGCTCGAGATGCTCCTCCCCTGTGCTCACGGTGAAGGAAAGGACCTCAAGGGCGAGGCCGGCTTCTGCAACAGCCTCATTCCCTCGGCACACGAGCGAGACGTCATGAGCGTCGTCCGTCGCAGCATCGCCGCAAAGATGCACAGCCGCTTCGTCAAGCGTACCCAGAGGTTCTGAGGGTTGTAAACCTCATCCCCTTCTCGCTCTCTTCATCATCATAAACACACTCCTTACCTTGCGCCGCTGGTCACCGTTCTCGCTTTCATTCACACTCTCCTCATTGTCTTATTTTCCACAGCGCTTCGTCATCGCCTTTCTATTCACTCTGATACACACCTCGGTTGTCGTGTCAATGTTCATCATTCCTATTGGATCCGCTTAATGCTACAATTTTCGTCCATTTCCTGTCCATGGCAAGATAGAGCGTCAGCTGCCTTTCCCTCCCATCTTCCTTAAGAACTTGTTTCGATCTCTGAACCGTCAGTGTAACTATGACTAAAGGTATATGCTCTAGATCATCGCAACCAAATGAATGGCGCTGAGCGTTAAAAATGGGATAATTGTCATCCGTCGGTCTCGCTCTCCTCTCCCTCTCGCATCTCCTCTGGAAGCAAAGCAAAATCCCGGAAACTCACACGTTCTACGGGCAATCTACCACTAGACGAGGATTTATGATGTCTGAGCAGGCGACTTGGTGACGTCAAAGACAACACCAGATTTCACTGTACCGTCGACGAGTTTAGAGGTGATGGTGCCGTCTTGGTTGCCGAAGTAGGCCGCCTTTGCCATGTTGCAGAAGAGACCAACTTCGAGAACACCCGTAAGGAGCTTGATGCGCTGCAGCAGGTCCTGTGGGTCCCGCATCACCGCCTCTGGGAAGGCTGCGTCAATGACAAAGTTGCTGTGGCACAATCATCACGGTCAGCTTCCTCCCAGCTCTAACGGCACGAAACAGCAGACTCACCCGTTGTCGGTGACGACAGGGCCAGCCTTCATCTTGCCCATTCTCAGAACAGCATTGGTGCTTCCCATCTTGACAAGCTGACGAAGCACCTTTGCATAGGCGAACTCGGCCACCTCGACGGGGACGCCCTGCTTCCAGTTGTCACCGAGCAGCTTCGACTCCTTTCGGTAGTCTGCCACGACGATGAATGTTGCTGCGGCCTCGGCTAGAACCTTCTCTCGCAAGTGGCAAGCTCCGCCGCCCTTGATGCAGTTGAGCTTCGAGTCGACCTCGTCCGCCCCATCGATTGTCACATCGATCTCGGGATAGTTGTCTACGTCGCCGAGGCGGAGGCCAGACTTGATGATGAGCTCCTTGGACTGGAAGCCCGTGGGCACGAACCACCTGTCGGCATTCACGTTGGCGCCCTGCTGGACAATCCGTTCGACGACATAGGGCACCGTCGAGCCTGCATGGGGCAAGAGATGGCAGAGGGAAGAGAGGAGGATTGTGAAGAGAGAAAAGAGAAGAAAGGGAAAAAGGAAAATAAAAAGTCAGTCTGATTTTTCTGCCTTGCCTCGGGAAAATCCAAAATTGCAAGGGGCGCCACGGGGGGGAGGCAGGGGACGTCGGCGGCGACTCACCGGAGCCGACGCCAATGATCTTATGGGTATGGTTGACGTGGTTGTCGACAGCAGCGTAGGCTGCTGCTCGCTTGGCTGCCTCGACACCCTCGAGGTGGGGAAGTTGCAGTGGTGCTGCAGACATGTTCAGAGAGGAAGCGTGAAAGAGCCTTGCTTTGGGTCCTGGGCGAAGGTCTACGATAGCACGAGGTGGCGATCTAGCGAGAGCGAAAGTGAGCGGCAGAGATTTGAGGTGCTGCGAGGAGGCTCTGTGTACGGTCGTCGATAGCAGTCGTCTAGAGAGCATCCAGCACGGCGTCGTCTAACAGGGAGAAGAGCACCTGCGATCGCTTCTTGCCATTGTGGAGCATGGACATGCAGGAGATCGGAGCGAGTGGACTCGTCACGTGCAGCGGCACTAATTTTTTCGGCCGAAAAGTGCTTCTCTGCGGCAGAATTTGCATCTTAGGCGCGACGGCCACCGCCATCCTACCTTCTTCTCCAACTTTGGTCACCGCTGGCTTTACAATATTCACACAAGATGAGCTACGTCGCCAAGGACAAGGACGAGTCGGGCCTCCCCTCGGCTCAGATTCACAAGATCCGCATTACCCTCACGTCGAGGAACGTCAAGAACCTCGAGAAGGGTGAGTTTGCCTGCTGCCCATGCAAGTCTTTCTAGACGCTTACCCTTGTCTGCTCTTTCTCAGTCTGCTCGGACCTCGTCACTCGCTCCAAGGACAAGGACCTCCGCGTCAAGGGCCCCGTTCGTCTGCCCACCAAGGTCCTCACCCACACGACCAGGAAGTCGCCTTGCGGTGAGGGTTCCAAGACCTGGGACCGCTTCGAGATGAGGATCCACAAGCGCCTCATCGACCTGCACTCGCCCTCCGAGATCGTCAAGCAGATCGTGAGTGCCCCTCGATCGAACAGCCAAGATGGACATGCATACTAATCGCAAATTCCTTCTGACAGACGTCGATCTCGCTCGAGCCCGGCGTTGAGGTCGAGGTCACGATCCTCAGCTCTTAAGAGGGTCCAGATTGGCGGAGGGATTGTTTCGGAGTGATCCGATGCAGGTCCAAGTCTTGAAAAGGGACATGGCGGGTTGCCTCTTGAAGACGCGGCTCGTCGTCCCATGTCACCTACGCTTGTACAACAATTCCTCATACGACCTTTCATGAATGGAAAAGCTCTCATTCCATTTCTTTCTGAGACGCAGATGTTGCTGTTTGCATCGTCTCGGGTCAGGGTCTCTGTTGAGGAAACTCGGTCTTGGTGCAACACGTCTATGCAGTGCTTGCCATTGCTCCTGAGCTGAGACAGCATTGCTCTTAGCATGCTCATTAGAACTGTCATTTTGGTGGCCTGCGCGGTATGTATGAATGCGTTTGGCAGATATAGTACAGATGCTCGCGGACTCTTCAATTGATATCTTCGTGTTGTTGAGGCTAAGCCGGGCGTTATGCATTGCCCTGAGGCTTCTTTGCGGTGTTTGAACCGTGATTCCACCCATCAAGGCTTACTTGGGCCGGCTCCTCGTCCTCGCTCCCGTCTGCCTCCTCATTTCGAGCTTTCTTACGCTTCCTACGGTCGAGCTCCTTCGTCTTGTCTTTGACAGCCTTGCTCGAGCGTCGACGCTGAGCGTCCTCATGTACTTCCTGGCTCAATCTTGAGAAGCTTTGTCTCAGGCTCCCGATTTCTCGCGCCTCTTGCGCCGTTGGTCTGGTCAAGGGGCGAAACGACGATACCTGGAGGGGCTCCGACGATGCTGACCGCGACGACGCTGGCGATAACGACATTTGTCTTTCGACCGCAAGACTCGAGTGAGAGTTTTCCTTCGAGTTTAGAGTCACTTGTCGCCCATCTTTGCCTTCGTCTTCCGTATCGCTTTCGTCAATGGCCAGACGCCTTTTCTTCTTGCGAGGCGCCTTTGGTGAATTCTCGTTGTCCATCAGCCCTGGTGGTCCTGGAAGCGTGACGTACTCGAGTTCGTCAGACGAGCCTGACGACTGTCTCAGTCTTCCAGAGGAAGAATGTGTTTTGGACTCTCCCTCTTCGACATACTGTCGCCCGTCTATCGGATGATTTTCTTCATCGTCGTCCAAAGAATAAGCGCTCATGTCTCTTGAAGCGGGTTTTGAGGCGCTCCTCGATACAGGCGTCGACTCGGCAGAAGACTTGGCTACCATTTGGCCCTGCCTGAAAGACGGGGGCACAAAAGGTACTCTCTTCCTTGGCGTTGCAGATGTCGGGAGGGTCGCCTCGACGGCTGCCGCGATGCTGGTTCTTTTGTCTTGCTCATCATCGATCATGAAGTCATCGTCGGCTGAAAATGTCAAGGCAGTCTTAGCAAACTGGTCCAGGTCGATCGTCGCTGCCGTACCAATGATTCTGCGGTTGGGGCCGAGGACCACGGGGATCGCCGGAGGTTCCATCGACTCACAGCGATCGATAACTTCAACCCAAGGCTGTACAACACCTAATTGTGCGGGTGCTGCTGGTCCGACTAGACTCGACTCTACCTGTCGCGGTCTTGCTCGAGGTATGAACGGCATCTTTGTCTTGGGTATTTGCCTGCCAGAGAAACTGATGAGCGAGCAATTCGAAATGGGGTAGCACAAAGCCATAACTCACGGGTCCAGCTTGTAGCGAGACACAGGCATCGTTGGCAAAGGGGGAAGGCTCGCCAGCGATGGCATTGCCTCGAGGATGAGGATGGGGGCAACAAAAGGACGCAATGCGTCTCCCACTGAATGGTAGAAATCGATGTGCTTTGAGGAAGCATGGGGTCAATTCTGCGGTCCAGAAGCTCGGTAAACAATGCTTGTTACCCACCTCAGCCTGCGACTCCTTGTCTCGACAAGAAGTTCCTCGTCGGCAATCTTGAAAGGGACAGGCATAGGCGTGTTGCGCGAGGTGCTGCTGGAAGAAGTGATCCTCGAACTGTGCCCGAGTATAGCTCCTGTAGCGCGAACATTTGTCCCAATGGCATTGCCACTTGCCCTCGGCCAGAAAGGGCCTGCAGTGGGATTCGACGACGTGCCGGGCGAGGGCGTCGACTGTGAGAAATTTTTTCCTGCAGATGATGGGGTTCGATACGTCGGTCTTGAAGACCCACTCGCACGCGACTCGGCCTCGGGACGTGATCGGCCCTAGCCGTTGTGCCGAACACCATGAATCGTCGGCGTATGAGGGACAAAGCTCGGAAAGGTAGGAATCGGGACGAGGACCCTCCGGTGGCTTGACTGAGGATACCGAAGTTGATGACTGGCCATTGATTCGCAATCTTGGCTCAACCTCGTCTTCGTCGGTTGTCTCCTCGCCATCCTGCCGTCTTTGCCTCCGTCGGCGTCGCCGCTGCCGCCATGGCTCAAATGATTCTCTGGACGAAGCTGTCGAAGGTGAAGAATATCGAGATGAACTCGCACCATCATCGCCATGCACTCCTTTAGGTGTGTTGTTGTTTATTGGTGTAGGTGCTGACGCGTCGTCCTCACGCTTTACGGACCCTTGTCGCCTGGGCGGCGCTTGTGATGTTGACAGCGACGAATGTGAGAGCACGAAATCCTGCCTGGGAACGACATCGATCTCGATGTACGGTTCCATAGCCTCTGGGACTGCCCAGAGCAGCCCAACGAGCGTGCCCAGGGTCGGAAGACAGTCTATGCGCAGAGTCTAGACTGCCATGACCAGGAGGCGCATATGAAGTCCTTTTCTGTGGGAGGTTACTAGGAATGGAAACTCTCACCAAGAAAACAGGCAAAGGCTCCAACTAGCTGCTAGGGAGGGAAGATGTGGTGGAGCAGAATAAAGCTTAAAGTGCATATACCCAAACACTTGCTGGTCCAAGCAACCAACCAAGAGCTCCTCCAGAGATCCAAATTTCAGCTTTGCTATGTCACGTGCAAAACACCTTGAGACGAGCGATCTTACGGTGCGTTCCCACACCTGAAAGGCTGGAGGCGGTCCTCTTGAGCTTTACTGAGATTGACTAAGGGTGCGTTCAGTTGTGAGTCTGCTATGTGACCCCTTGTGTCGTCACATACAGTCCAGACACCAACACTACATAATCCCTTCTCTCTTGCATCGTTGCCTCCATTTCTATTGTAAACACTTTTTTTTGGCGTGAACTTGCGTCAAGACGAAGGGGGCTTTGTCTTGGAGCATCGAGCCGGCAACAAGCCCTAGCGGTGTCTATTTCCACCCTCCAGCATCTTCACAACATTCTCATTGAGATCGGCATACTGCCTCTCACCCTCCTTAATCTTACCTGTGCTGCGAACCGTCCAAAGGTGCACTTTTCCTCACGCAACAACGTACCCATCACACTCTATATTTCGGCCGAGAGCAGCAACTACACCCGCTTCTTCTTCTTCTTGCTCTGCCCGTCCGCATCTCGATCGCCGCTCCTTCCCGCCCGGCCAATGATGCCCTCAAAGACCCTTCTGACCTCTCCCTGCAGGTCCTTTGCGAGGCGAGGATCGTAGTATGCCGGCGCAAAGTCGAGTAGCCATTCCGGCTTGACCTCTGTCACTGTCCTGATGAAGTTCCTCGTCGTGAGGACAAACTCGTGGTAGATGAGGAATGGCGGCATGTGGTCCATGGCGGTAGATGGGTGGGGCGCAACGACCTGGTTGTCCTTGATAGTCGTGTAAGAGCCCTTTGAGCTCCCCTCCTTGAAGGCCACTTGCATGAAGAAGCCGCACGCGATGGCCTTGCGGATATTGGTGTAGTAATCTTTGTTTTCAAAGGGAACGCTGACGAGATCCAGGTCGAAGCGCTCCATCGTCCTGGAAAGCTGTTGCCGGACATTGTCGGCCTGTTGCAGGGTACGGTAGGAGAGATAGTTTTGCCAGCACCACTGCGAGGCCGTCGAGGCATCTGGGCAATTGTTCTTGTAGGAGTGGTAGACGTTGAGCATAGTCAAGTGGTCACCATCAGGATGGGCGAATTCGGCATGCGCGGCGTCTGCCTGCTGTCGCTGGGCATTGGGCCGCATAAAGACGTTGGGGACCGAGAGCATGGCGGCGATGGTGAGAATTTCGTTTGAGCACCGGAACTCGGGGCTCACGATGAGCATCTTTGCCAGCTGGGGGTCGAGGGGAAATTCGGCCATGATCTCTCCAAGAGGCGTGAGGTTGCCTTCGTCGTCGAACGCGGCCAGGTAGTTGAGGAGCTCGAGGGCTCGCATGATGGTCTCGGGCGCTGGAGGATCCATGTAGTCGAATGTGACGAGATTGTCGATGCCAAGCTTCTTGAGCTCGAGAACAGTGTTGGCCAGGTTGCTCCTCAAAATTTCTGGATAAGTCTGCTCGATGAGTTCCGAGACAAAGTCCTTCTCGGTATACAGCCGGAAGCATTTTCCAGGCCTTGTTCTGCCGGCTCGACCCATCCTCTGCTGCGCGGAAGCCTTGGAGATGGGGCTGACAAGGAGCGACTCCACGCGGATTCTTGGGTTGTACACCTTCTGCTTGCTAAAGCCGGGATCGACGACGTAGACGATACCGTCGATGGTCAACGACGTCTCGGCAATGTTTGTGCTGATGACGACCTTCCTGCCCGGCGGGCCTCCTGGCTTGAGGGGTTCAGGAGCAGCCTCGAAGATACGCTGCTGTTGGGCAGGAGGGAGCGACGAGTAGAGAGGCACAACCTTGAGAGGACCGCACATGTCTGGATCTTTGCTGGCAAGTTCGTCGGCTTCCGCCTTGATCTTCTTGCAGGCATCCTCAATCTCCTCTTCACCTGTCAAGAAGACGAGGATGTCACCGGGGTCTTCGGCCTGGTGAATCATGAGGACGGTGCGGATGGCGGCCTCGAGGTAGTCGGGCTCCGGCTCAGGCGTGTAGAAGGTCTCGACGGGGAAAGTGCGACCAGGCACGCGAAGAAGAGGGGCGTCGTTGAAGTACTTTTGGAACTTGAGCGCGTCGAGAGTAGCGCTCATGACGATGATCTTGAGGTCCGGTCTCCGCTTGGCCACATCCTTGAGCATGCCCATGAGGATGTCGGTGGCCAGGGTCCTCTCGTGGGCCTCGTCGAGGATGATACACCCATACCGATCCAAGTTGTGATCGTTCATGGCCTCGCGCAAAAGCATACCGTCGGTCATGTACTTGAGATAGGTCGTCCGGCGATCGGTTGCGTCTTCGAACCGGATCGTGTATCCCACCTCCTTGCCCAGCGACACATCCATCTCCTCTGCGACACGCTTAGCCACGCTCATGGCAGCCACCCTCCTCGGCTGGGTGCAGGCAATCATCTTTGGTGCCACGACGCCGTCGACTCCCTTTTCCTTCCGAACGTGTGGCAGATCGGCATACGCCACAAATTGGGGGATCCTGCAATGCAGATCGTCCGCCTTGTCAGTCAATGCTCCTCTGTGCAGCTCTGTGCGGCTGGAGACTCACTGAGTTGTCTTTCCACTTCCTGTCTCCCCGATCATGACCATGATCTGCGACTCGTTGTACTTCTGGTAGAACTCATCCATCTGCGCATACACGGGCAGGGCCTTCCTCTTCTCGAGAATATCGCGATATCGAGCTGAGAATGGTCGGGGAGAGGGCGATGCAAACGCATTGACATCGCCTTCCATGACCTTTCGCGCCTGGGCGCCCGTCACTTTGCGAGGCTGGAATCCATCGAGTGGGCCACCGCTTGTCGACGTGATGCTGCTGCTGCCCCCGCCGTTGGTGTATCTCTCCGTGGGAGGCAGATGCGCGAGGTACGGGTTCTCTTGAGCCGCAGAGGCCGAAGTCGAGGCAGTCGGTTTGGACGGAGGCGGCCCTGGAGGCGGGGCGGCACCATTCTTGTCGCTCATCTTCGACGTTCCTTGCACAACACTGTCGTCGCTGTCGTCGTCTCTTTGACAAATCGTCGAGGAGAAAACTGCCCTAAAGAATTTCACCAAAAAAAAAACCGGCCTCAATGACAGATCTTGCCAATGACGGATTTTATGCTTTTGAAGGAAGAAGAAAAAAAAAGGTGGACCGAGCGCATCAAAGCTTCTTCTCGTCATGGCAAAGAAGCATAGGATGTCGTACCCCCGACGAAGATGACGACAACAATATCACGAGCGCTGTGTTCGGCCAGGCTGAAGGCGGCCCTGAGATGTGAACACCGACTTGCAGCCTGTACAAGAGGCGCGTTCATTGCATCAGCGACGACTGCCCCACCACGAAGACCGTCAGCGGGTCACCAACTCCGACATGCCTCTTCGTCTTCACCTTCACATACATCTTCCAGACCCAAGGCCAATTACGTCACAACACCGATATTCTACGTCAATGCTGATCCTCACGTCGGCCACTTGCACAGCATTGTGCTTGCAGATGTCTTGTCGCGATGGGCTCAGGCCAGGAATGGGGGTTGGTCGTCATCACTCGCCGAAGAAAGTCCAACCAAGGCGATCTTATGCACGGGGACCGACGAGCACGGGATAAAGGTGCAGAAAGTTGCGGAAGCTACAAGCGTTGAGCCAAGAGCGTTATGCGATCGAGTCAGCGGTCGCTTCAGAGTGAGTTGGGCAATGTACCACGACACAGAGGATCACGCTGAACCCAAGCGGTGTTTCAGGACCTTGCGGATGCAGCTGGGGCAGGGTACTCGAGGTTTATCAGGACCACAGACAAAGACCACGTCAAAGCGGTTGAACATCTCTGGAAGGCCCTTGAGGACGCAGGCCACATCTACAAGGGGTCGCATGAAGGATGGTACAGCGTCTCCGACGAGACCTTCTACCCAGAGTCCCAGATACGTCCGGCACAAGACAGCGAACTGACTGCGCAACAGAAAGAGTCAAATGAAGCCATCATGGTCTCCACTGAGACGGGGTCCCTCGTGGAGTGGAGCAGCGAGGAGAACTATAAATTCCGGCTATCGAGCTTCCAAGACCAGATCATCGAGTGGCTGGAGACAAACTCGCGTGCAGTCGTACCTCAAGTTCGATACGAGGCGCTCTTGGACGAGGTCAAGTCGGGGCTGGCAGACCTGAGCATCTCAAGACCTCGATCGAGGCTGAGCTGGGGCATCCCCGTCCCCGATGACAAAGATCATACCATGTATGTCTGGATCGACGCCCTGACAAACTACCTCACCGTCGCGGGCTACCCTTGGAAAGAAGCAGGTGGAACGCACAGTGACCAACAAGGATGCTGGCCACCGGATTCGATGGTCATCGGCAAGGATATTATCAGGTGAGCTCTGTAGGACACCACAAGCCTCGACCAATAATGAACCCGTCTCTGTCTGTCTGTCAGGTTCCACGCCATATACTTTCCCGCTATGCTCATGGCTCTGGGATTGCCCTTGCCTCGTCATATTGTGACCCATGGCCACTGGACGATGAACAAATCCAAGATGAGCAAATCTCGAGGCAATGTCGCCGACCCTTTTGAGTCGATTAGACGCTTTGGCAAGGACGAGATCCGATGGTTTCTCTGTCGCGTCGGCGGCAACCTATCGAACGACGCCGACTGGTCAGAGGCGACACTGCTCGAGTTCCACCGGAAGCAGCTCCAGGGCCAGCTGGGTAATCTAGCTAGTCGCATCCTGGCGCCCAAGCTCCAGGCTCGATTGGTGGAGCACGCAAAGCGGAACGACCACCGTCAAGATGGAAAATGTGTCGTTGGTAAGCCCGAGCGCACTTTTGAAGCGTCCGTCGTCGACACGCTCCAGAGTCTGCCAGCAAGGGTCGATGAACACTTCAAAGCCTTTGAGGTCCATCGCGCCCTCGAGGCTGTTTCAGAAGCCGTTGGCGAGGTCAATGAGATGCTGCAGCGCACCGAGCCGTGGTCGACCAAGATCTGCACGGACGACGAGGCGGGAAAGGTAGTCTACTTGGCCAGCGAGGCGTGCAGGATCGTTGCATGGCTTCTCAAACCCTTTATGCCAACAAAGATGGAGCAGCTCCAGCGGGAGCTTGGGCTAATGGGAGAGGCTGTGCGATGGGAGGACCTTGGTGTGCTCAGGGACCATGTAATACTGAGGACCAAAGGGGAGAAGGTACAGCCCCTGTTTCCCAAGATTGATTAATTGTATTCCTATCATTATACTTTTGACCTTCGTTTGTCGCTACCATCACCGTGACGGCGGTTGAGCATGCCTTGGTGCGCCACGTGTTATTTGAGCTTTATTTTGGCGTGAGCACCTCGGGTCTTTCGAAAGAACTCTTCCCGGCCTTTTCAAGAAACCACACCACAATTCAAGTCCGACGATGGCCGACGCTCGCAAGCGGTTCCTTGACCTGTTCCCCAAGCTCACCGACGAGCTCGTTGGCGTACTGGCCAAGGAGGGAATGCCCAAGGAGGCACAGGACTGGTACCGGCGGACCCTCGAGCACAACACGCCTGGCGGTAAGCTCAACCGAGGCTTGAGCGTCGTCGACACGGTCCAGATCCTGCAGGGCAAGGAGAGGCTCGACGATGGCGAATATGAGAAGGCTGCCATCCTTGGGTGGTGCGTTGAGCTGGTGAGTCTGCACATGATGGAGCATTGTTCGCAGGGCTGTTCCTAAGCACATTCGGATCCCGTCAGCTCCAAGCCTACTTCCTCGTTGCCGACGACATGATGGACCAATCCGTTACGCGCCGAGGTCAGCCCTGCTGGTACCGAGTCGAGGGTGTGGGAAACATTGCCATCAATGATGCCTTCATGCTCGAGGCTGCCATCTACCACCTGCTCAAAGTCCACTTCCGATCCGAGCCCTACTATGGCTACCTCATCGAGCTCTTCCACGACACCACCTTCCAGACGGAGATGGGCCAGCTCGTGGATCTCATCACGGCACCCGAGGACCACGTCGACCTGAGCAAGTTCTCGCTTAACAAGTGAGTGCGAGCTTGCCCTTCACTGGGCTCCCACCGAGAATCTGCACTGACTTCACGATCGATAGGCACCATCTCATCGTCGTCTACAAGACTGCTTTTTATTCTTTCTACCTTCCTGTGGCACTTGCGATGCGGATGGTCGGCGTCTCCGACGAGAAGCTGTACAAGCAGGCCCTAGACATTCTCCTTCCCCTCGGAGAGTACTTCCAGGTGCAGGACGACTACCTCGATTGCTACGGCTCGCCCGAGGTGATTGGCAAGATTGGCACCGACATCCTTGACAACAAGTGCAGCTGGAACATCAACGTCGCCCTTGAGCACGCAACAGCGGAGCAGCGCAAGACACTCGATGAGAACTACGGCAAGAAGGACGCGGCGTGCGAGCAGAAGGTCAAGGAGGTGTTCAACGCGGACAATATCGATGTTGAAGGAAGGTTCAAGAAGTACGAAGCGGAGAGCCAGACGAGAATCATGGGCCTCATCAACCAACTGCCCGAAGAGGGCGGCATCAAGAGGCAGGTCTTTGTCGAGTTCCTCAACAAGGTGTACAAGCGCACAAAGTAGAAACGCTTTTCCCTTTCGCAATATAGATGCGGAGTTGCTTCATCGAGCAGGCCTCCCCTTCTGCATTCTCTTTGGCTCTCTGAAGGACATCTGTCTGAGCATCGTCCTTAGAGAAGCATTAGTAATTGCTACGTGGTCTGTTCGTCACTGTTCATGGGCGAGAAGGGAAAGTTGAAGATGGATCAAGATCAAGCCACGCGTTTTGTGCATTTCGGCCGTACAGCGGATTGGGTATATCAAGTGCTCGTCGCACACGCCCAGGTTCTCTCAGCACCACTCACTCCTCACGCCACCGAGGACAGTCGCCCAAACCGCAATTGCACCTGCACCTGGCGCGGTTGTTGTCGAGGGCTTCCGGAGAGGTTCGACAGGCCAGCTACTTGTTCTGACGATCCTCACTCTCCTGGATTCGGGCTTCCGACCTTGGTGGACGGACGTTTGAGGCTTTGATAGGGGAATACACTTGCTCCGCCCGCCACCTCGCGCGCGCACGCGATCCCCTCTCACTCCCGCCGCCCCAGCATGGCTTCCCAGAAGAACGTTCAGTACTATGAGTTGTACCGTCGCAGCAGGTGAGCTGCTCTTGCCCAAATGATGGCCTCTGCGCTTGCCGCGCCGGGCAGAAATCATTGTATGAATGGTTTGGGCTGATTGCGGAGCCTGTCCTGCTCAGCATCGGAATGCAGCTCACGGATGCTCTCGACGAGCTCATCCAGTCGGGCCACATCAACCCCGTTCTGGCCATGAAGGTGCTCACGCAGTTTGATCGGTCCATCGCCGAGACACTGTCCAAGAACGTCAAGGCCAAGTCGAACCTCAAGGTGAGCGAGCTTTGATGAGCCCGCTCATGTTTGCCTCTAGAGTCGTCTCTCTGACACAGCAGCATCTGCGTTGTGTCTCAGGGACACCTGCGTATCTATCGCCAGTGCGACGAGGTATGGACCTTCATCATCCACAATGCGCAGATGAAGCTCGACAATGGCGATGTGGTCAACGTCGACAAGGGCAGAATTGTGGCCTGCAAGATGGCCGATTCAAGCGCAGCTGCCAATGGCGGAAAGTAGAGTCGTCCACATCCCCTCCAGCATGACATTTCTTCCGTTTCTTATCCTTCTCCTTCTCTGACTCTCTTCACACGCTGTACTCTATACTCTTTCATCACATCAGACGGTTCCTCATCGAGAGCCTAAAAATACATTGAAGAAGCATCTGAATCACTTGGACCCCGAACCTAGCAGTTGATTACCCTTTCGCAGAGGTTGGCCCGCCTGGCTGTACTCTGTGTACTGCTCACTCTGGCCCGCCAGGAGCTCCTTGGGTACGTTGTCAAAGTGCTCGGCGCCACCATACCGGTCGAGAATGCTTCCCTTGAAGGTGTCGCGGAGCTTCTCTTTCTTTTGCGTGTACTCGCGGTGCTGCAGCTCATTGACCGTCGGGTTGGCCTGCATGTGGACGTCGTTACCGCGGGCCTCCGACTGCCAGGCAAAGAGCTGGAGCTGCTTGAGCTTGGCCACGTCGCCGCGCGATCGGTGGAAGTTATCTCCAGCAAACTGGGAGTCCTCGGGTCGCGTTCCGGCATCAGGTGCCTCTCGCATCGACCTCGTCTTCGGATCGTAGTAGGCCGACTCTGGATTGAGGTTGTAGAGGTACTTTGCCCGATCTTCTCGAATACGCAGGTTTCGGATCGTGATGCGCTTATCGGTGTCAATCTTTTGGCCAGGCATGTTGGCCTTCTCGGCGTACTTGTCCTCGTCGTCGTCTTCCTCGTCGCTGCTGCCGAAATCAATGTCGTCCTTGGAGCTCCCTGCCGTCTTCTTTTCCCGCTTGGCCAGCTTCTTGGCTGTCCCCATGTCTGTGCTCGTCTGCTGGTCAATCTCTTCCTCTCGCCTCTTTCGGCGTGCCTCGTCGATGGCCTCGAACTCTTGTTGCACGAGCTTGTGCTCAGAGGGATCGTACCCGTTCCACCGATCACGCTTGGCTTGAAAGTCGCTGTCCATGCCCTTGACATCTTCAAAGACCTCGTCGGCCGCGATACCCTTGCCCGTCCACTTGGCGCCCTTCTTTCGGGGCCGTTCGAGGCAGTCGTTGGCCTTGTGCGACATTGCGCCACAATTTTCGCACGCGCCCTTTCGGTATTTCGTCGCCGCCACAGCCGTCTTGCCTCGCTTGCGCCAGTTGCCGAGATCGACGTGATCCTTGCCGTCGTCTTCGGGCTTGCGCTGGTGCTTCAGCGAGGGCCGACCAGAATCGAGATACCAGGGCGCCTTGGCGATGAATTGGGGGATATGTGGGTTGATGTCCCTGCCCTCCTCGTCAACCTCGGCAGGAGCCTGGCCGGCCTTTCTCGCCGCATCAAGGTCCTTTTGCCGTCGGAACTCCTCCCGAGACATCTTGCCGATTGAGGACGACATCCTGGCTATATATTGGACCGAGCAAACGACTGGCTGACGAAAGGATTTGACTGAGAGGTACTATGTCGTCCGAGAGGTTCGTTCGATTAGCGAAGTAGTATTTGGTCGATGAAGTCGAAATGACCTTTGTGGCGAGGGAGGGGAGTAGGGGCGACCGAACGCGTTGAGAAACACTTTTTTTTTCGGCCGAGGATCAGGCACTGCTGATTGTTGCCTGCAACGTCTTCCTCACCATCCGCTACCGACGACAATGAGCCATGGTGCCGCCGTCGCAGGAGGTTGACGCCGCTTTGTCGAGCCACGGCGAGGAGCGAGAGGAAGGGGAGACGAGCGACGGCGAAGCGGGCCCGTCCTCGGGACCTGGCTCTGGTCCAGGCCCCGGTCCTTCTCGATACGGGAGCTCAAACGCGCCCTTGGGAGCACCCTCATCTTCTACGGGAGACGCAGAGGAGGGTGAGAAGTCGAGGAGGAGCAACGCCAGTCCTGCCCAGAAGGAGGGCCTCAAGAGAGCAAAGGCGAGCAGTGAAGAGGGCGACGAGTATGGCAACGGCTCGGCGCACCGCATCAAGATTGACCGACAACGACTGGCAAGGGACCAGCCACAAGAGACCGCGCGGGACTCGCGACAGGCTGAGAAAGAGCGGCACCCACAAAATGGCGGGGGCTCAGAAGATCTTCGGGACAGGCACGGGAAAGCAGAGCGCGATCGACTTCGAGAAGAGGAAAGAGATCGGCTAGGCAGGTTGGAGGCCGATCGAAGCAGAGATCGCAATCGGGACCGCGAGCGTAATCGTGATGTTGATGATCGCAGTGAGCGCCTTGAGAGAAGCCGCGACAGATCAAGAGACCGTGTTCGACAGAGCCAGAGTGAACGGAATCATGGTGTCGTCGATGCCAGGGACGTAGAGCGAGAAAGGGAACGAGAGAGGAATTGGGAGAGGGAAAGGACTCGCGATAGGGAAAGAGAGAGAGACCGGGAAAGAGAGAGAGACAGGGAAAGAGACAGAGATAGGGACAGAAACATTGACATTGACAGGGACAGGGACAGGTACAGAGACAGGGACAGGGACAGAGGCAGGGATGCCCTTGATTATGGCCCACCTTCTCAATCTCAGGTGCGAAGAGACGGCGCTGAAGAAGACGGTCGCCACTACCGTCCGAGGTCACCTGACCTCTTCGATCGCCGGAGAGACTCGTATCGCGATCACGGGTACGACTACGGCTATGATTACGAATACGATAGGGCAAGAAGGGATTCCCGGGACCAAGATCGAGCGAAAGACTGGTACGGCTCTAGCTCGAGGGGCGTCGAGAGAGATCGTCATCGCAGCATTAAGCGCCGCGAGTCACCCTCTCCATCCTACGAAACACGGGCACCGGGCACCTCCACCCAGGGCAGAGCTTCACAACTACGCTCTCCCGAACGATATCGTTCCAACAAGTCTCCCCCTGCAAAGACGCTGAAGCGGATCGCATCGCCAATCAAGAGCAGTCCACAAAAGGGCGCACCGACGACTCCACTGCAGAGCTCGCCTCACACGAATGGAGTATCCCAAGCCCATGTAGATGCCGATGGTGACGTAAGAATGTCGTTCGCACGAGCCCCTACAGCTGGAGAAGTCTCGCCATCAAACATCTCGCGGCAACGCTCAGACGGGAAGCGACTAGAGACTGTGGCTAGTGACGACGCTGCTGCAAAGGAGGAGCCCACCGCGCCCATTGATTGGCCACAAGAAGAAAAGGACTATGAAGAAGACGAAGCTCAGATGATGGAGCTTGCGAAGGCCAAGAGAAAGGGTCGACCACCGAAAGTCCCGCTGAAGGAACGCACCTTTTACGGCTGCAGCAACATCGACGAATATGATCTCGGCGTTAAACTTGGCCAAGGCACTTTCGGCGAGGTCAAGAAAGCCAGACATACCAAGTCCGGCGTCGAAGTCGCACTGAAGAAGGTGACAATCCACGAGGAGAAGGACGGGATGCCAATAACGGCTATTCGCGAAATTAAGCTCCTTAAGCGTCTCTCGCATCCATCGATCGTCCCCGTCATCGACATGGCTTATCGTGCGCCCAAAGAACGAGGCAAAATGGGCGACGTGTACATGGTAGAGCCGTACATGGATCATGATCTCAACGGCATGCTGGAGAACCCTTCGATTCAATTTACGCCCGCGCAGATCAAGCTCTACATGAAGCAGCTCTTCGAAGGAACACTCTACCTGCACCAGAACAAGATCCTGCACCGCGACATGAAGGCTGCCAATTTGCTCATCAACAACGAAGGCCAGCTCCAGATTGCTGACTTTGGTCTCGCTCGGCCCTACCACGATCCGGGAAAGGCGTGGCTCGGCGAGCAAGGCTGGAACGGCGGTACGCACCCCTATACTGCGATGGTGGTCACGCGATGGTATCGTCCACCTGAGCTGTTGGCCGGTGACCAAAGGTACGGACCGCCGATTGACATGTGGGGCCTTGGGTGCATCCTGGCAGAGATGGTCAACCGCAAGCCGATCTTCAAGGGCAATTCGGAAATCGATCAGCTGGCTCTTATCTCTCAGCTCTGTGGCTCACCCAATGACGACAACTACCCAGGATGGAGCCAGCTGCCTGGTGTCAAGGACGCCGATCTTCCCGCCCCTGGTGGTCAAGGGGCCGGTGAGCGCAAGATTGACCTTCCCCCCGTGCACGATTTCGGCAATCATCCTCGATGCGTGATTGAGCATTTCACAACAGGCCAGCTTCAGGTGTGAGTCCTAGCTTTGAAAGTCACAATTCGAGTGTCTGAATGCTCATTCGTGGATACAGACGTCGAGAGCTCGCCGACCTCATCGACAAGCTCCTGGTCTTAGATCCTCGAAAGAGGTATACGGCCCAACAAGCCCTCGATCACGAATGGTTCTGGCAGCCGCCTTTCCCAGCCGATCCATCAGCGCTGCCCAAATATGAAGCCTCCAAGGAAATTGACAGGCAAAGGCGAGATCATCAGAAGGCCGCACATCAGCATCAACAGCAACAACAGCAGCAGCAACAACAGCAGCAACAGCAACAGCAACAGCAACAGCAACGACAGGCACAACAGCAGCAATTCAATCAGACGGCAATGCAGTCTCAGGGCATGATGCAGCAAGGACGACCGCCGTATCGGCCTGCGCCTATGGGACGACCGATGGGTGTAGGGACCGGTTTAGGGCCTTCTGGCATGCCGTTGGGCATGGGCGTTCCTGCATCGTACGGAGGCCCGCCACCCCAGGCGTACGGCGGGGCCGGCCCTGTGAAACCCAGCTTCGGCAGCGGAATGGGCGGTCCCCCAATTCCCGCAGGCCCTCGAAACTCTCTTCCACCACGCCCTGCGCCGATGGGCTATTCGAAAAGACCACCTCCCTATCCGCCACATCAGCAGCATCATCAGCGGCCAGATCCGCGGTCTTCAAGTCATTCAAACCCATATGACGACTATTATTGAGAATCTTTCTCCCCCTGTCTCTGACAACACCTGTACTATCAATCTACCTCACCTGCAATCATCTAACGATTCCCATTCATGCGAAATTTGCAGCTTGTGGAATTTTACTGTGATCAGCATGAGTTGCATTGTCTAGTAGTACTACAAAAGAGGGGTGGTGTTTGTACAGTACATGTTATATCTTGCGGTGTTACATCAGGACCTAGCAGCCTCGGTATCCTCTTTGCTTGCGTCGGCTTTGGTCTCGTCAGCCAAGTCGATGCTCCTCTCTGCTTTTTCGCCGTCAGGTTGGAGATTATTACCGTCTACTTCCTGTTGCGTGACTGCCACCTCCTCTTCCGTGATCTCGTCCGGCAAACCCAAGTCGAGCGGCACGCACTTGACGTCTAGCCTCTTGAAAATGACAGACATCTTGAGTTCCGCCGTGCTCCTCTCAATGTGACCCTTCCTCTTTGGCTTCGTCGGATCAACGCCTTTGACGATTGAGACTATGTTGCCACTTGACCTCATAGCCGCTTCCTCGTCCACACCCTGCGTCTCTTGGCCGATCCTAGCGACTCGACCCGCGTCATGGACATACGACACGGTATCGATTTCCATGCTGCTGCCAGGACCCACGAGGAAGACGTGATCGAGCTTTGGCACGTCCAGCCCACGCACTAGAGATGCGCTCAGAACCACGAGCTCGTTCTCCTCCTTCACTTTCGCAGAGGCGGCCGATCGGCGGATGGATGAGGTGGCGGGCACCCCAAGGCTCTGCAGATGCTCGACGACGGCGCGAGTAGACCACCGGGGCGAGATGAGGGCGAGACCGCGGTGTACGTTGCGGATTGCAAAGAGGTAGGCCAGCATTTCCAGGAGCGAGACATCCACTTGACCAGTGGAGGACGGAACAGGCGGGACAATTGTTGTCGTTCCCTCTGTTCTTTTGTTCGTCTCTTCGGTTCCTCGCTCTTCAACATCTTGTTCTTCTCCCTGGCCTTCTGCCATCTCCGCAAATGATGTCTGCGCTGGATCCGATTCCTCTTCTGGTTCGACGTCCTTTCCTTTTCGAACTTCTCCAGGGTTCAGGTTCCTCCAATGGCTCAGCTCGCTCCTCTCTCCTCCTCCTACATCGCTGGGCGGAAGAATGGAGGGCTCATCAACAACAATGCACGAGTGCACGATCTGCCTCGGAATTTGAAGCGGCCAAGCCTCCAATTTCGGATAGTCGATGCCCTGCTCCCTCGGGACCTCCCCTTTGCTAAGTCCTGTCAAGTCTATCCACTTGCCCGCTCCTCCATTTCGCCTGCGTTGTTCGCTCTCGGACCGCACATTCGTCCTCAACCAACCCGTTCTCGCACCAAGGAAGTTCCGCAAGACCGCATTGGCTGTAGCGCTGAGCGCAATAAGCTGGAGAGGCGTTTCCCCTCGGCTCCTTGTCTTCGACTGACTCAGACGGAGTCCCTTTCCGTTCTTCTCCTGAGACCTCCGGTATAATTCATCAGCTCCTTGGTGCTGCACCCTTCGGATACTCTCTTTGACTCGTTCGCCTTCCATCCCTGCCCTTGGAATAGGGAGTCCTCCAGAATACGTTGCCCGCATTGCCATGATTTGGTTGAGCGACGTCAGTCCAGCAGGTGGATGTCGCTGATGCCTCCACAGCGCCTTTTTCGAGGGAAACCGAGGTGGGAGGTCCAAGAGTGCGTCTGCCTCATCCAGGACCAGGGTACGAAGAGTCGAGATACCCAGAGTAGCGGGACCCGCAGGTCTGTCAAGGAGCTCCTGAAATCTTGTGGCGGACACGACGAGGATGTGAGGGTTTGTATCGCGAAGCTGCTTGAGATGATCCTCGACACTTGTATTTTGATCACGATGCATGCAGGTCACCACGGACGGGAGCGATGATTCCATCGATTCTGGCCACAGGGTTCTAGCCCAGCCCATGTATTGCTCGGCGAGCTCGGAGCTGGGCACGACGATGATCGAGCTGATGGCGTTCTGCCGTTTCAAAGACTCGTCTTTGCCGCTCTCGAGGACCAGCCGCGGCTTTGACAAGAGGGCGAGCAACATCGAGAAAGATTTGCCGCTACCTGTGTGTGACCTCAAAATGAAGTCACATGGCTCTCTGGAGAGCTGCAGTATTGCTTGTTGCGCATGTGTAGGCTTTCGTATGTGCGGGAATGTCTCGTGAATCCTCTGTGTCAGTTGTTCGCTGAGGCCGAGTTTCTAAAAGGCGGCTTGATCAACTTTCAGATAGGACGAAGCAATAGGCATGGTGCTTACCGAGAATGGTACCACCGCCGTTGATCTACCCTCTGCTTCTGAGCCTCTCCTGTCATTGTTGCTCGCCCGACCTGAACCCTGGGGGGCGCGCTGTGCCGGTGGACTGTGTTCGGCTGTTGGAAACACCGATGTTTTCGAGAGCGTCACCACACTCCTTGCCAAGGACGCGTTCGCCCTGCCAGCTGGCAATGCTAAGCGACGCCCTAGGAGGAGGGTACGCCCAGCACTTCGCAGCATCTTTGGATCGTCGTTGTCTTGGGAAGATCCTTTCTCGTCAGGAAGTTTTAACTTTTTTATTTTGGAGACTCACGTGTGCGCGAGTGTCAAGCTGGCCCGTGCGGATCGGCTATCGCTCGCCAGGCTCGTTCTCGTCACTACAGTCACACGACCCAGAGACAAGAGAAGAAGTCAACAATGCTGGAATCGTCTGCAGTCGAAGCAGGGCTCAGCAGCCGCCTGCTTCGATCCTTCTCTGAGACCGCGTCTCTGTCGGGACAGATTCCCGTGCATCCGACATATCTCCCCATCGCCCCGTTGACCTTGATCCACGCGCTCCGCGTGTCGCACGGCACGCTCCAGCTCGTCCAATCTTCCCGCCGGGGCGGCCGTCCAAATTTAGTCACTACTACCTTTCTCGCACTCGTTCTCCTCTTTGGCTCAGTGGTCGTGACGAGCGCGTTGCTCGCAATTCCCAGTCCCATCCTGCTGGCACCCGCAACCATCGTAATCTACGCTGGCGTGCACATCGTCAATGCCTCGACTGGCTTGGCCGACATGCTCTTGAGCCTCAACGAGGTGCCTGGCCTCGGTCTTGCGTGGGTAATAGCTGTGGTCTTGGAATAAGTCGATCCCTACAAATACTGATCTGGTTTCTCCTTCTTTGTCAGAATGGACCTTGGCTTTGCGCTCGTTGACGGTGTCTGCCGCTCGGAAGGTATCGCACAGCTGGGCGTGACGACTGTCCGAACGCACCCAAACGCTCTCATCGCCTCGTCTCCCTTTGCGGCCATCCTGATCGGAACGCTCGTCGGCGGCGGTGGACCGCTGCTCATCGGTGCCTTTTCCCTCGAGGAAGCCAATTGGACCTTGCGCACGCCGACCTGGCTAACGCAACCTGCGTCGCTCCTCGCCATCGACGTCTGGTCCTCCGCCCTCCTCTCGGCTCTTTACGCGGGCCTCACGAGCCCGCTCGGCTTCTCGTCGCTCATTCCCCCTGAGCATCGCGCCTGGCTCAAAGGCGCACAGGGGCCCGCAATCCTGTATGCCCCGCTCGAGATGGCCAGTGCCGCCCTCGAGATTGAGCGGAGAGAGAACACCACCTTTAAGCCATATCGCTTCGGCCAGGAAGTCGAGGGAGCGTATCTTGCCATCCAAGAGGCGCATGCGCTCTGCGCAATCGTCCTCTTTACGATCCTGGCTGGTCAGAGACTCAGTCTGGCTGTGCTAGCACCGTTCAGCCAAGGTCCCAAGAAGCCAGAATCAGTCAAGGCAAGGACATTGACGGCGGCTACGCCCTCTGCCAAAAAGAAGAAGGGCATCAGCAACGATCCCTCGCTCGTCATCGACGAGAAGAATGGTTTCGCGACGACGGCCGTTACCAAGAGCAAACTTGCTTCAAACGGAACGCCGCAGAAGAAGAGAAAGTAGACGGAAGGAAGCGAAAAGAGAGAAACATGCTGAGAACGGTGCGACACGCTCGATCATCGATCAATTAGTGCGTGGTGCCGACGAAGAGTTGCCTTAAGTACTGTACAATGAGGAAGGCACGCAAAGAAGGGACGTAGAAGGTAGTGGAAGTAGAAGTAATGTACATGCAGCGCAAGGATGAATTACCAGATACGGCTCTTGATCATCGAATAGCGACTGACGTCGATGAGGTTGGGTCCCTTGCTGAACTCCTTCTTCGCCTGACCCTGCCCTGACGAGTTGGCGGCAGGAGGGGCGTGCGTAGAATTTGCCTGGCTGAGACTGAGCTTAGCAGCGTCATCCTCGTTCTGGTCCATCAACGCGCCCAGCTCGGCCTCGTAGCGGATTGTCTCCTTGTCGATGCCGATTGGCGCCCGGTCGCGAGCATTGAGCTCCTCTTCGCGCTCTCGCTCCTTGCGCTGTGCGCTGGCGTAGCGATGTGAAGCAAATGAGACGAGATTCGTGCCGAGGAGGAGTTTGAGCGCAACGAGGCTGTTGACATCGATGGAGTGTTAGGAGGAGTAGAGGCGAGGAGAAGATTGGATCCGCCCTTGCGAAACAACTCACAAGATCCAAGCTATCATGATCGTCAAGGCCCAAGCGGCTGTCGAAACGACCAAGTGGGCCGTGTGCTCCATGACCCTCTCCGGGTCTTGGACCAAGAAGACTTTCCGAAGGACGAGGGCCGTGGCGGCCTGGAGCATTCGCAGCACCTTGATCGCAGCGTTGGCGTCACCTTCACCATCGTGTGTAGAGGAAGGAGGATTAGGCATAGCGCACTCGTCAAAGTGACTGTCGTCACCGACCATGCCGATCATCTGCAGCGTGATTCGGACAAGCATGCACGCCAACGGGAGAGCAGCGAAGCCAAGCCTCCTCGAAACAATCGGACTTTGGTCCACAAATGTGTGTTTTCTCGCTCGAGCATTGGGCGAGCCGGCAGAGGAGCCCGTGACGACGAGGTCGCGACAGAGCACATCCATGAAGCGACCGTACACGGCCGGTCGAATGTGGTTGAATTTGGTGATAAATGCGTGCTTGAGCCAGTCAACGAGGCACTCGGACCCTAGCACGATGCACACGGGCGCAAATGCCGTTTCGAGAAGGCTAAAGGATGGAAAGACGGTGAACGAAGTCGGCAGGGGCCCCAAGATGGTCGCGCCAAAGTTGCTGCCAGAGCTGCTGCTTGCTCCTCCGCTACTATTGATGGACCCCGCTTTGACTCCCGAAGCCGACAGAGTTCCACCGTTGACAATCGAAGACGCAGCAAAGGGCGAAGGGGCGCCACTGAGAGGCACGCCAGCTCCTCCCAGCTGCCCTGCACCGCTCGGGCTGATGGAACTTGCTGCGGCGCCCGATACCTCGATCAGGTTTCGCAAACCAATAGCGCTCAGCATCAGAGTGAGCTGGAATCGCTCCACAATGTCGGCACACGTCAGCTGGAAGAGATTCTCCTTCTCGAACTTTTTGAAGACGGAGCCCTTGATCTCCACGAATTGGTTCGATAGAAGGAGCGTCAAGAGGGCATTGTCGTAGGAGTTGATAGCCACGTTGAGTGTCACGAGCTGGTAGAAGAGCACGAGCGTATGTGCGAGAATGTAGCCCAGGGACAGGACAAAGAAACCGAGCGGGCGCAGGAAAGGCTGGCTGCCGTCCTTTCTCCTCGCCAACGTGCTCCGCGAGAAGAGCGAGTCGAGGAGGTCCTGTCCAAAGCTGCAGCAGAGGCGGTCGGCAATCTCTAAGACATTAAAAATGACGTAGAGCTTCACGACGTCCTGTCCCCTGACGGAATGGTACATCTTGCTGGCGTCTGTCGCTCGGCTGAGGATGTAGCAACTGAGGACGACGAGGAGCGTCTTAAGCATGTCACACTTATGACTCGAGTGCAGATATCGCTTGGGACCGCCCGTGATCCAGACGAGGGTATTTCGGATCCAGAGGTAAAAGGCGACGAGGAATCGCAGCGGCAGAATGGTAAACGTGTAGAGAAACGAGTCGAGACAGACGGCAAAACCAAAGAGGATGATCTTCTCCATCCAGAATGGTATGGCGATAAAGTTGGTGACTCGTTCCCACTTCATCTCCTGCGTCGAGTCGAAGTCGGTGGCCATGACCTCCTCCTTGAGGTAGTCCCATAGACTGAACGGGGGCGCCGCCTCGGCCAGCTCGTCTAGCCTGGATGCCAGCAGCTCAGCCATCTTTGCGTCCCGGTTCGCCTTGGCTTGCTTTGCTGCCGCTGATTCGGCCTTTGCTGCAGCGGTCGAAGATGGAAGAGCGGGCTGCCCGTTGCTGTCAGATGCAGTGTTGGATGCCGTTTCGTCATCGCCTTTGGTGGTGGAGCTATGAGGGACTGAGATTTTTGCAGGAGTTGCGCCGGTAGCATAGCCTACCGCACTACTGATGGCGGTGCCTAGGGCCACGATCTTCGAAAGCGGCGTGTCCTGCACGCCCACGCCAGATCCTCGGCGCTGTTCCTGGGGCGGCGTGCCTTCGGTGCCGCCCTCATCGCTGAGCCAGACATCCTTGTCGCCCTTGACTTTTGGGGTCGAAGGCTCAGAGACATTGACTTGCTTGATCTGCTCTGGTCGGCCTCTGTCTTTTGACGACTTTCTGCTCGATGGTGACTGCCAGTCCTCCGGCTGACCCTCGACGGCTTGCACAGCAGCTGAAGACTGGCCGCGTCGATGCGAAGGCATTGTTGGAACAGCGGTTGACCTTGGAGAAAGCGAGGGTCTCTTGGAGTGCGAGGGCGTGCTCAGCTTGCCGTTACTGCCGCTCACTGTGGATATTGGAGCAATTGAGGAAGCCCGTCTGTTGCTGTTGCTGCTGTTGCCAGACACCTTTTCGATGCTTCCCTTGTCACTGTCGTCGCCATTTAGGGAGAGGCTGACGTCGTGTGCGCGGCCTGCTGGCTCGGCTGCGTCGACAGATTCGGTGCTCGGGGCCGCGCTGAAGGGGTCGTGATGCGTAAGCATGTCCTCGCTGTCTGTCCTCTCAAGCCGTCTGCCGTTCGTCTTTGCCCTTGCGTCAGGGCCGATTTCGTCAAAGGCCGGTGTCCTTCCATCCATCACATCGACGTCCTCGTCCACGTCTTCGTCCTCGTACGAATGCTCCCACGGCGAGAAGCCAGAGAGCAGCAAAGCTTTCCTGCTCCGCCTGTACTCTCTCAATGCCGCCCTGCCACTCCCTTCGCTCTTGTGCCCGTGCTCTCTCTGCTTGGATGCCGATTCAGTCAGGTTCGACAGGCCGCTCTCACTTTCCTCATCCGACTCTTCGCCTTCCTCGTCCGACTGTTCGTCCTCCCACTGGTCATCCTTGTCATCGATGGCCACGCCGTTCTTGGCAATCGTCCCCGCCTCCGCCCCCGCCGCCTCTCCCTCATCTGACTCCACGTCCTCCCAGCTCGCCTCGACTCGCTCAGCCCTTTTGCGGGCACGAGCCGGGAGCGTTGTGCGATCACTGGTGTTCGCCTCTCCGTTGAGGTGCAGCATCCCGAGAGGCGATGGCTGCTCTAGCGGAGGCGCAGCGACGGGCTTCGTCGGTGTCAGAGAGTCGCCATTAGCGGCCATGACGCCCGTCCACGGTGTGCCCGTCGGCGTGCTTGCCCGATCCACCTCTCCGACGCCATTGCTGAGCGCTCCACCGTGCTCGCGTCGGGGCGTCGACGGTCCCGCCTCGTTGTCCATCTACGGCATGTACTGGTGGTCCAGGGACAACAACCTCGGCCTCTCCAGATCCAAAAAGTGGATCTGAGCCCTCAGACTTCACGTGTGCCTGACGCGCGCTTTCGCCAACATCAAGACTTTCCAGAAAATATTGGAGAAAAAGAGACCATCACCCACTACTACGTAGATGCAAGCAAATAAATCCCTGGGGTTTTGACAATTGCGAGCAAAGCGCCGGTGTGCATGAGAAATCTACTCTACAAGGAAGACACTTCGATGAACCCCGTTCCAGAACTGTCGCTCGGCGTCGGACAGTGCCACATCGCCTTCCTCGCCCAGGATCTGGTCCACGAGCGGGGTCCTGGCACCCTGCGCTTCCCTCGAGGTACCAAGGAGAACGACGGACCACGGCGTGCCACCTGACTCTGCCGTGTCTGGTCTGCGAACGAGCTCCCGTAGCGCTGCCCAGAGCGAGCCGACTTCCGCCGCAGAATCGACGGTTGTCGTCTTGAAGACTGCACCTTCCTGCTGCCTCGAAAAGAGAGCTCTCAGCAGCGTTAGGATGGCCTCTGCCTCGCTCCGCAGCGACTCAACGCCGCCGTGCGGAAAGGGGTGGGAGTTTGCCCTCTGTCTCTCGGCAGCAGTGGCTTTGTACGAGAGCATCCAACCGAGGCCTACCTCGGTGAGGCCCTTGCGAGCGTACACCCTCGCGTTGTCCAGTAGCGTGCCGAGCGAGGCCGGATTGATAAAGCCGAGCTGCGCAAAGGCCTGGTGGGTGCGGAGCAAAGATGTGACACCAAGACTCGTGTAAAGAGTCAGCCTTGCGCGCGAGGTCGTCGTGGACGTATTTGCAGAGCCAAGAACCGCAGAGCCGGCCTGTGCGCCCGCCTGAGTATCCAGAGATGCCAAGGCCGCTAGAAAGGCCTTGGATGATCGGGCAAGAAAGTTCCAGCTTCGGGTCGCAATGGACTTGATTCCTTCTCCAGCGGCACCGCCTGGTTGAAGAGCGAGCAAGTCAAGGTACCGGATCCGGATTCGGGCCAAAGAGAGGCAACAATCGCCTATTTCTTCCAGATGACCTGTCCGCAGCCTCTGCTGCAATCGCCCTGCCGTGCTCGAGACGTCGATAGGAGCCTGGGCCTCTGAGAGAACGGCATCAATCGATGAGAGGACCTCTTGCTCGAGAGCGGTGAGCGCAGCTTCCTCTGCGCCTGCCTCGGGCCAGGATTGGGTCCCAGCGATCTCGGCGTGCTTGGCGGCTTGAGCCACCTTTATGGCCAGGGGCGCGTATTGCATTTGTGCGAGCCCCTCCGCCCATTCACCGTCCGGACTTCGCTTCTCGCCGTCGGGGTATGCAGTGGCGAGCTGCCGAGCCCGGGCTTGTGCGTGAAGCGAGATTGTTGCGGCGGCCTCGACCGACTGAGGGGACAAAGGAGAGGCGTCGAGGAGTGCCAACGAGGCCATGTGGATGTTGTGCAGCGTCTCCATCGCCGAGGCGGGTGTGATCAATGACGTCGTGTACTGTTCTTCTCCCTCCTGTTCGCCGTTGCTCTCCGCATCGCCGTTTGACATGGCATGGTCCTGCCACTGCTCGTCCTGCTCTTGGCCTGGCGCCTCGGCATCTGTCTCGGCTGACTGGCGAATCGCCTCTTCCTCGTCTACACGCTGTCGCGCAAGGACCATCTCTTGCCCCTGAATGACAGCCTCGAAAAAAGCAATGGCCTGTCTGACGAGGCTCACTCTCTCACCGCCGTCATCGCCGCCTGTCGACCCTGGAGCTTCATCGACCTGGTCGCCGAGTGCCATGTATGCGGCCCCGAGATTGAACTGGACGTCGAGGTAAAAAGCATTGGGGAGGGTGTTGCCATCACTTGCCGTCTCTGTGGGCGGCGAGAGTGAGAGTGCCTGCTGATAGAGCCTGACAGAGTCTCGCAAGATGGAAATGCTTGTCCTCGGCTGGTAGAATGCCGTGCCTAGGAGGAAGCACACCCGTGCGCTGTGACGCCATGGCAGTGAGCTCATCACACGCCCAAGAAATCAGGCATAATGCTCGATACTCACCAGTTGTAGGCTGCATCAGCAGACCTCGGATTGAGCTGCAGCGATCGCCGATACAGCGACAGACTCCGTTCAAAGTGTCGCCTGGCCTTGATGCCCACTGCGAACCGCTCGGCCTTTTCTTCTGCCTCGACACCCGCATCGATTGCATCGTCAAAGTCATTGTATGCCTCAGGAGCAATCTGCTCGCCTCTTGCGCTGCCTCCCGCCCCGCTGAGAGCTTTCTTGGGGGGCCTTGCCATGTCGCAGGAATTGGGAGAGTACCTTCTTGGTCGAGGTCAAGAAAGAAGAAGAGTGAAAATGGTCGAGAAATTAAAATTTTTAGGGTTGTTCGCACCTCCACTACTACTGCCAATGGCGGTAGCGTTCGGAGAGAAAGAGGCTGTCTAGTATGGACAGCCTCGCCAGTGCATGAGAGTGAAAAGCAGCACTGCTGCTATCAGCATTGTGTCTATTCCGTGTCAAGCCTGGGAAATTACACCACAGCCTCTCTCAATTGCGGGCAGATGGGTAGCGAATTGCAAAGGCGGGGGATGCACCTGAAAAAATTGACACACAGAAGCTCCTCATCGCGGGGGGCCTGCGACCGCATACAAGCCACACGCTTTTCATTACAGACCCGTATTTCTCAACCTCCCTTTGCATCCTCCTTTCTCCTCCCTACCCTCTCTTTTACTGAGATACCTCCCTTTCTTGTTCCCTTGGTCTTGCAATAGTCGTTTTCAGACTGCCCCCCCCGTAATCGCACTCGCGACACCTTCACCATGAAACTCCTAGGAAATAGCCTCAGGGTGACCGTCCGGGCAGGTGCACTTGTCAAACCCGAGATTAGTCAGAGAGAATACCTCACTCCTCTCAAGAAGCGGGTGTCATGCTGTGAGAGGGCTGCCACACCAGGCCTGATGAATACTCGCCTTGATTCTTCGATGGCGCTGACATTTGCCCGAGGGGTAAAAAATCAACCACAGACATCAAGGCTGTCCCGGGCGAGAAATTCAACATTGTCGTCTCACCTGGTGAGCGCATCGATGACGCCAAGCTCTTCTGGATTATCGTGTGTACAACAACCATCCTCGACTGTGTGCTTTCACTGCTGACAATACGGTTCAGGTCTACGTGGACGGCGTCTTGGTAGACGACCACGTCCATGTCTTTCATCCGGCCGTGGTCAGCCCGCTCGCTGTCTATGCCTACTACGGCTACGTTGACCAGACGGACGAGGAAACCGACGGAAGGTGGTACATGAATCCGCTGTGTTTCAAGCATCCTAGTCAGTCAAAGACCTGGTCGGAAATTGAAACTGCATCTCCAAGCACCTGACAGAGGGAGTAATCGTGATTATCTTTATCTTGGTCGACAGAATACCCCGAGACCACAGTCTGTCCTAATGGCGACGAGGCCAGGGGTGAGATCAAGATCTGCTTCATTCCTTGCGAAAGGTGTCGTCCAGAAGAGAGCACGCCCTTCGAGCACAGGGCCGGCTACCGCGAGAACAAAGCCAAGAGCGCGAACGACTTTGGCGTCGAGGCCAGGTGAGACACATTTACTTAGTCAAAACCGTCGTGCACACAAGGGGACTTGCAAAAAAAGATGCTGACGAAGATGGTGTTGTGAAGAGGGGGCACGAAGGTGGCCATCGCTCCTCACATCGACTGGCCCTTTGGTCATCGCGTGAAGCAGGGAGCGACAAGCTACGAGGCCGTGTTTCGCTACCGCTCCGAGCGCTGGCTCAGCAACCGCAGCCTATACGCCGATTAATGAACGTTTACGACTCCATCGTCGAGAAGGAAAGGCAAATCAAACGACATCTCGGTCCGCAAAGTGACACATACAATCTTCGACTTGCTCTCATGCTCCCGTCTCGCTGTCCAGATCCTTGCTCATTTGCTGTGCATACATAACTCCTCGCTAGCCTCACACCGCTGTTTGATGCTTGTATATCCTTCTCCATCACACCATCTATCAGTGTGACCTCATCGAATTGTAAATAGAGAGTATCAACTAGTCCTCGTCGTCCGAAGTGGCCCACTTGCTCTTGGCAAGCACGTTGCTCTTGTCCCCACTCCGACCTGAAGGCGCCTCGTCCTTCTTATCGAGTCGATCGCCTGGCGCGCTTTGCGGCTGCTTCTTGCGCGAAGCCAGCGCTCGGGCCCTCGCCTCTGCTTCGTCCCTGGATCGCTCTGGCGAATCTGACGACGAGCCTCTCCTCTTCATGACTGGCGTCTTGCTTCCACTGCGACCGCGCGGGCTGTCGCTGGGCGACCTCGCAGCTGCCTTTGCCTTTGACCGCTGGCGGTAGTCAGGCGTTTGGTCGCCCTTCACCTCTGAGCTTTCCCTCCTCTTTGCCCTCGTCCTCCTCCTGTACTCTTCCTCAGAGTCGCTGTAGCTGTCTCGTCTCTTCAACGAGCGGCGCGGCGGTGATGGAGAGAGCGGAGCATAGCTCTCTGATCTATCTCGCTTTCGTCTGGGAGCGCGCGAGGGCGAGGGTGACCTCGAATCCTCGCTAGGCGATCTCCTTCTCCGAGAGTAGACCGGGCGAGGCGACGGAGAGCGTGAATCGAAGCTCGCCGATCTCCCCTTCGGCCTCCTAGGCAGCGCATCTGGAGAATACGTGGGCGACCTGTATCTTCTCGGATCCGGAGAGGGTGAACGACGCTTTCCCCTGTCCTCGTACTTGTCCTCCTCGGGGCGTCGGTCGTAGTAGCGCATCGGGCCCTCGTCGTCGTACCTTGGCCTCGCCGAGCGAGAGCCATCGTTTCCTCTGGGGGCATCTCGGGAGTAGCCATCGTACCTGTCCTCTCTGTGGCGATCGTAACGGGGCGAGGGGCTCCTTCTCCTCGGGTAGTCTGCCTGTCTGTATGGTGGGGGGCTGCGTCGATTCCGATCTCTGTCATCGTCTTGACCTCGTGGGCCCTTCGCGCCCTGCATGTACACGCAAAGGTCAGTTTGAGACTGACAATAAAGGTGCTGCAAGGCACGACTCACCCAACCTGAGTCTTGAACACGTTGCGTGACGTTGCCCTGCCTGTCCCTGAACTCCTGGCTCCTGCCCCCATCCCACCGGCTCCCGCCTCTTCCCCTCCCTCGTCCTCTTCCCCTTTCCCCCGCCCTTGAACCCAGTTCCGCGCCTGCCCGCCCCTGGTAGTGGATGACGCCGCTGTCACGGATCGCGCCGGCATCCTTCTCCCGCGCCTCTCGCAGCTCTTGCTTCTTGCGCTCGACAAATTCTTGAGGAATGCCGCCGACGGACTTTTGGGCAGAGAGAAGCAGCGTCCAGAGCTCCGACATGAATACTGGCGTCTTGGTTTCAAGGAATCCTGTGAGCGAGAGCTGCAGCTTGCGGGGATCGGGAGTCTGCATGGGCGTGTCAGCACTTTAAAATCACATGAGAAGAGAATGAGGGAGCCACACACCCGGTTGTCCTTGTCCTCGAGCATGCCATTGACGTATTCGACGACGACATCGTCCTCGAATCCGAGCAGCTCGCTGACCTTCTCTGCGATCCAGGGCTGTGCGAATTTCGACCTCTTGTCAGCCTTCTCTTCCAGAAGCACAAGACCGCAGTCGCGCCGGCACTCACCCTCATGACCTCGAGCTTGACCTTGGCCATGTCCACCTTCTGATCGAAATGCGCCGGGAACTGGCCCTGGTCCTTGAGCTTCTTGAGCAGCGTCTGCTCCTTGTTCCTGTACCGCCCATCCTGCGCCGCTGAGACGCCTCTGTAGCTCGTGCCCGACATGCCTCCCTTTCTCTCTCTCTCTCTTCTCCTCTCTGTGTATGCGCCGCGCCCGTCCTCGTTCCTTTCTCCTCCTCCTTTGTTCGTAGAGGAAGCTCGCGCGGACAAGGGAAAAAAGTGTCACTTTGGTCCGCCCTAAAAGCAGCCACGTGAAATCACACCACTGTGCGTGTTGCAGTCTACCGGTAATGCAATCAAGACAACCAACCCCCACAAGCTTCCATCTCTCTCGTCACCTCGATTTCTAAGCGATAATATTCAAGCACGATAGAAGCAAAGATGATGGAACCAACGACGGCGCCGACGCATCCTCCCAAGGACGACCCGTTCACCAAGGACGAGCTCGCCAAGTTTGACGGCTCCGACGAATCCAAGCCCGTCTACGTCTGCATCAAGGGTTAGTCACACTTCCTTCCTGACTCTCTTTGACTCCCTGACTTCCTGAGTGATGGCTTGGCTGAATGAATGATGGACTGCTCCAGGCCAGGTCTTTGATGTCTCGCCCAAGCGCGAAATGTACTGTGAGTCCGCCCTTCTCTCTAACTATCCAGGTGCTGGTGCTGGAGCTGGTGCTGATCGGGAGCCCACGTCGCAGCGCCCGGAAAGGGCTACCACATCTTTGCCGGAAAGGACGGCTCGCGCGGCCTCGGCATGTCCTCGCTCAAGCCCGAGGACGCCGTCGCAGACTACTCTACGCTCGACGACAAGCAGCGCAAGGTCCTCGACGACTGGGTGAGTCTCTTAAGCCACCTGGCGCTTTGTGCTTTCTTGGGCTCGTGGGGCTGACTCGTGTGTGTGCGTAGGTGGCTTACTATACCAAACGATACAACATCGTCGGCAAGCTCGTCGAGTGAAAGAGGTAGCAGATGTGCTTTTTTTTCATCCTTCATGCTCAGATTGCGCGCCCACACGATCGAATCAGCAATATCTTTCATGGGATTCTCAGGAAAAGAAAAAGAAGTCGTCATGAGAGAGAGAGAAGAGAGAGAGCGCGACCTAGGCTTTGTACAATTTTGGTGGTCATCTCGGCGTCGTCAAGGGGTCGTTAAGTGGTCGTGAACAGTTGGGCGTGACGCAGAAAGAGAACCCATTTCGAGAAGAACCTATAAGAATGTATGGAGAAGAGAATAAGAAAGGGCCGTCCGACTGAGCTGGATCAGTGGCGGCCCCTTCCAAGGACCTCAGAGAGGAGCACGAAGCCGGCACCAGCGGCCAGACCGAGAGCTGCTTTGCGAGCGAAAAGGCAAAAGGTCAGTCAAGGCACACAAGCCTCAGAGAAAGAAAGAGGGCAGCAGCAGACGCACCGTAACTGGGGATAGCACCCAGCTTGAGAGGCCGGCCAAAGTTGAAGCCCCACGACTGCACGTCTTCATCGTCGCTCTCGTCCCCCTGCGTCGCTGACGGCTTAGTCTCGCGCTCCTCGTCTTTCGAGACCTGACCTGCATGCTGTGGGATCGTAAAGACCTCCTCCAGCGCCGTCCTCCTCCTCTCGTGGTTCTTTTCGCCAGCAGAAGAAGAGGCTAAGGAGCCCATGCCGAGCGCAGAGCCGGACTCGGTCAGGGCATCGAGCTGGGACAGCTGGTCTTCCAGGACACCCATGCGGCGAGCGAGGGACTCGAAGCGCTTGCGCTCGACAAGGACCATGCTCGTCTTCTTGATTGAGCCCTTTCCGTCGGGCGAGGGCGCCAGTGTCGTCAGGGGCACCGAGAGCATCTCTACGTTGCCGTCACCTTCTGTCGTCTGGCCTTCAGCAGGCAGCTGTTCCTGTGCCTTTTCTCCCTGACCCTGCTTGAGCAGCTCGTCCAGCGCCTGCAAGTTCTCGGCGCTGAGCTCGGCGCCGCAATCTTCCTTGGCCGCCTCAGTGGGCTTCTCGTCTTCGATGGGACTGAAGAGGTCCATCATGCGTTGCCTCAGGTTGTCGCGCTGCGGCGGCGGTGGCGGAGGCTGTGATGATGAGGATGCTGATGAGGATGATGCAGCAGCAGCGGGAGGGGTGAAACTCTCCTGCAGCTGAAGCGCGACTGGGTTGCCACGGCGGGAATTCTTGCGACTGAGCGTGCCGCCCCACTTGCCCTCATCCTCGGCGGCAACAGAGGCGTGTGTCTTGCCGTCGTCTTCGTGCGTCGCCGAGTGGAGAGCGACGAGCTGCTTGAGCTGACCGCTGCGTCTGCTGCCTGCCTTGCGCCCAAAGGTACCCGCCTTGCTCATCTCGGTGGCCATGCTGGCCAGCGAAGAGGGCGGAATGGCGTCGTAGCTCTCCTCGGCGGCGGCGGCAGCCTCTTCCTGTCTCTTGACCGACGTGCGGCGAGACACGCCGGGGCTCAGTGGCTTGTAGGGTGCCACGCCAGACGCCTCATGAGCGCTCATGTGGCTCATGTGGCTCATGTGGCTCATGTGGCTTGGCTGGCTTGACTCAGCCTTCGCTTCGGCTTGAGGAACCACACTCGCTCGAGTGGCATCCGATGCAAAGAGGCTTCTGGAGTCCTCTCGGCCGGGCGCCGGGTTGCGAATACGGACGCTTCCCTTGGCAGCCGGCACATCCATCTCGTTGTCGGCCAGCAGGCCCGAGTCGTCGTCGTCGGGCTTGGCAACGATCTTGCGGGCCGTGCCGTACTTGATGTCCTCGTCGTCGTCTGCGCCGATGCCGAGTGCTTCGCGCTCCTCTACGTCGTACGTCGAGCTCCTGTACGGGTTCGACTTGCCGCCGTTGGAGCGGCCCGGACGAAGGTGTGCGTTCCGGCGCGCCGCAGCCTCGGCCTCGGTCTCGTCATCCAATTCCACATCCATGCGACGAGGAGGGGGAACCATGGCCAGGCCGAGACCAAGGCCGAAAGTGGCACGGTCATCATCGTCCTTCTTTGTCACAGCACCCTCACCGCCAGACTCGCTGGGGTCAGCGCCACCGATGATGGACTGCACCAGGCTAGCGTCCAAGGGGGTGAAGCCGAGTGGGCTGTGAGGAGGTGGCGTGCCCGGTGCACTCTCGCCCGTGCCCGTGCCCGAGTGCGACGAAGAGCTGCGCTGGTGCTCATGCTCGGCCTTGACCGTGTCTCTATGTTCGTCGTCATCGTCGAAGTTGAGGTCGTCGTCTTCAAGCTCACTGACGAGCGAGGCAGCCTCCTGCTCGCTCAAGCTGCCAAACCAGTGCTCGAGCTCGGCCATCTCAAAGTGCCGCTTCTTGCGGCTCGCCTCGTCGCCCGACATCTCCGACAGGCTCGTGAAGCTCTCGGCTCGCTGCTTGACGTAGCCCTCGCCGTAGATGGGCGCCATGGGTTCGCGGGGAGAAGACGAGGTGGCCTGCGAGGAGGCCAGCGAGTCGACCGACTCGCGCCTGACGATGATTGGCGAGCGAGGGGTGCCGGCTGCGCCTTCGTCCTGGGCAAGGTCGGCGGCCGACTCAAAGGAGCGAATCATGCCCCTGACCTGCTTCTTGTCGCGGAGGCGCTTGAGCGTGCCCTTGGCATAGGCGGGGCCAGTCCTCTTGCTGTCGTCGAGCGCCTTGCCATCAGCCTCGTTCTCGGCCTCGTCCTGCTCCTCGACATCGTCCTGCCGGGGCCACTGCATGCCACCCTCGTGGCCCCAGATACGACCACGAAGGCAGTCGCGGCGAAGCTTCTTGACGGCTTCGATCATGAGCCTACGCCACTTTGTGTTGAGTCCTTCCTCCTCGAGATCCGACGCCTTGAGGCGCAGGAAGACGCGGCCGCCCATGTGCGCCCGCCGGACGTATGCCGTGACATCCTCGACGATCGGTCGCGGGGTGAGACCAAGGACGTGGGTGAGGTAGAGGGCCACCTGCGAGGGCGTCCATGCCTTTGGATTGGCCGGCAGCTTGGCCACGAGGGCGGCCACAGTCTCTTGCTCGCTCAGCTTGCGCATCTCGGGCTCTGGCGAGGAGAGCGAGACGACCGACGACGATGACGACGAGGTAGTCAAGCTCCTCTGAAGCCGCTGCGGCGGCGCAGGAGGGGGAGCCGACTGCCACGACTGTGTCTCGGCCGCGATATCGGGCTTCGCAATATTGATGCTATTGCTGTTGCTGCTGCTGTTGCTGACCTTGACGCTAGCCATGGCCTCCTTCTCGCCCTTTCCAAGTCCGCTGGGGACATTGCGCCTCGTGGGCGTCAGCAGCGAGTGGGAGCGGTGGAGGTACGAATAGCCGCTGGGCACCTGTCCGCCCGGGGAGAAGCCCGCCGTGACCGAAGAGGGCGAGGGTGGGACGGGCGCAGCAAACGAACCTCCGCTCGAGGAGCCGCCCGACGAGGAGTTGTGACGAGCGTGGCCCGACGAGGTCCGCGGTTGCGTGCTGGTCGACATGGCCGGCCTCTGGTCCAGGGTGCCAGGTGTGTGAGGGCTCTGATCTGTCTCTGTTGATTCGTTTCTTTCGTCTCTTCTACTTCTGTCGCTATTGGAAGAAGGGGGGTATATAGGTCGTGTAAGGTCGTCACAAGGATCGTCAAGAGGAGCAAGAGGAGAAAGAGGAGAAAGAGGAGAAAGAGGAGATGAAGGCAGTCGAGGCAGTGATGAACCTCTGAGACGAGGGCCAGGGCGGGGGAGAGGAATAGGAGGCGGGCGCGGCAGTTTAAATTCGACAGGTCCGTCCAGTGTACCGACCCCTATCGAGGGGGGCTTGTTAGCGCGTCAACATTCACGCTTTGACAGGTCCGTCACGTGTTTTGTGGCTTGTTGACTGTTTCACCTTTCGCACAAGCCGGCCTGCCTGGGAAGCACTGATGGCGAAGCTAGGGAGCTAGCTAGGACGGCAGCGCACTGATCCCTGGTCCTGATCGCTGCGATCTCCTGTACATGACTATCTTTTTCTGAAAAGAAGATGGACTTCGATTACATTTCGAAGAGCGGCGCTGACTGCAGAATGCGGGCTCCGTCGCTCCGCCTCTCGCACCGTGCGGGCTGGTTTTCGGTCGGTCGCTACGGTTGCTATCCCCATCTCTGGCTGTAGGGGTCTTCGACCTTTTTCCCCTTCTCACCATTCTCGATAAGTACTTGGTACACACACGCAGCCAGTCGTGATGGTTTTCAGATCCCTCAGTCTCTTCACTGCATTCGCTTCGGCTTTGCTCTTGTTCAGTGAGGCGACCGCTCATAAACTTGCCCCACGGGCGGCCGCTTCCTCAGGGCCTGCGCTCACCGTGCACGGCTGCCTCGTCAACAATGTCACTCTGCCACCTCTCGACTTCCCGTACAACGCGCTCGAGCCCTTCATCAGCGCAGAGATCATGACGTTGCACCACACCAAGCACCACCAAGCCTACGTGACAAACTACAACATCGCTGAGCAGCAGCTGGCCGCCGCCGTGGCAACGGGAGATGTGCACAAGCAGCTCGAGCTTCAAAAGGCCCTCAACTTCAACGGAGGAGGACACATCAACCACTCGCTCTTTTGGAAGAATCTCGCCCCAAAGTCGGCTGGAGGTGGTCAGCTCAAAGACTCAATGCTCAAGAGCGCCATCGTCAGGCAATTCGGATCGCCCGAAGGTCTCCTCATGGCGGCCAACAAAACACTTTCCACTCTCCAAGGAAGTGGATGGGTCTGGCTGGCCTACAACCCCGTCACCAAGATCCTCGAGCTGACGACGACAAAGGACCAGGACCCCCTCTTAAATATGGATCCCATCATCGGGTGAGCACACCAAGCCGTGCAGTCGTTGCTCGTCATGCGGACTGAATCTGACGCATTCATACTCCAGCATCGACGCCTGGGAGCACGCCTACTATCTCCAGTACAAGAACGACAGGGCTGGCTACCTTGCTCAGATTATTCAGGTTATCAACTTCGACGAGGCGATCCGCCGTTACGTGGCAGCTGTCGACAAAGCCAAGCCTTAGAAATTTGTTATATGATCAAGAATGTCTTCTTTCCCCCATCCTGCGATCTCGTCTCGCCCTCTTGAACATTACATCTTGATTTTGATGAAGGAGGCGGTTGTGTGGAAGCGGGCCATCATATGTCTCTTCGCCATTTCGTTAGAGGGTTTGACACGTGGACGCGTTGAGCCTGCGCTGGCCTTGCACCTTCCGCGACTTTTAGCTTTTTGAGAGTGCACGCACAGCCAAGCCCGCTCGGCGCCGTCGACGACCAGCGGCCTATTCTTCCCTCGCCTCTTTTGCACTTTCTTCTTCTTTTCCTCCTCGAGAAGATTCGCAAAAGACTCCAACAAGTGGGCTGACGACGCTGCCGCCGCCTCCTCCTCCTCCTCCTCCCCCCCTCTGTCTCCTGCCACCCTCCTGTCGTTGTCGCGGCAGCACACCATGGGCGACTCGTTTACGAACCAGCCAGAGTTCTTCGAGGTCGACCTGGGCGAGAGCCTCGTCTCGAGGACAGAGACCCTGGGTGTCTTTCGAGAACTAGGACCGCCCGACCTCTGCCATACGATCAAGACGACGGGGAGAACCGGAAGCAAGGATGTAAGTCGCTGTCTTCGCTGACTGCCGCTCGAGAGCGCTCCTGGCTCATGCTTTTCTCCCTTCTCTGCGCTCGCCCAGATTGGCTCCTACCACTATGTGTCGGGCGTCGACGCGTCTTCCTCGGCCGCACTCGCCGCCTACATCAACAGCTTGACCTACGAGCTGGACCAGAACCCGGCGTGGTTCTCGGGCAAAGGTGCATACAAGCTCAAGAGCGGCGCATACTGGTGAGTAACGGTCTAAGTTGGGGGAAATGAGGAGCCTGCTGATACGCATGCGGTCGACCCAACGCCAGCTGCTTCAATGCCTTCTCAAGAGTCGATGTCCGCGTCGAGGTCAGGATTCCAGGCTCGGTTGATGCCTACATCGTCGATGCGAGGGGCGAGCGGCACGAGACAACGCCCGAGCTCTGGCAAGAGGTCTACCTCTCTGCGCTCCTCCGTGCCATTCTCTACTCGGACGATGCGAGCTACAGGCTGGCGGGCTACCGGAAGCTGGACCCCATCTCGAGCCCAGACGCAGAGCATCGCTTCTTGCAGGCGGCAGAGAATCTCTTCTTCAAGGGCTGGCAGCTCGGCTCGGACCCGGAGATCCAGGTGGCCACTGTCGTCTCGAACCATCTGACGGCGGGCATCCTCAAGTACTTTGGCGAGGCACAGCGGTATGAGCAGGCCGTCAACCTGTTTGAGAAGCTCTATGCGCGGGAGCCAGAGGTGGCCGCCCTCGTCGCCCAGGCCTACATCGGCATGAGTGAGTCTTAAGCATCTTCCCTTCCATGTGCTCACAAGCAGGCTCACCTCTCTGGTTTCACCCTGCAGACGAAGAGATCAAGGCTGTGCAGATCATGCACAACGCCATCAAGGTCACGCCACAGAGCTACTCGCTGCTGCACGTCCAGACAGACTTCCTCCGAAGCAAGGGCAAGCTCGAGTGGGCGCAAAAGCTGGCCAAGGAGGCCGTCAACTGCGCTCCGAGCGAGTTTTCCACATGGGCCAAGCTGACAGAGTGCTTCATTGATAAAGACCAGTGGGAGTCTGCCCTCTACACGCTCAACTCGTGCCCCATGTTCACCTACAGCGAGCGAGACCTTCACCGGATGCCTGCGCCGGCGAGGACACACCTTCCCGTCAAGGCCTTTATTGCCGAGAGTGGGTTGCTGGACGACGAGAGCGCGCGCGACAACGAGGCCGATGTTGCCCTGCTTCGGCTGCCCGCCCCTGCGCTCAGAGGCACCTTTGCAAAGGCCTATGGACTTCTGACGAAGCTCGTGGCCAAGATTGGGTGGGACGAGCTGCTCAAGTGCCGATCCTCGGTCTTTGTCATGGAAGAGGAATACCGGGCCCAGAAGACGACGACATCAGAGGTCAACCTGGATCAAGCTCAAACGACAGACGACGATGCCGCTTCGACGACGGCGATTGCCCCTTCGATTGCGCCCCAAGAAGGCGAGTCGGGTGGCGATGCACCGGCGGACAGCAATGGAAACGAAGGGGAGGGAAAGAGAGAGCAGGAGGAGGAACAGGTCCGGTCGGTAGACAGCGCCTTCCCCTCAAGCAGCGGCGACGGCGAGGAGACGAGCGAGAGCGACGGGCTGCACGAGAAGCTCGACAGCCTGGGCATCTCGTCGCAGGCCAACGCCTCTTCCCAGTCGATCCCCACCATCAAGGTCTCGACGGAGTCGGATCGGGAACGAGAAAAGAGCCAGCTGGAGGAGTTTGTCAAGCAGCAGCAGGAGCACGAGCAGGAGCACATCAACGGCGCGGCGGCAGCGCAGAGTGGGCCAACGCCCGATGTCAAGGTCGAGGCACCGCCGTTGGAAAAGCCTGCACAGGCCCAGGCTGGCGGCGGACACGGCAGGACAGACTCTACAGCCACGGCTGGTGCTGGTGCAGCGGCCCTAGCTGATCAGGGCGGGAAAATCAACGGGATCGCCGAGGGCGACAGCTCTGTGCAGTCACAATCGGGACCGGCCACCTCGAGTGGGTCGGCGTTCAACAATAAGAGGCTGTGCGAGCGGTGGCTCGACAACCTTTTCATGGTCCTCTACGAGGTGAGTCCCCAGTGACTCTCGTTTCTGCAAAGAAAAGGGCTGCTGACCAGGGTCTCTGATAGGACCTCCGCGTGTACACCATCTGGCGGGCCGAGGTGGCGCACTACAAGGCCCAGTCGCTCCCCTACCGCAAGACGGGCACCGAGTGGGAGATTCTCGGCGAGCTGGCGCTGCGGTTACAGCACAAGGAGGAGGCCAAGGACGCCTTCCAGCGCTGTGTCGATGCCAAATTCTCGGCAAAGGCGTACCTGAAGCTGCTCGAGATCTACTCGGAGCAGCGCGATGTCGAGCGGAGCCTCTGGACGGCGATCCGCTTGACGGCCTACCACCATCGGTGGTACATGGAGGGCACGGTGAGTTCCTTGTGTTATGTTCTCTCTCCAGTGTGTGTGAGATTCCTTGGCTGACTCGCTTTTTCCACCAGTTCCCGGGCGCCGTCGCCCACCACCTCTACAACCTCATCGGCGACGTGGGCCTGGCAAAGGTCAACTTTACCCTCGTCTCGATGAACCCACCCGAGCCCATCTTGCGGCTGATGAAAAATTACTTTGCCTATGCCCAGGCCTTCAAGGTGCCGGGCTGGGAGTCGTAAGGGGGAAGAATAGCCTCTTTTGTCACGCTGCCGCTCTGCAATGTCATGTTGAGAGGATGATGATAAGAAAAGGACAGGCTGATTTCTATTACGACACGGATGGGAATGCATTACAAGGTGGTGGTGGTGGTGGTACTGCTAGACAGATGCTCAGCCGAGCGAGGACAGGTCTGCGCTCGGTTTCTTTCCCTGGATGAGCTCGGCGAGGACAAAGCCGGTGCCGGGGCCCAATGTGATGCCCCAGCAGCTGTGGCCTGCGCCGACGTAGAGACCGCGCTCGCGGTCGCCCGCGATGGTCGGTGCGCCGCTGCCGTAGCCGCTCTGCACGGGCAGGTAGCAGGCCTGCTCGCGCTCCAGCGTCGCGGGCGCAGAGGCAGCAGCAGCTATCGTGTCGAGGTGCGAGGGGCTCAGCGCGGCGCACTGCTCCACAATGGCAGCCGTGAGCTTGGCGTCGTAGGCAACATCGGCCGCGCGCGCGGGAAGCGGCACATTGTCGGACCCGCCACAGGCGTACACGGTGCCGTCCTCGCGGCAGTAGACCTCGGGCGCACCTGCTTTTTTACCGTAGCGCATCTCGGTGAAGAGGCAGGTTGCTGAGGTTGGTTTCGAGGAGCGGATGACGACGCTGTGGGCGCGCGAGCCACCGATGTGGCGTGCAGAGGAGATGAAGGAGAGGAGCGGCGATGCGGACTTGGGGAGGAGACTCTTGAGCAGCGAGCCGGTCCAGGGCCTGGGTTCACGAGGAGGGGTGGTGTCAGTAAAGAGTAAACAACAACCGGGAGGGAAGGGAACACTCACCCGGCGGCAACGACGACGTCCGTCACGTCGCTCAGTGTCTCTTCTTTGCCATCTGCACCCTTGACGACGAGGCCCTCGACTCGGCCTGCATCGCTGAGAAGCACCCGCTCGGCGCGCGTGGCCAGCCGCGTGTCAAAGCCGCTCTTTTGCGTTGCGCACTCGACGAGGTGCCGCACCAGCGGCTCGGGCGTCACCTGGGCCGTCGTGCCGCCGCCGCCCATGCTGCTCGAGCTCGTGACGTGCTCCGTGTCGAGCCAGTCGAGGTCCTTTGGCACGTGCGCTTTGCTATTGTTACGCCGCGCCTTGCCGCCATTATCAAACGAGAGGCTGAGCGTGTCGACGAGGCGGTAGCCCCAGCGCGCCTCGCCGCCGTGCTCCTGCGCCAGCTGGCGGTGCAGGTCGAAACTCAGCGCGGCCAGCGACGACGTGGCGGCGCCGTGCCAGTCGAGGGCGAGGAAGCCGCCAGACTTGCCAGAGGCGCCCGGCGCGACGGCCGGCGCCTCTTCGATGAGTGTCGCACGCAGCGGGCCTGCTGCGTCGGAAGAAGACGAGGCGTGCGAGAGGTAGTAGAGCGTGGACGCGCCGATGATGCCGCCGCCGATGATGGCGACGTGCCGCCGTGGCGCTGTGGTTGAGTCTGCAGGGGACATGGTCGTGGTGTAGCTGTCGCTGCTTCTTGTTCGTCGTTTGCCACCCGAAAAAGAAGCCGAGGGCGAGAAGAATTGTCGAGTCTAGCAAAACTCGCAAAGTGGAGGGAGGCGCCCTGCAGCTCAAAATTAGTCTTAGCCCGGACTAAGCGCGCAAAAAAGAAAGAGGCAAGCTGAGAAGACGGCTGGCTGGTGACCACCAGCCAGTCATCTCGCATAGGGATGAGCACGGGCGCGGCAACGAGCGCCGGTGTGCAGCGCAAGACCGTGAGGAGAGAGAATGACAGGATGGCGGCAGAGATCCTTGCCTGGACCATCGCCCATCGCGTGCTGGCGCTGACGACGCTCGTCGCCGCGTCGCTGCTCCAGCCCGCGCACTTTGACACATCGGCGCAGCTCCTCCTCTCCCTCGATGCCACGAGCCCGTCCGGACGAGGTAGGTGGCTGACGAGGGTCGCCTGCGCACTGACCAGGTGGGACACGATCCACTTCCTCGGCGTCGCCAGCCCGCGCCCGCTGCCCCTGCCACGGGGACTGGTGCACGACCGAGGCTGGCACGTCGCAGACAAGCAGGGCACCGCAGCTGGCGGCGGCCTCCAGCACGAGCACTCGCTCGCCTGGCAGCCGGGCATCGTCTGGCTGCTCAGATTGGCAGGCTACCGCTCCTTTGATGGCCTGCTGCAGAGCTGGTCGCCCGTTCAGGCCGTCCTTCTCGTCTCTCTCCTCGCCACGGCCGCCTCCTGCCTCTTGCCCGTCCTTCTCTATCGGTGAGTAGTCTCTCTGAGATTTCATACGTTCGAATATCGAAGAGCTGATGGCCTGGCACGCAGCCTCACGCTAATGCACACGCGAAACAAGGCCCTCGCGAGGACGGCAGCCTACCTCTCCATCCTCTCGACGTCGCCTTCGACGCTCATCACACCAACCCCGGAGCCCTTCTTTGCCCTCTTTACTCTCCTGGGCCATCTGTCGCTCGAGTCTGTCTCTCCGCTGGCTGCAGCGCTCTTCTACGCCATTGCGACGGCCTTCCGTGCCAACGGCATCATGCTGGCTGGCTTTCTCGTCTGGAAGCTCGTTTGGGCCAGGCTCCACGCTGCTGCTGCTGCAAAGACGACCAATTCTTCCCTGGCCGCCGAAATGGTATTCAGAATAGCCGTGGCGACCCCTCTCGCGGTTGCCATTACTCTTTCTCCGTTCATCCTCGGCCAGACATGGGCATACATGCGCTTCTGTCTCGACGACGGCGCAGCGGCAGCGAGGCCGTGGTGCAATAGAGCACTCCCGCTCAGCTACACCTTCGTGCAGCGAGAGTACTGGTCAGTGCATTCCTTCCTTTTCACAAAGTTCAAGCCTCTCAACTTCTCTCTCTCTTTTCCCAATCAGGGACGTGGCCCCCTTTCGCTATTGGACCGTGGCCCAGCTGCCCAACTTTCTCCTGGCAGCGCCCGTGCTGGCGCTGTCCCTGCGCTTCTGCTCGCAGTACTACGCCACCGATCCCAGGGCAGTCCTGCATCTCACTCTCCGGCCCTGGAGGGCTCTGGCAGCACCAAGAACCCAAAAACGGGCTCAGCCCAAGGAAGACAGCGAGACATCGGAGGGCGTCAGCGTCACGACGACGCCCTCCCTCCTGCCCCACGCTCACTTTACTCTCCTCACGACGGCGCTTCTCATCGTCAGCTCGCACGTCCAGATTGCGTTGCGCTTCGCTTCGCCCGGTGGACTGCCCGCCGTCTGGTGGGCCGCCGCGGACGTGCTCCTGTCGACAAAGGGCCACGGAGGGGAGAGAGCAAAGAGATGGCTGATTGGGTACCTTGTCATCTGGAACGTCGTCAGTCTTGTCCTGTATGCTGGCTTCTACCCTCCGGCCTGAGGCGCAGCAGTAGCAGGAGACAGAAGAAATGAATCAATGTCCACTGTGTTTTCGAGCCTAGGTACATCGTCGCAGTCCTGAACCTGGATTCAGATACGATTTAGATTCCTCCTAGACACAGCGGCCTCCATCGACTGGCAGGTCGATGCCCGTGATGAATTCGGAAGCAGGATCGGCGAGGAAGAGAGCAGCATTGGCGACGTCTCTGGGCTCCGAGAGGCGACCCAGGGGAACGCTGTCGTTGAACCTGGCAGGGCATCGCGCTTGTCAGAAGTCGCGACTGCTGCACTGGTTGGGGCCACTACTCACTGTTTGAGCTGCTCCGCTGTCAGGGGGTCGCCACTCTCCTTTGCGCCTGCAAATTTGGAGAGGCTGTGTGCGCAGGATGAGGAGAGTCAGTCCTGGGTCAGCATCAAGGGCTTGCTTGGCTCCCTCTCTCACAGAGGTGTGTTGCCCGCAACGGGATTGAGGCAGTTGAAGCGGATCTTGTTACCTGCGTACTCGAGCGCCAGCGCCTTGGAGGCCGTCGAGACGGCGCCCTTGGACGCATTGTACCACACCAGCTTGGGCCGCGGGCGGAGGGCGGCCGTGCTGGAGATCTGGATAAACGCGCCGCCCTTGCCGGCCTCGATGAGCGCGGGCACAACCGCCTTGACGCTCACGTACAAACTCTTGACATTGATGGCAAACACGCGGTCAAACTCGTCCTCGCTCACGTCCAGGCTCGCCTTGTTCGAGTAGGTCCAGCCGGCATTGTTGACGACGATGCTCGGCACCCCGCCCAGCTTGTCGCGGCACGCCGACACGGCCCGCTCCCAGTCTGCGGCCTTGGTCACGTCGCCCTTGATCTGGTAGGCGGCCTTCTCTCCGACGGCTCCCTTTATGCCGCTGAGGTAGTCGTCAGACGGCGCGATGATGTCCATGTTGAGCACCTTTGCGCCCTGGCCGACAAACGTCTCGAGGATGCTCCGGCCGAAGCCCTGGCCGGCGCCCGTCACGATGGCCACCTGCCCCTGCAGTCGTCCTGGATGCTGCGTCATGGTTGCTTGAAAAAGAGAGAAGCAGCTGTCTGTTCGAGCCAGTCGATTGTGGAGAGAGTAATTGCGCTTCAGCAGTAGAGGCCGACTACGCAAGTGGCCGACAAGGTCCTCAAAGGGTGCCTATTAGTCCTTGCCCTTCCCAAAATGCGGGGAAATGGAGGAGGCATAGGAAATGCTGCTGGTCTGTGCGAGAGAACATATCACGTGCCTTACCATCACGTGTCAATGGCTTGCCTCACTCACAAAAAAGTTTTTTTTTTATTCCGTCGCGTTTTTTGATTTTTTTTTGGACGTGGGCTTCTTCCCGAGGCAAGCGCGAGGCTCTGACGTTGCTCTTCTCCTCCTCCTCCTTGAAGGACGGCCTCATAACGTTCTTCTTAATATTGGTTCCCCATCCTTCCTTCTCGCCTCTCGATCTTGGGTGAACGATTGGATAGACGGTCGGAAGGACGGACGAGGACACAAATAGAAACGGCAGGCAAGCGGGGCGAAGCTAGACCTTCGGTTCGTGCGCAACCATGGCTTCACCGGCGGACAAGCCTCTCGCGTCGCCCGTCGCGGGCCAGCTCTCGCCTGCTACGACGAGCACAGCTGCCAATGCATCGGCCACAGCCGCCGCGGCAGCAGCCAGCGCCGCTGCCCCTCGTCGTCCTGGGCTTGAGCGCGCCATCTCCCGGGCGCCCTCCCCACCTGCCCCTGCGACTGCCCCTCCGCTCGGTGACGACTCGAGCGAGGAGATGGTCCTGGAGCTCGTCGACGGCACCGCATACAGGGGCATCAGCTTCGGTGCGCCGGGAAAGAGCATTTCAGGAGAATGCGTCTTCCAGACGGGTGAGTGAGAGCGGCGGGCCTAGGGGAATCTGGCCTCCTTCTCGCTTTACATGCGCTCATGCTGACCGCACCGCTCGTCATTGTCTGCAGGCATGGTCGGCTACGTGGAGTCGCTCACCGACCCCTCGTACGAAGGTCAAATCCTCGTGCTCACTTTCCCGCTCGTGGGCAACTACGGTGTGCCCTCGCGCGAAGAGGCCGCCTCGTCCCTGAATGCCCTCCTCGCCTCGCCATTTGAGTCGAGCCGCATCCACATTGCCGGTCTCGTCATTGCATACTACAGCCACGACTTTAGCCACTTCATGGCCAAGTCGAGTCTGGCTCAATGGCTCAAGGAGAATGGCGTGCCGGCCATCTACGGCGTCGACACGCGCGCCCTGACAAAGCGAATCCGAAGCAAGGGCAGCATGCTCGGCAAGATGCTCACCCGCAAGCCCAACGCGCCCAAGCTCGTTGCAGGCGTCCCCGGCGGCGCTCTGCCAGAGGGCGAGGACGAATGGCGGTCACAGTACATCGATGTGTCCTTTGCCGATCCCAACGCCCTGAACCTTGTGGCTCGGGTCTCGTCCAAGAAGCCTCAGCTGTACACGCCCCAGAACACGGCGCCAGGCGGCTTCCGCGGCGCTGCCGCTGCGCCCCTCCTCCATCCCAGCGGCCGGCCCATTCGTGTTCTCGCCCTCGATGTGGGCATGAAGTACAACCAGATCCGCTGCTTCACCAGCCGAGGTGTCGAGCTGCGTGTCGTGCCATGGGACCACGACTTCTTCGATGCCAGCGTCGAGCCGGAACCGTTCGATGGTGTCTTTATCTCAAACGGCCCCGGTGACCCCACCAGCTGCGCTCCCACCATCGCAAGGCTGCAGAAGCTCATTGCGCTGCGAGGCACGAGCATGATGCCCATCTTTGGTATCTGTCTCGGCCACCAGCTCCTCGCCCTCGCCGCAGGTGCCCGCACCGAGAAGATGAAGTTCGGCAACCGCGGTCACAACATTCCCTGCAACGACCAGCTCTCGGGACGCTGCTACATCACCAGCCAGAACCACGGTTTCGCAGTCGATGGCGCTTCGCTGCCGGTAGGCTGGAAGGAGCTCTTTGTCAATGCCAACGACGGCTCCAACGAAGGCATCTACTGCACCGACGGACCCTTCTTCTCGGTTCAATTCCACCCGGAGAGCACCCCCGGTCCCAGAGACACCGAGTTCCTCTTTGATGTCTTTATTCGCTCCGTCGTCGACTGCGCTGCCGTCAAGGGCGCCACCGCTGCACCAACTCCCCAGACGATGTTGCCTCCTGTCAAGTTTATCGGAGGCGACGCAGGCGAGAACGCGGCAAAGACGCCCCGCGTGCACTGCCGCAAGGTCCTCGTTCTTGGCTCTGGAGGTCTGAGCATCGGCCAGGCCGGCGAGTTTGACTACAGCGGTAGCCAGGCCATCAAGGCGCTTAAAGAGGAGGGCATCTACACTGTTCTCGTCAACCCAAACATTGCGACGATCCAGACGTCGAGCGGTCTGGCCGACAAGGTCTACTTCCTCCCCGTCACGCCCGAGTTCGTGCTCAAGGTCGTCAAACACGAGAGGCCCGACGGCATCTACTGCACCTTTGGCGGTCAGACGGCACTCAATGTCGGCATCAAGATCAAGGACGACCTTGTTCAGATGGGCGTCAAGATTCTCGGCACGCCCATCGACACCATCATTACCACTGAGGACAGAGACTTGTTTGCGCGTGCGATGGAGGAGATCGGAGAGAAGTGCGCTCCCAGCGCCAGTGCGACGACATGGGAAGAGGCCCTCGCGGCCAGCAAGAACATCGGCTTCCCCGTCATTGTTCGAGCCGCCTTTGCTCTCGGTGGGCTTGGCAGTGGCTTTGCAAAGGACGAGGACGAGCTGTGGAAGCTTTGCCACGCCGCCTTTGCCAACAGTCCCCAGGTGCTCGTCGAGAAGAGCATGAAGGGCTGGAAGGAGGTCGAGTACGAAGTGGTGCGTGACTGCAGGAACAACTGCATCACTGTGTGCAACATGGAGAACTTCGACCCGCTCGGCATCCACACGGGTGACTCGATTGTCATTGCGCCGTCGCAGACCCTCGATGACCACGACTACAACATGCTCCGAACCACGGCCGTCAACGTGATCCGGCATCTCGGCGTCGTGGGCGAGTGCAACATCCAGTACGCGCTCAACCCGCACACGCGCGAGTACTGCATCATCGAAGTCAACGCCCGTCTCTCGCGGTCGTCTGCTCTCGCATCCAAGGCGACTGGATACCCGCTTGCGTTCATCGCCGCCAAGCTCGGTCTGAACATTCCCCTCAACGAGATCCGCAACTCAGTCACCCGCGAGACGTCGGCGTGCTTCGAACCGAGCTTGGACTACGTCGTGTGCAAGATTCCAAGGTGGGACCTGCGCAAGTTTGTCCGCGTCAGCTCCAAGCTGGGCAGCTCGATGAAGAGTGTGGGAGAGGTCATGAGCATTGGACGAACGTTTGAAGAGAGCATCCAAAAGGCCATTCGGGCCATCGACTTCCAGTTCGACGGCTTCAGCGTCAACGACTACGCCGCTGTCGAGGAGATTGACGAGGAGCTGGCCAACCCGACGGACAAGCGCATGTTTGCGATTGCTAATGCCCTGAACCTGGGCTACACCGTCGACCAGATCCACGCCGCCTCTTCCATCGACCGATGGTTCCTCCGCAAGCTTGCGGGCATCAACGATGCAGCAAAGGTGTTCTCAAAGTTCAACGCCTCGGAGCTGCCGCCGAGCATGCTCAGGCAGGCCAAGCAGCTCGGTTTCAGCGACAGGCAGCTTGCCAAGTGCCTTGGCAGCACCGAGCTCGCCGTCAGACGGCTGCGCCAGGAGCACGCCATCATGCCGTTTGTCAAGCAGATCGACACCGTCGCCGCCGAGTTCCCTGCCTTCACCAACTACCTCTACACGACGTACAACGCCGTCGAGCACGACGTCAAGTTCGAGGACAAGGGTGTCATGGTGCTGGGCTCGGGTGTGTACAGGATCGGATCATCGGTCGAGTTCGACTGGTGCGCCGTCCGCGCTATTCGCACGCTGCGCCAGCAAGGCTTCAAGACGGTCATGGTCAATTACAATCCCGAGACGGTGTCGACGGACTACGACGAGGCGGATCGCCTCTACTTTGAGAACATCTCCCTCGAGACGGTCCTCGACATCTACGACACGGAGCGGTCGTCGGGCGTCATCATCTCCATGGGTGGACAGACGCCCAACAACATCGCCCTGCCGCTGCACCGTCAGAACGTCAAGATCCTTGGCACGTCGCCCGAGATGATTGACATGGCCGAGAACCGGTACAAGTTCTCGCGGATGCTCGACAAGATTGGCGTTGACCAGCCTTTGTGGAAGGAGCTGACGAGCTTCGACGAGGCCCACGAGGCCTGCGCCAGGTTCGGCTACCCTGTCCTGGTGCGGCCCTCGTACGTGCTCAGTGGCGCGGCCATGAATGTCGTCTACTCGCCAGAGGACCTGAGCAGCTACCTGTCGCAGGCCACTGCCGTCAACAGGGAGCACCCCGTCGTCATCACCAAGTACCTCGAGGGCGCCAAGGAGATCGAGATGGATGCCGTGGCAAAGGACGGCAAGATGATGATGCACTACGTCTCGGAGCACGTCGAGAATGCAGGTGTGCACTCGGGAGATGCCACCCTCATCCTTCCCCCGCAGGACCTCGACCCCGAGACTGTGCGTAGGATCGAAGTGGCCACTTCCAAGATTGCCGCCTCGCTCCACGTCACGGGTCCCTTCAACATCCAATTCATTGCCAAGAACAATGAGATCAAGGTGATCGAATGCAACGTCCGTGCTGCTCGTTCGTTCCCCTTCGTCTCCAAGGTGACCGGCGTCGATGCTATCGAGATGGCAACGCGCGTCATGCTCGGCCTGCCCATCGATCCATACCCCAAGCTCAGCCTGCCACGCGACTACGTTGGCGTCAAGGTGCCTCAGTTCAGCTTCAGTCGACTGGCTGGTGCCGACCCGATCCTGGGCGTCGAGATGGCTTCGACCGGTGAAGTGGCCTGCTTTGGTCGGACAAAATACGAGGCCTACCTCAAGGCCATGATTGCCTCTGGCATCCGTCTGCCCAAGCAGAACGTTCTGCTTTCGATCGGTAGCTTCAGCGAGAAGCAGGAACTCCTGCCCTCGGTGCGAACGCTCCACCAGCTCGGCTTCACCCTCTACGGCTCGTCTGGCTCGGCAGACTTCTACAGCGAGCAGGGTGTCCCCGTCATTCACCTCGAGGCCCTTCCCGAGGACGACGACTGGCGCGGCGGCGAAGAGAACACAAAGGCTTCCTACTCGCTCCTGAGCCATCTCACCCAAGGTCTCAGCTCCCTCTTCATCTCGCTGCCCAGCAAGAACAAGTACCGCCGTCCGGTCTCGTTCACCTCGATGGGCTACCGTGCCCGAAGGCTGGCAATTGACAGGTCCATTCCTCTGATCACAAACGTCAAGAACGCCAAGTTGTTCGTCGAGGCCTTGGCTCGGCACCGCAAGCTTGGGTCGACGTTTGAGATCTCGCCGGTCGACTTCAAGACGAGCCACACCATCCACACGTTCCCTGGTCTCATCAATGTCGGAGCATTCGTGCCCACGCTCTCTGACAATGTTGTCGGCGCTCGTGAGGTTGCTGAGCTCACGCAAGCCTCCCTCGCCGGCGGCTTTACGGCAGTGCAGCTGCTGCCCATCGGTCTGCGGACGAGCATCACCGATGAGACATCGCTGGCGGTTGCCGAGGCCAAGATTCCCGGCGTGGCGCACTGCGACGTTTCGTTGTCCCTGGCGGCAACGTCGGACAACGCCGAGAAGATCGTTGACCTCTCTGAGCGGACGCAGTCGCTGCTCGTCTCGTTCGAGACGCTGGGCAGCGACGTCGGCAAGGCCTCGGTCCTCTCTGCCCACTTTGCGAGCTGGCCCGCGTCTCGCCCGATTGTGACGGACGCCAAGGGCAACGATCTGGCATCTGCGCTGCTCCTGGCCAGCCTGCACAGTCGCAGTATCCACGTCACCGACGTTCGCCGCCGCGAGGACATGAACCTGATCGTGCTGAGCAAGGCCAAGGGCTTGCAGGTGACGTGCGACGTGGCCGTCTACGCGCTCTTCTTCTCGACGGAGATGTTCCCGCAGGCCACCTGCCTGCCATCGGACGCTGACCAACAGGCGCTCTGGGACAACCTCGAGAGCATTGACGTCTTCTCGATCGGAAGCACTCCGTACAAGCTCGCACTCGAGCTGGGCGAGGTTGCCTCGGCAAAGTCGGGTGTCGAAGAGACGTTGCGACTCCTCCTCGACGCCGTCAACGAGCGGAGGCTGACGCTCGATGATATTGAGGCGCGGATGTACACCAACGTGCGTGACATCTTCAAGCTTCAAGAGCAGCCCAACACCAGCGTCGAAGTCGAGGTCGACCGACCCGCGGCATTTGTCAAGCGTCCCTACTGGTCTCCGCTCGACTCCAGGGCGACGATGGGTTCGGTCCACCGAGTCATTGTGCGCGACCGGACCGTTGTTGTCGACGGCGAGGGCCTTTCGAACGGTACGCTTGGCCTCAATGTCTCGAGCGTTTCGGGCGGTGGCGCCCCGGCCAGGACGAGGCAGCCCTCGCTCACGACGAGCGTCGGCGCGCTCCAGGCCGCCGCCAATCGGCGTGTGTCGTTCTCGACTGAGACGCCCCGCTTTGGACCATCCTCGGCAATCGAGCCACCGTCGTCGCCCACCTCGATGGCTTTGGGAGCTGTCAGGTCGCCGGTGCTGGGCGCCGCAGAGCTGTCGCAGCCTCGGCCCTCGACGAGCCTCATGTCTGCATTCAGCGACCTCAACGCCTCCTCGTCGACTGGTGTCGCTGCGCCCAACGGAGTCTCGGCACTGCTCTCTGCTGACCAGCAGGAGATGCGTCTGCCCACGCTGCGCAGCATGGCTCTTCAACACCCGACCTTCAACCGCCGTCACATTCTCTCGGTGCGCCAGTTCAACCGTGACGACCTGCACGCCCTCTTCACCGTTGCTCAAGAGATGAGGCACCTTGTCGAGCGACACGGCTCCGTGGACATTCTTCGTGGCAAGGTGTTGTGCAACCTCTTTTACGAGGAGAGCACCCGGACCAGTGCCTCATTTGAGGCAGCCATGATCCGCTGCGGTGGTCAGGTCGTCTCGGTCAACACTTCGAGGTCGAGCGTGGTCAAGGGTGAGACGCTGGCCGACACGGTCCGGACGCTGGGTTGCTACGGCGACGCCGTCGTGCTCCGCCACCCGGCAAAGGGCAGCGCCCAGGAGGCAGCCAAGTTCTCCCCTGTGCCCATCCTGAATGCTGGCGACGGCATCGGCGAGCACCCTACGCAAGCCCTGCTGGACGTCTTTACGATCCGAGAAGAGCTCGGCACGGTGAGCGGCCTCACCGTCGGGCTGATCGGTGACCTCAAGCACGGCCGGACGACGCACTCGCTCGCAAGGCTCTTGTCGCTGTACGGCGTCACGCTCGTCTACATCTCGCCTCCCTCGCTGGCCATGCCCCGCGAAGTCATTGAGGAGCTGTCGAAGCGCGGCATCGCTCAGCACGAGACGTCGAGCCTGGAAGATGCGCTCCCGCTGCTCAACGTCGCCTACTGCACCCGCATCCAGCAGGAGCGCTTCGAGAGCGTCGAGGCGTACGAGGCCGTCAAGAACTCGTACCTCGTCAACAACGACTTGCTCTCTCGCAGGGCCAAGGACGACCTTTGCATCCTGCACCCCTTGCCCAGAAACGCAGAGCTGGCTCAGGACGTCGACTTTGACTACCGCCGCGCCGCTTACTTCAGACAGATGCGGTACGGTCTCTTTGTCAGGATGGCCCTCCTCACCATGGTGCTCTCCTCTTCGGACTATGCGCGATGAAGACCCAACCTCGCCATATATAACTTAGAAAAAGAAAAGAATGTATCAACTGAAAGATTCCATGCTTCGTAGCGATGCCTAGAGAACTATATTTTCGATGGAACTCTCTTATCGGGAGGAGGGCGGGGAATTGTTCAGCAAGAATAGGTGCCGTATCTTGAAAGTGGCCCGTGCGTTAGACCCGCGCAGGAGAAAAAAAAAAACTGATTGCCGGAGCGAAACACCGACTGACCTGACCCTTTCAAGAGAGAGAGAGAGGAGCTAGCTAGGCTGCTGACTTGGTGTGGGAGCTGGACGGGCACCGGGCTATCTTGGCCCCCATCCTCTTCTTTTCCTTCCATCCCTTTTCCGCAGCTGGCTCGCTGAACTGACTCCTCTTGGACACCTGGGGTGATCCATCTCGCCCTCTTCTTCGAGTGGACGCTCGTCTTCTTGGTGAGCCTCCTGCGCACGAGCCCTGTGGGGCCAACCATTCCGAGCGGGGACCCGGTGAGATAGCAACGTTGGTGCTGAAAAGAAGGCAACCCTGCTCACACACACACTCTCTCACACACTCTTTGCATCGTTCCACCATTCCATCAGGCAAACAACAACCGTGCTCCGTTGAGGGCTGCCAACGCATGCACCACAGAGCAAGAGACAATGTCGCACCGGCCCCTTGTCTTGCAGATCCGCGCCCGGGGCCAACGTTATGCACGGCTTGTGGCCGTAGACGGAGGAGCGTCGACTGCCACGCCCACATCTTTTGAGACCGTCCGGACAAAGGTCCACGATGCGTTCTGTGTCGGCGGCAAGCTCGAGGACGGCGCAGAAGGCTATGCGCTCGCGTACCTCGATAAGGACTATGGAGACGAGGTGGCCATTGCAAGCGAGGAGGAGTGGCAAGCATACATGTTGCTCGCTGGCGGCGAGTCAGCAGAGCAAGCACCAGCGGTGGTGAGGCGGTTTGACTGGGTGCCTCTTAGGGAACTTGGCGTTGGCGACCGGAAGGACGCTATCTCGGCTAGGTCGTCCAGCAGGCAGACGGTGCCTACGATAGGACATCAAAACCCTTATAGTGCCTTACCAGTCAAGAACAAGGTGGGAGAGCAGGCGACGAAGCAAAGTCAACAATCCACACCGGCGCAAGAGCCACCCGCACCGCCACAGTACGCTTTCCAGAGCATTGAGCCTCAGAAGGTGGGAGACCGAGAGGAGCGATTGAGAAAGGAGAACGAGATGCGTAGAAACTTCGAGCAGCAAATGGCTCAAGTACATAACGGGAGACAGGAACAGACGCAAGACGAGCAAGAGCCGCAGGCAACGACAGGCAACGATGAGGCCAGAGACGAGGAGCCTAAAGAGATGACGGCCTTCGAGCGCATGATGGCGCGTAGCAGAGCGCAGGGAGAAGCATTGAATCACACCTTTGGAACGCTGCAGGCCAGAAGGGCTGGTAATGCGCCGACGCCGCGACAAGAGGAAGTGCAGCAGCAGGCTGCGCCAGTCGACGAAAGCGCATCTCACACAACCTCGCATGATTCGGCGCCACAACCTCGGGAAGGATCAAAAAGCAATGACGACAGAGTCGACAAGCAGAACGAGTATCTTGCTGACCGCTGGCTGGAGAGACTCCAGCAAATGGGACACGGAGGCCAGTCAAGCCCGTATGCCAGGTTGAGAGGCGACAAGGCTAGACAGCAAAGCCAAGAGGGCGAAGCCAGTCTCCAAGAGTGAGCATCTCCTCTGCTGCTTTTCCTTGCTGATAAGAAAGATGATCTGCTTGCGCGTGCTCTGGAGTGTCTTTGTATGCTGGGGTGGGAATACGAATTGGCGGCTGCTTGTGTCGGAGGGTCTGCTTCATCTTCACTCTACCCTACCCTTACCTTTCTGTTCCTTACTTCTTGCTTGATCTTGTCTTTCCTCTCTCTCTTCTCCTCTACTGTTTGGAGCGAGCTGACAGAAGCCTATCTGTGTCTGGCTCCCTCCAGCCCAACTACGAGCTCGCACACCTCGCTTCGCTTTGAACAGCCTACGTCGAGCGAGGTTGAAGGCTACCAGATCATCTCTCCTGCCGACAGGCCACCACAGCAGCCATCTGCCATACCCATGATGGTACCTCGTGTCCCTTCTTATCCTGACGTAGTGGATACAGCGGCGGAGTTCCAAACGGCACACATCGAGACTCAGGTCGGACAGCAGCATCAGCCTCAGTGGCAACCGTTTCCCTCCGTGAGCAGACCGCCGAGCAGACAGGACGGCAGCCGTCCTTCGAGTACTTTCCGGTCTCGGGCCTCGTCGAGCGGCGTTCCATTTCTTGGTAATCAGCAGGGTGGAAGAAGTGGCAGTATATTGTCGCTGAGGGCCATAAGTGGTGCGGTGGTGCGGACAAACGCAGCTCATGTCGCCGCGAATGAACCTTCCTCTTCTGTCGTCCCGGGATCCTCAGCCGCGTCCGCAACCGACGAGGGCGTTTTGGGCGGGACAGAAACGCCGAACCGTTTCGGAAGCTTTGGACGGCGCTATAAGGGCAAATCGTCTGCCTTGTCCTCATCGCGAAGTAGGAAGCTGAGCGTCCGGAGCCTTACTGAGGCCCTCTTGCACAAAGCTCCTGCTTCCTCCGCTTCATCCTTGGCTTTCTCTTCGGAAGAGGCCTCGTCATCAGCAGCGGCATCCACGTCGGAGCAGCGTCCGAGGATGCATGCGAGGCATTTGAGCTGGAAGGGCCTCACTCGAGATGTGGGTGCGATGAAAAACAGTCTTCTTTCGTCGAAGGGGCCCATAAACGCGAGGGACCACGACAGCAGCAGCACCGTTGCGTCTGTTTCTCATCTACAGGGCGCGGACACAGCTACTGAGAGGAAGAATTTAGAGGTGGGGGAACAAGGCGGCCCTGGAGACATCGAGCCAGATACCGCGCAAGCTTCTCAGCCAATGGAAAGAAGGGGTGATAACGCTGCCGACAAAAGTAGACCGTCACTTTTGCGCGCTTCTCAAAGCGCTCCGCTTTCGGCCACAGCCGTCAATCTAACTCCTGCTGGCGGCATCACGCTTCACATCTCAAGCGTCGGCCGCTTCCCTGCCGTTCACCGAAACTCGTTGTCCGGCGATGCCCTTGGAAACACGCCAGTGCCCAAAGATCTTTTCGACCTGATGCTTCCTCGTGAACTTCGGGTGGCCTGCATGCGCGCTCTTGTCCGGCTCCACGAAGAAGAGCACGACAGGCTCGTTGAGACGGGGCAGTGGCGCGGCAACCGAGCTCGTCAAGCAAGGCACTACGGTCGGGAAGCGGCGATGCGCGAGCTTGTTCGCCTGAGCAGAGTGTCCAAGACGTGGCACTCACTTCTCTTTGACGGCCAGCTCTGGAGCGAGGTTGACGCGAGCCTCGTCGCGGGCATGTCCAACGGAACGCTGCTGAGGATCGTAAAGAATTCTGGCGCATTTGTCAAGCACCTAAGCCTCTCCGGAAGGGCGGAATTGGAGGCTAACACGATCGCTGCGCTGGGTACGCAGCAAAGGAACAGCCCTTCTTCCCCTTCGTCCCATCGACCGGCAAGGGACGTGGTCATTGCCACGGGACGGAAGCGGGCGACGAGGAAGCTCAGCTTGCTCAACGAAAAGGAGCAGCTCTCGCTGCTTGGGCTTGCGACTTCGCTATCGTCTTTAACAACGATCAATCTGCAGGGATGCAAGACCCTTACGAGTCGAGCACTTCATCATCTCCTCGTTCGTACACCCAATTTAGGCCAAGCATTGTTGGCCGACGTCCCAGCGGTGACGAATGAGTCGTTGGTATTGCTGGGCGTCACCGTACCAAAGCTTACCAAGCTGGACATCTCGAGGTGTGCAAACGCTACCGCGAGCGGCTTGATGAACTTCCTTCTAGCGGCGCAGCAACAAACCTACCTGGAGAGGGAGCAAGAGCACCAGCACGAGTACGGTGTACAGCATCAGCAGCTGCGTCTGAGCGAGCTCCACTGTCCAGGATTGCTAGGGGTCGACGAAACCCTGTTGGCGACAATGGGGCAGGCACTCCCGGAGCTTCGTTCTCTGGACCTTAGCTACTGCCTTGGCCTGCGAGACAGTGCCATCGAAGCATTTGTCGCTCACTCTGGACCCGTCAAGATCTCTTCTCTCAAAGGAAAGTCTGTTATCAACGGACAGCGACACCATCACCGCGAAACGCTGCTCGAAGGTTCGTACGTCAGCCTCACGCCCCGTCAAGCCGGTGGCAACATCGCGTCGGACGACATTCACTACCGGCGACTCTTTCCACAGCTTGGCCATCTGAATCTCTCTTCTTGCCGACACCTTACGGACCGAGCTTGCACGCTCCTGGCCCATGCCGTGCCCCAGCTCGAGATCCTGGAAATGGCCAACATCGGTGCAGGGATCAAAGATGCAGGCCTCGTCCGTCTCTTCGAGACAACGCCAAAGATCCGAATGGTGGATCTCGAGGGTGCGACGGACATCACGGCACTGACGATGGAGGCCATCACACCGGAGGCAGCCTATGTCGAGTCACTGGGACTCGATCCAGAGGGAATGGGCGATGGATCGAACGCAACGGGCGGGACAGGAGCTGGAGGGGTTGCCGTTGGTGGTCTTGGCCTGAGGAGCGCGGCGAGGAGAAGCCTGCGGCGTGCTTTGGCAATTGAGCACCAGCCCGACACATCTGCTTCGGCGACAGTAGGACGCCGAAGCTACCGTCAAAGCATCCCCCCACCAGGCTCGCAGTTGACGCACCTCGTCATTTCGCACGCCAACCTTGTCGATGCGGCTAGCTTGCTTCAGCTGATTCGACGTTGCCCCAAGCTGATCCATCTCGAGGCCGACGACACACGAGCCAACGAGGCCGTCGCACGAGAATTTGTCATGCTGGCGCGCGAGAGGCATAAGCGCGGCAGCTATATCAGCCTGGTTGACTGCAGGGGTCTGACGCTGGCCGTGAATCGGGAGCTGAACTCATGCGCGGCAATTCGACCCCGGCAGGGCATGAGGGGCCATAGATGGGCCAAAGATCTGGCCATCACGTACGAGGATCCTGATGTGGACCCTTTTGCAGCAAATTCAACCACAGATGATGCTGGCACATCGCAGCAGGAGGGCACGTCAGGCAGTGCTCCCTCCCCATCGACTTCCCGACATCGAGGCGGCAACCAGGAACTGGCGCTGCAGTCGCTGTCGACTTACGGCGAATGTGAGCCGGACATGGTCGTCTTCAAGAGCTTCTGGGGCTGGGAAGCCGTCGATGTACGCTTGAAAGCAAGAAAGAAACTCGAGGCGAAGAGGAGCCTCTCTAGCTCGCAATCAAGGAGCGCTTCCATCTCTGCCGTCCTGGGGCTGGGGCTGGGCATAGGCATCGTTACTGGCACTCGCGAAGCAGGACATTATGACGAGGAGAACGGTGGAGATGGCCAACAGCAGCAGCAGCAGCAGCAGGGGCAACCACAGAGGTGGGGGAGGCTTTCGACTAACCTCTTGACACCTGGCGACGAGGCAGACGATGCCCGTGGCTGCCTCATCATGTAAGTCTCACAATTAGGCCCTCTTGTGTATTGTACATCTACCCTCTCCGCCAATAGCGCTCCCACATCTATCTTCTGTATCTTCACATGTATTTTCGCCATCCTTTGAGGATCACACACCTCTCTTTCCACTGTATATCTCTTTTCTTGGTTGTCAAACCAATCTCTTTTATTGCTTTTTCCCACCATCGGCAGACGCTATGTTGCTATTTGCCGCATGTAGGGCAGCCGCTGCAGACTGAATGGGTGAGTACTCTTGCGGGACGTCGAGACCAACGCGATTCGCCGTCGCTTTAATATGCTCGGCGTTGGACTTCCCGTAGACGGGATTGTATCGGGAGAGGAGTTCCTGTCGCGATTGCCTCTTCTCTGTCAGCACTGCGTTTCGTCTCTCTCGTCGCCTCCCCTCCGTCTCTCTCGTCGCCTCCCCTCTGAAGACGAATTTGAAGGAGAGACTCACAGCATGGATCCTGCCATGTTGAAGCATCAAGTGCAGATTCTCCATCCGCTTCCTCGCATGTGCGGCATCGTCTGCGTCGGCTCCGGAGCCGGAGGAAAAGATGGTGCGGAGGTAGGTGGGCAGCGGCTCGGCGCGCCTAGCCTGGTTTGGTCTTGAGTGCACTGACTGAAAACAAAATCGCTAAGTCCTCCGGGCAGCTATCATGTTGTACAAAGCTGGCACTCACCCCTCGCCGGATCTCGCGGGAGATAGACCGGAAGAGCTTGCGCGCTTCCGCAGGTGCCGACGACATTGTGCTGATCTCGCAGAAGGGAGGCCGAGAGAGCGAGCGCATGTCGCGCACTTAATCGGGTTTAAGATCTTTCCACGTGCTTTCTCTCTTGTCACACGGAAATCTCCTCCATTGCGACTATCGGGGTGGCGTGTGAACCCTATCACAAACAATACGACTGACCTACATAGACGCCCCAACTCTCCATCGCTGCTCCCCCTCGTCTTCCTTCTTCTTCTACTACCTCCTCTTGCTCGGCCCCGGTCGAGCTGAACGCATTCAATCTTCGCCCCTCCGTTGGCCCTGGTGCGTCGTAGACGGAAAAAGAGAGAGAAATTGGCGCCTCTTGCGAATTAGCGCCCGCGCCTCCGGGGTTTGCCTCTCGTCTGTCCCTCGCCCTTCCGCCTTTCGCGCCCCCGCCTCGCCCCTCACAGCCTTCCTTTGAGGGCTTTACCGCGTGTTCATAGACTACAGCGCACAGCTGTGCGCTTCTCCTTTCTCCTTGCCACCTTTCTTGGCCCTCGATCTCGTTGTCATCGCCACAGGTTTCAGCTCATCGGTCGCGTGATCATCTTTCAAATTGGTACCCAGCTTCAATACACTTGGCGCACTCAGCATGTCATCCTCGCAGCGGTCAGCAGAGGACACGATGGACGAGGACGACATTGGTCTTTCCGACTACGAGGATTATGAGGATTACGACGACGAGGAGATGGACGTTTCGGGATCCTCGTCGGCCGCCTCGGTGGACGAGGAGGGGGCGCTCGAGGCTCTCGCTTCTTCCGATGCTGCGCTCGACGATGCAGGCTTCAACGAGAACGACGACGCAGGATTCAGCCAGGACTTGGTCAAGAGCGCCAAGAAACCCTATGAGGTCGAATACAAGGTACTCAATGTAGAGAGCATCGTCAAAGAGCAGAAGAAGGAGGTCGACCAGGTGGCGGGCATGTTTGTGATCAAGGTGAGACTTCTCACCTAATTTCCGTGCCTTTTGCAAGAGTTCCGTGCCTGAACCTGAACTCTGTCTGCCTGGATAGGATACCGATGCCGCTATTCTTCTGCGTCACTTCGGCTGGAACAAGGAGAAGCTCATCGAAAAGTACATGGATGTGCCTGAGAAGGTCAACGTCGAAGCTGGCGTGCACGAGGACCAGGCGAGGCCCAAGCTGCTCGAACTAGAAGACTTCACCTGCGACATTTGCTTCCAGTCGGCAGAGGACTTCAAGCCCAAAGCTGGCCAGAGCAAGCCTACCATCGAGACGCTCGCTCTCGCCTGCAGCCACCGCTTCTGCACAGACTGCTACCGGCAGTACCTCGAGCAGAAGATCAAGCTTGAAGGAGAGAGCAGACGGATACAATGTATGGAGGAGAAGTGTAACCTCGTCGTCGATGAAAAGACGGTAGGCCTTCTGGTGGCAGACGACATTCGCGAGAGGTGAGGAAAGAAAAATGGCCTACTTTGATGATCCCGGTCTGTCTAACCATCCCTTCTTGCAGATACAAGACTCTGCTCAATCGAACCTATGTTGACGATGCCCCGAGCTTGCGGTGGTGCCCAGCTCCAAACTGCGAGTACGCTGTGGAGTGCCATGTCGCTGGTGCAGCGTCGGGTGCCTCTGGCTCGCGAGGCACAGCGAAGCGACGAAAGCGAGACGTGCCGTCCGAGCGCATCGTTCCGACTGTGAAGTGTCTCTGCGGCTACTCGTTCTGCTTCGCATGCACCTACGAAGGCCATGCCCCGGCCGTCTGCGACGTGGTGAAGCTGTGGGTGCGCAAGTGCGAAGATGACAGCGAGACCGTGAGTGCGCCAACACCTGTGGGGGTCTTTTTCCCTGATGGATTGCTGACTCAATGATGAATATGCTAGGCGAATTGGATCCAGGCAAACACAAAAGAATGCCCAAAGTGCAGCTCGACAATCGAGAAGAATGGCGGGTGCAACCACATGACATGCCGCAAGTGCCGTTACGAGTGGTGTTGGATCTGCGCCGGTCCATGGTCAGAGCATGGAAACAGCTGGTACAACTGCAACCGCTTCGACGAAAAGAGTGGGACCGATGCCAGGGATGCCCAAGCCAAGTCGAGAATGTCGCTGGAGAGGTATCTCCACTACTTTAACAGATTCGCCAACCACGAGCAGTCGGCGCGCCTCGATCGAGACCTGTACAGCCGGACCGAGAAGAAGATGGAGGAGATGCAGTTGACATCGGACCTGACTTGGATCGAGGTCCAGTTCCTTAAGAAGGCAGTGGACACGGTGACAGAGTGCCGCATGACGCTCAAGTGGACTTACGCGATGGCCTACTACCTGGCCAGGGACAACATGACGGAGCTCTTTGAAGACAACCAGAGGGATCTCGAGCGGGCCGTTGAAGATCTTTCCGAGCAGCTCGAGAAGCCCATCGAGCGCGAGACGATTCCGAAGCTCCGGCAGAAGGTGACGGATCTGACTGTCTACGTCCAGCGCCGTCGTGAGATTATGCTCAGCGACACGGCCGAGGGTTTCAACGAGGGTAGATGGGCATGGAACACATCTTTTTAGTATCTCGTCTAATCATCAACGCATCTGTCCCTGGTCTTCTCTCATCGGCATCTTCATGTACCCTATCTGTCATTTCCACCTCTTCCACTCTTTGTTCGTAGTACTATCACATCATCGTTTTCATCATTGTCACTGTCATCATCATCTCATCATCATCACCATCATTGTCGTCACAATTGCCATTTTGCTCCCCAGAATGAATGCTTTCCCTCTTATCAATGAGACAGATGCGTTTCGAAAAAGTCCCGGCTTCCGAAGGAACGAAGAATCCCTACCGTTGAAACGACGTTTAGCTCGCTCTCTCCCCACGAGAAAGACGACGGGGGGAACGGAAGAAGGGGGGAAGATGCACGACTTTGTCTCGCACGTCCTGCGACGGTACTGGGAAGCGACGGGATGGAACAACCAGAACTCGTACATGTACCTGACATCAACGTCGAATGCCGTCCTGGACTTTAGCATTCCCACGGGCCTCTCTCTCTCCATCTCCGCCTCGCCCTCGCCGCCCTTCTTTACGACATACCGCCTTCGCGCGCTGCCAACGCTCTCCGGTGCACTCGGCTACATCTACGCCTCGACTGACGCCGATGCCCCGCCGCTGGACATTGGAGGCTCGTCGCGCGACGTGCGATTCAAGGACGTCGTGGAGCGCTTTCGCGTCATCGAGGCGCCAAAGACGCCCCAAGGAAAGGAGCCCGTCTGGCTTGCAGGCAAACGCATCGATGCAAGAGACTACCTCCTGTATGGCTGCATGCATGTGCCTACAGCCCGAGTCGATGCCCTCTATACCTCGCGGCTCTCGCCGACGTGGCAGCTTCTCGTCACGGCCATTTCCATGCCGCCAAGGAACTCCCCCTCTTCTTCTGCCTCGGCGGGTGCAGGCCACTATGCGGATAGAAGCGACATGAGTAATTCCGGTGCGCCTCCTCCATCGGCTGCCGCCTCTTCTCCTTCCACGCCACCGCCCGGTGCTACGAACCTGCAGATCAACCTGCAGCGCGACACTGGAAGGTGGTTTCAAGAATACAGCTACAGCGCAGACGACGCCCTCTGGGGCTTCCGCTTTCTCTACAACTTTGGCACGCCCGACTCTACCGCTAATTCCATAGATGCCATGCTCCAAGACCTAGGCAGCTTCTCGTCGTCGTCGTCGTCGCCAAGTGGAAGCGATTATACACGAAATGGGACAAAGGAGATGCACCGCGTCGACGAAGAGTCGGCGCTCGAGGCCGTCGTCGGTGGTGGCCTCCAAGGCCGCTTCAGTGTCGGCGCAGAGGTGTTCCTGAGCGCCGTCGAGAAGAGCGCGGGCATCTCGACAGGCGTTCGCTTCACCACGCTGCCCGACCCTCTTCCTTCTCCTGCCTCCTCTTCTTCTCTACCGTCGCCCCAAGCTGCGCCGTCTTCGAGCGACGGTACGCCGAGCCAGCCTCCGACAACGATCACGGCGACGCTGAATCCCATGATGGGGCATCTAAGCACTGCCTACGCAGCACGAATGACGAGAGACATTGTCGCATGCTCGCGCTTCGACTTCAATGTCTATTCGTACGACTCGGAACTTACGCTCGGCGCAGAGTACTGGTTGCGAAAATCGAAAAGGCAGGAAAGACAGGAGGAGCTTCAACAGACGCAGGATATGGTAGATGACGCGGGAGCAGATAGAGGCTCCTCTGCCTCCTTTCCACCGTGGAGGGCCATAGAAGACGACGCGGAGGGCGAGTCGAGCGTGCACGCGGGCGGCCTGGAACGCAATGTGGCCGCAAATGCTAGAGAGGAACTGGCGGCGAGAGAATTGACCCGAGAAGCTGGAGCGCTCTCGCTCAGGGAAGGTCCGTCAGGCACCGCCTCTTCGTCTCCAGCGACTTCCGCGACCGCGACAGCACCTCCCACGCCGACGCGTTCTTGGTCGCTTCGAGAAGAGATCCCAATCTATTCTGAGCTACCTCCGCCATCGCCCTCGGAGGGGGAGGAGCGGCAAGCACCCTCGCCGTGGCAATCCTCCCCCTCGTCTCTATTTTCCTCGTCCTCCTCTCTGTCATCGTCAGCCATCGGAGTTCTCAAGGCCAGGCTGTCGACGTCAGGCATCATCGCTTTGCTCTGGGAAGGACGCCTCCGGAACTGTCTCGTCAGCTTCGGCGTCAAGGCCGATCTCTCGCCCTCGCAGTATACCACCCAAAAGGACAGCGCGGGCGCCGGCAGTGGATTTGTGGGAGGGAGTAGCAAGCCACTCAGAGCCATTGGGCTCGATGTCCTGTACTTTAGCCAGACAAAAGAAGCCAGGTCGAGGGCCTCGTCGTGAATCTTATCATACCCACAGCCTGAAATGCAGTAGTCGAGAAGAGCGACGAGACTGGAAGGTTTACGAAAATGAATTTACAACAACGGGATGGTGGTACGTAGTGGGACGTAAAAGGGCTGAAAAAAGTCTCTTTTCGGTAAAGTAAGGACCTGTATCAGAAGGTAGGAGGAAGAAGGTGGTTACATGTGTCATCTAGAGAAGGGGAGAGAGGAAGTCGGTCGAGGTCAACATGATCTGCTAAAGGAAAAGGGGGCCAGGGGGTGTGCTTGTGGTATTGGTATCGCAGGAAAGGGTGGGCTTGTCCATCAGGACGCTCGGCAGAAACGGCCATTTTAGAGAACCATGAAACCGACGAGGGCGGCACCAGCAGCGAGGGCACTGGTGAAGACGGACAGAGAGAGCGACTTGGGAGCCGCGTCGGGGCTTCGCGAGCTCGTTGCGGAAGCAGCAGACGAGCTACCGGCGCCCGATGCCGAGCTAGCGGCACCAGAGGCGGCAGACGTAGCCGAGCCGGCAGCGCCCGAGGCACCAGACGAGGCAGATGCGCCGGTGCCCGTCGACTCAGCGCCGCTGGCAGTGCCAGTGCCGGTGGCGGACGCCGTGTCGGAGCCGGAGCCGGAGCCGGAGCCGGAGCCGGAGCCAGAGGCAGAGCCCGAGCTGGAGGCACCAGCACCAGCGTTGGCATTAGGCGTGGCCGTGGCGAGCTGCGAGAGGAGGCTCTGAGGAACGCCAATGTTGGAGCTCTGGTAGTTGCCCTCGAGGTAGCGCGAGATCTCCTGCGAGTAGGCGGACGTGAAGGAGCGAGCGCTGGAGATGAAGGAGCCGTCGCCGTTGTCGGCCTCGGAGAGGATCTCCTGGAGGCGGCTCGGCTGGACAGTGTAGAAGAAGGAAGCAGCGTCGGCGCTGTTCTCGGGGAAGTAACGTTTCTGTTTGGCGCAAGACATGTCAACGAGAGGCGCACTGAGGGAAATGGATGAGAGATAACTTACAGCGAGGGGAGCAGCAGTGGGAGCGGCGGCGAGGTCAGCGGCGCTGACGCTGGCGGCCATGGCCAGGGCGACGGAAGCGACAGTCAACTTCATCGTGAGTGATAGTGTGGAAAAAGACGGTGAAAAAGAGGGGGGACGGGTGGACAGGCGAGTGGATGGGTGGATGGATGAGCGGGAAAGGGGTGGGTGGAAGCCACTAGAGATAGACGGCACCTTTATAATGTTCCCGCAAACATCGGCCGTCGACCAAGACACTAATTATTACAGACAGCCGGAACAGGGAAAATTCACCAAATAGCGTATGTGCGGCCAGCCTACGTTCCTATGCTCAATTTTTTTTTCTTGGCTTCCTCTACATCCTTATCCTAGGCCTGTCACTTTGCAGCTGTTTCTTAGCTGAGCTCCGCTGTACTGATCCGAGGAGTGACTCCCGCCGCACAATTAGTGAGCAGGCGGTGAGGGATGCTGTCAAATTGCACCGGCGGTGATCGCCTCCTGGTTGGGGCCTCAGAGATTACTAGCTCCCACCCATTTCAACTTCCTCTGCATGTAGAATCTTCCGGGAGAATGAATGGCTCGGACCTAGACTCATTTGTGGAGGTGCATGACGTACGTCTCCTTGCTTGTCCTAGACCGAGCACGACAGGCTGCCCAGAACGCGCTAAAGTGGCCAGTCGATCAGCTAGATTCTCCTTAGCGGCTAATGTCACTGAGACCTTCCTCTTGCGACGACACAACTGATCATCATCCAGCAGCGGGCGCGAGGAATACTTGCCGACACCGGGTGAGACCATCGGTGTGCCTTATTTGTTGCTCGCAATGACATTGAAAACATGAATAGTTGCCCGCGAATGATGCAAGCATTGACATGTATTGAAACCTGGTGCTCTAGGACAGTTGCTCCTTGCAAGGCACGGAAAGGCAGTGTTTTGCTTTGGTGAGGGTTGCGAATCCTTCACAGCTTGTCGAGGATCATGTCGAAGACGTCCAGATCCTTAACAGCATCGCTTGGGCTGCACATCTCTGCACTGTCCCCCCAACCCTTCAGCCCTGTCGACTGCTCTTCTGTGACTTTTGCTCCCGCGCGCAGCGCCTTTTCCAGGCGAAGAAATTCGGCCGTGTATGCATCGACGAAGGTGGGCCTGATGACTTTTTCATCAAAGCCTCTCCCATCTACGCCCGAGTTCTCACGGACGGTAATGGTGATAGGAAGCCCCTTCACGTAGGGCGTGTCATACTTGATCTTGACGATGCGATCGCGGCAGAAGACCTCGATGAAGGCATCAAAGAGCCCAATAGCGTGGATCCCCGTCTCGTAATTGACAGCAAAGTCATCCTCTCCCTCCTGCCCATAGACGAATTGAGCAGCGATGAAGTCACCTGACTGCGAAGCGAAGGCCGCACGGCACTCTTTGGGAAGCCCGCCAAAGACGTGGCGCATGCAGCTCAGATCGTGGCTGCCCAATGAGCCCAGGAGCCGGAAGATTTTGTGGAGACGTGCGTCTTTGCTCCTCGTCTTCCCTGGGGCAGTTCTGGCTATTCTTTGCGTCTCGCTGCGCTTGGCCTCGACGTCTTGTGGAGCAATGTCGGTGAAGTACTTGGGGTCGGTGCCTGATTGCGAGACAAATGTGCTATTTGGGCCTCCCAGATCCCTGACGACGGCGTACTGGATCGGCCCCGAGTCGGCGACGAGGTCAAGGAAGCGAGCCCAGACACTCGTGTACCTGGGGTGATGTAGTCACTATTAGCATGCCGGTAGCAGATGCCCAGTAAAACCGTCAAACGACGACCCACCTGCGCATGTAGCCGACTGAAATGTGGACACCGTTCCTCTTGCGGGCCTCCTCGACAAGCCTGGCGTCCTCGCGGGTCAGCGTCATGGGCTTCTCGATGAGCACATGCTTGCCCTTGTCGGCCGCTTGGACAGCATGGATCGCATGGAATTCGTCTGCGCTGGCCACAACGACAAGGTCCACATCTTCTCGGGCGCATAGTTCTGCGCTGGAAGACCCTCTGTCAGCTTTGCCAGTCGGCCACCTAAGAACAGAACAGCTCACCTATCATGGCAACCAAAGGCAATGTGAAACTTTGCCTGAGCATGGGCGACGGCTTCTCTTGAGACGTCGCATATGGCCGTCACTTTGTATGACTGCGAAAGGTACGCGAGCGTCGGTAGCTATGGTAGTTGCCAGTATGTTCAGCTGGAAGCAGTCTCTTTGCGGCCAAGCGGGAAGAAGCTCACATGGACGACCTGTGACACTTCGCCTCTGAAGAGAGCCAAGATTGTCAGTTCGCATTCATCAATCAAGATTGCCACCATCTCATGCTCACGCTCCGAGAATTCCTACCCGGATAGGAGATGTAGCGTCGAGCTGAGAAGGCGCCATGAGAAATACGCCTGAGAGAGAGGAGATGAGACGAGGTGGAACAAGCTGGCGGAATTGCGAAGTGGAGAAGTCGGTCGGCGCATTGACCTTTTTCTCTTTTTTTGGTATCGCGGCGGCGGTCGCGACTTGACCGACCACCGCGTCTCACACAATACAGAGCGGTACTACACGACTACCCAGCCCCGTCCCTTGCCCTTGATTCCCCTTTCCTCCTCTTCTCTTCGCCCGCTCAATGAAGAAGGCAATGGCGGTAAAATAAAATCTCGAGAGACGGAGTGGGCTTTCTTGGCAGCTATTGTCCCCCCCACCAAGGGGTTAGATGAACGACAGCTATGACGAGCAACGACAACCAAGGAAGGCTTGGCGATGCGCTCAGCTACCTCTCCTACAACGGCCACAATGGCCTCAGCAGTGCTGATGCTTCGGAAAAGCTGGAAGAGACAAGGACGACGCTCGCTCGTCCAAAATCGGCGACGCTCCTGTCGGACAAGAGTTCTCGTCGACGATCACCCCCAAGGCTGCCAAATGAACTGCTAGAGATCATCTTTCACCACGCCATACTACTCGACAAGACAATGCTGCACAATCTTGCTCTACTCAGCCGCGATTGGCACGCCTCGCTCAACCCGCTCTTGTACCAATGTCCGGCGCTGGAGGATCGAATTCAAATGTACCGCTTCGCGAGGACACTTTCTGACGAAGCTGCTGCTGCGGACGACGAAAAGGATGGGGACGTACAACATGCTGAGGCGGCGACTCCAAGTAGGCTTGCTACCCACGTCAGCGATCTCAGCTTTGGATTTAGGAGGAGGACACATGAGGCGTCCAGCTACCTCGATGGCACCAACGCCGATTTGGCTTGTGTGGTGCTGGATCGTTGCAGGCGGTACGGCGGTCGTCTGCATCGTGGTCTCTTTAGAGCGCATGGTGATGGTGCATTCAAAAGCGGTCTTACGAGCGTCTGCCTGGGTACGCTCAAGGAGTTGACCGTTGCGGGCTTGAATGAGGAGGCGCTGGGAGCGGTCATCCAGGCGCTCAACGTGCCTCACGTTCCCCACATTCCAGATCCCACACATTCAGGCCATGATCAAGACGGGGAGCCACCGGCACAAGTGACGCGGGTGTGCATGTCGGGTGATGTGGTACGTAGCATGGGCGTGCGCATCGAGGAGAGGCGGTTACGGAGCGGCGAGGTTGTTTGCAACCTCGAGGATGATACGCAGCTTCGACGGCTGCACATCACGTCCATCTCCGAAGACATCTTCAAGCACATGCGCGTTCCCGTTTCAAACCTGACCCACCTCGTCCTTTCCCTTCCGTCTACCAAAGGCATCTACGCACCACCGGGACAACCAGGAACCAGTGTCAGCAGCGGTAGTAACAACAACAATAACAACAATAACCATACCCAACAGCAACAACAATCACAAACACAACAGACGACTCCCTTGCCGCAATACCACCATCACCATCTTCCTTCTACACGCCTCCTCTCGCGTTTTCTTATCTTGCAGACCCTCGGTCCCCGCATTCGTCCCACTCGCGAGGTCATCGAGGGCGAAGTCGCCGCGCTGCGCGCCCACACCTCAGTCGAGCTCGAGCGGACGATGGCGGGTAATCGCATCTTTCTCCAGTTCCGCAGGCTCGAGAGACTCGTCATTGTAGCCGAAGCAAGCCTGCTGAGGTACATCATGACGGAGCTGGCGCCCCTCGACGACGAGCGGCTGCACTTTCGGGTTGCAAAGGATGTCAAGGGCGATCGTATCTGGCAGGGCCCGCTTTCGTGCGACGATCTCGAGGCAGGCGTCGCGGCCGAGTGGGACCGCGCCTCGCTTACAGCCTCGCCGTCAGGGCCAGGTAGAAGAAAGCAGAGAGGGGCGAGAGATGGGGAGGTAGAGGACGAGGACCTGGAAGCGCCGTGGAAGGACGAAGAGGAGGATCTGCTGGGCGCCACGAGCGCAAATATCGCCGAGCTCTCACGTCGCATTGATGCGAGAGGAAGCGGCCAACCTGACTTCTGGTCCATGGGCGGGTCAGCTCTGGGCTATGGTGGTTGGTGAATCCTCTTTATACACCAAAAAGAGACTTGCACAACATCAGATTGTATCACTACATTACCAATGCTGCCACCTCTCAACATACGCCGTTCTTTGATGCCCTTGGACAATTGCGCAGAGATACAAATACAATTGGCCCACTCCATACGCGGACGAGAGCTTGACTTCTATACTGCTACAGGAGGTCGTTGATGTCGCCGAGGAACTTCTGGTAGTCATCTTGACTCTTGTCAACTGGACCACCACTCTCTTCCTTTCTCCCTCCACCAGCAGCACCGGCAGACAGGTGAGGCCTGAGCGCATCCATAAGCCCGACCTTTGCTGGAGTTGAGCTCGAGCTATCGCCCTCTCCTGTGCCATCATCATCAGCGCCACTCGATGGCGCCGCATCGATCCGGGAGAGCCCCCCGGCTTTAGCCCTCGCCCGCTCGGCTGCCTGCTTCCTACGCAATGCAGGCGGAACAAATGCGGTCGCTTCTTTTTTCAGATCTCGGAGCTTGGGAGCGACGCTGATTGTTGCCGGTGGTCTCTGAGGTGGCGGACCGGGAGGAGCAACGGGAGGTCGAGCTGAGGCGGCGTAAGGACGAGGAGGAGGGCGGGGAGGTAGGCCGCCAAAGCCGGGAGGAGGTGGTCCACCAATATAAGGCATGCCTTGAGGCGCCCCATAGGGCACATTGTTGCCAAATCCCGGAGGAGGAGGAGGTCTGGGATGATGATGAGGCTGATAGGTAGGCCTGAAAGGTCGGCCATAGGCCAGTGCCGGACCCTGCGGAGGAGGGGGAGGACCGGGAGGCAGTGGGGGCTGCGCCGTCATAGCTTTGGGGCCGCTTGGAGGAGCACCGGGCGGAGGGCCCTCGGGCATCACGATGCCATCGCTGTCAGCGTCGCTGTCTCCCTCGTCCTCCTCTTGTGGCAGGGGCGGTGGCCCATCGGGCATAACGATGTCATCTCCGTCGTCATCATCGTCGTCGTCTGAATCGCTGTCGTCCTCTTCTGCAGACTCGTCCTCGACGCCGTACTCAGCTTCGAATTGCTCCTTTGCTGATGAGTGGGCTCCGAGTCAGTAAAGTAAGAACTACTTCCGGCAAGCGCACTTACTCTTTTCTCGGTATGGCATTCCCGGCGGTGGCGCGCCCAGAGGGTTGAAGACGGGATCATAATCCTGACTCCACCGCGGATCTCTTCCCTCCCACGGCCTCTTCGCATCTCTATTTCTCTCCTCCGCCTCCTTTCCTTCCTTTTGCTTTCTCTTACTCTCCTCTTCTTCCTCCATTTCTCTCGCAAAAACAAATTTGCGATGCTCTGGGTGCTCCTTGACGTACGCCTCTTTGGCTTCCCTGATCCTCCTCACCTCCGCCTTTAATTGTCCCAGCTCCTCTCTCTCGACCTGCGATAGCGCTCCGCCGTCCTTGCTCTCCAGCCGCCGGATGTCGGCCTCGAGCGACCGCGTGTCCTTCTTGACCGTCGCAACCTCGCGCACCTTTGCGCGCTCCTCCTTGTTGCGCTTCAGCTCGCGCTTCCGCGCCGCCTTGCCTTCAATCAGACGAGACAATGTCAGTCCACTGCCTCGCCGGCTGCCTGTCAAGGACAGCGCAGCACGCTTCAATCCCAGCACTCACGGGCAGCATCCATCGGGTTCGACGACTTGCCCTTCGCCATCTCGTTGCCGCTTGTGACGAAGAAAGGTGGAAGCGCAACTTTTGACACCTTCAGACTAATTTCTGGTCGGCTTTCGGGAGACAGGCGCCCGAGCGCTTGGACCCATATCTTCACTTCTTCACATCCCACTACTCAACAGATCGTAGATGATGTATCGTAGCATTCTAGACCAAAGCTGGTATCTTCTAAGACAGGTACTGATTGCGTATGACACACTTAGTCGAAGCCAGCAACGACCTTTGCCATTTTCCTGCCCAGGAAGTTGCCCACGAGCCGGAAGAGCGAGATGCGAATCCAGTTGAACCACTTGCCGCGCATCCTCGCCGCGCGGTGCATCGCGTCTGCCCGGCCGGCAATCGCCTGCACCTTCTTTCGGCGCTGGACCGACCACACCGAAAGGTCGTCTTCGATGCGGGGGTAGTCCTTGACAGACGCCAGGTTGTTGTTCAGGATGGCTGGTGCAAGCTGAAGTAATTGGTGTGGCAGTCAGTATCAGGAAGAAGCAAATCGAACGGAAAGAGGGAGCGGCCTTCAGTGGCACTCACGATCTGGGAAAGCTGTAGAGCATCTGTCACGCCAGCATTGAGACCCTGACCACCCATAGGCGAATGCGTGTGGCATGCATCGCCAATTACGACCGTCCTTGCTTCTGCCTTGAACATCTCGCTGGCGATGCGGTGCGCTACGTGGTAGGCCGAGGTCCAGACGATCTTGGTGATGTCACTGGGCTTCTCTTTCGTCTCTGCGTCTGCCTCAACAGAGGGGCCCAGCAGGTCGAGAACTGTCTGCACTTTGTCCGCACCCAGGTCGATGGTTTCAACAAGGTGGCCGCCTCGGTCCTGCTTCTGGTTGTCATCGACGAGAACATCGGATGTCGTCTGCTTGGTGGACCTCCTGCGCGCGTCCTCGATGGACCGATCAATCTCTTCCAACCCCGTCACGGCGGCCAGTCTGAGTCCGCCACCAGCCAGTGGGATCACCATGAGTGCTCCGTCTTCACTGACGACATTCATCCCGCCTCTCCGCCCGTTCCGTTCCCCCGAAGCCTGGCTGAAAGGCCAGGCAGGGTCGCGCACAACCACGTCGGCATTGAGAAACGTCTCGTTCCATCTGCCTCCTTCGAATGCAATGCCGGCCTTTTCTCGAACGACGCTGTGGCTGCCGTCTGCCCCAACGATGAGGCAACACTTGACTTTGGCCTCGACACCATCTTCATTGGTCAGCGTGACAGTGACAGGCCTCTGAGCCTCCGCCTCGTCCCGGGACACTGTGACGTCCTCGACGGACCAGCCCTTGTGGATCTGGCCACCGAGCGTCTCGAAGCGGGCCGCGATGATTTCCTCGGTGTAGATCTGGCCCAGACTCGTCACATGCCTGAACCTCGAGGGCAGCCCAGACATGTCGACGCCCATGATCTTGCCCTTGGACATGTCCCTCTCCCACATCGACATGCTCATGGCCAGGAAGCCGCGCCGGACAATCTCGTGCGTCGCGCTCCGGCACGGCCGCTCGATGGGCTCGTCGACGCTGACGCCCACGGCATCGCCATACTGAATGTTGCCCTGGGCATCGGTGCGTGCGTGCGTGTGCGTCAGCGGACTGTCCTGGTCGTCAATCTCGGCCGCGAGGAGCTCGAGGGTGCGGGCGTGAATGGCCAGTGCGCGTGACTGGTTCCGTGGCTTTGGCGCCGTGCTCCTTTCCACGACGAGGATTCGAGAGGACGGCACACCCTTGTTGAGGAGCGAGGCGGCGAGCGAGGTGCCGGCGCTTTTCGAAGGCCATGAGGTCAGCGATGAGACGAGATGTCTGTGACAGGCTGCAACTCACGGACCAGCACCGGCGATGACGACGTCGACCTGCTCAGGAAGTCGCGCACTCATTGTATCTTGCTTGCGGCAGTTGCGCGCTAAAGGAGCTGTTTGCTGCTTGTGGAAGAGGGAGCTCGCTGACAGACAAGAAGGCAGCTCTTAAGTATGAGGAGCCATGGAGGCTGGTACGTGCGCTCGAGGCGCGCTATGGATGTGGTAGCGCATGCACCCGCCAAGTCAACGAGACGCGCCGTTTCGAATCTTCCAAGGCGGAGAAGCGCGGAGACCGATGGTGACCGTGGGAGAAGCGCGTTTGGCCCGACATCTTGAGAGCAAATCCAGGAATTGTCTACCTCTTCGTCTAATTCTACCGAGCACGTTTCGGTAGAATTGAAGGTTGTTTGCCAAGGAGAAGAAGAGCAGATTTCATTAATTGTTCCTCTGCCCGATGTTGTAGAAATACAAAAGATGATCAAGCGTCTCTGCGACGTTTCACTGGAGAAGACGCAGAAGGGGAGGGCAAGGTACGCTTCTCGCCACTGCCGAGCATGGGCGCCCTTCCCGCCACCTCGTGGAAGCTCTTTCGTCCGCCCGTTGCCTCGTCCGAATCCTCCCGCTGCGCCTTCGTTCGCACCTCGGAATCCCACTTCCAGAAGCCACACCGGACTGCAGGCGACGTCAGCAATGCAGAACAAGCTGGAGAGCAGCAAGGGCGGGCGATGGACACAACTCACATTGCTTGTCGTGGTCAGGCTCTCCAGTGCCGCCGACGGGGCGAGCGCACATCCAGAACTTGCGCCCGTGATTCGGCCCGGGCTTGTTCACCGTCCATGGCTTTGCTGGCTCGTTATGACCGCCACACCGTGGCGAGGCTCGCGCTGCTGGCTATTCAGCTTGTGATGCCAGGACAGGGTGCAAAAGGAGAGCAACTCACGAGCAAAGATGGATCCCCACGCCAGTGAAGACTGGACTCTCGCTGCGCCCGAGTCTTCCTCCTCCACCATCTCTGCCTCTTTCAGTGGTGTCTTTGACGGAGATGGGTCTGGCTCTGCCACCAGGCCCGCCGCCTCTCCAGCCGCTTCTTGCCTCTCTAGCTCTTCTTCCTCTGCTTTGAATGCTGGCAGCTCTGCCTCCTTTGGCGATTTCCCAAAGAAGGACTTGAGCGTCGCTTGCTGTGCCCCCTTTCTCCCGCTTCCGTTCACCGTAGCCTTCTCTTTGCTCTTGGCCTGGCCATCTGGCCGCTTGATCGCTTTACCGGGGCTCTGTGACCCTCTGCTGCTCGCTGTCTCATTCTGGACCTTCTCTGACCGTAATCCTGTCAACGAGACAGGCTCCTGTGATGACATTGATGCCGACCTCTCAACCCTCGGAGCTGTGGATGTAGGCATTTGTGTTGTTGTACTGGGCACTGGCGAAGGTGTTGATGCAGCAAGATTCGGCGTCGGCGAGGGGGAGGGTGTTGCTGCAGAGGGACCCGCCGCAAAGAAGCTCTGAATGCGCCTCCCCGAGTGCTCGGGCCACGACGAGGTAGCAAGCGGAGGCGGCTTTGCCTCTTGGCTCAGCTTGTCGCGCAGCTTGACAACGGAGCCGTCCGGCAGAGTAATCTCGTCGTGCAGGTCGACATAGACAGGGCAGTGATCGGAGCCCTGGACATCTGGCTGAATGCCAGCGTCCTTGACCCAATCAACCAGTCCAGGGCTGAGGAGCGTAAAGTCGATCCGAGCGCCATAGTTGGAGGCTCGCGAATTCTTGATTGTGTTCCAGCATGTGTACATGAACCTTCTTCTCGGGTGCATGTGTCGACCGGCATCCATAAAACGGCCCACGGGGGTGAGGAACCGATCGAGCCAACGCCTGGCCGGGTGCTGGTCCAGGTGCGTCTCGGCATTCATCTTGGCATGGACAGAGTCGGCGTGGTCGATGGGGAGATGGGCAATGTTGAGGTCGCCGACGACTACCAAGCGAACACATTAGCTGACCTGACGCCACACAGAGAGAGAGGGATCGGAGATACGAAGACTCACTGATGACCTCTCGACCGGCTTCGAGCAGGTTGTGCACCCTCTCCTCGAGCGTTGTATAGTAGGCCATTCTTACCAAGAGACAACTAGATGAGCGAAATAACTGACACCATGCAAGAAGCCCTCACTTACTTGTACTCTCGTCTTCCTTCGTCGGTCTCATTGGGACAGTAGAGGTTGAACTACGCCGAGAGAAGAGAGCACCATGTCAGTGACCTGTTCGCGGCACAAGTGGGGCGACGAACGCCAGACATACCAGCACAAACATGCCACAATCAACGACCACTGCCCTTCCCTCTCGATCAATCAAGTCAAACTGAGGCGACTCAGGCGCAAGCAGGTCGGGATAGCCTCCAATGGCCGTCTTGGAATCCCGTCTGTCCTTGACGAGGTTACCCGTGATGCCCTCCTCGGCCCTCTGCGGGGTGCAGACCGAGTCTTTTACAAAAGTGGCCGTGCCACTGTAGCCCTTGGTGGGATGGAGGTTGTAGAAGGCATAGTAGCCCTTGGGCAGACACATGTCGCGGTCCTCGACGAGGAGCTGCTTGCGGGTGATCTTGGTCTCTTGGAAGCAGATGATATCCGCTTCGAGCGCTTCGAGGCACTCGCTCCACTTCAGCTTGTACAGCGGACGGTACTGGCGCACCGTGCGTATCCCATTGACGTTCCACGAAAGGACCCGCATCGCGCTGGATGTCCCTCGGCCGCCGTCATGCGGTGACCCTCGCTCTCTTCGTCAGCGGATTTCGGCCCAGAATGTTGGAGTGGAGAAGCGAGGACGCGTCTCTCCCCATCATTTCCGAGACCTGCCTGGCCTAGCCTTGCCTTGCCTTCTTCTAGTCTTAAATCGAGAGATACATGGTTGCACAAACCAAACGACTGGTTGCTCTCCTCACATTTTTCTCCCTCTTGCTCTGCGCCACATATCTGCTGGCCACGTACCGCCTACCGATCTCGAATCGCACCTTTTCGGGAGGCTGGCAAGCGCCATCGCTACCCAAGATGGCCGCTGTGCAGACTGCGACTGCCGAGACAGACCTCAACGGGCTCCTCAAGGCCAACAAGGCTGAGGCCCTCTCGCGCCTCTTTGCCAGCGACGCCGCAGCTCGCAAGGATGTCGTCGTTATCATGGGCAACGAAGCAGGCGACACGGACAGCATGGCCTCTGCCGTCCTCCTCGCCCATCTCCTCTCCCACCCAGCCAATGCAGGCGGACGCACGATTCGCGACTCCCTCAAGCTCCCAGAAGACACGCTCTTCACGCCCCTGATGCAGTTCCTGCGCAAGGACCTCCGACTGCGAGGCGAGAACGAGATGCTGCTGCACCTCCTCGACGTGGACCCGAGCAGCCTCCTCTTCCTCGATGATCTGCCCCAGGACCGGTCGCGCCTCCTCGCGGGCGGCGACCACGTCAAGCTGGCACTGACGGACCACCCGTCGCTCTCAAAAACGTGGGAACCCTACGACGAGCTCTCCAAGAGAGTCGTTGCTGTCATCGACCATCATGCCGACGACGGCAGCCACAAGAACGCCCCACTGCGCGTGCTCATGGGTCCCGGCGCAGGCCAGGTGGGCAGCGCCGTGAGCGTCGTCGTCGACCTCTTCTCCGACAAGGGAAAGGAGCTCAAGCTGTCAATGAAGCTTGCTGACCTGGCCCTCGCTGCCGTCCTCATCGATACCGACGACGTGAGTGTTTGGTCTCTGCTTCTATCGTGAACAAGCCTCCTGATCTCCTCTTTGCTAATATTTCACACAGCTTCGACCGATGCCCAGGGGCAAGGCCACCGAAGTCGACCTCACCGCGGGCCGCCTCCTCGCCGTGCAGTCCTCCCTCGTCCGACCCGAGTCGCGCACCTCCTTCCTGGACACGGCTGTGCGCTTTGGAGGCGACATTGCAGCCTCGGCCGCCAAGGCAGACTCGAGCTTCTTTGCCAAGTCGCACACAAGCTTGGGCTTCAGCGATGGCCTGTCGCCCTCCTCGCTCAACAGTGCCGACGCAGGCGAGGGCGTCCTAGCACGCACTGCACTCAGCACCTACTGGGCGGTCCTCTCTGCCGTCAAGCTCGACGTCGCGCGCCTCTCCTCGGCCGACCTGCTCCACCGCGACTACAAGGAGACGACGGTTGACGAGAGCCAATTCCGGTCTGGCTTCTCGAGCGTACCCGTCGGTCTGTCAGAGTGGATCAGAAAGAAGGACCTGTCTCCTGCTGGTGGAGGAGGAGGAGGAGGAGGGGGAAAGGGCGAAGACGAACGATGGCAAAAGTACTGGTCGACGATCGACGAGTTCATGCGCGAAAAGAGGCTGCAGTGGGCCGTCGTGGGCACCAGCTTCAGAGACGATGGTGAGGAGATGGACGAAAGCAACGACTCGACCACGGCGAGGGAGGGCAAGCATCGGAGGGAGCTGTGAGTAATGCCAAGATGCAAGCTGCATTTGCTCGCGCTGACGATTGGGACTAACATTAACAGGCTGCTGGCCTGCCGAGGCGCACCGGCCTCGGCGCTCTTCAAGACGGTGCTGTCAACGCTCGAATCCGACGCATATGCTCAGGGCCTGTCGTCGCCGGACTCGTCATCGCAGCAGCTCCTCCTCGAGTCGCCATGGAAGGGCCGGAGGCTGGCATCGACGGGCAAGCGCGAGCGCGTGGCCGGCCTCGATGAGCAGGGCAGGTGGCCTCAAGGCGACATGCAGGTGGCAGTCTACATTCAGCGCAACGCCAGGGCCAGTAGAAAGGTATACCTGCCTGCCGTCATGCATGCCATCCGTGCAGCGGCTGCCAGCGTGCCAAAGTAGACGAAACAGATACGATGGGGGAAAAGAGAGAGGGATACAACTTGTCATTGTGTTGATTACTGTACATGCGCCCGTCCGACCGAGAATGTCACCGATTTTTCCTACACTGTTACCGTCTCTGCCGCTTGCCGCTCTTCTCGCCGGACTTTCTCTTGACAAAGTTGGGCCGCTGGCCGGGGGTGCGCTTGACGTTCTGCTCCTGGAACTTGCGCTTGGCGTATGCGCTCGCCTGAGCATCCTTGACGAGCTCCTCGACGACGGTCCTGCCCCTCTCTTGTCTCGCCAGCGTCGATGCCGGCTGCGTGGCGCTCGAGATGACGCGACCCAGCTGCGCATACTTGGGCATGCCCTTGTCGCCGCTGCCGCCCCTGTAGAAGCGCTTGGGGTCCATGGCATTGCGCAGCCGGATCGCCTGCACCTCGCGCCGCATGGCCTCGGCGGTGGGCGAGCGCGCATCGAGCGAATCGTTGGGCTTCGTCAACGAGGCCAGCTGCTCCTTTTGCGTCTTGTTCTGCCCGCCCTTGCTGCTGCTGCTGCTGCTCGTGCTGCCGGGGAAGGCAGGCAGGTCGAACCAGCCTGGTCCGACCGTCTTGGCGCGCTCGGCTTGCCGCTGGCGGAGCGCAGCTCGGCCCGTCTTTGGCTTGTTCTCGCCAAGCTCGTCTCCGCGCTCTAATCTGGCAAAGTAAGCTTCCATGGTCGGGCTGGACGAGATGGCGATGAGGATAGTAGATGGTCAGCAGAAAGGTCATTGGGGGAATAGAAGGGCGTGACTGCAAGCTCACTCTTCCTTTCTCGTCGCCGCTTGTTTAGAAACACTTTGCCTCTTTGCAGTATTGGTTTCTCTCTGGACAGGGCCTCTCTCTTCCTCGTTTCTTCCTTCCTCCTGCTCCTCGCCCTTGCCCTCGTCGCCGAGGTGAATGACGTCCTCGTTGGCCTCAAAGTGCGCCTTGTCCTTGCCCATCTCGTTTCTCCGGCTTGCTTCGATGGAGGCTGCCAAGAGAGCCGCGAGGTCTGGCTCATCTTCATCGTCGTCTTCTTCAGCAGACGACGACGACGATGATGATGATGCGGACGACGAGTCCTCATCTTCGGAGGAGGAGTCCTCTGAACCTGACGATTCATCCCCGCTCAAGGAGCCCTCGCCCTCGCCATCGTCTTCTTGGCCGCCCTCGAGAGACGGCTTTGTGCCTGCAAGAGTGACGGTTGGTGTTGCAGACTTGACGCTGCTTGCACTGGTGTCGCCCACTGCTCTTGCTCTCCTCGTCGTGACCATCTTGCTGCTCTTCGTGCGAGCTTAAGGTAATCGGCGGATGGACGGACGAGCTTCCAAAATTTCCAACTTTTTTTTTTCTCAGCTCGGCGACCTCCACCACGTGTGGTTCGGAGAAAGGGCAATTCACAAAGGCCGATTTGATTAGGGCGTCAACCACACGACTGCTGACGACGACGACGTTCCCTTTGTCCTCTCTTTTACGTTTTTACCCTTTTTTTCTCCCGGGGTCCAGCTTCCCGCGGCACGCAGATAGACGGAACTCGAGGCCCACCAGCAGTCCCGCACTCGGAGCTTGGAGAGTGGGTACGTGCTTTGCGTTTCCTTTGATGCTCGCCATCACCAGGACCCTTGCGCGAAGAGGGACGCGCAACGCCACCGCTTCATTCGTTTCTGCTCCTCGTGGCTCCCCATTCTCTTCTTCCGCTCCTTTGACAACCCGGGCTCTGACGAGACCCCTTCAATCTCATCTTCCGTCCTCGAGATTAGCGTGAGTGAAGCAAATGCTCGGATGGCGTGCTATCCGAATGCTGATGTGTCTGGAACATGCATCAGTAGAATGTCGGCGTCGACTGGCAGCACCTCGCGGTCTTTGGCCACAGTCGCTCCGTCGACAACAAATGCTCATACGGCGGCGCTCAATCCTCTCGAGGCACTCCCCCAGGGCTACCAGGTCAAGACGACGATTGGCGATGCGCCCAGCGCGTCGCCCTACGCCGTCTTCGACAAGCCCCTAGAGACCTCACTCCTCGACGATCGCGCCTACCGCCTGATTCGTCTGCAGAACGGCCTCGAGGCGCTGCTGATTCACGATGCCGAGACAGACAAGTCGAGCGCGGCCATGGACGTGCGCGTGGGCCACCTCTCGGACCCAGAGGAGCTCCAGGGCCTGGCTCACTTCTGCGAGCACCTCCTCTTCATGGGCACCGAAAAGTACCCACGGGAGAACGAGTACAGCGAATACCTCTCGCACCACTCTGGAAGCTCAAACGCATATACGGGGCTCGAGAACACCAATTACTTTTTTGATGTTGGACACGCCCACCTCGAGGGCGCACTTGACCGTTTTGCGCAATTCTTCCTCCAGCCGCTGTTCGACCCCAGCTGCTCGGAGCGAGAAATCCGGGCGGTGGACTCGGAGCACAAGAAGAACCTGCAGAGCGATGCGTGGAGGGCTTTCCAGTTGGAGAAGAGCCTCAGCGATCCCAAGCATCCCTACAGCCACTTTGGCACGGGCAATGCAAAGACGCTGTGGGACGACCCAAAGGCCAGGGGTGTCGATGTCCGCGACGAGCTCCTCAAATTCCACGATCGGTACTACAGCGCCAATGTCATGAAGCTTGTCGTCCTGGGCAGGGAGTCGCTCGATGAGCTCACCCGCTCGGTCGTCGACAAGTTCTCGGGCGTGCGCAACAAGGGTCTCGCTGCGCCCACATTCCCTTCATCGCCCCTGGGCGAGGAGCAGCTGCAAACCCAGGTGTTTTTCCGCACCGTCAAGGACATTCGTCTTCTCGACGTCACCTTTCCCATTCCCGACCAGTCGCCGCAATTCCGCTCAAAGCCTGGCCAGATCCTCTCGCATTTCATCGGCCATGAGGGCCAAGGTTCGATCCTCTCCTACCTCAAGGCCAAGCGATGGGCGAACCATTTGAGTGCGGGAGCGACAAACGGTGCAGACGGCTTTGAATTTTTCAAGATCTCCGTGGACCTGACGCAGGAGGGCCTGGCAAACTACGAAAAGGTCGTGGCGGCCATCTTCCGATACATTGAGCTCCTCAAGAGCCAGCAGATCCCCGAGTGGTCTTTCAAGGAGGTTCAGCAGCTGTGCGAACTCGCCTTTCGCTTCAAGGAAAAGACGCCACCGTCATCGTATGCATCGGGCTTGTCATCGCAGATGCAGCTTCCCTACCCGCGTGATTGGATCCTCTCTGGGCCGTATCTCACGCGCGACTTTGATCTCGACCTGATCCGGAGCACTGCCGCTTGTCTCCGGCCGGAGAATTGCAGAGTTTCGATTGCGGCACAGCAGTTGCCCGACGGAAGTCAGGCGTGGGATCTGCGCGAGCGATGGTATGGGACCGAGTACAAGATCGGACCCATCCCACGGCAGGTCATCGAGGACGCAAAGCGAGCCGACGCGGCGGCCTTTGAGGGCATGGCTCTTCCCAAGCCCAATGACTTCATCCCGTCGACGTTCGAGGTCCAGGGTAAGCCTGACCGTGCCCTCGACAGGATCAAGCCGACGAAGCGGCCCATGCTGGCCCACAAGAGCGACCTCTCGATGCTGTGGCACAAGAAGGATGACAACTTCTTTTTGCCAAAGGCAAACGTCTTCCTCCTCATCCGAAGCCCTCTTATTGATGCGACGCCCAGCAACGCCGTCAAGTGCCGCATCTTTGCCGAGCTGGTCAAAGATGCTCTGACAGAGTACTCTTACGACGCCGAGCTCGCTGGTCTTGGCTACAACATTGAGTCTCAGGCCGACGGTATCGGCTTGGCAGTCGATGGCTACAATGACAAGCTCGCTGTCCTGTGTCGGTATGTCCTGGAGGCGGTGGCCAAATTCAAGGTGGACCCGCGCCGATTCGACATCATCAAGGACCAGGTTAAGCGCGCCTACCAGAACTTCCAGCTCGAGTCTCCCTACCAGCATGCAAACTACTACATGACCTACGTCACTGTCGAGCGCATGTGGACGGCCCAAGACAAGCTCAAGGAGCTTGACGAGCTCGAGGCTGACGATGTGCAACGATTCTTGCCCGACCTGCTCGGCAGGATGCACCTCGAGATGCTTGTCCACGGCAATCTCTCGCGGACCGAGGCAAAGGACCTCCTCAAGATGGCCGAGGACATTCTCAAGCCAAAGGCCCTCGCACCCGCTGAGCTCATCTCTCACCGCTCTCTCCTCCTCCCGCCTGGATCCAACCACTCGCTCACGGTGCCCGTGCCCAACGACAAGAATGTAAACTCATCGATCGAGCACTACTGCCAGATTGGCGACCCGACCGACGTGCCACTGCGAGCAACGCTCTCAATGCTTGCACAGATAGCCAGCGAGCCTGTGTTTGACCAGCTGCGGACAAAGGAGCAGCTCGGCTATCTAGTCTTTAGCTCCGTCCGCAAGACGATCGGCTCGATGGGTTTCCGTATCTTGGTGCAGTCTGAGCGAGAGTCGGCTTACCTCGAGTCGCGCATCGAAGAGTTCTACCGGACGACGTTCAGCGACCTGCTTCGCAATATGTCGGAGCAGGACTTTTTGGACCAGCGCGAGTCGCTCATCCAAAAGAAGCTCGAGGTCGTCAAGAACTTGGGCGAGGAGAGCAGCAGATACTGGTTCCACATTCACTCGGGCTACTACGACTTTTTGCAGCGCGACGTCGATGTCGATGCCCTTCGCCGTGTGACCAAGGAGGACGTCGTGAGGGTGTTTGAGCAGTTTATCCACCCCGAAAAGGCCCGCGAGAGGGCAAAGGTGTGCGTGCATGTGCAGTCGCAAGTCAAGCAGGCTCGCTTCAGCGCCGAGGCGACGGACGCACTCGCACAGACTTACAGGAACAACGGCTTGGGCGCCGTGCTCGAGTCCGACGAGGTGAAGCAGGCCGTCGAGGTTATGCGGGCGCAGCAGCCGTTGGTGGCTGTCGTCAAGGAGTCGACTGAGGCGCTGCTCAAGAGCTCGGGCGCATCCGAGCAAGTCGCTGGAAAGATCATCAAGGCCGTCGACGACCTCGCAAAAGCGCACCCCGTCCGAGACTCGGATGTGCTGGAAAGCGCAGGGCCAAAGGCGGAGGTGATTGACGATGTGATCCGGTTCAAGGCCGGTCTGACGCCAAGCAAGGCGGCCCAGCCCATGCGGTCGTGGAAGGAGTACATGGAGGAGCCGACGTCGGGCGAGATGCCAAGCAAATCGGCGCCCCAGGTCACGCCGAAGCCGGTCTCGGCCAATTTGTAGATCTTAGATTGCATCTTCTCGCCGCTTTGTCTTGTTCCGTACCATGTAGAGTTGCACAATCGTATTGACATGTTCTCCCGTGAGCAAGCGAGAGGCCCGCGTGAGGGGACTGTGCGGTGGCCCGAGCGCGCTCGGGCGAAGTTGGAGGGGGGAGGGGCATTTAGTTGGGAGAGCGGCGCCCTTTTCCGTCTTGCCTCTTTCCAGCGTAGCCAAAGCCGCCTTCTCAGACTCGTCGACGACAAATCATGCCCTTCTTTGAAGAGGCCCACTTCGAAAGCTGGATCGAGGTCGACGGAGTGCGGGCCGAAGAGTACCAGACGACGTTGACAGTCGAGGGCAATGAGATCATCAAGACGTGCTGCATGTATCGTGACAGAGGATGTCACGTTTCCATCACGATGTGCTCAACGTACGCTGACGTGCCCGTCTTGCCTCCTTCAGGGATCGAAGCTCGTGAAGGAGCCAAGTTTCAGTTTCGAGGACAAATGGGCCTTGAAGGTGCACGGCAATTCCAGGCTAGATTTTTCGCCGACGGCACGAGGGCAGCCTCTTACGTATACCCTGATGAGCGAGATCGAGATATGACCTGCAAGGGCTTCGACCTTGAGGATGGCACACACCCTTTCTTCTTCGGGCCGATGGACAAGACTAGTGAAGAAAGCAGCAAAGAGGAACAAAGAAAGCTAGAGGAGATCATCGGTACCCTTGAGCTCCGAGTGAGACCCTGCACACTTGAGCTCAGCGGCAATTCCGGCAAGGGGTCCGGTGAGCGCAACACAGCAAAAGTCTTCGAAGATTCGAAGCTCGCCAAGCTGGGTATTTCCGTGCGGTAGGTACCTCGGGGCCGCTATTCTCTCTGCCGCCTCGCTGAATGACCATGAACCAAGCTCATCGGAAGAAGTCACCCCTCGCGGGTACCATAACTGCTATCACTCCACCCCCATTCCTGGCAGTAAGACCCTGGTGACACGGTTCAAGTACATGTCAAGGTGAGTCTTGCAGCAGACTTCAAATTGAGCTCGTTTCTATCGACTGGTTCTTTCATTGTTTTTGACGGCTGACGGCATCTGCGTAGGCCCTGGCTAGAAAGACTGAAAATTGTGGAGCGCACTTGTGAGGACGAGACCGTGGTAGACAATGCAACGGTGAACAATGACGATGAAACCGAGGACGACAACGCGACGGTTACCGACACGAAGCCGGTCATTCGCAGTCGAGTAACGAAGCGCGAAGCCCTTCATGAGGAGGATCGCATACCCCGGGTGAGCTGATCTTCAACTTTTCTATCACCTCTTTGCTTGCTGCGCTCATCTTTCGGATTTTCTCTCCCTCGTACTAAAAAAAGGCCAAGAAGGCTCGTCGTCTCAATACCAGCGGCAGCGCTTCGAGGTCTGTGGTCGTCGTCGACTTGACTGGCAGCAAGCCAAAAGTCGAGAGCATTTCTTCTTCCGACGAACCTTGGTCGAGAAGAGTAGGACCTACAATCGTCCTCGAATAATGGAGCCAGAGCAGACGGAGCTGAGAAGCTCCCGGACTTCCGCATGGGGTGATCGACATCTGATACAGCTCCATATCCCCAGAAGCGCCTCCTTTGATGAAGCAAAATGTTGCTACTTTCAGCAAGACCGATGAGACACACAGAAGATATAGACATATTCAGCTGCTCAAGCTCCGAAAACTAACAAGACAGGTTCTCTCTCCCCATAGCTCTCCTCACGAAGAATTGTCTAAGCTTCGTTCTGCCTGGCCCTTCCCCTATATTCTCCCTTTATTGTTCATTCCCGTCTTCTTCAGAGAGCATCGTCAGAGACCAGTGCAAATGCATTCCTCTCCATTTCGCTTCTGTCCGCCCTTCGAAGCGATTGCCAAGTGGTTATACTCGCCTTCTCAGAGATATTCTATGGAGATCTTTCTGGATTTGGGCAGACCTTCTCTTCCCTGTGAATACGGGCAGTCCTGCATATGAGCCCGCTCAGGGGCATGCCGTGATGAATGGACAAATGCAGATGCGCACGACTTTCAAAGCGGCCGTCGGATCGAGCTGATGATGAGCGAAACGCCTTGTTCGCGCTGATTGAGCTAGGACCCAAGGTGTCGGCGTTTTTATTAAGTTACCGAGGACTCTTTGGTGCCTGCAATATGAAAGCCCTGAGATCGAGCCTTCCGTCTCACGCTGTATATTGGGATCAGATCGCTTCAGCATAATAAAGTCCACATGCGGATTGGCTGATGAGTCCTGCTTCCAGCTGCGAGCGCGCCCCGATTCCCCTTGATGGAGTCTACTCGTATCTTGCCATATTTCAGCTGACCTTGCTAATGTTGTCGTCGCATCTGTCTTTCAAGGGCTCCTGCTCGGTCTGTGGCCTTGAATAATCACTTAAATCAGTAGACATTCTTTCTTTTTTGACGCTATTCGATCGATTCGTCTGCGGAGGTCTCAGAGACATATTACAGCCCGACTCTCGCTCATCCATGGTGCGGGCAAAAGACTGGCTCACTAAGCGACCAGGTCATAAGACAGGGTTTTGGATGTCCTGGGTGCCTCGCTGGGGCCTTACAGGGGTGGGAAAGGGAGAACAACGACGCATATTCTCTCACGTAACCAAACAGGGGGGTCAAGGTGGGCGTCATCATCCCCTTTGTGGATAGCGTGGAGCCTATAATCTCCTGTCCCGCACGACGGCCGACACCTGATGACTTTGCAAAAATAACGTAGCCCACATAGAATAAGGCTGATGGATCTACGCTAGTATTCGTGGTGCATAAGATTAAGGCCCTGCTTCAGTTCATAATGTTCTTGACTTTGTTATGAGCAACAGCTAGTCAGTAGTTGAACACCGCTAGTCGAAGACCAAAAAGGGAAAGAAGGAAAGTCCGCACGCCCCTCCTATCTCTTTGGCTTTTGCTATTGGGCAAGGCGCTAAACAGAAGCTGCAGCATCAACGGAGTCTGCCGTACGGAGTTCGCGAAGCTTTCTTGGAAGCAGAGGAGGGATCAGGAAGGAGGCCGTATAATGGAATAGTGGAATAATTATTCCGAAGTCCAAATGGGAAATGAGTTGTATTTCGAAAATCTTCCTTGTCAGAAGCTGTCGTGTGGGCGAAGACGTCTTATATGATCGTCGGGAGAAGAGAGAACACTCTCACGCATCAGACACAGTCTATAACAAATTTATTGGGTCGGGCAAACAAGAAGAGGCGCAAAAACCCACGCTTTGCATTGCATCGCATCGCAACGGGAGTGACTGCCTGAGGACACGGCAATGATGCCTTTTCAAAGAACCCCTTTCTTCTTTCAGCTTCTTGGCTAGCTAGAGCAGACTTGCCTCTTAGTCCTGCATTGTGCATTCGAGATAGATGAGCGAGATACAGTGGCTGTCTATTTAGGATACATAAGGCATAATGCGTCCTGTCGGGTTCTGATCGCCCAACTTCCACCTCCCCATCCCCCAACCTCTTCCTCTCCTACCCTTCGCGATGAAGACGTCTCAATTGCTCTTTGCACTTGTGGCTGGGGTCTCGACATCGTCTGCTCTTCCTCTCAAGCAGGGATGGACCGACTTCATCTTCACCTCTTCAGTGCCTACTTCTTCCGGCACAGTGTCCAAGCAAGTCGAGATCACTACTAGTGGCCATAGCGGGCGTAACGCGGTTCCTCTCACCGGCTGGGCCACCCGACTTGATGTCAAAGAAGGCAGCGAAATAAAAGAATCGGAAAGGATCAGCCACGCAGTGCGACCCCTGACAGGATGGGCAATACGCCTCGATATCAATGAGGAGGACGACGGTGTACCGGAAGAAGACTCGCCCATCATCTTCCAAACAGCGCACGCGACTGAACAACCGTCTCCCTTCTATGCTTCAGACCCCTTCACTTCTCTCAGTGCCAAGGCTTGGGCGTGGGCAGGTCAGCGCCTGTTCGGTTCGAAGGGGCACCGTGGCAAGACAAGCGCTCTCAATGCGCCATTGTTGGTGTCTTTTCTTTGGCAGATTTGCAAAGTGCTCTTTTGAAGCTCACATCTCTGCACAGTTTCGCAGCTTACGGTGATTCGTACGTTGCAAGTAATAGTCTCGGCGTACCGGACCCTTCGCGTCTGAAAGGATTTACGCACTACAACGTGGCCTTCTGGACGACAGGCGACGGCCCGGCAGACAATGCCTTGGACTGGTCTCAAGGCACGAAGGCGCAGCGCCAAGCCATTGTCAAAGCATACAACAGCGCGGGCATCCGTCTTGGCGTATCTGCCTTTGGTGCCACAGATAAGCCGCAAGACCGTTACAGCAACGCCACGGAGATGGCCGTCGTGCTCAAGAGCTTCGTGAAAGGGCATAGCCTCCAGGGCATTGATATTGAGTGAGTGTCTTATGGTGCCCCTCGCTGCTCTTGTGCGCCGTACTGACAGCTGCTGAACAGCTACGAGGACTCTAACCGTCTGCAACGGGGCGAGGCCACGAGCTGGCTGATTCCCTTGCAACGGGAGTTGAGGAACCAGCTGCCATCGGGAGACTACTACATTACTCACGCTCGTAGGTGTCTTCTCTGGATGCGTAGTCTTTCATTCTTCTGGCGCCTGACGCTCTGCCTTCGCTAGCTCAAGCTCCCTACTTCAACAAGGATCTCTTCCAGCTCGGCTACGACTGGTTCAATGAGCGTGTCGGCGACCTCGTCGACTTCTACAACGTCCAATTCTACAATCAGAATTCATACGAAGACTGCACGGGACTTATCACTTCAAGCGGCAACTGGGCGCCTGGCACGTCGCTTTTTGAGCTCAACTCGCAACACAATGTTCCCCTCGAGAAAATAGTCGTTGGAAAGGTGAGTTACAGTAAAAGCTCAACCCACTCTTCGTTTGCCATCCTCACGTTGAATACGTTGTTGTCTTTGCAGCCAGCAACCAATGGCGATGCCGACAATGGCTACATGGCTCCAGATGTCCTCGGGAAGTGCTTGAAGAAGGCAACAAACAAGGGCTGGAATGGAGGCGTAATGCTGTGGGAATTCAAAGGCGGCAATGGTCTGAACAACATCATCTCCTCCATCAAGAGCAACGCAGGCTTCCAATGACGTGCCCAAGACGACTCTCTCTCTCTTCAATTTTTCCTCTCCCATCCCGACGAAGTGTCATGTTGATGACGATAATGTTCTGACGACGATTGTGTCCTACCAGCTAGGAATTTGTATTCAATTTATGAGCTGCTCTGTCGAGGTCTTTCTCCAGATTGATGGTCCCTGGCACTGGCCCATCGTCCATGAGCCTTGTCTCGACGAAACCGTAGCTCAGATAAAGCTGTCTGGCCCTCTCCATCGTGGGAAGCGTATCGAGGACGATCTTGTCGTATCCCTGCTCCTTTGCTCGCTCGAAGACAGCCTCCGCCAGACGCTTTCCGAGGCCCGTCCTCCGAGCTTTTGGTGCAACGTAAAGTCGTTTCATTTCGCATACCCTATCCTCGCTTTCGTATGTGCGTCGATGCTTGAATGGGCGGAGGGCCACACAGCCAATCGCGCAACTGTCATCTTCTGCCTCTGCCGACCGTGCCAGAAGGAGGGCTCCACCAGGAGGAGCGTACGCGCCCGGAAGTCCTAGCAGTTCAGCCTCGAAATCTTGCAAAGCGAGGATCTCGGGCGGTATAGTGGAAGTGTACTCTCTGAAGAGCTGCCTCACATCCGAGAGGTCGTCCTCTGTCTGGACAGCCCCAATCGTCTCCTTCATTAGAGTGAGGGTCGGAAGACAGAAAAGGACGCGCGGGGTTAAAAACTGCCACTGCCACCCTCCCCAACACCCGCTGGCAGGGGATGACTCGACGCTTCCTCGCGCCGCTCTTACGCCGCCTCAACCGGCTGAGGTTGCTGACTTAGTCACTCCGTCCATCACTTTTTGCCCGTATTTCCTGGTTTCTGACCTCAATCTCTCTTGGAATGAGTAGGTCTTGAAAGCCCATAGCCGCAAAACACGTGGCGTTTGTCTCGTCGTTGCCTCCACAGGTGAGAAGAGACCGCCCGGAGGATCTTCTGGCGACGCACCTTTGCTCGAACTTTCAATTCTTCCGTCTAATTCTCCCCATCAAACAAGTCCAGGTCTTCTTGCAACAATGTCGGCCGCTACAGAACGAGCTCCCAGGGCCGATGCCAATATCGCTGGCTCGGGCGGGAAGCCTCGAAGGACGAGTGGTACGCCTGCTGCCGCGCTGCGAGGAAGGCGCGGCTCGGGTGTCGAGAAATACGACAGCCATGTGAGTATATTGAGAAGGCCACACTCTTTTCTCTCGCTGAACCCCAGCACCAGACGGCGACTTGGCACACGACGTCGCACCGCCATGAGGGACGTCCTGCGACCGACGCCGAGAAGCTCGACGAGCACTACCAGAAGTACAAGGAGATGTTCACCCTCTCGCCAGACCGACTCAAGCACATCGTCGAGCGCTTTGTCAAGGTGCTCGAAGTTGGTCTCGAAAAGGACAAGCAGACAGTGGTGAGTTGCACCTCGAGACTTGCCGTCTCATGTTGCTTAAAGCTGATATGCGAGTTTGTAGCCCATGCTGCCCGCCTATGTCTTTGGCTGGCCCTCGGGCGACGAGAAGGGGTCGTACTTGGCCCTCGACCTCGGCGGTACTAATTTGAGGGTCTGCCACGTCGAACTCAAGGGCAAGGGAGAATTTGAGGTGACTCAGACCAAATTTCGATTGACCGACGAGCAGAAGCAATGCGAGGGACAAGAGCTGTTTGACTTCTGCGCCGACTGCCTCAACACCTTTATCAAGGACCACTTCGGCAATGGCACAGAAGAAGATGTAATTCTGGAGGAGGAGATTGCCCTCGGTTTCACTTTCAGCTACCCGATGGAGCAAGAGGCAATCGACCACGGCAGACTTGTACGATGGACAAAAGGCTTTGGCAACCCAAACACTGAGGGCAATGATTGCGCTGCCATGTTCCGCAAGAGTCTGGAGAAGTTCAAGGTGCCTATTAAGATGACGTCGATCATCAACGACACTACGGGTACTCTCATTGCGTCCAACTACGTCAAGCAAGACACGAAGATCGCCTGCATCTTCGGCACCGGTTGCAATGCCGCATACATGGAGCACATCCGCAACATTCCCAAGATCAAGCACCTCAATTTGCCCGAAGACGAAGACATGGCCATCAACTGCGAGTATGGTGCTTTCGACTCGTTCACACACGAGCACATGAAGGAGATTCGCACAAAGTATGACGAGTACATCGACCTTCATTCCAACAAGCCTCACGAGCAGGCCTACGAGAAGATGATCGCCGGTCTGTACCTCGGCGAGATCTTCCGCCTGGTCATGTGCGACATGGTCGACGAGGGCGCTCTTTTCCTGGGTCAGAACACGTACAAGATCGAGAAGCCCAACGTCTTCGACACGGCCTTCCTCTCGCTTATCGAGTCGGACCCTACCGACGAGCTTCTGACAGTGACTGGCCTTTTCACACACTTCTTCGGTCTCGACACCACGATGGAGGAGAGGAAGTTCTTCAAGAAGCTCGCCGAGCTTATCGGAACGAGAAGTGCCAGACTTTCAAGCTGCGGCATTGCTGCGCTTGTCACAAAGATGGGCTACCTGGAAGGCGACAACCCCAAGGGATGCGGTGTCGGCGCCGATGGAAGTGAGTTTCATCCCCGTCAATTCTCTTTTTATGCTGCCAACTGACCGCTCCTGATTCGTGCAGGCCTCTTCTCCAAGTACCCCAACTTCTCCAAGAGGCTCCAGGGTGCGCTCGTTGACATCTTTGGGGAAAAAGGAAAGCTCGTTGTCCCTCACCAGGCTGAAGATGGCTCTGGCGTCGGAAGCGCCATCATTGCAGCCATGACCAGGGCGGTGAGTACGCACCTCCATATTCTCTTTCGTGCGGTCAATAAGTTTCTGACTCCCATCGCAGCGCAAAGAGCAAGGCATCTACACTCATGTCTGAACGCTTCGCACCCTTCCATCGTTTCCCCGCCTCTCGGTCTCTGTTACTTATTCCTCAAGACTATAATAGCGTTTTGGTTTGTGGTTTATCTAGATGAAGAAATAGTGTGGACCCAAGAGCTGCCTGTTAGCACAAACGATGTCTGATAAGGTGTCTTCCTCCCAGTATTCGCTACTGCGGGACATACTCTTCCTTCGAGACAAGCCTGATGTGCCAATGCGGCTACAATGGCTTTACTGCACGTCACGAGCGAAGAGCATATCGTCGACTGACCTCTGGCCTGCTCCTTCAAACATGAGAACTGACCAAAGATCAACAACGGATCCTGCATAGAAATTTTCTCGGGGGTGCTTACCCGAATTAGGTTATATTGTTTTACTCGGGAATTCCAAGAAGATTGGCTGCTATAGCTTAGTTGCCTATTCAGAGTTTCCAAATCTCCTAAATGGTCCAGTGGTCAGGATCGCCGCCTCTCACGCGGCTGGCCGGGGTTCGATTCCCCGTTTGGGAATACTTTTTTGGCCTTCAAAAGGCCACTTCTTCGCAGGTGGCTATGAATCCTCTCCTTTTTTTGTGGTCCATGAGGCGATCCTGATATGTCCAGGGTCCCAAGGGTTGACGTCTGTGAGAACACTTCTGAAACTTGAAGGAATACTTACACCATGATGCCGGAAGGATGAGTGGCATCGGTTTTTCGGGACACGGGAAATAAGAGTCGAGAAGTTTAGTTTAAGGTCTGTGTCAGTCATTTTGGATCATCACAAGTTGAGGAACGCCGACGACGATGCTGAGTGCTGCCAGGTCGCGGCTCACCATCTCCGTCCAGCGGGCGAGGTGCTCGAGTACGTCGCTTGCTGGCGCCAGTCTCTCCACGTCTGCGCCATCTCTGTCAGGCCACAACAAGTGGAGCAAGATCCGGCACAAAAAGGCAGCCAACGACTCTGCACGCTCGCATTCGTACGGCATCCTCTCGCGCGAAATCATTGCTTCGATTCGCTCGCACCCGACGCGGTCCACCTCGACGGCTGACAATGTGCGACTGAACTATCTGCTCAAAAAGGCGCGCGAGATGGACATACCGAATAGCAAGGTCGAAGCTACGCTGAAGAAGGCCGTGGGGGGCGGGTCGGGCTCGGGGGACAAGACGGCAACGTACGAGGTCGTGGTGCACCTGGGAGGGGAGAGCCAGCCAGTATCGCTTGTGCTCGAGTGCAACACCGATGGCTCGAACCGAACCCATTCCAAAGTCAAAGAGAGCATTCACAAGCACGGAGCCAGGCTGTCTTCGACGATGCACCTCTTCACAAGGAGAGGTACAGTGAGAGTGTTGCTCCCCTCAGGGAGCGACAAGACCTTCGAGGACGTCTGGGAGGCAGCGGTGGAGCTGGGTGCGGAAGAGGTGCTACCGTGGGCAGAAGATGTGGACGAAGAGGACGAAGGACAAGAACCTAGAATAGGTGCAGAGGTGCGTCGATTGTCTCATCGTTTCCACAAAGAGGTAGAGGAGAATACTGATGTCGTACAGGTCCACTGCGAGCCTTCGCAAGTTCAAGACCTCGCAAAGTCTCTCTCGGTGGATCCGCACGGCCTCATCGTGGTCGAGGCAGAGGCTAAACTCGTGCCGTCGGGAGCCCCGCTCCGTGTCCGAGATCAAGACGATCCAGTCGAAGAGCCGGGGGAGGCGGCCGGCTTCGTTATGGCGGCCGACATCGAGAAGCTTGACAGGCTCGTCGAGGCGCTCGAAGACGGTGCAGAATGTCAGCGAGTGTGGTGAGTGGCTAGTACCTCAATCGCATTTCGAATTGGACTCACGCTTCTATCTCTTTCTCCAGGAGCAACCTCGATGGTTGGCCCTCACAATGATGATGGCAAAGATGAAATTGAATGGTAGACAGCAATGCTGCTCAGCGATACTTGGTATGAGTAAGAGAATTAACAAATACATTGGTAGGTTAGCTATCAAATGAGGACTTTCCGAGTCCATCCCTGCTCGCGACGAGTCCACTTCTCTTCTCATCGGCTGCCTCTCAACCGTCGAAAGCACCGAGCTTTCACCACACAGCACGTCCTCATCTGGAGATGTCATCAAGTCAATTGCACGACCTCCGTTTATTCAGCCTCCGTGCGTCTCCCCAAGAAGCCGACAAGCGCGCCATGCATACCACAGCTGTGCCCTCAGCTGTAGCACGTCCTCCCTCCAGCTCTTCTTGCCCGACGTCGGTACAGCAGTCGTCTTGGTCGAGCTTCCCTCAGGGACGCTGCTGCTCGTCGTCGATGTGGGCGGCTCAGGAGATGGTTTCGTCCGATGATTCGTGGGTGCCAGCGTATCGCCTCTCAGCGCCCTGAATTCGTGTGTGAGCGTAAAGCATCTCTGTACATTCTGCGGAGAGATGAAGTCGACGGCGACCTTGATGCAGTCGGTCAGATTAACAACCTGGTGAGCGCAGCCTGCAGGGATGAAGACGGCCTCGTGCTGTCGCTGACGGACTGTCCAGGGAAAGACGCCCTTGGCCTCGTACAGCCGCCGGAGGAGGTCGTCGTCGAGATAGTATAGCTGGGTATGAATAGGATCGTCGAGCGATTTCCCGGCATCCGAAATCGTCTCGCGGAGAAAGGATCGAATGGCGTTTGCATCTTGCGCTCTGAAAATGTGCCACAATGCGCATCGGTCCGACTCGCGCTTCTTCTCGTCGACTGGAGGCGCAGTGTAGAGCATGATGTTGACGGCATCGGCAATGTCCATGTGAAGCCGCGTGGTGCCCTTTTTACCCTGGGTATGCTCGCCCGGCCAGGCATTGTACATCTTTGGACCAAGATCGGGTCCATTTGCGTTCTTTGGAAACAGACTTGAGATATTTTTGCAGCCATCGCGCCTCGTGTAGTCGGGCATGGGCACAGCCGCGTTGAAGTCGTCGTAGAGCTCCGGAAAGGACTCTCGAAATTCAGCCGACGGGGGCCAATCCTTGAGCTTCCAGATGCCTTTGCCGAGGACGTCCCTGCGAACCTGATTCGTCTGTCCAAACGTCTCAAAGAACTTTTTGACCTGGACTGATTTGATGTACTTTGCGAATTGGTTGGGCTTGGTTCTTCGAAAGGTGGCAAAAGCTCCCTCGGACATAGAAGGGAGCTGCACGTCGCATCGTGTGATCTCGCACACGTCGTCGCCGTACTTCTCGACCATGGCTTCAGCATCCCATCGGTGCGGTGTGGACACGTCGGCGATGACGATGGGCTCGCCCTTTGACCATGTTGCAAGAAAACGCTTCTCGTCAAGATCCTTGGCTGAGACGATGTCCAGAAATTGACTTGGAACATCACCGTCTTCAAGTGATACTTCCTTGCTTGTCTGTGGTGCGATGCTTTGCCTCGCATGGTCTGCCTCCTTGCCTCGCTTTCGCGCCTTCGTCAGAAGATCGTCCATGGCAGTGAGCTCAGTGCTGAGCTCGTCGCAGGAAAAGCGCGTCATGGGCAGGAGCTCGCCGGACGAGTGAATTGGTGGCTTCGTCGGATGCTTGATGCAAGTGCGAAGCCAGTGCATACCCCTCGGCCCCTTCTCGCCGACGTTGACCTCGTCCATCGTCGATGCGCACTCGCAGCAGTACTCGAGCCCGCACCTGGAGCACATGTACGACGAGGCAAAGAGGCCAGTGCTGCAGAAATCGCACATGGCCCTGATCTGTAACTCCCTCTGCCTTCGCACACAGCCGTCCTGCTGAGCATGCTTCAGTCCCTCCGAAAGCACATCCCTCAATGCCGTTGCTGCCGTTATCTATGGTGTATATGCTGTGAGCGTGCGAGAAAGAGCGCGAGAGAAACGGAGCAGAGAAAACACTCACCATGGTCTGCCTCTGCGACTCGAAATCCATGGGTCGGTTCAGGTCCTCGTGGCTCGGTAGGATTGGCTGTTCATCGGCATCTGCGATGCTCAAAAACGTAACCTCTGGCTCGCTGGTGAAGTAGCCGTTCTTGAAGCCAATCACCTGCTTCGTCTCTGCATGTACAGCAAACGCGCGGAGATTTGCGAATCGACAGATGTCGTAGGTCTTCTTGGTGACACACTGTCGGCAGAGGTAGCCAGAACCTGGCGGAAAGCGGTAGGCAAGACACGTCCTCGTTTGGCGGGCCCACGTCCTGCCATGATATACGACGATCTTGAACTCGTCTGGTTCTGAAGAAATTGGGTGAGTACCGTCGGACCTCTTCGTCGCTGGTCTATTCGTGCTACTCACTTGGAATGGGTGCCCTGTCTTTCTTACTGGTACCTTCTCCTTTTTTGGTCCGTACTTGGCTCTTCTTGAGGCCCTCGTCGAGATCGGCAAACAACAGGGCCTCGTTGTAGGAAGTTCTTGGGCGTGCTCGTCGTGGGCGTCGCTCATCTGCCGGTACTTCGATGTAGCCCAAGCCCTCTTCGTACACTGTGACTGTTTTCTTCAAACATTCGTCGTCGACTCGCGTGCCATGTGATCCTCGGGGCGTAGAGAGGATGTCTCTACTGTTTCCATCCGCTCCATACCTTATTAATACCTCCCTCGTACAGCTAGGTGATTCTTCGGCCGAAGAGAGGGAGGAGCTGTCGTCGTCCAGCATGGCGCTCTGGTCTCTATCGCTTGATCGCGCGATGTCCTGGGCAGTAGTTAGACTCGACTGCCTCGACGTAACGCCGCTGGCTGTGGTTGTATCATTTCCTGATACCGGTTCTAACGGCCGCACGTAGCCGGCGACATCCTGCTTCCTCTTTGAGTTGGGTACCTTCTTGGGCCGCAGCTGCTCCTCGTCGCTGTCGATCGCAATGTACGTCGGACGCTTCCTTGACGAGGGTCCAGCCTTAGCGTCGGCTGCCGATGGCTTGCGCCGCTTGCCCTTCACCACGCCGTCACGACCCGCAGAGGGGTACGCCTCGTCGTCTGCGTCCAGATCAGTATCCGTCTGCCCCTCGTCACGACGACGACGGCTCACAGGCGCACTTTGCGCCGCCGCCGCCGCCGCCGCCGCCGTCATCGCGGAGTTCGCCTCTGGATAGGGTAAGGTGGACCCCGGCGGTGGCGAAGGCGTCACGAGACCATCGTCCGGCCATGACTCCACCACTGCAGGTTCGCCCTCCGGCCCGTCGTTCGACATGACTGGCCAAATCGTCCCTTGGCACAAAGCCTTGGGCAGGCGTGTTCGGAGCGCCGCCTCGCTCTGATCCTTCGCTTACGAGAAGGGGCTCACAGCGGCGCTAGACGCAATGGGAGCTCGCACCCGACGAAGACGAAGCTGCCGTTGCCAGAGGAGCCAAGCGCCCTGCTTGCTTGCGTGCGTGCGTGTGAGAGAGGGCGTAATGATGAACAAGGTGACTGAAGTAAGCTCTGTGGCCAAGTGAACTGTCAGTCAAAAGTTGAAATTGCACCAGAGTCTTGTCTCGTTCGCCCTGGCTGCAGCTTTCTCGCACGGGTCCACAAAAGACCAAGTCTAATCACCCCCCGCCTATCAGCTCGAGCATCTCGCAGCGACGCGCACGCACACGCACACGCACACACATGCAAAACACACGAGAACGAGAGCTGTCGATACTACACTATTTCGCATTACCCGGAAACTAGACAAAAGTTGTGGCAAGGGAACGAGGGGAGATCGAACAGGCCTGTTTGTTTTCGATTCTTTTTGGGCGACCGGTTGTTTGATGAAGACAGAGGATGGAGGGGAGCAGGTGACGATGGAGGTGATGATGAGTTGAGGTTGGGGGCCCTGCTTTGAGCGTAGAGGAGATAATAGCGCAGGATCCCCACGAGCGAGCTTTGTCGTTGCCTCCCCCCTCATGTCACCTTCTTTCGCTCGTCCATCGAGAATCCTCCGGGGCCCATGTTGACAAGGAGCAAGAGGCCACCGACAATGGAGAGCGTCTGGAAGAAGTCGTATCGGAGGAAGTCGCGAGCCGGGTGCGCGGCGTGCACGGTCCAGAAGTTGTTGACGAAAATCTGCAAAAGCACACGCTGTCAGTAGTGGAAAGGGGACGAGGAAAGAGGGTGGTAGGTGTGGCTCACGTTGAAGATGCTCAGCAGCAACACCAGGAAGCTCGCGCTCCAGCGAGCCTTGAAGCCAACGGCGACCATGACACATGCGCCAAAGCCGAGGATGGAGACGATGACCCGAGCAACCGACCAGGTGCCCTGGATGATGAAGCCGATGAAGAGGAAGATGAGTAGCACTCTCCCGGCAAGCTATAGAGCAGGGAACACGAAGGGGGTCAGCGGCAATACAAGCACGCATGCAGAGGGCACAACACACCTGGAAGTAGATCTTTCGGTCGGTCTCGCTGATGTTGGGCAGGCCGGCAAATATGTTCTTCTTCTTGCTCAGGCTGTCGCTCAGCACCATGAGGAGGCCACCAATGACGGAGAGGTTGCGGAGGAAGAAGTTGATGTCGAAGATCAGCCCGTAGCCGAACCCCTGCACGACAACGACGCCCAGGAGCGCGCCCACGGAGATCTCGGGATAGCGACGCATGATGACGGAAATAGACGCAGCCAACATGACCTGTTGAGAATGTCTGTCAGACCCAACTTATCCTCTTGGGGCATCTCTATTTCCGTCGCTACTCACAACGACGTTGGTGAAGAGGAAGATGTGGCTGATGCCCCATGGGAAGTGGCGGTGCTTTTGGAGGTAGTACTTCTGGTCGCCCCACTGCGTCACGATCCTCAGCGCGTCTTCGAGAAAGGTGACGACAATGAGGAAGCGTCCGAGGGCAGGCAGGTGCGGCTTGATGGGCTGCGTGTACTGGTCGATGAGGTCTTCCACCTTGGACGTGTAGGCCCGCACCTTGTCGAGCGGCGACTCCTCGGCCGCAGCAAAGCCAGATGGCCGCGCGTAGGGCGAGCTTCCGTAGGGCACTGACATGGTGAGCTCACAGATGGGGAGAGCGGCAGAATAGATCGGGCCCGGGAGATGTCTGCGACGGGGAGGGAGGAGGACGACGACGAAGAAGAAGAAGAAGAGAAGGAGGGAGGGCTAGCGAGCCAGCGGTCCTTCGCCTTTTTTTGTTTGGATGGTCACCGGTGTTCCGATCGACCTGTTGGCGTCGTTTGGGAAAGGAGAGCAGGAGAAGAGATCGAGGAAGAGGGCGTTTTTATGCGAAATGAGGTAGCTAATAAAGCGTGTCTCGGTTTGCGTGCGCCCTTCCAAAAAAGCAGGTACGGTCGTCGCCTAAACTTTCACTGGCTGGCTGAGAAGGCGGTCAAAGCGTCAAGGTGCGAAGAGATGGAAGCGGCCGTAGTGTTTTGGGTGTGTTTGTTGTTGGAAAAGGTGGTGACCCGAACTTGTTCGCTTGGAGTCTGGAAAGTAGCGTACGTGTAGCAGTCGTAGATTTCCACTACTAGCTAGTGTTTTTCTCACCAAAGGAAGCGAGCGCTCCGTGCAGATGGGCAGGCTGGCTGTTTCGACTGCCGCCACGTATTTTGCAGAGCCCTGTCAAGACGCGCCATTCATGCCAGCTTAGGTAAGCAGGCCTACCCTTCGATGCACGTCATTCCCCTTACGGTCGATTGCCCAATCTTCTTGCTCAACGCATCGTTGGGGCTTCACGATGGCTACGACACGGTCCTTAACAGAGCTAAAAGTCAGCTTGCACAGTGGAGCACAGGAGCAAACGGTCAACATTTTCATTCATTGACATGACAGGAAAGCAAGCAGCATACCGAAGCAGCTACCGTCATCTGTAGGTGTGGGCCAGCCACACCCAGGCGTTTTGGCTTTTTGAGACATGAAGAGAGGCGTGATGAGAGAGAGAGCAAAGGCAGACTAGAAGAACAAATGTGAACAAGAGTACAGATCGACAAGCCGGCCCGCAAATGTGAAAGTGGAGACGATGATCGCGCGAAGGAGACAATCATGGGAAGCGGTACGAGCTGGGAGGCGCCTTTGCTGACCTCGATTGGGACTGGGAAAGGTGCTGGGACGCACCGTCCTGATGAGGGCCGGAAGACGAGATGCGGCTTGAGGGTCGAACTGCCAGCGAGCTGCCTGGCCTCGAGGAAGAGGGCCCACCCTTGGCAGGAGAGGTTGAGGCAGCTGCATTATTGCCAACCCCTCCGATGCTCAGACGGCGGGCAGAGGCGGCATTGGAGCGGGGCGCAATCGTCGGTTTCTGCAGCGACGCGACGCTGAATGAATTGGATGCTCGTTTGTGTCCCGGGGTGTTGCTGAAGTCGACTGGCTTGCGCTCTTTCGTAGCTGGAGAGCTGGTCGTCGTCGAGGCACTCAGCGATGCGCGAGAGGTGCTCATCGCAGAAGCGGCACGCGTCCGGCTCGGCGACGTAGAAGCAGCGGCAGAAGCAGCGGCAGAAGAAGAAGCAGTTGGGGCTGCAGCTCCGGTACCTTGCCGGGCAGCCGAGGCCTTGTTCGCTCGAGGAGCGACTGAGGGAGCCTGGAGGCTCTTGAGCTGGCTTGCGCCCACCATCGAGTGGCGCTTGTGACCAGGCGTGTTGCTAAAGTCGACGGGCTTGCGAGCAAGCGCTGCGCCTTTTGATTCGCTGGAGGCCTGAGAGCCGTGGGAGGAGGCCCTAGCCGAAGATGAGGAGGCGGTGGTGGAGGTGGTGGGAGGCACTGCACCAGCTCCTCCCTGGCTCTGACGCGCAGCTGCGGCCTTGTTGAGACGGGGTGCCACGGTGGGCGCGGCAAGGCTGGCGGGACGAGGACCACTGGTCGACAGGCGCTTGTGGCCCGGGGTGGAGCTGAAGTCGACGGGCTTCCTCGTCTTGGTGGCCGTGGGTGACGAGTCGCTGGCGCCTGTGCGAGCAGCGGCAGCCTTGTTGAGCCGGGGTGCGACCGAGGGCCTCTGGAGGGAGCGGGGAAGCTTGACGTCGGTGCGGGGCAGGCCGCTGATGCCGACGTTGGCTGCAGCATCCTGACTCGCCGCATCGGTGCTCGGTGTCCGCTTTGGCGGATCCGGTAGCTTGATGCCCATTCTCAGGGCAGCAGCGCGCGAGAGACGGGGCTGCGCCGAGGCCTTCATCGTCGACGCAGGCAGGGGCCGTGCCCGGAAGACCTTGTTGCCGCCTGCTTCCGCCCCTGTCGCCGTGAGCGACATGGCCGCAAGCTTCGCCTGGACACTGGCATCGGTGTCGTTGGACCGGTCAATGACGATCTCCGACTGGAGCTCCAGAGGCTCGCCGTTGTGGGCATCGAACGCCTGGCCTGCCTCGTCGTAGACAATGTCCTCGTCCTCGCGGACGACAAAGCTGCCATCGCGGCCAACGGCAGCCACGGAGCCCGGTCGATCGGCGGTGCGCTGCTCGTCGGCCATCATGCTCGCTTCTGCATGGAGGGCGTCCAGCGCTTCAGACGAGGCCAGCTCTGGGAAACAGATGGCCAGCTGACGCTCCGCGGACCGCGGTGGAGAGCCGTAGAGGGCGCCTGCACCGTACTGGGCGCGCAAGCCAGTCTTGGCAATGGGCAGGCCATCGCTGTCGAGCGTCGGCTGCGCAGCCTGCGAATGGACCGCCGCGTCATCGTCTTCGTCGTAGTCGGGGCCCATCATGTCCCTCCACAGCTCCGCGGCCCGGTTCCTCTCGAGAACCATGACGTAGATGGGCCCGACGGTGAGCCTCTTGATCCACCGTGCCATGGCCGCCTCGTTTGCCTCTGCCGCGCCGGGCGCCTCGTTGTCAGCCACGTCGTCGTCGGCAGCCTCATCACGAAGAAACTCGTGGAGGAAGTCCTGGTCGTCGAGGGTCCACTCCTCGAGGCGCTCACTGAGAATCGAGAAGCCGTTGGACGTGATCTTGGACTGGATGGCCAGCCGGTGCGTCTTGGATGCCGAGCGCGCAAGGATCGCAATCGTGCGCGTCGGCTTCCTTTCGCCAGCCAGGCCTGCTGCTGCTGCTGCTGCTGCTGCTGCTGCTGCTGCTGCTGCCGAGGCTGTGCCTATTTCAGGCGCGCCAGGGAATGGAACACTTTGCTGTGTCATGTCGGCCTCCTCCTCTTCAAACAGGTCCGCCCTCCTTTCCCCGGAACAATATGCACGTCTGCTCGCTGCGCCCGTCTGGAGATCTGTTCGATCGGTCCTTTGTTTGTTCGCTCGTTCTGCGTTTGACGATGGCCAGCAGCGCGAGGCAGCGTGTACGGGCCCCGTTATGCACTCACACAAAGGGATCCATCCATCCAAAAATGGACGGTTAGAACACACCTTAATATTCCTTGCCAACATTAGCGCATAAATTCAGCTGCAAGCTACCCCCGTGTGAGAAGACGCGCAGAGAGAGCAAAGGGGAGGCGGGACACGATCACGTGCCGCGCTGTCTGCAGGAAGAGCCGAGGCAAACAATACAAGAATCGAGTTGAAGCAGATCAATAGCGATGTTCATGGAGTGGCGTCACCACGCCTTGGGCAAGCGCTGCCTAGGTGCCTAAACCTTCCACAGTCTTCGCAAGTCCTCAGACGAAACGTGGTCCGTGGGTGCAAACAGCAACATGGCCCGAGCAGCTTCTTCGCTTCGCCTATTTAAACAAGACGTGCTTTAAGATCAGGCCGCTTCTCCCACCTTCTATCATCCCTCCTCAGCCCAGTCGATGGCATTTGCCCCAACCTTTGCACGCCGATTTACATCTACAGCAGTGAGTACTCGGACTGCCTGCCCTTCTGGCACGCACCGGACTGCGCTCGCCCACTTCTTCCTGAAGTGATGAGGGAAGCATAATTAAGGGCACAGGGGAACAATGGTGCTGACCGCAATGGCCTCATCTAGCGCATCATGTCCAACGTTTTCTTCGACGTCACCAAGGACGGCTCGCCCCTCGGCCGCATCACCTTCAAGCTCTACGACGAGTGAGTTTTCTCGAGATTTTGTCTCCGTCGGCTCTCCTTTGTCCAGCATTGCACAGCCCAGCTGACATTCGGCAACCTCCACCCCATCATCATCACCACCACCACTACAGCGTCGTGCCCAAGACGACCAAGAACTTCCGTGAGCTCTGCACTGGCCAGCACGGCTTCGGCTACGAGGGCTCCTCGTTCCACCGCGTCATCCCCCAATTCATGCTCCAGGGTGGTGACTTCACCGCTGGCAACGGCACGGGCGGCAAGTCCATCTACGGCGCCAAGTGAGTTTTTCTTTCATTCTTCTTACTGCCTGTGAGTCGGCAGAGGACTGACAAGAACTGCCCAGGTTCGCCGACGAGAACTTCAACCTCAAGCACACCAAGCCCGGCCTCCTGTCGATGGCCAACGCTGGCCCCAACACCAACGGCTCGCAGTTCTTCATCACGACCGTCGTCACCAGCTGGCTCGACGGCAAGCACGTCGTCTTCGGCGAGGTCGTCGACGGTCTCGACATCGTCAAGGCCATCGAGGGCGAGGGCACCTCGAGCGGAAAGACGCGCTCCAGGATCACCATCGCCAAGAGCGGCACTGTTTAAACACATTTCCCGGACAGAATCGTCAACTCAAACCTACCTCTGTACTATGTGACTAGTTTGCGGTGGGGTATGAGTAAATGAGAAAAAGGGGAATCATTAGGAGGGCCAGAACAGATGAATTCAATTGAAACTCAAATGAGAAAAGCGAACCGCGTGATGATGAGGAGGAGGGGGTATGCCAAGCTCGCATCAATAGTACAGAGCTACGACGAGGTCTTCATAGTGACGATTCTTGTGTTGCCCTGGTATTTGATGCGGACGACCTTCTTGCCGTGTAGGCTAAAGACAGCCTTGAATGCGAGGTCGTCGCCCTGATCCTTGTGCTCCTGGCTTCCCGCCGCGGCCAGGCCGCTCCTCTCATAGGCTGGCCGACCAGTCTCGTCCCACCAGAGCTTGCCGTCGGCCTTGATCTCCTCGACTGGCTTCTCATGCGGCTCGCTCGAGCGGAGTAGCGCGCCTAGAACGTGGGCTGAGACGGCCGTCACGGCGGTCGGGGGCCCAGCATCGTACAGACTCGACAGACGCGCCGCCTCGGTAGAGGCGCTGCTGCCCGACGTGGCGTCGGTAATGGCCGAGGAAGCAATCGACTCGTCGCCCGCTGCCGTTGCCCGTCCACCTGCGGCTGCCCTGCTCTTGCACAGCGACACGTCATCAAGGATGGCGAGCGTGTCGAGAAAGCCGGCTGACTCGCAGTCGGGCGCGGCGAAACGGAGGTAGCTTCCAAAGGACTTCCAAATATTGGCTGTGATGCGTTCCAGCTCTTCGGTAGATTGGGGTCCAGCGTCGATCTTTTCGTGCAGCGGCACCGTCATTGCTGCTGCAGTCGTCGCTGCTGATGTTGCTCCTGCTTTGGCGTCTGGCGTCTCGGCCGCAGGGCGCTGAGCGGACGCCGCTGGGGCGTCGAGAACGTCATCACCACCTCCTTGCTGCATCAGATCATCGTCTTCGTCGTCGTCGTCGCCGTCATTTCCCCTTGGTACCCGGGAGGGATCGAGCCTGATTGTCTCGTCTCCGTCACCGCCCTCGTCGTCTTCTGTCGCTGCCACTGTCTCGCTCTCCTCATTTCTTTGCGGTGCACTGGCACTCGCGGTGGCAGGCGCAGCGATGGTCTCGTCGCCCACGTTGGCAGTCGCTGGAGTCTGTTGCCCTACCTCGTCTCTCGTCGACGCCTCAGCAGCTCTGGGCCTATTTCCAGCCTTGGTGTTGGCGCCTGCCTTCTTCTTTGCCTCGAGTCGTTGTCGCTTTAACCCACAGTCAGCCCTTGATTCTCATCAAAGCATGCCTTTCCCCTCATGGGACACTCACCCGCTCAGCGAGCTCCTCTCTTTGCTGCTCGAGCGCAAAGATCTCCATCTCCTCGACCTTGAGCTGCTCCTGGAGCCTCTTGTTCTCTCGAGCCTGGAATCCATCTCGATCGTCCTGCTGGCTGCCTGCGCTCGCCGCCTTTGCGGCTCGCTGGAGCTTGGCCACGGTGGCTTGTGCCTCGCTCGGGCTGGACAGCTTGGCAATGAGCGCCTCTGACTCAGCTAGGGAGGATTGGTGTTGTGCAACGGAGCGCTGGACCTCGGCATGGCGCTTCAGCAGCGTCTTGATGTGCTTGCGGGCGCGAGGCGCATTGTGGCTGTTGATGGAGAAAGGGACAGTACCGATGACTCCTCCTTGTCAGCTTTTCGTCGCACATGCACAGGATATATGCATCGCATTGTAATACCCACTAGTTGTCGAGGAGCTTTTGAGCGGCCTTGAGGAGCGTCCTGGCATCGAATGTGATGAGGCCCTTTGCTTCGGCCTCCTTTGCCTGCTTCTTGAGAGGCGTCGGCGGTACAAATTCCCGCGGCTCTGGCAAGCGAGGTGTGACGAGCGACGGGCCGCCCTCGCTGTCCTGCTGCTGCAAAGAAGCCCTCTCGTCCTCTTTTCTGCCTCCTCGTGGCTCGTTGAGGCGCGCACCCGGCGGGGGAGGATACCAGAAGAGGTTGTTTTCGAGCTGGTCGGCGTCGCGGATGTAGTCTTCCACCTCGAGGTGGTGCGTGTTGAGGATTGCCGCCGTGAACGGCTGGTAGTTGCGCTTCTGTCGCTGCCGCTCATGCAGCCCATTGATCGAGGCCAGTGTGGCCTGGAGCGCCGTCAGATGGCCTTCCATGGCTGGGCGGCACAGTGGGTGTGGTGTGGCTTGAGTCTCAACCAACACGATGGTGAAGCAGTTGGTTAGCGCTCCAGCTACACACATACCTTGTTTAATCGACGCGTCTGGTCGGTCTCGAGCCAAAATCAATCGAGCGAGAACAACATCGCCTCACGTGTCTCGCTCCTTCCACGACCCGCCTGAACGACGACGGCAGACTGTGACACACCACAGAACGAAGGCCCGAAGGCGGGGTGGATCCTCTTGTTATTTGCGCCACATGAACAGAAAGGGGTCGGGCATCCCGCAGCCATCGGGGTCCAGCGGGATCCCCAGGCGGGCACCGTCGCCCTCTTCGGCGGCGTTTGGCTCCTCGTCAGGCATTCCTCGGCGAGCACCATCGCCAGCCAATGCAGCGTTTTCGTCTGCCGCCGCAGGAAGCAATGGCGGTGTCGGCGCAGGCGGCGGTAGTAGTGGTAGCAGTGCAGGCGCAGCACCAGCAGGCATGACGCCCTCGAGGTCTGCAGGTCCCATGGGTGGCTACAGGCCCTCCTCGCGCGGACCGACATCCGATGCGGGCGACGCATCGTTCCGAAGCATCAACACGCCCTCCACGGCCAGCCGATTTGGATTCGCCAGTGCCAGCGGCAGCGGGCGGCCAAGCGTGGGAATGGCTGCATCTCATGGCCACAAGAGATCCAGCTCGGCAGCGGGCTTCACCGGCGACGAGTCTTCCCGTGAGTAGCGATCGGTGCTACTTTCCTTACAACTTTTTTTAAAGAGTAGAATGCTCACGATGAAAACCCAGTCGACGGCCCGCCCAAGCGACCGCTGCTGGCAGGCACAAATGGGGGTGCAACGACGCCCTCGCCCCGCTTCCCGGCCCCATCGCCAGCGCAGGACCGCGAAAAATTCGAGGCCGAGCTCGAGAAGCAGCGGCTGCTCGACGAAGCGCGCTACGCACAGCTCGAAAAAGAGAACCGGGGCCTAGCCAGAGAGATTGAGCGATTCCATGGCGAGCGTGCCAAGCTGCTCAAGCAATGGGACGAGAGCCAGGAGGAGATCACCGAAGAGCGGGATGCATTCAACGAGGACAGAAAGAGGCTTGAGGCCCTCGTCAAGCAGCTCAGCGCGTCAACCGGCGAGATGCAGCAGAAGCTCGACGCAGCCGAGACCCAGCGCGCCCAGGTATCCCAGAGCTCGCACAAGCAGACGACTGAGCTTGAGGCAAAGGCGGCCGAGCTTGCGTCTCAGCTGGCCATGGCGACGGCAGAGGCACAACGGGCCAACGAGAGCCAGCAACGGCTGCAGAGGGAGATGGAGCAGAGGGAGGCAGAATGGGCCGATGAAAAGGCCAGAACGAACTCTTCAACGGCTCAGCAACCCAGCGAGGACTCCAAGAAGCTCACTGAGCAGCTCTCAGGTGGGCACCTTCCCTCTCGTTTAGCCTTTGTGTCTCTTCATGCTGACACAGATTATTCCTCCACGCAGGACTAATGCAACATGTTCGAAAGCTCGAGGCGGAGAACGGAGGGCTCAAGGCAGACAACAAGCTGCTGAAGGGTCGTGTCGAGAGCATAGAGACACTCAAGGAACAGAAGCGAGACCTAGAGAACAAGGTTGGCGTTCTCGATGAGCTGAGGAGGAGGTGTGCAGAGGGTGAGACAAGGATTGCAAGCCTCGAAAAGGAGCGCGATGAATGGTGAGTCCTGCCAATGCTTGCGTCAGTCAACGATCCTGACCACAAATTTCCGATCACAGGACCCAACGGCTCAGCAATGGCGACCCCTCGTTGGTGGAATCGACGCATGCCTCCTACCTAGGCCTGACAAATGAACTTCCTGCCATCGAAGCGCCCTCGCCGTTGACTGTGAAGACACTGCCACGCTACATTTCGCTCTTGCAAGGCGCTGTCTCGGGCTTGTCAAAGCGATGCGAGGGCTTGAGTGAGCAGCTCTCGTCAGCGCGGAGCCGGTGCGATGATTCAGACGACCTCGTCGAGAAGCTGCGCCTGCGCATCAAGAGCGTCGAGGGACAGCTTGACGACGAACGGCTTGGCCGGCGCAAGGGCGAAAAAACAGCAGAGAACCTGAAACTCGAAGTCGACAGCTACAAGAGACTGCTGGTGAGTGGGACGCTGCTGCTGATATGGAAAGTGAATTGCTCACACATAGTATCGTACAGGAAACGTACCAGGAGGAAGCGAAGAATGCGTCCTCGCCTGCCCAGTACGATGGAGCGACGGCGGAGCGCATACAGATGCTCGATGCGCGTGTTGAGGAGCTCAGGGCAGAGGTCGAGGCATCAAACAAGGAGCTGGAGCAAATGCGCGCAAAGTCGCTAGACTCTGCAGGCGGGCTGTCCGCCTCGGAAGCGCGCAAGATGGAAGAGGAATTCGAGACGCGAGAGAAGGAGGCCGTCAAAGGTGAGCAGGAAGGTTTCTCTTCGCGGCCGGGCGGTGAGCTAAATTTGCGTGCCTTCAGCGCTTGGGGAGGAGAAAAGGAGAGCAGTCGAGCTTGAACAGGAGTGTACGCGCCTTGGTCAAGAGGTAGACAGTCTCTACCTGCGCGTAGGAAGGGGCGAATTCGATCAGTCAAAGCTGCGCTGTCTCGAGATGACGAACAATCCAGTTAGTCGAGATCGCGTCATTCGGAACACGACGCTCGATGCGCTCACGAAAGAGAATGAGGAGCTCGTCAAGCAGCTTGAAGAGGTCAGCAAGCGTGCAACCTCATCAGCGAGCGATGGCCAGGGTAGCGATGGGGCTGCTCCACCAGGACTCGTCCCTGTCCAAACGCTCGAGAACCACAAGGCCGAATATCAAAAGCTGGAGCAGGCTATGAAGGATCGAGACAAGGCATTCGCCCGCCTTAAAGAGGTATGTACCTCCTAAGACGCTATTCTGGGCCTCTGCGCTGACGCTGTGCCCTGTCCAACAGGCTTTTGGAGCCAAAGCCGCAGAGTACGTGGCGGCCGTCAAGGCGCTATTCGGGTACGACATGCACGTCGTATCACGCGGCAAGGTCAAGCTTCGCTCCGTCTATGCACGCTCGAGCCGAGGCACATCGCTGACCTTCAACTCAGAGGAGGGCGATGTTGGCAATATGCGCCTCATGGGTGAAGCCAGGCAGGGCATGGCCAATGTCAACCACCTGAGGAGTTATTGGCTGGGGGACGCACGGCAGAGCGTGCCCTGCTTCTTGGCGGCATTGCAACTTGAACTTTATGAAAGCACCACTCGGGCCATCAGGACTACCTGGGAGGCTACCGAAGAGTGATCCTGCGTCCTTATTGTTGTAGTAGTAGTAGTAGCAGTACCAATACAGCGGTTTTTGCCACGTCTGGTGGTCACCGTCATCATTCGGTCACGTGATTTGTGTTGAGGTGGAAATTTGGAGGAGCACGTCCGCCACTCACTCACCCCAGAGTGACCGATTAGAACTGCATCACCACATCGACGAATAGCGTAATGCCTCGAGCAGAAGCAGGGTCAGCGTGAGTCTCTCCTCATAGCTTCTCGGCCATCCGCTTTGCTAAGACTGACACTATGATGTTCGCCCCGACAGGAAAGCCATTGGCAATGCCATCAAGGCAAAGGGCCTGACGAAGCTGCGCTTCTACTGCCAGATCTGCCAAAAGGCGTGCCGGGACGAGAATGGGTACAAGTGCCACATTGAGTCGGAGGCGCACATGCGCCAGATGGCTGCCATCGGGCCAAATGCCGCCAAGACGATTGACAACTTCAGCAGGGAGTTCCAAGACGGCTTTGTGCAGCTCCTCAGTCGCAGGTGAGTTGGAGTGTGGATGTGGATGCCTGCACCTGTTCTCTTGGTACATGCGATGCGGCAACCAGAAGCTGATGAGGAGTGGGACTCGTGCAGATTTGGCACGAGGAGAATCAAGGCGAATCAGGTATACCAGGAGTACATTGCCGAGCGGCATCACACACACATGAATGCCACTAGATGGGTCTCGCTCTCGGAGTTTGTCAAGCACCTCGGGCGGGAGGGAATTGCACACGTCGAAGAGATGAACAACGGGAGCGAGTACGGCTGGTACATCTCATGGATCGACAATTCCCCCGCGGCGCTCAAGCGGCAGGATGCACTGCAGAAGATGGAGAGAGCCAAGGTGGACGAGGAGGGGCGAGCGAGGAAGTTCTTGAAGGAGCAGATCGAGAGGGCGAAGGAGGAGGAAGAGAGGAAGAAGAAGGCAAGCGAGAGCGAAGACAAGCCAACGGCTGAAGAGGGGCTGCAGAAGGGCGAGGAGAGGAAGCCGATCAAACTCGGCATTAGTTTGGGATCGTCCTCGTCCTTGACACCGTCTGCTGGTGCTGCATCAGCCTCTGGCTCAACTTCGACTGTACAGAAGCCAGTGACTACAGCGCCAACGGCCTCTCCGTCACCCTTCAAGCTCGGCAACAACCCTCTCAAAATGAAGGTCGACCCTTCCGCATCATCATCGTCTAAGCCCATCAATCCTCTCAAGATGGCCTCATCTTCGTCGACGTCCGCAAAATCCAGCAGCAGCAGCAGCAGCAGCAAGCCTCCCTCGCACGCGACGATGGCTGAGCGTATCATGCAGGAAGAGCAAGAGCGCAAGGACAAACGCAAACTCATGGGTCCTCAACCCAGTGCAAAGCGAATGCGACTGTAGTGCATGTCCCGCTCTCCATATTTCTCCCTTGCAATGTAACAACATCATCTCATCCTTCTCTCTCTGTGGGCAAGCAGCATTTGATTAGAGGTCTCTGTGGGTAAGGAGTGTGTGGATTATCACGAAGAAAGTGTGGAAGTAGAGTACTTAGTTCTGAAGTTGTGGTATCAAAGAGTGGTGTGATTGGACGGAAGGCTACTTCTCCTTCTCCTTTTCTTTCTCAGCTTGGTCGGCGCTGTGACCTCCACCGGCCGTCTTCTTCTTGGCAGCAGCGATGAGCTCCTGTGCGGCATCCTGGAATGCGGTGCAGATCTCCTGAGGCAAGCGCTTGTCCCTGAGAGACGCCGCGTCGTCGCAGGAAACGGCGAGGCTGAAGTCGTTTGCGTACGAGATCATGCCGATGGACAGGCTCGACTTGCCCGGGCTCGAGGGAGGAAGTACATGGTAACTGTAGGCCTGGTGCTGTCCAAAGGAGACCTCCTTGGCTGGACCGGGCACGTTGGTCGCGACGTGGTACTCGCGGTAGGTCGTCTCGAAAAACGACCTGCCCACGGGGTAATTGGGGACGAACCAAGCGCGATTCCTGGAGACAAGGCCAAACGACTGGTACCACCATCGAGGCCAGTAGGATCGCTTGATCCTGTTCATCTCGCGGTTAACCTGCTGCAGCTGCGTCTCAAACGAGGTTGTGGCAGGATCATGGAAGCGGAACCAGGCAATGGCGCCCGTCGTAAAGTTGGCCAGCTCCCAATTGCCCTGCGGGCGGACGCTGATTGGGACAAAGATGGCGACGCGCTTGTCCTTGACTGGGCCAGAGGCGGTTCGCTCGGCGGCGATGCGGAGCGCACGAGAAAGGACGGCGCAGGCGACATCATTGAGCGAGAGCTTCATTTTGTCCGTCGAGTAGGCTTCTCGGATAGCCTTTTGTTGACCATGACCACAATGTCAGTAGAACAGCAAGTGATGTGGGAAAGAAAGCCTATGACGCACCTTGATGTCTGCCATGGGAATACCGTCACTGTGGCAGTAGAGGCGATCTTTAACTCTGCCATTCTTTGTAGGGCTCGAAGATGACTTCGGGTAGTCGAAGGCCTTTCTGGGGCTGAAGTAGAGTCCTCGGCCTGTGTGCCAAAAGTGCTGTAACAAGCGAGGGAAGAAGAGGTGTCAGACTTGCTCGTCTATTGGACAGAAGGCTTTTTCCTCAATCAAGACCTACTTTGGTGGTACCCCAGAGCGTGGGCTTGATGTTCCGTTGTCCAGGCTTCTTCTGCTCGCCCGACCCCGTCTTGCGGTCAACACCGCGCTGGATCTCCTCGATGCTCTTGCCAGAGTCCATGGCACCCAGTGCCGCGTGGTAGCTCATGATCATGCCCTGGCCATCGCTGACACAGTGATGCACCTTGATCATGAGCGCGCTCTTTGCGCCTTCGCTCGTGTCCAACCCTCGGACGCAGAGAGCCTTCCACAGCGGCCTCGAGTAGTCAAAGTGCTCGCTGAGGAATTGGCCAGCCAGGTCGAAGAGAGCCTTGTCGCCGGAGCCCTTTGGGTTCTCGTCGAGCTCGACAATGTTGTCACGAACGTCGAAGCCATCGGCAAAGCGCCAACGAGCCGGCCTGAACCAGCCACCAGCCTTGATTGTCTTTGTGTACCTTGTTCTGCGACCCTGCTGGTCCGCTTCCGTTGGCTTCTTCTCGGCCTCACCCTTCTTGTGTGCCTTCTCCTTTTTGGCAGCCTCCGATGGTGACAGCTCGACTTTGTAGCGGTACTTTGGGTAAGAGTCGGCCAAGTGTTCAAAGAAGGAGGTGAGCGTCTCCGAATCGAGCTCGGTCTTGAAGAGGTAGATGGAGAAGCACGTTGTCTGATATGTGTCATTTTCCATCAGCAGCGCCAGGTTGTCGATGCCCGTAACAGGATACATTCGTCCTTTCCTGTCGAGCATCTGCTGCGTTTGGTCGCTGTGAACGGCAGCCGCGCCTACTCCAGCTCCTGCAGCAGCACCCGTTGCTGTCGCAGCAGCGGCTTTTGTTGTTGCACCATCTTCGGCCTCTTTGCTTTCGCTCTTCGCTGTCGCGGTTCTCTCCGTCTCACTTGCTCGTGCATCCGTAGCGCTCGCCATCAAAACCTCGCTCTGAGGAGGCGATGTCGTACCATTCTGGTCCGCAACTGGAGCCTGCTTCTTTGCCTTTTCCTTTTCCTCCACCTTGGCTTGACCTTGATCCGTCTCCCTTTTACTCGCTGCAACGACATCGTGCGTGCTTCTCGTCGAGTCCCGCTTGGGTTTCTTCTGGGTGGTCGAAGACCTCTTCGATGAACGTTCGCTCTCGCCGCCGGCTTTCCCACGCTGCGAGCCGACCTGCGATTGGCGAGCCGACCTGCGCTTCTCCTGAGCAGCCTCGCGTTCTTTTCGTTCAGCCTCGAACTTTTCCCGAATTGCCGCGCCCTGCTCGGCGGCCGTTCCACGTCCATGAGTTGGCTTCGACATGATGATTCTGCTGCTCTTGCAGAGTTGACGTAGGGGAAAAGTGGGGACAGGAAAGAGACCAGGGAGTGCAAGGTTCAGCGAACCCTCTGGGCTTATATGGTTCCTAGCGCGCGGAAGACCGGATCGGGTCACTGCATCCGCACCTGGAAAAGTTTCTTTTCAAAGATTTTTTTGGCGATCTATCGCGAACCTACCTACCTTTCACAGGCTCCGGTTCACATCTCGTCTTCGTTGCTGAGCAATTGATGAAAGAAGGACCGAATAGCACTTTATTCGGTGGCATGGAGATGCTCTCACTGTGCATGCACCTTAGCAAAAGGGGGTTTCTCTAAGAGTGGTGGAGCTGACCCCTGTCCGATTGTACCGCTCAGCCACAAATGAAAAGAATGATCTGCTCTTCTCCGTGTGGAGGTGAGACGCAGGCCCACTCGGTATGTCTGTCTCATCCTTGGCTTGGGCCACTACTTTCTTGGCCATGGAAGATGGCACACATCCTGATAGAGCATTATTGTTACTTCAGTAAACTGTAGTGGGCTGGTAAGCGCCTTGCTGCTGTAGAGTCAAGTCTCTCTCGACCATTCTGGGTCAGGTGACATGGGATCGTGTTGTCCCAAGTGCGCACGGACCGTTGGTCTCATCTCACTACCGCTAAGGAGCCTTCTGAACCCTAATGTATTCCACGATCAGCTCACCAAGAAGAGCTCTCCCGTCATGTTCTCGCAATCACCTCAAAGAGCCAAGACAAGGTTGCCTCGTCTCTTTGTCACAAGCCAATTCACCAGAGGCACTTCGCAGCTGTTCCCGACACCGGCCCTTTCCCGAAGAAGGACGTTGACTTCTTCAGCGCCTTCAGCCGTGCCGTAGAGATGTGCAAGGTGATTGAACGTGACCCTGGCGAGTTTCTACAGTCCTACGTGGCCGACGATGTCCACTGGACTGTATCGGGACCATTTAAGAAGACGCACCCTTTGGCAGGCGTTTATAATTCAAGGGAGGAGTTCAAACAGAACACCTTCGTACCTCTTTCCGGTAGATTCGACGGCGGTCTGAAGCTTCGAGTAGGTGAGTAGCTTTTAGTTGGTAAGGCATGAACTAGCTAACGACGTCTCTTGGTAAGTCGACGTCATTTCTCAATTCCCGAGCAGACCAGGCGACCCTGTCAAAGTATGTATAGAACTCGAAGGTGTGGCAACTCTCAAGAAGGGCCAGAACGAATGGCGTAATTATTACAGGTGAGTAGCCCCGAGGACTTGATTTGCCGCTTCGTACGTTCCTCTGATATGAAGAGCTTGCAATTAGCTGGGTCATGCACTTCAAGGAGGAGAAGGCCGTCACTGTCCGTGCTTGTGAGTTATCTGGATCATCTGCGACTTAGGGACCGTGCGGTTGATCATGATTGGCAGACCTAGACAGCGCCATTGTCAATGAGGCAATGGCTGACTAGATCTCATCTTGCTCGATCCTTGCCGCTCATTGGCTCAATGTGACAACATCTGTGGTCCGCGGCTGACGCCAACACGATGACTGTGATTGAGCGCTTCCGACGCAGCGAAATGCTGAGGTTCTTTGCATACGAGTCTAGGGATATACGCCCACACCATCAAAAGTGCCGATTGATGAGACCCAAAGTTGATTTCGCCTTGATCAAATGGCCGGTTGATCCGATAGCATCGTTCGCCCGACGGGCCAAGCGGCCGGCAAAATCCTTTTCCTCACCGGCCACACCTTTGTATCTCCTAGTGCGAGTCACCTGAACCTGTGCAAGCCACCCTGCCCCAGAGCTTTTAAGAGGAGCGTCAGACTCGCTTGATGCATCCACCTCGCCGTGCCAGAAGATCAAAGTAGCTCCCTTTCTAGGCTTCTCGTCGGACTTTGCCCGTTACACAGACAGCCGAAAAGGCCGCCTCCTCGACGCGACGTTGAATTTTGACTTCGCCATCGGTCCATCCCCGGTCCATCTGCTGCCTCGTCACTTCCTCGCCGCTCCGTGCTCCAAGGTCTGTGTCGCCTCACTCCGCCAGGCCCATACAGAAAAGACATTTAAAAACCAATCCCTGCGTTGCACTCAGCATTCTGGCCCAGCGCTTGCCCCCACTCGGAAAGCCTGCACCACTTGGCACCCTTCTACCGGCCGGCCCGGCCTTTGTTCGCGAGCGCAAACGAGCCACAGGACTTTCTTCTTTTTTAGGCCCAATTTTTATCCTAGTCTCGTTAGTCACCCAACGAGCCAGCCGCTCGGCCGTCCGTCCCCCCGCCTTTTCCTTTTATTTTCCTTACGTCCACTAAATGTTCGGTCCGTCAACCTTGCGTCTTGCGTCGCGCAACGTCGCTTCTCCCTCTCTTCGATCTACTTCGACTTCGGCCGTACACGCACCCACCGGTACTTGCTCTGGCCACCGTCTGCTCTCTACCGCTGCACCTGCCGCCAGACGACCGCAGGTTCCCTCGAGAATCCGCTCACCGGCCGCAGTCGTTCCTCCAGTCTCGCCTGCACGTACGTCCGCGCTCTTCATCCGAGGCTTCTCGAGCACGATGGCGTCACAAAAGATCAAGGTTTCCGGCTCCGTCGTCGAGATGGACGGCGACGAGATGACCCGGATCATCTGGCAGAAGATCCGAGACGAGATGATCCTGCCCTTTGTCGACATTGACATCAAGTACTACGACCTCAGCATCACCAACCGAGACAAGACCGAGGACCGTGTTACCGTCGAGGCGGCCGAGGCTATCAGAAAATACAAGGTCGGCATCAAGTGCGCCACCATCACGCCGGACGAGGCGCGCGTGGAAGAGTTCAAGCTCAAGAAGATGTGGTTGAGCCCCAACGGCACGATCCGTAACATTCTCGGCGGTACCGTCTTCCGCGAGCCCATTGTTCTGGACAAGATTCCCCGGCCAGTGCCTGGCTGGACGAAGCCGATCTGCATTGGCAGGCACGCCTTTGGAGACCAGTACCGGTGCCAGAACTTTGCCGTCGACAAGGCGGGCAAGTTCACGATGCAATTCACTCCCGAGGACGGCTCCGAGCCCATCAAGTGGGACATCTTCAACTTCCCCAAGGACGGAGGCGTGGGTATGGGCATGTACAACACGACCGAGTCCATCACTGGCTTTGCGCACGCATCCTTCAAGATGGCCCTCGAGAAGAACATGCCCCTATACATGTCGACTAAGAACACCATCCTCAAGGCGTACGACGGCAAGTTCAAGGACATCTTCCAGGACGTGTACGAAAAGGAAGGGTACAAGAAGCAGTTCGAGGCAAAGGGTCTCTGGTACGAGCACCGTCTCATCGACGACATGGTCGCCCAGGCCATCAAAGGCGAAGGCGGCTTCGTCTGGGCCACCAAGAACTACGACGGCGACGTGCAGTCGGACATTGTTGCCCAGGGCTTCGGCTCGCTGGGCATGATGACGTCGGAGCTCATCACCCCTGATGGCCAAATCTTGGAAGCTGAGGCGGCACACGGCACCGTGACGCGGCACTTCCGCGAACACCAAAAGGGACGCGAGACTTCGACCAACTCGGTCGCATCCATCTACGCCTGGACTCGGGGCCTGCTCTTCAGGGGCAAGCTCGACGGCAACGAGGAGCTTCAGACATTTGCCCGCGAGCTCGAAAACAGCTGCGTGGAGGCTATTGACAAGGACGGCATCATGACGAAGGACCTCGCCCTGGCTATCCACGGCAAGAACATGAAGAGGGAGCACTATGTCCTCACGACCGAGTTCCTCGACCACGTCAGGGATAGTCTCAAGAAAAAGCTCGCTTCGCAGGGCATCGCCGCTGGCAAACTCTAGATGTTCTTGGTGTGTTGTCTGTTATTACCGTAAAAAAAAAAACCATTCCTGCCCTCGTTTATTCTATAAAGATGCACCTGTCTGCGTCGCTCAGAAACACTGCTTCGCAGCCAGGTTATGTCTAGGGAATGATTGTGTCATTAGTCGTTGAGTGAATAAGTGCAAAATGCAAGGAATTACAGCCGATAGGTAAATTTTTTATGGGGAGGGAATGGCAATCTATGCTTTTGCAACTTCGGCCTCGTCCCTTTCCGCATCCTTTCTCGCCAACTCAGCTTCTCTGAGCTTCTTCTCGGCCACCCTCTTCATCTTGAAGTAGTCCTTGTGCAGGCCACACTCCGTCTTTCCACCCTTGTCCTTCCACCTTCCGCTGCGCTCGCCACCGTCAGCGCCCGGCATGCTGGTGCTATGCCAGTCGCCGATGCTCTTGAAGCCCATGTCGAGCAGCTCGTTGTACGGCACAGCGTTGGTCTTGACGTAGGAGTCCACCTGTCCGAAGCTCCAGTTGAGGAAAGGGTTAACCTTGACCAGGCCCGTCTCGTCGACCTCGACGGCCTGCAGGTCCGACCGGTCAGCGCCTTGCGACTTGCGGCGGCCGGTGAAGACAGCCTTTACGCCCAGCTCCTCGTAGGCGCGGCGCGCGGGCTCGACTTTGACAAGGTAGTCGTACGTCTCCTCGTCCTTCTCCCACAGCTGGGGGCCCCATTGCCGCTCAAACGTCGCCACGTCAGGGCTGCCCTTTGGCGTGTAGACGTGCATTGGCGCATCGTAGTGCCGCGCAGCGCGCTGTGCCAGGTCCGTCGTCTGGGGAAAGTGGTAGAGAGTGTCGATGAAGATGAGGGGCACGAGGTGGTGCGAGGTGGTGAGGCCTGCCTTGGCGGCGCGCTGCGCGCTGATGCGGCTCACTTGGTCCATCGTCACGCAGCCCGTAACGCCAAAGGCCGTCGTCTGGTACAGGCCGGGCAGATTGTCGATGGCCCATTCGAGAATTTGCTCGGGCGTTGCTTCGCGTAGCTGCTCGTTGATCGACGGCAGCGAAGCAATCACCTGCTGGATCCGAGCGTCGTCCGACAATGTCTGTGGCGGCACGTCCACTTGCTGAATACCTTGCGGTAGTGCCGACGTTGATGCAATCTGAGCTGCTGCCATGGCGGAGATCCTTCTATATGCTCTACGAGGGTCTGCTCTATGATGAGAAACAGCTGTGGAGTGGATGTCAAGAGGTGGATCCCTTCATCTCTTTTAATGTTTTTGTTTCCCCTCCTTGTTCGCTGCCCCCTCTCCCGTATGGGCTTACGGCCTTTGGGTTTCTTCTTCCCTCGATCATTTCTTCCGCGTTCGGGCGTAGGCAGGGCGCCCAATGGAATTTGCAAATCCAGTGGCGACAGCTCAGTTCCAAATTGCGTGATCACGGCTGGTCATAGTGGAGTTGATTTCACGTGACCTTCTCGAGGCGCAGGTGCCGGGAGTGGTCCTCCGCGCACGAATACCTCAATCAGAATGTCCCTCGCACGTTGCTACTTCTACGCCTGTTACGACATTCAAAGACTTTGTAGTATCTTGTGCCTTTACATGCTGGTAGAAACGTTCATCTTACGCAGTCTCGCAAAAGAAGGACGGGTTCTACTAAGTAGAACGCCGAGAATGAAAGAGAGGAAAGAGGAAAGCACGTGCCAAAAAGCGTGCGAGGAGCGTTCGTGAGACGGCATCAGGGAATTTCGACCATGTTTGTCGATCACGTGGGAAAGTGTCTCGGTACGGCTCAGAGGTTGAGACGCTTGTACGGGCTGGGCAGGCAAATGAATGAGCTTGTATGAGCCTCTCCAAGGGGCACGCAGCGACTCACAAGTTCCCTTGTACCTTGCCAAAAGCTTCGTTGTGCTGGACTTTAAAGGGGTGGCCTTCCGTATTGAGCACTGGAGGTGGACGATGCCCTCGTTAGGGAAAAGAAGCAAGCAAAAAGATCGCCAGAATGGTTGTATGCTCACCGTAATCATCGAGGGAGTAGTGGTCCGGGTCATCAAAAAGAAGGTAAAGATACTTCATTATCTCGGCATAGAAGTAGGTAGGCGTCTCGTCGTCAAGCTTGGAGCTCCGATCATTGACGTTCTGGATGCCTGCGATTCCTCGGCCGGTGTCGAGGTACGTCTTCATGGCACCAAAGAGAGCCCAGCCGAGATCACGCCAATAAGGATCGCCTGTCATGCGATAGCCATAGAGGACGCTCTCTTGGATTTCAGGGCTGCCATTGAAATCCTCGATCGTCAGAAAGACACCAAAGTCCTCCTCGTGAAGGATTTGACCTGGGCTGACAAACTTATGGCCTTGTGCTCGACCCGTCTTCCTGTCGCGCCAGCCCCAGCCCCCGGCCTCGAGGCGTGTCGACGCGGCGTCTACGATGTGGGCACAGCTCTCGGCAATCTCGAGGCCCAGCTGAGTGTCCTCATCGCTCCTCCTCAATCGACCGTAGAGAGCGATGTTGGCGCCAGCAAAACAGCCCAGGTGCGAGAAGCTGTTCCGGGTTCCATTGAAGAGCTTTTCCGAATAGCTTGTGAGAAACGTAAAGGGCTTGAGCTGCGGGTGAGAGACGAGATACTGCTTGGCACTCTTGATTGATTGTCCGTAAGTCTCCAGAAATGGGTGCTGGGGGTCTCCGATGAGGTAAGGGTATTTGCTCAGGTACTCGTAAAAACTGACATACAGACAATCAGCAGACAATCAGCAGAAAGAAACAGTCAACGATACTTTGGGAGCGTACCTGTCTGTTCCACCAGAAAACGTCACAAGATCTCCGCTTGTCGATTCGTTGGTCGGGTAAATTTCCATGGCGTACAAGTTGGGAAAAATGCCCTCATTTTCGGACAAGGCTATGGCAGAGCCTTCGGAAAGGTTACGGTAGCGATCGTCGCCCGTATATTTGGATAGTCGAGACCACTCGAGGGTGAGGGTGCCAGCCTCGGCGTAATTTGCCGTGTCGCTCAAGTTATCGGGCTTGCCCTCGTTGATGTTGACATAGTTGAATGGGATACGGTTGTGCTTGTACCAGCCCACCGCTAGCTTGTCGGCAAGCGAAATGGCCTTATCCACGAGAAAACGCTCTTCGGGCCGCTCGCCATTGAGTTCATAGGCCGATACGAGTCCTCCAAGGTAGCGAATGGTGAGCTCAAACAAAGAGACGACACCCAGCGCCTCTCTCTCTGGATGGTGGACGCTGGTGGAGGTGAAGTCGGTCTTCTTGACATGTTCCAGTGCGCGCTTGTATTCTTCACTGTCGCCGAGCCCCATAACAATCATTGTGCTCATTGCGTCGACGATTGTTCCTCCCCAGCCCGCCAAGACAGAGTCGAAGTTGGAGCCGTTCTGGATGCTGGTGAGAAGATAGTTCCGTCTTCTAGACTGATCTTCTACTCACCATGGTGATTGGCTTGAGGACATCGTAACCGAAGGCATACTGCTCATATGCGTGGTACGTCTCTAGAAACATGCTCTTTACAGCATCCCGCCTGGGAATGTCGGCACCGCCGCTGCCGTCGCTACTCTTCAACACGTTTTGCTTGTCGGAGGGATAGCGCGCCTCGCTCAATGAGCCCAGTACATGAGAAGCAAAGACCAACAACAGAGAAAGAAGAGCACGACAAAGCATCGTGGATGGGTTTCAGGAGAAAGGATGTGATTGCGCCAAGCGGTGACATTTCTACCCCTGCCGAAGCGGCTCGACACCTGATGGGCTGAAGATGAAGGGTTAATCCCACGTGCGGAGTCTTCATCAATGGTCTTTGTGCCACTTTGGGAGCCGTTCGCGATGGAAATGAAGGTGGCGGGCCGCCCCCCTCGAGAAGAAGATTGGAAGACACGTGCGATGTCTGTTCAATCTCCACGGAACGTCACACGAGCATGCACAGGCCCTTCCTAGAGTCAAGTAGTGCTTCATTTGTATACGGAGATGCAAATTCATGGGTTTCGTTCTTCATACCCAAGCATGTGCGTCCTGATCTCAGGCTAAGGATCTTTATATGAGCAGCATGCAGCCGCGATCTTGTCGAGCGCGCAAGGGGGAGCCGGACTCCGGAGATTCAGAAAAGCTCTTGCGCAGCCTTATGGACTTCATCTGTCCTATCGAGACATTGCACAAGCTCGTTCAGAGTAGCAATAGTGTAGTAGTGGAGTAAGTAGTAGTCTAGAATAGTAGTCGTGGCAGTGAACCTACTGCTAGCTGCGCTAATGTGCTGGATCTTCTCACCTAACTACTCATCCAACCTCGGGTCGAGACTCGAGCTACCGCTTGCTCTCGCTGTTGAAGTGAACTTGACTCAACTGTCCGCAAGTTTCATGGAATCAAATGCTATACGTATATTGGGCCCCAAAGTTGCAGCAAATTTGGCCGGCTCCACGCACTAACCAGCTACCTGCTATTGTAGCAGTATTATATATTACCTGCTTACTACCCAGTACTTCAGCGAGCGATAGCTAGCCATTTATTAAAACTGTCGTGTACTTTTTTTTTTGGTGTACCTGCATGCCAAATCTGAGGCCGAACTTGTGGCTGCCTAGGCATGTGAATTTTCCGTCGCTAAAATGAACATACTGACCACCCTAGACTAGACCCAGCCGATAATGCTCCGATTGATTCGCTCGTTCTGCCAAGCTTCCCGCCGCAATGCCGTGTGGGCCTCTCTGCAATGTGTTAGGACACGGCAGGCTCTCGTACGTAAATTGTTGCGGCCCTGACTTCACTGCCAATTTCTGCGCAACTGCAGTTCTCAAGTTGTGGGGTACCTCAGCTTTTCAAACTCAGAGGAACATGCATGAGACAGCGCAAAGTCAGAAGGTGCAGGACGGAAGCGAGAATTGAGTCCGCAGAGATTGAGGCAAGACACTACCGGGATGGGTCACAACCCGCCGCATCTCGACCAGGAGTTTGGGTCTGTGTCCATCCACGCTTGCCTTTCCATCTCGACCTAGCCCTGCTTGACTGCCCACACGATGCCTTATTAGGGGACAATCATTCGAGGTGCGAAGTCGTATCGCTTCACTCATTCTTCTCATCCTTCGACAATGTCGTCGCTCCCCTCGTCCCAGGGCGGCGGGCCCGACGTCATCTTCTACCACCTCCCGCCGAACTTCGCACAAGCATTCTCGTCCTGATGCAGATCTTTGCCGCATTCCTCGGCATGTCAATCTTCGACCTTGTCTCTCATTTCACCTTTGACGTCCAGCTTCTGTTTTCCAAAGGATGGAGGGAGCCCTTCAAAGTCATCGCCCGGCTCAGCTATTTGACCTGCCGCTACACCTCCCCTGTCCTGCTCACTTGCGTCATCATCTTTATGACGGTACCCATCAAGGATTGCGCCAGCTTCATCACCGGCGTCAATGCTGTGCTCGTCCTCAACCTCAATGCCGTCTCGCTCATCTTTGTGCACAGAACCATGGTCCTCTGGGACTGGGAGGCTCGCGTCGTCATACCTTTGATCTCTGCTTGGCTCTGCGTTCTGGGCGTCTCCATCGTCGTCTTGCCCTGGTACGGTGTCGGGATGTCGCTGCCAAACTCCAACTTCTGCATCTTTGACACGAGACGGGAGGAACGGATGCCCTACACACTCAGCTACAAGATCACATCTCTTGCGCTCGACTTTGCCATCATGTGCCTCACATTGCACCGCCTCCTCGAAGGGGGTTTGCGCAGTCTCTTCACCGGCAAGGGCCGTTCCTTTATTGGCAACACTGGTCTCTCCAAGACATTGGCTCGGCAAGGTCAGTCTGTGGTCTATCCTGGATCTCAATTTGTCGCTCATGCTGATGTGGTCAAATGATAGGCTTCCAATTCTTCTGCCTCCAGGTCATCACCGACGTTGTTTTCCTGATCCTCTACTGGTCATTCCCCGCCAGCGAATGGACCTTTCAATTAGCCGGCAGCGCCATGGTCTTCTGCGTACCAACAATCTTGGCTGGCAAGGTATTTCGCGATGCTCGCAAGGTGGTCGTTGCTGGCGCCACTTCACAAGGATCCCGTGGCGAGAGTGGAACGGATCAGAATCGGTCGTTGCGGAAAGACCGCGATTCGCAGCATGGTGCAAACTCGTACAGCGCAACCGCGTCGCCCCTGTCGTTCCACGAGGGCCGACGTAGGCGCCATCCTTCAGAATCGGACTCCGAGGGCCTCAGGAAAGAAGAGGACATTGAGCTTGCCGAAGAGTGTGATCGCAGTCCCTCAAGGGGGAGGAGCAGGAGCTCTATGGGGCCTCTCGGATTAGGAATTATCGCCAAGAGCCCCTTTTCGCGGGGACGGGAAAGCCAAATCTTTGCGTCTTCGAGAGTGGCAGGCATTCTTCCATTGACATCGAGCGATCATGTAGGCGAGCTGGCCTCTGAGAGTCCCTCGCTGCCATACAGCCATCAAGAAGCAGACGAGGAAGCCGTGGCAAGGGCCTGGCCCCGCCTCTCTCGCAAACACGTCGCCAATACGACCACGAGCAGAAATGAGCCGACTTCGACGTCCTTTGCAGGCCTCATCGCCACAAATGGTGAGCCAGGGCCAGACCAGGCGCCTTTTGCCGCGCACGAGACTATGGTACAGGAGAGCAACTCTTGGTCGCCCCATACGCCTCTTGATGCATATCCTTTCAGCCCGGAACCGGCACGGCTCCGCCCAGAGTCGCCCGATCTGCTCGGTAATGCTGAGACTTCTAAGCTCTACTGAAGCTGTCTCTCCCTCGGGAGTCCAAGCTCGACCCCCACTCGTGGCCGACAAAGGGACAAATTTGCCGCTTCCCATCGTCCGTAGCACACATTCTTTCTTCCATGGTCGAGTCTGTCATCCACAAGCATCAACCTGTACTCTAGACTGCACACACACACACACACACACACACACACATTCACTCTCTACATTACTTTCTGAGACGTTTGATTGTGTCCAGACTCGCAAACTCACTCAATCCTCTGCAATATCCTGTCCAGTTTATGTCGAGGGAGCGCCACACTAGATAGAGCTGGAAGAAAGTTGAACGCATTGGAAATTGCTGCCCTTGCCTGCGCGCGCGCATGGGCTCGGTCCAATAAGAAGATCAAGGTCTTAAGTCGAAGAGAGTTAGTTGGGCGCTTCGAAAACCCAGGCACAATATTGCAGGACCTCGCTCCTTTTTTCCCCCACGTACAGACGAACAGCCGCTCGCATCATCGCACCTTATCGTCACGACGAGCGACGTTTCCTCTACAACATCGTCGACCGGCGAGATCGGATATAACCACAGCCACCCTGGGGAGCTTGTCGATTGATTGATGCATCTCCGGCCACGACTAACGCTCCCTGGGCACGTTTAGGTCTAAGCGCCTTCAACCCCCGCTGCGGTCCCACGGCTAGTCGCGTTCAGCAGCGAGTCGAGTCAGCCACTTCCGGGCGCGCTTGAGCCATGGCTCGCGGGACGCATGCCAATCCGACGACATTGTCAGGCAATGCGGGCGGCAACAGCGGGGCACCATCTTCCTCGTCTGCCAATGCTCCAGCGTCGCATCAGCAGCAGTCAGGCGCTCAGTCGGCGACGACTGCGCCGACGGACGCCTCCGCCCATGCAGGCTTTGTCAACCTCGGCAACACCTGTTTTCTCAACTCAGTTCTCCAGGCCACGTCCGCCACCCGGTCGCTGAGAGAGCTCTACCAACCTGAGTTATTGGAGGAGGTAGCGAAGAGCTCAAGTTCTTCTTTGCCCCTGGAGGGCATTATATCGGGCAAAAATACCAGCAGCGAGGGCGAAGTTGGTGTCACAGAGGGTCAGGTTCTTCTTCAACAACAAGAGGATCTGCTCAGCGCCAATGCAGCGACCGGTTTGGCTCTCGAGAGAAGCCGGAGTCCAGTTCTTGCTCTGGCCGATGAGGAGCACGGCAGGGCCTGGCCTTTGTCCGCGTCAGCCAGCGTGGCGTCCTCCAGACGAGCCTCGATAGAGCCACAGCAGCAGCAGTCCCTCCGCGCCTCGGCTGCTGCTCTGGTCACGCAGGAGAAGCCAGCAGACGAAGCAGTGGCCTACCAGCCTTCGTCGTCGGACTTGCCACTTAACACGGCCTTTCGTCAGGTCCTCGAACGCAGCTGGGACACGGGAGCCTCCTTCAAAGCACCTTCTCCATCAACAAAGCGCAAAACAACGCCCATCAATCCCAAGAGATTGCTGGACATCATGTCGTCCAAATACGATCAGTATGGCGAGTACAGGCAGCAGGACGGCCACGAACTGCTGCGACACCTTCTCGACTCTCTCAGGATGGAAGAGCTCGACGTGAGTGTCGGAGGAAAAAAAAGCTACACCCCTGCTATTCTTGCTGATTTCTTCACCCTGCAGGTCATCAAAAGAATGCAGCCTCCGCCAGAGAAGACTGTCAAGAAGAGAAGAAAGAAGGTGAAGCGACAGGGGCCCTCACTGTCCGCTGCTCAGGGTCCCACTCTGTTGGAGGAAGGGGCAGACAGAAGCAAAGAGCTGGTGCCGTTCGTGGACAACCTCTTCTGCGGCAAACTCCTCTCGTGTGTTGTCTGTGAAGGGTGTCGCCACGTCTCGCACACCTACGAGGACTTCTACGACATATCCTTACCCCTGCGCGGTGAGCCGGCTGAGGTGGCCCTGCGAAGCGCAAGGAAGCGCGATCGAATTCGAAGCATGGCCGATCGATGGAGAAAGGCCACGGGAGGGACGAGGAGTGCGACGGGCAATAGAGCTGCGACGACAAGCGAGGCTCTTGCTGCTGGCATCCTGTCCGACACGTCAGCCTCTGGCGCTATGAGCGAGACGGAAGATCACCACGAAGCTCAGACGTTGAAAGTAAAGTCCCTTTCGAGGGGCAGGTCCATCTCTAGGCCCAAGTCAGCCGGTGCCTCGATCGATATGTCGGGAACGGCAAAGGACGACTTGAAGAAGGCGCTCAAGAATGTTCCTTACTCCTTAGACGAAGAACGGGATGGGGCAGCTACTCCAATGGCAGACGACATCGACCTGCACAATTTGAGCCTCGACGACGTAGCCGAAGGGAGAAAGCCACGGCATAGCCAGCCTCATTCTGCATCCCGGGAAAGGCAGGGAGGAGGTGCGGCAGCCCTCTTGCGAGCTGTGAGCGTCCGAAGCCGACCTGTGAGCCGCTCTGCAAGCCCCATGGGCCATCCCGACGAGGTGATGCCCAGCAGCATGTCTGGCACCGGAGGCGAGCCTGCTTCTCCGCAGACGCCCAAATCTCATCATCGAACAGGTGCTAAGAGGGTCACCAAGCAGAGCCGACAGGGCGCCTACTTGGCCAAGCTTCTTGCTGAGCAGCCCCAAGTGCCATCGCAGCAGCCGATGACCGCCTCAGCAACGGCTGCCTTGCTGTGGGGGCGACGAACTCAGGCAGGAGCTGCCGTCGAGGGGACCCCGTCGGGTTCATCTACCCCACTAGCTACAGCAATGTCGCCAACATCCTCGGCCGGTTCACACCAGGAGCGAGTCTCCGTGGTCAAAGCAGCAGCAGCACCCGCCTCTTCAGATCATGACGACATTGAAACGACACAGGCGAAAACGGGCTTGGTCAAGGCCATGAATTCCTTTACAGCAGTCGAAGTCCTTGATGGCGCCAATAGCTTTGCGTGCAAGCGTTGCTGGCGACGTCTCAATCCTCCGACAGCCGCCGAAAGGGAGACACTCGTGCGAAGGAGGCTTCGCAGGGGAAAGGCCGAGGATGAGAGCGAAGAGAGCAGCGATGACGAGACATCGTCTGGCAGCGACCAGGAAGATCGAGCCAAGTCAGCTACAAGCAAGAATGACAACAGATCTGTCGTTGAACCTCTAGTCCTGGTCTCTAGGCCGACGTCGCAAGCCTCCAACGCAGACTCGATGTCAGACCTCGGAGAGGGTACGACGATGATCGTGGATGACGTCTCAACGCCCTCGACTGCTGTGCCAAAGATCCAAACAACAAGCCCTCAAAGTCCTGAAGATGGCAGCTCGAAATCTGATGCGCTTCCTCAGTCATCCGCACCCAAACTCAAGGCGCCCAAGCCTGTCTTGGCGGGCTCGAATGGGATCACCTTGGGACCGAATAGCCTTTCTTCGAGCGGGAATAGCTCCGACGGCGCCCTTTCGACAACATCGGGTGACGAAGACGGTGGACCAGACGAAGAGATAGTCAGGGTCACTTCAAAGCCCTCGATCCAATTCTTGGAGCAAGACCCTCCTTCAAGACCGGTGACGGCTCCTGCTGGGGCCAAGAGTGGCACATCGACTGTTTCCGCTCCTGGAATCGCCTCAAATGGGCTTCGTCGCAAACGATCAACGCAATCGCTCCAGCGTCGAGCTCTGAAGCGATTCCTTATTTCCTCAACGCCTCGAGTTCTCGTCTTCCACTTTAAGCGCTTCCAAGCAACGGGTAGCGGGCGGTATCCGGGAACCAGCTTCAAGAAGATTGATGATGCCGTCTCTTTCCCAGCCTTTCTCGATGTCAAGCCTTGGCTGGCTCCACCAAGAGAAGAGTACGATCGACATGGGAGGCTCAAGCCGACGAGTGACCCAAGGGCGCTGGAGAAGGCAAGGCTGGAGGAAGAGGCAAAGCACCTTGCTGATCTCGGTGAAAAGCAGAGCCACAAGCATCATCACCTTTTTGGGCACCACCATACCCTCAATCGCCACCACTTCTTTGGACACGGATCAAAGTCACAGCAACAACAAGAGCTGCTGGATCGCTCGGGTGTCTCACCCGGACCAAAAACGAAGTACAGGTTGTATGCCGTCGTCGTCCACCAAGGGTCGATGTCTGGAGGACACTACACGGCTTACGTTCTTTCAGACCGCTGCAATCTGCCTACGACTCCTAAGGTGGCTCCTTCCTCCTCTTCAGTTGCATCCTCGTCCGTTGCAGGAGGAGACAAGAGCTCTTCTTCCACCTCATCACCCAGAGCAAGACCGAGCGATGACTCAGTCGGGGACCTCTCGGAGTCGTCACTTGGAGAGCCGCCCTCCAGCGAAGGCCATGGTGAAAGCTACGCTCACAGCAATGGCAGCAGCTCAGCTCCGAGGCTGTTGCAGCAGCAGCAGCAACAGCAACAGCAACAACAAGAGCGGAAGCCCGACGAGAGGCGGTGGATATACACTTCTGACACGATGGTCCGACCGGCCACGCTCGAGGAGGTTCTCAAGGCTCAAGCTTACATGCTCTTCTATGAGCAGATGTAGCTATCCTCTTTTTCTCCGACTCTATCCCGCTTGCTGACTGGCATTACTCTACAAATTACAACTAGCTATGCACTACAACACGCATCCTCTCTGATAATTATAGCATTTGTCCCGCACCTGCGATCATCGTGTTCCTGCTGAGCGCGCTAAAGCAACCTTAAATGACGGCATAGGATGTTGATGTCGTTTGACACTTTGTCTCTCGCGACACAGTCACCGCATTCCCCTGTGCACCATATCTAGAGTCTCAAGCAGGATCTTGCCTTTCAGTAGGCCACAGCATGGCGACGCAATCTCGACACGGAAAGGTCGCGGACGAGGAGGCGCTCGAAGTCAGCGTGCAGTGTCACTGCAAGCGCCAATGCTTTGCCGTGCGCGTTCCCTTAGCTCGCTTCCCGCTCCCAGCAGAGTGAGAGTTCATCAGCCTTGCGCTTTTCAGAGAGAATCAGACCTTGAAGCTCACATCTGGCGACCACGGCCAACAGGATTTGCCACTGTAAGGACTGCCGCCTGGCTAGTGGGAATCTTCAGATGGACACCTGCGATGTCCTCGGACCGTCCGACGTCGACCTCTTCGACCTCGCGCATCCTCCCGCAGGCCTGGGCGGGCACAGCGCCAGCGAGCACTTGACGAGGTGGTTCTGCCAGCACTGTGGAACACATCTTGTGCAGAGCTTTAGGAAACCCGGCCAAGAGTCATTGGGCCTGATCTGGTCCTTCGCACGGGGCGTCATGAACCCTGTTGCAACGCCTGACGGTCGTCCGACCTCCAAGGTCACTGTGCACCACTACGTCAACTACGCACTCGACGGCGGTATGACCGCTACATTCATGCAGGATGGAGCACCTCGGTATAAGAACGGCCCGCCAAGCTCGGACCTAGTTGCGGCGCATCCCAGCGAGCTCCCTTCGGAGAAAGACCTGGCCTTGGTCCGAGAATGGAGCGCGTCAGACTCGCTTCCGGTGCGCTGCCTGTGCGGCAACGTCGACCTCGTTCTGAAGCGGCCTTCGTTCGCCTCGCTAGACTCGCTACCAGACAAGACCAAGGCTCGCCTCGCCCGAGGCCAAGACGCTGGCGCCCGGTGGAAGTTTAACTTTTGCCTTTGCAACTCTTGCCGCGTAGCTTCGGGCCAGGATCTGAGCGCCTTCGTCTTTTGTCCGCTCACGACGCACGTCTTCTGTGCCTCGGAAGACTCCATTGACAACAAAAGCCAGGATCCACGGACGGGACTGAGCAGGTACGACTCCTACCCAGAGGTGCATCGCTACTTTTGCCCGACGTGCGGATGCAAAGTCTTCTTCTGCGCAGACGATAGACCAGGCGATATCTGCGATATCTTCGCCGGCACCTTCGCCAGCACACCCCTCCTATCCCTTTTGAATGGCTGGACATTCCAACAGACTGAGGAAGGCCCAGGGTATTGGGACTTTGCGAGGGACAAGCATTTTGCCGAATCCTTCCGGAGGGGCTACTGTCCAAATCTTACGGCGGAGGACCTCAAGACACCAGACAACGTATTGAAGCTCGCTGCAGACTATAATGGCTAGGCAGTATTTCTTTGAAGGTATCTTCAGGAATTTCTATGAGCCCTTCTCGTAGATATAGCTGATAAGTAAAGGTTATTGGTGATTTCTCGCTTCCTGCGCGACTCCCTTCGAACCCAGGGGACTGTCTTTTGTGGTCTGATACGGATGTAGTGGCCCTCTAATCCCTTCGAGCTCTCCGGTATTCGTGACGCTCTCTTCCGCTCGACCCATCTCCATACCTTGACCGACTACCGCTGCCATCTGTCATCCCGCCACTGCGCTTCCAGAAATTCTCACGATCAGCAGGCGCTTCACGACTGCCTCTCTGCTGCGTTGGGCTCAAGCGTTGGTGAAGAGGTAAAGATGGAGGTGAAAGTCGCCGATGATGCCATCTTGCTCCCTCGTTGTAGCGCTGCTGAGACGTAGCAGAAATACGACCGTAGTCCGAAGTGGACATCGACGGAGAACCTTTCGTGTAGGTGCGAGTCCATGAAGCTTCCTGAAATTCCGAAGAAGGCTTCGATAGACGCAAGGAAGCTGGCTCAATTGTTTGATGCAAAGGTGACTGTCTGGGTGGCGAAGACGACCAAGACGTCGGCGGAGGCCCGTACTTGGGTAGACCACCCTGTCGTTGCGTTTGATAGTCCAGCTTAGCACTGCAAAAGTCGGGTCGTCCAGATGCTTGAAGTCGTTTGGCATCTGACCAAGTTTCTTCGCTCTTGCTGTTGGTCATGTTCTTCTGACTGAAGCTTTTAACTTCACGGTGTGGCACATCACGCCTTGGCCTTTTTGATGCAGAATGCTCCGCCTCGCCCTTTCTTGACAGCTCTCCTTCCTCTGATTCTTGAACTTTTCTCTTGATTGCCATCGCCGTCGGTCCTGACAGCGAGGCACTAGGGGATGACCAGCTTGGCTGAATATCGATGCCTTCCCTGAAGCTCGGCGGTCGTAGCAAGTTCTGAGATCGCTTTTCTGTGAACTCCTCGCATTTTGCTCTTCAGAACAGCTTTTTATGCTCACCTTCGTTACGGCGTAGACGTTGTTTGCCTGAACCGACTCCAACTCTGTCAAAAGAGGCGTCGCACCTTGTTCTTGTCGTCTCTCTTTCATTCGCGAAAGCACCATCTGGCTTCTATCGTAAAGACGTTTGAGGCAATAATGTGTTTCTTTGCCGGAATACTCGTCAGCGGGAACGCCACCATCTCCAAAGGCTCTGAATCTCTTCTGTTGTGCAGCTCAAGCGATGTCAGTACTTGTTGTTAGACATGCAAAGGTGATATTGTCCTCACGGGAGGAATGACTGTGGTCGACGCAAACAACAGAGCCTCGACCAATTCCCAGTCTATGTCCATGTCATCTCTCGTGCCTCGATACTCGCTTTTTCCTTCGATTCCCCTTCCTAAGCCGCCACTGACGAGGAACGGATGCTACGTTTGACATTAGCTGTTGATGCCTGAGCTCATCTGTAGGAAAGGGTACTCACCTCCAATTCCCTCAAGAGACTCTCTCCAAGACGTTTCCAGTCAAGACTATCCTTGAAGTCGTCCGAGTAAGTTGTTTCGGCAAACGCTTTGAAGACTACCAATTGCTGGCCACGAGTGAGCATCTGTCGCAGCCAAAATTTGCCTGGAGTTCTTGAATCATTCGCAAGCACACACGCCAGGGAAAGAGTATGCTGACAGTCGACAGGCCCTTTCTCCTCGAAGGAGGGGTCGATTTCTATGCCGCCGCCTAAGCTTCGATCAATGAGCCGTTCCTGCATTGTTCCACGAACAAAGGCTCTTTGCAGCTGTGGGTCGAGATTATGGCTGGTCTCGTCGATCGTCAGCTGTGGGGCGGGAAAGGGGAAGAAGATCGCAAAGGCAGCGTTCATTATTTTTCGCCTTGATTCCACATCTTGCGACCCTTCACATTGCCAGAGCGCATCAATGTCGACAAGCTCGTTGATGATTGCTACCCACGCGTCCGCTGAGGCACCGACTGCGGGTAGCGTCAATTGCTGAAGTAGACGTTCGACAATTTTCGTCCGAAGGTTAGTATCAATGTCCCTGATTCGCTCTTCGGCGCAGAAAAGTTGCCTGACGAACTCGAGATAGGGCCCTCCCCAACGAGAGCCGCCTTGCCTTGGAAACAATTGCATATGATCTTCGAAGATGATACTCAGCGTGACAGCTGGTTCGCTGAAGATATGGTCTTCTAGACACACGAAGAGGGCGCTCCGCTCCGTCGAAGACTCGGTAACGAGGAGTTGGCACACAACATCCACATTTCTGTGCGTCGTTTCGCTGTCGTTGCAGTTCTTGGACAGACTGAAGAGTCGGCTGTACCCCAAGAGGCGCTCCTGCAGGAGATATGATTGTGAGCAAGGGAAGTGTAAAAGAAGGTTGCCCAAAAACCTTTACCTTTCGAGATTCGGCCTCGCAGAGGTCCCAGGTGTATTCGATCACAGCCTTGTGATCAGCCTTTGGCAGCGTCCTGCAGCATTCGATAAGCCGGTCAAGGGCTTTCTCCTTGTCTCCAAGATCTGAAAGATGTTTGAACAGGTCCCTGAGATCGCGAAATGCCTCGAGTCTGGAACCCGCTCCTTTGGATGGGCTTGCTTCTGCGTTGGAGCTATTTTCGCTCAACAACGAACAGAGGCGGAGCAACTCCACGGGCGCCGACATCAGAGAAGGTCTCCAGGACCTTGGCGTAGAGATGTTTTCTTTGGACGATGCTTCTGCAGTCTGGACTCGAAAAGGAGCCTCTGGTGATGGCGTCGTCAAAGTTGTCTGGATCGAGCAGGTCTCGGCATCGTCTTGCCTCGCGCGAACTTGTACGTGGCCCCTGTCGTTGCTCGACGTTCCTTCTGTCTTGCAGGTACTGCCACTCCCCCAAATCTTGATCCCACCCCGGTTCCTTCCTTCTCCTCCGTCCCACGTCGTTGTGATAGGCGTGAGCGGCATATTGATTCGTTTCGCTGGGTTTTTCCATTCTTGATCGGGGCCGTCTTTCGCCAAGGCCTTCTGTCCCGTCTCCAGTATCTGTCGGACGTTTGAGATTGTAGACTCGATCAGATCTCGTCGCCTCTCAAAGTTGGCTGCTTTTACTTCTTCGTCTCTGTAGCGCTTGCTTCCGCTGGTTGTGTTGCTGTAACTCGAAAAGTGAGACCTTTTGTCCTCCGTACCATGTCGCAGCGTTTCATCACCAACGAGCACAGCCGTGGGACGATCAGAGGGGACACCAATGTTGCGATTCGTGTTGGGCATATCGCGCAAAGGCACTGGCGAGTCATGCGGGCCCTTGTCCCACCGCGAAGCGGATTGGGAGCGGTGAGAAACGCGAGGAGCAGCAGAAGCAGTGCTTCTGTCTCCGCCCTCAGCCCGAGAGCGATCGGTTCTCGACATCGAAGAGGCGGTAGCGGTGGATGGAGGAGATGCTGGCGCAAAAGATCGTGGGAAGGACAAGCCTGGATAACTTCGACGCCCATCCAGGTCGGAGTACGGAGGCGGCGCGCCAGTCGATTCTCGTCGGTGATGATTGGGGCGCGGCGTGGAGCCCGCCGCCGGCCGACGTCTACCATATGTAGAAGGATACGGTTCAGCTCTTGAGAAATGAGGAGGTCTCGACATGTTGGTGAGGGTGACGAATCGCGGGAGGGGGACTCTCTTTTACTGCTCAGCTTGAGAATCAGCCTGCTCTGTTTACTCGGTCTGCAGTGCAGCCCACGGGGCGCGCACAGCGGTCATCTCTGGCGCACACGCAAGGTCCACGCCAAAAGAAAGCAAAAACAACGGGGTCAGACTTGGGAATTTTTTGTTATTTCTGGCACGCGCTCGGCGTTGCATCTATCGCCTCGCCGAAGGTCACCTCATTCACATTACTTGCCCCACGAGAGAACCTCGGGGGCCTTGTCGCCCTGAGTCTGAAAGAAGAGAAAGACAGGCGTGTCAGCAGAAGAGGAGAGGCAGATCGGCATGTGAACCTCGCAAGAAGGCTTCAGATACTCACGAAACCAGCAATGCCAGCGTACTTGCAGTCCTTCTCGAGCGACTCGATGCGGAGCAGGGCGTTGTACTTGGCAACACGCTCGCTGCGGCAAGGAGCGCCCGTCTTGATGATGCCCGTAGCCAGGCCGACGGTCAGGTCGGCAATGGTGACGTCCTCGGTCTCACCACTGCGGTGCGAGCACATGACCGACCAGTTGTCGCTCTGCGAGAGCTGAGCAGCCTGGATCGACTCCGAGATTGTACCAATCTGGTTGATCTTGAGCAGAAGACCGTTGCAGGCCTTCTTCTCGATAGCCGTCTTGATACGCAGGGGGTTCGTGACAGTCAGGTCATCGCCAATGACGGTGACGCCGCTGTTGGCCGTAAAGTACGACCAGGCCTCCCAGTCGTCCTGGTCGAAGGGGTCCTCGATCGAGGTGATGGGGTACTTCTTGATCCATCCGATGTAGAGGTCAGCGAGCTCCTTTCCGGTGATGAGCTTTGTGTCCTGATGTCAGTTCGGCGCGCCCTTAAGCGTCAGAGATAAGAGCAGACTCACGTGGGGGTTCTTCTCGTCCTTGAAGTTGAGGTCGTACTTGCCCTCCTTGTAGAACTCCGAGCTGGCAACGTCAAGCGAGATGTGGACCTGACCAGTGTATCCGGCCTTCTCGATGGCCTCGGTGAGGATCTCCAGGGCCTCGTCGGCGCCCTCGAGGGGAGGAGCGAAACCGCCCTCGTCACCAACGTTGGTAGCGTCGATGCCCGAACGAGCCTGGATGACCTTCTTGAGGTTGTGGTAGACCTCAGTGCCGACCTTCATGGCCTCGGTGAAGGACTGCAAGAAAAAGTGATGAGTCAGCGCCGATCTCCCAAAGAGCAGCAAGGCGTCTAAACAGGGAAATCACCTTTGCGCCGGTGGGGACAATCATGAACTCCTGAGGAGCGAGCTTGTTGCCGGCGTGCGAGCCACCGTTGATGACGTTCATGGCAGGGGCGGGGAGGATGTAGGGGGGCTGCAATGTGAAGAATGGTCAGCATCAACAAAGTCTTCGCGCAGTCGAAGCGCATACAAACGCACCTTGACACCAGCGAGGCCAGCAATGTGCTTGTAGAGCGCAACACCGTTCTCCTCAGCGCCGGCCTTGGCCACTGCAATGGAGACACCGAGGATGGCATTGGCACCGAGCTTGGACTTGTTGGGAGTTCCGTCGAGCTTGATGAGGAAGTCATCGATGGCCTTCTGGTCGGTGACCTTGAGGCCGGCCTTGATGAGCTCAGGGGCGATGACGTCGTTGACATTGGCAACAGCCTTGGTGACACCCTTGCCGAGGTAAGAGCTCTTGTCTCCATCCCTCAGCTCGTGAGCCTCGTGGATACCGGTCGAGGCTCCGCTGGGAACGGCAGCACGGAAGAGGCCTGTGCAGACCAACTTACATTCAACAAGACTGCCTCTCTCCCTTCAAAGTGCTCAGCCCTACACTCACCCTTCTCAGTCCAGAGGTCAACCTCGACAGTGGGGTTTCCACGGGAGTCCTGAAGTGACGGATAGAAAGAGAGTCAGATGCACATGCGCCTCGAGCAGGGGTGAGAATGTCGGGTCTGTGCTCACGAAGATCTGTCGGAGAAGAAGCCAGCAAAGGGGATCAGCAAGACAGTCCAATCCCTTCTAGAGACACCGTAACACACCTGGCGGGCAAGGATCTTTTGAACAGACATGACGTTGTCTATGCTTGTGCGAGGAGGAGGAGGAAGGAAGATTTGATGTGAAGATACGGAGGAACTGAAGAAGAGTCAACAGTTTTGGCGGCGCTCAACAAAATCGCACGTCCCTCCTTGGGTCGCTCGGTTGCACACGGGAAACGTGGTCCACGTGAAAAATACGTAGCTCACTCCACCTGTGGTCGCTCCCGTTCAATTCTCGAGACGAGGCCGGCTGTGGCCGCGAACTGCTTCAAGGGATGACAGACATTGGTACCAGCAGCAGCAGAGACCGGCAACATAGCGCAGTAACGGACACACAAGTCGGAAACATGTGCGTGTGCCATCAGCCATCAGCGACGAGTCCCCAGAGAGGAAAGTGAAGATAGATCATGACGAAGATTGAGAAAGCGAGGTGAGATGTTTGAGAGTGTACAGCTGGAGAGATGAGGTGGCGAACATGGAGAAAAGAAAGGGCGAGCTTCTCAGACCGTCGTTGCCATCTGCATCTCTGCCGACTCCTTTACCTTGGTTCTCTCCAATTCGCCCCCGCTCAAGCAATTGAGAAAACATTCGCAGCACTTGCAGCACTTGGAGCAGAGCTTTTTCAAGCAGCTGCATAGTCCACCGTTGCGCTCTGCAAGAAGGGGGACCGAGCGAAGCGATCAGCAACAGGGTGAGGAAGTCATGATCGTGGACACTTGCTCTCAAGCTTGTCTTGGCTCTGCATCGTATTGACGAGCTCCGCTCGGTGCCCTTCATTCTTGCAAGATCCGCACACCTGTTCCGTCGTGCTTTCAGAGCTTCCATCGTGCGCTTCGACTCCCCGCTTCAGGACGGACGTGGCCAGGTCTCCATTTTGTGAAAAGTAGGTCTCCATGTTGGCATTGCACTCTCCATGACCGAAAAGGAACCTGCAGGCATGATCTTCGCCGTTCGTCTTGGCTTTGCCCAAGAAAGTCACAAAAGACATGCCTTTGGCGTTCAGGGCATCCTTGAAGACCTTCTCAGCATTGTCGCGGCATTGCTGATGGGCTTCCACTACTTCACGACGGACAAATGCTAAGTTGCTCGTTGCCGAAAGGAGGTGTGAGGTTTCTTGGGCGGCTGGGCGCGCTACTGCGAGGTGGGCAACATACAAGGCGAAAGCCAGCCAAAGGTGGAAGGTTTTGATAGGCTTAATCATGTTCGTGATCGCTCAATGCGGGTCTGATGCTGCGTGCAGAGTGATGTATTTTCTTTGTGTCTGCCTGTTACTGGATGGGAACGGTCTGATGGCCGCGAAAGAGCCACCTTTTTATACACAACACTCCTGCCATTCGACCACTTTGCCAGCTATCTCTCAATCTGTGCCTTTACTTCCTCCAGGACACGAGAAGAAGGCGTGACCAGAAGAGCATGCCGAGTGGGGCAGGTCTTTGGGGGGGGGGGCTATCAGAGTATGTGTTCCTGAGCTCGGCAAATGCTTGTCATCCCCACTCTTCTCCGTCTCGCCACGCCCCATCTACTCCTCTCGACGCCGCGAGAGCGCCCGCTATTATGCAAGACATAGCCTGCGATAAGCAGGTGCCACCAAGGCCGAGGAGGCGCTCTGAACGCAACAACATCTGAGAAAGAGATAGAGGAAAAAAATAGCCGTCTCATTGACCGTAGAGGTCAGATAATGGCCGATGCAAGGACCGTAACGCCGCCCTGTGAACCTGGCGCATGCCGTTGCTCACGGCGCCTCTAAACTCGGCCCAGAAGCTCCCTTCGACCGAAGGAGCTCCTTAGATTGCCGCTGTGGTGTGCAGCGACATTATGCGTCACAGCTCTCTGGACGAGATGCCTGCATAGAGGCGTCCTGCAAAGCTGCCCGAAAGACCATTCCTTTATGACGTTCTTAGTACTCCCTGTCCCGTTTCGCTGACTTCTCGGGACCCGGAACTCAAAAGCAACGCGCGTGCGATCTGTACTACGGTGGAGGAGATTTTTTCTGGGGGGAACAGTCTGGCTTCAATGCTCGCATAGAAGTAAAAGCGGCAAAGTCAGGGCGACAATGGCGGCAGAGGCAAACGGCACGTCGCACGGGGCGAGAAGCGCAGAGAGTTCGGCTGCAACTGCTGGCCCTTCGACGGCTCTCGAGGCGCTGCAGGCGTTCAAGGAGGCGCAGGAGCGGCGCGTGGCGCACTGGCAAGAGTACGATGAGGCGATGCGGCACTACGACGACTCGACGCCTCGCCTCCAGCAGGCCTCCTCCAACGACGCGGGCGAGATTCGAACAGGGCCACCCCCATCCTCAGAAGCAGCAAGAACAAGCGGCCAGAGCCAAGGAAGTGGACGTGGGTGCGGGCATGGGAGCAGCAGCCACTACGACGAGGGCCCGCTTCCCATCTCGGACGAGCTGATGGCCAAGATCCTCTCGCTGGTGACGTCGGGCCTCCTCGACTGCTCCCATGCAGTCAGGACCGTCGAGACGGAGCTGCGTACGGCGCTGAGCAGGTCAGACCTGGCGGACCTCGTGGGCAAGGTGCAGGCGCTCGAAAACACAGTGCTGCGCTCTATTGTGGAGCGCGACCAGAACAAGCGCCGGGCCAGGCTCGAGGCGCGCGACCTCGACGCCGACATCCAGGCGAGCGAGGCGACGGTGCGTCAGACGCGGCAGGAGATCGCAGAGGTCATGACCGAGATCAATGCCGAGATGGCCGAGCTGTGACAAGTGTACAACAACAATCAATCCCATTTTGCGACTCAGTGCATTTAGTGATACAGTGTGGTGTGTGTTCGTGTGCTTTTTCGCTGTCTCTGCCTATCTGGCCCGGGTGTGAAGTCACGCCGGTGCCTTTCTCTCCTTGATCTCGTTGTCTCGCCAAAGCTTCTCGAGCTCCTGTCGCTCCTTGGCCTCGTAGGCCTCCCATGCGTCCTGGTGGTCGACCCAGCGTTCCTGCACGTCGGCCGCCGAGCCCCAGCCGACGGGCTCGCCCGTGTCGGCGACGGTAAAGAGTGAGGCAGCCGAGGCGGCCGTGCCCCTGCGCGAGCCCGTGGTGCCGACGAAGCTGCCTGGCTCGTAGGCGGCCATCTCTGCATCGTCTGCGTCAGGTAGCTCCCTCTCTTGTGCACCATCGCTGCCCGAGCGGACATAGACGTAGCCGACGGCCTTGTCGAGGACGCGCATGAGACGCAGCATGCTGCGCTTGTCCTCGACGGCGAGCGTCTCAAACGAGACGAGACCAAAGTCTTCGACAAGCTCGCAGATGCGCTCGTTGAGCTGCGAAAACTTGGCGCTCCGACGCGGGCCCATCGTTGCGTTGAGATGGCCGAGGAGATACGAGAGATCTTGGACCTCGGTATAGTAGTCGAGATTGAATGCTGCCATCAGGGGCGACAACATTTCAGCTTGAGTGCCAAGCAAAGTCAGGGGCGAGAGCTCACCGAGGCCGCTCTTGGCTGCTCGTATTGACGAGGTCTCAGAACCTTCGTCATCTGCGCCTGGATCGTCACCTTCTTCGTCTTCTTCTCCGTCCTCTTCTCCGTCCTCTCTATCTCTCTTGGCCCCCGCAGCCTCTCCAAGAAGATCCACCTTGCTCAGTACATTTACATGGGGAAGCTCGAGCATGAGCATGGCCCTGAGCGAGAGCAGAACCAGGGAGATGTAGCGTGAAGCATCGGTGATGTGCGACGCATCAATGAGGTGCACCGCTACGAGCTGTTGGGCATCTCTGTCGCCGTCAGTGTCTGGAAGCACAGAAGCACAGCTTGGGGAGCTCAGTAGCGCGCGGAATCAAGTCACCCACCCGCCAGTCTCGCTTCTTTTGCAGTCTCTCGACGATCCGCTTGAGGCTGCCATGGTTGGTGCTGAGCTCCACCTGGCCTGGCAGGTCAAAGGCGACGTAGGCCTCGTCGCCCAGTGCATCTAGTCGCGCCTCGAGCCAGTCCAGATTCTCTTCGAGATACTCGATACAGTAGAGCATGGCTCCATTGGGCCCGAGCTGCAGCTCTGCCATGACGTCGGACACGGTGATGAGCTCGGATATGTCAATGGCACATGGGTAGGGCAGGTTCCTGCCGTTGGCCGGGTCCAGATTGACGATGCTGACTGGCCTGCCTAGCGCGCCGAGGAACTGGTGCAGGCCATGGCAGTACGTCGTCTTGCCCGACCCCGGCGAGCCAATGACGAGCTGGCCAAAGGGCATACTCGGCAGCTGTCAGACAGAGTGCGAGCGCTACCAAGGTTGGCTTCCTCCTGTGCTCCCAAAGGCTCTAAAAATCGGTGGAAGATGGCTAGGCGGGCTTTTTTTATTTTTATTTTTATTTTTTTCTCCTTGCTTGTTCCGATTCCGAGGCTAACACAACGTGAGCCAAAGAAAAAAGGTGGCTGCGAGCGTACGCGAGCGAGCGCGCGCGCGCACGCACATACAACAGACAAGGTTGGTTGAAAACTCAGAGACCGGAATATCCCCAGCCAAGCGAAAGAAACATTGTTCGCTAGCTACAGTCCCTTTCTCGGCTCTCGACGACCCTTGGCAGCGACTGACTGCTTGTGCACCGCCCAGGAGCGTTTTCCGCGACATGGCATCGCAGGACAACGGCAATGACGGTCCCAGTCCCTCTCCCTCGCCCTGCCTTTCGGCCTATTCGGCCACATCCTCGTCGACGACGGACTCGGAATTTGATGAGCTCGGCTCCCTCTGCCTCGATGACTGGGGGTTCCCCACCCCTGGCTCGTCCGCCACACCCTCTGGCCGGGGGCTTCAACAGCGACCCAGCGTGCAGATCGACCCCAATACACCCGTCTCAAAGACGCTGTCGCCCGTCAGTGGTACCTCAACACCAGTGCCCGGCTCTCGGATGCATTCGCTCGGCTCGCTTGCACGGCAGCAGCAGATCGACAACGATGCTCGAGGACAGGTTGGCGGCGATGCTCGGTCGACGGAGCTGGTCCTGGAGGAAGACGAGGAGGAGAATGGTGCGAGTGGCTTTGATGTCGAAGACGAGGACGAGGAGGATATGCATGCCAATGGCGTACCAGCGGCCAGGGGGTGGCGGCTCGACGTTCGGTGAGTAGCAGGTGGCTGCTTCTACTTCCTGAGATCGCCACACAAGTGTCTCTTGGCTAAGACGAGGCATACGGCATTACAGAGAAGCAACAACGAGGCAGTTTCGAATAAAAGTCCTCGACATGTTCACGCGGGAGCTCAAGCTGCAGACGTGGTCCGATGACACGGCCGACGCTTCATTACTGCCTCTCTCGTGCGACCAGGTGCACCTTCGACGGATCAGCGGCGCATTCAGCAACGCAGTCTTCTTTGTCTCCTACAAGGTTGCCGAGGGTGTCCAGGCGCGCGTCCCCGACACCGTCCTCCTGCGTGTCTATGGCTCTGGCACCGAAGTGCTCCTCTCGCGAAGGGCCGAGCTCCTCATCCTCCACACCCTCTCGAGCCTCTACGAGATTGGGCCTCACATCCTCGGCACGTTTGCAAATGGTCGCGTCGAAACCTACTTTGATGCCGAGCCCATCGGCAAGGAGGGCATCCGCGACCTCGGTGACCGCAGCGAGACAATCGTCGATGACGGCAGCTTGCTTGTCCGCGGCCACGAGGGCAGGTCGCAATGGGTGGCCAGGAGGATGAGACAGCTGCACGAGGTACCCCTGGACACGATGAGGACTGTCTTGGAGCAAGGAGATCTTCGAGCTCCCAGCGATCGCGGCTTTGGCAGGGGCATCGAGAACCACCTCTTTGCGAGAAGCCACCGGCCATCGGCAAGGATAACAAAGAGCATCATGCAGCAGCAGCAACAGCAGCTTCAGCAGCAACAACAGGTAGCAGGTGGGAGCGGGTACTTTGGCGCAAAGGACGCCAAGGGTGCTGCCGGCAACATTCGAGAGAGCCCAGCACCGATGACGCCGACGGACGGCGCTGCACCAGGACTGACGCCAGATACCTCTTTGAAAGCGACAGGAACCGAGGCAGCAGAGGCCCGGGCCATGGCCATCCGCGGATTCTCACCCACGCACAGGAACAATTCTGTTGCCTCGTTTGACTCGCTTGCTACGTCGTACAATTCGCAAGATGGAGGGAGCATCGCCTCTGGAAGCTTTGACAACCTAATGTCGTCGCCCGCCCTCACCTCTTCAAGCTACAGTGAGGCAGTGTCGGTAGCCAGGCGCGGCGGAGCAGGCAGCGATTCGCCCTACACATTCAATACGCCCTCCGCTGCCCGCAGGAACAGCCGCAGTCGAGCACCATACCCTGGTGTGTGGAGACGAACGAAGCGATGGGCAAGGGAGGCCGGCAAAGTCATTGCTCTGGTCGACGAATTTGCCCGCTCGCCCGAGGGTATCGCGGCCTGCTCCCATGCCCTTGGCACGGACCCAAAGGGCCCTCCCTTTACAGCCTTTCCCTCGGCGCCACCAGCTGACAGGGTGCATTCAAAGGACCTGGGACCGACGATGACGAGTCTCCGTGACACGCTGCTGGCCGTCCAAGCCATCGACTTTCCGCGCCTTCTTGAGCAGATGGACGCATTCAAGCGCTTTGTCCGACGGTGGGAGCGCATCAATGGCGTGAGCCGCAGGGTTCTGGCCCACGGCGACACGCAGTACAGCAACTTGCTCCTCATCAAAACCTCCGAAGACGCTGGCATGGGCATGCCTCGGAATGGAAGAGACTCATCGCGCGACTCTCGACGAGGGTCCAACGAATCGTCGCGCTCGCGGTCCCGGCCAGCAAGGACTGCGCCGTACGAGCGTCTGGTCGTGATTGACTTTGAGTACTGCTCTCCCAACCCGAGGGCCTACGACATTGCCAATGCCTTTCACGAGTGGCGCTTTGACTACCATTCCCAGAGCGAATGCTGGTCGCCGTACATTGAGCCATACCCTTCACGCCACCAGCAGCGGAGATGGCTGAGAGCCTACGTCGAGCAAGGCAGGCTGATTCGAATGCGAGGTAAAGCACCAAAGAGCGCCAGCGGGGGCAGCTCCGCCATCCTCGACTCTCCGAACCTGCCGCCTGCCGACGAACTCGCGCTGCCACCTCCAGCCTTTGCCCCCCTATCCCCTGTGGTCAAATCCACCAGCATCGAAGCGACGCCAAGACGGAATTCGACGCTAGCCGACGATCCGACCACATCGCCCACATGCGTACTTGGCGGCCAGAACCGTGGCAAAATCAAGGCCACGGGAATCACATTCCACTCTCCCGCCCCCTCTCCACGCATCACGCCTCACCGAAGCAGTGCGTCGCCCACCAACGTCTTTGGCGGCGCAAACAAGGGTCCTTCGTCGCTGGTCCAGCTCGAAGCGAGCATCGAGCGAGAGATTGATCGACTCGAACGGGAAGTCGAGGTCTGGAGCCCGGCGTGCCACGCCTGCTGGGCCCTTTGGGGCATTACATTTGCGAAAGAAATGATCGAGGGCGTCATCAAGGTCGCGACGGAGCAGGTCAAGAGCGGCATGCTGGGTAAGGAGTCCTCTTCCCTGCCAAAGGAAATCGAGAATATTGTCGCGGGCTCGGCGGAGAGCTTTGACAATCTTCGATACACTCTTGGCAGAGTCGAACTTTTCAGGGCTGAGCTTACTACCCTCGGAGTCATTTGACCGTCATGCAAGAGAGGGGCAGTCACGCTTGTCTAGGATAGGGTCCTCGAGAGGGCCAAACATGCCTGTCCTGCTTTTCTTCGATACACTGTGCCATGGTGCACAATTCGAAAAAATTTATTGACAGAGAGATTAGCAGAGAGCATAGTGGGCAGATTACTCTCTAGCAGAGGCGTGTGAGCGAGCTCGCTGAAGACGATGTCTCACATTATCGATATGCTTCCTTTTTTGGTGAGCGTTCCGCTCCTCTTGTGCGCTTACCTTGTAGGAGTTCGACCCGTCGCATTACGATATTGCTGCAGATCGTCAACAATTCTCCTCGGGCATTTTCCAACTTGAGATGACTGTCGTTCTTCAGGGTTGCTAGTGCGAAGTCGAAGATCTTGCCAGAGAATCTCAGTCTCTCGTCGCTCTCTTCTTTCGAAGTAGGCTGCTTTGTTACTGCGCCTCCATATAGGATCTCCTCCATCCTGTTGAGTTCGTTTACGTTGGGCAAAGCTTGCGTTCTTCGCGCACTGGCGGCAAGATCATACCACTTGGCTGGCTTTGGTTTGGGTCTTTCGTCGGCCTTGTCCGCTGCAGTTATCACCTTCTGGCACAATTTCATCACCCTTGGCGCATGATTACGACTCTTCAACAATTCACGGGCATAGTCAATCAGCAGCCTGGCATTGTTGCGCTTTTGCTCGAACTCATCTTGCGTTCTTGGCTGCAAGGGTTCCCAGTTCCGCGAAAGATTGTGATCCTTTGCGTACAAACGTGAGAGAGCGTTATGCCTCGATCGCGGAAGGCCGAGCTGTTTGCGCTGAGAGGTATCGTACTGTCGCAAGAATTCAAAACGTTTCTTGATCAGAAAGTCGATGTCGATGGCGTTGGAGGTTTGGTGAGGCCCGGAAGTCGATCCACTTGAAGCCATGAGAGAATTGGCCGCCAAAGCTGGTTCGTCGTGCGGGTCTCTAGATGACGTAAACGACGAGGTTTGCCTTTGAGCAGGACTCTGTTTCTTGCCCTTTCCCATCCCTCTTCCCCTGCCTTCTCCTGCTTCCTTTTCCTTGCCCTTTCTCTTTCTGCCACTCCCATGATGCTCGGCTTGCATCGTCCCATGATCGTCTTTCTGAGAGTGTAGGCGTTCGCGAGGCAAGTCAGAGTCCAATGAAAAAGGCGCAAAAAGGTGCGGATCTTGTCCCTCAACTCCGAGTGGATAAATTGGGTGAAGCTGGGATTCAACTTGCGAGCGAGTTTGCTCGATCTTGGGATTGTACGGGTCTGCTGGACGACCTTGGGCGCCAGATTGAGCTCGGCTGTGCTGTTGGTAGAGCTGGCTGTGGTCGTATTTCTGATCTTTTTGCAAGCCAAAAGCTCCTGGCGCTTGGTGGTGATGATCACCGCCTACATGCCCATGGACATCGTTTTGAGACACATCTTGCGGGTGGGTCTGTGGATTTAATTGCGGATGGAAGAGCTGTGGATCAAATTGCGGGTGGTTTTGCGAGTAATAATACTCGAGCGTATGATGAGGCTTGTCTTCCTGATAGGCATTCGGGTCAGGCCAACCAGGAGGAGTCGGCTGGTGAGGCGCTGGTAGAACTTGTGTGCCACTGTGCTCGAGCTGTCCATGATGGTGAACAGGGGCAATTACACTATACAAGTCCTCTGGAGAACCATAGCCAAAAGAAAAATCGACTGATGCAGCTGTGTTCGGCCGTGCCGATGATTGCGAGTTGGATGGCTGACCCGAGTGTTCTGCTTTTACCTTTGGCGGAGGAGCGGCCGCTGCAGAGAAAGCGAAGATTACAAAAAGAGGGAAGACGAGCATTTTTACGAGTTTGGCAAAGACGAAGAGAGGAACGGGCTGTTCAGCGATCCCCTTTATACGATGGCTTATAAGAGGAGTCTATCAGAGGCACCCAAGGCATTGTCTTGCGTCTCGGGACGCCCTCGGTTTTTGGGCAAGTCTCGGTGCAGAGTTCGGTCTGAGTACACCACAGCCTCGGGGGAGCCCTCTGTCAGGGTCCCGGGGCGTCGTGGGCGCCCCGGGGCCCTGTGTGCTCCCTCTTTTCGCCGTCCCTTGTTTATTTACCTCGCTCGTGTTTATTCTCGCTCGCTCCTGTTTACTAGACCCTGCTTTTCGGAACTATTCGCCGTGGCGGACGTCCGACAGCACGCCATCGCCTGCTGCGCAGCGCAGCAGGCACAGGGTATCCACACACGCCTGCAGCAGGCGCTCAAGCACGCCCTATAGCACGAATTCCAGAGATAAGCGAGGCGTCGCAGAGCGACGCCTGCCCTACATAACAGACCCCTTTTTCTGTACTTTCCCTCTTCTCTTCGTCGCAGAATACATTCTGATAGCCCCTAGCTCATCCAGGTGACAGCTCCCTCACACCCTCGTGTCCTTAAATCCGAAATAATTCGGACGGCACAAGCAGGCGCCGGAGGGGGCTTGATAAGGCGGTGAAGAAACTCGGTCCGAAGCAAATTTCCCATAATGCAAAAGGAGATTTTGATGGAATTTATCACCTCGGCCGATGTTCTTTCTCATTTCCGTCTAACGACTGAAGGCACGCCGAGCGCCCTGAGCGTCATCTGAAGAAGATAATCCTTGAAGAGACAAGCATGCCTGTCCTGCTTTTTCCGATACTCTGTACCGTACTATGGTGCACATATCGAGACATTTCATTGACGAGCACATTTAGCAAATATCATTTTCGGGAGAATACGTTTTAGCAGAAGCGCGTGCACGAGCTCGCCGAAGACGACGTCGCTCTTTCTCGATATGCTTCCTTTTTGATTGATCTTTCCGCTTCTCTTCTAGGTGTCTGTCCCGTCGCTCCATGATAGCGCTGCAGATTAACAAAAGTTCATCCCGGGCAGCTTCTAAGCTGAGACGTTCGTTGTGCTTCAAGGTGTGTAATGCGTTGTCAAGGATCCGGCCTGCGATTCTCAGTCTCTCGTCGCTCTCTTCTTTCGATCTAGCCTGAACCGTCAGTGGGTGTCCATATAGGATCATCTCTATCTTCTCTTGTTCCTCTATGCTGGGCAGGCCTTGCGCTCTACGCATACTGGCGTCATGATCATACCAACGCCGGACCGATTCTGGTTTGGGGCTTCCCTTGGCCTCGTCCGATGCAGTTGTCACCTTCTGGCACAGTTGTTTCACCCTTGTCCGCTGCTTATCAGGGCTCTTTAACAGATCACGGGCATACTGGACCAGCAGCCTAGCATTTTTGCGCTTTTGCTCGAACTCAACTTGCGTTCTTGGCTGCAAGGGTTCCCAGTCAAGCGAAAGACCGTGATATTTTGCGTACATACGTGAAAGAGTGGCATGCCTCGATCGGTCAGGAAGACCGAGCTGTCCGCGCTGATAGGCGTCGGACTTTCGCAGAAATTCGAAACGTTTCTCGATCATAGTGTCGATGTCCATGGGTACTTGGTGTGGCTCGGAAGTGCATTCCATTGGATCCATGGGATAACAGTCCGCCGGGGCAGGTTCGTCGTGCGACTCTCTAGATGACGTAAATGACGAGGTTTGGCTTTGATCAGGACTCTGTTTCTTGCCCTTTCCCTTCCCTCTTCCTCTGCCTTCTCCCGCTTTCTTTTCCTTGCCCTTTCTCCCCCTGCCATCTCCCGCTTCGCTTTCCTTGCCCTCTTCCCTCTGGCTCCTCTCATTGTGCTCGTTTTGCATCGTCTCATAACCGTCTTCCTGAGCGTTAAGATGTTTGTGACGCAAGTCGGGATCCAACGAAAAAGACGCAAAAAGGTGCGGATCTATTCCCTCGTTTCCGAGCCAATGAAGAGGGTGAAGCTGAGGGTCAACTTGCGAGTAGGCCTGCTCGCTCATCGAACCATCGAAGCCAGCTGGGTGACCATGAGCGCCGGATGGATCCTGAGCATACACTTGATGCAGCTGGCGAAGCAATTCGTAATTCTGGCTTATCTGCAAGCCAGAAGCTCCTGGCGCTTGGTAGTGATGAGCACCGCCTACATGTCCATGGACATCGTATTGAAACACATCTTGCGGGTCGGACTGTGGATGGAATTGCGGGTGGAAGAGCTGTGGATGGAAGTGCGGGTGATTTTGCGTATAATAGTACTGGAGCGTATGATGAGGCTCGTCTTCCTGATAGGCATTCGGGTTGCGCAAACCAGGAGGGGTCGGCTTGTGAGGCGCTGGCGGATGTTGTGTGCCAGTGTGCTCGATTTGCCCATGATGCTGTCCAGGGGCAATTACACTATACAAGTCCTCTTGGGGACCATAGCCAAAAGAAAAATCGACTGATGCAGCTGGGTCCGTCCACACTGATGACTGCGAGTTGGATGGCTGGCCCGTGTGATCTACCTTTGGCGGAGGAGCGGCTGCTGCAGAGAAAGCGAAGATTATAGAAAGATGAAAGACGAGCATCTTTACGAGGATGGCGGTTTGAGGTTTGAGTGAAAGACGAAGAGTGGACTGGGCTGCTCAGCGATCCCCTTTATACGTCGGCGTGCAAGAGGAGTCTATCAGAGGCACTCAAGGCCTTGTCTTGCGTCTCGAGACGCCCTCGGGTTTTGGTTTTGGGCAAGTTTCGGTGCAGAGTTCGGTCCGAGCACACCACAGCCTAGGGGAGCCCTCATGTCCTTATATCCGAAACAACTCGGACGGTCCAAGCAGGAGCTGGAGGGGGCTTGATAAGGCGGTGAAGAAAATCGGTCCGAAGCAAATTTCCCATAATGCAAAAGTCTTGAAAGAGACAAGCATGCCTGTCCTGCTTTCTTCGATACTCTTCACCGTACTATGGTGCACAAATCGAGATGTTTTATTGACGAGCACATTTAGCAAAAATCATTTTTGGGAGATTACTCTTCAGCAGAGGCGTGCGAGCGAGCCGCTCGCCGAGAACGACGTCTCGCATTTTCGATATGCCTCCTTTTATGCTGAGCGTCCCGCTTACCTTGAAGGCATTTGTCCCGTCGCTTTGTGATGATGCTGCAGATAGACAACAGTTGTTCTCGGGCATCTTCTAAGTTGAGAGCTACGTGGTGCTTCAAGGCATACAGTGCGAAGTCGAAAGTCTCGCCTGCTCCTTTCGGTCCCGCGTCAATCTTTTCTCCCGATTCCAGCTGCTCTTTCACTGGGTGTTTATATAGGATCTGCTCCATCCTCTTTTGTTCTTCTACGCTGGGCAGGCCTTGGATTCTTCGCTTAATGGCGGCATGATCACCCCACTTGTCCTTGGCCTTGTCAAATGCTGTTGTCACCTCCTGGCACAATTTTATCATCTCTGGCGGCTCATCAGGTCTCTCCAATAGTCTACGGGCATCTTCCACAAGCAGCTTAGCAATGTTGCGGTCTCTCTCGAATTCAACTTGCGTTCTTGGATGCACGGGTCTCCAGTCACGCGAAAAATGGCAATCCTTTGCGAACAAGCGGAAAAGAGTGTCATGCTTCGATCGGTTAGGTAGGCCCAGTTGGCCGCGCAGAGAGGCGTCGGACTTTCGCAAAAATTCAAAACGCTTCTTAATCATAGTGTCGACGTCGATGGGGGGTTCGTGTGGCCTGGAAGTCCATTCCATTGGCTCCATGGGATAATAGTCGGCCCAGGCTGGTTCGTCGTGCGACTCTCCAGATGACGTAGATGACGAGGTTTGGCTTTGATCAGGGCTTTGTTTCTTGTCCTTTCCTTTCCCCTTTCTCCTGTCTTCTCCCGCTTCTTCTTTCTTGCCCTTTGCCCTCCTGCGCCTCTCATGGTGTTCGGCTTGTGCCGTGCCATAATCGTATTCCCGAGCGTAATCGTTTTGGTGAAGTAGGTCAGGATCCAATGAGAAAGGCTCAAAAAGGCGCGAATGTTGTCCCTCAACACCGAGGGGACGAAATGGGTGAAGCTGAGGGTCAACTTGCGAGTAAGCCTGCTCGCTCATCGAACCATCGAAGCCAGCTGGGTGACCTTGGATGCCCCATTGGCCATACTGTTGATGCAGCTGGTGAAGCCGCTCTTGGGCTTCGTTCGTCATACCTGAAGCTTCTGTTGCTTGGTGGTGATCAACACTGCCTGCATGTCCATGGATATCGTGTTGAGACAAATCTTGTGGGTGGAGCTGTGGATGAAAGTGCGGGTGGTTCTGCGGATAGTAGTACTCGAACCTACGATGATGCTCATCACCCTGATAGACATTCGGGTCGGGCTAACCAGGACGGGACTGTTGGTGGGGCGCTGGTGAGACTTGTGTGCTAGTGTGCTCGAATTGGCCATGATGTTGTCCAGGGGCAATTACACTATACAAGTCCTCTTGGGGACCATAGCCAAAAGAAAAATCGACTGATGCAGCTGGGTCCGTCCACGCTGATGACTGCGAGTCGGATGGCTGGCCCGTGCGATCTACCTTAGGAGGAGGAGCTGCCGCTGCAGAGAAAGCAAATATTATAGAAAGATGAAAGATGAGCATCTTTACGAGGTTGGCAATTTGAGTGGAAGACAAAGAGTGGGATGGGCTGCTCAGCGACCCCCTTTATATGTTGGCTTGTCAGAGGAGTCTGTCAGTGACACTCGAGGCTGTGTCCTGCGCCTCCGGACGCCCAGCGTTTACGCGTTTAGGGGCAGGTCTCGGTGCACAGTTCGGTCCGAGCACACCACAGCCTAGGGGAGCCCTCGTGTCCTTGTATCCAAAACAACTCGGACGGTACAACCAGAAGCCGGAGGAGGCATGATAAGGCGGTGAAGAAACTCGTTCCGAGCAAGCAACAGTCACTTTCGTCCGAAACAAATTTCACACAGTGCGAAAGGAGGTGTTGATGGAAATTATCAGCTCGGCCGACGTGCTCTCTCAACTCCGTCAACGACCACGGGCACGCCGAGCGCCCCGAACGTCAACTGAGATAGTGAATCTTTGAAAGGGACGAATATGCCTGTCCTGCATTGTTCGATACTCTGTACTGTACTACGGTGCGCAAATAAAGATAATTCATTGACGGGCAGGTTTAGCAAAAATCATTTTGGGGAGAAGATTTCCCGGCAGCGGCGCGATCAGAACGAAGAGACCGCTTCTTTGCCAGGTGTTTGTCCCGTCGAAGAAATATCTTCTGGCAAATTTCCTCTAGTCTAGCTTGGTCTTCTTTCGACATGGGAGGTTTGCTGGACTCCAAGCGTTTCAATGCGAGGTCGAGGGTCTTGCCTGCTAATCTATGTCTTTTCTCGGCCTCTTGTCTCGTTTTAGGCGGTTTTGTCTTTCTATAACTTCCGTGGAGGATCGTCTCCATCTCGCTCAGTTCATCTATACGCGGCAGACCTTGTGCTGTACGCATACAGGCGGCTCCCTTGAGCCAAGCACTGTCCGACAACTTCTTAGGTCTCCGTCCTTCAGTTTTCGGCTTCGCCTCTGTCACCCTTCTCAACAAATTAGACACCTCTTTCTCCAGCTTAGGTGTCTGCGGCAATTTCTTGGCAAAATCTCGTAGCTCAAAAGCCTCATCGCGCTTTCGTTCGAATTCTTCCTGCGTTGTCGGCAGCAAGGGTAGTCTTTCAGGCTCATTTCGGTCCTTTGCCCTCATGCGGAAGAGCAAGTCATGATCCGCCTGGTCAGGAAGGCCGAGGTCTCGGCGCTGACGCGCGTCGGAATTTCGCAAAAATTCAAGACGTTTCCCGATGAGATTGTCGGCGACCCTGGAGGGTTGGTGTGGGCCGGAAGTCGATTCAAATGGAGCTATTAGCCTATGCTTTGCCCAGCCTAGATGTTCGTGCAGGTCCATAGAAGACGAGCTTTGACTTGGACTGTGACTTCGTTTCTTGCCCTTTCCCTTCTCTTTCCCCCTGTCTTCTTTCGCTTCCTTTCCTCTGCCCTTTCCTATTCTGCCCCTCTCAAGATGCTCGGCTTGCATCGTCCCATAACTGCCTCCTTGAGCGTGAAGGTGTTGGTGAAACAGGTCAAGATCCGTTGAACCAGGCGCTGAAAAATCTGGCTTTTGTCCCACGTGTCCTAGCGGATAGAATGGATGAAGTGGTGGGTCCTCTTGCGAGTGAGCGTATCCGATAAACGGCTGATAGGAGTTCGCTGAAGGACCTTGAGCACCGAAGTGTGGCGAATGATGCTGTTGATAGCCATGGCGAGATTTTGGATCAACGTGCGAGCGAGCCTGCTCCAATCCCGACGCGTGGAAGCCATATGGATGACCATGGGTGCCATATTGAGGATCGTCGAACGGTCGATGCAGCTCATGAAGCCGTAGATGGCCATCATTTGCCTGCACACCTAAAGGTTCGGGCGCTTGGTTGTGATGAGCACCGCCTAAATGTCCGTGAAACTCGGATTGAGACAATACTTGCGGATGGGGCTGTGGGTAAAGTTGCGGGTGATTTTGCGAGTGATGGTATTCGAGCGTGTGATAAGGATCGTCGCCCTGATCGGCATTCGCGTCAGACGGATAATGGGTCTGCTCGTGAGGCACTGGTGGAACCTGCGCGCCAGTGTGCTCGAAGTCTCTATGATGGTGATGTCGAAGGCCAACAACACTGTACAAGTCGTCTGGGGAACCATAGCCAAAAAAAGAGTCGGGTGATGCAGTTGTGTCATGTAACGCCGGTGACTGCGAGTTGGATGGCTGGCCCGTGTGATCTACCTTTGGAGGAGGAGCTGCGGCTGTAGACAAAGCCAAGGCTACGAAGAGACATAAGACTAGCATCTTTTCGAGACTGGTGTTTTGAGTGAGTGAAAAATAAAGAATGCGTTGCGCTGCTCAGCTGTCGCCTTTATAAGGGGCTGCTTGGAAGAGGATGAGTCTGTTAGTGGCGTTCAGGGGCGTAAATTGCGCCTTGGGACGCCCTCGGTCTTTGGGGCAGGTCTCGGTGCAGACTCCGGACCGAGCACACAACAGCCCAGGATGTCAGGGTCCTGGGACGCCCCGACGTCCCGGGGCCCTGTGCTCCCTCCTTTTGCGCCACTGTTATTGTTCAGTAATTTGATTTTCGCGCCCTCGTCTATTTTCGCCTCATCCTTGTTTACTAGGCCCTGCCTCTCGGGAGAACTCGCCGTGGCGGACATCTGAGATCACGCCTGAGCCTACTGCGCAGCGCAGCAGGTGCAGGACGCTTTGCCACGCCCTCCAGCGGGCGCTCAAGGGCACTCTCAAGCACGCCCTGTAGCACGAAACTCAAGACAGGACAGGTGTCGCGACGTATGCCTACATAACGAGCCCTTGTTCCTGTACTTCCTGTTTCTCCTCGTCACAGAATACATTCTGAGAGCCACTAATGCGTCCAGGTGGCAGCTTTCTCTCAAGGTGGACCCCTCATGTCCTTACATCTACGCACAACTCGGACCGAGCAAGCCGCAACCGGGGGGCGTTTGATGAGGCGGTGATGAAAGTTCGGTCCGAGCAAGCAACGGAGTAACAGAGTCTCAACGACGTACTGCGCAGAACTCGGAACCTTACGAGCGTTGGGGAGAGATAGCAGATGAATTTTAAAAAAGACAAAGATGCCGGCCCTACTTTCTCTGAGACTCGGTACCATGGTGCACACCTTTCGAGACATTTCATTGATGGGCAGACTAGCATAGATTGTAGTTGACAATTACTCTGTAGCAGCGGTGCTTGAGCCAAACTCTTTCTGAAGACGACGCTTCCGCGCAGCGTCCCGCCTTTTTCCTAGTTTCTTTTCCCGTCGCTCTGTGATATCTCGGCATATAGACAACAATTCGCCTCGGGCGTCTTCCAAGCTGATAGGTTCGTTTTTTTTCAAGCGATGTAATGCGAGATCGAAGATCTCGCCTGCTATTTTGTGCCTTTCTTCGCCACCTTCGTTGGTATTTGGTCTCCTTGTTCTTCCGTGTCCATACAGAATCTCCTCCATCCTCTGCAGTTCCTTTACGCTGGGCAGACCTTGATCTCTACGCGAACTTGAGGCTCGACAAAACCAACTTCGGTTCGACACTTCCGCGCCCCTGCGCTTCTTTATCATCTTTGAGTTTGTAACAACCCTCAGACACAGATCAGACAATTCTGGCGGCTGGTCAGACTTCAATAGTTGTTCAGCATACCAGATTGTGCACGAAGTCTCCCTGCGTTTTTGCTCAAATTCGGCTTGCGTTTTTGGTTGCAGTGGTTCCCACTCAAGCGGAAAATGTTGTTCTCTTGCCCGCATGAGTGAGATTGTGTCCTGATCCGATTGGCTAGGAAGGCCAAAATTCCTGCGCTGACAGATATCGGAACTTTGCAAGTATTCGAACCTTTTGGTGGTTAACTCGTCGACGGAATCGGAGCCTTGGTAAGAGCCGGAGGACGAATCGGTCGGAACAAGGGGAACAGGGTGATGTTGCACAATTCCCTCCCAGGCTGGCTGGTCGGGCGTCTCTGTAGATGAGAAGCTATTACTTTCACTGTGACTTTTGGATTTTCCCTTTCCCTTCCCCTTTCCCCTGCTTTCTTCCGCTTCCTTCTCCTTGCGCTTCCTGCTCCTGCCTCTGTCGTGGTGTTCGGCTTGCATTGTCCCATTATCGCCTCCCTGATCGGGTACTTGTTCCTGAGGCAGGTCAGGATCCAAGGAAGCAGGTGCAAAAAGGTGTGGGTCTTGTCCCCCATCTCCGAGCTTGTAATTCTGGTGAGGCTTTGTGTTCTTTTGCAGACGATCGTAATCGATGTCCGGTTTGAAGGAGCGAGCTGGAGGACCATGTGCGCCGACAAGCTGATCATGCTGTTGAAAGCGTTGGTGAAGCTGTGGGCCAACTTGCAAGTAAGCCTGCTCGCCCATCAAACCAGAGAAGCCAGCTGGGTGACCATGAGCGCCGGATTGATTCTGAGCATGCGCTTGATGCAGCTTTCGAAGCAAATCATAGTTCTGGCTTATCCGTAAGCCGAAAGCACCTGGCGCGTGGTGGTGATGAGCACCGTCTAGATGTCCATGAACATCGAAATGAGGGACATCTTGCACGTGGAGATGCTGTCGGTCAAAGTGCGGGTGATTATGTGAGTAATAGTGCTCGGGCGTGTGATGAAGCTTTCCGGCCTGATAGGCATTCGGCTCGGCCCAAGGATGACTCTGTTGGTGAGGCGCTGGGGGACGTTGCGTGCCAGTCTGCTCGAGTTGTCCCTGATGCTGTCTAGGGGCAATGATGCTATACAAGTCCTCTTGGGCACCATAGCCAAAAGAGAAATCAAGTGGTGCAGCTGTGTCCGGCACTGCTAATGTTTGCGGATTGGATGGCTGTCCCGTGTGCTTCGCTTTTGGAGGAGGAGCTGCTGCTGCAGAGAAAGCGAGGAGTA